CCATCTTCATCTACAACCAATCTAGCGGCGATTGTCACCACCGATGAGGCCGACGGTATACCCGAGATAGAAGAGAGCGACAGCGAAGAAGAGATCAACCTTCAGAACCTCCAACGGATTCACGAAAACTGGAATACCGACGACGAGGCGGGCAACCATGATATCCTATCGTTCTACTCGGAATCCAGACGCTCCTCTTCGGACGACGAGTGGGAGTCTGAGGACTCATTCAGGACGAACGAGTCTTAGAGAGGGGGTAATGTTACGGTTTATTCATTTTTCATCGTTTTACTCAGCTTGATTACTCCTATGCGATCAGTACGGACAGTTTCTCACAGTACTATTATTAGCTTATCAGTGTGTATTTAAGTAGAGCCTCTGCTGGTCTAAACCCCAGCTTCGGCTAAGGTTTAATCTACCCAACATCGAACTCCTTGCTCCGCATCTATCTCGTTCGCAGTTGACTTGTCACGTCACCTTTGACCTGCTAGCGTATCGTTTACCGAAGTGCGAGTAGCGATTCTAGTTCGATCTAAGTCGATTCGAGTTGGTTGCTGACAAACTTGAAGTTGAACTTCGATCCATTGTCTATTTGCAGGTCGAACAAGTGTGTCTTCATTCCTTCCCTGGTAGTGGTAGCTCAAGGCTCAATTGCATCACCAGCCTATACCGCAGTGTCAGATTGCCCTTACCGCAGTCCCTGGCCTTCAGAATCAATGCGAGATTCTTCTGGTGCGTACTCAAGGGGTCCTCAAGGTCTAGCTCTCGGTACTGATGTCTCAGCTGGGACTGTGTTTGAGAATCCAAGGAAGCCATCACTGAATTGAACTCAGTTGCCACCTGTTCATTGGGTTTGCCACCTCGTTTCCTCGTGACGCGTCCATAAGTGTCTGCCTTTCGATTCTCTTTGTTCCATCAGTGCAGGGTCACTCATCAAGTGTCTCTCAGCGTGAATTGATACGGCACGGACATGAGCGCGACACTCCGATACTTAGTTTCACACTAAGATTGCATCGGCTGTTTAAGGGACGATTCAATGGTCAGTTCATATCCCATCCACAACATTATTTCAAAGTGACATTTGATGGCATTAGATACTCACATATTCACACCCGAGAATCACGATTCAAACACAAACAGAAGTGAACGTCGCGTAGAATGGCCCATCAATAATACGGTCTGTCATCAGCAATCGTATTGATAGAATAGTCTTCGTTCATATAGGCAAGACCCTGGGGCCTAGAGTAGGTTTTTTTTTTTGTTGGATCCTTAGCTGCGGTTGAGAGCAGACTTATTAAAAGTGTCGATAGCAGCCCATTGCAAATATCATGAATAAACCCTCCCACGCTCTCACAGAAAAGTACTACGCGAAGGATCGACACTGCTATGCTCTCTATACCCATTCAGCTTACGAGTTCCACTGGCTATTCCCATTGTCTCAACATCATCTACCAAGTCATATTCCAGATCTTGACCTAATGATCTGCACCTTTGCATCTCGTCCCTTGATCCATCCCCAAAACCAACCCATCCTTCCGGCAGATCACCTTTGAAAGTATCAGCCCTCAGATCAGATGCGGAGACCTCAGATTCTGTCACAAAGATCATGATTGGCAGTCAAGAACCAGTTGCAAATTATTCTAGGTCCGTCACCTATACTTTCAAATGTTTTCCTTTGTTAACAGGTGCCCTCACTTAGAACCGATCTCATCTCTTTAGTGTCCTCGGCTATAGGCAGATCAACTGGGGAGGTAGGTGCCTTGTCGGGATGCTTGTAGAGGCATAATTCAAGTTTGTTGCAGTATTTCCCACCCTGCTGTCATGGATTCTTTGGGTGAGCAGGTGGCCGCATTCCGAATGCAGACGACTGTCCAAAATCAGGGCGACCCTTCAAGATCTTAGTCCTCGATCAGACGAAATCGGTCATTTTCAAAAAAACCAATACTCAGGGTAAAGAATTATGGCATCGAAAACCGCTTTCATTCTGTTCCGAGCGCGTGGGGAATCCATGAGAAACCAAAAGTGTGGATTGTCATCGAAGCATTTTTGATTTGGAGTGGGCGGCACTTGGACAGGGAGCAATCGCCAACTTTATGGTTCCTTCAGATTAGGGGTGTTGGACAGCAGGTATCACACCCGCTCTCACGCCAAACGCTATATAATCACTGTGCAATGTCACCTCCAGTGCTCGCTCTCAATGGCTTTAATGACCTCGGCACCTTCACTCAGGGAACAGTGCATTGAGCACACCGACTACGCCTACTGCATCTGTCCACGCTTCCTCCCTGCTCGTGATGAGACTTGCCCGTATAATCTCATCCCCGCGTACCACTGCACATGTGGGCATGGTATTCACATGCACGTCGACTACCTCTCCCCAGTCATCCATCACTGTCCTCCGACTCACTGTGTAGCCTATGTTCAAAAGGTACTATCCTCATCGTCTTACTGTGTTAGAAGTCATGCTGATATACTAGCTTATCCTAGACTCCTCAGACGCAAGATTGTACCTGTGGAGCCCCCCTTGTGGATCATGTTGCTATCGTGAATTTATACAGATTACCTGCAGCTATCACCTACATGGGCGGTATTGGGAGCATTAGCCACCCTTTCTGCATCGATATGGCCAGCCCGTCCAACAACACGAATCTTACCCAATCCCCTCTGCCTGTCGCTTTCTATCCTTCTCCTGATGCCAATGCATCAGGGTCACAATTGGATGCCGTCCAGGAAGAATCTGATGTTTCTGATCATGACCAGAATCTGAATGGCATTTTTGATGGCGATACGAATGGGAATTTCTATGATCCCTCTAGCATGACACCGGTGGCAGATGCCTGAGCCGGCTTATTGGCCTAGTCACAACAATCTAACTTCCTTGTCTGTTCTTCCTCATGCATCACTTCCCAGCTCTCGACTTACTATCATCCAACATGTTATTTACGGTGTATGGGCTTCCAATCCATTGTATCTTCTCTTTTGCATCACTCTTACATATGTCAACAAGGTTCCAGAATTTCTCAGTGCAATTTATCACGAGCGATCTACTCATCTCATACATTTGTCAGACTTATCTTCTCCCGGCTTTCGTATCTGCTATCAGCGCTTTGTAGAGTACCCCATATTCTTATTTGAGCGATTCGTTCTTCACGCCGAAAATTACATGGCATCAACGTGAATATCAGGCCAAGTATCATGTGACCGTGTCGCAGCCAAGGGACGGAACCAGATCGATGATCAAGGCTGTGTCGAGAGGGGTCAGGACGGAAAAGGGACCGAAACAATATCGGTCTGCATCGCCGAATTCGGTGCCGGGGTTAATCACTGATCTGCATGGACAGACACTAATATTAATATCAAGGGACCATCATCCACACAATCTATGCTTCAGAGTAGCTGATCAGCCAGAGAAACGATATCAAACATACTTAGATGTTGTTACATTAAAGTGATGATGGCTACAGTAACTTCAAGTTGGATCGCCACGGTGATCTTTGAAAAGGCCGGACCGCCGCAACCCCCACGACGAGATCTGGTGGGTCGTAGTCGTTGTGTTGGCAAAAGTAGGTAAGCGATAAAGAACCAAGGTGCTTCATATCATATCAGCCAGTTCCTTTAAACGCAGCTGGTTGTTGTACGTCAGATGGATCCCGGCGGTTCATTCAACAAAAGGCGCCACGTGGCTGGAGCTGTCGTCAGAACTTGGACGCGTAGACGAGTAATGTTATCGGTCGGAAGTGCAGTTTGGAAAGAGTTTGTTGGACAGCCGGAAGGTGGGCAGAGTTGGAAACATTTCCTTGACCTGTGCTCTTATCTCGCGAAGGCGGATCATCCACGGAGTACACATGCATCTGTCATTAGTTTGACAGAAAATGGCCCAAGTCTGGCAAATTGGTGTGAGATATGTTCAGCGAGTAGTCGATGTCATGAAACGCATGTATCGGATAGATAGAAGACTTGGTTCATTCGAAAACTGCAGCGATGTGTATCCTGCCAGTCGGTTTGAGTACGTAGTTGTAAAATATAAAGTCGGCCGCTTACGGTGCTATTAGACGTGGCGTTGCTCCTACAAAGCGGTTTGGGCAAGGGAGAGAAGGGTGGCGCCAATAGTTGACATTGACGAGAGAAACGCCGGCATAAAACACTGAGCGTCAATCTCTTATCTCATATCAACCCACAAGGACCTGGTTTCCGTCCGTACGCTGGGGATGTCATGATGATGGATTGGGGGCCTATGATAGAAAGCGACCAGAGTCATTGGCGGATGACTTGAAGGAAGATAAGATCCGGATGAGGAAGAGCGGAGGAATGATGAGACGCTAGGTGGCACCAGTGAACAAGCGAAGATGGGAAAAGGACAGCGACGTACTTCCTGCAATAAGTGCGGGGTAGGGAAACCCATCGGGATGGGTGAAGTCCAGGCAGAAGTATCCTCCCTCCAATATCCAAGTCTTGGTAATATGTCGCCCATGAGCAACGACGGCAGCATCCATACCCCTCGTAACCGACGAGTCCTGGGATAGATGATATTCCAACGCCGATGAGATGTGTTGGATGCTGACTCGGGAGATTGCGCATATCAAAAAGAGTCGAAGTGAAACCGCTAATCCTGAGGAAAAGCGACGAATTCATGAAGCGTTGATAGCGACGAGACATGACCGAGTAGATAATGGGGAGTGCATGCGGTACGAATCGACTGGCGGTAGACGACAATGACCGGAAGAGGCAGAGCGACGATGCGATTGCTGGCTCCTTAGGACCCTCAGGCCTCATCAACCAACGGTTCCCTTCCATCGTGACTGTTACGTGGTCATCGCGCGTTGGGCATCCTACCAATGAATGCACGATCTTGGCTTAACGTTGGTCCAGCGCGTTAAAGTGTTGGAAATTCGGCTGGAACGACTGAGAGCAGCACTAAGCAGCACTAAGCATAGACGTTCACAAATGCACCTTCCAAATCAAGTCAAATTGGATGTTCAATTACATAATCCGGTTTTCCTGTTTCATTGTGTCACTATGAAACACTAAGCCCACGGTGCCCAGATCTCGATTTCCTTCCTCATTTTACTTTCGTTACAACTACCTCGAACTTAAAATGCACCGAAAAACCCAAGTGTCTATCGCCTTCCATTCTTCCAAGGCAGCTCATCACTCTCGGTGTCTTCAATGATCTTGCCGTCTAGTGGAAGGTGCAACCAAGCCACTGTCAACATCCTGTACTGTCAATGTCAATGGTTCTTCCCTCCCGAGTCCCCCTTGCTAGACCAGGTAGACTCTCATTTGCCTTCATCCATATTCTCGTGTTCATGCTCCCAGAACATCTGCGGTCTCTGTGGACACGGTATTCACGCCCATGTAGACTATGTTTCAACGGTCGTCAATCATTATCCCGCGAATCAATGCGCCGCGTACGTCCAAAAGGTGTGCTGCTCTCCACTCTGCGTAGCATCCGGAACTCACGAGGCTTTCACTTCACTAGACGCCTCTGACACAACGTTGCACCTGTGAAGCGCAGTTTTACGAGCACGTTGCTATTTATAACTCGTATCGTTTCCCGGAGCCATGGACTGTTTTTGACTTGTTCGGTCAGCGCAATAACAGCTCTTCTCTCAGTACCACGAGCAGCTACTACTCCAACGGCGCTAACGCCACCATTCCCTTTACTCCCACACCCGTTTCCTCTCCTTCTTCCAGTAGCATCTCGTCTGCTTTTCAACCGGATACTACCCAGAACTTCCCGGGAGGCTATAGCTCAGACGGCTACTTCATTCAGTATCCAGACCATTTCATTAGCTCACCTTATGCTGGAATGCTGGTCTGCCAGAGGGTAACGCAACGAACGGGAGTTTCGAATACCAGGATTACGGGAACCCGACGTATGCTTCCTCCCCTGAATCCTGGTCAGGCTCACACGGCGCTTGATCCATGTTAAAGACACCGTAATTCGTGTCTTCTCCCTTTCCTCCCTCACGGTGTCGGGATCGTTTCATCGATTCCTCATTGTTGCTATGCTTCTATTTCTATGCCACCGATTTAGCTCGATCCCAGTTCTATTTCTGGCGATCGATTATATGCACTCCGCTTTCCGTTTCTTTTCTTTTCTCCCCACTCGGATCTTCCCTCACCAATCGCCAGTGCAGGACCTCAACTTCCAATATCCCCAGTTTCAGTTTTGATTTCCGTCGCGCTTAGTACGTTTCATTTTCTCCTTCTTGTGTTTGTCATTGGTTCTATGTCGCTATTTTTTGTCTTTGGTCTGTGATATATCTATTACGCGTTAGCTCGTTGAATATCTGAAATTGAATTACTAACATTAGGTCCAACATCACCGACAGGTGTGTTCACAAACCCTGGTATAGCAGTAGAGAGCTAGACTCGCTAGCCAGTCGACGTTCGCAAGCTTACACCTCGTAATGCAAACTCCGTATACGGTTGTTTGGTTGTTTGGTGAAGTTTGACATGTTTTGACGTGAAGAAAAAGTGATAGCGCAGCCACGTGGGTGAAACGCCGGCTGGTAAACGAGCCTAGTAGAGAGCAGATGTTGCCGCCACTCGAAGTTCTATACATAAATCCGTCCTTTTTTCAACCTTTTTGGAATATCATACGCGTCTTCGACCATTCCCATTGAAGAGCGCGTTATCTCACATGGTACTGGATCCGAGTATCCCGATCAGCTGCAATTAGACTAAATGAAAATAATTAGAGCATCAGAGATAAGCATGCGATGAATAAAGGCAATGTCGGAAGGAGGGTACAGAGTTGGCGGCGAAACAAGCCTACACACGATGGTAACAGAATGGCATGCACCACAGGTAAAATGGGTCAGCCGTAGGAGGAATCGATATTAACCTGTACTTCGTCGGTCGATGTTCCGGACTTCCGGTAATACAGACACCATCGATAACGGTAGAGGCTGTATTTCGTCATCAATCACCAATAGCAGCGACGTAATTCGGAGGCTAGAAGCCAGGCGGCGTAGACTCGTAGCCGGCGACAGCACTAAACGAATAAGGCGCGGAAAAGTTTAAATGAGTTGGTGGATGGTCTCCAGGATATTCCAATGGTATGATGGTGCTGGTATCGTGGCATGGGCCTGCCAGAGCACGGAAAGAAACGATGAGATCCGGAATGGGGTCTACGATACCACCACTTGCAGAACAAGAGGAAACGGATGTAGCAGTGAGTGGTATGTTCGTCGCGTTGTCGTGAACAGGTGCTTGGTGGTAATGGAAGGTGATGAAACCTCAGTCAGAATGAACATCCTCGAAGTTCGGATCCTGATGGAAGGCTGATGAGAGTAAGCATGCATAGACTAGAGCCTTTTCGTGAATCCCAAAAAACAAGCGCCGGGAACAAGATTCGAACAGTGAGGAGAAATTCGTTGAATAAGTCGCTAGAACTGGAAGGATGCAGTTGCCTGTTGTGGTCACGACAGTAGAGACGTGGAAAAGATAGATGATACAGGGAAACCCGGATGACCTGAAAATGACTCGTGGCAGGTCGGACGGGAATAGGATCGCGCTCAGCCAACAGAATGATGACAACGCTGGACCAGGAGTGCCTCCAACGTGTTTTCGGAGTAGTGAAAGGGTAAAGAGGCAGCCAGGCGGCGCAACATGGGCAAAGATATTGATGTTCTTTGCTCATCTCTGCGTCAAGCATTCCCGCTTCCCTGCAGCAACTTCTCCCACTTCAAATACTCCATCTGTCCGGTATATGTGGACGTGACCGTCAGAGTCTGCACTCCAGCATGGCGGAGTGGGGCGTCCTGAGCCACCAATAGATCGTTTGAACCTACAGACTGGGTGGACCAAAAACACGGAGCACTGGTGTCGGCAACAATTCTGGAAAGGTATCCATGAAGCTTCGAGCGCTGCATACCGTCTGAGCAGCGTCATAGTTTCAATCTAAAAAATGCCGGTCAGTTAGTCCCTGAAATGCAGACTATATCGGCGGGACGTCACCTTCTCGTTTCCTATACCGCAATGACCTGAGCCTGGGCTGGGGGCGAACACCATCGATAAGCGCCACAGGTGATGGATACCGGCGACAACATTGAGAAAAGGATCATAGGCTGGCGGGTAGACAACAATGACTAGGATTCAACACCTTCATCGTCATCGCCAACCATGGTTGGCAGACCTCCGTATCCTCATAGTTGTTGATAAGGGCGTCCCAGAGAAGGTGGTATTCCAACGTGTGAGGTCTTGATGGGCGGCAGGTGGTCGGTTGCATAGATCGTACATTGCGGGAGAGGCGAGCGTCAGTGAGGAGAGGAGCCTTCTTCAAAGTCTCGTGCCACACATCAATGAAAACATAACGGGCAGTCTTATCTGAAAGAAAAGTCTTATAGAGAGAGATGAGGTCCGTCATTTCCAACAGCTGAATTAAACTTACAGAGTGGGCAGGCCAAAGGGTCGGAGCACTTAGTAAATTTGGAACTGATCACGACGGGATTCATGCAGCTTTGACAGCAGCATGATGTAAGAGAACAGGATGCAAGAAGAGCATGAATCGGCTGGTGGGCACATAGGGATGACTAGAAGGGACATCAGCATGTTCCTACAGTACGATTTTGCAAAAAGCACTGACATCGTGGAGGTGCGCACGAAGGAGCGATCACGTAGCGCTTTGATCGACCATCAATGCTCCGGCCGTCATATGTGGACGTCATTCGCGTGGACTACCTTGAAGACGTGTGGTATCGTCTGCTCGAGAACACTGGAAAGGAAGAGGAAGGAAGGGAAATAACAGGATCCATGGATAACCGGTCAGGATTTTTCCACGCTCCCCTGAAAAGGAAATCCTTCCTATGGAATGATCCACCCGAGGACATGGGTTGATAGTAGATACTCCGGGGACCTCGTTAATGCCATTACCCATCATGCCATGGTAGCTGTAAGACTTTGGCGTCAATGTGAGAGATTCCGATCTCCCTGATTTTACTTCACTGCAGCTACTCCAGACCTTAAAAATGCGTCATGACAAACTTCATCCTCTATTGCCCTCTCTCCTGCCGGTGCTGCACTTTGCGCCTCACTTTCAACTTAAATGTCTTCAATTGTCTTGCCATCCAGAGGACAGTGCATCCAGATCACTGTCAACAGCCAGCACTGCCAGTGCCAATGGTTCTTCCCTCCCGAGTCCCCCCTGCTAGGCCAGGCAAGCTCCCATTCACCTTCACTTATATTCTCGTGTTTACGTTCTCTCAGAACATCTGCGGTCTCTGTGGACATGGTATTCACGCCCATGCAGACTATGTTTCGACGGTGGTTAATCGTTGCCCCGCAAATCAATGTGCCGCGTATGTCCAAAAGGTACGCTGCTCTCCACTCCGCGCGGTATCCTGAATTCACAGCGACTTGCATTGTAGACGACTCTCACACAACTTTGCACCTGTGGAGCGCCATTTTTCGAGCACATCGCTACCGATAACACCAAGTATTATTTGCGAGAGCCATGGACTGTTTCGGACTATTTCAGTGCAAACAGTAATGTCTCTTCCACCTCGGACAACTATGCCTACGACGCCAGTAGCTCATTTGACCCGAACACCAGTTCCCTTCCTTCCACCGATTACAACCCCACTATTTCTTTTGGCGACGCAAGGAGCCTACCCTTCACTACTCCTGAACCCATCTATTCTCCTTACGCCAGCAACACTTCGTCCGCTATTCAACCCGATACCACCCTGACCCCGGGAGGTTATAGCCCCGATGGCTACTTTACTCACTATTCAAACCATCTCGTTAACTCACCCTATGATCGTCAGCCAGAGGGTGGCACGACGAATGGGAGCTTCGAATACCAGGATTATGGGAACCTGATGTACGCTGAAACCCCTGGAGCCTGGTCAGGCCCATACGGCGCTTGATCCATGGTGAAGACATCCCATTCCTGTCATCTTCCTTTCAACCTCCTCCGACTCTTCGTCGTGATCACTTTTTCTCTCCCTCGTTGTAACAATTCTTGTTATTTCTATGCCATCGATTCTCGATCCCAGTTCCATTAGTTGATCGATTATACGCACTCCGCTTTCTGTTTCTCCCCCTCGGATCTTCTCTCGCCAGTCATCATTGTGATGCAGGACCTCAATCTTTAATGTTCTCGGTTTCGTTACACTCAGTTTGATGCAGTTTTCCTTTGTGCTACGTTCCGTTTTTTCGTTTTCTCTGTTGTATTTTGCTATCATTGTTTTCGGCTCCGGTGTATGGTATATCTATTACCTTCATAGCGTTCACTTGTCGTTGTTCGTCTGTCCTATCGTTTTGTAATTGCTTTGGAAATGAATTATTATCTGATCGCACACCATTGGCTAGTGCTACTAGGATACATATATCGATATAACCAAGCCCGTCAAAGATAACATACCACACACTCGGGAGTGGTTTCGTCGTCATTACAGTCACACTGGTAGCTGAATTCAGCGCCGAAGGTACGGAAATCGGGCACGCAAAGGCAAGGAAAATAGAAGGTACACACGCATGTATCATAAGAATCAAGATCCAATCTGCAATCTGACAAGAAAGAGAGGTACGACAGTCCAGCACCGCTCGAAATCCCATACGAGCGTCGGCCAGTCCTGAGCATGCCGTTCGGAGAGAAAGCGCGTTGCGATACTAGCAGAGTTTTGGGGGGTAGCAAACTTAAGCACATTCCTTGGGGATGCTTGGAGCTGTAACTTGGGGGAGGAAGAAAAGACGCATTCGAAGGCCTCACGTCGAGGGTCAGTACAAACATATGGCGAGGCAGTTGCATACCGAGAAAAGGCTGATAGAACGAGATAAGGTCCATCTTCACCAATAGGTCATCTGAACTTAGAGAGAGCCGGTGGACCAAATACTGGGAGAAGTGGTGTGAACACCAATCCTGGAGACACATTCATGCAACTTTGACTGTGGTAGCCGTCTGGGCATCGTCATACTGTACCATTTCGATCAATTCGAATGCAATCCAAGAATTTTCGACCAAAAAAAATTCAAAAGAAATCGGAATAATCGAGAAAAAATCATTTCCGTTGCCAGATTTTTTCGCTGTGACGCGTGACATTCGAATTGAACGAAATGGTACAGTAGTTTCAATCTGAAAGATGCCAGTCAGTTATCCCTGAGGTGCAAACCGTATCGGTGGGACGTCACCTTCTCATTTCCTGTACCCTACATTCCAGTGACCTGAGTCTCTTCAGGGAGGACGAACACCATCGATAAGAGGCGAACATGGTGCTTGGTGGTCGGATTGCAGCAATACAAGTCGGAAGCCAAAAATCACGAGACATGGTCCTGTGCCGGCGACGGCATCGAACGAAAGAGGCATGGGCTGGTGGCTGGGTGACGACTGGAAGAAACAACGATCATTGTCGACGCATTCCCGATACAGGAACTTGATGCGTAGAAAGCAACGAATAAAGTCTGGGCTCCGGCAGTACTGTAAGTGCTAGCGCTCTCCCGGCCCTTCAACACCCTCGTCATCGCCAACCATGATTGGTAGACCTCGTTGCCCTAAGGGCATAGCCGTAGGCGTCATTGTATTTGGCGCCGTGATGCAGGTGATCCCTTACGGTGGTAAGACTAAGCGCGGAAAGAGAACGTTTGTCATCCTCACGTGCTTTGACCGTATGCAGAGTGCTTACCGGCAAGTACTTCAACTTCAACATCAATGGCCTGTTTGCGGCAGGTCGAGCAAGTGCGTATTCTGTGGTAGTGGAAGCCCGAGCCTCATTTTTTTCCAGCTGCTTATACCAGTGCAATTCGTTCCTCGCGCCAAAAAATTGCATGGCGCCAAAGCGAATATTAGGCTGCGAATCATGTGATCGTGTTGCGCATGCCGGGATCGATCATCGATCAAGCCTGAGGCTGGGTTGAATTCCAGACCGAGCAGCAGGCGTGAAAATTTGATCTCCTTTAAAATAGTATCCCGCTTTGTTCGACCATCACCTACTCAACCCCGATTCTTCATCTCCACGTTACTCCTCAGCCGTCGTCTCAGCGTTTTCGTTTTCCAGAAAGCGGCAACACTGGGACCCAGACTCAAAAAGTTCTTCAATCTCGATAAAATATTGCATCGTACGGAGAATGTGATGGTTTGAACTTTGGAGTTGTGGGGTGGTGGTCGCGATGCGGCACAGAAAGACAGCAGTGAAAGAAAACCGGAACGAACACGTCCAACGCTGGAGAGCCGCGTGGACTGAATCAAGAGATGGGACGGCGGGGTAATATCCGCCGGGGGTAGGGACAGCTTGAGCAGACATACATTCATCTTCTTGTTCATCGACCTTTGCGTTGACTCCATCAGCACCATCCTCCGCATTCATCGAGTAATTGATCAAGACATGATGTCCTGCGCGATCATAAATAATCGGCCTCTGGGCGCTTAAGCCGGTATCACGCACAGCGTCAGTTGTCACCGAGATATGACACTGTCGTGGTGGTATGAGTGACTAGACAATAGACGGGGAGTGCAATGGGATTCATTCCGTGCATACATGATGCCGCATAAGAAGAATGCCATCGTAATGCTTTCTATTTAGATAGCGCCTGCAAGGCAAACCCATGAAACATGAATTATGAATGATTTCGAAACTGAGTGTGAGGTCGATGCCAACGATCCCCAAATGCGTAAACCCCAACGCCAAAAAGACCTGGTCGGCAGGCGGAAATGATATCGACGAAGGACCAAGCGGTAGGATGAACGCCATACCATCATTACATCAGTATAGATGGGTGTGGCGGATAGGGCAGGGGATCGGATCCGCCCGAGGAATGTAGTTGTAGTGTGAGAAGATTATTGGGAAGAGGCGGTACAGACGCCGAGAACGTTCTTGGACGACAGTGTAATAACACATGATTGAACAGCGGAAGGGCGACGCTGGAATCGCACGGGACCACGTATGATATGAGTTCGTGGGGACCAGCAATAGGTGAATGAGAAATGGGCGCATCAGACCACTGCAGAGGAGATGGACCTCGCAGAAGCAAGGAGAAAGAACAGAAAGTGACGGAAAAATAGGCGGCGATGGCAAACTAACGAGAAAGGATAACGCTATCCTCCCCATAACGAGTGCGGGAGAAAGAGAATCAGAAGGACACGTAGGCAATGCAGCCTAGCTCGTGGGACCCCCTAGTCGAGATATGTCATCCAGACGGAGAGACGAGTAACTCGCTCCAAGCATTCTTCTTCTGCATCCAAGTCCGCAGTGTGTCGCTCAAGAGCAACAACAGCAGTATCTTCCCCTTCCATAGCCGACGATGAGGATATCCTGGGAGAGATGGCATTACAGCACTGATGAAGTGTGTTCGGTCGATAATGGTGACTTTGGAGGTTGCAGAGACCATACATGGCGCGAGAGCCAGACTCCGTTGAGGATACTCGATGGACCTTCTTGTAGGTCTAGTGCCACGCGTCGATGAGGGGTAGCATGAACATGTAGCGGCCTTGCGCAGGAAAGAGTCTGATAGAAAGAGATGAGGTCCGTCATGACCAATAGCTGAGTTGAACTTACAAATGAGCAGACCAGAAAGTTGGAGCCCTTGAGTTGAACCGATCCTGGGAAAGAGCAATGCGATTTATCAAAGCCGAGTGTCGTAGGGTATGAATCGGCTGGCGGGTCGATGATAACCGGGAGACAGCAATGGCCGTCATTATATTCCTGTAGTGCGCTGACGTTGCGGATGACGCTGGTATCGTGGTACGGACTAGCTGGTGCAAATCAGAGAGTGGCGATGAGACGAGCAAAGGAAATAGACACGCTGCCAGTGAGAGAGGACCGTCATCCCCAGAGTAAGCAAACGGTGTCGAAGGAGGTGTACTCAGCACAGCGCATGTGTGAAGATATCATTCTCTGCTCGTCTCCACTGCACATAAAGATCCACGCCAACTCTCGGGCCTCTACCAGCTCATTTCTCCTTCATCACTCGGAGCCGTCACGGTTGCTTCCAGCGTCGGTACGGGCATTTCCAGCAGACGGTCAATGATACCTTGAGCAAACCTCAAATTTGTATTATGTGCAGGACCATATTTTGCCGGTCGTGTCCAGCGTTCTGCCAGAGAGCTGGAGGCTCAGAGAGGTGTCGTCCAGGAGGATACAGCTGGGGACAACAGAGTTCAGGATATTCCGCTGCTAGATCCTAGTCTCGCTGGACCACATGCACAAGCGAAAAGCAAAATGTGTCGTTGCATGAACGCCGTATGAGCCGCTCGTGCCAGAGGACGGTAAATGTCGATTCCGCCAATCGGGATGGACGGCAGGGTGCCGGTAACAAACCGATGAATACGGAAATGACCTGAAATGACAAAAGAATTCAACCTAATGCCAGAGACCTGTCCATTACACACCCCGCATTTGCCCCTATTTGCGTCCTGCGATGTGAACGTTGTTCGGCAAGCGCCGAACGGGGCTGAGCGCTAATATTTGCTGGAGGCATCATTCTCGGACCTCCTCTAAATTTAACATCTACTGCAGCTACCTTAAAAACGCGCCATGGAAAACCCCAACCTCTGTCACCTTCTCTCCTACCAGTCCAGTGCTCAGCGCCTTACCTTCGATGTCCTCAATCGTCTTACCCGCGTCTAGAAGACAGTGCATCCAGGTCACTGGCAACCTCCAGCATTGCCAGTGTCTATGGTTCTTTCCTCCCGAGTCACCCCTGCTAGACCAGGTAGGCTCTCATCTACCTTCATGCATATTCTCGTGCTCACGTTCTCCCAGAACATCTGCGGTCATTGTGGACATGGTATCCACTCGCATGTCGACTACGTTTCAATGTTTGTCTATCATTGCCCTGCGATGAATTGCGCTGCGTACTTTCCGAAGGTACAATATACTCTTCGACCGTCGCATCTCAAAAAATGTTCATGCATCTCATCGTAGACATCCCGGGTTCAAGCATGCACATGTTCAGCATCTCTCATTGAGCATATACCTATCTGGAATGCGCATCGTTCGTCTACACCTCTATCCTACGGGGTGGATGTTGGCAATAGCCCCCCTTCCAATGCCAACACATTCACCGGCGACGCGACGAACATCCCATTTACTCCAATACCCATGCCCTCTCCTTCCACTAACGCCAACCCATCCTACTCTTACGGTAACACAGTGATCCTCGCACCTACCCCGCAGCCTATCACTCAAATGGCCATCACTCAGATCGACGCCTATTCCCACTCACAAGTGGAGAATTCTTACATTGCTCAGTACCAGGACGATAATTTCCGCGCTGATGTCCTGGACTCGAGCGCGATATCAGACCAGGATTATTCGATTGTGAGCTACAGCGCGGCGCATGGAACGGAAACATAGGCAGGTCGATTCAAATAGGTATCCGCGAGAAGATTCTATCATTCAGCTCCAGTTCTTTCATCTTTTGGTCTATGCGTCATAAATACGTCTGTAAACACAAAATGTATATACATCTTGGATATCGTCTCGTTTTTTGCTGCTTAGGGTACCCGTCTGTCATATTTGTCGCTTTGCTTTGCTATGAAATTATATGTGTTTTATTATTTAATGCAATGAATAAAAAAAAAGTATTCTTGCCATGAGCCACAATACTGCTTCAAGTGGTCTGGGTGATCGTTGGGTGCATAGTTCCTTTTAGGCCCTCGTATCGTCTTTTCAAGCCTAGTCAAACAAAAACCTCAGGTTTAAATCCTGATGGAAGTTTCGTGAGAGCAAGGATACACAGAATAGCACCTGTTCTTACCTAGGGACTACGATAGAAGTACGTTGTCTTGTCGATAAATGGGCAATACCATCCCCACCAGACGAGCGGGTCAATGATCTCGTAGCAGAAGCCAGTAGCCATGGCTGCACTGGTATCCCGCTTCACTCTCATCGTCATGTCTTCAATATCCGGTCTTCCGTGTGCTTCTATGACAGCTCTCCCTGTGGTCGATGTTGGCTATGAGGGGGGGACGCCTTCAGACAGTATCTTCGCATGCGTTACCCTGATTTTACAGTCCTTCGGACCCACCCTGACGTGTGCGCATGAATCCCAAGCTTGGCAGTGGAAGGTATGCAAGAGTGCCGAATTAACATTGAAGGAATCGAGATGATCGCCATCCTGAGAATCCGCAGAGCTTTGGACCGCATTGGCGAGGGTCAGAAGAATACGGCGGATAAGCTAGGGATCAACCTATGCAGAGTGAGAAGGTTGCTGAGAAGAGACAATCAAGGCGCCGAGGAATGGCTTCGGATGATAATGCGGCGCGTTGGTCGGGATCGCACAGGGTCCAGAATATGGAGAAAGGATCTGAAAGACAGTAGGCGATGCCGCCTGGCCCATGGGAAGACGAATCCGTCGAATTGCTGTGGTCCAGGCGGAGATAAGGATGGCATCTTGCTCCAAGCGTCCCCACCAATATCGAGAACTCCTCAATCACTGTCCATAAGCGACGGTGGTATTATTTGGTCCACCGTAGCCAACGATGAGAATTCCGGGGGAAAGATGGAGTTCAGACACTCGAGGTCGCGAGAATTGGGCTAACGGTGAGTCGGGAGGTTGCCTACACCAGAAACTGTGGTGGGATAGACGGAATTCCTTGAGGAAGGAAACACGCCTTCTTGCCGCACGTAGGCGAGGGGGAAATGCAAACGTATGACGGGGAAGCCTCATCTAGGAATATACCTTGCGATGAGGCACGAGTCATGGTCTCCACGATTCGACGAATGCATTCATTGTCAAGAGTTCATCCCTGACGATGTATGGGTAGCGCTCAGTCGGGAGTAGCACTGTCGAAGGTAAATGACAAATGGACGAAGTCACTGTCAACAAAAGATTGAGAAACATTGGCAGCAGAAATAATGAAAACTGACATCTATCAAAACTTCACGCATCCGTCTTTCATATAACCTCCCGTTGAAGTGAGATCCAAAAAGAGTTGAAGAGCCAAATGAAAATTGGTGGTAACCAGGGAAGCCAGTGGATGGCTCGAAGCAAGAAAAGATACTTGATAGAACGGTAGGCGGCAGCGACGTGGATGAACAACGGGCATCGCGTGGAGAATTGAGCCAAAGCGCATACTCTCCTCCCATCCCGAACAAAGAATCGCAGTGTGCGATCCGCTATGGCTTTTCCCGTTCCCGCTCTGCGAGCACCATTCATGAGCCTCCCTGTGGATTCTCGTGGCGGACTTCTTCCATCGTAATGTCGTGGGAGTCTCGAACCAAGATAAAAACGGTTGTCATGAAGAAGTGTCGATTACCGAAATGTCCTATAGAGGGTGAGTAGCGCTTAGTCGGCGAGCAAAAATACCCGAATATCTTCCTGGAGAATAGATATTCAGATCAAGAAGAAAGTTCAAGACCGTCTAGCCTACTACGTCTGATGAAAGCGCTTGAAAGTGTGTTCAGCGAGGAGGAGTCGTGAAAAAGGTGATTTTCATGCAGAAATAGGTCGACATAGAGCTCTCGGCTCTAGGGACATCGATGGATGGCAGTGAAGAGACTTGGAGCAGGATGGGACCTAAGATGAGAAAGACGTAGAGCGATAGAGCAGCGAATGGTGACAATGAACGGAAGGACGAAACGTGTTACGTGAGTACTCAGTACTCAGTATCCACGTCTTGAAGCCTTGAGGCATTGAAGCTTGCGGCCTTGAGGGCAGGTGACAGGGACCCGTTTTATACTGTTCTATTTATAAATTATCAATTACCATAATCATCATCATCATCATTACACGGCACGGTGTCTTCAGGCACGCCATAATAATTGTAGCCGGATTCTGGTTGATGTCCCTGAGAGTAGGGTCAGGAGAGGACGCAACGCGGCGTTGTTGGGATATTTCTCTCTTCTTCCTACTTGCAGGCTCCGGCTATAAAAGCCATCAAGATGCAGCCCAACCTCCATCGCCTTTATCCCTTGCTGTACCTAGCAGCTCATCTCCAATGTCTTCTACAGCGATTAGGGGACAATGCACTGAGCACACGGACAACGTCTTCTGTCTGTGTTTACGTTTCACTCCTCATCGAGATCCATCGCACTGGCTTACTCTAGATCAGGTACAGAAACCTTAGTCCAGTATTATCCCGTATACCATCTCACATTGAACCTCCCACTGCCAGTCCCGCTGCATGTGCGGCCATGGCATTCACGCCCATGCCGACTACGTCTCCCTCATTGTTCACAATTGTCGTCCCACCCACTGTGTGGCCTACGTTCAGAAGGTTCCTCTCTCCGCCCCTCGTATCTGGAGTATTGCTGATGGGAACATTTCAATCTAGACGCCCAAGACACAGGAATGTACATGTTCGGCGCTTCTTTTTGATCATGTCCCTGTCGTCAATGCGTATCGTTCACCTGTGGCTGTCTCGTACAACCAAGGATCCTTCGTAGGTGGCGACCAGAGCATCGTATCCCCAACCTACACTATGAATGCACCCAGCTCTTTAAACGATGCGAATCCAGTCACCCTCATTCCTATGATTTCCTCACCAGATACCAACGCTCCCTCGCGTATCATTCAGTCAGAAGCTGACATCTTTGCCACTCATCAGCTTGATGGACATGATATGCAAGATGGCGAGGCGCCAAACGGAACTTTTGATTACTATCCGAATACCCATTATCCCGCGACACCTGGAGCAGAAGCATGGGTAGGACCTTACAGCGCCTAGCTATCAAAAATTCCCATTATGCAACCTGTTAGTTTTCCAGCTCTGTACGACGTACTGCGATATCGCCGCTGAATTTTATATCTATAACTGCCTGTCCAACCGTTATCTTCATCTCTTGTCGTTTGCTTCTGCGTTACGTTCATCAGATATATTTATAATATTTTATATATCAATGTCGTCGCTGGTCGATGTGTACCGTTTTGTATCCCTTGTATCTGCCTTTGAATTCAGGTATGTGCTGTCAGATTTTTAAGCGCTTTATTCTGAATAAGCAACTGCAAGCGCTTATCATAAGGAAACCCTGATACACATGGAGATAATGACCGATACTCGCCTTAGTGTACACGAAAGGTCGGTAATTGCATAGTCCAGGTGTTAAACCAACAGTTAGGGAACCTCGCGTATAAGTATGAATCAACAATTCCCGAAGTTGAATCGGTATGACTCCGACAGTTGCGCGTCGCCAGAATTGGGTCGTACTAGGCGGGGAAGGCGATGTTGGGAAAAGTTTCCTCTTTCTGACTTGCGTTCGGTCGTCATTTGTGCGATTCCGCCGAATCCCCATAAATGCATCGACCCCAAGTTTGAAGGATGCGCAATGTTGATACACGGAGAATCGGAGTGATGGCCGGCAAGCGTCGAGATAACAGCCCAGAGCGTATGAAACCGTGATCCTAGAGCAAGACAATAGATGGGAAAAGGCACTGGAAGATCCGTTTCGAGGATTAACGGAGCCGAAGATGATACGGAATCGTAGCAATTGAAACCAGGTATGCAGTGACGTGTTTACGACCATCAATCCCTTACAGAATCAGCCTGAGATGAGGGCCTAGGAACGGCAATGAGAGACATTTAGATAGCTTGAAGACGAGTGGAATCAATTCGAGAAAGGTATTCATGAAGCTTCGACCGAGGCGTGGCTGTGTGGGCATCGTCATAGTTTCAATCTGAAAAATACTGGTCAGTCATCGCTAAAATGCAGACCGTATTGGCGGGACGTCACCTTCTCATCTCCTGTATCCTACATTCCAATGACACGGGCCTTCTCGGGGAGGAAGAACACCGTCGATAAGCAGTAAGGATGGTGGTTGGTGGTCCGATCGCAGCAATACAAGTCAGAGGGCAGAAATCAAGAAACATGATCCCATACCGACGACAGCACTGAATGGAAGAGATATGGACTGGTGGATAAACGACGACGACTGGAAGAAACAGCGATCATTCTCGATGTATCCCCATGATACAGGAACCTGGTGCGTAGAAAGCAACGAAAAAGTCTGGGATCGGACGGTAGCCGCTAGCGCTCTCCCCGTCCTTCAACATATTCGTCATCATCGCCAACCATGATTGGCAGACCTCGGGATCCTAAGGGCATAGCCGTAGGCATCATTGTATTTGGTGCCATGATGCAGGTGATCCCTTGCTGTGGTAAGACAGCGCGGGAAGTTCGAAGAAAGAATGTTTGTCATCCTCACGTGCATTAACAGCATGCCGAGTACTTCAATGGCCTGTTTGCGGCAGGTCGAACAAGTCTTATACCGGTGCAATTTGTTCCTCGTGTCAAAGATTGCACTGAATAATAGGCTGTGAATCATGTGATCGTGTTGCGCATCTGGGGAAGAAATCCGATCCGGGATCGATGATCGATGAAGGCTGTGTCAGGGCGGGGTCGAGGTCTGAAAAGGGAGTGAACTCCGGACCGATGGGGACCCTGTATTGGCGAGCGTCAAAATTTGCGCCTAATGTTTGATCTCTCTAGATGCAGTATATCCCGCTTTGTTCCACCACCACCGACTCAACATTCATTCTTCAAAGCGCTGTTGCAGTTTGCTCCTCTCCCGCATCTGGCCTGCATCTCCGAGTCAGCAAGATTTCGTTTTCCAGAAAACGGCACTGGTACCCGAACTCAAAAAACCTCTTCAATCTTGATAGCACATTGCGTCGTAAGGAGAATTTGATGGTTGGAACTTTGGGGTTGTGGGGTGCTGATGGTCGTAATGCGGCACAGAAAGACAGCAGTGAAGGAAACCCGAAACGAATACGTTCAACGCTGAAGAGCCGCATGGGCTGAACTGAGAGATGGATACGGACGGCGGGGTAATATACACTGAGGGATAAGGATAACTCGAGAAGACATCTAGCCAGATTCTTGTCCTTCGATCCTCGCGTTCACTCTACCAGTGCCCCCCTCCGTCGCAATGCTTGCTCTTTGTTTAGGTAGCACCTGCAAAGGCAAACCCATGAAAGAAGAATTCTGAATGGACCTCGACATTGAGTGAAGTCGGTGTCCACAATCCTTGTAAATGCGTAAACTCCAAAAGACTTGGCTGGTGAGTAGAAATGATGTCGACGAAGGACCAAGGGGCAGGAAAAATACCGCGCCATACATCTTGGCGGGGTATAGATCAATCCGGCGGATAGGGAGGAGATCAGCCTGATGAACGTAATCGTGATGGGAAAAGATGCGGTAAAAATGGAAGATTTTCTTTGACAAGGCAAGAGCAACAAACGATTCGGCAGAGGGAGGGGTGACGCTGGAATCGCACAGGGCCAGATATGATATGAGTTCGTGAGAACATGTGAATGATGAATGAGAAATGGGCGCATCAGACCACTGCAGAGGAGACCGGCCTCGTAAAAGTGGGCCTGGATGAGAAAGAACTTGGGAAGGCGATGGGACAATAGATGGCGACAGCGAACCTAAGGAAAGGATAATGTCATCCTCCCCGTAACGAGTACGAGAAAGAAAGAATTGGAAGGGACAGGCAGGCGATGCCTAGCTCGTGGGAGCCCCCGGTCGAGATGTGTTGTCCAGGTAGAGACACGGGCAGTATCCCATTCCAAGCATACACCCGAGTCCGCGATGTGTTGCCTAATCTGAGTGACGACGACAGAGCATCTGTCCCATCCGTAGCGAATGATGAGGAGATCCTGGGGAAGATGACACTACAGCATCGGCGGGTGTGTGTTGGACCTGGTAACTCGAGGAGTTGCGCAGACCGTTTATGGCGTGAGAGGCAGGCTTCAGTGAGGACAGAGACTCAGGGGATTCTTCTTGTAGATCTCGCGCAACGCATCAATAAAGGACAGCACGAGGAGATGGAGGGCAGTCTCCTATGAGAAAGGTTCTGATAGAAAAAGATGAGGACCGTCATTGCCAACAGCTGCATTGAACTCACAGAAAGGGCAATTTGACAAGTCTGAACGCCCCAGTTGGAAATCGGTCCTGGAAAGGAGCAGTTCGATTCACGACAATGGCGGGATAGGCCGAGTAAAGAACGAAGTGTGGGTAGGATACGATTGGCTGGCAGGTAGGAAGACGATGGCCAGAAGAAACAATGATCATCGTCGGTGTATTCCCGTTGCAGATGGCACTGGTGTCCGCCAGGGAGTGACGATGGGGTCAAGCATAGGGTTCATCGCCTCTGTCATGTAGCCGTATCCACTGCACACAAAGATCCACCTCTGCTGTCGGGCCTCTACCACCACATTTCTTCATTAGGCGTCATTATCGTAGCCCTTGCTTCCACGGCCTGTGATAACTTGATCAATGAGCAAACCTTAAATTTGCGTTGTGTGCAGGATCGTGTTTTGATACGAATATTGGGTGGATCGTGCAGACGTGTCCACTGTTCTGCCAGAGAGCTGGAGACACGGGGAGCCATCACGCTGGCCAAAACCGGTAATCCTGAACCACCACACTTCCTTCCGATTCTGGACGGTTCGGCAGAAAGTTAAGCATTAAGAAATATATGGCGATGGCAGTTTGCTCGGCTTCTATTGGGAACGAACCTCGCCTCTTCCCAATAGAAGCCGAGCAAACTGCCATCACACTTGGTCAACATATATTTCTTCCGCTGCTGCTACTCTTAAAAATGGCCCATGGCAAACCCCAACCTCTATCGCCCTCTCTCCCGCCAGTGCTGCACTCAGCGCCTTACCTTCGATGTCTTCAGTTATCTTGCCTTCAAGAGGAAAGTGCATCCAAGTCATTGACAGCAACCAGTACTGCCAGTGTCTATGGTTCTTCCCTCCAGAGTCGCCCCTGCTAGACCAGGTAGCCTGAGGCTCTCATTCATCTTCACCCGTACTTGCATGCTTACATTCTTCCAGAACATCTGCAGTCTGTGTGGACACGGTATCTACGCACACGTCGACTACGTTTCAATGGTTGTCCATCACTGCTTTGCGACCAATTGTGCTGCGTACTTTCCAAAGGTACAATATACTTTCTGGCCATGGTATCTGAAATAATATTCATGCGTCTCGTCACAGACGGCCCGGGTACAAGCATGCACATGCTCGGCATATCTCATCGATCATAAACCTGTCCGGAATGCGCATCGTTCGCCTACGCCTCTTCCCTACGGGGCGGATGCATCCATTCATGACAATGGCCTCCCTTCCAACGTCAACACGTCCACCGGTGACACGATGAACATCTCATTCACTCCGATACCCATGCCCTCTCCTTCCACTAACATTAACCCATCCTACTCTTACGGCGACACGATGATCTTCACATCTACTCCGCAACCTGTTATTCAAATGGGTACCACTCAGATCGATGCTTATTCCCGCTCGGAAGTGGAAAATTCCTACATCACTCAGTACCAGGACCATAACTCCAGCGTTAACGTCCAGGACCCGAACGGGGAATTTCGCGAGGATTATTTGACTATATCCTACAATGAGGTGCATGGCACGGGATCCTGGGCAGGTCAACTTGAGTAAGTATTCGCGAAACAATTTTATCATTCGCCTCCAGTTCCTTCATCGTTCAGTGTATAAATTAACGCGTCATGGAAACGCCTGTAAACACAACGTGTATGTACATCTTGATATCATCTCGTCTTTCTTCTGCTTAGGGTACCGCTTGTCATGTTTATCGTTTTGCTTTGCTCTAAAATCATATGCGTTTTCTTATTTAATACAATGAATAAACGCGTTCAACACTTCATATGTCTTGAAATATCTTTGCTACGAGCCGAACATCTACTTCAAGTGTCGCTATATGTATCAGAGGAACTAAGTATGCTGGCTTCGAGTTCCTCATAGCCCTCACTCCATTTTTTCAGCTTCCATCAAATGAAAATCGAGTTACATCCTAATGGAAGCTTCATGAGAGGGAGTATACGCAAGATAGAGCTTTTTCTTACCTAGTTACCACGATAGGGCAACGTTGCATTGTTGATGAATGTGAAAAACCAGACGAGCAGGTCAACGGTTTCATGTAGCAGCTAGGCTAGTCATCACGGTCCCGCTGGTGTCCTACGTCACTCTCACAGTTGATCCCCTTCTTCGCCCCTCTAAGCTAACCAGCCCTTCCTTTTTCCCGAATCGATATCCGTAGCTTGCCTGAGCTGCGGGGGATGACTGCTTCAACGATACGCCGAGCAGGGATACGTGAATGCGAAACCGGGAAGAGATGTTTACAGTTGAAATGACGACCGGCCTGCTTCAAAGGGAAGGAGATGCTGTCGCCTTCGCCGTCCTGTATAGCATACAGCGAGGTGAAGGACGAATGCAGAGGATAGGAAAGGGTTGGCCGGAGGCGAAGAGAAAGGAGAGCGGCCATCACTAGCGTATTTGCAGAGTGAAAGGGTTGCGAGATGTGACTGAGGAGCAATAGCATAGGGTGTTGATGCAGGACATCAATGTGTTGAACCAGCGACGATGAGATCGAAGACTATCGCGTGAATGAGTGCCGATGGATAGCTTGCAAAAATCAAAGAAGACGGATTCTGCTATCGAAGTCATCAGAGACAAGCTGTAGAAAATAGCCATCAGCCTCCGGGCTCGGGTGGTCAGCGCTTCGGCACTGATTGCGAGAGCTAGGCCTTCGGGATGCAGACGGTACACCAGTGTAGACTTGTAATGGTGGTGGTGGCGGTCAGAAAATCTGAGGTGCGTTAACAGTCGTCAGTTCGGAGCGTTACTGGTGTCGTTGAGGGATATCTCGCGTAGATGAAGTCGATGCAGGGCACGTAAGCTCGGCCTGCGTTACGGGTGAAATTTTCCTTGGAGTGGCGGGGCGGACATCCCAGTCGCGCAACTATGGCGCAGGCTGTCCGAGCTCGAGAGGATCCCGTGGTTTAGCTTTTAGCCATCGTTACTACGTTAGTCACTAGTGCGTCGGCAATCACAGAAAACGTGACCTTTATGACGTCCTTCCTATCAGTGTATGTCAGCTCCCTTCAAAGCAATACTGAGGTCGCTGGAGAATCGGGATCGTGCGCGGTACCGGAAAGCCAGATTGCAGGGCCTTGATCACGAGCCACCGGTCCGGAACAGTCCGGAATCCCTTTGTTGACCACCATGACCAGTATCCGTAGCTCTTTGTCTCTTTCGATCTCAAAATCTCGAAACCGAAACCGATATTAATATGGGTTGAATTTCTGCATCTCAGCTCTCCGTGCCAACTGAGAAGTAGCGGGTGACGCTGAAGGGTTTGGTGGTGCTGGAGGAGATGATTCCGATGAGCTTGAAAGAAAGGGTGCCAGACTTGGAATGCGCTTTTTGATGTATACCTCGAGGTGCGATAATTATATTCATGCATCGTGGCTCATCCAACTAAATGTTCGAACGTTTACAGATGATCTCAAGCGCGTCAAGACCAAAACACGAACCATGGCGACTGCTTGAACTCCGGTTAGAAGGAAAACCTTGGGGCAGGTTTGTGGAGAAGAAACCAGCCAAAAATTCTCCCAGGTCCTACGTCGTCGACAAGCATACCCGTACAAAGTTACCAGTTTTACCCAAGAACGATTGCAAATGACGCGGAAGGGACCTAAAAGATTAGTGAGACTAGGTCAGGCTTCCGTGCTCTGTACACAAAAAATCAGTATCATTCTAATCTTACATATTCCTAGATCTCGGCTAGTCGTTCCCCCTTGATAACCCGAAATCGCTATAGCGACGCCATGACCAGTCCCGGTCAGCTACCCCCAAATCCTCGACATCGGCGATTCTGGTCCTCGCCTCTGCGTTGTCCAAGGCATGACGGCAGTAATCCCCCCACTCTCACTGCATGAGAGAATTTTGTCTGTGCCCGCGTTGACGGTTTTCCAGAGCGTCCTGGGAACTTCTTATTCGTTGGAGAGGTAGGAAACTTATCCTCGAAGTAACCACTCTATGCCGAAGAGCGCCAAGAACATGATCCCCTTCCCAAGGAGGAACCTTTCCTCCAAGCACCCTCAGGGTTCTTTGCCTTCACCCACCACGGTATTGTTGGCAACTGTCGAACATGTGTTTTCTACTCAGATCTATCTTGAAAATCTCTACTTCCCATCGTTTCGACATAAACCCTCCGGCTCTCCAGATTAGAGATGACTGACTGTAGAGAGAAATACGAACTCAATGGTCATGCTGCGCACCCTCATATTCAGTGAATAATGGTTGTTTATGTTGCGATGTGATACTGGCCTACGATAATTCCTTCCTTGAGCCGTGACGACCATGCCTCGAGATACAGAAGGCTTTGCTTTGGCAAGAAAACCGTCAAAGGAATCTGTAGCAAGATGGCATGGAGAGTGGTAGAGCTAGGATCACGGACAGATTGCACGCTGAACTCGCATAACTGCGAGCCTTTAATCAGGATGGGGGACATGCACATGATACCATTCTCCATGCACGCCTATCATCGTTAGTCTATGCTACTGCCATCTATCCTTCCATCCAGACCATTTCCTTCGACCCATCTGCCGGCAATTCTAGTCATCACCGATTTCTATTCAGAATCAAGCACTTCCTTTCTGGATCTCACCTGAACGGGAACATATGAAAGACGGTACTTCTGATATACTGGTCAGTTTTCATTCTTCTCTTGCGCCAATGTTTCTCAATCTTAGTTTCTAGATACTGATCCAGTCCATTTATCTTCGACGGTGCTATTTCCGACTGAGCGGTGCTCACACTTGGTCGGGATGAAATATCGACAATGAATGCATTTGCGTAGGCACAGAAACCTTGGCCTACAACTTTGCACACTGTAATAAATCATACAAAATAATTAAAGCGATAGGGAAAGTGGCCGCTGATCTTACGGCATGGGAATAAACGACCTAGAACATCCCCTCGATTGGGTTGAGCGGCCATTGATAGGTCGGCCCACATGTTTCCAGTCCAGCATATCCAGTGAGCCGTGGATCAGTTTTGAGGTGCCGGTTCCTACTGGTGGATTTTGTACAAGGAAAGGTTGTTTTAACGGCTGGCATGAGCGTCTGTTTGACTGCCGTATGAGTTGGTTCGCTGGTGGACGCCCAAGGGTAGATTGAGGCTGATGGATTGTCGGTACTGTGCCAAGAGGGGCTACGTCCTTCAGTAGGGGAACTCGGGGGCATCTCCCGGGCGGATGGGAAGGGAAGGGAATTTCGCAGGCGTCAAGCCAGGGGTACTGTGACATAACGCAACGAGAGGTAAAGAGCGTGTATCTGTGGAATAGGGCGTTGTCAAAGCTGCGCGCTTCATAAAATGCCTCTGTGAACCGGAGCCTATACGAGGGCGGCCTTATCTGAAGCTGCTGTGGGGGCAGTGACGAAGTTGAAGTCACTTTGGAGAGAACAGTGTGTAGAGACCGTAGAGAATGCTGTAAGCCATGTTCTCTGTGACTCGCAATGTGATGTTTTCATGCTGTTGTCCCTCAAGATAGATTGTTGATAGCGTCTAGATGAAACCGATGATCAGCTGACAAGATAGACTGTTGATAGTGTCCTGATGAAAAAGATGATCAGCCGCGAGTACAGAGTAAAGAAGGTGGATGCGGTACTGACGAAGCTGTTCTGGCTACAAACAGTGAACGCTGAACTTGGGCAAGTTGACATGCCAGGGATGCCGTGGCAAGTGGGTTGATAACAATCTTTCTTAGAGACGCTCAAGATACTTTTTACAGGGACCCAGGAAGTGTTTACCTTTCGAAAGGCTTCACATGGGTTTTCAATGTACAGCATAAGTATACGGACGGCCAAAGAAACCCGGTATTGATCGGGTACTCCGACATTGAGTATTGGGTTTGCAAAGCACTGCGGAGGCCGGCTAGTTTCAAATACCCAAAGATGGGAGCTTAAAGGCAATGGTGCCGCTTCCTGCCCCGATTTTGGTCGCTGTACAATCAATGACACATTCATTCGATTGTTCCATGAAGGTAAAACTTTTATCGTGATATTCACTGCGTTTTCAAATATGTAGGTCAAATTTCCGTTCCTGGATATCTCGAGGTATTTACAAGGGTGTTGCGTGTTATACATCACCGTAGATCTCCACTCTAAATGTTACTATACAGCAATTACTATTATGATAGGCACTACTGGCGCTTTGAGACTATTATTGCAATACAGCTTCGCTGGATTTCAATCAAACTATCACAGTTCAACAGCCCCCTTCACATGGTCATCATAAAAATAAGTGTTAAAGTTTGATTATACTACAGCTTCGTGCCAGGAACAGCGGAAAGGGATACTTGGAAAAATACCCTTGTTTGTACTTAAGATACTCTGCCATGAACTCGAATTTTCATCACATTGTCATATTTCTCCCTGAACGCCAGCACTCAGAATCCGATGTCTTCAGTAGTCTTTCCATCCCGAGGACAGTGCAGACTGGTCTCTGACAACATCCAGCAATGCCAGTGTCCGTCATTTGTGTCAACTCTATTAGATCCGGTAGGCTCTTGCTCTTCTCTAATGGTCCCACGCTCACATTATCCCAGTACATCTGTTGCCGGTGTGGACATGGCATTCACACGCATGTCGACTACGTCTCAATGGTTGTCCATCATTGTCTTGCAACTCAATGTACTGCCTATGTGCAAAAGGCATGTTCAGCTTCTAAGGTCCTCGCAGCATCTAGAACTGATGTAATCCCACTTATAGACACCTCTGGCGCAGCGTTGCACATGTGAAGCCCAACTTTGCGACCACATCGCTACCAATAATCCATACCATTCTGCGGAACCATGGAATATTTTGGATTTCATGGACAGTGATGGCCCTTCTGGTGTAAACACGATCAACAATGGTCCTTTCATGCCAAGATCCGGGTTCTTTTCTTCCAACACTTCCGAACAAAACCTTATCCCGGTCACTCCAACACATATGTCCTCACCTTATATCAGTTCCTATGCATTCAACTCTTCCCACGATGCGAGGAACACTGGTATCCCCTTCATTCCCACACCAGTTTCTTCCCCCTCAGGAAGTAGCATCTCAGTCGGTATTCAACCGGATATCACTCAGATCCAAGCTTATATCTCAGACGATTCTTTTGTCCACTACCAGGACAATTTCACTAACAACACCTATGCTCATTAGCCAGGCTGCAACGTGGTGAATGGGCACCCCGCCGTCCAAATACCAGGGTCATTTGAATCCAATATATGACATGATGCCTGAGGCCTGGTTGTACCCATACACTTAGGACACAACCACCACCACAATATAACTTCTCACCTCCTCCACTGAATTTTCTACACACCACTTCATCTCCTTATTCCTCATTGTCATGAGCCTCAATATTTTTCAACTTGACACATGATCATCCCAAGTCTTTGCCCTCCATTTCCATTTCCAGTTTTGTTCCTCCCTGTTTATGTTCTCTCGTCAATCATCATGGCAATGTTTCTGAGAGCCCTAATATGTTCACCCCTGGGGGAACCTAACAATTACTTTCTTGACTCAGAATATGCTATCCATTCTTTTGCTTTCACCTACAATACATGTTTATCCTTGCTTTTGGTTGCTGTTGTCTGTCTCTACATCAGGAAAAACCCTTTTGCTACGTATCTGCCACTCAGATATACGTAGCTTATGTATTGCCAGTAGTGATGGTAGAGGGTGCACAGCACTAGGTAGCGGTAGGTAGCATTCTGTATATACTGCCAGTAGCTACGTACACATCTGTATACTTGAGTGAAACCTACTGAATGCTACAATATTGGTCAGTATTGTCTCTTTTTTTGGGTCTTTAATAGTGGCTAATGGTACAAGTCGAGTGTCAGCTAAAAGAGAATATTGAGTCTGACTGAAATAGGGACTTGAATAAGGATAGGAAAGTAACGTGAAGACAAACTCAGTACATTGGAAGGTAATTAGAACAATATATGCCTTGTGAAGTATGGAGAGCTACAATGGCAGTGTGACGAGCCGGGGGGAGTTCTGCTAAGTTTGTTTGAAACTCTGACACAGAGTCCATCCATCATGTGCATAATCAACCAAGATCATGCCATTGGATTCTGACCAAATCCAATCACCCTTGCTTCCTTTCCTCCATCAATGTTTCAGCCCACTTCTCTCATTCCTCTTCACATGTCGCTGTTTATGGTTCTATTTTCCTTCTGGCTTACCGGTGTGGACAACCTATGTTCCCTTCAGATGATCCTCTTTGCCATTCGTGCGCTCCTTGGATATGTGTCCCTTATGCTTTGAATGCTAAAGTTACAGTTCATTGTGCGTGTTCTTTCTATCTCTTTCACTTGATCTCACATGGCCTCGTTTCACAGCACTTGGATGAGATGTCTTGTACTCAAGGCTGCTGGTGAGTACCCAAACTGCAACCTCATGTTTTTTGCTTACTCGCCTCGTGTTTTTCATAGGAATAGTGTTCTAAGGGTACCTTGTCTTGGAATGTATGTAACTTGAATTGTTTTGACATTCATCATATTTATACCATAGCACTTAGGACTCGGAACAACCCATGAACTATGATGGTGCCAAAGACCAGGTGTGACAACTGTGGTTATTGCACCGTCCTTATATTTCTCATTTTCGTAGCAATGTGATCAGTTGTAAGTGCTGTAGCCTTGTTCCTATCAGCTACTATTGATCTCACTGCTGTTCTGCTAGGATTTCAATCTGTTTCGGTGTACTTTGTGATGACATGATGGACCACGATGATACTCACAGTTCAGACATTGGAGGTGGTCTAGTGCATATGATGTTGTACAGCTATATTGGTGTAGTAGCTAGTAGTAATATATTGATTTCATTCATTTCATGGTCTGCCCTCTTCTGTGTTTGTCAGAATATGTCTTCATAGGTATCGATACGATGCCGCTACTGTAGTGATACAATAGTTTGGGTGGGGTGCTATCACTTGATACAGACTACTACGTACTCTTAGTGGTGTGCTACAAGCTGCTACATATGGGGGACTGTGCTACAGCACTACAAGTGCTACATAGACTACATACTGCGATGTAGCAAAGTAATTTTTTCCTGATGTAATGTTTTTTAATCGCCTCGGTATTCAAGCCGGATGCTATGGAATAGATCAGTAATTGGCATCTTATTAATGAGTCTGCTCAAGACCTACAGATCACACACTTCTTCCAGTGTGGTCCTTAACCTCATGAAATGCATCCATAAATATTTTTGTTACTCCCTTCTAGTCTAACCATGACTCATATTGATCCTCTTAGTTTATCTGGCCCGTATACATCCCTAGCCTCCTGATTTTCGAGGTTTCGAAACCCCGATCGATTGTTATGCTTTGCAATAGCCATGTGATCAGTCAATCTGGTCTTTACAGAATAGAGCTGATGGCCTGCATGTCTGATCAAGTGATAGTCATTGGCAGTAGACCTGTGACCAGCCCCTACAATGAGCAAGCATTGTTGGCAGATGAAATGAGATGATGCATACCATAGGTCCAGAACACAGCCTAAGTATTAGCATGGCTGTTACGAAATAATATATTTGATGTTACTTGGGTGATAAAAATCAATTAATGGATCATCTAGCGAGATTGATATTGAGCTTACCATGGAAGCTCTTCACTGATCGTTTAGGAAGAGACTGCATAGGTGCGGGCAAGGATGGTTGCAGCAGAGGAAGTGATGATGAGCTGGCCCACTTCGAAGATGTCAGACTGCCGGACTCTCATTATGCATTCTGATCGTCACAGTCGATATAGTGTGTCAAAAAGCGGGTAAGGACAATAAAATCATGACGCTTGCATCTCTGCAATAGTGAGTATAGTACATAGGTCAGCTGCTCTCAATGTGCGTGATCATCATAGGTTAAATGGTGACCAGAAGTTCATTCAACGAAGGGCAGTAAACGTGTAGACCCTGTTGGTGAGAGGATTCATTCAAGAGGATTCCCTTGGAGGGCCAGAAACCAGGCAGATGTGGAAACATTGTCTTAACCTGGGCTCTTGTCCAGTGAGAGTCGATGTTCATAGGAAAGACACAAGTCTATGCTGTTGATGGGGAATGGAAGGTCCAATTCCAAGTACGGTGAAGTCGTGTGATATGTATTCAGCAAAGCATAAGTATCTCCTGACTCCTTTCAAAACTAGGACAATGAGGAGCTTGTCAACCAGGTTGAACGTGTAGTTGAAAGATAAAGATTCGGCAGTTCGTCGGTACTATAATGGCTGGTCATTGATAATAGACATGGTCCTGCTTGTACAAGAGGGGCAAGACGACTCAATGGAGGCAGAGAAGGGAGGTAGCGCTGGAGGTTGATATTGCCTAAGGAAACATATCCTTAAGAGGAATAAGTGGCCGGCATATACCTCACAACGTCCCTCTCTTATTGATTATCCCTGTCTTGACCTATCAGAACCTGCATGACGGCCGCATTCTGTGTTTTCCGTGTGCCCTCTTGTTTGTTGGGGAGAATACTGGTATCGAACACATGCCATACAGTTGGACTGAGGGTCTATTCCGAGTAGAAAGTGACTAGGGACATTGTGGAATGAACTGAAGCGAGATGAGATCCCAAATGAGAAAGAATAGAAAGTAATATAGAGTGGTGGGCAGTGGCAGCGAACCAATGAGGATAGGGAAGGAGTGACATTCCTCATAACAAATGTGAAGGAGAAAGAACGTAGACAATGATTCCTAGTTCATGAAAAATATCGGAATGTGTGTGGTCCAGGAAGAAATACCCGCTTTAAGCATCCTCGAGCCTTCCTTCAGTACACAAGTCTACACCATGCATCATTCATGAGTGATGATGGTAGTATCTGACCATCTGTAGTAGTTGTTGATGAGAACATCTCATAGGAGACAGTATTCTGACGTGCAAGGTCTTGATGAGCGCCGTGTGGGCAGTCATGGTGCAGGGAGGTTACTTAGATTGTACATGACACCAAACAGGGCCCTGGTACATAGAGAGAGGAGTCTTCTTGTAGGTCTGATGCACCATGTCAATAAGGGGTAGCACAAACATATGGCAGATAGTCTCACTGAAATAAAAGCCTAATAGAAAGGATGAAGTCTGTCGTTGCCAACAGATGAGGTAAACTCACAGAGTACGTGGACCAAAGAGTCAGAGCCCTTGGGTAAACTGATCTTGAAAAGAAGTGACATATTTTGTGGAGCATTCGACAGCAGCAGGACTAGGCCAATGAGGATTGGGTGGGGTATGAATTGGCTGGCGGGTATACGATGATGACTGGAGGAGACAATGTTGTCGGCATGTTCCTATAATACAACACTTGAGATGGTGCTAGTATTGTGGTACGAGCTTGTGTGCACCAGGAAACAACGATAATATGGAGGATGGAGTATAGGTATGTGGACCCATCGCACCATCAACCATGAATATTGTCAATGCTTTTTTATATGGCCATCGTGTATGGGGCATGCTGCTGGTAATCAGTAGGTGATGCAGACTCTGAGCAGTACACGGTAACATTCAAGACGAATGGGCTGAGGTGGATGATGATCATGCAGATGTTCAGTTGTTGCCAGCACCAGGTATCACTGGTTCAGTTGGCTCTCCCATGCCAGTGCTACACTCAGCACACAACCCTCTGTCTTCCATTATCTTGCCGTATAGAGGACAATGCATCAAAATCTCTGACAACATTCAGCACTGTCAGTGTGAATGGTTCTTTCCTCCTGAGTTGTCCTTGCTAGACCAGGTAGGATCTCAGTCACCTTCACCTATATTCCCATGCTCATGTTCTCCCAGAACATCTGTGGTCTCTGTGGGCATGGTATTCATGCACATGCTGACTAGGCTTCAGCGGTCGTCAATCATTATCCCATGAATCAATGCTACATGAAAACCCAGGATCCTTCCCATGAGTCTCTGCACCAAACTCCAGATACGTCTACGAGATCCATCCTACATCCGACGTCCATCTTATCAACTTTCAAACCCCCGTCACAACTGTACACGATGCCCTAGATGTGTTCAGTCACTTACCATCTACTGGCAGGACACATCACATGAACACACTAAGGCACAGACTCTGACAACAAACAGCAGACGGATGATGGAGACTCGGAAGTGCAGAAGAGAACTAGAAGAGAATGTAGAGAATGCTTGGCATGGAGTTGGATGCAACAATAAGGCCATTCGAGTTTAGGAAGATGCTCCTATTCCAGCCTTGTTGTGGCCCCACCAGCTGGCCCCTCTATTCCTGCTCAATTTACAGTACTCTATCTGGCTACCTCGCCATACATCCATGCTTTCCCATACCTACACATCGACTGTCACACTGACGTCAGATGGGATCGCAGAGACTTTAAAGTCGAGGGTGCCCAGAGAGGCTGATTGAAGCTCAGATTGATTGCCCATCTCTTTGCTGGTTGATCTTTTCTTTTTATTCTCGCTGTTTGCAAAGCTCTACTCTTTGGTCAATGAAGAAGGACCAGGGAGATGTAGATTGGACTCGGACATGCATACAGGAGGAGAGAGAGAAGAAAAGGAGAAACAGAAGATGGCCAACTAGCGGAAAGGATGAAATGAAGCCTTGCTGATTGGCTGGACTACCAGGTGATATAGGTTTATTGGTGACGCAGTAGACTTAGGCCGGGCGATATCGTGTAGTTCACTTCAACAAAGATAGCCGCTGGTATGATCCAACGTCTTTCTTTCAGTCGCATTTTCTCATAAACATATACCATTTGGGTTCTTCCTTGAATTGAATTTCTCATATAACCTCGAAAATTAGATGACCAACAGTGGCTATGACAGATCTCTATCACATTTTAGGACCGAAAGCACAACTATCCACATCGTCCCAAATTTCATTATACCATATCACCTACCGTCTTATGGCAGGACACCCCGCCATGGTGGAGCACGAGCTCTGACGGTGACGTCCACATATGCTGCACAGATGATGGAATGAGGACGCTGCTACAGGAAGGTGGGGATGGTTTGATGTGGAGAGCTGCGGTATCTCCACCCATGTCATGCCACCTAGCCACCTCTTCACTGTTTTTCTACTCTGGGAATCCACTGGAGAAAATCCTTATCCAGCGCTGTTGTTAACTCGTCAGCTGATCCCAACTCCATTGCTGCCTGACAACACTCTTTCGATCCGCCCACCTTCATGCTATCCAGGAACCCATGTATCATTGAATCTTTTCACTTCTCCATCTTGATCACTATCGGTGACTCCATTCCCAACTTCTGTCCCAGCATCTTTTTCAGAGGGTTTCTCCCCACAATTCAAATCTTCTTCCTGGCACATATTGTTCAGACCCCTGATCTTATGTGTTTGATCCCCTTGCATGCATCCTTCCTCTTCAATACTTGCACCCAAATCTTTCTTTTGCCTATACCTTGTGCCCGAACCTCTCTCTCTTGCAGGCCAAGAAATTATTCCACATGGTCATTCAACAACTCACTCAAGGGGTGATAGTTAGTTTGTTTTAGTCTGTTTGTCATCTGTACTCTCCCTTGGAGCCTGGCTGTCTTACCACAAACTATCTTATCAACGTCTCTGGTCTCCGTAATCATATCAGGATCACATATGTGAAGATGCTGTGTGCAAGGACATCTTTCCTCATGGCTGACATAACCACAGGCAGATATCGTAGTCTACAGAAGACCAGATATTTAGAAGATGACAACAGGAGTAAAGCGAGATACTAATAAAGCCATCATTACTGGCTAGGTAGTCAACCTACTTGTCTGGCAGACATGGTGGTGGACGTTTATCGACAATGCAATGCCATTCTATTGTAGTTCCTAGGTAAGTGAAGGGTCTATTTTGTTACCCTCACTTTCATGAACCTTCCATCAGGTATTGAATTAGTTTTTCGAGGGTCTACAAGGAACTCGAAGCAGTTTCCAGCCTGTAGCAAGAATATTTTCGCATTAAATAATAAAACACATATAATCTCAGAACAAAGGAAAGCAATAAATGCGACAAAGCAAGTACCCTAAGCATAAGAAAACAAGACAATATCCAAGATGTACATACACTGCTGTGTTTACAGACATTCTTACGAAGCGCTGCTTTATCTATTCGAATTGACGTGCCCAGGCTTCCGCACCATGCACTGCACTGTAGCTCGCAGTTGGATAATCCTTGCGAAATACTGCGCTTGAGTTCTGGATGTTAACGCTGGAGTTATCATTCTGGTACTGAGCAACATAAGAATTCCCCACTTGCGAGTAGGAATGGCCATCGGCCTGAGTGATGCCAATTTGAGCGAAAGGTTGTGGGGTAGGTGTGAAGGTCACTGCGTTGCCATAAGAGTAGGATGTGTTGGTGTTAGTGGAGGGAGGGTGCATGTTCGTGGGAGTCATCATGTTGCCAGCAAAGATGTTGACATTGGAAGGGAGAATATTGTCAACACTCACCCTGTAGGGCAGAGGCGTAGATGAATGATGTTCATTCACAGTAGGTATATGCTCGATGAGAGATGCTAAGCAAGTGCATGCTTGTAACTGGGGTGTCTACAATAAGCTGTATCAGTGTTATTCTAGACACCATGGGTGGAGAGCATGTACCTTCTGAACATACGCAGCGCAATTCATCGCAGGACAATGATGGACATACATTGAAACAAAATCGCAGTGCACATGGATACCATGTCTACACCCATTACAGATGGTCTAGGGCACATAAATACAATGAAGTACCAGTGAAGTACAGTCATAACATACCTGATCTAGCATGGGTAGTGCAGGGGGGGATGAATGATTGACATTCACAGTAGTGGGTAGTGCCATCCGGAGCGACCACATGCCTGTGCATGCATCCGGCTCTCAAAGGCAGGTCTGGCATTGAAGACATCAGTGAATGAGTGCTATTGCTGAGTGCAATATTGAAGGAGGTGACAGAAGTGGGGAGTTCATCCGGCACATTTTATGGGCTCAAGCAGGGTGTTAAGCACTAACTCTAATCTGAACCAAGGCTGGTCTCTATCCTGTCACTCGCGTTCGGTGATTCAGTGTTAGAGAGACATTGGTAGATTGCGAGAAGTTAGGCGTCACTTTATAGCAAAAGCAAGGAGCTTGTAAGAGTTAGGAGTGTATAATCTTAGCCAAAGCTGGAGTCTAAGGCCACAGCATAGGCTAGCTTAAATACATGTTAGACTCGTACTAAGAATAGTATCTACAAGGGCACATGTGATGAGAAGTGCATCTTTCAACGAATGAGGAGTGAGGACACTAAAAGAAGTGTACTCCCGACAAATGAGAGTAAAGAGCGCATATCACCTGCATCTGCATGGGACTCCGTCTGAATAGGCTGCATCCTGCAGACCACCCTTGACTGGCGGTCGACTCTCATCCAACTACTAAGAAGCATGATGCCATCAAGAGAAGCATGATAGCACATGTGGGTCATTGGTCATCTGGGGTGTGGCAGCTTGTGAACTGGGGTGATGGCAACCGGGTAAATGGGTAAGGAGTGTGCCGGTGGAATATCATGGGTCCGAGAGATAAGATAGGCAGGTCCAGGGTTCCGAGGGATAAGGATAAGATAAGATAAGGAAAATAGGAGTAAAGTCATAATACAGGGGCAGTTCGTCACTAAACTCTAGATATGACCGGTCAAAGAAATCTCAAAGGGAATGACTGTGAGATTATGTTGCCTCATGGAGAAGACGTCATGGTATCGACAGCTTCTCTGGAATCCAAAATAGATGGGGAGCCAGATTTCAATTCTGTGATCCCACAGAATTGAAACAATGTTGACCGGAAGGCACAACACAATCAAAGCAGGCAACTTTACAGAAAGACTTAGCTACGCCATCAATTGCCCATTTTAGTTGAGTTGTGCCTTCCGGTCAACATTGTTTCAATTCTGTGGGATCACAGAATTGAAATCTGGCTCCCCATCTATTTTGGATTCCAGAGAAGCTGTCGATACCATGACGTCTTCTCCATGAGGCAACATAATCTCACAGTCATTCCCTTTGAGATTTCTTTGACCGGTCATATCTAGAGTTTAGTGACGAACTGCCCCTGTATTATGACTTTACTCCTATTTTCCTTATCTTATCTTATCCTTATCCCTCGGAACCCTGGACCTGCCTATCTTATCTCTCGGACCCATGATATTCCACCGGCACACTCCTTACCCATTTACCCGGTTGCCATCACCCCAGTTCACAAGCTGCCACACCCCAGATGACCAATGACCCACATGTGCTATCATGCTTCTCTTGATGGCATCATGCTTCTTAGTAGTTGGATGAGAGTCGACCGCCAGTCAAGGGTGGTCTGCAGGATGCAGCCTATTCAGACGGAGTCCCATGCAGATGCAGGTGATATGCGCTCTTTACTCTCATTTGTCGGGAGTACACTTCTTTTAGTGTCCTCACTCCTCATTCGTTGAAAGATGCACTTCTCATCACATGTGCCCTTGTAGATACTATTCTTAGTACGAGTCTAACATGTATTTAAGCTAGCCTATGCTGTGGCCTTAGACTCCAGCTTTGGCTAAGATTATACACTCCTAACTCTTACAAGCTCCTTGCTTTTGCTATAAAGTGACGCCTAACTTCTCGCAATCTACCAATGTCTCTCTAACACTGAATCACCGAACGCGAGTGACAGGATAGAGACCAGCCTTGGTTCAGATTAGAGTTAGTGCTTAACACCCTGCTTGAGCCCATAAAATGTGCCGGATGAACTCCCCACTTCTGTCACCTCCTTCAATATTGCACTCAGCAATAGCACTCATTCACTGATGTCTTCAATGCCAGACCTGCCTTTGAGAGCCGGATGCATGCACAGGCATGTGGTCGCTCCGGATGGCACTACCCACTACTGTGAATGTCAATCATTCATCCCCCCCTGCACTACCCATGCTAGATCAGGTATGTTATGACTGTACTTCACTGGTACTTCATTGTATTTATGTGCCCTAGACCATCTGTAATGGGTGTAGACATGGTATCCATGTGCACTGCGATTTTGTTTCAATGTATGTCCATCATTGTCCTGCGATGAATTGCGCTGCGTATGTTCAGAAGGTACATGCTCTCCACCCATGGTGTCTAGAATAACACTGATACAGCTTATTGTAGACACCCCAGTTACAAGCATGCACTTGCTTGGCATCTCTCATCGAGCATATACCTACTGTGAATGAACATCATTCATCTACGCCTCTGCCCTACAGGGTGAGTGTTGACAATATTCTCCCTTCCAATGTCAACATCTTTGCTGGCAACATGATGACTCCCATGAACATGCACCCTCCCTCCACTAACACCAACACATCCTACTCTTATGGCAACGCAGTGACCTTCACACCTACCCCACAACCTTTCGCTCAAATTGGCATCACTCAGGCCGATGGCCATTCCTACTCGCAAGTGGGGAATTCTTATGTCGCTCAGTACCAGAATGATAACTCCAGCGTTAACATCCAGAACTCAAGCGCAGTGTTTCGCGAGGATTATCCAACTGCGAGCTACAGTGCGGTGCATGGTGTGGAAGCCTGGGCACGTCAATTCGAATAGATAAAGCAGCGCTTCATAAGAATGTCTGTAAACACAGCAGTGTATGTACATCTTGGATATTGTCTCGTTTTCTTATGCTTAGGGTACTTGCTTTGTCGCATTTATTGCTTTCCTTTGTTCTGAGATTATATGTGTTTTATTATTTAACAAAACAAGTCCTGAATAAACGGGTTCAACATCTATCAAGTCCTAAAATATTCTTGCTACAAGTCAACAACCGCTTTGTGTTCCTTGTAGACCCTCGAATAACTGATTAAAACCTTGATGGAAGTTTCATAAGAGCGAGGATAATAAGATAGAACCCTTTCTTACCTAGATAGAATGACGTCGCATTGCCAATAAATGAGCAATACCATCCACCAGACGAGCGGGTCAACGATCTCGTACCAGAAGCCAATAGTTATAACATCGCTGGCATCTCGCTTCACTCTCGTCGTCATCTATTCATTCCGCCTTCTCCACAGCTAAGCCTTTCAGATACAGGGCACTTTCCCACCTCTCTAATGATATTCGTAGCTCGCCTCGATCATGATACTGCGCGCGGATCGGAAGATGAGAATCCACAGGATATTATGCAGATATATATGAACGCGAAAGCAGGAAAAGACCGTTTGTACGATGCGTCGTCAAAACGATGATTGACCGGCGTTGAAGGTAGGGATCCAAACATCACGGCGACCATGGGATCGAAGACACCCGGATAAATTATTTTAAGTATAAGTTCGTGAGTCTTATCGACGGATAACTCTGGTGGTTGAGGGAAGGACGACCTTGGAATTGAAGGCAAACTTGGTACAAGCATCATTTTTCGCGATAAGTGAGATGAAGGTAGCGGGCTCTGCCGCTTGCCGGCGCTATTACGTTATTAAATTCAAGGAGCCTTTTAAAGACTTGCCATGTCCTTTGTCTTCCAGCGCACTCTATCTCGATTCGATCCTTTCACCCCCAAGACTTGGACTTCGAAAACTCTTGAGCTCTTCGTAGTCATTGATCCGTTCTTTTCTTCCAATCTAACTGTGAATGTTGGTCCTCCGCGATCTATTCGGCCTTTATAACGCGTCGCCCTGTCAATTTTTGCTGGGGTCCGGTCCGGCCTGAGAGCACCGATCGATCGTGTTATCCGACAACTGGGTACATTCCCGGGTTTGTAGGGTCAATGACGATCTGCAATCTGGACTAGGCGAAGGAAAGCTATGACGGCAGGGCAGCCATGGGCGGATAGTAGAAGAAGACGCGTACGTCGGTAGGCCTTTGGTAGATCTATCACCAAGATTTCTCGCGGCATGCGATTATTTCTAATTAGTATCCCGGCAAGTGGTGGGTGCTCGAAGTTGAAGAACAGCATGTTTTAGGCGCTATACGAGTAGTTGAGTTGACTGATAATTAATTGAAATAATGCTGAACTTGCCGTGGACACTCTTCCTCATTTAGTTGTGTTTTGAGTAAGAGAGCCAGATCCCATGAAGCGTACCATCCTACATAATCAACCACCCTTGAGGAATAACACCATAGAACCCAAACAGAATGCCTCCTCACTGACAGTCAAAACGCGAGCGGAATCGCACAGCCAAAATGACTCCCTGTCCGGATTGCCAATGGTATCTTCAGGGGAGAAGTAGCGACAATCCAAGAAAGTTTCGAGAGACGAAGACTACATCAAGAATGTGCCAAGGAGGCGAATTTGCGATGCTATAGCAGCTCCAGGGAGGGCTGGTGAGGTTGGAAATCCGGGTATGACACGTTGGCGGAAATACGGGTCGAGGTAAACACAATCGTTGTACTTGCTCTACTCCAATACTTGAATGCGCATGCCCAACAGTGAAGATGCTAGTGATACCGTGCATTCACGAGATACGCTGAGAATCTGGTGCTGTTGCTGTGCCAATGACGTCGGTGTACCATTTATTGATATCAGAAAGCGAAAAGAGGTGAAAATCTGACCAATGCGGTGCAGTGTGCAAAGAAACTTTATTCCAGAGGAGCTCTATCGACTGAAAGTGACAGTGATCTGATAGTATCTTCCAAAAACTTCACAAGTTGATTGGGGTTGAGCACATAGTCCTAGTTGTAAAGCAGAGATAGAGATGGCTGACAAATTTTTGAAGATGAGCATATTATCTCGAGGATAGGATATTTTAATAACAGACCTTTCTCGAGGCGACGGCGAGCATGATGCGTCCCTCTCATATCAATATCCTTGCTCTGCTCGTTCCACCCAATCACATAAAAATCATCCTTCCAGATTCACTGCGCACCGTCCTCGTTGTTGTCCGGTTTGTTGATAACGAAAAACCTATCGTGTAGACGGATTGAAGGCTGATTTAGAAAAGAGGAGGTTTGATGGTCGTAGTGATCCTTGAGAGAAGTAACGATAAGGTCGCTGATTTGATGAAGTTTGAAGCTTAGCTTGAAGACCAGAGAGCACGAGCTGGTAGGAATCGGCGGCGAGTTTGAAAAAGAAGTCGTCAATGAAGGGTTGAGCAAGTGCGATTCGACCTCCGACGGCTCTGATTGGCAGAAGCCCCAAATGGAAGGTGCTAGTCTGCGTCCACAACTTGAACAGCCTCAGTGCCTCCAATCAGTGTGTTGATAACACTCATTATCTCCGTTTATGCTTCTTCCCTGGACCTGAGCTGGTATCGGTGTGGGCACACGTATGTCGACAATATTCATGTTCACCACTGTCCTGTAACTCACTCACAGTACAGCTCATGTTCAAAACGTAGTACGTACGCCTCCATACATGACAAGGAAAGAAAACTGATGCGGCTCGCCCAAGATCCCTCAGACTCAAGAATTCGCACGCACAACCCGCTCGTTGACCATACCGCTACCGTGAATCCATACCGAGATTTGCGGCTCTCCCAGGAATTTTGTGGACGGCTTCCAGATTCCAGAACCAGCTCTCTTCCAATGCCGTTGCGTTCAGCTCTTCGCAGATCGTAAATCTTATTGTATAGTATCCCCTCCGCCCCCTAGGTTTCTCTTTCTTTTTTACAGCACCTATCTGCCGTGGCCCCTCTAACTAGACACGGCCCAGGAAAGACCTGACCAGCCACCACTGTGCCTAAACGGCTTCTTCAATGGTGACATGACGGATGGACGCTTCTATAACCGATCGAATGTGATGCGCGATGCGACTCAGGACGCCCAGGTGGGCTTGTATGCTAGGGATCTCAGCACGGCCAAGACAGCAGCCTTCAGTATATCTCCTACCTTCCATCCTCCAACTTCACTTCTGTTCTCCCTCCCTTTTATCACTGTTTCCTATCTCGAAACTCTATCACTCAGCCCGCTACTCACGTTGTACGGGCTTTCAATCGGTTCTATACTCCACTGCTTTCGATCTGTTCGCTGATATTCCACAATTTCTCCGTATGCATTTCCCCGTGCCGCTGACCGATGATCTTAAATAGTAGTTACTACCAGCGTTGTATCATTTCGATTATCTGTGCAATCAGATCACGTTTCGGAATACCAAAATTCCTCTCTGACCCATGTACCTGAATTACACTCTGTCGTTTTCGATTGCTTTGGATTTACCACGTATTCTCGAAAAGAATAATGTCAGTAACAAGAGTTCTCATTAAGTTTTACTCGACATAATGGATCGTCTAATGTTATAGGTCGTTTTTCAGCGTATAAAAAATCAACGAAAATCCATTTTGATGAAGTAACCGTGAAAATAGTGAGAGAACGCTGATCCTAATCGCAGGCAATCAAAAAACCCAGAATGCCCGACAGCTTATCCTAACATTTTGATCATATCAGCAAAAGCGTTAGGGGAAAGACCGACTGAAAGACCATTGTCACATACCTTCAGCTTCCGCCGTGTTGCAACGTTAACATTTATCGTGGAACTCGAAGGTGGTTGCCCTCCAGAAGCAGTATCCTGCTTTTTTCGGCCGTCACCTACTCAACTATCTTTAACTCCGCGGTGTTACTCCTCCTTCGCACCCGTCAACTCAGCATGGCTCCATCTTCCAGGCAGCATCGGTAACGGGACTCAAAAAAACCTCGTCGATGTCGATAAAATATTTTGCATTGTAGGGATAGTATCTTGATGGTTTGAACTTTGGAGTCGTGGGTGACGACTACGGGTACCGCACATAGCACAGAAAGATGGCGGCGAAGGAAAACCGGTATGAACACATCCGTCGTCGGAAAACTGCGTGGGCTGAACCAAGAGCCGAATATGGACGACGGGGTGACACCAATCGATAGGGATAGCCAAGTAGACATGCAGACAGTTTCTTGCCTTCAACTCTCGCGTTGGCTTTACCAGTGCCATCCTCCGCACTCAGCGAGAAATTGATCAAGTCATACCACCCTGCGTGACCACAGGTAATAGGCCTCTGGGCGATTTTTCTGGCGTCGGTGTCATGCACAGCGTCGATTATCCCCGATGTACGAAACTGTCGTGGTGATAGGGGTGATTGGACGACAACGGCGGGTACAATGGAACCGATCACGTGCGTACACAGTGCCGTATGAGAACAGTGCCGCCGTGTTCCTCTCTATCGAGGTAGCGTCGGCGAAGGTAAACTTATGAAATAAGAATGACATCGAGATTGAGGATGGATAGCCATCGACAATCCCCGTACATAAGTGAACGTCAAGGTTAAGAAAACCTGGCTGGTATGCAGAATGATGAACGCCGTGCCCTGCACCCGCGTCTTAGCGGGGTATAGATGAGTGTGGCGAATAGGGTAGGGATCAGCCTGAGGAACGTAGTTGCAGTGCCATGAGAAGATTACAGGGAAGAGGCGATACAGACGCCGAGGACAGACGACGGTAGAGTAACACTTGATTGGGCAGGCGAAGGGGCGATGCTGGGATCGCACGACCGGTATGATGTATGAGTTTGCGGGGGGCAAAGACCAACAAAAGGCGAACGAGAAATGGGCACATCAACCAGTGCGGAGGAGACGCGTGCCTCGTAAAAGCAAACCTGGATGACAGAAAAAAAAACAGAAAGTGATGGGACAATAGGCGCTGGCGACGATGGCGGCGAAAAGCTAGTGAGACTAGGGAAGGGATAGCAACATTCTCCCCGTAACGAGTGAGGGGAGAAAGAATCGGAAGGACAGTATCTGTCCCCTCCGTAGCCGATGATGAGGGTGTCTTGAGGGCAGGCAACATCGCTGATATTGTGAGCCAATAATGCTGGGGATCTGTTCTTCGACTTCCGTGGAAGTCGAGCGGTAGCAGGTCTTTCCCTCGACGTCCGACGAGTGCGGGAGAAGGAAGTTAAGCAGAAGGTGGAGGTGGCGAGGATAAAGGTGAACCAGTGACCTGGGAGGTTGCGCACGCCGTGGGGCATGAAAGGCGAATTCCGGTGAGGAGGGAGAAATATCTTCTAGGTGTACCAAGCATCGATGAGGGACGGCACGGGCATTTGGTAGGAAGGCTGATAGAAAAAGGTGAGGTACGTCATTGTCAACAGCTGACGTGAACTTACAGAGAGGGCAGACCAAAGAGTCGGAGCCTTTGAGTTGAAACCAATCCCGGAAATGGGCGACGGAACGAAAGAGCGAGGAGTGGATGGGGTCTGAAATCGTCTGACGGGTAGGAAGACAATGGGTAGAAGACGATACCATATGTTCCAACGGTACGACGTTGGAGATGGTGCCGGTATCATGGTACAGGCCGGTGGGTGCATGTCAGGGAGCGATGATGAGGTCCATGTAGGCAGTACAGGCAGTAATGCCTCCGTCACGTCACGCTATCATGATAACCAGACATCGTCGTAGGCGCACAAAAGTGTACGCTGGGTTCCGGCATGCACGACCGGAATAATTGGCTAGCCAGTGGACTAAGCAACAATGACGGACTAGACAGAGGGCAATCATGCCCAGAGCGGCAGTGAGCGTAGGTCGCGCGGCGAGATGCCGTTCTCTGCTCCTCCACGTTCCCTCTACCAGCATGCTCCTCCATCGCTCACCGTCATATAGTCTCGTCATAGTTGGGTGTTGCCGTCAGAGCCCTTGCTTCCAGCGTGTCGGGAAAAGGGCCATGATGACAGACGGCAGCAGAGCCATGTTTGGCGGCTGGTCGTAAGGAGTGAATGTGGAGTAGGTCTCACAGATGGGTCCAGCGTTGTCGACGCGCACCAGGGAGTGACAGTGAGGTCGAGGACGGGTCGAGGACGGCGTCTAGGTAGGCGACCCCATCTGACAGAGAAAGTCAAGGTGATCAGGGAATTGGCTGGGAGGGCTGGGGAAGGGGGACAAAAAGACGTTCCCTTGTAGATCCTGAAAGCCTGAAGCCGTCCATAAGTTTGGATTGATTTCGACCAAATGTAAATTTTACATACCTTTCAAGTGATCTGAGATTGGAGGAGTGTAACTATTTTGTCCGTTCACACAGCCACCGCCACAGGACCGTGTATTTTCCTCCTCACCTCCACTACAGTTACTTGGACCTTAAATAAAAACCGCCAAGATGAACCCCAATCTCTATCCTCCTCCCTCCTACCAGTGCTACACTCTGCGCCTCACCAGCACTCATTATGCCTTCCACTGTCTTGCCGTCTAGAGGACAATGCATCCAACTCTCTGACAACTTTCAGCACTGTCAGTGCCTATGGTTCTTCCCTCCTGTGTCCCCCCTGCTAGATCAGGTAGGTTCTCATTCAATTCACCTATATTCTCATGTTTACGTTCTCTCAGAACATCTGCGGTCTCTGTGGACACGGTATTCATGCGCATGCAGACTATGTTTCGACCGTCGTTAATCGTTGCCCCGCGAATCAATGCGCCGCGTATGTTCAAAAGGCACGCTGCTCTCCGCTCCGAGCGGTATCCTGAACTCACAACGACTTGCATTGTAGACGACTCTAACACAGCTCTGCACCTGTGGAGCGCCATTTTTCGAGCACATCGCTACCGATAACTCCGAGTATTATTTGCGAGAGCCATGGACTGTTTCGGACTATTTCAGTGCAGACGGTAATGGCTCTTCCACCTCGGACAGCTATACCTACGACCGCAACAGTTCATCCGACCCGAACACCAGTTCCATTCCTTCCACTGATTACAACGGCACCATTTCTTTTGGCGACGCAAGGAGCATTCCCTTCACTCCTGAACCCATTTACTCGGAAAATTACTCGGGTTATGCTAACAGCACGGTCATCTCATCCGGTACTCAACCCGATACCACCCAGACCCCGGGAGGTTATAGCTCAAATGGCCCCTTCGCTCAGTATCCGAACCATGTCGTTGACTCACCCTATGATCATCAGCCAGAGGGTAGCGCGACGAATGGGAGTTTCGAATACCAGGGTTATGGGAATGCGATATACGCTGAAACCCCTGGAGCCTGGTCGGGTCCATACGGTGCTTGATCCATAGCAACTTCTTAATTCTTGTCATCTTCCTTTCCCTCCTCCCACTTATCGTCGCGATCGCTTCTTCTATTCCTCATTCATCATGCTCACTATTCCTACGTCATTGATTCTCGATCCCAGTGCCATTGCTGGTGTTCGATTCTACGCACTCCGCTCGGATATTCTCTCGTCAGTCGTCATTGCGACGCGGTGCCTCAACCTTTAATATCCTCGGTTTCGTTATGCTCAGTTTGATGCTTTTTTCCTTCGCGCTACGTTTCTTCTTTTTCGTTTTCTCTGTTGTATTTGCCATCAGTTCTACCAGGATATAAATGTTTTGCTATCGTTGTTTTCGGCTCCGGCCTATGATATATCTATTACATTCATCGCTTTCACTTGTCGTTGCTCTTCTGCCCTATCGTTCTGTAATTGCTTTGGAAATCAATTATTATCAAAACGCACACCATTGACTGGTGCGTTCACAAATACTGTGATAAATCGTTACATAAGTTCACCAAAGATGTACAGCCCATAGGTTTTCTTCCAGCACACCGCCTTTAATCCTGCAAGAATCGAGAATGTTTCCTCTTCATAATTATCGCACTAGCAGCTGAACTTGGCGCTGAAGGACAGAAATCGAGCGCGCAGAAGCAAATGATACACGCACATATACCATCTGATCCAATCAGCAATCTGACAAGAAAGTGAGGTACGACGGCACCGCTCAAGGCTCCATACGAGCATCGGCTGAGCGTGCCGTTTCGAAGAGAAAACCACGTTGCAATGTTGGCCGACTTTCAGATGGTAGCAAACTTGAGTACATTCATCGGAGACGCTCGTAGCCTTCAAGAATGCGATTATTTCTGGTGCTGTTCTAGCGGCTGCTGTAGTCAAACTTGAGGATAAACACTACACTGGAGAAAAGTACACGATGAATTAAATCAATATCCTTTGGAAAGAGGATACGGAAACAGGCCTACAGAAGATATATGTGACAAAGTAACAGAAGGATAGCTTGCATCACGGTAAACAGGTCAACCAATCAGTCATGAGTTGTAGGTGATGGATTCGAGTAGCCTGAGCGTCGACAGTCCTTGATCCGGGAACACAAATGTCATCGGTAACGGTAGAGGCATTATTTCGTCACTGTCACCGAAGACGGTGGTATAAGCTGGAGGCTAGAAATCCGGTGACATAGTCCTATGGCTCACTGAAGAACATAGTATAGGCAAGGTTTAAGTTGGCCCGTGGTAGACAACGACCGCAGGGGACAAAAACCGTCTTCAGGATATTCCAGTGATAAGACGGGGCTGGCATCGTGGCATGGAGCGCAGGAAGTAAGAATAAGGTCCGGAATGGGGTCGGTGATATTAGCAGGGGGCAAGGAAACATAGGTGGCAGTGAAGGCAATGGTTCCTCGCGTTGCTATGAATCAGCGCTTGGTGGTAATCGAGGGTGATGGCACGCCAATGGGACTAGGGAAGGGGGAGAAGTTGTCTTGATGCATATTCCGCAGCAATGGGGAGCAGAAAGAGGGAAACAGACATCGCCATGGTTTCGTATGTTGCGAGTCGTTGGACAAGCCTGGCCTTCTGAGATCAATGGAGGTAAACAGCCATTCACAGGGCACTCTTGAGTATTTGCAGCATACTCAGTGCGCGACGTCTATGTAGATTCAAGCTTAGGAAGAGAACATGTAGTATATAGGGGGAAGGCGACTGAACGCACCGATGCAGGTCCGGCAATGAGCATCGCATTCCTCGACGAAAAAACGTCGTCTTCAAAGTGGTGGCAGAGACGTTGACCGCAAAAAGAGAGCGTACGGATGCCTGTAGAATGAAAACTAAGAAAAATGAAATGATGGAAGCAATTCAACAGTTGATCGGGACCCTGTGCCGTAGCCCCATGCTCACATCTCATACACCTCCTCTACGAGACACCTCATCTCCAGGAGCGCCCTCCAACCGTTTCCTGATCCTTATACTTCAACGACTATCCGGAGCAAAATATCATCACTTCTGGTTATAGATTTAGAAGTGCTTGAGATCAGCTGTAAAGGTTTGATCGTTCAGTCGAATGAGCCACGATGGATGAATATAATCACCTCACCTCTGAGTATCAGTCAAGTTTGGCTCCCTCCCTTGTTGACGCTGCTTCTCGATTGACCTGGCGAGCCGCAATACGTAGAGTCAGCCTGCATTGATATCGATGTCCGAGCTTGATATTTGGAGATCGATAGACAGAGAGTTTCGGATGGTGGTTGTTTCACAAAAGGTCACTTTCCGGTCACTAAAGCCTGTTGGCGCGTCGATAGGTTTGCGTCCGGCGTGCCTGAAGGTACCGTGCCGTGTAATGATGATGATGATGATGATGATAGGTCAGCAGTAGGGTCACGCTTTCTGTGACACGCCGATAATGGCCTAAATCACATCCTCAACCTCCTACTCATGCTATAATTCCGTCAGCTAAGCTTGCTCTCCAGAAGTCCAAGCTCAAGTCTAGAATTTCCGCCCCATTATACTAAAGAAAATCCTGTTTATAAGGCAGCTCGGCGCTGGGTTGGCCTTGTCTATGCAGGAGACAACACTTCGACTGCTACTGCACCCGTCTCCATCCAACCAACACCACCACTGCCCCACCTCTGTGCCGGCGTTCTGTTGTATCCAGGTCGTTTAGCTCTTGTAATCAGTGCCGACCACCAGAATGCGGAGGTTTGGAAGATGGAAGAATCGTGGGTAAAGCGAACTTGAGGAGCATGCTGGGTGCGGCATTTCCATATCTCTGACATCTGTATACACCATGGTTGATTTTCTGGGCTCAGCGCCGCTGTCTCTGACCTTACTCATCGACGGTGGCTCTCAAAGCTAGCATCACTTACCTTGCCGTCTTCCATTCCAAGGTCGCCTTTCCCTCAATCACCAGAGTTATCTGTCGACAGGACTCACAAACTCATACTTAATTCAGGCGTCTTCGATCCCATGGTCGCCGTTCTCCAGGATCTCAGCGTCTGTCTTTCCCAACGGTGGTGTTTAGGTCCATTTCCCTTTGACGACGAGGCATCATACGAACGGTCTTTTCCCAGTTTTGCGTTCATGGATATCTGCATAATATCCTGTGGAACCTCATCTGTAAAGCTCGGAGATACCAGTAAAGCCATCGCTACTGGTGGATATGGTATTGCACGTTCATCGACAACGCAACGTCATTCTATCGTACTCCCTAGGTAAGGGAAGTTTCTATTTTATGCTCGTTTTCATGGAACTCTCTTCAGGACTTTGACAAGGGCCTACGAGGGACTGGAACCTGGCATTCCCAGTTCCTCCAATGCATCTAGCGACCACTCAGCTCACCTGGAACAGTCTACCGTCTCGCAGCGAGAATATATTTGGGACCAACTAGGTGTTAAACCCGTTCATTCAGGACTTGTTTTGTTACTTAGATAAATAAAACACATATGATTTTAGAACAAAGCAAAGCGATAAGCGCGACAAACAAGTACACTAAGCATGAGAAAACGAGACGATATCCAAGATGTACATACATTGTTACATTGCTGTGTTTTACAGATGATTTATGACGCGTTACTATTTATACCAATCGACGAAGGAGCTGGAGATGACGATAGAACTTTCTTGCCCATACTTATTCGAGTTGACCTGCCTGGGCTTCCGCGGCAGGCACCGCGTTGGAGGACCTGGTCAAATAAACCTCGCGCTCTCGCTCGAGCCCTGGACGTTAACGCTGAGGTTATCCTGGTACTGAGCGCCGTAAGAGCCTCCCGCTTCCGAGTGGGAATAAGCGTCGATCTGAGTGATGTCCATTTGAATGACAGGTTGCGGGGTAGGTGTGAAGATCAGTGCGTTGCCGTAAGGGTAGGATGGGTTGGCGTTAGTGGACGGAGGTATCGGAGTGAATGGGTGGTTCGTCGTGTCGCCGTTGAGTGTGTTGACATTAGAAGGGAGGTTACTGTCATGGATAGATACACCCGTTCCATAGGGCAGAGGTGTAGACGAACGATGCGCATTCACGACAGGTATATGCTCAATGAGAGACGCCGAACATGTGCATGCTTGTATCCGGGCCGTCTACAATGAGCTGTATCAGCGTTATTCCAGACACCACGGCCAGAGAATATACCGTACCTTCGGAAAGTACGCAACGCAATTCATCGCAGGGCAGTGATGGACAAACATTGAAACAGTCGCGGTGCGCATGAACACCATGTCCACATACACTGCAGATGGTCTAGGGCATGTAAACACAATGAAAGTACCAGTGAAGGAGAGTCACAGCCTACCTGATCTAGCATGGGTAGTGCAGGGGGTATGAACGACGGGCACTGACAATGGTGGATAGTGTCCGGAGTGACCGTGCATCCGGCTCTCAAAGGTAGGTCTGTCATTGAGGACATTAGTGAACGGGTGCTACTGCTGAGCGTGATAATGAAAAAGGAAGTGACGAAAGTAGGGGTTCACCCGGCGCATTTTTATACGTTCGAGCAGGGTGGCGACAGACACACCGGGACAGATACGATCAGTCGACGTTACGGCAACTTTTAAAGCTGCCGGCAACTTTTAAATCTGCAGGCACTTGTTTATGTAACTCAGCTGTCGGCCACCGGTGACGGACCCCGTCTCTTTCTATCAGGCTTTTCTCTGGATGAGACTGTCCGCCAAACATTTGCGTTGTCCCTCTCTATGTATTGTGCAAGTCCTCCAAGAAGGCTCATCTCTTTTCACTGGTGCCTGCCTCTCTTGCCATGCGTAATCTACGCAACCTCCCGCGCCGCCACTATGCCCACACGGAGCTCATCAAGACGTCGCATGTCGGAATATAGTCTTCCTTGGGACGTTGTCATAAACGGCTACGAAGGCCTAGATACTGATGTCGTCGCTCATGGGGAATGCATGGCGTAGGCTTGTATGTTGGAGCGAGGACTTGAGGACGCTTGAAGCATGGTACTATCTGTATCTCTTCCTGGACTTTTTCACGAGCCAAACGTCATCCCCTACGTTCTCTTTCTCTAGAACTCGTTGCGGAGGGCCTGTCCCTTCCTTATCCTCCCTAGTTAGTTGGCGCCCCGTACCATCTCATCACTTTCTATTCTTTCTCATTCGGGATCTTGTCTTACTTCAAGCAATCCACCGATGACTTTTGTCGATTTCTATCCGGAACAGGCCCTCGATCCATTAGCACCCCTTCGATGTTCGATAGCAGTGGTCCCAGAATACAAAGGGCGGCGTACGAAAATAATGGATGATCAAGCAAGCTATGGATATCGGTTTGGGGCGAAAAGGAAGGAGGGAAAGCGCTGGTTAGCTGAGAGGGTTGGCGGAGAAGAGGATCAACAACGAGAGTCAAGCGGGACAAGTTGCTACATGAGATCGCTGACCCGCTTGCCTGTCGGTACACAGTTGTCGACAATGCGATGTTGTTCTATCATAGTTCCTAGGTAAGAAAAACTTTGATTCTGCGTATTTTCCCTCTTATGAAGCTTCCATCAGGATTTGAATCGGGTTTTCATGTGATAGAAGCTGACAAAATAGAGCGAGGGCTACAAGGAACTCGAAGCTAGCATACCCAGCTCCTCCGGTACATCTAGCGACTACTCAGGCCACTTGAAGCAAATTTCCGTCTCGTAGCAAGAATATTTTAGGACATATGAGGTCTTAAATGCGTTTATTCATTGCATTATTCAAATAATAAAACGCATATAATTCAGAGCAGAGCAAGACGATAGACATCACAAGCGGGTACCCTAAGACGACAGACGATAAACAAGACGATATCCAAAATGTACATACATGTTGTGTTACAGACGTTTTTATGATGTGTTACTCTACACGCCAAACGACGAAAGAGCTGAAGATGAAAGATAGAATCCTTTCGTAGATACCCTTATTCGAGTTGATCTTCCCAGGCTTCCGTGCCACGCACCGCGTTGGAGGTCGTGGTCAAATAATCCTCGCGAAATCTCGCGCTCGGGTCCTGCACGTTAACGCTGGAGGTACTGCCCCGGTACTGAGCGCCGTAAGAGCCCCCCACTTCCGAGTTCGAATGAGCGTCAAACTGAGTGATAGCGATTTGAGTGACAGGCTGTGGGGTAGGTGTGAAATTCATTGTGTTGCCGTAAGGGTAGGATGGATTAGCATTAGTGGAGGGAGTGGGCATGAGGATGGGAGTGAACGGGATGTTCGTCGTGTCACCGGTGAATGTGTTGACATTGGAAGGGAGGCCATTATCATGGACGGATACATCCGCCCCGTAGGTAAGAGGCGTAGGCGAACGATACACATTCACGACAGGTATATGCTCGATGAGAGATGCCGAGCATGTACATGCTTGTACCCGGGCCGTCTGCAGTAAGATTCATGAACATTATCTCAGACATTACAACGGGAGAGTATATTGTACCTTAGGAAAGTACGCAGCACAATTGGTCGCAAAGCAGTGATGGACAACCATTGAAACGTAGTCGACGTGCGCGTGAACACCGTGTTCACACAGACCACAGTTGTTCTGGAAGAACGTAAGCACGGAAGTATGGGTGAAGATGAATGAGAGCCTACCTGGTCTAGCAAGGGCGACTCTGGAGGTAAGAACCATAGACACTGGCAACATTGCATGCTGTCAATGACTTGGATGCACTTTCCTCTCGATGGAAAGATGATTGAAGACATCGAGACTGAGGCGCTGAGTGCAGCACTGGCAGGAGAGAGGGCGATAGAGATTGGGGCTTGTTATGACGCATTTTTAAAGTCCAAGTAGTCAGCAGAAGTACACTTGGGATGGGCGATAGTATATGGGGCAAAGGAACAGAGATGTAGTCCATACCATCATGTACGTCACAAAACATGTGCAGTAAATGTTAGATTGGGAGATGGGAGATGAATAGGGACCGACATCCAGGGCCCTGGACGTTTCTCGCGAAAGACTCCAAAAGACCAGTTTCGGGGTCCTAGTAAGTCAGTTAGACCACGTTGCAGATTCCGAGGTCTGGGCAAAAAGTTCTGATAGAACCAGTTGAATTCCACAGCGACCTCGAAGCTTGAAACCTATTCCTCTTTTCTTTTTGCACTCTTTCTCAGAATCCAGACATGTTGGTTTGCCACGAGTCATGGTTACGACGTTTCCGCTTTCAAACAGCTGGCCCCGATAGCAACGGGTTGGATGACTGGCGGCTGGGATTCCTTTAGAGCGGCTGCATCCAGATTACGGCCCATTAGACACTGATGCAGGGTAGCAGGTCGTTCGTTTTTGATCTGAATTGTCGACGGACGGTAAGCCTTTCCTCGGTTACTTCCGTCATTATAACGTGCCTGACCGATTTTATTTCGGAAACATCGCCTCTTTGATCAAGATTTGGCAGCAAAAGGGCGTGACCTAAGCTATCCTTTCGGCTTTTTCTTCAAATTCTTGTCGCAAAGTTTTATCAATCCCTTCAAGCGGACACGCCCACGATGGTTTAAACCTCTGGTCCGACCCATCAAACGTACACCACATGTAGACCCTGCCATAATGACATGCTTTGTGTCGTACATGATGGTATGGACTTCATCTCTGCTCCTTCGCCCTATATATACTATCACCATCCCAAGTATACTTCCGCTGTGACTACTTGGGCTATAAAAATGCGTCACGACAAACCCCAACCTCTATCGCCCTCTCTTCTGTCAGTGCTGCACTCAGCACCTCGGCTTCTATGTCTTCAACTGTCTTGCCATCGAGAGGAAAGTGTATCCAGGTCATTGACAGCATCCAACGCTGCTAGTGTCTATGGTTCTTCCCTCCTGAGTCGCCCCTGTTAGATCAGGTAGACACTCATTTGTGGCCTCCATACCCATGTTCTCGTGCTCATGTTCTCCCAGAACATCTGCGGTCTGTGTGCACGCGGTATTCACCCGCATGCCGACTATGTTTCGATAATCTTCAATCATTATCCCGCGAATCAATGTGCCGCATATGTACAAAAGGTATGCTGCTCCCCACTCCGCACGGTATCCGAAATTCACGAATTATGTTGTAGACGTCTCTTATACAACGTTGCGCCTGTGAAGCACAATTTTGCGAGCATATTGCTATCGATAACTCGTATCGTTTTTTGGATCCATGGACTGTTTTGGACCATTTCAATGATACCATCAATGGTCCATACGCGCGCAGCTTCGTGTTATTCGATTATAACGCTAAGTTCTCTTCCGGCGACACGGACCCGATACCAATCACTCTGGCGCCTATCTTCTCCCCTTTCATCAGTTCCCATACATTCAGCCCTTCCGGTGCTAGGGGAACATCGCTCTCGTTTCCACTTCCTTCCCTTTTATCGATAGTCACCCATCTAGTCTTCAATTGGATACCATACAGGCCGAAGCTTATAACTGTGACGCCTATTCTAGCCAACGTCAGGAGAGCTCCCACTCGCATCAGCTAGACAGCGACGGGACAAATGAGCGTTTCTATTACCATGATCATTCGGATGTGACGTACGGGGCTATACCTGATGCCTGGCCGGGCCCGTACGCTTAGTCCACGACTACAGACACTAACCACAACCTTGTCCTGCCCGAATCTTCGGTACATAAATTTCCCTTATACCTCATTGTGACGGCCCTTGGTATTTCCTCGTCTGCATACGACTCTTGATGTCTCTGCATGTATTCTATATTCTCGTTGCGATCCCTCCTTGTTCTACTCTTCACTCCCCATTCACCACTGATGTTTCGGCTACAGGATATCAAGTCAGATTCCGATCTGTACTCCTCAATTTGTTGGTTTCGATCGTTATATCTCATTTTCTCCTTGGCTTCGTTCTATTTGTCCCCACCTTGCTAGGGATGCATCGATCACCAATCATTTTTCCCCCTCAGAATACGCTATCAGTTCTTTCTCTTTTGCCTATGATACATATTTATCGCTTTGGCTTGCTGTTGTCCGTTTGTCTTCGATGTTTTGTAAGCGCTTCAGTGTTTAAGTAGGATGTTATGGAACCCCACGCGTCCGCTAAAGACCGAGACATACTGACCATTAGTCGACCGCGTAACTTCTCTTCCAGGCCTACTCAATCCTTCCTAATGGTGATGTCGTCTCATGGCAATATCTTTTCGGGAAATCCTAAATTGTTGGAGAGAACTCAGGCCCGGGGAGGATTCCGAGCCAGAATCACCTACTGTTCCCTCCTCCAATTGCGACAGGGCTCAGCTTTTCGAGGTCATACCAATTTGCGGGCTAAAAGAGGGATGCTTTATTCAACTTTTCATTCCATCTCTCCTTTTGTTGCTCCGAGATCGGTAGATCGATCACACTGAAAACGGCTTGGATCGTGATCATCGAGATCATAGATGTCGAACTATAATCAAGATCGTTCCCCGCCCCACCGACCACTACCCCGCCCACTCCCACCGTTGCCCGACACGACGGTGAGCAATGTATAAGGTTTTTATTTTTCTTTAATGCTATTTCGACATGCTTCGGCAGAGGCAGCGAGACACGACAGACACGACATGGAGGACTAAATTTGAATTAAGCTCAAATTGAGCCGGTACGCGTTATTTGCGCTTGTCTTGGTCGGCCGCCGGCACAGGGACCCAAACCTTGAAATGCTACCATCATCATCTATTAACTCGCCGTCTTCATACAACTGCACGTGCACCTACGCTCTGTTCTTGCCAACTAGCCTCTGTACACCTAGACATCTTGAAGATGGCGAATTTTAGTTGAAGGATCACTGGTCCCGCAGGGATCAATTGCTTCATAACCATTTTTCTGGCCCTCGGCCTGAACCTACGTTGGTATCTGCGTAATGAAAATACTGCGAAGAGTATCTAATGAATGACCATTAACGCCAGTTATGTAATTCCTCCGCGACGCGTCTACTTTATTGATCATACGAAGTCGTATTTGTTCAGTGAGTCGCAACGTAACATGCTTCAAATCCTGGTACTTGAATAGATAAGATTTGCATGCCAACCAAAAGAAGGCGCTAATGGGAACACATATGTGCTTCTTTGCAATCGGCATCCGGTGCTGTCTTCTCCCGCTTGATTGAAAAGAAGAAACACTAATATACTACTTCAGCACCCCACTCAATAGCGTCTTTGCGAATTGTCATCGATCTTTATCTTCCATTCGATGTATTTATGTGGCGCCGAAGAGAGAACAAGCCATAGCGGATCGTCATTTTAATCTCCCGTCGTAACAACTTGCTGTGTGTTTGATGAATTTGTTTTCATGCATATGTGCTTATCCCTCCTAAAAAAGGTCTCGCTGGACTAGTACGCTATCATTCATGTTGAAACACTAATACGAGTTACTCGATGTCTGTGCTGAAACTTGACGAAGGGCGACACCACGACTTGAGCTCAAGTACATCTTCATACCTGTCCTGAGATCGCTCGTCTTCTTCATCACTCATACGATCTAGCCCTCCTAGTTCCAACGGCTAAGGAACGAAGTTCAGAACTGACCACGCGACGAGGCCAAACACAGTTTTAGTGCAGGAGATCTGCTTACTGTAATTCCCATGCGAAATTTGATTCCCTGTCCGCAATGCCATCATTTCTATCATCACAACTCACTGAGTATTTGAGCGCCCTTTTATCTAGCTAACTTGAACGAGGACGTTGGGGCACTGCGATATCGTGATCACACTGCTCTCCTATCTTTCTCGCAGTCTGCCTATTTTTATTATCTGGTCAGTAATCTGTAAGTTGTTCTAGTCCATTCCCGCTCGTCGAATGTGTTCACAATGGTTTTAGGTGTATATTCACAAGGATGGTCGGAGGCAACAACGCTTTGAGTGTTTAAGCCAAGTCCCCCGAAGAGGGTACTGGGGTACAGCAAACATACGCTGAAACGACAAATTCGCGATCAAAACAAAACAAAATCTGTATCGCAATGCTACCTTGATTCCCTACCAGAGTAACTCTCAGTATTTGAAGGCTCCTTGTAGGACTTAGCGACGACGTTTCCACATCCATACCTACCGGCGCTTTGGGGGGGCAGCGCCGCCGGCTTGAACCCATCGCTGATCTTTATATTAGTTTTGGTCTCCATCATGATCATCCTATTAGGGAAGTTAGAGACTTGAATTTGATAACCGAATCAGATTCGTAGTCGAATTATGTGACTTCGGATACGGGAGCTGCCTCCGCCATCTCTACCTTTACCGAGCGCTCCCTACTTGATACTGTACTTCCGAAACTCCGACTTCATGTGAACCTCCTTTGGATGGAGCTCTTGATCTGTGCTGTGATTACTACCATCAGTACTGGCGATGAACACCCCATACACATCCTACACGCTACGATCATGATATCACCCACCCATCGCGACCCACATCCAAGGCCAAAAGGCGAAACGTTTGGTCTTCTTCCCAACGATTGTTGCCTGCTCTCTTTCCTGCCATGTCTCTCTCACTCTTTCGAATGTAAGCCAGCGTCGCTTGCTTGTTTGCTGTGAATGTAATTAACACCAATACGCAGGTGCATATTAGCAATCATCCTCCCTCTCGCGCTGTCCCTAAATATTTCGCTGGATGGCCCCGCAGTATTGTTCCAGAGGACTCCTATAAACTTGCACTGGACGTCAGGAGACCCTGATAAATTCAATCTTGGTGTATACCAGGGAAAATTGACCGAGGACGTACCAAATCACCACTTATTACACGTTCCCGTGAACCAAGTCGTGACACATTTCACACAATACAAAGTCGTCTATATGACCTTCAATATCTCTTCGCCGAGCCCTGTTGTGAAGGACTATATTCTGCTGGCTTGGATCAACGGGTACGCTTCAGGTGCCATGCATTTAGGTTTCTCTTTTGAAAAGATGATCTTAAGACACCATAACAATTATGCTAATAGCTCCTGGTTTACGGTGGAATTAAACACGACTCCAACACTTATTTCCACCTCAACAATCCTCGGTACAACTGTTACAGCCAGTACCTCTTTGGCAACAACAGAGTGTGTCCTGTCATATCGAGTCCCTCATATCCCTGAATGTTTTTCACAGGCTTGATCCTCAGGCAGGACAAACAACAACGGCATCGACATCCAGTGCGCAGACTAAACCCAGTTCACATACGGGGGCTATCGTAGGTGGCGTCCTCGGCTCACTTGCGCTTTTGTGTATCATATCAGGTCTCGCACTTTTCATGCTGCGCAGGCGACGAAGATCGAGAAATTCAGCGCCGTCGCGTGCTTTTTGGAAGTATCTGGATGAGAAGAAGGGTCCACAGAGCCCTGAGCCTCTTCAGCATCCTTCGCCTGCATACTCCCCAGCTGTACGAGTCCGCCCGCTGTCCCTTCGACAAGAAGATTACTATCACAGGATAAAGTGATGAGAGAAGAGTAGTTCTTGTTGTGGAGTATCAGGCCAAGAAGTTTGTGTAAAGTAATGTGGTGTTTCGACGAGATGGCGATACGGCGGCGATCAGTTCCTACAAATGTATGCTGCAAGAATACTTCTTTTTGCAATAGAGAGATATGATATAGAGCAATAGCCTTGTCAAGTCTTGACCGATTTCCTCAGCTATCGTGTCAATCTATCAATTCCGAGTCCGTTCCCTGAGCCCCGGTCGGCAGTAAGTGCCTCGTGCCGAACTTGGCATTCTTCTAGGTACAAACGTCTGCCTTTACCTTAATTGGCGCCAGCGTCGACAGCCCCATGCGCTGTGTTGCATGATATCAAGGCCGGTGATGATTCGAGTGTGGCTGAGACAACTTTGAGAGCGCTAATGGTCCGTGGGAAAACTTTCTAAGAGATGCTGTAATCGGTTGATGATCATTGCCCATTGGTTCACATCCTGCTACCACCATTAGTACAGTCGTCTTCGTTGCCGCCCTACAAATGACTTCAACTTCCATCCCACTCTTTCGCGATACGATAACGATCAATGGCAATCGCACACTGGGACCGTTAAAGATGCCTTACAGAGCTCGATGCCTAGAGGCTGACGGTAGTAACCCCTGCCAATGCCAATGGTTCACTTCACCTCCCTCTCTCGCGGCAAGCAAGGTGGGCTTTCGTCAGGCTGTTATGCTCATTTTCTGTGTACTTACATACTGCCAGTTTACTTGCACCGGGTGCGGGCATGGTATTCACTCGCATGCCGACTACGTATCAAAGATGGTTCATTTTTGCTCCCCGACTCACTGTGCCGCCTATGTCCAAGAGGTACGTTCTCCTCGTCATAGCTGTGAACAGCGCTCATACTCTGTATACTCTAGACACCTCGCACACAAGCGTGCACCTGTACTGCCATGCTTGTCAGCCATAGACCCATGCAGAACCCTTATCGCATCCCTGAGGCTCAGGCTCTGATGGAGCAGTTATCAGACCAAGAGGTCGCCATGCGCAACGCTCAGCTTAGAAAGAGCCAACTTCCCTCCGGCGACGTGGCCAAACCCCTTCCATCCACCAGCGCTGCTCCTGCTACCGTCGCTACCGCAACTGATCAACCGGATGCCACTCAGGTCAAAGCTGATGTTGAGCTTGAGAAAGATGCGACCTTCATCCAGAGTCAGATGAACGATTCTGGCTCAGTAAACGGAAGGTCTGGCCAATACTCCTTGGTGGGAACATCCGGTCAACATGAAGAGAGCGACGTTGGATGCGTGAGACTGCTCGGGCGGCTCTGAATGTTGATGTTCAGTACTACAGCTAACCGTCAGTGCACATGTACACCTATTATGCTCATCGGCATTTATCGATTGGAGGGCCATGTACACCATGTCTGCTTCTTGACTGCTACTCTTTAACTTCATTGTTACCCTTTACCCGACGACTTCCACATACAACAGTACCAGTCTCATCTGTATTGGACCCATATTCGTTTGCCTCCATTACGTTCGTCTTCCTTTCGGTCATCGCTACTCTTCAGCAGACTTCATCTTCGATAGCAATCCCTCTGCTTTGATCTGATTCTGCTGCTTTGAATTTCTGTTTTCTTCTTCAGTTGTATCTATCTGTATGGTTAACAAATAGTTTTGAGATCGGTACGCCGAGGAGAAAAGCTGAAACTCCACGAGGGTAACTCGCATGATATATATAGTAGTTCATCCGAAGAACTAGCAAAAGTCCATGATGTTCGCCCTAATGACGTTTAACTAGCAAAGCAACACCAACATACTGTACAGACAGATAACAAGATCAAAGCAAACGATTCGAAAGCGAACTGGTAGTACATAGATCCCGACAAAACTGGTGATAAATAGATACAAAAAAGAACATAGAAAACGGAACATAGCTACTGGAAACGGTAAACAGCGAAATAATACGAGGAATATGAGGTCCTGTCTTGTGATGGAGATTGGTGGGAGAAGAGCTGAGCGGGGAAAATGGGAATGGGAATACACCAGGTGCGCACGGCGCAATTGATTGGACGTAGATATTGTTTTGGGCTATGGATGGATAGGTAGAGAATAGCAAGGATCAAAGATCCTGGCAACCTGTCGCCGGCATAGGTTAAGCGTGTGAGCCTGGCCAGGCGTCCGCGTCAGGCGTCGCGCTGTATATCACATTCGGATCGTTGTGGTAATATAGACTCTCATCCGCCGCGTCGCCGTCTGGCTGACGAGTGTAGGAGTTGATGAAATGGTCCGGATATTGAACAGAGTGATGGTCGGAGGCATAAGCTTGGGTCTGAGTGATATCCGATTGGATATCGGATGGTGCGCTGTTGGTAGACGGGGAGAAAATAGGCGCCCCAGTGCTCAACACGAGGTTCGCATCGTGAAAAAAGGTGATAGTGTCGGAAGAGGCAGAAGGAGAGGACATGATGAAACTGGGGGTGGATGGATTGTTGATGGCGTCGTTGGAAAAGCGGATCGCGTTGGCATCGGAAGAAGGGCCATCGATGTCCGAGAAATTGCCCATAACATTCCGTGGCTCCACAGAACGAAACCAGTTATTGATAGCGACATGATCGCTGAGCCAGGCTTCACAGGTGCAGCATTGCGTCAGAGGCGTCTACAAGGCAGGCTGCATGAGTTCAAGACGCTGTGCAAAGTAGGGAGTAGCATACCTTTTGGACATACGCCGCACACTGAGTTTGGGGATAATGATCGACGACCATCGAAACGTAGTCGACATGGGAGTGAATACCATGTCCACACAGACCGCAGATATTCTGGGGAGAGAGTAAGCAAAGGAGTACGGGTGGAGGTGACTAGAGTCTACCTGGTCTAGCAGGATGGAAGCAGGAGGGGTGAAGCATGGACAGTGACAGTGCTGGACGTTGTCAATGACCTGGGTGCACTGTCCTCGGGGGGGTAAGGCCGTTAAAGGTGAGAGTGACATTGGACTAATAGTGAAGGGGATATACGCTGAGGATGCGATGGTACTTGGGGTTCATCTCGACGCATTTTTAAAGAAAGGAGTACAATCGGCTGCAAAAAAGAGTCCGGGGATATAATATCAAAAGTCAGTCAGGGGAAGTAATAGGGGAAGTATAATAGGGGAAATATACTTCCCCTATTACTGATGGGAAGATAAGTATTCTTGGGAAGTCAAGAATACTTCAGAGAATCGACCCTGATGGAAGACTGACCGCGCGTCCCAAAGAGGCAGGAACGGTTGTGAGCCATCAGTCCTTCAGATCCTCACCCATCTTGGGCTCCCTCACAGCGCCTCTTGGCCGAGACCTATCTGAGCCGGCTGTTTACTATTGATACGTTCGCCCAATCCACCGCGATTGCCCCTCGCCCTCTCACTAGTACTGCATACAGTGATACAAGGCCCCAGCCTACCGACTTCAGGCAGGAACCCTACGTCTGGAGTCGCAGGCCTGATAACAACTATTACCGGACGAATTATAGAGGCTTTGATCATGGCGAAGGGAATTGGAAGAGGAAAAGAGTGAGAAGGTCAGTAGGCAGGCGCTATAGTACGCATCTCCAGATGCCGACTCTCTACTCTTCACGCTGACACCCATTTCTTCGCCACTGTTGTCTGATACCCTTGGAATGCTCTAGAGACGGTCTTCCGTCGCCTACAGCCCACTCCCCTGTTCCCGCTCCCACTTTTATCACTCCCGAACACCAGCACCAACACCAACACCGATATTCCCTCCAAGTATATCAGGAGTTCCATGCATTATCCATCTTTATTACCAAAAACACCACGGGCTCTGCCATGGCTCATCCAACGTTTTTCTTTTACGGGGAGGTTTTCCTGGCTGGAGACGGCGCGCCGGCGTGAGCTCGACAACGGGGTGGTATGTACACCTACTAACATATCAGTTCTGAGCTCTTACTATTCTCTCCCATAGAATGATGGCGGTCGTCAAAGCCGATGAATCAGCGATAATGAAGTATCGCGGATTGGATGCGAGGCCAATTTTGGAGTCAGCATTGGACGCGGATGTTGGTGCTACCTTTTCACATACGAAGTCAGGGGGGCGCGTTTTCAGGACGAGCGAGGCGGAAAGATAGACAAGGAACAAAATCCATCGATGACCGTTTCCTGCCCTTGCGCGCGCAACTCTCCACTGTACATCCAAATCAGTCATCTTCCACTCTCCCTATGTACCTCGATCGTGTGTCCGCGTTCGTCATAGACGTCGTAGATCTTTTGTTGTCAGTTCGATTGTTCTCCTCTACCAACGTTTCTGTTTTGACTCATTGCTTTCTTGTAGTAAACCTGCTATTCCGACAGAGCGTTAGTGAAACTGACTTGGCATTCGCTGCTAAACAGGTGCATCGACATCGATTGGCGACTACATTACCATTTTGCCTGTTTCTTGTCTGCTTCCTATATTGTTGCACCTTACAAGTTTGCTCACTTAACTTGGACCTTTGTATTCGTTAATCATTGAGGGAATACCCTGCCGGCCGCTGTAGTCTCTTTCGGGTACCATTGTCTACCCGGCTCCATGTTAATATCATTTCCATCGCTTAACATTTGGTATACGTACTAGCAGAATCCAGAACTATTGTCCACACCCGTGGTGTTCGCTGCACCGATATTTACATTCCAAAACATTTACACGTGTTGAAAACCAATGAATAACAGCAAAGCAATAAGCGTAAATTACAAAGCAAAAGAATTGATACCGAATTGAAAATTTATTTCAGCAGTACTAGTTACATATACAACAAAGAAGAGAATGTAGAGACTAGAAACAACTAGTAAAGAAAGAGTCGAGCGGAGAGAACATAAGAATGAGATTTTTTTGGATGATCATCGATGGATAGGTGTAAGTGAATTGAAGACGCCGAAAATTTGGAGGATGAAAGCGAGCGTTAAGATGCTGTTGCAGCCATGGACTATGTGTGCGGACCTGGCCAGTCCTTGGGCGTCGGACAGTAGATTATATCTGATCATATAAATTCTCATCCGTTGCGCTGCCATCTGACTGAAGAGCATAGGAGTTGTTCATGAAATGGTGCGGAAATTGAACGAAGTAATCGTCTGAGCTGCTACTAGCAGAAGGTGAGGAGATGGACGTAGGGGTGAGGGGAACGCTCCCCGCGTCACGGGAAGGGCTGAATGCGTGGTTGGGACTGGGAGAGAGAACAGGCGCAGCATTGATTGGCATGAGGTTCATGTCGTGAAAAAGGGCGTCGGTGTGGGAACCGGCAGATGGAAGGAGCATTGGATTTGGCGTGAACGGTCCATTGACGGCGTTGTTGTAAAAGCTGGTCGCGTTGACACCAGAAGAAAGGCCAATGTTGTCCATGAAAAAGTTCAAAACATCCCATGGTTCTGCAGGACGATATGGGTTATTGATAGCGACGTGGTCGCAAAGCCAAGCTTCACAGGTGCAACATTGTGTCAGAGGCGTCTATAGCGCAGGCTACATGAGTTCAAACTACCGTGTCAAGTAGGGAGGAGCATACCTTCTGGACATAGGCCGCACACTGAGTCGGGGGATGATGATTAACGACCATCGAAACATAGTCGACATGGGTGTGAATACCGTGTCCACACAGACCGCAGATGTTCTGGGATAACGTGAGCAAGGGAGTACAGGTGAAGTTGACTAGAGTCTACCTGGTCTAGCAGGATGGAAGCAGGAGGAATGAAGCATGGACACTGACAGCGTTGGATGTTGTCAATGACCTGGGTGCACTGTCTACGGGATGGTAACGCCGCTGAAGACATTGGACAAGTGCTGTTGCTGAGGGAGATGATGGAGGATACGATGGCAATCGAGATTCATCTTGCGCATTTTAAGGTCCTAGTGAAGTGAAGTCCATTCAGAGCTACATGCCGTGACCAGATTCATCTCAGCGACTGCTATGTGCACGGGTTTTTCGAAATCCGATTGCTCGATTCATGCGCGTGAAACCCAGATATAAATATCCCACCACGTAAGCGTGTCCTAATTATGGCGTCAAAACGAGGCAGATTAGGTGCAAGGTGGTGCGGAACGGTAGTACAGGTGGTGTGGACGACCTGGACGACTGTCACTCGTCACGCGTCACCTTTTGAATCCCTGCCTGCCCTGCCCTGAATCCCTGCCACGCCCACACACATCACCTTGAATTTGCTCAGAATTTATCACCTGGGGATTTTGAAGGCGGGGCTTGGAACAGATGGACTAGTCACGTCGTGGAGACGAGTAGAGAACGGTATCTCTGCCCTCGCCTACACTCCTTGGTCTTCAGTCCCGTCCTCACGGTTTCCATGGAATATACTAGAGACGGCGTCCTCCCAGTTCATCGCTGTCGCTTAGGCTGTCTTTCGGCTGACTATAATCACGTCTCTTCGGTCACGCCAGGAAATCCTGGAATTATCCCTCTCCTGCTGGAGCGGAATGGGTGACCCCGACCCTAATGGCTCTTTTATGATGGGAGTATTTCCCCTGACTGGTCCCGCCTATTTTGGCTCATTCACTATTCACGAGGACTGAGACGGCGCCGTTGAGTAGTCAACGTATGTTTCCTCTATTACCCAGTCCTTTCAAGTTCCATACTTTACATAATGGCAATCTGGCTGTCATTACTATTAGACCAAGAACGCGACACCTTAACAACTACTTGATGTCCGATATCCTCGAACGATACTAGAGTCACGATTTGGATACAACGCCGAACTTGGAGCTCAAACACGTCGGCGGTGTTGAATGCAGATGTTTGCTACTTCTCAGTGCATTATAATATAACTCGGGTAACACGTCCTCAGGATTGGCGAAGCACAAGAGGAAGAAAACACATCGGCAACGGCAACTACTTACCGCCCCTCATGTCCGCACCCGACTCTCTCAACTACACCATCCCTCTCTCTACTGGCAGGTATCTGTTTCTCCTGCCTGCTCGCAAAGACTCGTTATCTTCGTCTCTCAGCGATGAACGGGATGAACGTAGACTTATCACAAATACAGCCTGACGTCATCCTACAGGATCAATAACTCCCCATCTAATTTCCCTACTATCCTCCAGGGACAGGGTCTGACGATTTTGCTGAGAGAAGGTCCATAGGAAAGGCAGAAGGGATAAGTGCTTGATGGCGCGGAATTACCGCTCGCTCGGTGAATTCGATAACGTGGATGTATATCCTCCCTCCTTAATCGCTGCGCGGCTGTCTCTCCATCGATCGCTTTTCGACAAACTCTCAAGCGTCAGCGACTTCTTCTGAAGACGCAGCAGCTGTTTTACGGTTGGCCTAGTAGTTCTTTCTCGCCGGGGTGTTTGTATTGACTGTTTCCTTTCTTCTAGTAATGATTGTGTAATCGTTATGACACACTATTCCCACTAGGCGCTTATTATAAAGACATTGTCGAGGCCAATTCTCAACAGGCACTACAGAGCACGAGGTCGCTGACAGTAGCAATGTCTACGGTTCATCTCTCTCTTGTCGAATATGGTAGGCTTTCGTTGGGCTGTGCTGCCTGTTTATTAACCGCCACGATATCAATAGCACTTGTACAGTTCGCTTTAGATGTAAGAACGTACCTGTGCAGCCCAGCGGGACCCTGGTTGAAATTCTCGCACCATGATTCCATTACGTTTACCTACACTGCTTCTCTACAGCTTGAAATCATCTGCGGGTGCTATCCAAAACATCGAGAGTCTTTATGATGTCAACCTGGCCGGCGCTTCCGGATCTCACGCTGTTTACTCTGCCGCCTGTTTTCTCTCTTTCTCTCAATTTATCCACTGATCATTACTCAAGCATTCTAATTGTTCTTGTGATTATAAACCCCTGGACAGTATATCACGACTCAGATAGTGATGCGGCGATCTTGGAACGGGAGCCTCGAAGTATCGCCCATCCAGATGCGGCGTCATTACAACACGACTCTCGAAGTCTACGTAGGCTTACGCTGAGTCTCTGGAAACACCTTCTCAATATCAAGCATGTGGTTTTCTCCTTTTGTTACTGTTTACCATGATCGCATAGTTTTACGTCTTTGGTATCGATTCCATCACTTTGGTCTACAATATCTGTATTCACATATTGCTTTGAACTATTGTTTTCCATCTCCGTCGTATTCGGGATTGACATACGGAGTATCAGAAAGATACTTAAGTGCCATGGAACAGGCGCGCCCATCAATTCGCTGTGCAGCAGACTGAACGCATAGGAAGGGCTGGTCTTGTCCGTGAAATGGTCCAGGCTGTAGTCAATGGCGTATCAGTTGCTCGTCCCTGACTTGTCCTAAATAGGTCATCGACGCGCTTCATGGACGACACTGCCACCGATCAGTGTAGTCTTTTGGCAGATGCAGAACATATTAGCTCAGACTGTACCACCTACTGACTGCAGGAAGGACACCTGGTCCCGAGGGATAGAGAAAGAAATACATCTCCCCACAACGAGATGTCTCTTTGCGAGCGTGGTCGTTCCTGCCTCATTTCTTTAGCATCCCGAGATTCCTTCTTGAACATCCGTTGTCAAATTAATTCTGTCGCTTTGGTCTATGTTACGGAAGCGTGATAGTGACTTATCACGATATGATCGCTATGAAGGCTACTTGGATCATATATACTTCATCGTAATCGGGGGAAAACGTAGCGTGTGTCGCGGAACTATCGAGCGCTCCGGTCCGATGGTGTTCATTAAAATGATGATTGCAACAAGTAATGCAAGAACAAAATTTAAACTATAAATGTAACGGACATGAATCATAAGCCACAGTCCATCTCGACAGAATTGGTGAAAATACAACAAAGGCAAAAAATGAAATATAATGACTGAAAAAATCGATCCATAGACGAGATATATACGAGTCCGAGTGATTCAAAGTCTAGGATCTTCATGACTAGCAAGCAATCCGAGGTACGGTACTAGAAGTAAACAAACAGTACTCGGTGTGGTGAAAGCCGAGTGTTCAAAACGCTCAAACACAACTCTAATAACTACAGATAGCTACCTCTTGTCCTTTTTTAATATCAATGCACTGATTTTTATCATGTCGTCGTGTCAGGTTGACGAGAGCTTCATGATAAATATAGATATGGCTGTGGTCCTGCCATAGACCTCAAATATTGGAGACTCGATGTCTTTGAGTCCTTTGGCTGGACTTAGTCATGTTGACTCGTCGGTCTTCATATGCGTCTGGAAGGATTCGGGAGGCAACCTGAGTATTCTCCATTTGCGGTAATGCAAAAGCATATGAGGGTCTGGATGTGATGCAGACAATCGTCTCTCCACTGCGACCATCTTCCCCTCAGTAAGTCCTTGGTAGGGTGGTCAGAAGAAGCTAACACCAAGAACACAAAAAATCAATGAAAGAACTGCTCCAGTTCGGGATCCGAGAAGCTAAACAAACCATGTCGCTTCTTTAGGCTTCTTTTCGTTCGCAGCGAATTTGAAAATGCCAAGTGGTGAATGCCTTTTTGAGTGGATTTGCTTCCGTAGATGGTTCCTGGTTGTTCCTGGGCACAATCTTAGATTGGATCTAGATACCTCCGGGTGTATATATGTGATACAAAAATAGCTCAGAAAAGCTATCGAGCATGGATTATCATAGAGGCCATCTGTCGGGCGGATGAAGAAAAGATTATGGGTATGCACTATTTTCCAAAGACGAGATTGGAAGGATAGAGGTTCCTGTCCTGCGCGCTCTCGTCGTATTGAGTCGATTCTCTGCTTCATTGCAAAACGATCTGTAGACGAATTGAGCGTAGTACTAAGAGAGTTTGATTCAGGCTGGAGTTCAAGTAAGTCAATGTTGTTCCTCACCAATAAGAAACCTGAGTTTGATGACAAGTGTACGCTCTCTTCTTATTGATGTGCAGTTCTGGTTCTTATAAACGTTATAGTATCTAGAAACCGAGGGAGATTCGATAAAATATAAATACAGATGATAAGAAACTATTGATACAACAAGAACGGAAGTGTCCAATGACAAACACAGAATCTAACAAGACGTAGCAGGACTAAAATCAAATTTGAGATTTCCGTTGTCATCATAAATGCCATATCCCGGTTCTTGTGCATCAGAATAGATGTGCGCGAACCATCCGACGCCACCACCCTGAACTGCTTTGAAGTAAGAGCACATCGAATCGAGAAGCTTGTAATAATCCTGGGACGTGAACATGAGAAACAATTTGTACATGGGCAGCAGAACTGAACTGACCGATTCATTTTGAATATCAGCTACTGCATTAGGGCTGTTAGGTTGTACACCTTCGGACGTGACCGATGGCCAGCCGTTCTGGAAATCGTAAAGAAACGGATCAGTGACCGTGGTAAATGGCCAAGGAACAGAGACTGACCTCGGACAGGTAGATTTTCTTTCCTTCACCATTATTAACGAACTTATTCAGCATAAGACCTGGATTTCTCTATGAAAAATCTCAAAACTTACCAGTTCAAGTCGTTCAGAACGATAGGCCAGGACGCGCTCGCTAGAGAATGATGCGTGAGAAGTGATCAAAACACGTCAATCAGACTTACCAGTAGAAGCTTGCTGGGAAAAGAAAGGCAGCATGTGTGCATCAATTAAATCAATGGCGTTAAGAACGTCCTTCGCGCCGCCGCGTTCCTAGAAGAAGTTAGTGGTGATCAAAATGAATATGGCATCGCTCGGACCTGATATCCGTACCTAGATATACAAGATTTTTAATGAGACGAGGTCTATAAAAAGCAGAAAAGTCGAGCAACTCACGCCATGTCCGAGACAGTAACAGGTATACCCAAGCTCGATAGATTGTTTTTGGCAGCCAACACCTGAGCAGCGAGATCCTCCTCTGAAAGAACATTATCATAGAGGGGCTCCGAGCCAAACTGGACCGTTCGCGTGACGAACTTGGCCTTGGGATTCGCGTGTAGTGTTGCAAAGAGAGTGTCACGACGAGTTTCCCAAATGTTGTCACCGTCAAATCCGAACTGACTGGCATGTGTCAATTTCCATATAGATAGCATGTGAGTATACGTACCCAGATAAGAGCGTGTACGCCTAGATCTGCTCCCCAGGCAGCAGTTATAACATTGTCACTATGGGTTAAATTAGTTCATCTAGGACAAAAAGAGAAGGCAATTCTCGTACTAGAACCCATCCCTATCGCAAGCCCCGTACATGCGGACATAGCGACCGTTGAACCTTTGCCGAATGTCCGTGAACTCATTTTGAAGCTGGTTCAAGTCCTGACCTGCAAACGATATTAGCAGAGAACGTTATATGACGAGAGGCGCCGACGTACAAGCCGTGACCTCATAGCTGAATCCAACGAATGCGTATTCTGTGTTCATGTCGCACCACCAGTCGTCTGTCGTGGATGGTGGTGTCGCAGGCATGTTGAATCCTATCGCAGGAAAACAATTTGGTGGTTGAGTAGCGGCCAAAGTCAGGGAGAGGAGAGGCATGAGGACAAAGATTAGTGCAATCATGGCAGAGGTAGGGAATAGGATCCATGCCACCATGGAAGTATATATACTTCCGTGGAGGTACTGCTAAACATGGCTCCTATACTCGAGGGGCTACATCTAAAATAGCATAAACATCCAAAAATAAAGGTTTGACACAGTGCCTGCGTGTTCGCATCCCGCATCTGCGTAGAGCCCCTACTCCTGGGCCACGACACCAACACCTACTATCACGGGCGGTGAAAAAATATTGTAGATCGAACCGCACACGAATCCTCAACGGTCAAGACAACTAAAACTCCCCATCAGCTTTCTCAATATCCTTGTGGATATTGAGACAATTCATTCCATAGTCCACCAAGTCCATTGATTCCCTGAACTCCATAACTGGGACAGAAGAACAGGCTGAGAAGAAGGAAAAGGAAATGAAATGTCTTGACTGGAGACAGAATCAACAAACTAAGGAATTGAACCAGGATCGGTATACTGACTGGCGCAGAAAGAATCGAGCCGGGAGAAATAGGAATGAGAATACGCTACGCATAGAGTTTGTCGGATGGTCTTAACAGAACATAGCAAGCGGATGGGTAGATGACTTGGAGTGGGTGCGCCGAGGATTTGGAAATGAAAGAAAACGCTGGACTGAGTGTACGGCTCCGACCTGGCCTCGGTCGTCGCACCGTACATCATATCTAGGGGACAATACTGATACTCGAAAATTTCGTTGGTTGCGCCGCCGTCTGGCTGACAGGGGTAGGGATTGTCCACGAAATCGCCTGGGTATTGGACAGAGTAATCGTTTAAGCTTCTGATTGATCTCTGGTAAAATACCCGATTGGGTACTACCGGCCGAAGGAGAGGCCATGAATGGAGTGAGTTGAGTGTTGCCTACATCACCGGAAGGTCCAGATACATGCGGGGACTGGGGGACCAAATAGGTGTGGCAGTGATTGGACGAGTTTCGTGTCGTGAGATAAAGTGACAGTGTCAGAATTGATAGACGAAAAGAGTATCGAATTTAGGTGAATGGGTCGTTCAAGGCGTCGTCTGCACGGCAGGTCGCGTAGACATCAGAGGAATGGTCACTGCTGTCCGGAAAATGATCCAAAACTTTCCACAGCCCGGCAGAACGACACGGGTTGTCGATAGCGATATGGCCGATGATTTCTGAGGGTAAAGTCAAGTTCCACACGTACAACATTGTCAGAGGCTAACGTCGGCTGCATGAGCTCAAGCTACCCTGCACAGTGGGATTATACCTTTTGCACACATGCGGCACATTGAGTCGGCGGGTAATGTCCCACAACCGAAACGTAGTCGACATCGGCCTGCAGATGTTCCGAGAGAATGGGACCGCGACACTGAAGGCGAATGAAATCCTACATGATCTAGTAGGGTATTAACGACCCATGGACACTGAGAGCGATGGATGATATGTCAATGGCCTGAATACACTGTGCTTTGGATGGTATGCCTGCTGAAGACGAACAGGGTTTGAAAGTGATATCGAAGAGGAGGGTACCATTTCATGGCCTCATAAGTACGGTGGAGATCATTGGTCTACTATTAGTTTCTAGGAAGCCTCATAGAGGTGGCAAAGTTGAGAGAACGGTACGAAGGCTCAGCGCTCAGGATTTCGCTTCAGGATCGGCGGCGGCTAAGTGGGCGACACTGCCGCACTGCCACAGGGCCGGTTGCCGCAGTTGGTTTCCCACGAATTATCTCCGTGTCGAGTCCCGGATACCAGCGGATACCCATGCTCCATTTTACTTAGGAGCAATCCAGCATACTGGCTATTATCGGTATTGGTGTCGGACATAGTGGATCAGCGAAGCCCTCAAACGAGGTCGCTTTTCTTGCACGCAACGTTACACGTTACCCTTCGGCCTACTCTCACGATGCGTCAACAATGCCTGTTAGCACCGCAACCTTCATATCTGTTCCCTCAAAGCTTGCGTATCGGCGATGACAGCCACGCGGAACACCTCGAACGATACCGAAGATGCAGGGAGAGGCTATCGGGTGCCATCTGGAAGTACACGAGCGTGCGGGCGGGAAGAAGGTCAGGTCGCTGAGCGTCAACGACTAAACAGACTAACACGCCTATTTAGGTCAATTATGTGCGACACTCAAACTCAATATAGTTACGGATGAACCGTGTGACCACAAATAATTCAAGTGGGGCAGTCATATCCCCTTGCCAGCCTCCCTTGGTGCTTCGCCGGCCTATCCTTCAGTATCACTCTCTGCTGCCATCCATGCTAATGCATTAGCCTCCATCTCCATTACAGGGCAACGCAACAGTTTTCTCAAGGGACCCTTCTCATGTTACACTACTAGATGCTAATCCCATTGTCGCCCCATGCATCTCGATTTTCCCATTGCGGGACACAGCATGTCACTTGCTTGCCTTTCCCGCCCTTGCTCAGCGGGTTCTGCAGAGAACCTCACCGCTCTGTAGTCTGTATTTACACTTGTTCAAGGCTGGGGTTGTTTACAAGCTCTTGTCGCGAAAGCTTAACGGTGCCGTCAGGACACTCCTCACTCGGTCTCATACCGGAGAACCACTTGCACAGACATCGTTTGCCATCCTGCACGGGCGAGATCACAAGAACGCAGAGTGTCTTGGGCACGTGGATCATCGAAGGTATCGTGTCTTCCGACCCTCGTTTGATACCTTCTGACATTTCCATAGATTTCACGCGGACTGTATCTAATCATCTTGTCACCCATTCGCTTCAGAATGCCAATTGTATCTAATGTGATCTTCAGGATCCCGACTGTACAATCAGTGCGGAACGTTTCTTGCTTGTCAAAGTCGTTCTTGTGAAATACCATTTGGACTTCAGTGTTTCCTTCGCTCAATAATACAAACCTCTGCATGGCTCGTTCTCCTCGCTATGAGGATTTCCCGGCCAGTATTACATAGACCGTGAATCACGAACAGGCACGGACGAATCCGCATTCGGGCGTGGAACACCATATCCTGCTCGTTTCTATCCTTGTATTGCTGTCTATTTGTACTGAGGTTAGATCCCAAAAGATTGAATACAGCCGCCCATTTGTGGTGGTTAAGCATACGTAACCCCCCTACTGTGACGATAACAACATTTGACGTTCTCTGGAATACTAATAGGTGCCTACCTTTCAGGTTTCAAATATCCAGACTCTATTCAAGTTGTGGGATCTGGAAGCCTCGCTTCTCACACAGGACGGCTCGCTCATCTCCTACTTGGATGAGAGTTCGGTACATTTACTGTGAAGGAACACAGGAACTCACTGGACCGAGTAGGAGCCGGATTAATCAGGTCGTCCGAGTTTGGTAACTTACTTTTCTTGGAGAAACATATCTCCCCCAGCAATATACAATATGCCGACATTCTCTCAATATTGTACCAGTCTCTTCATGCTTCCTACCGCTACATATCACAGAGGGTAGTGCACCCAGACCACTAATACCCAACGCTGTCAATGTTCGTGCTCTACTTCTTCCCGCGCGGCGGTCTCGTACCTCCAGGTAAGAACATTCATCCAGCTCTTCATCCTCCCTCCCTAACTATACTGTCATAACTCCAGTGTGCTACATGTAAACCACGACATCTACTCATGCGCCGACAAAGTGTCCATAGTCGTGCACTACTATCCGCCGGCAGGATGTGCAGCATTTGCCCAAGTGGTATGCTTCTATTTCTGTTTTCTTCCGAGTCCGTTCGCGTTTGATTTCTGGATAGACGTACACGAGTCAGGGATATGCGCGCTTGGCACATCTTGTTAGTCGCGCTGTTGGTCCGAACCCGAGTGTTGTGAATACAAGGCGCTTGCATGGATAGCTATTAATAACAAAGTACTCCGGTGCCGTTGATAAACGCGTTCATCAATTCTCCATGCAGTATGCAATATACCTTAGACCGTTTGTGGGGACGGCGATAAGAAGTCATCACGGTTTCCTCATATATTATCCAAGACGGGGCCTACTTAGATTAAGAAAACATGCCCAAAGTTATTGGGCGTGCCAGCTTTATGGCGATCACTCAGATAATGATTATACAAAACAAATCGATTACAAAGACTGAAGACAACAACTGAGAGTGAGCAACGTGTTGGACATAAATCGTAAACCAAAGTAAAAGGAATTGACAAATCATGAGAGAACTGGTGGAAAATACAGAGAAAGAAACGAAACATAGCAACTAGAGACAGCAATCAGCAAACTAGGGATTGAAGCAGCATTGGGGTGACGATAGGTGAAAGAAGTGTCGAGCTGGATGGAAATCGGAACGAGAAGACACAGCGCGGGCAATTTATTGGATGTTGTTCTGGATGGTTGTCGATGCACAAATAGGAAGGGGATGAATACATGGACTGGGAATGGACGCGCGGAGGATCCGGAGAATGAGAAAATGTTTTGGGAAGCTGTCGCGGTCATGGACTAGATGGACGGGTCCGACCCAGCCTCAGGCGTCGCACCGTGTTTGGCGAATAGTAGTGATACTCGAATTTCTCGCCCGTCGCAACGCCATTGGAGTGGCCTGGGTATTCAACAAAGTATTGGTCTGAGCTATAAGCTTGGACCTGAGCGACATCTGATTGAATACCAGGTGGAAAGTGACTGGCCGAAGGAGAGGGCATGCATGGAGCGAGCGGGATGTTGCCCGCATCATTGTAAGGGCTAGGGGAGAAAATGGGCGCGGCAGTGATCGGGGTGAGGTTCGCGTCGTGATAAAAGGTGTCGGTATAGGAATTGGCGAACGGTGTGAATGTACCGTTGACGACGTCGTTGGAAAAGCTGATCGCGTCGACACTATGAGAAGTGTCGATATCTCCCGGGAAATTGTCCAACACGTTCCATGGCTCCGGAACACGATACGGGTTATCAATAACGACGTGATCGCAGAGCTGAGCTTCACACGTGCAACGCTGGACAAGAGGTGTCTATAATGTATGCGGCGTGAATTCAAGCTACCATGCACAGTAGGGAGGAGCATACCTTTTGGACATAAGCGGCGCATTGAGTCGGGGGATAATGATTCACGACCATCGAAACGTAGTCGACATGGGCGTGAATACCGTGTGCACACTGACCGCAGATGTTCTAGGAGAAAGTGAGAACGCGGGTATGAACGCAGGTGAATGAGAACCTACAGGTTCTAGCAGGGTCGGCACAAAGCATGAACACTGACAGTGCTGGACGTTGTCAGTGATATGGATGCATTGTGCTCGGGATGGTAAGAGTGCTGAAGACATTGGTGATTCGACGAGATTTGCGATGGAAATCGAGGTTCATATTGGTACACTTTATATGATGGACTAAGTAGATGCAGATGTCAATAAGCGTGTCAGATATACCTAATTGGGCAGAAGCGTGGGACTATCGTAACGCTGATTCAACGTCCATGGTTGCCGGAATGACCCCCGACAGCCACCCGGCAACCATGGACGTTGAATCAGCGTTACGATAGTCCCACGCTTCTGCCCAATTAGGTATATCTGACACGCTTATTGACATCTGCATCTACTTAGTATTACGATTTTTACTTTTGGTTGCTGTTTGAAACGTTTTATAATCAAATTGCTTTGGTGTTTATATGATTATTATCTGAGGGAGCGTCTGACGCGTCCAATAATTCTGGGAATTCATGCGCCATGTTTTCTTCAAGTTCTTACTCCGAGTGGCCCTAATTTTAGATAATACATGTTTATACTGTAGGAGCTAGAGGAATTACGTGTATGTTGTGAAGATCAGATACGAAAGAGGGATGACGATATATAGTGCATAGGTATAGGGTATAGGATTCCCGACCAGTATATCAGTAAATAATTGGTGCAGCACCTTAATCAAGCGTTCAGAGCATCATTAGGAGAAATCCAGGTAAGGGAACAATGAAAGAGTCGGCAATGAGAGCAAGATCATAAAGACATGAAAGATCCGGGTTGCCTAAAATCAAGATGTCATATCAAAGATAAAGCTGCCGGAAGTGGTCTAAAAAAAGACAAAGAAGTTGCCCTTTGCTGAGGGCCACTCTGCCCTTAACTTTAGTGCGCGCCTATTTGATTAACTCAATTAAGCGCTCAGAAAAATCTTTAATTTTCTAGCCTTGGTATCAGACGATATTGGAACAGCGTTTCCACTCGGGTACTTAAAAGGACTCAAGTTTGGAGCACAAGTTGAGGAGACTCAGTTGCTATCTCCGAGTCATCCTCACATGTTTCCCTCAGGCTTCAACAACAGCACTCATCCAATGTCTCCGGCACTCCTACCGTCCCGAAAACGATGCATCCATGTCACTGACAACATCCAACAATGTCAGTGTCCATGGTTCGCGTCGCCTCTGTTGGACCCGGTAGGCGCCTGTTCACCTTCACTTATTCCCCTGCTCATGTTCTTCTAGTACATCTGCAGTCAGTGCAGACATGGCATTCACATTCATGTTGACTATTTCTCCATGTTCGTGAATCATTATCCCCCGACTCAGTGCGCTGCGTATGTTCAAAAGGTATGCTCCTCCTTATTGTGTACGGTAGCTTGAACTCACCCTGCATACGCTATAGACGCCTTTGACACAGTGTTGCACTTGTGAAACTTGGCTTGCAGATCATGTCGCTATCAATAACCTGTTTCGTCATGCGGAGCCTTGGAAGGTGTTAGACAATTTCGCGGGAAATAATGACACTTCTCATAGTCTCGACGTGATCAACTTTTTCAACGATGCCGTCAACGATACATTCACACCATCCGCCAATTCCGATACCGACACCTTTTATCACGACGCGAACCCCACCCCGATCACTGCTGCACCTACTTTCCCCCTCAGTGCTCACCATCCATCACGCCCTTACAATGATGTGGGCAACATCCCACTCGCTCCATCCTCGCCCTCTCCTTCGGCCAGTAACACCCCATCCGGTATTCAATCAGATGACACTCAGGCCCAAGGGTATCACTCAGACCATTACTTCGTTCGATACCCGGACCATTTCATGAACAATCCCTATGCTCATCAGCCAGACGGCGGTGCCACGGGGGGGAGTTTCGAGCATCACTACTATTCGCCAAACACGATGCACGGTGCGACGCCTGAGGCTGGGTCGGACTCGTATATCTAGTCCATGACTACGACAGCTTCCTAATTTTTTCTTCCATTCTCCTAACCCTCGGTGTGCCCACTCCTAGTTCGTGTACTCATCCTCTTCCTGTCTGGGCATCGACGACCATCCAAAACAGCATCCAATATATTGCTCGCGTGGTATTTCTTATTCTTATTTTCTTCCGGCTCGACCCTTCCTTCACCCATCGTCACCCCATTGTTGTACAAATTCCCTAGTTTGTTGATTGCTGTCTCTAGTTGCTATCTTTCTTTTCCTTTTCTATGTTTTCCCTCGGATCCTTTGCTTTGGCCTACAATTCATGACCATTACGATTTTTACTTTTGTTCGTTGTCGAAATGTTTTATAATCAAATTGCTTTGGTGTTTATATGATTATTATCTGAGTGAGCGCCTGATGTGTCCAACAAACCTGGGAATTCATGCGCCACATTTTCTTCAAGTTTTTATTCCGAGTGGCCCTAATTTTAGATAATACATGATGATACTGTGATAGTCGCAAGAATTACGTATATGTTGTGGAGATTAGCGCAAGATAAGAGAGGAAAGATGATATACAGTGCATAGGTATGTGGTATATAGATGGTACTTAAAAGGACGTGAAGAGGGCAATGCTCTAATCACAGTCCAGCGGTTTAATGCAGGACATCCAACAATTTATCCTTATGCCAGACAGTCAGCGAGGGAGCAGGAGGCAGACGACGAAGGACAAACCTTTTCCTCCTCCATATCACAGAACATCGTACATGGCTCGCGCTGGTCCTTGAAATCAATAGCAAAAGAGTTGGGTATAGCCTTGAGTTCTTGTAGTTGTAGTAAACAACGACATGACTTTGCCATCGACAGGATGCGTCGTTTGTTTAAAAAAACCAGATAGCATAGTACTTCCAAGAGAGGTGTGATGACGGTTTCCATTCAGCAGATACGAAGGTATCAAGTAAATAGGACTGGAATAGGTATCGTGGTGATGGATGTTCCAGCGTAGGGAGGAGACGAACAGTACAGTCGCAAGAGCAAGAGCAAATATGTTAAGGATTAGGGTAATTTGAGCTAATACCCGAAGTAATGAATACTCAAGTAAAACCCGAGTTGTGAGCGAGGATGTCCGAAAGTCGAGTTCCAACCACCAAGAGGGATCCGTAAGGGTGTTAACAAGCGCTAGGCGTAGTCGGGAAGCAATTGATTGGCAAGCGCTTGGCGTAACCGATCAGAGATGCTTAGTTCACACAATTAAGTGGACTTCGAAGATGAGTAAAATTAGCTTGAGATTCTAATACAATGACAAGTACAATACTTATATACCACTAGTAAGGAATTGAGTCATTATTATTCTAGTATTGTAAAGAAAAAGGGAGAAAGTAAGAGAAAGTAAGAGAAAATGAGAGAAAATACCAGTAAGCCGAGGTCAAGGCCGGGAAGGCCGAGAGTAGGCATGTGTTGACTCATGTACAGACCGGAAAAGACATGAAATCCATGACAAAATATCCTCTGCGTAAAAGATGGGAAAATCGACGCCGACGCCCTTTCCGCGAGTGAACGATTGTGCTCTCGTCTCCGCTCTGTATCAAGGAAGGAGGGACTCGCAGGATTTCGAGAGTTCTATTGACCGACCAGCAGAAGAGGCGAGGATGGATGTGGCAGAGTCGAGCAATGCGAGGCACTTATTATCTCGGGACCATAGTCAGAAGCGTGTCGTGTTCCGAAGCGTAGGCTATATCGGATGCAGCACGTCCAAGTTAATCCTCCGACAAAGACTTTGCGAGGAATTTTACAGTGAGCCCTGCTTCGCGGGTGCGGTGAATAATGACACGACGTCTGTCGTTTAATAACACCAGCCCGTATAGGCCCCGAACGATGGCATAGTACTTCCGAGCGAGGTGAGGTAACAGTTTCCATTTAGTGGATACGAAGGCATCAGGTAGAATAGGTATCGTGGGGCCAGAGGAAGGTGGTGGAGAGAAGACGAACGGTACGGTTGAGAAGAACGAGCATCCTCTGCATAAAAGACGGGAGAAAGTCATAAATTCAGAGTCGACGCCCGGAATGCACATGCCGAGACTGTGCCTAGGTTTTCATCCATAAGATATGACAAAATATTAAGAGTCCGTCACCGTTCGAAGTAGAGATATAACTCAGCGTGTAATCCAAGGATGTAGGCGAGGCAGAGATGCACGCATCCTTCCTATAGATACAAGGACCGTGTCTAACTTCTTGTAAGCAAATTATGAAGTACCCAGTCAGAGGAGCGAGTAAGCATCCATGTAGGGAGGAATATCGAGAACCCAGGAACGCTCGGGTACATTGTAAAACAACGGCCACGATATGGGTTTAGTCAGAAGAGCGACTCGGAGCGTCCTATTCAAGATGACTGTCGAGGAATCCATCGGAGAGGGGTGATGCCTGAGCTGAGATTGTGCCCAGGGGACGGTTTCTATCCAGACGTCCCTGGACAAGCCGTACTAAGTATATCAGGGGTGGTCGATAAGATTGGGGTATGTGGGAATTTGCAGTCGAGGACGAACGAAGAGTCATGTTTGACGAACGGTGCTATAATTTGAAATCAGCATCAGCTGTGAGCTATGAGAGAGTCAGGTCCTCTCCATGGATGTGAGGAATACAAACCCTATTGTCTGTAACCACACTTTGAACAAGCATCGAGTTGTTGAAGAGAGACAGGCAGGTGTCGTGGCAGGCTGATAGAGCACAAGTGCAGATCTTCTCCCAATTGTACCGTGTCGGCAATTCCCCAGCTGTCAACGGTCGAATCACAAATTGAATCTGCACCAGATGGATCGTTGTCACTAAGTACTAAACTGTCGTGCATGGCAACGTACAGTCCTTGTTTTTGAAAACTTCTCTCCTCTGTATTTCTAGGACCAGATGGCGGACGATACCCTGGGGGTGTAGGAGACTATCGTAGATGTTGAGAGCGATGTGAACTGGTGAACGTTTCCCCTGTGTTACGATGTATGAGTCATTAACTTGCGGACGTGCGGGGCAGGATGTTATACACGTATACGTCGGGTGAAGGAGGAACGGAGGCGCGTGGAGGAGCAGGAGGAGAGGGGCCGCCGTGCGAGGATTGAGCGAGATATGCGCATGAGTACCGAAGCTAAGCGACGCAAGAAGGAGGCCGAGGAGAGAGCCGAGGAGAAGAAGCGTGAGTTGGCCGAGAGGCGGGTGAGGGAGAGGGAGAAACGTTTGAAGGAGTATCGTCATTTAGAGCAGTGGCGTGCTGAGCAGGCGAGGATCAAGGAGGAAGAACTCGGGAAAGAGGAGGCTGAGAGAGCCAGGGAGCGGGGCGAACGCAATAAGAGGGTAGAGCAGATGGCGGCCCGAGTCAAGTGGGATAAGACAAAAAGCATGCTCATCGGCTGGGCTACCATTCAGATCATTAGCACGAGCAGAGACAAGGGCAGGGCAGTAGAGGAGATGGCGCGCAGGGAGGCGGACTGCTTAGACGTGCGGTGTGACATGGCACTTGCTTCAGATTGGCTATGCACTCTAGATACAAAAATAAAGCATTGTATTATATACACACCATTACTGAATCCAAGTCTAGCTTTAGTCAGTACAAGACGCATCCAGTCCGAACTGAAATTGAAGGTCAGACGGTCATAGCCGGACTCAGAAAAAAGTAAACTTACCCTCCGTGCACGCATGTGCACACATCCTCCCTCCCGCGTTGTCTTCCTCCCAGTACCGTCATACTCCAGAACTTGCTCGCCGGACGACGATACATCGTCTCGGGCCAAATTTCCCCCAAGGCAAAGCTTCGACTGGTTCGACATGTCGCCGGCAGGTCGTCTCTCGAAGGAGAAGAAAAAGTCGTGTAGCTAACACTACAGACTGATGGGTCCTTGAATCATGGAGATGGCGAGCGTATGAACTTACAATTTCTGGTGCAGCAGCCGCCCGCATCATCCTCCGTTCCGCCATCTTTCTCATGCTCAGTGCTCCACCTCATCCTTAACTCCGTCTTCACATGTTCACACCTGACCTTGCTCGCGGGACGACCATCCGTCGTCTCGAAACAAAATCCCAGTTTCCTGGCGTACAGTCCGTATCAGTGTGTCAATAGCCCAGGCGCATCACCCACATCAAGTGAATGAGGACGTGGAGGGGAGGGTCCAACATCGATCTCTGCGGAGGGTGTCTGTGAAGACTCCTGAGTGCGCACGAGAAGTGAGAAGACTTACCACTCTTCGGTCTTTATATATCCCTGCATCCCTGCACACCCCTCCATCGACCACCGTTGCCCCCGCAATGATTCCCGCACTTATTGCTATTTCGAAAAATGATGAGATTCTCAAAATAAAATAAAAAAGTTTTGGCGCGACCAAAACTATCAAATACCAGCCCGATCTCAGCGCGCGCCATCTGAGACAACCTATGACGTCGATCGTCATAAGCCTCTGGGTGCGGGTTCGGAAGTCTTTTAGCGTGGCCAAAATTTTTTGATTCTTTTCAGGAATCTCATCATTTTTCAAAATTGCTATAAATTACTCTCTTGACTCGACTGTGGTCTTGATACCGAACTTTTCGCACGTTCTGGACTTGTAGGTGTCATTAGATTAAACGTCATACACCTGAAAACGGAGGACATACCCACCCGTTCACACTGCACCATTGATTATCCTAGTGTACCTCTCTCCCACGACTCCATCGTTTTCCCGCCGAGTGCCCACGTTCGCAGAGTCCGCCATACAAGGATGGTGGCGAGCGAGGGGCGGCCTACCCTCAGATACAAGACAGTAAAATCTGTTAAAAATAGAAAATTAGCATGCAGAAGAAAACGAGCCCGAATATCAAACGACTTGCCATCGCTCGATGGGGTGGAGAAATGGAAAAGTTCACGCCGCAGGTGTGACGTTGGTCACAGAATCAACCAGCAGCCGGGCCGCTCGTTCTGGCATTTCCCGACCGACTACAGATGGCTAGCAGTGTGAGGGAGTCTGGCGACGTCGAGAGTGAGAGCGAGAAGGGGAGGAGAAAGAAGGAGGAAGGGAGAGAGGGAAGCTGGGAGCTGGTCTTCAAACCAAAATCTGTCCTATCCTCTTCGTCAATTTCGCAATAACGGCGCTTCGCGCGACGATCAAGCATCAAAGGCGAGCTGTTATGACGAGCAACCTAATGTCCAATGATACTGGTGTTACTGCGGCGTATCGTGTACTGAATACAACGCCAAACTCGGACCCAGAACACACGGGTTGGGGGGGTGTCCACTATCGGTATTTATCTTTTGCGCTTATTTACCTGAGCTGTATCAGCAGAGGTGGCCAATAAATCCAGTTTTCCAGTTTATCTGGATCTTTCACTCGAAACAGTCCTCCGGACACCGACATATGCTCTGTCACCTCGCATCACTGACTCGACATGAATCAGTCGCAATACTTAAAATGCCAAGATTGGCCCCCAAGCCGTGTAAGGAAGGGGAGGCAGGAGGTCTTTGTTGCTTCTCACCGTTGTCCTGATCAGGTTATCGAAGAAGAGTCCCAATTTTAGCACCAACTAACAATGTAACATTAGGCTCGTTTACCAGCCGGCGTTTCACCCACGTGGCTGCGCTATCCATTACGAGGTGTAAGCTTGTGAACGTCGGCTGGCTAGCGAGTCTAATGTAACCACTACTAGGCTCGTTTACCAGCCGGCACGTGGCTGCGCTATCACATTTGGGTGCTCACCTCTCTACGTCAAAACATGTCAAACTACACCAAATAACCAAACAACCGTATAAGGAATTTTCATTACGAGGTGACGAGGTGTAAGCTTGTGAACGTCGACTGGCTAGCGAGTCTAATGTAACATACCACAGGATGTGCGTGCCTGGAATCGATTGGCCTGTTTTGGCAAGTCGACATCAGTCTTACGAACTAAAACAACTTCATGACATCTGCGATCTTTCAAATCTCGACTGTCCTGATTTGAGAGTCTGCCTAGGGGAGACTATCTGCGATTTACCCAGTCCATCATATAAGTACAGATATGAATCTCGATTTCCATCCCAGCCCTCGTCGAATCCTCGATGTCTTCAGCACTCTTACCATCCCGAGCACAATGCATCCAGGTCACTAACAACGTCCAGCGCTGTCAGTGTTCATGCTTTGTGCCGACCCTGCTAGACCCTGTGGGTTCTCATTCACCTGCGTTCATACTACCCACTTTCTCACTTTCTCCTAGAACATCTGCGGTCAGTGTGCACACGGTATTCACACGCATGTCGACTACGTTTCGATGGTCGTCAACCATTATCCCCCGACTCAGTGTGCCGCGTATGTCCAAAAGGTGCGGTGCTCATTCCACACGATTCCTAAAACTCACGCTATGTACGCTATAGACTCCTTTAACACAGTGTTGCACCTGTGAAGTTTGGCTTTCCGATCACGTCGCCATCAATAACCTGTTTCGTTATACGGAGCCGTCGAGCGTGTTCGACAATTTCGCGGGAAATAATGACGCTTCTCATAGCGTCGACGCGATCAGCTTTTCCAACAACTTCGTCAACAGTACATTCACGCCGTTCGGCAATTCCAATGCCAATACCGACACCTTTCATCAGGACGCGAACCTCACCTCGACCACTGCCGCGCCTACTTTCTCCCCGAGTCCCTGTCGTGCGTTTAGCCCTTACAATGATGTCGGCAATATCCCACTCGCCCCATACATGCCCTCTCCTTCGACCAGTCACACCCCATCCGGTATTCAATCGGATGTTCAGGTCCAGGGTTATAGCCCAGACCATTACTTCGTTCAATACCCAGGCCATTCCATGGTCAATCCCTATGCTCATCAGGCAGACGTCAGTGCAATGGGCGAGAGTTTTGGTTATCAGTATTATTCGCCAAACACTGAGGCTGGGTCGGACCCATACATCTAGTCCATGACTTCAACAGCCTCCTAAATTTTTCTTTCATTCTCTGGATCCTCGGCATGCCCTCTGCCAGTCCATGTACTCATCCCCTTCCTATCTGGGCATCGACGACCATCCAAAACAACATCCAATAAATTGCTCGCGCATTGTATTCTCATTCGTATATTCTTTCGGCTCAACCCTTCCTTCACCCATCGTCACCTCACTGTTGCACAAATTCCCTAGTTTGTTGAATGCTGTCTCTAGTTGCTATCTTTCATTTCCTTCTCTATGTTTTTCCATCTTTTTTTTTTTTGCTTTGACCTACAATTCATGACCATTACGATTTTTACGTATGTTTGCTGTCGAAATAATTTATAATCGAATTGCTTTGGAGTTTATGTGATTATTATCTGAGTGAGCGCCCGATGCGCCCAACAAATCTGGGAAATCATGCGCCATGTTTTCTTCAAGTTCTTATCCGAGTGGCCCTAATTTTAGACAATACATGATGATATTATGAGAGCTACAAGAATTACGTGTATGTTGTGAAGATCAGATATGAAAGAGGGATGACGATATACAGTGCATAGGTATGTGGTACATAGATGGTAAAAGGACGTGAACAGGAACATGTTCCAATTACAGTCCAGCGGTTTAATACAAGACATCCAACAATTTATCCTTATGACAGACAGTCAGCGAGAGAACAGGAAGCAGACTACAAAAGACGAACCTTTTCTTCCTCGGCATCACGAAACATCGCACAAGGCGCGTGGTCCTCGAAATAAATAGCAAAAGAGTTGAGAATAGCTTTGAGTTCTTGTGGTTGTGAATAATGACACGAGTTCGCCATTGACGGAATGCGTCTTTTTTTAAAAGAAAAACCAACCCATATAGACTCCGAATGATAGCATTGTACTTCCGAGCGAGGTGAGATGACAGTTTCCATTCAGCAGATACGAAGATATCAAGTAAATAGGACTGGGATAGGTATCGTGGTGATGGATGTCCCAGCGTAGGGAGGAGACGAACAGTAGAGTCAGAAGAGCAAGAGTAAATATCCTCTGAATGAAAGAGGGGAAGAATCGACGCCGACTCCCTTTCCACGAGTGAATGATTGTGCCATCGTCTCCACTCTATGTCGAGGAGGGAGGGACTACGGGATATACGCATGAGTACAGAGGCTAGGTGACGCAAGAAAGAGGCCGAGGAGCCAGCCGAGGAGGAGGAGAAGGAGAAGAAGCGTGAGTTGGCCGAGAGGTGCGTGCGGGAGAGGGAGAAGCATCTCGAGGAGCATCGCTGGCTGGAGCAGTGACGTGCGGAACAGGCGAGGATCAAGGAGGAAGAGCTCAGGAGAGAGGAGGCTGAGAGAGCCAAGGAGCGGACCGAACGCCACAAGAGGGTAGAGCATATGGCGGCCCGGGTCAAGCGGGATAAGACAGAAAGCATGCTCACCGGATGGGCTGCTATCCAGATCATTAGCATGAACAGAGGCATGGCTTGCAGGGAGGCGGACTGCTTCGACGCAGGGTGTGACATGGCTACGTGCATGCGCACTTGCTTCAGATTGGCTATGCACTCTAGATACAAAAATAAAGCATTGTATTATATACACACCATTACTGAATCCAAGTCTAGCTTTAGTCAGTACAAGACGCATCCAGTCCGAACTGAAATTGAAGGTCAGACGGTCATAGCCGGACTCAGAAAAAAGTAGACTTACCCTCCGTGCACGCATGTGCACACATCCTCCCTCCCGCGTTGTCTTCCTCCCAGTACCGTCATACTCCAGAACTTGCTCGCCGGACGACGATACATCGTCTCGGGCCAAATTTCCCCCAAGGCAAAGCTTCGACTGGTTCGACATGTCGCCGGCAGGTCGTCTCTCGAAGGAGAAGAAAAAGTCGTGTAGCTAACACTACAGACTAGTGGGTCCTTGAATCATGGAGATGGCGAGCGTATGAACTTACAATTTCTGGTGCAGCAGCCGCCCGCATCATCCTCCGTTCCGCCATCTTTCTCATGCTCAGTGCTCCACCTCATCCTTAACTCCGTCTTCATATGTTCACACCTGACCTTGCTCGCGGGACGATGATCCGTCGTCTCGAAACAAAATCCCAGTTTTCTGGCGTACAGTCCGTGTCAGCACGTCAACAGCTAGGCGCGTCGTCCATACCAAGTGAATGAGGATGCTGTCACGTCAACTGGAGGGGAGGGATCAACGTCGATCTCTGCGGAGGGTGAGGACTCCTGAGTGCGCATGAGAAGTAAGAAGACTTACCACTCTTCGGTCTTCGTCCGTCCCCGCATCTCCACGCACCCCTCCGTCCACCACCGTTGTCCGCGCAATGATCCCCGCCCTCAAATTACCCTCTTGACTCGACCGTGGTCTTGATACCGAGCTTTTCGTACGTCCTGGACTTGTAGGATGTCATTAGATCATACACCTGAAAACGGAGGACATACCCTCCTGTTCACCCTCCATCAATAACGGTCCTCGTCGTATACTTCTCTCCTGCATGCTCGTCGAATTCCATCGTTTTCCCACCGAGTCCACACCTTCGCAGAGCTCGTCGTACAAGGATGGCGGCAGTAGTACAGAGCGCGGCGCGTCCTAAACTCGCATACAACACAGTAAAATCTGTTAAAAATGGAAAATTAGTACACAGAAAAAACGAGTCCAAATATCAAACGACTTGCCATCGTTCGATGGCGGTGGAAAAGAAGAAAAAAAGCTCATGCTGCGGGTGTGACCTTGGTCACAAAATCAACCAGCTCGTTCTGGCATTTCCTGACATCGATACCAGATACGGATGACTAGCAGTGTGAGGGAGTCTGGTGACGTCGAGAGTGAGAGCGAGAAGGGGAGGAGGAAGGGAGAGAGGGAAGCCGGGAACTGGTCTTCAAACTAAAATCTGTCCTATAGTCTAGGACCCTCTTCATTGCGAGAGTCCGCTGTTGTTGACATTTATTTTCCCATTACAAGTTTCGGCTAGCAAATGACTAGGATCGCGGAGACCTTGCTTTCCAGCAAGGTAATGGAAACTGCGGCTGGGAGCTGAGCAGGATTGACATTCGAAGATGAAGCCCGACGAGTTCGGAAAACGGACCGACAGTGAGATTCCCACGGTTCTCTTTCCTCTCATACCAGGATTTATCGGACTCGACGTACTGGCGCCCCATTCAAGGCAATCGGCACTGTGCGAAATAGAATTAGCTAATTAAGCAACAGACTATTCATGTATGTACCGTCTTTCTACGAGAGACTAATAGACGACCCACAATGGTTCATCTGACAGTTTTTCTGATGATGTGATGCGTTTCCCTCGCAGGTTCTTTGACCTGCTGTCCTTTTCCATAATCCGCGACCATCCACTGGGCTGCATATTTTTTGTGGTTCTGGGAAGGGTAATCACGATAGACTGGCACGGATCATCTCAATTCTGAAGTCTTACTATCCCTCCGTAGTCTCTAAATACTCCCCGATGATGACTGCAAGGCCGGTAAACCTGCGATAGCGAATTGAATGCAGGCTACATAGTAGTGTTGGATGCAGAGGTGTGTATCACTTTTTCGTGTAAGAAGTCAGGAATTTCATTCTCAGGACATAGGCAGAAGAATCAAACGAAGAAACTTTGTCGCCTCCGGCCTTACATGTGTAACACTCAACTGCAATGATCCTATCTTCTACCACTTACAACTACCAGCTTTCCCTTCCATACCACGGGGCGAACAAGCGCAGTATGGGGGACTTGAAGCTATACTCCAGCCTTCAGCTCTGTAAAAGCAGTCCACTCCGATTCCCATCCTAGTGGTGTCGTCCGGACTGTAGCCCGAACATTTTGCTGGGAGAACGTGTACAGGGGAGGTAGAAGCGATAGATGTTTATCCGGCTCTCCTTCGTGTCCGCAGATATTTTGCCGTCAGTTTGATGATTCTCATCCAACAAAATTTCTGTTTCGACTCATTGCTTTGTTCTAGTATTGCGTTTATAACACGCTCTTCCAACCGAGTGTTGATTACAGTGATTTTGTGTTCACTGTTTATCATAGGACTGCGGCGTTCTATCCTTTCCTGTCCTTTTGGGGCTGACTTACGATGCCCCTGTCGCAAATTCTATAGAGATTCGTTCCCACAACTCGAGGATGCAGGGAAGAATCAAGATGAACATACATCGCGACACTCGAAATGGGGATTTTCATCTCGTTCGGGCCATTCTCTTTCTTTCCTCGGGTTTCTTTTGCGAACGATTTCGTTGAGAACGAGAACGGCTGACCAGATTTGGAAGCTCGTTCGACTGGGTCGTCTGGGTTTGGTAGTCGGCTTGCTATCTTGGGCAGTGAATCACGCGAAAGCACCAGAAGCGTACCACCTCCAGTACTCCTCCAAATGTCGTACCAGTCTCTTCACGTTGCCTACTGCATATTGCAGAGGATAGTGCACCCGAGTCACTAATACTCAAATCTATTAGTGCCCGTGCTTCACTCTTCCCTGCACGGTGGTCTTGTACCTCCAGGTAAGAGCACCCATACAGTCCTTCTCCTCCCTAACCATACCATCGTAGTTCGAGTGCTACATACAACCACGACATCCACTCGCACGCCGACAAGTGTCTATACTCGTAAGTGTACTCCTACCCGTCAACAGGGTGCGCAGCATTTTCCCAAACGGTACGCTATTTTCCTTCAAGTCCGTTCGCGGGCTGACTTTTGGACCTAGACGTACACGAGTCAGGGATGTACATGTTCGGTGGATCTTGCCGATCACGCCGTTGGTCCTAATCCGCTTCGTCCCAGTGCTGTGAATACATGACGCTTGTATGGATAACTCTCAATAGCAAAGATATATTGATAAGCGCGTTCATCAATTCTCCGTCAGCCATATATCTTACACCATTTGTGGGAACGGTGATAAGAAGCTATCACGGTTTCATCATATATTATACAAAGACGAGGGCCACTTAGATTAAGAAAAAAACATGGTACATGAATCCCAAAGTGATCGGGCGTGCTGGCTCCATGGCGTACACTCAGATGATAATATAAAAACTCCAAAGCAATTTGATTATAAAACGTTTCGACAGCAACCAAAAGTAAAAATCGTAATGGACATGAATTGTAAGCTGAAGCAAAAGATCCAATGGAAAACATAGAGAAGGAAATGAAAGATAGCAACTAGAGACAGCAATCAACAAACTAGGGAACTTGTACAACAATGGGGTGACGATGGGTGAAGGAAGGGCTGAGTTGGAAGAAAATAAGAATGAAAAATACCTTGTGAGCGATTTTTTGGATGTTGTCATGGATGCGCGTCGATGCGCAGATAGGAAGGGGATGAGTACGCGAACTGGGAGTGGGCGAGCCGAGGATCCAGAGAATGAAAGAAACATCTAGGAAGCTATCACGGTCATGGACTAGATGTACGAGCCCGACCTGGCCTCAGGTGTCGCACCATTCGCATTTGGGGAACGATACTGATGATCGAAATTCTCACCCGTCGCACCACCGTCTGGCTGATGAGCATAAGGATTGTCCATGAAATGGCCTGCGTATTGAACAAAGTAATGGTCTGAGCTATAAGCTTGGACCTGAGCGACATCCGATTGAATACCGGATGGGGTGTGACTGGTCGAAGGAGAGGGTATGTATGGAGCGAGTGGAATGTTGCCTGCATCATTGTAAGGGCCAGGGGAGAAAATAGGCGCAGTATTGATCGGGGTGAGGTTTGCGTCGCGAGAAAAGGTGTCGGTATTGGCATTGGAATTGACGAACGGCGTGAATGTACTGTTGACGAAGTCGTTGGAAAAGCTGATCGCGTCGACACTATAAGAAGTGTCATTATTTCCCGCGAAATTGTCCAACACGCTCGACGGATCCGCATGACGAAACAGGTTATTGATGGCGACGTGATCGCAAAGCTGAGCTTCACATGTGCAACGTTGTGCAAGAGGCGTCTATAGACAACACAGCGTGAGTTCTAGGGATCGTGTGGAATGAAGAACAACGCACCTTTTGGACATACGCAGCACACTGAGTCGGGGGATAATGATTCACGACCATCGAAACGTAGTCGACATGGGCGTGAATACCGTGTCCGCACTGGCCACAGATGTACTGGAAGAACATGAGAACGGGAATATGGACAAAGATGGACGGGAGCCTACCGGGTCTAACAGAATTGAGACGAACCATGGACACTGACATTGTTGGGTGTTATCAGTGATATGGACGCATCGTTCTCGAGACGGTAGGACTGCTGAAGACATTGCTGATTGGACGAGTGCCGGTGGTATGCAAAGATGCAATGGAAATTGAGATTCATCTCGCTGCACTTTATGTAAATAATAGTCGACAAGGTAGATGCGGCAAGAAACACTGCTTGCAAAAGTTAGGAATATGCCACCGGCATGATCGCCCTTTCAGATCTGAGCAATCCGCACAGCCACCCATAATCGATGCAATTTGTCATCGATAACGGCGACAAGGGTCGAGTGACGTTACATCACAAGTGATACCCACGATTGTTATGGGTGGCTGTGCAGATATAGTGGTCCACTAAGTGGTTCTGCCGACTTCCAAGCGCATCGGCAGCCTATTTTCGCGGTCAACACTGGTCACGTTCAGAAACAAACCCAATTCACACTTCTTAACATCTGCTGTATCTACCTCTAGTCCATTATATAAGTGTACCGATATGAACCTTGATTTCCATGGCAGCCCTCATTCAATCATTAATGTCTTCTGTAGTCCTACCGTCTCGAGAACGATGCATCCATATCACTGACAATACCCAACAATGTCAGTGTCCATGGTTCGTGTCGCTTCCGTTAGACCCGGTAGGCTCTCGTCCATCTTCACCCATATTCCCGTGCTCACAATCTTCCAGTACATCTGTGGCCAGTGCGGACACGGTATTCACGCCCATGTCGACTACGTTTCGATGGTCGTGAATCATCATCCCCCAGCTCAATGTGCCGCGTATGTTCAAAAGGTATGCCCCTCCCTACTGTGCACGGTAACTTGAATTCACGCTGCATACATTATAGACGCCTCTTGCACAACGTTGCACGTGTGAAGCTCAGCTTTGCGATCACATCGTTGCCGATAACGCATATCGTATTGGGGAGCCGTGGAACGTGTTGGACAATTCCCGGGGAAATAATGTTGCCTTTCATGGTGTCGACGTGATCAACTTTTCCAACGACATCGTCAACAGTACATTCACGCTGTTCGTCAATTCCAATGCCAATACCGACACCTTTTCTCGCGACGCAAACCTCACCCCGATCAATACTGCGCCTATTTTCTCCCCTGGCCCTTACAATGATGCAGGCAACATTCCACTCGCTCCATACATACCCTCTCCTTCGACCAGTCACACCCCATCCGGTATTCAATCGGATGTTCAGGTCCAGGGTTATAGCCCAGACCATTACTTCGTTCAATACCCAGGCCATTCTATGGTCAATCCCTATGCTCATCAAGCAGACGTCAGTGCGATGGGCGAGAGTTTTGGTTATCAGTATTATTCACCACACACTGAGGCTGGGTCGGACCCGTACATCTAGTCCATGACCGCGATAGCTTCCTACAAATTTCTCACATTCTCCGGATCCTCGGAACGCAATACCAGTCCATGTACTCTTCCCCTTCCTATCTGCGCATCGACAACCATCGAAGATATCCAATAGATTTCTCAGGTGGTGTATTCTCATTTCTATATTTTTTCGGCTCGACTCTTTCTTTACCTATCGTCACCCCACTATTGCTGTTGCTTAAATTCTCTAGTTTGTTGATTGCTGTCTCTAGTTGCCGTCTTTCTTTTCCTTTTTCTATGTTTTCCCTCGGATATTTTGCTTTGGCCTAACAATTCATGTTCATTACAATTTTTTACTTTTTGTTGCTGTCGAAATGTTTTATAATTGAATTGCTTTGGTGTTTCTATGATTATTATCTGAGTGAGCGCCCGACGCGTCCAATAACTCTGGGAATTCGGACGCCATGTTTTCTTCAAGTTCTTATTCTGAGTGGTCCTCGTTTTAGAAAATACATGATGATACTATGATCTACTTCGTAGCTCTCAAACTGTTGCTCCTGTGCGCTTGCTTGGATTTGTTAGGCAAACCACCTCTCGTATCTTGAGAACATACGACTCGGATTACAAAAGCATTCAAGTCAAGCGTATCTAATTTTATCCCGCCCTCACATTCCTCACATCCTCGAGGGTCGCGTAAAGAACTTCACGGCGAGACAGTTTGAGCGTTACTAGTACAAGAAGTACGTGTATGTTGTGGAGATCAAAGTAAGATACCAAAGAGGGATGATGATATACAGTGCATAGGCATGTGGTATAAAGATAGTAAAAGGACGCGAAGAGGGCATGTTCCAATCACAGTCCAGCGGTATAATGCAAAACACCTAACAATTTATCCTTATGACAGGCGGTCAGCGAGGGAGCAGGAGGCAGGCGAACGACAAGACACACCTTTTCTTCCTCGGTATCACAAAACATCGCACACGGCCCACGTTGGTCCTTGAATTCAATAGCAAAAGAGTTGGGTATAGCTTTGAGTTCTTCGTAGCCGTCGTTCCACTCTTTGAGTCCGTTGAGTTTTCCGCGGAGTTGGATTTGATCAAGGACTTGGTTCATGTCCTGGTTTTATGAGAAGGCGAGCCGAAGAAATGAAGTGATAGGCTTACCTTGGGACTGCGATAGAAAAACATGGTATCGCCGATAAACTTGTAGTACCTCCTCCGCCAGACAAGGGAGTCGTTGATCTGAATGGTAGCCCAGCCGGTGAGCATGCTTTCTGTCTTATCCCGCTTGACCCAGGCCGCCATCTGTTCTACCCTCTTATTGCGTTCGGCCCGCTCCCTGGCCCTCTCAGCATCCTCTCTCCTAAGCTCTTCCTCCTTGATCCTTGCTTGCTCAGCAAGCCACTGTTCCAAACGGCGATGCTCCTCCGAACGCTCCTCCCTCTCCCTCATACGCCTCTCCGCCAACTCGCGCTTCTTCTCCTCGGCTCTCTCCTCAGCTTCTTTCTTGCGACGCCTAGCCTGTGCCCATGCGCATATCCCGCTCAATCCTCGCACGCCGGTCCCTTTCCTCCTGCTCCTTCACGCGCCTCTGCTCCTCCTTCACGCGACGTATCTCCGCCTGCCGCTCCTCCTCCTGCGCGCACACTCAGCAGGGTCAGCAATCACCGTCGTCTCGACAGGGTTGCACTTTCCTGCAAGCGGTACTGGAACGATGGCAGATTGCGTTGACGCGGGGTATCAATCTCATCCTGGGGATGGTGCGCGGTGTCGAGTGACATGGCTATGCGCACGCGTACTTGCTTCAGGTCGGCTACGCACTCTAGATACAAAAATAAAGCAATGTATTATATACGCACCATTACTGAATCCAAGTCTAGCTTCAGTATCCTTCATTTCCTTCTGAATCCTCCACCAGTACAAGATACATCGAACCCTGACTGAAATTGAAGGTCAGAGGGTCGTAGTCAGACAGAAAAGAGTAGACTTACCCTCCATGTTCGCATGTACACACATCCTCCCTCCCGCGTTATCTTCCTCCCAGTACCGCCATACTCCAGACCTTGTTCGCCGGACGACGATACGTTGCCTCGAAGCAAAATTCTTCCAAGGCAAAGCTTCGACTGGTGGTTTGGCATGTCGTCGGCAGGTCGTCTCTCGAAGAAAAGTCGTGTGGCTAACACTACAGAATGGTAAGTCCTCGAGTCATGGAGATGGCGAATATATGAGCTTACAATTTCTGGAGCAGCAGCTGCCTGCGTCACCCTCCATTCTGTAATCTTTCTCATGCTTGCTCCACCCAGTCTTCACGCCTGACCTTGCTTGCGGGACGACGATCCGTCGTTTCGAAGGAGAATACCAGTTTCCTGGCGTACAGTCCGTATCAGCGCGTCAACAGCTAGGCGGATCATCCACATTAAGTGAATGAGGATGCTGTCACGTCAACTGGAGGGGAGCGACCAGCGATCAACATCGATCTCTGGGGAGAGTGAGGACTCCTGAGTGCGCATGAGAAGTGAGAAGACTTACCACTCTTCGGTCTTCATCCATCCCCGCATCCTCGTACACTCCTCCATCAACCACCGTTGTTCCCGCAATAATTCCCGTTCCTCAAAGTACCCTCTTGACTCGACCGTGGTCTTCACACTGAGCCTTTTCGTGGATCCTGGACTTGTAGGGAGTCAGTAGTTTGAACGTCATATCTGAAAACGGAGGACATACCCTCCCGTTCGCTCCACTCTTTACTTCTCTCCCACATACTCGTCGACTCCATCGATTTCTGGGAAAGCGCCCACGTTCGCAGAGTCCGTCATACAAGGATGGCGGCAGTAGTCTATATCTAGGACCCTCTTCAATGATTGCGAGAGTCCGCTCGTTATTGACATTTATTTGCCCATCACAAGTTTCGGCTAGCACAATGACTGGGATCGGGGAGACCTTGCTTTCCAGCAAGGTAATGGAGACTGCTGGCACTGGGAGCTGAGCAGGATTGACATGGACATTCGAAGATGACGCCCAGTGAAAAGTCGGTCGAGCCACACTGAGCCAAATCAAGCCCAGGGGAATGATCGCCGGGGCTCTATTCTGCTCGCTGTGGCTTCGAAATGTGAACCGTTTACCAGCTCAAATCGAGCTGTTTCGAGCTCGGTATGTCGCTACCATAGGGTTCCGTTAGGCTTCGTAGGGCTCGATTTCTTTGCTATTAATATGTATAGAACCACATCGCTACTACATACGCTAAGTAGCATAACCCTTTCCGTTCTGCCCACGGCTAGCCCTGTCCTGCTCGGATACCCCAACCGCATTTCGCAACGTGAAGATAAACGTATCGAAATAGACTGCACTAGAAAATGTTAAATCAGTCTACAATGACGGAAAAGATGATTCAAGGGCTACTCACAAAGTCGAAGCCAGCTGGAATGGTGACAAGCGAGACCTGTATAAGATTTGGCTTAGCGAGCTCAGAAATACACGCATATATGGAATAGAACATACCATGGCCACATCCATAGCGATGCCTAAACGGCTTATGGAGCGACTGTACATGCTAAATATGAAAAAAGAAAACATACAAGAGCGCAATGAGACGTACCTCAAAGATATCCAGATATCCTGCAGCTCAAACCAGTCTTCTGAGGACGTATTGCTAATGCGGGTGTCCAAACAAGGCGCATATATCCACCTTGCACGGCAGTTTCAGTCTGTAGCACCGTATCTGCAGGTCTTCGCATGTGCTGCCCAGTGAGAGACTAACAGTAAGAGGCTACGAAAGCAAGTACGAAGCCACATCCCGCGATAATACAGGGATGGGGTGTAGAGCGACAACGAGGACGGCGAACAAGCTCGAACACGACGGGTATGGTGGTGGTAGAAAAGAGAGAGGCGTTAATCACGTCACTGGAAAACATGCACGTGGACGGAACCGTTGACTTTAAGTTTAAGTTCAAGTTGCCAATTTGGGCTCACAATATTCGGCGCGTTTCAGTCAACCATCGGATTCAGAGAAATTCTACTCTGGTAATTCTTGGATGTGCTAATGGAAGAGGCGAAGGTTTGGAGTTCAAAGCCTTCTTGTATGACGCCGCTTGATCCGGCTCGACCACGCTATATGGTAATTTCTGCAGCTTGATTTGGCTCAAACCGGCTCGACGGAATTTTCACTGGGGATGACGGCTGATATTACCGAAGAGTTCGGAAAACGGACCGACAGTGAAATTCCCACGGTTCTCTTTCCTCTCTCCAATTAGATACTACCAGGATTTATTGGACTCTACGTGCTGGTGCCCCATTCAAGATAATCGGCACTGTGCCAAATCGAATCAGCTAATTATGCAACAGACTACTCATGTATGTAGCGTCTTTCTACGAGAGACTAATAGACGACCCACAATGGTTCATCTGACAGTTTTTCTGATGATGTGATGTGTTTCCCTCGTAGGTTCTTTGACCTGCTGTCCTTTTCCATAATCCGCGACCATCCATTGGGCTGCATATTTTTTTGTGGGGCTGGGAAGGGTAGTCACGATAGACTGGCACGGATCATCTCAATTCTGAAGTCTTACTATCCCCCTGTAGTCTCTAAATACTCCCCGATGATGACTGCAAGGTCGGTAAACCTGAAATAGCGAGTTGAATGCAGGTTACATAGTAGTGTTGGGTGCAGAGGTGTGTATCACTGAAGTCAGGGAGTTAATTCTCAGGACACAGATAGATAGGGAAGAAACTCTATCGGCAACCGCCTCCCGCCCTTGCGCAAGTAACTCTCAACTGCACCGATTCCATCCTCTGCCACTTACAACCACCAGCTTTTCCTTCCATACCACGGGGCAAACAGGTGCAGTATGGGGGACTTGAAGCTATCTATACTCCAGCATTCAGCTCTGTAAAATCGGTCCACTCCGATTCCCATCCTGGTGGGGTAGTCTGAACATTTCGCTGAGAGAACATGTACAGGAGAGGTTTGATGATTCTCATCCAACAAAATTTCTGTTTCGGCTCATTGCTTTGTTCTAGTATTGCGTTTATAACATGCTATTCCAACCGAGTGTTGGTTACAGTGATTGGTGTTCATTGTTTAACATCGAACCGCGGCGTCCCATCCTTTCCTGTCCTTTGGGGGCTGACTTACGACGCCCCTGTCGCAAATTCTACCTGTCTTATACCTCCAGGTAAGAACAGCCATTCAGTCCTTCTCTCCTCTCCAACCATACCATCGTAGTTCGAGTGCTACATGCAACCACGACATCCACTCGCACGCTGACAAAGTGTCGATACTCGTAAGTGTATTCCTACCCGCCAACAGGATGCGCAGCATTTTCCCAAACGGTACGCTATTTTTATTCAAGGCCGTTCGCGGCTGACTTTTGGACCTAGACGTACACGAGTCAGAGATGTACATGTTCGGTGGATCTTGCCGATCACGCCGTTGGTCCTAATCCGCTTCGTCGTGCTGTGAATAGATGGTGCTTGTATGGATAACTCTTAATAGCAAAGTACTCGGGTGCCATTGATGAAACGCGTTCATCAATTCTCCGTGCAGTAAGTCATATACCTTACACCATTTGTGGGAACGGTGATAAGTCATCACGGTTCCATCATATATTATCCAAGACGAAGGCCACTTGGATTTTTTTAAAGAAACATGGCACATTCCGAGTCCTGTGTATACAGGATTCGGTCTCTGCTATGGTGCGATCCACTTAGTCACCACCTAAATGTGACAAAGTTGGGTACGGTACGGTAACAAAGTTTCTGCAGTGGTCACGAGTGACTGGACAAAAAATCCCTCTTGTAGAAATGCTCTAATTGATGAAAGGAACAATTCCTCTAGAGGAAATTTCTATTGGGTCAAAATTGAGGGAGATATTTTCCCGGCACGTCTCAATTTGGCGAGCGTGACACAAAATGGCAGGGGATGTGATTCAAGTCACGGTATGTCACACTTTTCGGGATTTTTTTTCGCCTTCGGCAATCGACTTTTCAGGCGGATTCAAGGTTTGAAAAAAATTTGGACCAGATTGGCGGCTGTTACTTTTGGTGGTGACTAAGCGAATCGCACCATAATCAGCCATAATCTCAGCCTTTTGGTGGCGGTGCATGATGGTGATAGTCCGACAATTCACCGTGCCGTGGATGCCGTGAATAATCCCCGCGATATTGTCACTTGTCACACTTGTCATACGTTGTCTTTTGCCCCTTTTGTGTTGCATTTTTGAGCATCGATTCACAGTGGTTCTCCGAAATGCTCTACCATTCTGTGGGCGAAGATATGGTCACCGTGCACACCTGCGCCTCTACTTTATGCTGAAAGCACGACACTCATCCAGCACTCATACCATCAATAATCATTCACCAAGCTTCGGCCACAATTTTTCTCGAGGTAGCAACGACAATTGCTTATAATGGGGACGCCCCCGCCAATGACACAAAATGCACTATCAAAACCTAACATGATGTGGACTGTCGCTGGGTGCCTCACGGTGATAGGCTGGACGGGAACGGTGGGTATCCACAGGCTGCAAAGTCTGGTAAGCTCCTACTTGTCACAATATCTCGTCTTCACAACATTTTGCAGATTCATTCCGGAGACCTCAGAATTCTTCTTCCTATAGTGTTGATCATCGAGCATTGAATATTGAGCTCAATGACTGGTCTCAAGGAATAAAAGGTAAGCAAACATTTTGGCTTTGTTAGCGGCTAGTCAACCAACTTTTCTAGATCTGTGATTGTATGCACCCTTTATCGGCTATCCGCTTTGACCAGGTGGGGGATGCCTTCCGTCATTTAGTTCAAGTCAATCCTTAGTTCGTTATTCAGGATCCATACACGAACATAGCTATAGCTATGGACAAAGTTCTCCGGGTATCGAATCGCAATGGAAATGCAGGTTCCGGGTGTGCGGCCTCGTTCATTTTACTTTTCACCAACAGAATACCCATTTACGCTAGCATTTCAGTTCTCGCAAGTGCAGTGTATGACAACGAGATGATGAGGATGACAGTACCGAATATCATAGCAGCAGCTTCGACAAGATTCATACCACGGTGTCTGTGATGGGTTCCAGGGGTAGCAAGGGACGTCGTAGGTTGCAAAGGCAGTAGTAAGGTCGCGGTAAGTATTAGCTATTTTGTTTCTTCTTTGTTTGGCTGACTTACATGGATTAGAGCTGTATGCCATTTATCCCCATGTATTACAAATGTATTAGCTATGTGCCTTCACCTTTGAATTTGAGTCTGATGCTAATTATCCAACTCAAGCTATGCAAACAATATATATCCTTGCTTAAAGCTTTCGTGTTCATCGCCATTCGCTGGAAGCTGACTATCCAGCAAGATGTTCAACTTGACGACCAGGTCAATGTATTGACGACAATTGCACTAGGTACTTGCCTACTTGATGTACTATTTGTAGTTGTGAGACCGTATATTTCTGGTTTGATATTATATGTGCAACTGCTGCAGTTGCTCGGTACCATTGTTTCGTTGTACCATTCAACAGGCCTTGTGCTACGCCCACACAGGGCAGCCCACCCCTCAAGTCTTCAGGACTCGGATATGCCACGCCCTGCGATGGCCCCCCGCTTCATAAATCCCAAAGTTATTGGGCGTGTTGGCTCCGTGGCGCTCAATCAGATGATAATTAGAAAATTTCCAAAGCAATTCGATTATAAAAGGTTTCAGACAGCAATCAAAAGTAAAAATCGTAAAGGACATGAATCGTAGGCTAAAACAAAAAAAATTCGATGGAAAACATAGCGAAGGAAATGAAAGATAGCAACTAGAGACGACAATCAATGAACTAGGGAATTTAAGCAACATTGGGATGATGATAGGTGAAGGAAGCGTCGAGCCGGAAGAAAATCGGAATGAGAAGACACAGCGCGGGCAATATATTGGATGTTGTTTTGGATGGTCGTCGATGCCCAGATAGGAAGGGGACGAGTAAATGGACTGGGAGTGGGCACACTGACGATCCGGAGAATGAGAGAATGATTTAGGACGCTGTTGTAGTCATGGACTAGATGTACGGGTTCGACCCAGCTTCAGGCATCACACCGTGCATCGCATTTAGCGAACAATACTGATACTGGAAACTCTCGCCCGTCGCACTGCCGTCTGGCCGACGAGTGTAGGGATTGTCCATGGAATGGTCCGGGTATCGAACAAAGTAACGGTCTGAGGTATAACCTTGGGCCTAGTGACATCCGATTGAATACCGGATAAGGTGTGGCTGGCCGAAGGAGAGCCTGAGGGCATGTGTGGAGCGAGTGGTATGTCGTCGTCATCATTGTAAGGGCTAAATGCATGGCGAGGACTGAGGGGGAAAGTAGGTGCAGCAGTGATCGGGGTGAGGTTCGCGTCGTGAGAAAGGCTGTCGGTATCAGAGTTGACGAACTGTGCGGCTATATTGTTGACGACGTCGTTGGAAAAGCTGATTGCGTCGACACTATGAGAAGCGTCATTATTTCCCGGGAAATTGTCCAACACGTTCCACGGCTCCTCAATACGATATGCGTTATCGGCAACGATGTGATCGCAAAGCTGAGCTTCACACGTGCAACGTTGCGCAAGAGGTGTCTATATCGTAAACAGCGTGAGTTCTATAAATCGTGTGGGGTGAGGAGCAGCGCACCTTTTGGACATACGCAGCACACTGAGTCGGGGGATAATGATTCACGACCATCGAAACGTAGTCGACATGGGCGTGAATACCGTGTCCGCACTGGCCACAGACATACTGGAAGAACATGAGCAGGTGAATAAGTGAAGGTGAACAGGAGCTTACCGGGTCTAACGGAGGCGACGCGAACCATGGACACTGACATTGTTGGATGTTGTCAGTGATATGGATGCATCGTTCTCGAGACGGTAAGACTGCAGAAGACATTGATGATTGAAAGAGGGCTGCGATGGAAATTGAGGTTCATATCGGTACACCGGTACGCTTTATATAACGGACTAGGTAGTTGTAGATGCCAAGAAGCGTGAGTTGGGTTTGTGAGTATAATTACACCCGATGTCCCAATACAGTAATCGCAGGCGGCCGAGGTGTGATTTTTAAATGGGTATGTACAAATGGGGAGAGCTAAAACCGGACAGATTCACTTTGAGATGACATTGATTGTTAAAAATCACACCTCGGCCGCCTGTGTCCTGAAAACAACAGTATAGCTATCTTACTTTACTCTACTTAGATTTCCTCTCCTTTGGTCTTATTGACGAGTCGGCGAGGTCCACAGTAGTTTACTATTGTTTACCTGAGCTTGTATTAGCGGAGTCGACCAATTCATACTGTTTTACTGTTTTACTGCGATTACTGTATTGGGACATCGGGTGTAATTATACTCACAAACCCAACTCACGCTTCTTGGCATCTACAACTACCTAGTCCGTTATATAAAGCGTACCGGTGTACCGATATGAACCTCAATTTCCATCGCAGCCCTCTTTCAATCATCAATGTCTTCTGCAGTCTTACCGTCTCGAGAACGATGCATCCATATCACTGACAACATCCAACAATGTCAGTGTCCATGGTTCGCGTCGCCTCCGTTAGACCCGGTAGGCTCCTGTTCACCTTCACTTATTCCCCTGCTCATGTTCTTCTAGTACATCTGCGGTCAGTGCGGACACGGAATTCATGCCCATGTCGACTATGTTTCGATGGTCGTGAATCATTACCCCCCGACTCAGTGTGCCGCGTATGTTCAAAAGGTATACCCCTCCCTACTGTGCACGGTAACTTAAATTCACGCTGCATACATTATAGACGCCTCTTGCACAACGTTGCACGTGTGAAGCTCAGCTTTGCGATCACGTCGTTATCGATAACCCGTTTCGTCATGTGGATCCGTCGAGCGTGTTGGACAATTTCCCGGGAAATATCGACACTTTTCATAGTGTCGACGCGATCAGCTTTTCCAACGACATCGTCAACAGTACATTCACGCCGTTCGTCAATTCTAATGCCAATACCGACACCTTTTCTCGCGACGCGAACCTCGCCCCGATCACTGCTGCGCCTATTTTCTCCCCTAGCCCTAACAATAATGCCGGCAACATCCCGTTTGCTCCATACATGCCCTCTCCTTCGGCCAGCCACACCCCATCCGGTATTCAATCGGATGTCACTCAGGCCGAAGGTTATAACCCAGACCATTACTTCGTCCAATACCCAGGCTATTCCATGAACAGTCCCTATGCTTATCAGCCGGACGGCGGTGCGACGGGCGAGAATTTTGGTTATAGTATCATTCACCAAACACTGAGGCTGGTTCGGACCCATATGTCTAGTCCATGACCACGACAGCTTCCTAGATTTTTCTTTCATGCTTCGAACCTTCGGCGTTCCCACTCGCAGTCCATGTATCCATCCCTCAGGCTTTCCTATCTGTTCATCGAAGACCATCCAAGACAATATCAAAAAAATTGTTTGCGCGGTATTTCTCATTCCTACTACTTTCTTACGCTTCAACCCTTCCTTTACCTATCGTCACCCCACCGTTGCTGTTGCTTAAATTCCTTAGTTTGTTGATTGCTGTCTCTAGTTGCTATCTTTCTTTTCGTTCTCTATGTTTTCCATCAGATCTTTTGCTTTGGCCTACAATTCACGATGATTACAATTTTTTACTTTTGTTTGCTGTCGAAATGTTTTATAATCGAATTGCTTGGGTGTTTATGTGATTATAATCTCCGTGAGCGCCTGATGCGTCCAACAAATCTGCGCATGTTTTCTTCAAGTTCTTATTTCGAGAGGCCCTCGTTTCAGATAATACATGATGATACTGTGATCTTCTTTCTCATAGCAGGACTAGTACAGGTAAGGGTATAGAAAACCGAATCGCTGTCGTACCATAGTCATTAAGAAATTTTATAGTACGCAACATAGTAAGTATCCCTCTTTCGTATCATGATCGTACTTTGAACACGTACTTATAGCTCCCAAACTGTCATTCCTTCGTACTTGCTTGGATATGTTAAGGAAACCACCCCTCGTATCTTGAGAACATACGAGTACAAAGCATTCACTCCTCACATCCTCGAGGGTGGAGCAAGTGTAAAGGACTTCACGGCGCGACAGTTTGAGTGTTACTAGTACAAGAAGTACGTGTATGTTGTTGAGATCAAGGTAAGATAAGAGAGGAATGATGATATACAGTGCATAGGTAGGTATGTGGTATATAGATGGTAAAAGGACGCGAAGAGGGCATGTTCCAATCACAGTCCGGCGGTATAATGCAAAACGCCCAACAATTTATCCTGTGATAGTCAGTCAGCGAGGGAGTAGGAGGCAGGCGAACGACAAAAGACACACCTTTTCTTCCTCGGTATCACAAAACATCGCACACGGTCCACGCTGGTCCTTGAATTCAATGGCGAAGGAGTTGGGTATAGCTTTGAGTTCTTCGTAGCCGTCGTCCCACTCTTTGAGCCCGTTGAGTTTTCCGCGGAGTTGGATCTGATCAAGGACTTGGTTCATGTCCTGGTTTTATGAGAAGGCGAGTCAACAATATGAAGTGACGGGCTTACCTTGGGACTGCGGTAGAAAAACATGGTATCGCCGATAAACTTGTAGTACCTCCTCCGCCAGACAAGGGAGTCGTTGATCTGGATGGTAGCCCAGCCGGTGAGCATGCTTTCTGTCTTATCCCGCTTGACCCGGGCCGCCATCTGTTCTACCCTCTTATTGCGTTCGGTCCGCTCCCTGGCTCTCTCAGCCTCTTCTCTTTTAAGCTCCTCCTCCTTGATCCTCGCCTGCTCAGCACGCCACTGCTCCAGACGCCGGTGCTCCTCGAGGCGCTTCTCCCTCTCCCTCACGCGCCTCTCCGCCAACTCACGTTTTTTCTCCTCCTCGACTCTCTCCTCGGCTTCCTTCTTGCGTCGCCTAGCTTCGGTACTCATGCGCATGTCCCGCTCAATCCTCGCACGGCGGTCCCTCTCCTCCTGCTCTTCCATGCGCCCTTGCTCCTCCTTAACCCGACGTATCTCCGCCTTTGCTCCTCCTCTCGCGCAGCCTCTGCTTCCCCCAGTTCCCGCTGTCTCCGTGCTACCAGCCTTCTGCGCGCACGCTCAGCAGGGTCTGCAATCACCGTCGTCTCTGCAGGGTTCCACTTTCCTGCAAGTGGAACTGGAACGATGGCGGATTGCGTTAACGCGGGGTATCGATCTCATCTTAGGGATGGTGCGCGGTGTCGAGTGACATGGCTATGCGCACGCGTACTTGCTTCAGGTCGGCTACGCACTCTAGATACAAAAATAAAGCAATGTATTATATACACACCATTACTGAATCCAAGTCTAGCTTTGGTTCTATTTGAATCCTCCCCAAGTACAAGATACACGAATCCTAGCTGAAATTGAAGGTCAGAGGGTCGTAGCCAGACACAGAAAAGAGTAGACTTACCCTCTGTGCACGCATGTGCACACTTCCTCCCTCCGACGTTATCTTCCTCCCAGTACCGCCATACTCCAGACCCTGCTCGCCGGACGACGATACGTCGTCTCGAGCAAAAATTCCCCTAAGGCAAAGCTTCGACTCGTTCGACACGTCGGTGGAGGTCGTCTCTCAAAGAACAAGTCGTGTAGCTAACACTACAGAGGGGTGCCGGTGAGTCCTTGAGTGCCGAAGATGGTGAATGTATGAACTTACAATTTCTGGCGCAGCAGCCTCCCGTGTCACCCTCCATTCCGCCATCTTTCTCAAGCTTGCTTCACCCCGTCTTCACGCCTGACCTTGCTTGCGGGACGACGATCCGTCGTTTCGAAGCAGAATACCAGTTTCCTGGCGTACAGTCCGTATCAGCGCGTCAACAGCTAGGCGGATCATCCATATCAAGTGAATGAGGATGCTGTCACGTCAACTGGAGGGGAGGGATCAACATTGATCTCTGCGGAGAGTGAGGACTCCTGAGTGCGCACGAGAAGTGAGAAGACTTACCACTCTTCGGTCTTTATCCATACCTACATCCCCGCACACCCCTCCATCGACCACCGTTGTCCCCGCAATAATTCCAGTTCCTCAAAGTACCCTCTTGACTCGACCGTGGTCTTGATGCCGAGCTTTTCGTACGTCCTGGACTTGTAGGGAGTCAGTAGTTTGAATGTCATATCTGAAAACGGAGGACATACCCTCCCGTTCGCACTCCACCCTTTACCATCGGCATATACTTCTCTCTCACATACTCGTCGACTCCATCGTTTTCCGGGCAAGTGCCCACGTTCGCAGAGTCCGTCGCACAAGGATGGCGACAGTAGTTCAGAGCGGGGCACATCATAAACTCGTTAAAATCTGTTAAAAATAGAAAATTAGCACGTAGAAGAAAACGAGTCCAAATATCAAACGACTTGCCATCGTTCGATGGCGGTGGAAAAGAAGAAAAAAAGCTCATGCTGCGGGTGTGACCTTGGTCACAAAATCAACCAGCTCGTTCTGGCATTTCCTGACATCGATACCAGATACGGATGACTAGCAGTGTGAGGGAGTCTGGCGACGTCGAGAGTGAGAGCGAGAAGGGGAGGAGGAAGGGAGAGAGGGAAGCCGGGAACTGGTCTTCAAACTAAAATCTGTCCTATAGTCTAGGACCCTCTTCATTGCGAGAGTCCGCTGTTGTTGACATTTATTTTCCCATTACAAGTTTCGGCTAGCAAATGACTGGGATCGCGGAGACCTTGCTTTCCAGCAAGGTAATGGAAACTGCGGCTGGGAGCTGAGCAGGATTGACATTCGAAGATGAAGCCCGACGAGTTCGGAAAACAGACTGACAGTGAAATTCCCACGGTTCTCTTTCCTCTGTCCAAGATACCAGGATTTATCGGACTCGGCGTGCTGGCGCCCCAGTCAAGGTAATCGGCACTGTGCGAAATAGAATTAGCTAATTAAGCAACAGACTACTCATGTATGTAGCGTCTTTCTACGAGAGACTAATAGACGTCCCTCAATGGCTCATCTGACAGATTTTCTGACAATACAATGCGTTTCCCTCGTAGGTTCTTTGGCCTGCCGTCCTTTTCTGTAATCCACGAATATCTGTTGGGCTACACATTTGGGAGGTTCCCTCCATCCTACTTGTCTATGATACACTGTGGGTCGACCCAGTCGCTGGGATGGGTAGTGGTGATGGACTGGCACGGATCATCTCAATTCTGAAGTCTTACTATCCCTCCGTAGTCTCTAAATACTCCCCGATGATGACTGCAAGGCCGGTAAACCTGCGATAGCGAATTGAATGCAGGCTACATAGTTGTGTTGGATGCAGAGGTGTGTATCACTTTTTCATGTAAGAAATCAGGGAGTTCATTCTCAGGACACAGGTAGAAAAGAAAGAAATTTTATTGGCAACCACCTCCCGTCCTCACGCATATAACTCTCAACTGCATCGATTCCATCCGAAACTGCTTGCAACTATCAGTTTCTCTCTCCCTAACGCAGGGCGAACAAGCGCAGTATTAGGGACTTGAAGTCGTGACCCAGTATTCAACTACTCCGATTCTCATCCTGGTGATGTTTCTCGGGCTATAATCCGAAGGCTGAGAGAACGTGTACTGGAGAGGCAGAGGGGATGGCTGCTTATCCGGCTCTCCCTCGTGTCCACAGATCTTTCGCCATCAGTTTGATGATTCTCATCCAACAAAATTTCCGTTTCGACTCATTGCTTTGTTCTAGTATTGCGCTTATAATGCGCTCTTCCAACCGAGTGTTGATTACAGTGATTTTGTGTTCATTGTTTACCATAGGACAGCGGCGTCCCATCCTTTCCTGTCCTTTTGAGGCTGACTTACGATGCCTCTGTCGCAACTGCTACCTTCGAGTCGTTCCTCTGACCTCCATCTGTCCAAATCCAAACAAGATTGTGCTTGAGTCACCCAACCCATCCACAGGTAAAGACTGTAGGGATTCGTCTCCTCAGCTCGAGGATGCAGGGGAAAATCGAGATGAACATACATCACAATGCGGATTTTCTTTTCGTTCAGGTCATTTTTTGACTTTCTCTGGGGCTTCTTTCCTGAACGACTTTGTTGAGAACGGGAATGGCTAACCGGATTTGGGAGCTCGCTTGACTGGATCGTCTGGGTTTGGTAGCTGCCTTGTTATTCTTCGGCAGCGAATCATGCGAAAGGCACCACCAACTTAAGCAGTACATAACACGCTGACTTCTCCAAATGTCGTACTAGCCTCTCTATGTCGCCTACCACTTCATAACAAGTGCTACAGAGGATGGTGCACCCAGATCATTAATACTCAACGTTGTTAATGCCCGTGCTTCACTCCTCCCTGCGCGGTGGTCTTGTACTTCCAAGTAAGAACACCCATCCAGCTCTTCGTCCCACCTCCCTAACCATATCATCGTAACTCAGGCGTGCTACATGCAACCACGACATCCACTAGTACGCCGACAAAGTGCCAATAGTCGTATACTCCTGTCCGCCAACAGGTTGTGCAGCATTTGCCCAAGGGGTATGCTTCTGTTTCTGTTTTCTTCCTAGTCCGTTCGCGTTTTACTTCTGAGTAGACGTACACGAGTCAGGGATATACGTGCTTGGCACGTCTTGCTGATCACGCCGTTGGTCCGAATCCGAGTGTTGTGAATACACAGGGCTTGTGTGGCTAGCTATTAATAGCAAAGAACTCGGGTGCCGTTGATAAACGCGTTCATCAATTCTCCGTCGACCATATATCTTACATCATTTGTGGGAACGGTGATAAGAAGTTATCACGGTTTTATCATATATTATCCAAGACGAAGGCCACTTTAGATTAAGAAAAAAAACAGGGAACATGAATCCGAAAGTTATTGGGCGTGCTGGCTCCATGGCGCTCACTCAGATAATAATTATATAAACTCCAAAGCGATTCGATTATAAAACATTTCAAACAGCAATCAAAAGTAAAAATCGTAAAGGACATGAATCGTGGGCCAAAATAGGAAAATCCGATGGAAAACGCAGCGAAGGAAATGAAACATAGCAACTGGAGACAGCAATCAACAAACTAGGGAAGTTAAGCAACAGTAGGGTGACGATAGGTGAAGAAAGAGTCGAGCCGAAAAAACATAGGAATGAGAATACAACGCCTGAACAAACTATTGGATGTTTTCGATGGTCGTCGATGCGCAGATAGGAAGGGGACAAGTACACGAACTGGGAGTGGGCCCGCCGAGGATCCGGAGAATGTGAGAAAAATTTAGGATGCTGTTGTCGCTGTCGTGGTCATGGACTAGATGGACGAGTCCGACCCAGCGTCAGGTGTCGCACCGTGCATCGTTTTTGGCGAATAGTAGTGATACTCGATATTCTCGCCCGCCGCATCGCCGTCTAGCTGACAGGGATATGGATTATTCACGGAATGGCCCGGGTATTGAACAAAGTAATGGTCTGAGCTATAAGCTTGGACCTGAGCGACACCCAATTGAATACCGGCTGGGGTGTTACTGGCTGAAGGAGAGGACATGTATGGAGCGAGTGGGATGTTGCCGGCATCATTGTAAGGGCTAAACGCATGGCGGTGACTGGAGGAGAAAGTAGGTGCGGCAGTAATCGAGGTGAGATTCGCGTCGTGATAAAAGGTGTCGGTATCGGAATTGGCGGACGGTGTGAATGTACCGTTGACGACGTCGTTGGAAAAGCTGATCGCGTCGACACTCTGAGAAGCATCATTATTTCCCAGGAAATTGTCTAACACGTTCCACGGCTCCGCAATGCGATACGGGTTATCAATAACGACGTGATCGCAGAGCTGAGCTTCACACGTGCAACGCTGTACAAGAGCTGTCTATAAAGTATGCAACGTGAATTCAAGCTACCATGCACAGTATGGAGGGGCATACCTTTTGGACATACGCAACGCACTGAGTCGGGGGATAATGATTCACGACCATCGAAACATAGTCGACATGGGTGTGAATACCGTGTCCACACCGACCGCAGATGTTCTAGAAGAAAGTGAGAATGCGAGTATGAACGCAGGTGAATGAGAGCATACAGGTTCTAGCAGGGTTGGCACAAAGCATGAACACTGACAACGCTGGACGTTGTCAGTGATATGGATGCATTGTGCTCGGGATGGTAAGAGTGCTGAAGACATTGATAATTGGACGAGGGCTGGGATGTAAATCGAAGTTCATATCGGTGCACTTTATATAATGGACTACGTAGATAGATGCAGATGCCAAGAAGCGTGAATTGGTTTGTCTGTAATGCGCTGATGCCAAAATGGGACATCTGGACCCTGACAATTGATGCAGCGTACCGCGTGACGACGAGTGTCCCCGAACGTTACCCACGTTACATATACGTTCGGGGACACTCGTTATACATCATCAGATACTCTGGCCAATGAGAGCGTTTACCGCTTTGGTTCGTTAGAGAGCACTTGCCGCTTTGGTTTTGGTTCGTTAGAGAGCATTTACTGCTTTGGTTTAACGAACCAAAGCGGTAAATGCTCTCATTGGCCAGAGTATCTGTAGGCTAGCGGCCATATGCATCGTGTGCATAGACATCCATTACGGTACGTGCGCATAGACATCACGGTACGTCTATGCACACGTACCGTAACGGATATCACATCATGCCCATGAGAGCATTCAATCCGTACCATCAATGACCCTGCCCGATATCAAGGTTCTGGTACAGTTTCCATCATTTCGGGGCCAAACAAATGCTTGTGTTATATTTCCGGCCTGCGAGGGAATAAGACTGAAAGTACTTATATTGACGTGTCTTGCAGCCTACCCTAGCCCATAAACTATTTTGTATGAATCTCAATTTCAATTGCATCTTTGCATACCATCAGCACTCGTCCAATCATCAATGTCTCCAACAGTCCTGCCGTCTCGAGAACGATGCACCCATACCACTGACAACACCCAACAATGCCAGTGTCCGTGGTTCGCGTCGCCTCCATTAGACCCGGTAGGCTCCTGTTCACCTTCACTTATTCCCCTGCTCATGTTCTTCCAGTACATCTGCGGTCAGTGCGGACACGGTATTCACGCCCATGTCGACTACGTTTCGATGGTCGTGAATCATCATCCCCCAGCTCAATGTGCCGCGTATGTCCAAAAGGTGCGTTGCTCTTCATTCCACACGATCCCTAGAACTCACGCTGTGTTGTCTATAGATGCCTCTTGCACAACGTTGCACGTGTGAAGCTCAGCTTTGCGATCACGTCGCCATCAATAACCTGTTTCGTCATGCGGATCCGTCGAGCGTGTTGGACAATTCCCCGGGAAATATCGACACTTTTCATAGTGTCGATGTGATCAGCTTTTCCAACGACGTCGTCAACAGTACATTCACGCCGTTCGTCAATTCTAGGGCCCTTCGGCCAGCCACACCCCATCCGGCATTCAATCGGATGTCACTCAGGTCCAGGCTTATAACCCAGACCATTACTTCGTCCAATACCCAGGCTATTCCATGAACAGTCCCTATGCTTATCAGCCGGACGGCGGTACGACGGGCGAGAATTTTGGTTATCAGTATCATTCACCAAACACTGAGGCTGGTTCGGACCCATACGTCTAGTCCATGACCACGACAGCTTCCTAGAATTTTCTTTCATGCTTCGAACCTTCGGCGTGCCCACTCGCAGTCCATGTACACATCCCTTTCCTACCTGTGCATCGACGACCATCCAAAACAACATCCAATATATTGCTCGCGCGGTATTTCTCATTCCGATTTTCTTCCGGCTCAACCCTTCCTTTACCTATCGTCACCCCACTGTTGCTGTTGCTTAAATTCCCTAGTTTGTTGATTGATGTCTCTAGTTGCTATCTGTCTTTTCCTTCTCTATGTTTTCCCTCGGATCCTTTGCTTTGGCCTACAATTCACGACCATTACGATTTTTTACTCTTAGTTGCTGTCGAAATGTTTTATAATCGAATTGCTTTGGTGTTTATGTGATTATAATCTCAGTGAGCGCCTGATGCGTCCCACAAATCTGCGCATGTTTTCTTCAAGTTCTTATTTCGAGAGGCCCTCGTCTTAGATAATACATGATGATACTGTGATCTACTTTCTCATCCTTTTACCTTCTATACGTAACGTAATGTATCATCATCCCTCTTTCGTATCTTGAGAACATACGAGTACAAAAGCATTCAAGTCTTGCGTATCTACTTCTCTTCCGCACCAGAATCCTCACACATATCGTCGAGGGTCGAGCAAAGGGTAAAGGACTTCACGGAGAAACGGTTTGAGCGTTACTAGTACAAGAAGTACGTGTATGTTGTTGAGATCAAGGTAAGATAAGAGAGGAATGATGATATACAGTGCATAGGTAGGTATGTGGTATATAGATGGTAAAAGGACACGAAGAGGGCATGTTCCAATCACAGTCCAGCGGTATGATGCAAAACACCCAACAATTTATCCTTATGACAGGCGGTCAGCGAGGGAGCAGGAGGCAGGCGAACGACAAAAGACACACCTTTTCTTCCTCAGTATCGCAAAACATCGCACACGGCCCACGTTGGTCCTTGAATTCAATAGCAAAAGAGTTGGGTATAGCTTTGAGTTCTTCGTAGCCGTCGTTCCACTCTTTCAGTCCGTTGAGCTTTCCACGGAGTTGGATTTGATCAAGCACTTGATTCATGTCCTGGTTTTTATGAGAAGGTGGAGTCGACGAAGAAATAAAGAGACGAGGCTCACCTTGGGACTGCGATAGAAAAACATGGTATCACCGATAAACTTGTAGTACCGCCTTCTCCAGACAAGAGAGTCGTTGATCTGGATGGTAGCCCAGCCGGTGAGCATGCTTTCAGTCTTATCCCGCTTGACCCGGGCCGCCATCTGCTCTACCCTCTTATTGCGTTCGGCCCGCTCCTTGGCCCTCTCAGCCTCTTCTCTCCTGATCTCCTCCTCCTTGATCCTTGCTTGCTCAGCACGCCACTGCTCCAGCCGGCGATGCTCCTCGAGACGCTTCTCCCTCTCCCTTATGCGCCTCTCCGCCAACTCACGCTTCTTCTCCTCCTCGGCTCTCTCCTCGGCTTCCTTCTTGCGTCGCCTAGCTTCGGTACTCATGCGCATGTCCCGCTCAATCCTCGCGCGGCGTTCCCTCTCCTCCTGCTCCTCCACGCGCCTCTGTTCCTCCTTCACCCGACGTATCTCCGCCTGTCGTTCCTCCTCCTCCCGCGCCGCCTCTGCTTCCTCCATCTCCCGCTGTCTCCGTGCCACCAGCCTTCTGCGCGCGCGCTCGGCAGGGTCTGCGATCACGGTCGTCTCGGCAGGGTTCCACTTCCCCACGAGTGGAACTGGAACGATGGGACTCGGAGGCCGCTCGACCATAACGGAGGATTCGTCGGATCCAGAGTAGGATTGGTCGTGGTCATGGTGTGAGATGATGGCAAACTCGGATACACTCCTCCGTCGTTCGGGCATGTCCATGCGTGAACGAGAGGCGACACCGAGCGAGTAGCTGTGCATCGGTGGAGGGTGGAAATTGTAGTTGGGTGGTGCGGGCAAATTGTCTTTGGGTGGCGTTGGGGGCGGGAGGTCGTCGTCAAAGTTGTGGGTGTCTTTCCTCCCTTTCCTTCTCAATAAACTGAGTCCAGAAAACATGCTCCCTGTCTTCTGCACAGGCACTGCGGTGTGCGGAGCGTAGCCATCGGTGAATGATCGTCGCATTGGTTCCAGTTTCAGCGGGATCTCGTGTTCTGTTTGTATGATGTGTGGAGAATCTGGGCTGAGGATTGCTTGGTGGATCGACGTTGGAGTAAGGTTTGCGAGGTGGTCGATGGTCAATGTCCCGTGTGCAGTCTGACTCTGAGTTAATTATACGTCATTTATAATAAGTGCATAGCCTTTTATACCTTTGTAAACCCTTCTGCCACCCGGCTTGAATCTATTAGTGCCTTTTCTATTTCTCCGTTAGCCATTCGCATAAGAACCAAAACCGCCGCAGCAATCTCACCTCGTCTCCAGCCCTCGATGCCCGGAGAAATGTAGTTGATAACCGCGAATCCAGGCTTGCCAGGTTTCTCCTCCCGATAAAATGCGATGCCTATCCCGGAGCTGTCGTGGAGGTGCGCTTTGAGTTCTGAGAGGCCTCCGGTGCCGTATGCAGTGAGGGATAACAAGTGGGGCTAAGCAAGTGCCAAAAAGTCAGCGACATGGCAACGGCAGGGGTGGCGTCCGAGTCCGCGACTTACGGTATACGTGTATAACATCCTGCCCCGCACGCACGCCCGCACGTTAACAACTCACACATCGTAACACAGGGGAAACGCTCACCAGTTAACATCACTCTCAACATCCACGATAGTCTCGTACACCTCTAGGGTATCGTCCGCCATCTGGTCATAGAAATACAGAATACAACGAAGAGAGGAATTTTCAAAAACAAGGAATGTAGGTTGCCATGCACGACAGTTTACTGACAACGATCCATCTGGTGCAGATTCAAGAATCAAATTAATTGGTGATTCGATAGCCGGGGAATTGCCGACGTACAATTGGGGAGAAGAAGCTCTTGCGCTCTATCAGCCTGCCACGACACCTGCCTGTCTCTCTCCAGCCGGCTTCGACAACTGGGCGCTTGTTCAATGTGTGGTTACAGATAATAAGCGTCTCGCGGTTCGTATTCCTCACATTCATGGAGAGGTTCATATCTGTCTCATAGCCGCCATCTGATAAATGCTGATCTATAGCACCGCTCGTCAAACATAACTCTCTACTCTGAGTTTTCTCTACTTCAAACAACTAACAGTCCCTGTTTACTCCAATCCTATCGACTACACTTGATATAGAACAGCTTTTCCGGGGACGTCTGGATGGAAACCGTCCCCTGGGCACAATCTCAGCTCACTCTTCGACAGCCATGATACTCTCTCTTCTGATTAGACTGCTACCTAGGTGCCTCCGTTCTTCTACAATTTGTTCCTGGGCTCGTCAAACAAGACCTGGACTTCAATCCGCTGTCTCCACCTCAGGACGTTCGAACTCGATATCCCTCCCTACGCGACATTTTTCATACATTCTGACTATGCCACTTTTTAGAGCTACATCCTTGACTTACACGCTAGTTATACCTTTGTTCTGCTTCGACTTCGGAGCGGGGATGGACTCTCAATATCTCTGCAGTCCTGCGAATACCCTCCTTGATACAGAGCGAGATGATAGAAACCTGGTCCCAATCTCAGCTCAGTGCATTCCTCCCCGGAAGGGGTATCGACTTTGAGTTGATTTCTTCTGTCCTTTACGAACGCTCTTCTCACTGTACTGCACTTCGCAGTTCTTTTATAACCTCTCATCCCTATACTGGCACTCGCTAAACACTCTTCTGCTTCGAACGGTCGGTAGAGTCCCCGGTACCTATTCCAGTCCTATCGACAGACACTGTTACTTGATCCCTTCGTATCTACTAAATGGAAACCGTCACCTGAGCATGATCCCACCTGGCTCGGAAGTACTATGCCATCGTTCGGAGTCTATACAGGCTAGTTTTAAACAACGAACTCGTGTCATCGTCCACCCCACCCGCGAGGCAGGGTCTCAAGTCGGCTCGCTGTAAAATTCCTCGTTTCATTCAGAGGAAGATTCGTGGTCTAGCTTCGACGCCATCCTCTGTCGCGACAAGACAAATACACCGGAGCTGCATCCGACATCAGCAGCCAAGGAGGAAGGGTACGCATCGGAACACGACACCCTTCTGCCTGTGGTTCCGAGATAATAAGTGCCTCGCCATCTTTTGAGAACGTGTGTCCACGGAGACTGCTTGACTCTGCCGTTTATCAGACTGCCTTCATCCGCCGCTCCCTTCTGCTGGTCGGTCTACAGAACTCTCAGTATCCTGCGAACCCCCTCCTTGATGCAGAGAGGAAACGCTGGAAACCTTAGCTCAGCTTCTCATGGCGGAAGAGAGGGGGAGGGGGAGTTTCTGAATTGATCGAGGATGCTTGCTCGTCCCCTTCTGACTGTTCCACTCTACGCTGGGTCATCCACTAACACGATACCTATTCCAGTCCTATTTACTTGATACCTTCGTATCTGTTAAATAGAAACCGTCACCTGAGCAATGAGTATGTTACCTCGGTCGGAAGTGCTACGCCATCGTTCGGGATCTATATGTGCTCAGTGCTGGTTTTCCTAAACAACAAGCGATGCACCCTGGCGAAGGGTGAATTCATGTTGTTGTTCACCGAGTGCTCTTGGCCCGCCAAACACGCTCGGAAGTATGTACTACGCCATCGTTCGGGGTCTATATGAGCTGGCTTTCCTAACCGACAATCTACGCACCCCGGCGAGGGATGAATTCATGTTGTCGTTGTTGTTCACCACACCTGCAAGACAAGGAGGGATCCAACCCCGCTCGCTGTAAAACTCCTCGTGAGTTTCATTCAAAAGAAAGTTCGTGGTTTAGACTTGGACCTCATCCTCTGCTACTGGAAACATGGCGACAAGATAAATATACTGGAGCTGCATCCGACATGAGTAGCCAGGGAGGGAAGGGTACGCTTCGGAACACGACGCGCTTCACTGTGGTTCCACGACAATAAGCGCCTCGCCACCAGAGAGGACACTCGTGTTGCTTGACTCTGACGGCTCCATGCTGGGGTTATCTCTTCTGCTGGTCAATAGAACTCTCGATATCCTATGAATCCCGTCCTTGATACAGAGCGGAGGCGCTGAGAACCTTAGCTCAGCTTCTCATGTACGTTCCTCCGCGGAAGAGGCGTCAACTGTTGATCACTTTCCCCTGTCTTTTACGCTGGATTCGACAGTGAAGGAGGATGCTTGTTCTTCTGACTGTACTGTTCGTCTCCTTCCTACGCTGGGTCATCCATCACTCTCCTCTAGTCCCACGATGCCTATTCTACCTGATGCGTTCGTATCCGCCAAATGGGAACCGTCAGCTCACCTCGCTTGGAAGTACTACGCCATCGTTCAGGGTCTACATGGGTTGGTTTTCCTAAAACAAAAGATTGACAAACGACGCACCCCGTCGATAGCGAACTCATGTCATTGTTCACCACCACCACCACAAGAACCCAAAGCTATACCCAACTCTTTTGCCATTGAATTCAAGGATCAACTACGACGTTTTGCGATACGAAGGAAGAAAAGGTTTGCCTTCTGTCGTCTGCCTCCTGCTCCCTCGCTGACTGTCTGTCATAAGGATAAATTGTTCGGTGATTTGCATTATACCACTGGACTGTGATCCTTCTTCGCGTCCTCTCACCATCTATATACCACATACCTATGCACTGTATATCGTCATCCCTCTTTCATATCTGATCTTCACAATATACACGTAATTCTTGTAGCTCTAGCAGTATCATCATGTATTATCTAAAATTGGGGCTACTCGGAATAAGAACTTGAAGAAAACATAGCGCATGAATTCCCAGATTTATTAGACGCGTCAGGCGCTCACTCAGATAATAATCATATAAACACCGAAGCAATTCGATTATAAATTATTTCGACAGCAAACAAAAGTAAAAATCGTAATGGTCATGAATTGTAGGCTAAAGCCACAAAGAAGGAAATGAAAGATAGCAACTAGAGACAGCAATCAACAAACTAGGGAATTTGTACAACAATGGGGGTAACAATGGGTGAAGGAGGGGTTGAGCTGAATGAAAATAGGAATAAGAAATACCGCGCGAGCAATGTATTGGGTTTTGTAAGTTTGGATGGTCGTCGATGCCCAGATAAGAAAGGGATGAGTACATGAACTGGGAGTGGGCGTGCCGAAGATTCAGAGAATGAAAGAAAATTGTAGGAAGCTGTCGCGGTCATGGACTAGATATACGGGTCGGACCCGGCCTCACCCGTCGCACCGTGCGTCGTGTTGGGCGAATAGTAGTGATACTCGAAATTCTCACCTGTCGCACCGCCGTCTGGCTGATAAGCATAGGGATTGTCCATGGAATGGCCTGGGTATTGAATGAAGTAATGATCTGAGCTATAACCTTGGGCCTGAGTAACGTCCGATTGAATACTGGATGGGGTGCTGCTGGCCGAAGGAGAGGACATGTGTGGAGCGAGTGGGGTATTGCCCGCATCATTGTAAGGCATAAATGCATGGCAAAGACTGGGGGAGAAAGCAGGCGCAGTAGTGATTGGAGTGAGGTTCGCGTCATGAGAAAAACTATCGGTGTCGGAATTGACGAACGGTGTGAATGTACCGTTGACGACGTCGTTGGAAAAGTTGACCGCGTCGAGACTATGAGAAGCATCATTATTTCCCGCGAAGTTGTCCAACACCTTCCACGGCTCCGCGACACGATACGGGTTATCGATGGCGACGTGATCGCAAAGCCAAACTTCACAGGTGCAACGTTGTGTCAGAGGCGTCTATAGTGCAGGCAGCGTGAGTTCTGGATACGGTATGGAGTGGGGAGAAGCATACTTTTTGGACATACGCGACACATTGAGTCGCAGGATAGTGGCTGACGACCATTGAAACATAGTCGGCATGCGCTTGAATACCGTGTCCACACTGACCACAGATGTACTGGAAGATCATGAGCATAGGAACGCGGATGAAGGTGACCGAGAGCATACAGGTTCTAGCAGGGTCGGTACGAACATGAACACTGACAGCGTTGGACATTGTCAGTGACCTGGATGCATTGTGCTCGGGATGGTAAGAGTGCTGAAGACATCGATGATTGGACGGGGGCTGCGATGATGGAAATTGAGGTTCATATCGGTGCACTTTATATAATCGACTAGGTAGATGCAGATGCCAAGAAGCGTGAATTGGGTTTGTGTGTGTGAACACTGTGCTGACTGCCAAAACGGGACATCCGGATCGGGACATAGGTCTTCGAAGCTTCAGCTTCACCTCTGGCAGGGCGATTTGAAATAGAAGCAGACCTGTAAGGCCTCCATTGAATGGCCATCAAACGGGCACGACGTTCCTCCCTATTAGTCCGAATCCGGAATTTCATCCAATACCATTCGGGATCGACCTTCCGTCGATCCTCCTCGCGCCTCCACATTAAGCGCCTGGCGTCGCGCTCGTTTCCGTGCCCTTGTACACATTGGAACACAGTAGTTTACCTGTACAATTAGCCATGGTAATATATTTCTGCTTCTCTGTGACATCCTATTAAGTGAGCCATGTTTTTGGTAAACTTTTGACCTTCCTGGACCTTCTGCTTTCGCGCATCGCTTCCTGGCCCGGAAATTCTTTAGAATTAAACCAGAACGTAGCGCAAATAGCTATTGAAGGTCGTCTGAAGATGTTCCAGGCCACGCTGCCTGCCTATATCATCTTATGCAGATCCTATCGAGGTCTGTATGGATCCAACCAGACGAGCACAGATCGGAATACATCTGACAGAGCACCTCAGATCTTCATCGGCTGGTATCACTACCCAGATAAGGCCGACCTGAACCAGAACGTATGGCTCAGGTTTTGGTGATGGATGAAATTCCGGATTCGGACTAATAGGCCGAGGGGGGGTCCTTTAGGCCCGTTTGATGGCCATTCAATGGGGCCTTACAGGTCTGCTTCTATTTCAAATCGCCCTGCCAGATGTGTTCAACCTTCATCGTCGATTATGCCACCGGCAAAAGCTAAAGATCTTCAAACTTCATCGTCGCTTATGCCACCGGCAAAAACTATGGACACGCCAAAATGGGACATCTGGACATAGATCTTCAAACATCATCAACATCATCACTTATGCCACCGGCAAAACTACGGATGCGCCAAAATGGGACATCTAGACATAGATCTTCAAACTTCATCGACATTGTTGATTATGCCACCGGCAAAAACTACGGTATACTTCCGTAACAATAGAAAGTAGCAGCACCGATGCCATTGACACAGTGAGATGGGTAAATTGTCATGTAGGAAGTAACAGTATAAATTGAAGGGTAAGCCGTCAGTGCATTTCGCGTCCATGCCAAATGTGAGATCGGGAGGATGTTTAAGGAAAACATCATGGCACGCGACCAGGTCCATATGCTCCAAATGTCCCATTTTGGCAGTCACACTAGTTAGCCAGTGTTCACGAACAAGCCCAGCTTAACGGCTCTTGACATCTGCATCTACCTAGTCGATTATATAAAGTGCACCGATATGAACCTCAATTTCCATCGCAGCCCTCGTCTAATCATCGATGTCTTCAGCACTCTTACCATCCCGAGCACAATGCATCCAGGTCACTGACAACGTCCAGCGCTGTCAGTGTTCATGCTTTGTGCCGACCCTGCTAGACCCTGTAGGTTCTCATTCACCTACATTCATACCCGTGTTCTCACTTTCTCCTAGAACATTTGCGGTCAGTGTGCACACGGTATCCACGCGCATGTTGACTACGTTTCGATGGTCGTGAATCACTATCCCCCAGCTCAATGTGCTGCGTATGTCCAAAAGGTGCGGTGCACCTCATTCCACATGATATCTAGAACTCACGTTGTGTACGTTATAGACACCTCTTGCACAACGTTGCACGTGTGAAGTTTGGCTTTGCGATCACGTCGCTATCAATAACTGGTATCGTTCTGCGGAGCCATGGAATGTTATGGGCGATTTCCCCGACACCAATAGTCCTTCTTCCAATGTCAACGCGATCAGTTTTTCCAACGATACCATCACTGGTCCATATACGCTCAGCTCCATGTCCGTTTCTTCCGCCGATTCCGACAACGTCACTTTTTCTCATGACGTGAACCTCGGGCCAATCACCGGGACGCCTATTTTCTCCCCCAGTCCCCGCCATTCATTCAGCCCTTCTCACGATGCGAGGAACGCCCCTCTCACTCTCGCATACATCTCTGCTCCTCCTGTCAGTAGCGCATCATCCGGTATACTTCAATCGGATATCGCGCATGCCCAGACTTATGGCTCAGGAGATTATTTTGTTCAATACCCGGACCATTTCATAAACAATTCCTACGTTCCTCAGCCAGAGGGTGGCATGGCAGACGACAATTCATAGTATCACCATCAGATCTGATGTACGGTCTGACGCCCAAAGCCAAGCTGGATCCGTACACTCCATCCTGTAGCAGCTTCCTAAACTTGGCTTTCATTCTCCGAATCCCCGGCGCACACATTCTATCTACCTATCCCTCACGGTCACGATCCATGCTGTTTCTGACTGTCCATAGACGATCGTCCCTACCAAGATCTACAACCACTACACTGTAGACACGGGGTATTCCCGTTTCTTTCCTTCCTCGCCAATCGTGACCTCTGAATGCCTCATATTTATATTTTCCAGCCTGGTTTGCTGTTTCCCGTCGCTTTATTTTTTTCCCGTCTTCTTTCTTGTCTTTGCCCCCGGTTCTGTTCGAGATGTTCTATCAGTTAGGTATGAATTCTTTTGCTTTGGCCTATGTTTCATGTTTGTTACATTTTTTTTTACTTTCGGTGTTGTTTTCAATGTTTTGCAATCGAATTGCTTTGTAGTTTAGTATTTACACAATAAATGTCGCCAGCGTGTTCAACAGCTCCGGGACTCGTACGCCTCACTTTCTTTTTGTGGTCAAGTTGTAAGCAAGCATGATCCAGTGAGCGGCATTGATAAGTATCCATCACTATTTCGGCAAACTGTTGATGAATCCGATGTTCGGTTACTGCACAGGGAATTGATGAACACGGCGCTTGTTCATGGCGCTTACGACGTCTCCGATACTCCAAACCCGAAAGCATTGATTAGCAATAGAGATAGAAACGACCAAGGGAGCTATCCAAAGTGATGAATATACGTGTGAATACCGTAGACCAAAGTGACGGAGTTGACGCTGGAGTCAAGGCGACGGGTAGGTGATAACCTGAAGAGACGATGATGGCTAGCGGATCAATTCCATAACGACATGAAAACTACGGTACAGATGATGTTGGCACAATAGGATGGGTAAGTCGTTGTGTAGGGTGTAACAATATATATAACTTGAAAGGTAAGCCGTCAAACTAGTATTCCCATCAAGCGGTGTTTACTGTTCGCCAGACCGCTCGGTTTGGTGATGAACGCTCTCATTTCGAACGCAGGAAAGAAATGCCAGAGAGAGACCAAGAACGGGTAGGACAACAAGAAAAAATTCGCATTTCGAAGGTCGTGGTGCGTGGATGTTCGTCTTCGTGTGTCTTTTCCCGCATTCCTGAGTCCCTTGCGGTCTTTTCCTGTAAATGAGTTAGGCTAAGTCTTGTGATTCCCTGGTAGGACGTTGTAGGAGTGTCCGTCTGCGACGGAGACGCTGACGGTAAGGTGATACATCCAGCCTCAAAGGGTAGAAACGATGGAGTTCCCCAGACCAGGTACTGAACACCGAATCGGTTGTAACTGATGTCGAAACAGCGTGTTATAAATGTAACTAGAACAAGGCAATGAGTCAAAGTAAAAATGACAGCGGAGAAGAACTACCAAACTGACATTCGGCAACAAGACACTCGTGAAAACGCAGTCAGGCAGGAGGAGTTGCATAAAAAATCCGTCCCCTCGCCTCTCCTGTGTACGTTCTCTCAGCGACTTCCGGTCAGACTGTTTTCCTGGAAGATTCCATGAGTATGGTAACCGGATCAGAGCTACTGTCTCTTGAGAGTCAAACCCTACATCAACAAGTTCGCTTGTTCATCGCTGAGTGAGGAAGATGATCTGTACCCGCGAGAAACAGAGAAAGTGATAGTCGCAAGTAGTGGAGGATTGAATTGGCGATTGGAAATGCAGTTGAGACGAGTTGGGCGCACAAAGGGCAGGAGGTAGTCATTGATGGCGCGTTTCTTCTTTATGGTATCCTGTGGGCATTGAGGGAAGGGTAACGAAAAACGAACATGCGTGGCTGTGTCTGCGCGTATATAATAAAGCCTGCGCTACGGGTATCTGGAAGCACTTTGCCGAGTCACCTGATACGTAGCCAATCACTGTTTTTCATTGGACCTTGTGCCGAGGACAGTGCATCCACGTCACTGACAACATCCAGCAATATCAGTGTCCGTCATTCACGCCACCTCTGTTAAATTCGGTAGACTCCCTTTCATCTTCGCCCAAATTCTCGTGCTCACATTCTCTTAGTACATCTGCACTAACTACCAGCACGGTATTCACGCGCATATCGACTATGTTTCGTTGGTCGTCAATCATTATCCACTGACGCAATGTGTCGCGTATGTCTAAAAGGGTATGCTCCTCCCTCCTTTGCATGGCAATTTGAACTCATACGGCCAATACCGTAGACTGTCAACACCTCTAGCACAGTGTTGCACACGTGAAGCTCAGCTTTGGGACCACATTGTCGTCGAAGGAGGAAGAGCAGTAGGTGGAGATACACCGGGTGAAGGAGGAGCAGAGGCGCATGGAGGAGCAGGAGGAGAGGGACCCCAGGATGAGGATTGAACGGGATATGTGCATGAGCACAGAGGCTAGGTGACGCAATAAAGAGGCCAAGGAGAGAACCGAGGAGGAGAAGAAGCGTGAGTTGGCGAAGAGGCGTGTGAGGGAGAAGGAGGAGCGGCTTGAGGAGCATCGACGTCTGGAGCAGTGGCGTGCTGAGCAGGCGAGGATCAAGGAGGAGGAGATTAGGAGAGAGGAAGCTGAGAGGGCGACCGGCGAAGGGGCGAGCCGAACGCAATAAGAGGGTAGAGCAGATGGCGGCCCGGAACAAGCGGGACAAGACAGAAAGCATGCTCACCGGTTGGGCTACCATCCAGATCAACAACTCTCTTGTCTGGCAGAGGAGGTACTACAAGTTTATCGGCAATACCATGTGTTTCTAGCGCAGTCCCGGGTATGCCCACTTCTTCATTTCTTCATCGACTCGCGTTCTCATAAAAAGCAGGATATGAACACAAGTCCTTGCAACTCCGTGGAAAGCTCAACGGACTCAAAGAGTGGAACGATGGTAACAAAGAACTCAAAGCTATATCCAATTCTGTTGTTATTGAATTCAAGGACCAACGTGGGTCGTGTGCGATGTTTTGTGATACGGAGGAAGAAAAGGTGCGTCCCTCGTCATTTACCTACTGCTCCCTTACTGACTATCGCAGGATAAATTGTTGGGTGTTTTGCATTATACCGCTGAACTGTGAATGGAGTATGCCCTCTTTGCATCCACGGTCCCTTTACCATCTATCCATCTATATACCACATACCTACGCACTGTATATCATCATTCCTCTCTTATCCTACCTTGATCTCCACAACATACTTGTACTTCTTGTACTAGTAACTCACATTGTCGTGCCGTTAAGTCCTTTACGCTTGCTCAGATTTGTATCAAGTACATACATATTACACAGGTAAAAAAGTGTTCAAGTCGTGTGTCCTGTACCGGAATCCTCACTCCTCACATCCTCGAGCCTTCGAGTCGCGATACGGGTTCTGCCCAACACAGACATACAATGCTCGAACATCCCTCAGTCGTGTACGTCTGCATCCGCCCAGAAAATCAACCCCTGACTCACAGACTCACAGGAAATCACAGTCAGAGAGACATACCACTTGGACAAACGCTACGTCCGGGCAGTCATCGACACCTTGTCGATGTGTGCGTAGATGCATTGGCACTGCAATTTCTACGATCAGGGTATGCAGACGGGGGACTGAGGTATGTGTTCTTCTTACCTGGAAGTACACCGGGAGCTCGTAGTCACGGTCTTCGTTACGGATAAGGAAGAAGGGCCCCCGTGTCTAAGTAGATGTGTGCCCTGTGAGAACTCGACGGGATGAGTTCGTGGCGCGACAGACCATTTGAAAGGCCGCTTACGGAATAATCACCGCTAAGAGGGAAAGGGAGAATAGTAATCCGTGCTTAAGCGAGAGGGTCGATGAGGTAGCAGGGAAGGGTCTGAATGGTCGATGGATTTCCCATAGCTAGATAGCCCTAGAACATCTAATGGGAGACATGGGTAGCAGCGACGTACGGAGGAAAGGTAGATGGCCGGAAAAGAAGAAAAAATAAGAGAAGAGGCGATACGGATGGAAACGGATCTGGATGAGAGATCTCATGTCGATTACGAGGAAGATAACGAATCGGAAAAAGTAATAAGAATTAATTGCAAAAATGGAGGAGGGTTTTCCTGGCCGGTTTGTGGTTGAGGGCTTCTGATTCCGAGAAGCGTGACACGTTACAGATCCTACCACCTATCCAGTGGAGTCCAGTGTTGGCATCCAGCAAACATCTATGAAGCAGTCGTCTATACGCAATGCTGTCGAACGTCTAGTTCATTCGAGAATAAAGGAAGGCGCTACTTACAGTTGCCAAAGAACATTCCTACGGCTATTTTGTTGTCACGATGCCGCGTTTAGCGCTAAAGAAAAAAGGCAAATTACCATGTCCCGCGTTCATGCAAATGAGCTTTTCTTGTCTTTTCACATCCCGCCAATGCGTTACAGATCCCTGCCGATCTTGGTTACCTCAAAGGATTGTTCCCAGCACATATTGCAGGCACTGATGCGGCGATGGTGCATGGATGTATATGCCTGGTATGCGCTATTGCATATCACTTCTATTGGTTCTATTCAGCTGCAGACCCAGCAATCAAATACCTCTGGCTGCAGTTGTTCGCCGCACCAGATTGGACATCAAGCCGATCTCCATTTTAGGACGAGTGCATGTTTATCGCCTCGTTTGTGATCGCAGTGATATGGATCTATCCAGGCCGATTCAGGATGTCCCATTTTGGCAGTCACCATAATGGTATCCGAAGGAGAAAGTTTGCGCACTAACAAACCACAATTTACGCTTTTTGACATCTGCATCTGCCTGATCCATTATATAAAGTGTACCGATATGAATCTCCATCATCACAGCACTCGTCCAAATGTCCTCAGCAGTCCTACCGTCCCGAGAACGATGCATTCATGCCACTGACAACATCCAACAATGTCAGTGTCCATGGTTCGCGTCGCTTCTGTTAGACCCGGTAGGCTCTCGTTCATCTTTGCCCATATTCCCGTGCTCATGTTCTTCCAGCACATCTGTGGTCGGTGCGGACACGGCATCCACACTCATGTCGACTATGTCTCCATGGTCGTGAATCACTATCCTCCGACTCAGTGCGCTGCATATGTCCAAAAGGTGCGCTGCTCCTCACTCCACACGATTTTTAGAACTCACGCTGCATACACTATAGACGCCTTTGACGCAGTGTTGTACCTGTGAAACTTGGCTTTATGATCACGTCGCCATCAATAACCCGTTTCGTCATGCGGAACCGTGGAACGTGTTGGACAATTTCGCAGAAAATAATGACGCTTCGCATGGTGTCGACGCAATCAACCATCCCAACGACGCTATTAACGGCCCTTTCACACCCTTTTCACCCGTCCATTCCGATATCGACGCCTCTTATCACGACGCGAACCTCACCCCGAGCACTGCCGCGCCCATTTTCTCCCCCATTCCCCGCCATGCATTTGGCACCTACAATGATGCGGGCAACGTCCCACTCACTCCACACATGTCCTCTCCTTCGGCCAGTAACACCCCATCCGGTATTCAATCGGACATTACTCAGGCCCAAGGTTATAGCTTAGACCATTACTTCGTTCAATACCCAAGCCATTCCATGGACAATCCCTATGCCCATCAGCCAGATGGCGGGGCGACGGGCGAGAATTTCGATTATCAATATCGTTCCCCCAACGCGAATGGTGCGACACCTGATGCTGGGTCGGATCCGTACATCTAGTCCATGACCACGACAGCTTCCTGGATTTTTCTCTCATTCTCCGGATCCTCGGTGTGCCCACTCCTAGCCCATGTACTCATCCCTTCCATCGACGACCGTCCAAAACAACATCCAATATATTGCTGGCATGATATATTCTCATTCCTGTATTCTTTCAGCTCGACCCTTCTTGCATCCATCGTTATTCTAATGTTGTTTGAACTCCGTAGTTTGTTGGTTGCTGCCTCTAGTCGCTATCTTTCATTTCCTTCTCTATGTTTTCCATCAGAATTTTTGCTTTAGCTTGCAATTCATGTCCATTACGATTTTTACTTTTGGTATCGTCGTGGTTGAATTGACTCGGGAGCCGGTGTGACGAAGAAGTTAAACAGAAGAACCAGTGATTAGCCGAATCGCTGAACCATAACCCGAATAATAACTACGAGACTTGGATAACTACTAAGTACTTCTTGGCCGCTTTCCATAGCAATGTAGCATCATCATATCGTCTATCTCTTCTTGTATGGCTGATATAGTGAGAGCTCCGTAATCAATATAGATATAGTTATAATCCCGCTATTGACACCATGTCATTTATATTAAATATGAAAATCCTGTCATAAATATTGGAGATCGCTGATCGACGCCACTGATCAGGTCCTAGGATCCATCTAAGCCTCGAGCACGACGGACGATTTGAAAAATCCGTGGAGTGTAAAGCGGAGGAATCATGGTTGGAGGACCCTTCATGTCCAGGTACCTCCAAAAAGCACGTGAAGGCGTGGATTCTTTCGATTTTCGCCGGTTCTTCCGACTTCGCCATATCAGGAGAGTGAAGACTAGGGCCAAAAGTGCAAATGAACCGACGGCAGTGCCCACGATTGCTACTGTGGGTAGATCCCTCGAAGTCGACGATTTCCCAGGAAGAGCGGTTCTGTGGGGAATGGTTCGTCACGGAGGCAGAGAGCTAAACACAATCATACGCACCCAGAATTTGACGAAGTAGGACTGGGTGGAATGCTGGAACTCGCCGACCTGAATTCTGTCGACTCAGAACTTGGTGTACCCATGTTACTTGTCATGGCCCATGTGGAGGGTATGTTTCCCACTCTCGGATCCCCAAGGGAAAGGGCTCTGCGAGATTTGTTGTAGAGACAGAAAAATAAACGCAACAGCACGCACCCTGAAACTGACGAAGGGTGACTGGATGGGATGATGGAAATCGTTGAAGCGAATGTCGCATTGGAGCCTGTCACTGAAAACGGCTCACTCTGAGCAAGATCACTGAATTGCTTATAAAATTTGGACAGGGTTCAACATATCAGAAACGTACCTATCAAGCCAAGCGACCAGGACACAGTCTTTCTTAGATGGATTTGTGTAATTGAAGATCATATTGAAAGTACGGTCTGTTGTGAAATTATCCACGGGCTGAATCGCCGTTGCTATCATTGTCGATCTATTCGTGTATATCAAGAATGCACCCAAAAGAAATCTGGGTGGATCGTTCTGCGCCATGTGCAAGAGTACCGGCGTGCTTTGGAAGGCTACCGGAGTACTGTCCAGCATGATATTGAGAGCCAACCCTAGCAGAACGAGCACCATAAAGGTGCACCTACCGACATTCAGAATTGCATCCAAGCGAACCAAAATTTTGGCATTAACTCACAATTGAACGACGGATAAGAACATGGGAGGCGAGGTAAGAGACCTCGAATAGCTTCACGTTTTAACTGTTGGATGTATGATATTGTTGGTCAGACTGCCATAGTATGAGATGAAATGTTCTCCGTCGGCATTGACGGTAGTAGGCACAGGCAAGATCCAATTTCCCGTTGGTAAGCTAGATACAACCACCGAATCTGATCGAGGTCGGTAAAGTCCACATGGAGATCATACATCAAAACATCTGCTGGCGACATCGGGAGCTGGTATTGGAAGCGTGTGAAGCAGACCTGTACGACGGTGGGGGCAAACTCCCGCATCCAGCTTCCATGCATCTGATCTGATTATCCAACACCATGATCTCCTCTCGCATCCTCACATTCTCTACCTCTAAATGCTCTCTCGGCATCTGTAACACAAGTTCTTGAGTTTCGGTCTCGCTTTCCTGATGAAGACTCATACTCCTAGATTTTGGTGGAAACGAAGTTAGGGTAGCCGCTGGGCCATCCTCAGGACAAAGATATGGTGTGGCGACCTTCGCCCTCCGTCGCCGAATCAGGACGTATATAAATGCGGAAATCATGCATCCAAATGCAAGCAAGCCGAGGATGCAGCCCACAATGGTGCCCGTGTATGACGTATGTTTAGGCGGAACGTTGGATGCTGTCGTCGAAGTGGGAATGCTTCTGTGAAAATCACGTTACAGGGCTTATGGGTAAAAAGACTTGATCGCTGCAGCACTCACCCCGAAAATGATGAAGGGGGGCTGGATGGGATGGTGGAAAGTGCCGACTCAGATGCTGTCGACTCAAAGTCTGTCACCGAAAACAGCTGGCTTTCAGCCAAACGAAGACCCGATCTAAACTGGCTTATGAACATGGGGCATCGTGTAACGTATCACAGACCTACTCAGACTCCCAAGCAACCAGGATATAGTTTTCGGATCGACTTGAATGATTGAAGGTCATATCGATAATTCGGTCTGCTGTGAAATTTTCAACGGCCTGATTCGTTGTTGCCACCATTACCGATCCCGTAGTGTTCACGAATGCCGCTTTAATTTCCAAGAATGCACTAAGCACGAAGTCGGAAGGATCGTCCAGCGCCCTGTGTAAGGATACCGACGTGCTTTGGAAGGCTATCGGATTGCTGTCCAGCGTGATATTTAGGGAAGACACTGGCGGAGTGAGCAATACGAGGAAACACCTAGCGACATTCAAAAAACATGACATGTGCTATAAAACAAACTACAGCTCACGCATTCAAGATTATATAGAACATCTCGGAGAGAACAGGCAGGGAAGTAAGTACCAAACCCTGAGAAGTGGTTGACTATCGTCGCGCTTAAGACATCTCCAATTGATCACAATCCCAGTAGACATGACGGGGGTGTTCAATATCATGATCCAATAGAGAGATATGGAGACCACGGCACTCTTGACTCGTGTGGGCTATGCTGAACAGATTCGGATGATTGGCAGAAGATGATTCATGCGAATACAGAGCTCATGCGGGAAGCGCCAGAAGAGACCGAGTCCGTAAGAAACTCAAGAATGCATCTGACCCATTCTTTGAAGTCATGGCTGCGGTTTCGATCCACATTTTCTATTGCCTCCATCTCAATATTGCAGACAGAGTTCATCGGAAGGAATGGTTTCTGAATCAGAAAGAAGATAAAGTGTCATTGTGCACCGAGGAGTGGGAATTCTAATCGTCACTGTTTCGGAACAGTTCCAAGTTCAGGGTTCCTATGGTCTGTACTTGGCATCACCACGCTTAGTGACGTCCTGATCCCTAAACCTTCACGGGGTTAGTATCTCAACGGCAGGGAAGAGAAGTGACAACTCGCAAATCGTCAATCCTAGGAGAATGCTGACATTGCTATGCCCTTCTTGAATAATTGCGGTCTGCCGGTATCGAGTCACCTACAGTGTCTTTGTGCTGGAGAATTTGCAAGATTGTAGACGAGCGCCAGCATCTCAAGTCAGATCTAGTCCACTCTCTGAGAATTGGAAGATCAGAGTGAGATGAGAACCAAATGAGAGCAAGAAAAGAACCGTGGGAAACTTGATTCGTCATCACGGGTTAATGTTATTTTAGATTTCCTTCCTTCCATGAATCCCACACGGACACCTCCGTCTCAAGTATAAGACAAGTCCTTCCCATATAAAAGTGTTAGGCATATAGCACCTTGTAGAGTGCTCCTCAAGCGCGAATTCCACTATTTTTAATTGGATCTTAGTAAATGATTATGAGTCCGTGCTCCCTCGGTGGTTCACCTTTTGCTCCGGGGGGTGAAGTTCTCAATGTCTCACTTTGAAGATGCGCGGTATCTTCAGGAGTCACTGTAAATCTACGTTTACTTCTGATGATCATTACAGCCCTCCGTCTCGATTTCTGTATCGTATGGGAATGTCGCTTGCGTATAATCATGGCTTCCAGTGTTCGTGTCTGGCTCCTATTCAGAAATATAGTTTTCTTCGGTAAGCGTGTTGCATCTACCCGGTATTTCAATGAGAACCCACCAATCCTGGGTCTGGTTACATGATCGCGAGTCGTACCAGCCGTCGGAATCTGACATCCAATCTCACCACAACACCTTAAGAAATCTCAAGGATGAATTTGTGGAGAGTCGCACGACTTCCCGATGCTGAGTGTCGGCTTACCTAGGTGCGTAATTTTACCACTTACCTTGTTCGAAACGGACATGGAAATAAAAATACTTATTCTCATGATCAATGATTCAAGCTTTTCTCAGGTTCAGCCTTAGTTACAGCAATCACGAGGTGGTGGTGAACAGACAGCACTTGGTATGGTGTAGAACCGAGTATCCAAATCGTTGAAACGTAGCTCTAGTAGCTACTTGTCATCCGCTTTCTATCGAATGTACTGTTATCATGTCATGTAAGATTGGTGAGAGCTTCATAATATATATAGGTATGGCTGTGGTCCAGCCATAGATACAATATCATCTATACTAAGAATACTATAAATATGGGAGATCGCTGATCGATGCTATCGATCACATCGTCCTGGATACTTACATCGAAGCCTGGAGTGGAGTTCAAGGCGGAGCAATGATGGTCGGTAGGCCCTTCATATCTGGGTACTTCCCAAAGCACGCGATGGCGCGGATTTTTTCGATTTTCGCCTTTCCTCTCGAGTAATACCAAGAGAGCGAAGACGATAGACAAAAGTGCAAATGAACCCACAGCGACACCCACGATTTCTCCTGTGGGTATAGCCTTCGTGGTCAATTGCCTAGGAGAATCGGGGATGGTTCGTCACAGAGACATGAGACTAGACACAGACGCACGCACCCTGAAACTGACGAAGTGGGACTTGATGTGCTTGTTCCGCTTGCCACCACGGTCGATGATGTGGACATAGCTCCCATTGTCGATTGGCCAGGAGGAGCGGTTCTGTGGTGATATTATGGCAGAGACAAAGAACCAAACGCAGCAGCGCGTACCCTGCATCAGACGAAGTGGAACTGGATGTAGGCCCGATGGGAAGTTGAGGATCCAAGGGCGATGTCACGTTGATGTTTGCTGAATCGACATTGCTACCATTGATGATCCACTACTGTGGACCAAGAATGTACTAAGGATGAAGTTGAGAGGATCGTCCTGTGTCCTGTGTAAGAATATCGGGGTGCTTTGGAAGGCTACCGGATTGTCCAGCGTGATATTTAAGGTTAACACTAGTGGAGTGAACACCAGAAAGGTGTACCTAGCGGCATTCAGAACTGCATTCAAGCGAACTGAAAATTGACATCAACTCACAATTGGGAGAATGGGAAGGACATGGGACGGTGGCAAGAGACCTTGAATGGCTTCGCGTTTTAGCTGCCGGATGAACAATGTTGATCGGACTGTATGAGATGAAATGTTCATCGTCGGCATAGCAGACACGGCCAAGATCCATTTCCCGTTGATAAATATATACAACCACGAAGTCCGATCGGTAAAGTCCACACGGAGATCATATATTAAAAGATGTGCTAGAGACATTGGGAACGTTGGGATTGGAGGAGCTTGAGGCACATGAAGCAGACCTGTACGATGGTGGAAGTAAACTCCCGTTTCCAGCATCCATGCGTCTGATCTGATTATCCGACGCCATGATCTGCTCTCGCATCCTCGCATTCTCTGCTTCTAAATGGCCCCTCGACACTTCCGCCGATACAGGTTCTTGGGCTTTAGTCTCGCTTTCCTGATGGAAACCTGTACTACCAGATTCTAGTGGAAACGGAGTTAGGGTAGGTGCTGTGCTGTGCAGACGAGGATGCAATGACATGGCAGTCTTCGCCCTCCGTCGCCGAATCAGGACGTATATAGACGCGGAAAGCATACATCCAAATGCAAGAAAGCCAAAGGCACCGCCTACAATCGGGCCCGTGTATGATTCAGGTTTGGACACAGCATTAGATGCTGTCGTCGAAACGGGAATAGTTCTGTGAAAATCACATTACAGGGTGTATGGATAAGAAGGATTATTTGCTGCAGCGGTAAATTATTATGGCGGAGACAGAGAACCAAACGGGCTGCATGTACCCTGAACCTGACGAAGTGGAAATGATTCCGGGCCCGAACGGGAGATTCGGACCGTGGACAATGGTCGAAATGGGCGCTGTCGTGCTGGCGTTTTCCATCACTGAAAACGGCTTGCTTTCAGCAAAGTATTCTTGCGACCTGAGATAAGTAGTTCATGAACATGAGGCATAGTGTAACATATCAGAAACATACTCATCAAGCCGAGCAGTCAGGACACAGTCCTTTTCAGATGGACTTGTATAATTGAAGGTCATAATGGCGGTTAGGTCTGCTGTGAACTTTTCCACGGCCTGAATTGTCGTTGCTACCATTACCGATCCATTACTATGGATCAAGAATGCACCAAGAATGAAGTCGAGAGGATCACCCTGCGTCCTATGTAAGAGTACCGGCGTGTTTTGGAAGGCTACCGGAGCGCCGAGCAGCGTGATATTTAGCGACAATACCGGCGGAATGAATATTACGAAGATACTCCTAGCGACATTCAAAAAGCAGGGCCATGCTCTAAAAGTAACCGCAACTCACATATTCAACATTAAATAGAACATAGCTGGTTAACGACTCGGAGAAAACAGTACAATCAAGTCCCGAGAAGTCGTCTACTATTGTCGCGTTTAAAACATTGCCAGTTGACCATAATTCCCCAGGCATGATGAAGCCGTTCATAGTGATCCGATCGAGAGATGCGGAGACCACGATATCCTTGGCTCGTGTGGGCTATGATGAACAGATTCGGATGGTCGGTGGAAGATGGTTCACACGAATACAGAGTTTACGCCGAAAGCGAACGAGTCTGAAGCTCAGACAGGGATCTGATGCATTCTTTAAATTCACAGCTATTTCGATCCGCATTTTCTGCTGCTCCCATCTCAATGTTTCAGACAGAGTCCATCGGGTGAACACCGCTTTTGAGTGAGGAAGACAAGACAGAGCCTGCCAGTGCATCGAGGAGCGGAAATGTTCTTGGATGTCACCGTTTGGGAACAGTCTTCTTGAGTTCAGAGGTGTCTACAATCTGCGCTTGGCATCACCATGATGATCAAGTATTCGCGACGACAATAATTACACATAGCGGCGGCAATGAAGAGAAGTAGCAACTCACAAATCATGCCCTTCTTAAAGCCCGCTTCTTCTGATGCTTCGTCACCTGAGGACAGCTCTCTGGAATCTGAACAGTCAACACCCTTATAGATATCATCTATACCCACCTGCCTGTATCAGAAATCTGTAATATATGTTTGAAGAGTGGACCGGTAGACTCTGTACCTTCGGCATAGTAGTATGGCAAAGAAGTTGGGATACGTAGGGAGGAGTATTAATTGCGGCTTGTCGGTATTGAGTCAATTATAGTTCCTCTGTGCTGAAGAGAATTTTTCAAGGTCGCAGGTTCGTACCAGCATCTCAGCTCTAGTCCATTCCATGAGGATAGAGTGAGTAGAGGAAAGAAGCCGTGGGAAGTTCATCATCGGTTGAACCGGTCCGCTTACGGAGTGCTGTGGCCCTTCCGTAGAACCCTCATCATGTCTGCAACTTCAGGTATCGGTGTATCACAAGACCTGTCTGCTCAGTTTTCAGCAGCCGTCGAGTCCAAAGATATCAGATTCTTCAAAGTCTCTATTGACAACGGTGCGATGGCCAACCCACAAATTGAATAATTACTAAAAGAGCCGTCTAGAACTGCTCGTCCACGATCTGTCTGTTCCCGTTCAAGGAACCCTTGCAGAGGACCTGGCAAAGCTACAAGAACCTGAAATAATTCAGGATGACATTCCTGCTTATATCCTCGTCCGACTTGATGATCCTCCGACCCAATGGCTCGTCATTGACTATGTTCCCGAAGGGACTAAAATCAGATACAAGGCAAGCCTATGTTGCCTCTACTTTTTCAGCGCTGATCGTTATATCTAGATGCTCTACGCATCGTCGCGAGGCTCCTTGACCCGTTCCCTCGGTTCCTCATTCTTCGCCGATTCCATATTCGCGACCTCAAAGGAGGACCTAACAGCAGAAGCGTATGCTGCCCATCGACGACACGTCACCGCTCCGCAGCCACTCTCCTCTCGCGAGCAAGAAATAGCAGATGCGCGCGCTGCGGAACGCGAAGCTGGTGCACACAGCTACCGTCCCAAAGTCAACCCTGTAGGACATGGCGTTGGCCTGAAGTGGACCGACCAAGCCGAAGACGCCATCAAAGCACTGGGGCAGGGTGAAGATTCAGGCTTGGTTTTGCTGGTATGCCTGCTGAATTTATTCCTCTGTTTTCTAACACTCACTCTTACCTGGGCAGAACATCGACGTTCCAACCGAAACATTGAACCTTGTATCCGTGACTTCTGCATCTGTGGAGGATCTTTCGTCTGCTCTTCCCACTTCAGAACCTAGCTATGCCTTCTTCGCATGGTCGCACTCGCACACCTCGTCTCCTCGTCGCGACATTAGTAAGTGAGCAGTCTAGTTACTAGGTATTCTTTTTTAACTCACCCCTTCAACCAGTATTCATCTACTCCTGTCCATCCACATCTCCAATCAAGTACCGAATGCTATATTCCACCAGCGCATACCCCATTTACATGGTGGCAAAAACTCTTCTACCCCCTGATTCCGTTGCGACACGTCGGATCGAGACATCTGACCCAAAGGAGCTTACAGAAGACTATCTGAAGACTGAACTCAAGTTTACTTCTGATGACGGTGCTCCTAATGCGTCAGAAGTGCTGGACGGTGGGGAGAAGAAACCTTTTGCGAAGCCTAAAGGTCCTAATAGGCGTCGATAGAGAAGCACTACCTGTAGACTGAAAGAAGATATAGTAGAAGTCGCGTGTCATGTACCATTATCTCTCGCTCAACATGTAAAACTTAAGAGTTTATTTCCTTACTCCATTTGAGAGCACCAACTTGCCCGAAGCGAATTCAAAGCCGCAAAGCGTGGGAAGTGGCTGTGCTGTATACACGTGACTCTTATCGGTCCTGGAAAACGAAAATTTTCTTTTCCTCTTCGCTTTGTCCTCTGTCTAGTCCTCTACTTACTTCGAGTCGTGGTACGTGTAATTCTCCCATTCTTTCTCAGTGATGATCCACATCAATTCCATACTTTACCACATTCCGAATACAAGCTGTGGAAAACTTTAATCTAGTTTCAGCCTTGTCTGATCTTTTTCATCCCGCTGTCCTCTTTCCTCGACACGTACTGATATTCGTCTTTTCTTATTCTAGCACGCGGCCTATCCATTAGGTGAGCATGACACCCTTTAGTTTCCTCTGATGATATCATCGATGGGCGGACACGAATGCGCCCCCGTCTACACCAAAGTCTCCCTCATGTACAAAGGGAGGCGGATGGGAGTGCTTGTTGATACGCATCGAGTACCTGATTCTATTCTTTCCTCTCTTGTATCTGTGCGCCATGGTTCCACATGCTGACATCATCTATAGGTCTCTTCCACTTCGTTAATCATTTTGCTCGTTGTCGTCGTATTAGCGTATATCAATGAAACATTTTTGATCTATATCAACTATTGTTGCGGTTCTGTTATGCTGCCCACGTGGCTTCTGTCAACGCAGTCCGACGCCAATATGTGGTCGACGTTGTTGGGTACCCACGGGTCGAAGAAGGTACGACAGCAGCAGGACAGTTGGATATCCAGCAATTTTATTGAGGCATTTTCAGCAATTCGAAGTAATACCGTCTACCATACTAGTTTAAAACATACGACTACCACCCTCGGTTCTCATTGAAGAGGGCCCTCTACCAGTTCAATCGCAGTTGTGTTGCTTTCGTCGCTGGGCCCATTAGCATTATTATCACGATTGCGCAAATTCCCAATCGGGCGTCTCAACGCAGACTGGAACGGCGTATCGTCCAACCCACTATCAATCGCCTCCAGAGTCAATCCCTTCGTCTCCGGTTGGAACACAAAGCACACCGCTGCGTTCAGCAAGGAGCACCCCCCAAACAAAAAGTACGGACCCCAACTAGAGCGGTTAAGGAACAGCGGTGTTGAGAACGCTACCACGCAGTTCACTACCCAATTGGCGCACTGGCTTAGGCTAGAAACTGCCGCACGTGTTTTGGTCGGTTGGACTTCGTTGCAGACTATACGGGTGACAATGGCCCAGCTCGAGACAAATCCCGCGACGAAAATGTAGATGAAGCAGATGATGACGGTTCTTCCAGGTTCGGTGCTGTTGGCGTGGGAAAGGTAGATTGTACCAATGATAAGCATGGCAAGAGCACATGTAGCAGATCCTCCAATCTGCTGAGTGCGACGGGACCCTACGATCGAATTCTGAGAAAATCCCGGGACATCGATGGAAAATGTTCCTCACATTTGTCTTGGAACCACTGTGAACAGAGGGTAACGAGAACCATTACGATACCAGAGACACCAGAAGCGAGGAAAGAAGATGTTGTCGATGATAGTCCTGCCTGAGAGAAAAGTGTCGGGGCATACTAAAGGTGATACAGATAAGTACCATCGTCGAAGAACAATCGAGGCACTCACGTAAAGTACGGCGTCAATGCCCGAAAGCTAGAAGTCATCAGTTTGCAACCCTACGTCAAAACGCCTGGAAACACACCGGCTGCATGGCCATGATGAATACACAGAATATCGTTCTCATGAGGATACCCTTCCCCCAGAGATTTTTTAAATCCTGGGCGAAGTGACCACTAGAGCCGGTGTCTGAGGAGTTTGGTTTGTCATCTATGGTGCTTGTTCCAGTAATACCAAGGCGCCGCTTGGCCTCCTCCGCATCTCTATGTCGACCCACATGCCTCAGCCATCGAGGAGAGTGCGGAAAAAAGGGTGTCCCAACGGCCAATATGATGGCCACTACAGCTTGAAGAGCCAATGGAAATCGCCAGGAGAAACTTCCGGGGTACTTTGACAGATCCATAGCATGTAAAATATCCTAAAAGGTTGTTCAGAGGCTAGGGTGAGACGAAAATACGCCATCCCTACTCACCTGTCATGATCCCGATGGTGTTGAATGACTGTACGAACGTCGATAGTCGACCACGACTAGCGGAAGGAGATATTTCTGTAACATAGACGGTGATACTCGAAATGAATAGACCTTGCCCGACGCCTGCGATGGAGCGCCCGATAAATAGCTGGGGGCGATGTTGCGCGGAACAGGCAATAGCACAACCTGCTGAAAACACGGCCCCACCTAAAGCGATGGTACGTGTCCGGGAAATACGATCCGACAAAGGTCCTGCAACCAAAGACGCGATCGACGCGGCGATAAGGATGGAGGAGACCAAGAGGCCTTGTGCTGTAGGTGAAAGTGCGCCAAACTGAGCTTCGAACTGTGGCATAACAGAGATGGGTCCAATGCTTGAGAGTTACTGATATGTCAGAGATAAACGGTGAGGATATGCATAGAGTTCACCTTCCAGTATCATAACCCCACAAAAAGCCCCCGAGTGCAGTGAAGAGCGAGCACCAGACATAGGTTGGTACTTTCTTTCTCAGTCTAAGCAGCTGATTGAAATGAGAGTTGCGGAGAGCTCTGAGATATCGGTTGGCAGGGGGTTGTACGTCCATGATGATAGTCCACCGTCAAGAGAAACTCTTGGGGGTGCTGACTGACTCGGACTCGCATTTTTCGGATTTATGATACGCCCTTGGCCCTAAGGCAATTTATGTCCGTATAGCATCCGTCCCCCGTCATGGTGTGCAAGAGGCATAGTTCTGATAAGCTTGGCGTCCCTGTAAGCATCAGATATCGGCTAGTAGATTGCCAGTGGTGCAGAGAAGACTGCAGACAGCAAAACTACACGTTTAAAGGGCAAGAACACAGGATAAACGACAAAGAGTTTCACCAACCCCCAAACTGTGGTATTTGTCGTGTATATTTAGGCGCAGATCCAGGAAGGTACGCCCAGTAGAGGTTGGAAGTTAACAGTTGTCGGGAAAGTGGATCTGAAAGTAGGTTCGGAGCAAGCCCGCTCCGTGCCGTGCCGGCAACCTTCGCGACGGCTCGCCCGAAAATATCCACAACAAACATAAACAGAGCCAAAGCGAAAGGGGCTTGGAACGAACCTAATCTGAAAGCCGCTATTGTCGCTTGTTTCTTCCTCAGGGTTTTACCGGTCCGAGATACCGATCGCGACTTTTCATCTTTTCCATTGCGTGCAATGGTCCGCCTAATCACTCACAATCTTTTGGCATGCCATGTCAAAGGATGCACTTCCAACAACTTTCCCTTGGAGTTTAAGGACGTACAGGTCGAATTGCGCGAAGCCGAATTCAATCCTGATTTTCTCAGAGGCTTTATTCCTAAAATTGAGTGGAAGGCGTTAGTCGATGCTGCCAGACAGGTATGTCTAGTCTCAACGGTCTTTTTTAAATTTGGAATGGCCATTTCTGCAGGTAGGGGACACCTCTCTCCCATTGGAGCAGCCTGAAATGCTGGACGACGATTTCTTGAAAAGTCTTCATCATGTTTTGCTAGAGGTGAGCCAACTCTGAATCGATCGTCGAAGTCGGGTATGCTGACCGATTCACAGATACACGTCGAAGAGGGTTCTATGACTTGTCCCAACTGCCATCATGTCTATCCTATATCCAATGGAATCCCAAACATGGTACGCTCTCGCGTTATATTGAAGAACTGACTCTGACTCTCATTTCCCTTTCAGCTTTTGGCAGAGCATGAAATTGGCTAGGTTTTTGTTTAATCAACATGTAGAACATCATATACGATATACATGGTTTACGTTTACAATACGCCTTTTGTGCTAGGGATGTCATTGCTTCCCGTTCTCTCGATAGCTTGCCGGATGGCCAAAGCAAGCGCTTTGAAAGCAGATTCTGACCTGTATTCAAAGTTTTTGCTAACGATAGGGGAACATGCTTCGTATGGCACGCACCGATGATGGTCATTTTCTCCTCGAAGGACGTCCACATGCAGCGTAACTCCAGAGGCAATCGCGAATGAGTAGAATATGTGCGGTATCATCTCTGTCGAGAGATCGCCAATCTTTTCCCTCTTGAGGCCAAGGTCAGTAACACAGTACGGCCGTGAGCATATGTCTATCACAGCTCGTGATAGGGCCTATAGCAAAAGTAGGTATAAGGAAATTCAGTACTTCAATACAGAAAGACAAATACGCACCTCGTCAAGGGGAGCAAACCCTGTTCCATACCGCCGTATACCACGCACTTCTCCAAGAGCCTGCTTGAATGCCGTCCCGAGAGCGATGGCACTATCCTGTAATAACAAATGTGCCTCAATACGATTGGCTACAAGTCCGTGAAGGAAATGGACATATCTGCGGTGTGGTGGTCATCGATCCAGAGGTCCCCTTTACACTTCATAGTCAAGGACATTCCACCATGCTTCGCCAGCGCTGTGTACATCTGCAAACTGCATCTGAATTGTATATCCGGAGCGTCCTGAAAGTTGTTCATACGTGATCTAGGAAGCCGATTCCGGTTGACACATTGATAGTTTGCGCGACATTGGATCCTGGAGCACAGTCAAGATTTATAGACACCTCGATTTCGGTTTCGCTTGTCTTCCTAGAGATGGATGCAGTCCTGGCTGACATAGTGGGAGGTCGAAATAGAGACTTGGGTCAAATTTGACTCACTCAGGCAAAATGTTCTCACGAGTCGATTACCCGCGCACGGTATGCTTCTTTTGCCTACGCTCATGACATTGATATGGTCAACGTCCGGCGTTCGAGTTGGCGAATATCATGATAAATCTTCTCAACAACTTCTCAAGGTGTTGGTCGCATCTTCGCATTCAGAGCAGGAACATTGATGAATATCACAGATGAGCGCCAATTTACGAAATAGTTGGAAGATATGTCCGGATCTGTTACAGGTCCGAGTACCAAGATCAAGCAAATCTTCAATTGCATTCCGGTATAAGTACTACCTGTGTCATAACACAGTGCTATGATGGATACATCGCATCGTCTTGTTTAGCTGCATCTCCTCTAGCAGTGGGTGAACACCGCGTCTGATTACTGGATCACACTTTCATCCCTCCCCACTCAACTCTACTCAGCCTCCTTCACCCACCCAGATGATTTTCTCAAGATCATCAAGAATTCTCCTTGATCTGATGATACCTTTCCTTCGTTTGGTCACAGTTGTGAAACACGATGTGGCCTCCAAATCTTCGCAATTGCTTCGGTGCTTACGTTCATCCGCGGGGGGGGAGGATCCGATATATAGTGAACCGAAAGAATCTAAGCCTGAGTGATCGCTCTCCCCCCCTCATCATGACTACCCAGACAGAGATTCCAGATCTTTCAGACGATGACAAAGCGCTCATGTTTCAGACTCTTGGGGTTTACCTTAACCAAACTCTTGTTTCCGCGTATTTGCAAGGTGAGAGTCTTTTGTGAGTCTCATTGCACATAGCTGATTATGAGCCTAGGGTTATACACAGGCATCGCCATCTTTACTTTGTGGAAAATTTGTCCGTTTATTGAATAAAATGCAGTCCAACAAAGAACTCACTGCTTCCGTAGTTTCCAAGGAACGCAGTATCAGCAGAACCATCATGGCCCTCGTCGTCCTTATCCTTTGTATTTTGGCTGGTGTCAGCTGCGCGTTGTACTGGACATATACAGTTTATTCATTCATCCATCATGGTCAGAATTTCTGGACTGTAATCTCGGCGTTTGATATTCGCTCGGACATGGCAGTGTTGATTCGAGTGGGTCTTGGTGTCGTCGGCTGTGTCAGCACCCTTGTTGCAGATTCTGCCATGGTGCATGTTCACTGTTAATTTCATCTTCCCCCTTCGTATTCAATTCTTCACTTCAGGTTTGGCGTTGCTGGATGGTCTGGGGACGCCGCTGGACAATCATTTTACTTCCTCTCGTCTTTATGATCATTGGACTTGGTAAGTAGTAGCCACATCTTCGCACCTGGAAATTTCAGCTTATATTTAAGGTAGCGTTCAAAATTTTGCAAACTCGCGTTACCGTACAGGGCACCACGCCTGTAATCAACTACCAAATCTGCACAACAATCTACATATCCCTCATACTGGCTACCACGCTGCTATGCACCTTACTCATTGTCTATCGCATATTGAGTATTGAGTGGGCAAAACCAAAGCCCGAAGGCACTCGGAGATACAGTCTTGGAGCTTACCGGAATCTTATCGAAATCGTAGTTGAATCATCAGCGCTCTATTCCGCAGTGTTGATTGTTTATATCATTTTCGTATTTCAAGATGAGATAGGAGGAGAATACCTTGACCCCATTGCAGAGTTTATCAGGGTTCGTCTCAAGCATTCTTTTCTGTGTAAAATTACCTAACGAATATGGGACCTAGGGAGTTGCTCCTACGCTCCTTGTTGGACGCATTGCATCCGGACTTTCCCGCCCAGATGACGCCTGGAAGGGCAGCGTATTATCATCCCTCCAATTTGGGTCCCGCAGACGTGCTCATACCGATACCGAAACGCGTACCGAAGATCTTACCTTTGACGATGACTTTGTACATGACGTTGAGGTCCAGGCAGGTCAGCCAGATGAAGAGAACACAAACGTGTGCCAATGTGTAGAGCCCGAACTCGTTGTTGATGAGGGTGTGTGAGCACAATGGCGTCCTGTTCTTGTCCATTGTCCCGTTCTTTCTATACATCCCAACTAATATGTCATTAAATACTTACAATTTTTAACTATTCAATGGGGGCAAGGGAGGAAAAAGCCGGGAGCAAGGGAGAAGTGTATAGTTTTTTGGAAGCTTTCGACGGGTTCTTATTCCTGCTACGTTAGTAGTAGGTCTTATAGAGGGATGGTGGTAGCCGAGTTTTGAGTTTAACCCGAAGTCCGATGTCATAAAAATTTCTATTTGTAGAAGAAATTCACGGCCCAACGCTTCAAAATTTCCGTTTAAGTCAGAGTTTCGGGGTGGCACAGTCACCGCTTGTCACTGTTTACATGTGACCCTCTGTTACTATCACGCTTTCTGCGGCGTTGTTCGGCCGATCTTGCCAAGGATTCTGACTCTGAGAGAAAATGCGAGCTGGTGGCGGCAGAATGCCGCCACCGAGCGAGTCTTTTTCTCTCAGCAGCAGAAGCCACCACCGCTGAGTGAATCATTTCAAGGGGTAGTACTCTCTCATTCATACTACTATTTTTTGAATGCTAACTATTATTGATTATGACCTCGTTTTTTTTCCGCAAGCCAAGATTTGAATAACCCTTGGGCCTTGATTCAATCTCTCCTGCAGGAATTATAGCCAGCAAACCTCGCAGGATCAATCAATTATACATAAGTTTGGTTTATTATAAACTATCATAATTATATAAAAAACGAGGTTTCAAGGGGGGTCAACGTAGCAGGCTTTGCCCCTGATGTGGGCCTTGCAGGCGTTATTTATTTAAAAATGTTGCAGAAGCATTCTTATGATTTTCTTCCTCTGTCCACTTTAGTACGGAATTTGGGTAGATTTCGGCACCGGGCCGAGAGCTAGTACGGCAAGCATAACAGACGCATACATCTTATGGCCTTTACGCTCGCATGTCGAAGGTCGACACCGCGACTATTGACGTCTATTGGGCCAGCGTATAGCACCAGCATCGTTCAAGCCGCACCTCGGAGGCACTTTTTTAATTTCTTCCGTCGTTCGAAAAAAAAAACTGGCCATGTCCCGCCCCCCGACCCAATACCCATCCTGACAGAGGATAACCTCTTTCACCCGTTTTCCAAGTCGCCTATTCCTGCAGTACGCGCCAGAGGAGAGGTCATCCAATCAATGTCCCCGTGTCCTGTCTGCTCCTCCCAGGACCGCGATACGCACGTACATATCGAGGCCCAGCCGAAAACGGTCCAGTTCGAATGTCCGGACTGTGGCTGGCCTACTCACTGTTCAGAAGAGCATTGGAAGGAAGACAAGGAGCATGAAAAATATTGCTCGCGGCTTCGGGAGGCAAATGAGGACGAGCATGATCTACGTAGTGGGCGGAAGATGTGGGAGTTTGAGATGCCCGGTGTGTTCCTTCTTATCATATCGTTTGGCACCTCTAACGAAGCCGACAGGACCCCAGGGATACGAGGAAGCCGTGTCGTTTTCCAATTGGGACATTTTCTGGTACACGCGAGGTTTTCCGTCCATGGACACTGAACGCTCCCGACGACATGCTAGTAAATTGTTAAGTTATCCTATGACTATTGGGAGTGTTCTGCATCAGCATAGCAGTCTCATGTTGAACAATCAGCGATTAACGCCAGAGGGAAGTCGGTCAATGGCCGGTGGGTACTTCATCACAAGACACCAAAATGACGCGCTGATGTATTGGCAGCAATTCGGTCTACTCTTCATACACCTACTGGAGCACCCGAGACGCAAGAAGCGACAGTAGGAAAGCCCCAAGTCCGTATCTTCATTCTGGGGGCGCGTGCAGAGTCTTCACTTCCGCCTCACGTCTGGGAACAACTAGGATTCTTATTCCCTGCCGCCAACTTCCAACTGCTATTTATCGGTCCCCAGGTTTCTCTCCCCAAGGACATCCAAAATCCTCCTAATCCGAAATCTGAGGAGAGCGCTCCAGCTTCTGAGACTTACACGCCTTCTGACGCGAAATCAGAGGATGCTACACCATCCTCTGAGGCTTCTACACGAGCCCAGGGGACGTCAGAGGTAAAGGAGACTACCACCGACCTCAGGCACAGAGACTCCGGTTTCTTCCGAGTCCCAGGAGGTGGCCGAGCAAGGAAGAAGAGAAACCGCTATATGTTCCCAACATATACCAGCCTCCGGTCCCTGCGCCCATAGTTCCTCATAAACGTACGCGTGCATCTCTAAATCGCTATAATGTCCCTTCCTACACGACACCATACACGTACCAAATGACTCTTACCGGCCTACAGACCAACTACAAGGACGTACATCCTCTGTTCGAAGAGACGCTAGATCCTTACAGTGACTGCTTCTTCTTCTTCTCCCCGGGATTCGGTTTCCCATCCCAAACATCCATGGACGAAAATGGCGAGCCGCTTCTACAGATCTCCTCTCCGACAGAATGGGGGCCTGTCCTACCGATGCTCCTCGCCTCGAAATGCCCGATTTTCGTCACCGGTTTCTCACCTGCAGATGTGGAACGCGATATAAAGTCGCTTTCGACGGCGCCAGGCGTGGCAGGCGAGTTCGAGTGGGTCGTCACACCGGGGACCTAACGCCTTTGGCAGCGAGAAATGGGAGGTTGCAGACTTCGATCCCCGAGTCATGGTGAAGACGAATTGGGGCATATGGGCAATCCGAGGCAAGAGTAGGGATATTCAAGAAAGGAGTTTCTTCAGTAGACTGTTCGAAAAGTAGTGTTCACACCCTAATCAATCGGAATACGAAGCTATTTTCCCACTCAGAATCAAGCCTGTGCATCTCTTTGTCTACATAGCAGATAGTATATTATTACAACAGGTGACGAAAATGATAAGAAAGTGGTAAATCAACAGCGAATAAATACAGGTCTAACCCTGGTAATAATTACCCGTCTTGCTCCTCGCACAGCGTCTCCAAGAACAACTTCAGGTCGTCCTTGTTAATCTCCAGTACACTAGTGTCAAAAGATCCATGACGTGTCCGCGCATTGCACCGTTCCTTCGCGAACAGGAAAGAGAGCGAAAACTCACTGCAGAAAAACATTAGTATTCAGGAACCAATAACAAAGTCGATGCCTACTTTTTCCGAACATCGTCAAAGTCGAGTGCGGCTGTCACACCGACGACCAGATACGACGACGTGTTCTCGTTGAGACACGCGACAACGAAAGGAAGGCTCTTCCGTTTTGTCCGCCTACTGTGGCTTGAACCCTCCCGGACTGCGCTGACTAGCCACAATGCCAATCGCTGATAGAATGCCAGGGTGGGAAAACATCGCAAGGTCTGGTCCCTGCGTCAAGACAACGACATGGTGATTTCTATTTGACCGAATGTCCCGCTTATCAATGATAGATGTCCCCGTACGTATGATTGCTCTGTGCACAGACATCGAGAGTTTGAGGGATTGCTGTAGGGGACCAATACTTCACCAAATTCTATCAGTCGCCAAACGAGGCTGAACGACGAGAAATACTCACTCTGTCAGAGCATCATAAGCCGTCCAAAAGTTTTTAACCCACCACTTCTCTTTCTCCGCATCCTCCTGGTCATCCTCGCCTTCACTAGGCTTGGCCTTGGCCGCTTTGGCCGCAGCATGACCGCCTGGAGGGATATTCTCCCTTTCGTCATCCCGCCGCCGTTTACTCTCTCGACCAGCGCCTGGCGCCTGCCATGGTCGCCCTCCGCCGAACCATTCACCACCATTCCGAGCACCCTCCACTTCAATTTCTATCGCCACTCCCGTGTTGACGTCCAACAACGCACTTATTCCCTCAACCGCATCCGACGCTGACAGAGGCTGACCCCGATAGCCGAAACACCGCATAAAAGAAGGATACGAGAGCTCCACCATACCATATTCAGGTGCAACCTTGTCCAATCTGTTCACCAGCTCCCGCTTCAGATCCATATCCATGTGAGTATACTGTTGCTGTGTCTGTTGCAATGAAAATCCCATCTTGGCGAGAAGACCCGTCAGCTTCTTCCTTCCCTTGTCTTGCCATATACCAAGCTTGCTTGCTATATAGCTGGAATGAAACATCGCATCGTAGAGTGTCCAATGACGGAACAGCATGAATCTGAGTTCGTCCGTCGTTCGGATACTGTGGTCGTCGGGGCTGAGTGAGATTTGGGCTTTGTCACCGGTAGGTGGAGGAGGATTCAGACGAAAGACTTCGTCGTAATATATTGAATGAAAGTCTTCATATTTTTTCCGTGATATTCGCGCTGTCGTGTACTGGAAAGTCAATCCAAGGATGGCGAACCTAGCTGATGTCAACGGCTGCGTTTGTTGACACTGCAGCTGAGCTCACCAGAGTAAGTCATTGTCAACTCGCTCCAGCACTGTGGCGAGAAGGTAGATCGTTGCAGACGCGCTCTGCCCATGCCAGGTACCGGATGTGTAGTGTTTATTGAGACGACGTTCGTATGTTTCGCGTTCGTCGCGTGACATCCGCGTTATCCGACGCTGGTGGAGAATATGAAAATAGTAAAAGACAGGAAAAACGAAACATACCTCGCCATCCGTCCGCCGTCGTTTTCCTCGCCGATCGCCCTCACCTAATGACCTCCGCTTCCCATTTGCACCACTGCCACTCTCGTACTCTTCTTCATCGTCATCCTCGTCATCTTCTGGTGGATCGTCTGAATCGTAATCGGAATCATCCTCTGAATCTGGTTCCGGCTCAAACTAGGTGCAAGATTAGCCATATACTTGATGTCCACACTCAAGCACACACCATCAAAGCTTCAAGAGCCTTATGCTCTTCCGTAAGCTTTTCGGCCTCTCCATCGTCCCAGACAACTATTCGATCTCCCTTCTCACCAGTTCCGAACAAACTAGCCAAATTCTGAGGGCGAGCAGAATCGATGACATGCACGGTCATTTGGGAGCTGAAGCCACCAAACCATTCCTCTGAAGGAAGATCAAGGACTCCGCCCATATTTAAAAGTATGAGTGTGTGCAGCTGCCGAATGTAAGTCTCAGCTATGCTCTGGGGAAAGCGTTTTACGCACCTCTGCAACTGAAATCAAGTCATCTCTAACGGTCTGAAGCTCCGAAATCCCAGACACTGGTATTGTGCGGTAGACCACATCGTCTTGCTTAAACAAATCGGCGAGCATCCGGGCCGCACATAGAGCATCAACATCTGGTGCAACGAGCATAATGACGGAGGAGGCTGAAGTCAGCGGGGACCGTCGGTGGGCCGTGAGAATAGAATTGTAAGCCTCGCCATAGGACGGGCGCGCCGCCGTTGCCAGATGCGGAGGCGGGAGATACACCATGGCGCTATAATGACTGAAAAACTAGGTCGTGACAGGAGGGACAATACATTGCCAGCTGTCACAGGAGTCAACAGCGCGTCGCGTTTATCACGTGGTAAGGTCACATGCTGTGACAGGTCCGCGTCGCCCGACGCGTCCTAAATTTGACTTGTGGCATTGTCAATATCCACGACATTCATCGCGCACTAGTGATATAAAATGAGATTTTATTCTTACCTGCAAGTGACTGATTTTCACAAGCACAGGTATTTTATGCAGACGTCGACCTTCCGCTAATCACCCACCACTAACCAGCGCCTCAGATTCATCCCTGTCTTCGATGTCTGCTCGCAATGCATCCTTGACGCATAGGGCCACTGGAGCTCTTGTGTTCAAGTCATTTTTCCCCGTTTTATTGAAAGGTTTTCGGATGTTCGGACCGGAAGGCACCAGGGGTTCTCGAGATCTGCCCCCTTTTTGCACAATCAAGCATCAGACTTTATGTAACTTTTACCTCGGCCAGACACTTGGTGTCTGCAGCTGCCTCTCATGACGGGGAATACCTCACCACTTCCGGAACTCGGAAAAAAGGATATGACGGTGTAGAGGGTCCGGGTCTTGGAAAAGGCCCTTTTTACCTAACGGTTGATAATAAAACCGACCCCCACCAACAGGAACCCCAGATTTCCCTGACTCAACCATGGACGTTCAACCACATACCAGTCGGTACCTTGCAACGCTCCTCAACACTCGAGGAAGGTCTTTAAATCAGCTGCCCGAACTAAGATCAAAAATACCCACCTATGTCTGGTGCTCTCTCTTTACTGCGCTCGGGGGCTTCTTGTGGGGTTATGATACTGGAAGGTGAGCTCGATAGAAGATTCAATATTTTAGATTTTAACTTTTCGGTAATCAGCATTGGACCTATAACCGTTATGCCTCAGTTTGAAGCACAATTTGGCGCACTTTCACCTGCAGCACAAGGACTCTTGGTTTCCTCCATCCTCATTGCAGCCTCTATCACATCTGTCATAGCCGGACCTCTATCCGATCGTATTTCCAGAATACGTACAATCTCCATGGGAGGCGCTGTGTATGCAACAGGATGTGCAATCGCCTGTTCTGCGCAACATCGCCCACAGTTATTCATCGGTCGATGCATCGCCGGCGTCGGAGAAGGTTTATTTATCTCCAGCATCACGGTTTATGTCACGGAGATATCACCTCCAGCCAGTCGTGGTAGACTCTCGACATGCGTGCAGCTCTTCAACACGTGTGGGGTCATGTCAGGTAAGTTTGACAGGATATCACTCCGTGCATGCCTGAGAACATCCCCCAGGTTACTTCACTTGCTATGGGACTGTCAAAGTGCCAGGAAGCTTCTCCTGGCGCTTTCCATTGGCGCTGCAAGCTGTGGTAGCCGTCGTAGTGGCTGTGGGGACTCCGTTTTTCCCTCATTCTCCTCGATGGCTCAAGCTTGTGAATCGACATAGAGATGTTGATGAAGCAAAGCGACGTCTCGGCGTCGCTGGGACAAATGCCGAAGATAATTCTGTCGACACAGAGATTCCGAACGTCCGTGGCAACCTGGGGCAAGATATAAAGAACCTTTGGAGAAAGGATATACGCATGAGAACTCTCTTTTGTGTTTTCATAATGGCTATACAACAGGTATGTTTTTCTGGGCTTCCCAGGGCTTGCGTGCTCATGGTTTTTAGCTGTCTGGTATTGATGCCGTTCTTTACGTGGGTTCTGTCTCATTGATTAACCGCTCGGTACCAATAATTAACCTCTTATCCTTTGAACAGTATGCTCCAACACTGTTCTCGCAAGCTGGATTATCATCCACGGCCTCCTCGTTCCTTGCTTCTGGTGTCTCCGGGATCCTCATGGTGGTAATCACGTTCTTTTGTCAGTGGTTCCAGGACAAATGTAAGACAGACTTCCCTGTTGTCGACGTTCAGTTGTTCTAATCCATAATTCCAGGGGCGCGTCCGTACACAAATGATCGGAGGCTCTGCTGTATGTGGTTTTGCGATGCTCATCATCGGTTCCGATCTATCTCTCACATGCCAACGACACTGAACCCGGGAAGACTGCAATTATCTGCTTCATCTACATTTTTATCGCAGGGTTCATCTCAACCTGGGCCATTGTGTGCCGGATAGTGTGCAATGAAGTGCAGCCCACTCAAACCCGTGCAGCGGCTTCCAGCTTAGGCCAATGCGCTAACTGGGTAGTGAATTGCGTAGTAGCGTTCTCGACACCGTTATTCTTGAACCGCTCTACTTGGGGCCCGTACTTTTTGTTCGGTGGATGTTCTTTACTAAATGCTGCTGTGTGCTTTGCCTTCCAACCGGAGACCAAGGGACTGACTCTGGAGGCAATTGATAGCGGATTTGAGGATACGCCGTTCCAGTCTGCTATGAGACGCAGGATCGGGAATTTGCGGAATCGTGGTAATAACACCAGTGGAGGTGGGGACGAAAGCTCTTCGACTGCGATTGAGCTGGTAGAAGTTTCTACAAAATAAAAGGCGCCAGGGAGATATGGAAACGGGCGTTAGATGCCTGTACTTATACGCTGTTCTTGTTGATAGTAGAACCGCTGTACGATTTTGAGTGAATGAACGTTGAGTGCCCTTTCAGCCCAATGCCTCGATGAATTATATTAAGTACGCTGGTTCTCTATTGGAACGAATGAACCCATGCATGTGAACAGAAACATGACAAAAATTACAAATACCTACGAGCCTATATTATACGTAACGTTCCTAGTATTAATACTCATCAACGTCCGTCATCGAGGCATACTCAGACACTGACCCAGTGTCCTCATACTCTGCCACCTACCTCTGACATAGCAAAACGCATGATGGGCGTCGTTGGTATGAGTACCGGTCCCCACAACTTCAACGGCGCCTGCATCCCAATACCTATTGGCCAAGTAATCGCGCTCCTGCTCCGATATTGCCACCATGTCGCCCTCCTCCGTCGAAGCAGCAGTGCCGAAGGTTCCTATAGGAGCATCCACCACAGTAGTGCTGCCATCTGGGCCATGCCCTTGCCCGTGGACTGCCACAGTACTCACAGGCCGTGTCACCCTCCCATCGCTATTTTCATTCGTTACCGGTTCTGTCCAGCGAAGGTCTAAAACCCGGCCTTTGACCATCCCATCCACAGCTCTGACACCTAACTCTCGACATAGCATAAAGTATGACAGGGAAGTAGCACCAGGTGCCGCAAGTCTGCTCATGACCTTGAGCAGCTCCATGGCACTGAATTCCGGAAGGAAAAATGTTCGATTGTTGGAATTCGGGCTAGTAGGTGACGATGGGCTGACTGGATTGGTGATTGGTGAATAGATCTTGAAACCAGCGGCACCGAGCCCCGGATGGATGCTATCAGCGCTCGGAATACTGGTGTGCTTGTCGGCAATGGCGTCCCCTCGTTCGTTATCATGACTCAAAGAAGATGACTGAGAGGAGTGAATGATATGTAAGTTGAGAAGCGCGTGTGCCTGTAGGAAATGAGAGCTTTGTTTGACTATTGTGTTGTTCGTCAAACGACTGTGAAAACAGAACGATAGAAAAAACTTACTTGTCATGTAGCCATTCGCGTTGACTGGGAAGAGATTGAGCAAAACACTCTTGTAATGATGTTCGCGTGCTCACCATAATCCGTGATGTAGTCTTGCCAGTGTGCAAACTTGCCTCCAAAGGCCTCATATAGAGACTCGAAATCCAGTCCAGATCGCAAATAATCGGGAACACGTGGAAGTAAACGCTCTCGGTAAAACTTCTTTGTCTCAGACTTGCTGCAATCACCGATGGTGATTATCTATAACAATGTCAGCCAGAAAAAATGAGAGCGTACTACTTAGGCTTACTTTGCAATGCTGCATGACGTTCAGTTGTCGAAGCCATGTTTGGTAAAAGGGGTCACTAGTCGCGTGTATAACATGACAAAGTCGGTCTTGTTTCGTCAGCACAAGCATCGAATCGAGGAGACACTTCATCGCATCCGTCGACTGTATCAAGGCTGGCCTAAAATAAACATTTAGCTGAACAGTTCTGATGGCGAGGGTGGAGATACTTGCAGTTTGTGTGCTTCATCAAAAAAGATGACCTATAAGTGCTGTCGTCAAATGAAAATGAAGATTGTGGAAGAACTACTGACGTACCGGCATTTTCTTTGGAGGGGGCTTCGATTTTTCTTTGGTTTTTTCCGAATGCTCTGATTCATCAGGTTGAGACGTCCGAGCCTTTGGCCGCCTCCGAAAACTCCATCTACTCTTCGAAGCAGTCGTCTCGACGCGAGTTCTGTCAGAGTGGGTACTACCAGAGTCTCGATTGTTGCGCTTGCTGCCTTCAACGCAAGGCTCAAACTCCCAATATTTCAAAAGCGAACTCTATGACGGGTTTAAAGATCAACTCTCCGAGGTATAACTTTTAAATAGGCATCATACCTGGAATAATTCCATGAGCCTCGCTATATCGCTTGTAGTAATCTTTCTGACACCAGAGCCTTCTTGTGCTTCACCAATTCTGCGCTCGACATTAAGGCGGTCATGCTAGGAAGGAGCTATGAATGCGTCATGTGGTCCACATGTAAGTAACTTACCTTGAAGCTCCACGCCTCCCTTTCGAATTGCTCATAACCGTTCATCTTGTCAGCTATTTCCTCAAAGTACTGTTCCATTTGATGACTGAGGCTCATGTATAAGCTAGGCAAATCGGCAAATCCTGCCATCCTGAGATCAAAGTGCAGAACATGAAACGTGTCTCGTGAGAGGACTTCACGCAATAGGGCTGTCTAAGAGAACTTGAGAAAAGCTTAGTTGTGATATTCGAGCCATCATACCTTGCCTACAGAGCTTGCTCCAAAAAGAACGGTAAAAGAAGGATCGCCTTCTAAAGCACGTTCAATGGCACGCATCTCCGCTTTTCTAGGGAAAAATCCTGGAAGCCGAGAAAATGTATGTTTCGTTCTGATTTGGGCTCGCTCGCGGCTCTCGTTTATTTCACGGCGAGCTTCGTCAAGAAGACGTTTGGACTCGGTCAGGGAACGCACAGTTTCCGCAGGCTGATATAACAGTCAGTCAGTGACATATCACACAAGAATGAAGCATCGCACATTAGTGAGCACACCGATAATCTCCCCCATACCGAAAAAATTTCGCTTTTGAATCTCAGTAGGCAGGTACGATACACGTCGACGAGCTGTGTTGCTGAACATCCACTGAACAGAGCCTATTAGTTGTCGACCACCAGTAACTGACTGCCGCGAGGACTTCCGTAGCTTGGCGCTGCCACTGGAAGAGGGCATGAAACTTGGATCAGAACCAGTGTTCCAGATTCTGGGGCAAAAAGCGATACGATGAGAGAGAGAGGAAGAGAGTGAACGGGTAGATCCTCATTTCATGAAGTGTGCCGTACATGTAGCATGGGCCTCGAGGATTCAACGACATACCACCATCGTCCGCTAACCTGTGCCGGATCATGCGCACAGAAGGCCATTGCATTGATGCTACCACGTTGCTAACACAAGGCGCTTGCGAAGGCTACGCGAAGTTTATAACGGATTTCAGGCTTTCAAAGGTGCGATAGGCGGCATTGCTGGCCAGAAAATAATGGCATGGAGGTCGTAAAAGGTTAAGCTAGAATTTGGAGGAAAACTTGGTTAGTTTATTGACGTCATGTCATACACGCGATGACATCAGACGCGGCGACAGTCAAGTACTTTCAGGACTGGCTTGCACAATTGTGAGCTGTGCGTGGTAAGCGCCACTACAAGCGTGCCGACCAAAGCCCATGGTTGATCGGAAATTCGGATCGCGCATATCGCCGATCAAGAGTTCACTCAGCCAAGTCACTGAGGGCCGGCGTTCTCATCTGACAAGAAACCATCATCTCACATAAACTCACTGGCAGCGCTTGATACGATGTGGAACGATAATTACGGTGCACCAGGGTGAGTACCTTTGCAATGTTTGCATGACTACAGATTCAAAGAACATGCCCTACATAGCTATTCTAACCCGTAAGTTAACGTTGTGTCCAGGCTCGGCGGATTTTGACATCACTCTAATATGTCGCAGGCAGAGGGGCTATAATCCCAGCTATGCACCTTCATACGGCGGGTATGTTCTGTTTATGTCACTAGCAGGTATCTCCGAGATGACTGACTGACGGACATTAAAGGTATGGGCCTCCTCCTGGACCCCCGCCCGAGTGCGTATTTCGGTTTATCTCAAACGCGCCTTCTAACTTCTGATTCTCAGATCTGCAGAGTAAGGCTCCGAGCTTGTTGCATTGTCATGTACTTTCTTATCCATTCATCCGGTTTCAAGGCAGGGTTATCCTGGGTGGGTATCGAAACATTGTCCACTAGTACAAAGCATGCTAATTGCAAACTAAGCTACCCGTCTCCCCATGGGGCCCCTCCGCAGTCGTAAGCCTTTGTGCCATTGGCTGGGCTTAGTTGACGCTGCGATCATTTAGCTATGATCCATACGGCCCACCCCCGGTGCCAAGGGAAGGTTATCCTGGCGAAGGGCATCATCACCACCACCATCATCACCGTGAGGAGTATGATGCTGGCTATGGCGGTGGGTATGGTGGGCGTGCTATTTCTATTTTAGTCAAGTCACAAAGCCAATGGAGAAAATAGGAAATGCGGCTCCGACTTACCATCCCAGGCCGCCTCCCAACGAACATCAGCATTATGGGCCTCGTTTCCTAGGGCCTGACCAGAATGAAATGCAGCCATACTTCAAATACTCCCAGTGCAATGGAAGGAAGAAGGCGCTATGTGTGCGTCACTTTCCCGGACCATTTTCGCGTGGTAATCACGACCCACTCCAACTACTTCCAGATTGGAATAAACTATCTCGGACAAGACGGCGAGTTAAGCGGCTGCATCAATGACGCCCACAATATTCGCAATTTCCTTTGCAGTACGTTGTGGCGGTTCATCTTGATATCAGCACTAGCTTACTACAAAATTCAAAGCCCATTATGGCTACAGAGAGGAAGACATCGTCATGCTCACTGACGATTCACAGCACCATCGTCAAATTCCTACCAGAGAAAATATTGTACGTGTAACTTCTTGGTCTATGCATCACACATGTACTGAAATGTGCAGTTGTATGCCATGCGCTGGCTTGTCAAGGAGGCCCAACCCGATGATTCTTTGTTTTTCCACTGTCAGCGTGGTTTTTTTCTTTGATAACATCGGCTCAAACTTTCCTTCAGATTCAGGGCATGGTGGTCAGACCGAGGATAAGGATGGTGACGAAGCTGACGGTTACGACGAAGGTAAATACATCTTTATTCCCATTTCATTGCTCACGTTACGTTTAGTTATCTATCCTGTACGGATTCAAATCTGCGCTTTCTCATGCTTCCATTGACCTTCAATGTCTAGGTCGATTATCAAGAAAGCGGGCATATCGTCGATGATGTAGGTTTTCCACCTGCAGTTCCAGGTATATCTCTAATATCGGGAATAGCTTATGCACGAAATTATGGTAAAACCCCTCCCAGCTGGCTGTCGACTTACTGCTATCTTCGATGTAAATCCTTTACTTCTGCCGTTCTTTCGTATGCTGAGCCACTATAGTCATGCCATTCTGGTTCTGCTCTCGGTGAGTAAGCTTTGTCCTCCCCGACCATGGTCTTCCACTAACGCAATTACAGATCTCCCTTACATGGTACGTACAACATATTACCAGTTACATAGCATTGATTGCAACTCACGCGGCCACGGTAGTACTCCACCGAAGGTAAAATCAAAGAACCTAATCTCGCAGCAGAAGCCGGCCAAGGACTTCTATCAGCGGTGAGCTCCTACGTTCGCGGGGACGAGCGTGGTGCATTAGAGTCAGCTATCGGCGTCTTCAAGAGTTTCATGGGTCAAGGCGAAGCTCAAGAGGCTCATCAATACGCTCAACAGACGAGAACCAGTCCGGCTGATGTGGTAAGGATATTTCAAATCGGAGTCCTCGATTCAATTATCAACCTTTGTTCAGATTAGCTGGAGTGGATGTAAGGACTCACAGACCAGCGCTGATACCCAGGAGGCTGGACGTGCTACTGGAGCGATGAGCTATGTGAGTACTACGCTTGCTTGATCTTCCTTTTACGCGCTGAACTTTTGTGGTGAAAGGCTTTCACAACCGTTTTAGGTGCGAAGCGAGTGTGTACTTTTGACTGTCGCTCTGCTGACACCTGTACAGCGCGAAATCCGGGACAAAGCTACGAGCAGCTCCTCAATAACATCAGGGATGTTCTACGAAGCAAGTACAGTCAGAAACCACAGGTAAAAGTCTTGTCAATTAATGAATGCCTTCCTTACTGAAGCTTGTCGTCAGCTCTCAAGTTCGCATCCGATGGTAAGTTTCTCTCTTTTACTCGGTTTGATCTACGTGCCTGATCAATCTATATAGGACACTGACATAATGTTCATCTGTTAAGTGGTATAATGACTTTTAAGGGAAAGTATGAGAAGCTCCATAGTTAGAAAATGATGTATTTTATCGACAAGGGATAGATGAATATAATGGGTCGGCCAGATGTCAGTGCACGAGGATTCAAGGCAAAGATGAACCACAGAACCGTTATAGCGAGGCTTCGATCAGGTCGCTATGATTATTGTAGGTGGTCAATCGTAGTGCGATATGAGAGATGGAGCCACATCGCTCCTCTGATCCAGGACTTTGATCTTTTGAGGTATGCGGCACGGTGGCGGGCTTCAGCAACACGCCTGCGAGTTCTAGGAGTAACGGACTCATCTTGAGTTCCAGTCAAGTGAAATAGTATGCGATGGTAAGAACTCACATCATACTCTATGATGTTTTCTTCTTTTTCTTTTTCTTCACCTCACCATCTGCTGGTGCCGCACCGTCATTAGGCCGCTTGCGCTCCCGCGCGCCAAGACTGAGACTCGTCTCGCTGATTAATGACGCTTTCGGTTCATCAACACCGGCGGGCTTGAGGAAACCCTTGGACGCAGGCGGTGGACGTAGGTCAGTCCCTACGTTTCCGGTCTCGAAAATTGCTTGTTTGGCAGACTTATTGAATTTCTTTGCCATGGTCGACGTTTTCATATCACTGAGAGAAATCCCTTTTTCTTTCTTTATAGAATCCGGCGAAGAGCGTGTCGGTTCGGGCGGCGTTTCTGTCGTTGGTTTGCCCTGTGATGAAAAGCTTTGGGAACGCAGGAAACATAAGTATAAGAGAGTCAGCGCACCGTCACTTCCTCTCCTTTCTTAAACACGCGCCGCCCATTGGTTCGCGTCTGTGCTGAGCTTGATGAACTCGAAGGCTCTGTCGGGAAGAGAAAAGGAAGATAAGAGTCTTCATAACTGACTGCGTCGCTACAAAGTTACGATAGTTGTAGGATTATTCCGGGAGAACGTGAAGGTGCGCACGATGTTACTTCCCCCCAACTTTCCTGTATTTCCTGGGGTATTGCCCACTGGTCAGATTCTTTGACTTTAGCTTTTTCCAATTCGACTTCCTTCAGCTGCTGTGCTCGATGAGCATTTTGCATGAATCTGAGACTGAGAGTTCCATTGCTGAGAGTCTTCGGTTTTGCAGACATGAAGAGCAATCTTGGTCCGTATGTTGGTGCAGCACGTTGTGGTGGTTGCTGATAGAAAGGAAACACGAACAACTGTTGGCGGAATCGGGCCGGGATCCGCCTGGTTCCGAAGATGGCCAATCAATCCAGGGTCTACGTAGTGCGACGTGAAGGGCACAGAAATAATGAATTTATGGATACAGTGTACATTGAATGGGCAACTACTGTCTACTATTAGTATCAGCCGGAGAAACAAACACATTGCAAGACGAAAAGAATAATAATAATATGCACGACAATGTTTTACGCCCAAGAAATTTATCTTCCGATAGAATCCATGAAGGTTGAAAGATCCAGGCCCTGATACTCTTCCTCCGGTGGCAAATCCTCCAGGCCATTGAGAATATTCTTCTGGCTGACAGGGCCTGAAGCTTCTTTCGCTTTCTTTTTTGCAGCGGCGTCTTCTTCCTGGGTGGTCCGCCGGAAGAGATCCAGTACCAGATCAGTATCCATGGAAGGTAGACCGGAATTCTGCTGTGTGACGACAGAGTTCGCGATGTTAAGTTTGAATCGTTGAAGCCTACAAAAAAGTCAGAGATGTTGTTCGACAGGTAGGAGTAAATGAGACAGACCCCATGATCTTTTCTTCCAAGGTTCCCTTGGTAATCAGACGGTATACATTCACAATCTTCTTCTGTCCGATTCGATGGGCTCTGTCCATGGCCTGAAGATCCTTCATGGGGTTCCAATCATGCTCCACGAATATCACAGTATCGGCACCAGTAAGTGTCAATCCGAGACCTCCAACATGAGTGGTCAATAAGAGACAGTCGATACTGGGATCGGAATTGAACGTCTGTACGATTGCGTGACGCTTGCCTGGATCCGTCCCACCATCCAAGCGCATGTACGTGACGGATGGCATATGCTGTTTGAAGAGGTCCGTCTCGATAATGTCAAGCATCTGCTTCATCTGGCAGAAGATGAGAACACGGTGCTGCGAGAATGTGCTGGCACCAGCATCGGAAACGGCGTCGATGAGTTCACTCTTCCCTTGATCTGCTGTAACAGTGTTTGCTGCGCCACCACCGATGCCGCAATCGGTCAAAAGTTGTCTGAAAGTTTTTAAGTCGCAAGATACTACTTAGCAACTAACTGATGCACATACCGTAAAGCGAGAAGTTTGGGTGCGTGCTGTATGTCCTCGAGCGTCTTTGTCTGACTATTGACTTTCGCGAGAGCATCAGTAACTGCCGCAGCATCCTTGAGAACAAGAGCAGGATGATTGCAAAGTTTTCGCAGATATTGAAGCGATTGGAAAACATGCTGCTGCCCCTTGTTTTCTTTAGCTGAATCGGCGGCTTGAATAGCATCTTGGGCGTTGTGTCGAGCCTGAGACTGGGAGAAATCGTCGTAGAGATGCTTCTGTAGGTCCGAAAGTTCACAGTAGTAATCCTGAATGATTTTCGGCGGCAAATCATTCAGAACATCCTCTTTCAGTCTACGCAACAAGAACGGTAATACTTGTTTGTGCAGAGCCTCCAGAGCAAGAGCAGCTGCAGAACAAGATAATTAGTGAATAACACGAATCTTGAGTGAGTATACATACCGGCTTCACCAGTCTTTGCCTTGCCATCTCGGTTCGACAATATGGGTTTCCCAAATCTTTCGTTGAACGATGCTTCGGTTCCCAAAAATCCAGGCATCAAGAAGTCAAACAGACTCCACAGCTCTAGAACGTTGTTTTGAATGGGAGTACCGGATAAGATAAGGCGATGCTGCGCTCGAATGGATTTAACAGCTTTGGTGAGCTTCGTCTTTGCATTCTTGATTACGTGGCCTTCATCGAGTATACAGTACAACCAATTCAAACCCTCTAAATTCGATATGTCGTTGCGGCACAACTTCATAAGAAGTAATAACAACATCGAAAGTACCGAGTTTGGGCAGAAGACGAGCCTCTTTCTCGAGCATTCCCAGTATATAGAACTGGTCGCATCTGGTCGGCATACTTGAGGATCTCGTAGTACCAATGGCCGGTGAGGGTTGGGGGGCAGATGACGAGAGATGGAAGAGGGACACAGTCGGGAGCTTTGGTGGCTGCGTACTTTTCAGCACGCTCGAAGTGCTTGCTGGCTAGGATACATATCGATTGCAGAGTTTTGCCCAGACCCATATCTGTGTCATAGTAAGTTTATTGGAGTATTAGTGTGCCACGGGCATCACTCACCATCACATAATATTCCGTGCAACTGATATTTCGCAAGGAAGGCCAGCCAATTGACACCGTCTTGCTGATATTTCCGGAGCTCGGCATTGATGGAAACAGGGACGTCATACTGCTCAACTTTACTGCCGTCGAGCAATTGAGTCAAGAACTGTCGCTCATCATCACGACGCTTCAGCAGAACTTCAGGGAAACCAGGAGGATCGGGTAGTCCAGCCTAGCCCAGCGTGTTAGTGTTACACGAACTTCCGAGCGTAAGGATACGTACCTCCAACGGTACCATCTTGACGAGAGAAGCAAACGTATTCGTTGCTGTCGATCGAACATCATTATCAGAGTCACTCATTCGACCTAGTATAGGAACGACTAAGAATATGACATAGGGCAAGGCCTTGATATCAAGTTTTCGGACGATATCTAAGAATTAATTAGTACTAGCCGTTCAGAGGTAATGCAAACACTCACGAAATATCAATTCTGTGGCACCTTGTCTATTACCTAAGTGACAAGGGATCACCCAACAACGGAACGACGTTTTCAATGACATATCGCATGGCCTCGGGCGTCATCACGTCGCAGATAGTCGCAAAACACTTGGCGCTCGTTTGGCGAATAATAGCGAACCGGCTACGTAGAGCCAAAAGTATCTTGGGGAATAGTTCCGTTAACCGAGGCCAGATGTCTTCGTGTAGTGCCGGCACGATTGCTTCCAACACACTTAATGAATCGATGATATCTTGTCCAAAGTGCTTCTCGATGAAGTATCACATTCTGCCGGTGTCTCTGCAAGATAAAGATGAATGCAAAGAAAGAGAAAGAAGAGAGGTTCGCCTTCACCTGCTTTGAACGCACTCAGAAGTCCACCGGCCATCGATTGCCACATGTTAGGAATCACGACCAATAATTTGTTTCCGAATTTCTTGGATAGTTGATCAAACGCCAGCCGAGCGCCTCGTCGAGACAACTGTGCTCTGGGATCCTCAGCGGATGGTGCGCCATTAGGTTTATTCTTCGTGCTACCTTTGCCATTCTTCGCTACTATGGGGTCATTGGTGCTAGAGGAAAACGAAGAGGACACCGTCCAACAGCTTCCGCGTGAAAGCGAATGCAGGAGTCTGAGCTGTATCTTGGCAAAGAAAAGTGCACAAATTTTTGACGATTTTGTCCGGAGGCTGCGCAATTTGATGTTTCACGCAAAACTCAATGAAAGAGGCAACGGCTACTGCCGAACGAGTTTGCAAGTCGACATTCTCTTCGTTCTAAGAATTGGTCAGAACGACAAGCATATAGGGGAAAAAATGCCACGTGCCTTGATTCCGTTCATGATACCCTTAACGACTGGGCTGACCTTGTCGGGCATACTCTTGAAGGCCACAAAGGCGGCAGCAAAGGCAGCGGAGACTCGAGTGTCGTGTTGTGCCTTGACTTCAATATATCGGTCGATGCTGGCGAGAATGCCGTTTCGCTTCTCCCCTATGACATTCAGTTCACGCTTCTTCGTCCTTCCGAGACTGTCCTTGAGCCGCGTGAACATCGGACCGCACGCAGCTTGAGCAGTTTCGATTGTGAAGCAGTCTGGTATCTTGCCAGTGATATCAATCTCAGTTCCAAGAGAGGGTATGGACGATGCGGGAAGTTTGCAATCTTGATTGAAGGCGTGGAGAAGCGCAATACATTCGGTGTGCAATCGAGCGAGCATGACAATCATCTCGTGGTATGCAGCTGGAGGGTTGCCTTGAAGCCATGCCAGAGTTTTTGCGCTAAGCTCTTTGGCCAATTGGGAAGCTTCGTGCAAGGATGAACCAGACGCAGGGAACTTGGAGTCGTACTCGTGAGCCCACTCTTCTGCAATGACCGCGGTAAGGAATTTCTGGACCATGCTGGTGGAATCGACATAATGCAGGAGAATGGGACCAAATAAGGCCTCTGTCGTTGACATCTAATGAATACAGTCAACAGCAAGCTTATGCAATTGAACTCAGTCGCTCACATCCTTGGGCCAAAAGGCAACCAACTGGGCCGATGCCGTGGCTGCCGCAATTCGAGCTTTCAGAGTAGTTTCAACAGACACCAATCCTAATTCCTGCGAAAGCATGTTCTTGTCAACGTTGTGTCTTTCGGGCAGATTTTCCCCGTCTGTCGGTTCCGTAGTTCGGTAGAACAGTGTTGGATCAATGGGAACTCCGATGGGTGTCATTATAATAGAATACCACTCTAACAGAATCGCCGGTGTCACCATCTGTTCCATCTGTTCCGGATCCGCAGAGGTGAGAACGGACAGGGTAAGTCGCCACGTTTTCAAGGTAGCTTCACGAATGTCGGTACGTTCTTCGACAACGAGATTTTGAAACAGAAGGCGTAGGAATGGTACGTCGATCCAATCGCGAGGAAGAGAAGGCACCGTCATAAAGGAATACAGCGTTTCTACAACGGCGAGACGAACGTTGACGATGGTATGCCGAAAGAAAGGAAAGAGAGCAGGTGCTAATTTAGTAAGCGGAAGTCTAGTTGGCACGATAATGAGAAGAGATTCATAACAGCATAACAGAAAGCGTGGTGTACTCACCCAAAACTGTCATTTGCGAGAAGAGCAATGACTTTGTTGTAAACAACCAGCTTTCCTAATGAGCATAAATACACAATAGCTTCTCAACAGAACGTAAACCACAAACCTAGGAGGTCCATAACGGCACCAACGCTGGAGCTCAAATCGTCTTTCATGTCGCTCAGGCATTGCCATAGGACAAGCAATACCTGATCCAAGGACTCCGGCAAATGTTCCACAAGATGTCCAGCCACCGGAGAAAGACAGGTCGCCGCTACTGAACGAACATCATCGTCACGGTCACTCAGGCTAAAGGAAACGTACGATGTAAGTATAATAAATGAAGATAGTTAACAAAGAAATATACCCCAGTAAGGCCGCTGCTACCACGCCACGAAGTATCTCTTTACCGGTGTCGTCGAACTCGCTATCTTCCTGTTTCACAGGGGTAGTGCTGAACAAATCGCTGCGCACTGCAACTTCATACTTGATCCCCAGCAAACCTGCGTGCCGAACTTCCCATATGTGCGTTCTCTGTTCAGTAGCAGCCTTGGATCTTGACCTACTACTGCTACCAACGGATGCAGGTATAGTGAATGTTTGCTGGATCATCTGCAGAAGAATTGAATGGACGTGCAGGACCGAACGTCGGGGCATGTGTATCAGGAGCGATGCGAGAGTTTGAGAGACCGTTTCTCTGACTGGCGCAATCACTTGGTCAGAGACGAAATCGCCAAATCGGTCCAGTACGAATACGCAAAGGAACTTCGCAGATAAAGCGTTACACCACTTTTCATGAGCAACTTCATTTTCCTCCCAAGTGGCTTCGGCTGGGTGGCGAGGTCAGTGATGAAGGTGGTATTGTAGAGTGCTCTTAACGCACCTTGCATGCCGCCATATTTTCCTTGTATCTTGAGAAGCTCCCGCAAAGCCATGGCGGCACCATGTCGGACTTCCCAGGCGTCGCTGAAGAGATTTACCTCAAGGACCTTCACCACTCCGTCCCAAATCCAATACCCAGGCCGTACTTCAAGTGCCTTAGATTGTTTGACTTCTTTAGGAGAGACGGCACCTCCCTTTGTGGGATCGAATGACGACTTTGTCTGGGGACGAGCCATTCTGAACGGCGGGACTGCCAAGACGAGACGCTGCATTTGGCTTATCTTCTGCGGCTACCAGGCGAGCTCTACAACGGTGAAAAGGTCAATACCATGTAAGAGATTAGACAATCGGCAGACTCGCTTATTAGATGACCCTCCAACACTCGAAGCAGGTGCATATTTAGCGCCGGCACTTTGAGGCGGTGGAGCAGTCACAAACGCAGTGTTTCCAGGTTTTCGCTTCCGTTTTAAACGATTGCGTTCACGAGCTGACAATGTAGACATCTCAACGTCAGGACAAGATGCAGACGTTGGGGAAGGATCCGCTGGTGTCATTGATCCACTACGCGAATCCGACTCCTGAGTCACTGCGTTTGGCGAAGGTGCAGAAACGTCCATGGAAGGAACAGTAGGCGATAGAAGGTCGCTCGCAGCCATCGGAGGCACCTCCATCTCGACGTCGCCTTCATGGTCTATTTCCGAGGTCAATTCCTTATCCAGGTCAATTTCATCAGGCAACATTGTCAAGGAACTCGAGACCGAGACGACCCATTGCTTCTTTACGAGCTTTTTTGACCTCCGCGGCACTGGACAGGATACCAGTCGGCCTTTGAAACTCTTTGCCGGAGGAAGCAAGTAGAAGCTTTCCCTGCAGGATAAGCTCCTTCACAGAGAAATTCGGATATTCCGGTGCGGGGAGAGACAACTGAGTATCAATCACTGGTTTGGATTGACTTTCATCGTTATATGGTCTCCAGAGAGGTGTTAGAGAAAAGATATGAGAAAGAGCAACAGAAGCGGCCGTTCGAGTGTCAAATGACTTTGAATGAAGAAATGGGATGATCTACAGAAGCAGAAATTTGATATTAGGATTTCATGTGCACGAGGTAATGATAAGTGGATACTGTACCCGAGCAACCACTGACATTAACTCGGACCACGATGCTGGATCTCCGAGTGATACATGCTGGCGGTTTGTCTTGATTTCTTCCTCTATAGCCACATCACCAGTAACACTCTTGGCGGCCAATTGAGCCAGCTGCTTTGCAGCAGTAGTCCTCACTGAGGTAGAAGAGCCGGTGTCAAGCAGAAGGAGGAGCCGGTCCAGCCTAAAGGAGAATTAATTTTAGAACTTGGGCTGCGGAATATTGCATCACCTCGAAGTCATGCCGTAATAGGAAGGTGTTGTTTGCCCGTCCGGGCCGGCTGATTGAATGGAGTTTTTGTGGGTTTTTCTCACGGGGCGTCTGGAGAGATCTTGCCGTCGTCTTTTTATTCCCTCGCGCGGCTGGTCGGAGTTTGAATTTGAGGCGCCGTCTGGAAATTTTTATGATGCCCTCTTATACATCCCCTTTCTTTTCTGAAAGAGTTATGCTGTACTGGATGATGTATAAGAAATTGTCCGCGAAGATGCAAACGTTGTTGGCGACCAGTGTATATTTTATCATTGAAAATTCTAACCTTACCGTATACCCATCACAGACTTTGTCTCAGCTGCGCAATACCTATATCAGTTCGCACTTGTAATGCTATACATCATACCTCATCCCATCAGATCTGCATGTTCTATCGAAGGGTTTTTGACGCTATGGCAGAAACGGCAGTAAAAATGGAATGTAAGAGAAGAGCATCTGCGCTCTTAGAAAGGTACACTAGTGTTTATGCACAAAGACAATTGGTGATGTAAGGCGAGCAGGATAAGCACGTATCTCGGAAACGATTTTTTAGCACCGATATATGTCGGAGAAAGAAACCATTGATAAGGACTGAGTACTGAAAGTCTGGTATTCGATGTTCTCAAATTCACAGCACATATGGATCATCTGGCCCCTGGGGGTGACGGCTGACTTCAATGTAATATCACAATAGACAGATAGAAGACAAGACCACACGCCGATAAAGAATATCAAATGACCTATCGTGAGCACAATGAAGCGGTTGAACCATTATGTTACCTATTGTGTTGACGAAAGTCTTAGACAGATTTGTGGTAAGACCTTCTTGAGTACTTGTCAGTTCGTTTCAGCGAAGGAAGGAGGATACCGCACAATTCATTTAGGATCCTCGTAACCCGCAAATATTGCCTCCTGCTTAATCACTACCGTTTTCACCTCAGAACCACATGGAAACGGAAAAGCTTGTCTCGTTCGCGCGCATTGCGTGCCACCAGCCTGGCGGGAAAAACAGCATGTCCCCTGGATGAAGCGTGGTGCTCATAGCCCCGGGGACCACATCCTCCCAGAAAGCAGGATACTCATGGTTATCCTGAGTGGTAAAGACGTCAACACAAGAGGTGTTGCTGATAGACGGCGTCTCTTCGGCATACATATGTTCCGAGCATTTCGGAGAAGCCAGCCATACTGTCTTACTCCCTACAACCTGTACTTGAAGTTGTTGAGTAAGAGTCAGGGAGTTTACACAATCAAATACCGTAGAAATTGAAGTATGGATCCTACAAGGACGGGTCATCAGGAGGGTTGTGATTGAGCGTTAGCGTCAAATATGAAGTTGACGTACAGTATGAGCAGGAGAGATGGTTCCTCGGGGACCGAGCCAAGTGTTTAGAACCAATTGTTCATCATTTCCTGGAGGTGCATAGTTGGGAACAGAAGGGCCAGAATAGACGTAATCCGGTACAAGGATATCAGCTCGGAGGTCGGGAAACTGCATGAAAAGATTATGTTGAGCCAAATACAGCATTTTCTCCGGAACATAAGAACAAGTCTGATCATCAAACTCGAGGGACGCTAGAAATTTGTCCCAGGGCATTAGCTGTTGTGTCCAGTCATCGTTCCGATAGTCTTTGCCTACTTCGATAGGAACGACACGCCCCGGACCCGCTACCGTGCGAAGATACCGTACAGAGCACCAAGGATGGTTCGTTAAAGCAGGCCAATCGTTGGCGTAACTACGTAAAATGAAGGGAGACAAGGAAAGCTGGGATCGAAAGGACGACAACGAGGGCTGAAATGGTAGGCTGGGAACATCAAGAAGGGCAGTGCATAATGGCTTCGGTTCAGAGGGGTGGCGTGAAGGAGCTGGGAGGACTCCCACGTTTGTGGGGGAGGGAAACTTCGACTGAACGTCCTGGATTAGAGCATGAATTAGATCGAGTCGGCCCATAGCACCTGATATAATGATAGCACGATCCAAAACCTCGATGGCTTGTAGATATGCTGACTGGTCGGACAGCGTTAGAGCTTGTAAGATCGACGTGTCCGTGTGAATCCTTCTCCACCAACCACTCTGGCCTTTCGACATCCGGTCATACGAGATCTTTATGACGTCCTCCAGGTCATCAGAGACCTTTGAATGCGAGGCACCTGCACAGACGGCCCGAGCAGTGGAGAAAAGACGTTCACAGTGCTCTTTTCCGCAATTTGCCAACACTGCATCATAACTATTTGTCAAACGGATGAGTACCACAAAAAGGATTGACATACGAACATCCTGGTCATTTTCTAAGCTACTCAAAATGATCTCCCCATATTCCAAAGACCAGGACATGTTTCAGGAGAGTACGCTGTCAAGCTGCTGGGCGCTGAAAATGGTGGTGCGAATCCACATTCTGTTATTTCCGCTCTATTACATAAGAATCTCACAGTCGGTATCGGCCCGTCGAGTATCTCAAAGAGGCAGCACAGCCACGTGGTACCCACGGCTGTTCTACTGCATCCTCGGTGGCTGTCGACGTTGCTGTCGGCATTGGATGCCTTACCAGTCGCTGATTCATGACCGCCACGAGTTATTAGGTCTCTCACCCTCCTTTGGGGCTACCGCGACACACGACAAGCCCATGTCTTCGCTGGACGTTGATCGTTCAACCCTTCGTTCACCGCGGTGGACAAAAAGAGGCTCATATATTCCAACGCCTCTCACAAGAGCTCATATTCAGGAAGCGCTTTCACGCTCGGAGGACTATGGGATAACACTTGTATTCTTGAAAAAGAATTTGACAGACATTGGAGCGTCGGTCGTGGAGGAGCTGGCAACCGTTGGGAGGAACAGTCCTGATGATGGGTACCCCGTGGAGAGGTGCGTGTTCTCTTTATGCGATACGATGACACTTTAGTGACCTTTTGAATTAGACTGGCATTGGGGAACAACTATCTGACGACTCTACCGATGGAATTCGCGCATTTATCGCGTCTGCGCTATGTAAATTTGAGGAGCAATGCTTTTACAACATTCCCTGACGTGGTAAGTCCCTTTACTAGGCCATTGCACTGACATACTCACTCTTGCGTAGCTAACTCTGATGCCCTCCTTGGACACGCTGGACATTAGCCATAACAAGATCAATCAATTTCCTTCGCGCCCCGGAGAGTTGATCAAGTTGAAGGTTAGCCCATCTTATAGTTACATTTTTGGCCATTGGAATTGACATGTCACAGGTGTTTTGCGTTTCTCGCAATAAGATTACAAGAATCCCAGAGTACCTGTCCAGGTTCACCAATCTCGCAGTGCTAGAGATTGAGCGAAACCCTATTGAATGGCCGCCAATCACCGTCATGAGTCGTCCTGCCAAGTTTCCTAATGCAGAGGCAATGAAAGAGTGGATTCATAACCTTCAGACCTGGATCGAAAGCGAGACAGGTGATAGCAAAGGTCAAGATGACTCTGGTTTCGCTGAATCAGAAAGCTGGTCTCGCTTTCCGGTCACCGAAAGTGAATTTGATGCCGGTGTCACCCCACATGCTCGGTCTTTCTCTCTTGATTCTAACCTCTCTGTGTCCTCCTTGGCGGAGTCGGATATCGAAACCCCTTCGTCATCTTATGACAGGCCTCCGCCGCTGCACCTTGGCATACTCTCTACTGATAGCGCAGAGACGTCCCCAACACGCTCTTTTGACAGTTATCTCCCCAGCCCCGCCGATTCAGATTCTTTCGCCATGAATGATCCGACGGCACACCCTAGCCCGACCGAAAACGGTCAAAGGTCGGCGTATGACCACTCCAGGAACGCCTCCTTTGCTAGCGGGATGCGCAATTCAAGGAGGAACGGTTTATCGGGAAAGAAAAGTATGCCTGATCTGCGTACTGCCAAATTCCCTTTTGCTTGGAAGGCCCACGACCCTCCGGAACGTGTCTCCGCCAATAGCACAAGCAAGAGCAAGATTCCGGACGATTTTTCCATGCCCTCACCGCTTTCTCAGCGACAAGATTCTAACTCGTCAGCGAGTTCTGGAACACGTCAGAACAAACCTCCCGGCAACGGAAAAGAACCTGTCCGTGAATCCCCCCCTCCGAGGGCCTCCACTTCTTCCATAGCCTATTTCCGACGTCTATCCACTCTTCCCCTGTCAACAATATCTGACACACTCCCTAAACCTCTCATCTCTCTGATTGAATGTGCTCGCAGCATCCTTTTCGCGGTCTGCCAAATATATCAGACACTCGAGCATTATACCGTCCATGCTATAGATGACCGTTTGTCTTCTGTGTTACGGAAAGTGCTGGATCCCGCCAGCCTTGACATGATGCAGCTTATCAACTACCTCGAGCGTTTCGACGCCATCAGTCGAAAGATCTTGCCGCCTCCGCCTGTGTGTCGAGGTGTCGTGGAAAGTTGCAAAGATACCGTTGCAGTCTTTGGCAAAGCCGTCGGCGTGCTGACCCTGCAACTGAAGGTGATAGCAACTGGTGATGATGTCCGGTATCTCAGGTCTATGTTATTGGTCCTATATGGTGCTGCTGCAGAAATATCATGGGCCTGGCAAGCTATGATACCACATATTGAAGCCATTAAGCCACTACTGCGTAGCAAGCCGCATCCCACGCCATCACCCAACATGTCCGTGGACCCTTATCCGTCTTCTATCCCTTCAACCTCTCAATTGAAGTTGGAGCAACCTTCACCTCTTTTATCTTTGCGAGCTGGCTCTGCGGGGGTCGAGAGGACGCGTGTAGCGCGACGACATGCTGGCTCTTTTAGCTCGAAAGACGTCGAGATTGGTAAGAAACTACCTTCCTATGATGATGCCCCGACGTTGTCAAGGGGAGTCGCCGTTTTCACGCCTACCCTGCGTGCTCCCAAACGACAGGCGACCCTTGCTCCCATGGCTGTCACGATCTCTTCACCTTCACCAACTAGCCCGTTGCCCAGTTCCATGTCAGCTTCGTGGGCGGGCGAGAGTTCACGAGCGATCCACTCACGTACAGGTTCGCAGAGTTCCCTACCAGGCTCCTCGGCCTCTTCGTCCCCATCCCTCCCTCCGAAGACAGCGTTTTTGGAACTCCCCCCAAGTTCTAAGACACAGGTCGACAAGGAAGCCATCCAAGCCGTACAGAATGCCGTCGAAGTTGCTCCTGTGGTGTGGAATCTGATGGAAGAGGTTTTAGGCGATGTATTAGAAGCCCAGGCAGATGTGCGTGAGAGCCTGGATCGGGCAAGGTCTGTGACAAGACGTTTGAGCGACCTAATTCGTGCTCTGAAGGAGGGTGATTCAACACGGGATAGAGGCAGCCTTCGGGAAGATGCTCATATATTTTTAAAGGTATTTTATAAACAGGTGTGGCTTCTATGCATGTTGTTGATGACGATTTTAGACTGTCGTTCAATTGTCCAACATTGCCAAGACATACAATGGAGTCCGATCAAGCGCTCTTCGGAATAACATGTACAAGCTCACAAACTCTACAGAGGAGTTTGCAATTCTTCTGCATGTGTCGTCTTTCTCTCCGGCTTCCACGCCGCGACCATACTCACCGATGTTGTCTATGTCTGCCTCACAAAGCAGCTTTCTCAACCCTGCAGAAGATTCTCGTTTACAGTCTAGTTTCTCTAGAAGCGCCCGTGCTCCTGGGGGCTTCAAAGTTCCATCTCCAACGGCGCCGCACGACGGGTCGCGCAGTGCTCCGCCTAACCAGACATTTAAAATGCCTGTTTTACAGCCGACTTCGTGGTAAGGAAACCCGAGTCGATGCTAGTGATTCCTCCAGGGTAATATTTGTAGTTTTCCATACGTTTCACATCAGTCGTTTCCTGTTTTTCTTTTTCTGCCCCTCTTCTCGTTGTTGTTATTACTTTGATCTGTTATAATCTTACTACCGTGCACAAGGCTATTTATCCAATATATCAGATACTTTTCGAGGATGTTCATGCCGAACGAAGGTGTCAGATCGGCAGTTGATCGAGGAAGGCAATCGGAACTTTGACTACAACCGCCATCAAGATAGTGCTACCTTACTGCCTGCCTAGCAATACTCGTCGACATGGATTCTGCACACGCCAACGTTGTCAACGATCTCATCGATATCTTCTATACATGCCTTGGGGAGGAAAGTCCTGACGTTGCTTTCCCACCATCCCTGCTTGCTAGTCTAGAGGAACCGAGCGGAACGAAGGCTCACAAAGTCTCCTGTGCATCGACATGTTCACAAAAATCTCTGGAAGCTATTGGAGTCCATATCTTTCATGGCGGGCTCAGTCTCGCCATTCTCAGTAGCGATGGTCTTGCCCAGACGGTTCATAGCAAACAATTTCTCGTGGTAAGCTCTTCGTCTCGTCTCGCCGGTCATGTTATGCATTATTTTTCTCCTTAGAAACTCAAAGACGACGAGCGCCTGATACCAGCCATCAAAAACGTTTCGCTCATGCTCTACCATGGAAACCTAGATCCGATACAGCTCTTTTTCACTATGGTTGGGTTACTCTACGTCAAGAATGGCTGCGACTTCGTGATGAAATGGATTCGGCGCCTGGTGAAGCCTGCACTGAGAAATTTGAATGAATACGTTAAGGTGCTTCGGTTGTGCGTGTGCCTTTTTTTTAAGTTCACCTGAGTCATGACTAATTTCTTGCTTCGAATAGGCCACGAGAAGTGCCCACCCGATCGTTACTCGCCAGCTATACCTACAAAGCACATCTTGAACTGTTCTGGCTATCCACCTGTCCCTAGTCCCGCGAAGTCGAAGACGGATACAGCCCATCTCACATAGTAAGTGACAACGTCACATTTTGATATTCTTTCTAAGCCCTCGGCATAGTCGAAAGCGGCTCTTGCAGAAAGCCCGCCTATCTGCTACAGCATCACTTGAACAGATAGAAGATGACATGAAGAACTACCTAACTTCAACAGGCTTTCCAAAGCGGAGACGTCTTTGGTAATCGAATTCTGGACCTTGACAGCCTAAAACAACCTATACTTGTCCTAGATATTTTGCACACTATAATTTCACTCTGGATGGCTACTTGATTCTCATTATGAAATATGTGTCTTCGCAAAGGCTGCATTTCAGATGGTCGCTTTATTACCCGCTTAAGCATGTTATCGGCACTAAATTCAGTTATCAAGAAGGTGACAATGATCGATCGAAAGTTCAACTTTGTCCTCAACTACTACTTAAGTACAACGTCGTCCCTCGGACCAGTGCGCCACGTCCCGCCTTGCTCTATATACGCCGCAACACACTTGGAATTATCCCATTCGCCTACATTGAATATCTATCTCGCCATCACGATGGTTCGACAATCTGATACCTTACCTGAACTGGATGTGTATATCCTTGATGCGGTTCGCCATTCGCTGCGCAGCTCGACACTCCCTCCCAAGCCACTTCCCTTCCTCTCGGAGAAATCTCAGCACGCCTATATCGAATGCTCTATCTCTGCTAAAGACGCCAAGGAGGCGGGTGGCGACGATTTCCTGACCATGTACCTTCACATGTTACTCCAGGAGATGCTTCCCGGAGACACTTTTCTCAGCGCACGAGAGGTAATTCCTAGTATCTACTCTGATTCTGATCCTTCATTGAGCGTTGTCAGATAATTGTAGCGACGCTTCGTCATGGCGATACCTTGAGTCTTGCCTTTCATCACCTGATGAAGTCCTTACGGGGAGCTAGCGTTCTCAGTCAACAACGAAACTCGGCCGTTGACTGGAGATTCGTTTAGCAAGGTCATTAAACGTATGATTGCCCAGTGCTTTTTTGGACGGCGAGAAGGATGGTGAATGCTGTATCGAACCTATGAAGAAATGGATCGAAGGTGTCTTCCGACTTCCGGCCATGGAAGCCATTGCAGCCTATAACCGTCAGTGCGTACCTTCTAATTTTAAAGTAGTATCGCCTACTGATACTTTCATAGCAAATACCTCGGCAGAATCTCCCGAAAAGAGAATAGCGTCGAATATGATCATCCAGTCCACCCTTCCCTTCCGAAGCGACCTCTCCCTCTTGCGTTAACCAGCAGTGTCAAGTCTCGCTCGCTCGACACGATGAGACTTTCTCAGAATGTCGCCAACAAGAAGGACCGTCGACGTGAGAGCTTGAATGCTCTTCGGGCCTCCCCTATGGCAATGACGCCTAACAAGAGATCCTTTTCCAACGTCAATAATGATTCGAATAAGCGCCCTCGTAAAAAGCGGATACCACTTCCGATCTGGAGAGACGATATGAAGGAAAACATACCACCCACGATGTCGCACCGGCGCTCCTCACAGATGCCGAATCGTTATACCACTTCTACCGCTACCCCTGAACGGGACTTTACTCAACGTTGCATATATTCACGCTCATCTGTACTTTTCATTACCAGACACAGATGTCAAGCCGATAATCAAAGCGAATGGGCTGCTTTTACTACCCCGAACTGTGAACGTCTTGTGTATGTTTCCTGTATTTGCCCAAATCATGATGTTGTCTGACGCCATTGTACAGCTCTTTAACTGTCCACTACATGCAGTCTATTTGCCTTTACGATAATATTACAGATGCCCATCCACGCGAATTCTTTTGTTTACTCTATACTATTTTGTCTCTAGCGAACTCTTGATTTGTACGATCCTTGATCATCATCCTAAAACCCGTCTATACATCCTACTATTTTAATGAAGAATTCAAGACATATATGCCTCCGGTTCAGTTGAACAGTGAACACCCGTCGCGAACGTGAAGGTTTATGGTACGTCACATGATCGCGAGGATACCTTGTTTTGGTTGGGTGCCACGTGAGTTTTTGTTGCGCTCAACTCCTGCTATCTCCTACTACTACTTAGCTACTAGCGAGGCTCCGCATTTCTAGCCAACAGCTCTAAGTTCAGTTGATGGTATCACTCACGCTCTTTACTCTAATTCTCTATGCCTTTCCTCTACTCGCTCAAAGCCAGAACGTACCAGTGCATCGCGATCTTCTCGAAATCGGCTTCACATTACCTCTTCAGCGGACGTCTGTGGTTCAGCCATTCAATGGTATCAAACCAGAAATTTAGAATCTCAAGCCCCCATTTCCAACGTTCAGCGATAGTGTGTTCCCCATCTGATGCTGACCTGTTTCCTCCAGTTGACCAATATATTATAGCACCTACCTTGTCAAAATCCAGTACGCCTAGTGGTCAGGTGGTTATCTCATATTGTAAATTTATGTATTTTAGGGTTGGTGGACAAGACTTTTGGGTGACGCTCGATACTGGATCTTCCGATCTGGTACGTTCCGTGCTCTCTCTCGTTCTCGTACTTATGTCAAGGACAGTGGATCCTGTCCAGCAATTACTCATCATCAGATGACGATGGGGTTGCAGAGTACAACCCTTCGTCGACGGGTTCTTTGCACTTAGACTTGCCGTTCGAGCTTGATTATCTCCTTGGATCTGTCACTGGTTGCATTGCATTTGACACCGTTTCCCTTGGGGCCTTATCAACTATTCTCTCAAATCTTTGGTGAATAGAATGCCTCCTTTTCGTGCTGACGTCCACTTACCCGAAAGCAGGTTTAGCCAACCATACGAACAATATCAGTATCTCTGGCAACCATAATTCTGGCATTCTGGGCCTTGCTTTTCCTTCAGCCGCCAGCATCACAGATGGTACAGCAGGCTCTCCTTTGGCGAACATATTCAACTATCTTCCTGGCCCTCTTCGATTCTTTGCGCTGAAACTTGGACGAGAAGAACATCATCTCGTTGACCCTACATCATCCTTCTCTGTTGGACAGCTCGACCCTGCCTTCGCAGCCGATTTTTCGAACTTTAGCTTCTACCCTGTTTCAAGCGCTGGAGCCAACGGGTACAACTATTGGAAACTCCCGCTTATATCTCTTACGATCAACTCCACTGATATCCCGCTGTCTCCTTCTTCACTCCCAGGTTCTCGACGCCCTGTCGCCGTTCTGGATACAGGAACTACGTTCGTATTGGGACCTACCATTGATGTGGAAACCTTTTGGAATACGGTCAGCTCGAATGGCAATATTACTCGAAGGAATCTTGTTACAAACCTATGGGAAGTCAGATGCCAAAAAGCTCTAGTTGCTAGTTTGGTTTTCGGTGAAGGTGCCTACAGAAAGGAGTTTTTTCTGCATCCGGAGGACCTTAACTGGGCAGGTGAACGGCTCCGATGGAAACTGGTGTATGGGTGGTATCCAGGCCAACGACAGAGCAAGCTCAGCTTCTTTGTAAATTGATAATCTCAAAACCCGCATTTAGGTCAATTCCGGAGACTGGCTTTTGGGCGACGTTTTTCTGAGGGTAAGCGTGTGCATGTGTGGGAAAGCGATATTAACGCTGCCTCTAGAACGTTTACGTCTCACACCATGGTAAAAATACTACCCACGATCCTATGATTGGACTCGCCAGCACGACAGACATCTCTACCACTCTGCAAGAATTTCGTCAAGGACGCGGGCCTGACATGACACCTCTAACGTCAATACAAGTTCGTGAACGAGTGCATCATTCAGACCCTTTCCGTGCAGCTATTGTGTATTCTGTCTCTTCGATGTGCGGATTCCTCGGAGGCATGGTGATAACGGTCTTATTTCGGCTTCAGCATCAGAAATCTCTCAGAAAATACAGCTAAGTACGGACATATATACGGAATAATGATCGTTTCAAATTCTGGCCGATGTCCACTTCAGTGAAGCACGTAAGACCGACGTCCGACGAGAGGGAAGGGAGCGATGCCACCAACGGGGATGGAAATACGCAGTCGATACGATGATGAATGCAAACGCGACTCCCGCAGCGGCCCCTACAACTGGCGCAATAATTTCGACCAGACTAGTTGAATCTGTCTTAACATTTGAAACAATGGTACGAAAAAATGAAGGGATCGAGCCACCTGTAATACATGACGAATCGGAACCATCGTCTACAAAAAACGCAGACGAGTTGAACACAGCGGTTGTGGCAGTAGGCGCCGGCACGGATGCCTGCAAGATGTACCACCCTTCTGGGACCGTGACGAGATCCCAGGAGAAGGAGTGGACGGACATAGGTATGGTGGCAACCAACCTCGAGCTGTGGCCTCTGCTCGCAACCAACAATGACATGGATCCCATGTCTATCGAAGTGCTCCATTCAAAGGTGGTCTTGCCACATACAGTCGTGTTCGCGGGATTTTTGAATGCAAAGGAGATGGTACCATCGTTTTCTCGTCCTCTGCCTCCATGGCTGTCTTCCTTCCCCCAGGATGCTCTACAGTGAAGCCCAATCAAACCGATAGCCCAAAGTAACAGCTTGCTCATGATCTACACAGCGTCAGTGCAAGAATTTGACACGTTAAAATTGAAAGCCTACATAGCTGGCCGACGTCATGAGCGGAGGAAATCTGTAGTGAGTGCATGGCAACTTCTGAATTAGGACACGCGATCTTGAGCGGTTAGGATGAGAAAGGTGACTTTTACTCAGGCTTGCAAATGCCATTGACCGATGAGAAAGATCACTTTACGGTACATTATAAGCCGGTCTGCCGGTTATAGTGTTCACACTCACTGTTGCTCCGATTTCGTACCCACTGGTCATGTGCGGCCCGGACGGCGGGTAGCGGGCGGCTCTCATCATTCTTAGCTCAGGCAAATAAATACACAGTTACACTTACTACTGAACAACCGTTCCGGTAAAAACACAGATTCAGAAGTCGAGCTTCGTTACTGATTGACTATTCCAGTTTAGTTCTCCTTATCAAGGGCCCAGGCTCGCGGGCGAATCAGGAACTTCCCCGAGTCGGCACGTGGAAAGAATGGAAAACGATGAGCTTCTATTTGGCTTAGTATCACTCACGGTGATGAACCCAAGTCGAACCATTATCCACCTCCATTCATGTCTCTGAAGGTCATTATCATCGGCGCAGGACCTGCAGGCTTGGTTGCATGCAAATCTTTATTGGAATATGCCTCTGAAGAATATCCTTTCGATCCTATCGTGCTTGAACAAGAAGATGACATTGGCGGTACATTTCGGTACCGATCTTACGAAGTGAGGCTCTTTCTCCGCAGTCGGAGACCGTTGACATCGTACCTGATGATCGCTATATAGAATTCCCATCTCGTCTCTTCAAAGCAATTGACATGCTTCTCCGACTTTCGTCTCCCAATGTCCCACCCGGACCACATGAGTCTAGAGGTGTGCGATTTTCATTGCTTGTGGGGTCGTGTGAGGAATGATAGTATTAATATTATATTTAGAATTATGTAGACTATCTTCGGGCATATGCACAACATTTTCAGCTTACTGAAAGAATCAAGCTCAATTGCAAGGTTGTCAATGTCAGCCGCGACCGCTCCACTGGCGAACACCTTGTTTCGTTCATAACGCGAAGCTTAGAAAACCCTCGTGAATGGGACCAGCGTCAGTCATACTTTTGTGTGACATAGGCGTCGTAAATGACACATTTCTCAGTTGTGATCACCCTTAGAGCACAATATCTAGCTGTCTGCACAGGGCTCCACGTACTCCCCCAATTTCCTAAAATCGACGGTATTGAGCATGTTGTTAAGAACCAGTCAGTCAAACAAGGTTCGGGAAAGCCGGTGTTTCACTCCCACGAATACAAGAATCGAACCCAACTTGCGGGGAAGCGTGTGATGATTCTTGGAACTGGCGGTGAGCACACACTACCGTGACCCTTAATAGAAGGGCCCTCTCATCTATCCTTCAGAGACGGGTATGGACCTTGCATATGAGGCGGCCAAAGCTGGGGCCAAGGAGGTGGTGTTGTGTACACGAGGAGGGTGAGCATTTCCGGCTTGTATGCTTCGCATAACCGCGTATAGTGATACCTCAATCAGATTTTTATCCATTCCTCACGCATTGGTCAGTGCCCCAACGTCATATTCTCGAGACTTAGGAGTTCATTGCGATCGCCGTAGAACAATTTTGAAATTTTTGGGCAGAAATTCGATGCCGAAAAGAAGGTACCCATAGACTGCCTCATAACGAACCTTGCCGAAACTGCCTATGTTGTAAGCAAGTGCTAACCATTTCCCGGCCCGCCTCTCCCTGATTGGTGTAATTCATAGCATCCCTGGATAGCCAGCTCGCATGTTCGATGGTTGTGAGTGAAATTCCTTCCAGTATCCAGGGTACAGCGTGTCAAATTTCCTAGCATATCGGACTTTGTCATTAAGCGCGTCCTGTGGGTTCTCACGGGCACTCAGGCTGGCTGTAATCAATGGGTATGTCGAAACACCTTTGTTCGCCCCAATACTAGTAGCGTGCCGAAAAGACGCGAGTTAAATTAATGTTTTCCTAGGTGGGCCAACTAGAACCGCACAGACTTGGGCGTGCCTATGTGTTTCTAAACAAGGTCTGTCTTTTGACAAGTACAACACACCTCGTGCCTTATTTGTGTGCTTTCTCCAGTCACACAAAGCTATGCCATATCTGAATCGACCGTATCGGGAACGACCTGTATTTCTGGACCGCATTGCTCGATATATTGATCCGCCCGAGGACTCGCCTCCGCAGACGGATTTCGTTGTTGACTTGGCGCCATTTCCCTCTCATTTCCTTCCCGATGGTCGAGCCATCTTCCCTCATCTCCCGAAACGAAAAGATTATCTTCGAATGAAGGGACGGGAGGTTCGCCCCGAGGTGGTAATATACGCAACAGGTTATACACAGGAGTTTGCTTTCTTCGACAAGGATAGCGGATACGCCACGCCTGAAGAAGCAAATATTCGAAACATTGCCCGTGAAGGAGATGAAAGCGTTGGTTTCATTGGGTTTGTCAGACCCGGTGTCGGTAAGCACAAAATTTACCGTAAATTGCAACGAGACGCATGTGCCTGACATTTAGGACCGTCCAGGAGCAATACCTCCCATTGCGGAAATGCAGACCTTCTTCTGGATATCACTTATTAAAGGTCAGGTGCGAAGGCCTCTGCCACCACCGCATTACCACTTGCTTGTTGAGGACACCGCGCGTATCAAATATGGTGTCGATCATTCCACGTATATGAGTACTCTCGCGAAAGACATTGGTGCGGCTCCAGGTCTTTGGCAACTTTGGCAATTATACGGGACACATGTCCTGGTATGCTATTGGTGAGTGCTCGTATGTCAAAGATTACTCTGTGCTGACAGTTCTGGAGCTTCGGTGCGGCGTTCACCTCATTCTATCGCTTGGTAGGCCCGTACAAATCTGCTTCTTCGCCGGAGGTAATACGAACGGAAATTTGGGATACGATCACACGGCGCGGTATTCTCGGGAACGTGATTATGGGGGTTATACCTATGGCATTCTACTTGACGCTTAATACCCTTGCTTTTGGGGCAGGGCTGGTATATTCGCTTTTTGGGGGATGCATCGAATAAGTATAGAGGTCTTATTTTCTCTTTTCTTTTTACAGTACACTAGGCCTTACTTGGAGACCATACACTCATTCCCTAACAACGTTTCTGCTCATGAAACTGAATGAATTCAAAAGTGAAAGCCAAAAGTATACATGAAGTATTACTGCTACAAACTATTGCGTACCCACGTATTCGGAAACTGGACATGAAGGTCATGAAATATTACAAGTTATAACTCACACCTTCAGCTTCGGCGCGATACTAGATACCCCTTCGTTTATGTACTATAAAGCAGCACTTCCTTCCTTCGACAACCCCAACCCACTTAAGGTGCTGCAGTCAAGCCCGCCTCAGCGGCCTTTCGACATAACGGGAGGAGGGTCGACACGGCTGACAGCAGCAAAGGACACGATGGACGCAATACCGCTGAAGAGGAATCCAATCCAGGGAATAATCCCGAACCACAAGACTAGAAGGAACGAATTAACATTCACCCAAAATCTTAAGATAGATGCAAACATACTGAAGTTAATTCGTCGATACAGAGGGTCAACTCCGAGAGAAGCAGCAGCCTCAAGGAGAGTATCCGCTGGGACAGCGGAACCGTCTGCAGTGGTTCCCGAAACCAATACGCCCTTCCTTCGGACTGCATCAGAGACGGGAATCTGGCAGGCGAAGAGAGCGACGGTAATGAAAGCATAAAGAAACCCTTGTGCTTTCAAAGCCTTTTTGGTTGAGGCCACTGAAACGAAGAGACCGATGAGGGTTCCGATGGAAAATACGCAGAGGATGACACAGAAAGTTTCGGAGGCGATAGCGGGATGGACAACGCCTAGATACAAAATGTCAGAAAATGTTCGACCTAAGCAACAATGGGACATACTGTTGGTAACAAGCCGAAGGGTGATACCGAGAGGCGCGACAGCCCTTCGCAGGAAAGACTTGAGCCGGTTTTGCTTGATCACAGTGTTCAACCCGATGGAAAGGCTGATAGCACCCCACGCGAATGCCATAAAGTACGCAGCAAGTCGTACGGCGAAGAGAGGTGCACGAGCCATTACTATAGACTTAGTAGAAGGCTTGATGTAGACACTGGGAGAAGCTTTGCGAACAGAGTCGGGGACTGAGCAAAAAGAGCAGGCAATTTAGACTTTATATACTCTCGGGTAGTAGCCTTGAAACGGTAAAAGAAGCAATAAAGAGTGATCTGGAAGACAGCCAGAAAAGGTCTAGAGAAAATACGGAAAGCTTCGGGAAAATCAAGATGAACGCTCGTAACACTGGTCGGGTAAATTCATTCCCCAGTTATGGGAAAAGGGGGAACACTTGAACACTTCCCGTCTTCTACTGGAGGCGAGTTGGAGAAGCGCGCTTAATTTGGGGGTGAAGTATCGTAAGTCAAAGGCCGTTGCTAGCAAGAATCGGGCAACCGTGTCGACAACCTGACAAGTTACTGACAGATTAGAGCGATCATGACGGAAGGTGCCGATCCTAATGATAATTTTAGGGAGATGCGGGTACAGGGTAACTCGTCAAGGTCATTTCGACTGGTCTGGAGGAGGTCCAGATTCCCGAGGACGCGAGTGGCGCCATGATGCGTTAATTGTAAAACCACAAGACCATATTATATTGCTTTTTTCGTCGTCCGAGGATTTGGTCTGGTCTTCTAATCTGATGTTTCCCCGGGACCGGGGGGTGAACTTGGCTCGTTTTCAACGTAGTCAAATTTACGAGGTCCGGTCTGAATCGGAGAGAACAGGCCCAGCAAAACAAGATAAGTGGACTACACACCTAATAAAATTATTCTTGTATTTCTCGGGACCTTATTTTCCAAGGAATCACCGACACATGGGTTTGACTTGCGCCACATATGAAAACTTTATAAAGGTCAAGATGCTGGTCGATGAGTCATGGATGATCGATGACCAATCATCGGATCGGATATTCCGAATATTTCCACCTTTTCGTCGGAGCCTTCTCCAGTTTCTCGTCCTGCAATTTGATTCTCTTGGCATTAACGGCGTGCATCGTTCCGCTCAATGCTTCGCTGCTGTACCTTTTCGAGCGACGTTCGGGTTGGCGTTGAGCGACACGCAGCGGCAAGTTTAGACTGAGATTGGTCGTTGGAAATGGCTTGTACGAGGGCAGCGCGCTGAGTTCATTAGTTTGGATGGGGATTTACGTTGGTTCTCTCTCTACTCTGGTACGCTAATTATTTACTCTTCGAGACTTCGAAATTCGAGTTTCAAAGCACTATGCTCGGCCTATATCTTCGTTACCGTAGTTGTCGTCTACCAGTGCTCAGCCGTCTCTCTTTCGACTAAAGATTCTGCGAAATCCATGGTTGCAATCTATGCCTCACGACGTTGCCGACGACGTACATTACTGTACAGTCAATGTACTCCGTCGTGCCGCCTGTCAAAAATTTGAGCGCAGCACCCGTCATAGATGCCTGTTACCTTTCTTTTCGCTTACAGTACAGTTCGCACTGTGTAACAAAGTCTATACCCGTGTATTGAACGTGTTTTGAGTCCCGAAGTTTCGTGCGATCTCAAACGCCGTCCTTCTCTTTTTAGGACCACCACGTTCTAGTTAGAGTGACCTGCTCATCGAATGCCGTGAACAGAAACGATGGCGTCTTATCGTCCTATCACTCCCATTTCTACTACATTTCCCCAACCAGTGACAGCCTTGTCCTTTGACCCCGTCTCTGATATCCTATGGGCCGGGTCACAGAGCGGCATTGTTACGGCGTATGTCAGCGAGGGCATGAGCGGCGTCTCTTTTCGTGTTTCGGATTTGCCGGTTCTCAAGGTTGTCGCCGGAGAAAGCTATGTACGCGCTGCGGGAAGTAGAGGTCTTGGTTTTGGAACATGGGGAAAAGGCGGAGTGAACAAATGGCATTATCGGTACGAACGTTACCGTCTCCAACAAACTACGGAACTGAAAAGAGACGGGAATCTAGGTCGTCTACGCCCGTCCTAACCTTCTCGACGTCAACAAATTCGTCCAATGTCATTGGAGTTTCTGTCGTCGGTCCCGAACTGTTGTTAATCAATCCTCCAACCGGTACTGTCGTACGGCAAACGCAAACACCTTCGTTGATTACGCACCTCGAATTTTCTCACTCAAGTCTCATATCTGGTGCTGTCGATGGCTTTGTGCGGACCCATGATCCTCGAACAGGCATCGCCAGGTCTGGCGGTTCAGAACATATGGTGAGGGCTCATCCGAGTGGTATCCAAGGCTTGCAAACGTCGGGAAATTTCATCTTCACAATCGGACTGCAAACTCGGTTCGTGTATCGATCCATGACTTTATGGACTTTGACGAGCGTGTACCAGACAAGGTCGTCCATTTCCTGATCAGCTTGTGAAAGTGTACGATTTGAGGACGATGCGTGCACTGCCGCCATTCCCATTTCCCGCCTGGACCCGCGTTCCTAAATCTTGTTCCTCGGCGTTCTTCAAGCAGTGTTGCGATTACTTCTAACCAAGGCTCAGTCAGCGTCGTCGATGTCGCGAATTTGAGTGCTACGCCTGAATTCTACCAGGTATTGCTATTTGCCCCACTCTAAGTTATTAACTAAGAGGTCGTTCAGATTGATACAACATCATACCTGACCTCGGTCGCTCTGTCTCCTACCGGTGCATACATGGCCTTTGGAGATGCTGATGGACTGATACATCTGTCTACGCAAGTTGATGAAGGAGGCCTAGTTCCCTTCAATGGGTTTGAAGGGCAGCCCGTGGAATGGGCCAACGTTCCTGCTCCGCTACCGAATATTGAGTGGTCTGATTCAATGTAGGACTCATCTGTTGCACCCTATGGCACACTCACACCATCCTCTGCAGCCCATTGAACTCCATCGGAATGCCTCATTATAGCTCGCCGCTGCTATCGTCTTGGAGTCCGCAATTCATGACATCCAATTTACATTATCCTCCGCCCCCCAAGATACCTCTTCAGATTCTGAATTCAGTAAAGACTAACGATAACATCGCTTATGCTGCTCTACCAAAGGAACTGCGTGGACGCCGGAACGTAATCTCTGTGGCCCCACGTAAGCAGAGCGCAAGGTTCCGCAGTGGAAAATCTCATTCTGTTGATGTGCGTATTATATCACTTTGCTTTACCCTGCTGATCAATGTTTTGCAGGAACCCGACACGCCTTTGTTTGGCACTAGTGGTGACGAGATTCCAAGCATGTATCGTCATGTCGAGATCGAATACTCGAAATTTGGCGTGGAAGACTTTGACTTTGGGTAAGTGAGAACTATTGATCTTTTCCAAGCGTCTGACAGTAAATCACAGATTCTATAACAAGACTGAGTATAGTGGACTTGAAACGCATATCCTTAACTCATACACCAACCCTATGCTGCAAGCCATGCACTACATTCGGCCTATTCGCCGTTTAGCAAAATCTCACATTTCTACTGATTGTAACAGAGAGCACTGTCTTCTTTGTGAACTCGGTTTCGTTGTTCGCATGCTCGAAGATGCTCGTGGCACAAACTGTCAATCAAGCAATTTCTGCAAGACCGTTGGCGTCTTGGCACAAAGTATGTTTTATATATGTATGCCGTTCCCAACCAACTGATTGTATAATGACAGCATCCAACGCCATTGACTTGATTGATTACGGACGAGAGTCTAATGAGGTGGACCATGGTCACATGATTCAGTCATTCCACCGTTTTCTCGTCGACCATCTGAGCTCTGAAGGCAATGCGTTTCCTCGAAATCCTGTCCTTGTCAAACGCCCTTCATACATTCCCGACCCTTACAATCCTGCGGCCGCCCCAATTACTCAGCTGATGGGAATCGATGCTCGGAATGTAATCACCTGCATGAATTGCAAGGCTGTACGAACTAAAGAGAACGTAACGCATATAGTCGACCTCGTCTACCCGCGCAAGGTACTCAAACCTTTTCCCATATGACACTGATCCTTATTTATTTTGAGGTTGCATCTAATGAGGTTCAACCGGCAAACGATTTTACTAACATCTTACGGGATTCGTTACTACGGCAAATGACTCACAAGGCTACCTGCCAGACGTGCAAACAGTTTTCAACGTTCTCTTCCCGGAGGTCCATAGCATCCGCAGATCTCCCAGCCATTCTGGCGGTTAATGCATGTGTGAATAGTGAGGACAACTTGAAGACGTGGATGGATCGACGGAACCAGACTTTCCTGCCGTCACGCGTGGAACTTCAGGGACAAGTAGAAGGTGTGGACGATCCAGAAAAAATCGTGTACGAATTGCGGGTGTGTTTTATCTGGTTCGTACCCGGGTTCGTCACTGACATCTCATTTCAGGCGATTATTGTTCAAGTTATTACGGAAGACGAGCACTCGCATTTGGTCGCTCTTGTCAAGGGTTCGGTTCACCAGGATTCTCCCGCATGAACACCTTCTAACTTCTCCCCAGTGCCCGAGGCGGAGCAGGGTCTGGACAGTCCCTGGTATTTGTTCAACGACTTTGTCGTCCGTAATGTCTCCGAGGAAGAAGCCCTTAGTTTTCCCAACAAGTGGAAGGTTCGTAATTCAGCACCTCGTGGATCTAAGTATTCTTACCCATGGCCTATTTGATTTTGCAGGTGCCTGCAGTCCTCCATTTTGAGCGTGAAGACATGCGCGACGCAATAGACTTCAGCGAGCTACCGTTTACCTCGGATGATTCCATCCTCAGCCGAGACACATCTATATCAATGTCAGCGTCTCCCTTTCATTTGAGGATATTGTTTTCATTGATATTGTGTTGACAGAAACCGCGACTCTAATCTTATCAAACATGAATGTCTTCGGTATGAAGAACTTCCTCGACCGGGGACCCTGGTTGCTATCGATGCCGAGTTCGTGTCGATGCAGCAGGTTTGCGCAACTTTTAGTCTTTTATCTACACTGCTAAGTATGGTTATAGGAAGAGACCGAGTATCGGTCTGATGGAACGAAGAAGGTTATTCGACCTGCTAGACTCAGCCTTGCGCGGGTATCGGTGCTACGAGGCTGATGGTACCCAAGCAAGGCGTGCCTTTCATCGACGACCATATACATACAAGTGAGGTCATTGTCGACTATCTGACGGAATTTTCAGGCATCCGGTGTACGTTCTTTTTAATCTGTTTACTCGTCGTCGTTCTGATGATATTCGCTTCAGTTGGTGATCTCGACCTTCTACGATCACCGTACACCCTCACGCCACTCAAGGTCGTGTACAAGAAATTGCGACTTTTGGTAGATCGGGGGTGCATATTCATAGGGCATGGATTGTCTAAGGATTTCCGTATAATCAGTACGCCGGTGCTTTTCGCTCCAATGTCCAATCTAATAATTCACAATTTGTTGCCAGACATATTCGTTCCGCCTGACCAGGTGATCGACACAGTCGACCTCTACTTCCTGAAATCACGACAAAGGCGTCTTTCCCTTCGTTTCCTATCGTGGTTTGTCTTGAAAGAACAGATTCAAACAGGACACGCATGATTCCATCGAGGATGCCCGCTCCGCGTTGAATCTGTACAAGGCATATCATCAATTCGAAGAGCAGGGTATCTTCGATCAGAAATTGGAGGAACTTTACAAGGAAGGGCGACAATGCAACTTTAAGCCGCCTCCTGTGGAGACCCCTACAACGGCACCGTCGCGGCCTATAGCAGAACCGAATCAATATGTCGTGGAGCAGGCCAATCTACTATTGGAAGCGCAGCTTGCGCAGATGTATCCTACAGGGCACACTCCGTCGGCTGCACGCATGCCAACCCCGGGAGCGTTCATGCAACATCCCAACGTGTTGAGGCATCGCGGGGATGAGCATAGATATAAGCATCCAAATTATCATCGGTCTAGTCGGTAGCGTGTTCGTCGGTGGTAGATCCATGAGGACATTGTATCTTCAGAAGCATCATGACTGTATTCTTGTATTGCAACTGTATTTTATATGATGAAATGATTAGCATGGTCGTCGAGGAAGAGCCAGATTGGAACCCGAGAAGACGCGGATATAACTAGAAATCAAGTGGATACACGAGATGAGTACGTTAGATATACAAATTGTTTAGAAGTCGAAATCAGTCCTCATCAATATCCTTCCTTCGGTGATACTGATTTGCAGATAAGCGAACAGTGCTACTATGAAAGCAGTCCAAAGACGCACCACAATCGTCGCTTTCTTTGCCGTCTTGGCACCCTGAGCTTCTTCCACCTGATTATGCATCGGTGAGCAGAACGGTGTGCTACGATCAGGATACGCACTTGGTCGAGGAGTTCAATAAGTTGGTTTTCCGACACTCGTCCTCTCAACTGACCCGACTGCGCCATTCTCAACAAGATGCCTTCAATTTGTTGCGATCGCTCGGGACTGACAAGCGCGATTCGGGACACTGCAGGGTAATGTTGATATCCTTCCACGAGCAACCGGTAGAGAAACGTACATCGTTCCCGAGCTGCTGTATCCAACACAGTGGCCATCAAATCGCGCCTCATCTGCTCTTCTTGAGCGCGCTTTGCTTCATCTTCTGGGGATTTTGCGCCGGTAGCTTGTTGGGGGATCTGGCTGAGGTTCTCCATGGCTTGGAAGTCGAAGTGATTCGAGTGAGAGAACCGTTACCTCACATTCGGTCTGGCGGTCCGATTTGAGTCCGTTGGCCGGTTCCAGCTGCTTACCACTGCTTGTCAACTTACATCTCGCAAGACAGACTCTGCGCTTTTGCGACGCTACTTTTCGAGGGATATCTGTCCAGGATGAGGCTCTCGGATACGTTACTTCTAGAATTAGAGGGGCCCTTAGCTTCTCCCTTTACACTGTCTTGACGAACTAGATTTTGGCTTTTTCGAGGGCTTAGTACTACGTCTAATTGTCTGTTGTCTTGTTAAGAGACTGGGAGCTCAGACGCCTCATTACTCGGCTTGCAGATTTTGAGCGCGAATGGCTTATCCGCTCCTTGCTATAATCTGTTCAAGGTGCAAGTGCATGACCAGTGGGCTACTGCCGTTTTGATAATTTTATAGCTGCCGTCGGCAGGGAAATCCATCTGCTCATTCTTTCACCACTCCCCTGCTGATCCTGCATCACGCGAACCTCAGAGTAGATGAGGCAGTGAAAGGTGGCTCTTGGTTGCCCTTCCGCGCACTGGCGAAATGTCAATGAAATCCCTCCAACTACCCAGCACAGCTGCTTACATTGTTCTCCGACGAATACTACTATTACAAGAACATCGTTAATGGTGGGTACCTAAGTAGATTCAGGGACCATCATCTTCCAATATTTGCGTTTCTCATGGTGTCGGTCTGTCGGAACATGGCGCATCATGCATGTGCAGTGGCAAGTCCAATCTTTGTGTCTAACGGCATGGATGTTGGCAGGACCCATTCTCCCTCGGGCTTGCTTCGGACATGTACTTATATGAATGGTGTACGTGCGTTCAAAGCCTCGAAACCACTGCCAATAAGTACTGACCCGGCCTTGCTCTCGGAGTAGCCGGCCTTACAATGACTCGTGTACCGTTATTCTGGGACGATGCTATACAAGAACACAAGAGGATTATTGTTATATTGTGATGGTTGCTCCACCCGTGAGCTATTTCTGCGAACATGCAAAGAGGAAAACAAAAGGATAGGTCCCAAGAAGGAAGACAACACAGTCACGTGGTCGCCGCAACTGCATTGATTGCGAAACAATGGCCTCTTTCATTGTCCTTGATGTAGCCTGTTATAAAAGCCCTCTTCGCGATATTCTCTCATTTCTACATCTTGTTCTCTTCCTTAGACGACGACACTCCTTCGCGCTTTTTTCTATCACTTTTACGACTTTTTTCCGCTTCAAAAAATGCCTCAAATTTTCTCATCGGCGTTGAAAGCCGTTATCCTCGCTGGGTTTTGTTCCGTTGCTGCGCGCGCAGCCGAGATTGATGTTACTGTTGGAGGACCTGGAGTCCTCAGATTCAGTCCAGATTCGGTGGTACGTCCCTGTCGATCCTCGTTCTCCGAGCGCCGTGTTCAACGCTTGTATAGACTGCCAACGTCGGTGATGTTGTGCGATTCACATTTATGCAGAAGAACCACACCGCGACACAGTCGACCCTAGCCAATCCGTGTTCTCCCATCGCGAACGGTTTCGATAGTGGATTGTGAGTGGCTATCTTCTTTGTTAAGGCTTGCATATACTTACAGTTCGATAGTGTGCCCGTCTCTGACAATACCACCTCTGGTTTCCCAGTCGCGGAACTGACCATTGCCGACACCAACCCAATTTGGGTCTACTGTAAACAAGCGAACCACTGTCAGCAGGGAATGGTCTTTGCCGTCAACCCGGGCGACAAGATGGCTCAATTCCAAGCTGCGGCAACAGGAAACACGACTGCCACTGCTTCCTCCGGAGGTTCAGCGACCTCGGCAGCCGCTGGTGTTGTCACTGTTACCGCTACCGTCACTGTATCCAATGGACAAGTGATGACGACTACCTACGCGACTACGGCAGCTACTGCATCTTCGACCTCTTCCACGACAACCGACCACAAAGTCATTGTCGGTGGAACCGGTGGTCTTTTGACTTATTCGCCTGCCAACATCACGGCTAACGTTGGCGATACCGTTACCTTTGAATTCCACCAAAAGAACCACACGGTCACTGCTTCTAGCTTCGCCTCTCCCTGCCAGGCTCTTTCGGGGGGATTCAACTCTGGATTGTGAGTCCATTCTAAATTTCATGAATACGGAAGATCTGAATGACTTTTTGTAGCATGCCTGTCACTACCGATGCTCAGACTTTCCCGACTTATACGATCCAAGTTAACGACGTGAGTTTTCTGCTCTATCGCTAGAAACGCTGTGCTCATCCTTTTCCTTCTAGACCAAGCCGATCTGGGCATATTGCGCACAGACCAACCACTGTGCACAGGGAATGGTCTTTGCCGTCAACGCAAACGAGACTAGTGCCAACACCTTTGAGGCTTTCAAGGCCAAAGCCATGAGCAACTCTACGTCCACTTCGAGTTCAAGTGGCGCTGCCTCGTCGTCGACTGGTTCGGCGTCGGGCGCGAACGGAACTACTAGTCTAGGGTTGCATCGTTCTGGCGCCGTGGCCATCGTTTTCGCAATCGCATTGGGTTGTCTGCTATGATCGACACGGTCTTTATGATCTTTCCCTTCGTGTTACGCGTCGTTGTATCTTTTATATGGATTCATTGTATCGATATTTACTCCTTTCATGGACATCTAGTTTTTCTAATACAGAGACTCAGTACTGTAGTCTACTAGTAACTGCTAATAGTTCACAATTCCAGTTAATATTCGGTATCGGCTTTTCGGCTGAGCCTTCGGCAATTTGCGCCGCATACATAAATGGCACCACTTGAGATTTCAAACCTCAATCTTACACTCATGCCGAAAGCACCCTCTAATCCACGTTTGCACTCAAAGGATGAGTATCATTTCAATTTTGGGCGGAACAAAGGCATGAGTATCAGAAGTATCTTATGGCTATGTTGTGGACCTTTGTATTCGGGAAGGTGTAGACAAGACACGCCCCGACCTCCGTCGAGCGCGCAATCTAGTTCCACCTATGCTCACCTTCTGCAAGAACCGCGTCCCCGGTCACTGAAGGAGCGTAGGCAGGATGTTAAAGATACTCTTCCGGAACCAGTCTGGGAGGAGTGCCTGGTTGCGTTACGTCGAGCAGTGCAGTGCCAGTCAGTAGCGATTCTGTCATCGGAAGAAGAAGTACAGATTTTGGAAAGCATTCTTACCAGTGATCTCAATGGCACGTATGCCAAGAGGCCAGCAGATATGAGTCTTTTGAATGACCCTTCGTCGGTGTCGATGACAGCGCTCAGGAATCTCTTGAACGAAGTGGAAGATGTTTCCACGCTGCAGACTCCAAAAGATGAGGAGGAGGAGAAAGAAGAAGAAGAGGGACTGGAAGCCGATGGAAATCAGGACGATTTGTGGTGGGTGACTTACGATGCAGACGGTGAAGCCTGGGATTGGTCGGACGCATTCAGACAGAAGATTTCGTCAGTAGCCAAAGAGGTCCAGAAGGAGCATGGAAATGTTGGACTGCGTGTTGCACGATGGGCAGTGCGAGGCAAGGTCGGTAACTGTTACTTTCAGTGTTCATACGTCTGCTGATTAAATGTGTGCGTACAGTATGCTCAAACAGTGTGTGGAATCACATATGGAAGAGGGTATACGATGCGATGCGAGTGGTATGATGGATCGATGGAATGGCTTATTGATGCATGCCTGCTGGAAGGTCGTCGCCTGGAGCCAGGCATGATGTTCGCTGATTAAGTTTACCTACTTATTTAGCTCTTAGTCGACACTCAAGGACAATCAGAATACTATTATATACAGCATGTTCATTCGATCCCTAGGAATTCAGGTCAAATGAAAGTGACGCGTAATGTAATCCAGACTCTCGGAGCTAATTCAGGTCCACAATTTCTTCGCTCTAACGATTTGGAGTGCAATACCGAAAAGCTGGTCAAATCAACGTAGTGGTTAGAAATATATATGAGCACTATATGTCTCCACTGCTATACAGTTGGGAGACAGTAAACAGGCTGGGTGACTCGTTCGCCCACTACAGGTCCTCTCCCTTCTTTCTCCATATCCATCACCTTCCAAAAATCACATCCTTTGCCATCATTCTGTGCTCCGGCGTAGCATGTCCACCAATACTTATCCGTTTTCCCATCCGTCCTATTCTTCATATCCGGTCGCAGAATCGTCGGTATACCACATTTACACCGAGGGATGCTGGATGGGTGAAAGTCCGGGCGGTAGAACCTGAAGGTTATGTTAATCCGGCAATTGGAGGTGTCATTTGGTACGCGAGGGTGAGAGGGTCGGTAGAGGTCCATGGAAGATTGTGGAGGGATAGAGTGTTTGAAGCGTTCTTGGCACGACGCATGCATGATTGTGAGCTGTCCATAGTAAGTATATGTATACAGGATGACATAGCCTGACTTACAGAATTGTGTGGAAGAGGTATGTTGAAGGTCTGAGCGCTTCGTGTCTCTCTTTCTTGGCTGGGAATAACTTCTCGCAGGCTGAAAATTCTCCGTGCACCTGAATAATGGAGGGACTCAGTATACCGAGGCTTAAGAATAATGGAACTTACCGAGGCTAAGAGAAGCTGAAAGTAGCGTCAATAAATGTTGATTGAATTTAAAGAACGTAGTTCGACCCGCCTATTGTGCAATACGGCCCCAAATAAGTCATCTGGTCCGAATGAGGTCCAACACTCTCCTTTGCACCTTCGTAACAGTTAGACGCAGCGACGTTTGCGTGCCAGGCATATTCTGACCCAGGCTGGCCAGCCCACTCAAGGGGAAAGCGTTGTCGCTTCCTTAGTTCCTCATTGACGAGTCGTTCAACAATGACACATGCCTCTTCCATAGGGGCAGGAAACTCAAGTGGAGGGTCCGTCATTCGACCATTATACCTACAGCAACCGCTCAACCAATTATTTGTCACAATGACAATATCTACGCACCAGAATCGCGCAGCCTCCTGCCAGGCGTCACCACTCCCTTCTGCACCGTTCTCTCTTGCAAAAAAAGATGTCCGATGTGGACTCTCTACGACTCTGTCAAAAAGCCACCATTTATTACGCTTCCATCCCCGTGAAGCGTCAACCATGGTGTAAAAGAGCTGACATGCTAAATCTGGTGGTAGAACCGATAGGTGCATGGTACAAGGGGTATGCTGCGCTACCATAGTCGGATTTGACAGTAAGAGAGGTGGCGGAGATACAGGCTTCTTCTTGGATGGCGAAGGGGGAGCTTGTCGGAGGACCGTCATAAGATCCACTGCTGGTTTCTTCCGACGAGCTTGGTGGCTTTGAGGTGGAGGGCAGCTTCTTTCGCGTCATAGCCGTATCATCTTCATTCTCTTGCTTGACAGATTTATTGGGCTTGTTTCCAAGCCATGATGTCAAGTCGTTCGTCCTTTTTCTCTTTTTCCCTCGATTGTTCAGATGTTGAACAGCAGCCTCTACATTGCCGTTGTGTTGCACTAAAGCATCCAAGACCGCCTCGTCAGAATGTGAAGCAGGTTGGCTGGAGTTTGATTGCAGTAAGCTGTATACGAGGGCGATAAGCATATCTGTGTCATCTGTGGCCATGATGGTTACTAGGAAAGACACGGACGCGACCCCGTGCCTGATGATATTTTCGGTCCGATGGCCCGGTCGAATCAAATGGCATCGAATACTTTTCAACATCATGATTACCTTTACTTCTAAGTATTGATGTGTCGCGGTATTGAGATATCTTTATGGTAATCATGCATCGCGGTTCAAATCCTGAAATGAATCATCACTCTCGTCGATCGATGACACGGAATTGGGTCGGTTCACGCTTCATGACTGTACCAACATACACAAAACTGGAATCACCCCACTTCGAGTGTGGATTGCTTCTGACTGGTGCTCGGACCAAGGTCCAGAAGTATACAGACACTTCAGGAAAGACGCCTGTTGTGCGCCGTGATTGTATTCCAGTCTATAGTGATGGTTAGTGTAGCGGGATTATTGATTCAGAGTTTCTCTTCTACAGGTCTTCAAGTTCTACAACGGCTTGGGTTGCTAGAGGCTGAAGAAGATTGAAGTTGCGAGCTTGGAATGATACGCAGTTATACAGTGTTTTTTTGGCGCCGCTCTGGAATTGCTTAACCAAAAAATACCACCGAGGCTAGCGGATGTTCGCCGGTGAGCCTCAGTACCCAGTACTGAACATGACACTTGACGTTTACATGGTACATGCACATCATGGACAATAATGTCTGATATTGAAAGTTGTCATATACTAAGTAATCTACTATCAGAAGCCCAGGCTGGGGCTTTTGGCTTACGATCCGAGAACAGGTCCTGAATCACTGCATTCCAAGGTAAGTCGGTATGAATGTCATATTTCTGCGAGATCTTACATACATCTGTGTCATAACCACCGGTTGTCTGCCAAACGAGCACCCCCCGAGGTTTAATCACAGTTCCATATGAGATAAAAATGTAGTGGACGTCGTGTCTTCACCCACATGCTTATCATCTAAGTGGTTAGTCAGTGGACAAATTCAAACATAGACAAAAGATGAGAGTTACTCTAAGGACCTGCATTTGCGCCGTCAACAAACAGTTCAAGCCAAGAAAACAGGAGTACGAACGTCAGCGTTATGGCGGGTGTCACCCATCACAAAATCAAGGTCTGTGATATCGTCCGTAGGGGAGACCAAGGCAGTCGAGGAGCTGGCCGCTTCCGGCCAGGGAAGGAGTGAGAGGATGAATCGGTCGCGGGCATCACAAAGAATATCAAAGTGCTGTATCATGGCGTTCATTTATGAGTATCAATAAGGATACTACCGTGCTTACTACTTCACCAGACTGAGCAAACAAACAAATTTGTTCGCACAAATGATTCCGTGCGCTCTGGTTGAAAATGAGTACATAAATTGAACGATGCAGACAACTGTTGCCTACTATTAAATCGCGACTCTGTTCATTCAGTCGTAAGAACGTGGAACAGATGATCACAGGTCTCGTTTATACATACCATTCTGTCGATCAAAGAACTGAGAATATCAGAATGGATCGTCAACCATGACGGGATGACATCTTCAAACCGGCACTTGATATCTGTATATTCTGTAAATTAAGCATTCACTCCAGTAGGAAGTAATTATATCACCGAGATCATACACTGAGAACAGCGCCCCCCGCTCATCAGAACTTGAAGCCCCGATAAGGTGAGGTAGGTTGGGATGCCTACAGAACAGCTATGTAAACAAAACGTGCAGAATCTTAATACCACATACATAACTTTCAAGTCCAACATAGTTGACGCTTCCCAGGTCTAGCAATGGCTTAGCACCAACAGCCCAGAATGAGGACGCAGGTATCGTACCGATTTCGCTTCACAGCCTGTGAACACTTTGATGGTAACGATCTTTCCACGTATTTCTGCTTTTTGAAGGCTATACCCTGGACCATCGATGATCTCTTCGCAGAGAGTGAGATGGCTTCTCTGCACAATCTGCAGGTTTCATGAGCATCCCCTTTCAGCATTTGTCAGGAAGGCTTAACTTACATCTACTAGTGGTTCTTCGGGCTTCAGAGCAGGTTCGGAGCGATTCATAAGCAGCAGTTCAACGATGCGCTGTAGGGATGCATTATTCTCTACAGTATTCTGTTCGATGTGCTGCAAGGATGTGGACATCTTTGTGCAGGTTTCTTCAAGCGAAAGTAACTTCTTGACCTAAAACAATTGGTACAAGGACATCAGGAGAGTGTACTGCTTACTTGGAAAAGCGACAGAGTACTTTTAACCCGTTTTTCGAGGCGTTGCAATTCATCGTTGTATGATTTAGAATAGAGGATTTGATCAAGCGACATCTTCTGTTCGTATTCTTCGACAGTGTTTTGGACATCATGCAAATCCCTATCAGCACACCCAGATAAAGCAATGACCGAGTAAGGTAGAGAAGGACGTACACTTCAAATTGTCGAATGCTGTCCAGTAGTGTAGGTGTGATTTCTACGCTCTGCAGATGCTCGGATAGAGTGACATGAGCCTTCAAGCACAGATTTGCGATTTCACGAGCAGTCCCCGTATTCTGCTGGCTCTGATCCACTTTTTTCAAGATGGAAAGGACAATATCTGTTGCTGGTCCAAGGGCCGGTACCGGGATTAACCCAGCAGTCGCCTAGATGACCATCAGCAACAATAGTTACCTGCTGAGTGGCTCTAATAACCACGTACCTTTAGACATTCCAGAGGCACTATAAGAGTCTCAATTCCCTTCTTCTTGACAAAGGGAATGGGCTTTTTCACCGCCTTCTTGACTAATATAAAGAACTTCGCCATCGAGTCGCCGTTCATGTGTCCTGTAGAGATGCTGTGGTTGTGGAAAGAGATGTTGTGTGTACCGAAAACCGCATGCTTTGCCTTTACGACAGTGTTGTACGGTCGCCGGTCACGGAACTTTGAGGCCGGAACTTTGGGGAGACTGTGCCCCAAGGTTCTTCTTCGTCTTCGAATGGCTTTACCGGCAAACGAACCCATAAACAGTTATGTCTTGCATCGAATTTCGAAAAATCAGTGAAACGTATGCAGACCATCGCGCTCAAGACTGAGCACCGTGTACGTCCAGACTGAGTTTTACCAATCGATGAAGTGAGGATTTACGGAGTCGGTGGGTCGGTAAGCAGTTCCAGAACGTAGTTCTGCAAGTGCGTAAGATGATGGACTGAGAGTTTTGAAAACTGCTTCCTCGTCCGCGGAGGGCGACATCAGACGACGCAGGCATTGGATCGAGAGCAATACAATCACCAAGTGGATCGTCGCTTGTTCATGCTTCATTTGTGGTTTATTTACAGCTTAACGTTTCCAGCTGCCCTTCACTCATCCTCTTGAATGACGTGAGACGATCTATGAAGCCTTCCGCTTCGTAGACATGCAAGTGTACTCACAGCCGCACAGGGAGGCGAACCAACGCAGCGTCGAATCGTGTCTACATTGTGTTGTCGTGGTGTTCTGGATAACTATAAGTGAACAGGTCAAAGAGAATGCGAATAATAACGTGTTCCAGATTATGAATCGCTTTCTCCGTCAAGTTTCTGATCCATCAATTCATGAGGTGGAGGTTGATGCCATTCTGTGATATGTGATAGTCGCAGAACGTGACGCTGAGGGTGCGTAGCTGAGAAATAAGAAGGGCAAGTCGGGTGTCAAGGGTAAGTACTAGATGGGAAATGTATTAATCATTGAAAGTAAATGTGAGCGAAGGGACTTACATTGACACGACTTGGGGCGAAAGTAGAATAGTGAGCTTCGTCAGCGAATAGAGTTTCCCACTTGTAAGTGCGCCGCGGATATGAAGCATATCCGTGAGGTTGGATAGCGTCAAGTTCAGCGAGGTAATATATTGCTCAGCACCAATGAGCAGATTATAGTGTCGGAGAGTACATTGAGGATATATGTTCCATGAAGTAAAACACTCTGATGTGGAGTCGTGGTAGTTTTCCGTCAAGGTCAACAAGACGAAATTTAGTATCGCAGATCTTGAGGGTTTTCAGACAATTCATGGAACTATTAATATCGAGAAGACGATAAAGGCTGCCATTGTCGGTGTTTCTCGTGCGTCATGACGAAAGTATAAAGAGTTCGCTCGTTAAGTTCGTCCCAACCATCGCTCTGTATATCATGCATCGAAAGGCCACAAATTTCGACCTCTTTACGTCTGACAAGCATTTCATAACTTCAGACGATCATACATACGATCTCCAGTGAAAGGAAACTGAGATGAAATGGACAAGGGTATACGTGGTGAAGCTGTGCGTAGCATGAAAAACTTTGGGCATTTGGTTTTGTCGAGGTAGACATAGCGAAAGATGCAGTCCCGAGGTGTCGGAAGAAATGCCTAACAGCATGACGCCAGAGAAGTTAGATCGAACACCAACATATCCCTCGCCCTTGCGCAGACTTAGTGATTTCAAAGCTGGATCATCTGAGGGGAACAGGTAGTGCAGTCCGACTCACGGGTGGGCAAAACTCGACGAGCTGTTTATCAGAGAAATGGTAGTGCAGTAGAGAACGCCGTCGGCAATTTCCGAGACTGTTGTCGTCGATGACTGAGCCCCTGTTGACAGATGTTCTTCCTATACATTCGTTGAAGCGAGAAAATTCTATGACATGTTCGTTACGACATTGTTGTGATCACCGAGCCCTTTATATACTTACTGCGACGCGTTGTTAACGTTTTTTTTTTACCTCTTTTTTTACCTTAACCAATACGCGTATTCTGCCTCCAATGTCTGATTCCGACTCTGACAGTGATAACGGTTAGTAGTTCACTCTTTACTTTCTGGCAGCAACGGGATTGACGATACTGCTGAGTAGGTTTGCCGCAATACAATGACCGACCCGTAATCGCCACTGCTGCTTCCAACAGCCTCCGCTCTCTACTATTGGAGAGCTGGAAACAAGGCGACGCCTATGATCTTGCAAAAGCTGTCGTCGAACTTCGGCTCAAAAATTGGGAACAAAGCGAACGAGGGGCCCAGAATAAAAGCGATTCTTTGGAGATCCTTGGCCTTGATTTTAGCCGGGTGCAATATCACGGCGCCCTAAGGGAAAATCCTCAAAAGGATTCCCAGAGCATTATCCAGGCCATCCGGGAGTCTCAGACTGTTGATAAGGGCTCTCTGAAAGATATCTGGACATGGAGTAGACTGCCCTACTCTGTCCGATGCGCAGGCTTGAAAGCGGAGGCTCAAGTCGAAGGCGGGGATGGGTCTACCACTGGCGCCCGTGAAAATAAAAAAGCTCGAGTTGAAAGATATGACGAGCTCGTTGCCGACGCAGACGAATGGTGACATTGAAATTTTTTTCAAACTTCCGCAGTAGCACTGACTTCAAAAATTCCCAGGATTCTGAAAAATGAAGGACACCTTCGATTCCTGTCTCGAAAAGCTAAATTCTCTCCCAATTTCTGGAGGTACGGACTCTTGCGCATTGAGGACTTGCCCGTCGTTCTGGGTGGTGGCGCGTTCTCTATCCTGCCAGACAATACTGCTATCAAGATCACCCGTAGCGATGTCTCATCCTTGCCGGGCTTCACTGTCCTTGGTGAAAAACGGAAAGCTGCTGTATATCTACAGCCGGATATCCAATCTTTCAAATCTTGTTGGGATGCCATGACTGACAACGTCCTGCGTGGCCTTAATTGGGACAACATCTTTGTGGCTGGCGGGCTTGTCTTCGGCACACTCCTCACACCTCACGTGCCCAGCAACTATACGGACGTCAGCAAAGCCGACGAATGGATTGCCTCTGATATCGACCTCTACATCTATGGGCTCAACGCGAAACAAGCTAATGACAAAATTCGACATGTCGAGGAAGTCTATAAAAGCAACTTGCCGGCTGGATCGCCCTTTCTCGTTGTCCGCAACTCGCAGACTATTACGTTCTATTCGGCGTGGCCCAAGAAGAGGGTCCAAATTGTTCTCAAATTGGTGAAAAGTCCTCGTGAAGTGCTTTTGAACTTTGATTTGGACGTGTGCGCTGCTGGTTATGATGGTGCAAACGTGTGGATGCTTCCAAGGTTTGTTCGCGCGATGGAGAGTAAGTCTTCGTAAATGAATAAGCGTGAATTTTATTGACGCTGTTATCGTAAAGCTGGCACCAGCATCTTTACCATGGATCTCATCAATGGACATTACCTAGGGGATAGGAAGGTGACTCGTGACCCACGGTGAGTCTATTTTAACTCAGCCTTCTTCTGTTAACCTGACTTGTTGTAGCGTGTTCAAGTATGCCAACAAAGGCTATGGCATCCGAATTCTCCCATCATACCAGTCGGCCCTCTCGACTTACACCTCCTCAGAGCAAACCAAACTGATTTCTCGTGGTGAGAACCTCTTCCCAGCTCCGCTCTCCTTGAAGGACCTGGCAATAAAATCACGAACGTGGACGGACAAGTGTATAAGCAGGTTCTTGCGGCTGGGACATAAGAACCATCCACTCTACTGGGAAAATGCGAGCCACTATGGGCAGAAGTTTCAACCCATCAAGACAAACAGCACCGTCCCGGTGTTCACGCATGCACTGTTAGAAAGTAACATGCAAAGATCCAGCGAGCCTTTGGGCAGGAGTTGCCTGACGGGATTCTCGTTGTTCATGAGGCACGTTGCGCTTTGGGAAGAAGAGGTCAAAGGGAAGATCATGTATGCTCAGCCATTAGTAATTCTTTTTACGCATCTCATCATCTATGATAGGATCTACGACAAGTATTGGGCGGAAAATACGTACGGCAATGGCTTTGCTCATTCATCTTACGATGATTCTCCCGAGTTAGTATGCTCCATCTTGTGGCCTCCGCATGTCCGACTCACATCGATTTGCTTGTGTAGATACGAATGGAACGAATCCTTCAATCTCGAGGACTTCAGTGCGTCCATTGATTCGTTCAATGACCGCGAAATCAAAGGCTTCACGGAGGCATACGAATCGATCGAATGGTCTCGAGATGGCCCTATTAAAGTTTCTAATGCTGCGAGGGTGACTTATGGGGCATCGGTGGATGAAGCGCTCAGCAAGGAGAAGGATATTCGGATTCCGTTGATTCTGAAGAAAAAATTTGTGGATTTCGTGAATACTATGGTTCTCAAGGCGCTTGAAGAAGCGGGCATCAAGGGCAGTCTTCCTCTTCTTGAGACTGTTGGGACGAACGACAGCGACGAGGAGCGGGCCTTTATGTGGCGTCTGAACGATATACTCAACTGGCAGATGATTGATCGCAGAATTGACGAGTAAGTGCGGGATCCGTTTCTTTACGGTGGTGCTCATTTACTTTTCACAGGATCCGCGAAATGCTGTGGGCCTTCCACCGAGGGAACGATCAAGCTCAATATGAAGAGCGCATCTACCATGTCATGGAGCAGATCTCCAAGCGCGCCATTCGTACAAGCGTAGAGGAAGAGATGGAGGCCTTTGTTATTTGGGTTGGAAGGAAGCCGTACCACCTCGATTCAAAAATCAATGCCCATTTCATAGTGGCTGATTTGCATCGCATGAAGCTGAGCGACTCGGGTGAGGATGATGAGTAGCCACAGATATACATAAAATTGGATCTTTAGTACATGTACAATTCCACATCGATTTTTTCTCGGTGGTCGGTTATCATGATGGTTGCCGACGCTCCGCCGGCTTTTTCGGCTCTCACCTGCCTTCTACCCACCGCCATGTTTGCTGTATCATTTTTTCGGCTACGATTTCGAGCCCGGGCGGCCTGAAGCCACTAGCCTAACTAGCAAAATCTGCATCACTAGCGTGACACAAGACGTAGTGACCCGCATGTTCCCCGTTATAGGCGGATAAGGACACGAGATTAGTACTGCTTGACGACTGGAACATCAAACTCTGACCCGTACGGTCCACATTGAATTGAGTAGCAGTTCTTACAAGGCTATTTAGCACTTGGCTTCTAGCTATAGGTGAGTAATAATAATCCGTTCACCGTTCATCACCGACTTACCTACGCTCTTCGCTAGGCGACTCGACTCGGAGCTCGAAGCATTTATTTTGGTTCCTTGTCTCGCTGAGGATTCTCTCAGCTTCGCCCAACTGTTTGAACGACTCTCTGGTACTTTCCAGTCCAGCAAGGAGAACGGAACTTTCACGCAACTCCACTATCTCCGCGGACTTAGGGAACATCGAAAGTCCTCTTGGAAATTAGATCTTATGTCAGTGTCAGGCGCGCAGTGTATAAATATCAAGTCTAAGGGGAACACCATCTAGATTGTAGTTGTGCTATCAACCTTTCCCACTCATGGCCAACTCGACTTTTGCGACGCCGCTGACAGAACTATTTGGTATCCGCCATCCGGTGATGCTTGCTGGTACGTATCATGTATATAGATAATGACTAAGGGCTGACTGTACCTTTGACTGCAGGTATGGACACCGCCGCAGGCCCTGAGCTAGCCGCTGCGGTAACTAACGCTGGTATTTTGCTTCACTCGTTGCTTCGTATTTCATTGTCATTGAATGAACTTTCTCAGGCGGCATAGGTATCATTGGCGGTGTGCTCCTCTCACCATCCCTGCTCCGTTCATCTATACGCACCCTGAAATCCCATCTTCACGACCCCAAAGCACCGTGGGGCGTTGATCTTCTTATCCCTCAAGTTGGCGGAAACGCGAGGAAGACTAACGAGGACTACACGCACGGAGAGTTGGCTAAGCTTGTGGAGGTTATTATCAGTGAAGGCGCGAGGCTTTTTGTGTGCGCAGTGGGCGTCCCGCCAAGGTGGGTCGTGGATCGGTTCCATGAGGCGGGCATACCTGTTATGAAGTGAGTGTCTTTTCACCTGCTCATAATGCAAGTGATGTTGACTCAGAAGTTTAGTATGGTCGGCCACCCAAAGGTTTTTTTATTTTCATTTAATTTGTGCTTATACCTTTCTCATCAGGATACAATATAGCATGTCCCGAAAGCATTAACCCAGGGCGTAGACATGATATGCGCCCAAGGTGGAGAGGCGGGCGGTCACACGGGAGATATTCCATTCAGCATTCTCATTCCAGCCGTTGTCGATTTATGTAGCAAAGCCAAGACGCTTAAGGGCGATCCGGTCCTTGTTGTCGCAGCAGGCGGCATCGCGGATGGGAGAGGGTTGGCTGCGGCATTGGTGTACGTCTCACAAAGTCAAGATTCTATCTTGAGGGTATGCGGACCTAAATTCTTACTTAGATACGGCGCATCCGGCGTCTGGGTCGGTACACGCTTCCTCGCATCCACCGAAGCTGGCGCGCCACAGATGCACAAAGACCTCGTTTTGAGCGCAGGATATGATGATATTGGTCCGACACTCATTTATTCTGGGAGGCCAATGTGCGTAAGAAGGACCAAGTATGTTACAGAGTGGTAGGTTCGTTCACTTGTTCCTTTTCTCTCCTTTTTTGATCTGTTCAAGGGAAACCACACGTCGACGTGAACAAGAAGCCCTCCTTGCACAGGGGAAAATACCGTACAAAATCGATCTGGAGCAGCACCCTGAGAAGGTGGTGGAGAGTGCGCGTTGTACGTTTACGTTTTTGTGTCTCCTTCGTTATCACAAGTTGATGATGTATCCCTAGGGGTCATGGGAAAAGTCGCAGGCTCAATACATGATATCAAACCAGCGAAAGATATGTATGTTCTTTTATTAAAGATTTTCTTCCCTGGCTGAAACTTGTATTACTAGCGTTGAAGAAATCGTTCGCACTGCAGCGGAACAACTGGAGCGTTCTGCAGGGCGTATAAGAACCAAGTTGTGAAAAGGCGAAAATACGCAGATCTTCTACCATAGAACGGGATAGGACAAGCTTACGGAGGATTTATATTCTATCTTTCACAATCATACAAATGATACACGTGATACATGCATCTTTTCACGAGTTTGACATCAATGTATCATTCCTCTGTCGGTACGGCCAGGAACAGAAAACGTTGTGGATTGCGGTGAGATATACCCTCGAGAAATGAGGTATTGTGCTATTTTTGTGGTCAGAGTGGTATAGAGACTTACTATACTTTCATCTTGCGGACTGTGTCGGCGGTCTGGGATGATCATTTCGACGAAAAAAAAGAGCAAAGGTAGCTTGAAATGTATCCAACAAATCCATAAATACCCCGTGCTCCTAAACTCAATGCACGTTCAGCGCCCACCTACTTGTGTTCCAGGCCATGATGTATAGTCGTTATTGATTCAGGATCTGATGCGTTAGGTGAATACACTTAACAAAACATGTCGGTCTAGTCTAGATGATAGTAATACAATTCGAGTCGGGGCTATTTATAGAGGCCGGTATCAGAAGCGGGCCTATTTATACGTTCACATGGAAAGGTCCATGTCATTTTCTTTCAATGACACCGACACCACGACCTTCTCTCCAGAGTCTTTCGACGTGGAGCGAACTTCCAATTCCTCCCCAAACATGTACGGCGACTCCAGGGAGTTCCAGTCAATTGATGTCGCGATGTCGCACCCTTGCAGGTCGTAATCAAAATTGAGAGGCATGGTGAGCGATGTCTCATACCCAGGAGTCCAGTCATCGTGCGCGGCATCGTAAGTCGATAAGGGTGGGAGCGGTGCGATTGGAGGGAACTTGTACACTGGTACGTCGCGCTTGGGCTTCGATAGCGAACCGCGCAAGGACATGGCGACGGATGAGGGAATGACGGGCGTACGCCCGCTGGGCCTTCTCATGATGGTGCGCGGTGCTGCTACAGGAGAGGATGGCACAGACGGTGGGACAGAGGGCGCGCGCGATGGTGACGGTGTACGGGGTGGCGGGGTGGACAGTGACGAGGCTGATGACGTCAAAGATGGCGTCGGTGACTGGGAAGATGACGACTTCCTTGTGATGGACCTCCTGCTCCTAGACTCTCCAGTACTCCCGCTTCTCTTCCTCGCTCCTCCGGATCCCCCACCATTCCCCTTTCCTGGCGAGTAACTATACCCTGGATAATCCTCCTCATAACGCTCCTTCTCCTTCTTGGCAAGCTCACGAAACGGCTCCTTCTCTTCGGCACTCAGAGCATGCCATGCTTCGCCTGCAGCGCAGGAGATAACGTTCTGATTGTCTTCCTCCTTGTGCAGGCGTAGGTAGTGAGAACGGAAAAAAATGAACGCGTTCCGGGGGCGAGGGATATGAGCCTGAGACATGATGGGATGGTAATGGTGGCATGGTGCTTGCCTGGTCTTTTTAGGCGCAGAGAAGAAAGGCTCGAGATGAACAAAGAACAAGCCATCATCCTCATGTCGACGAATGTCACGATCCAAAACTACGGTATCAAGTAATTCTTTGAAGCAATTCTCGGTCCTCGGTCCGGATGATCGCCGTGAGGTTCTTGGCACTTCCTACTAGTCGCGTTCAGCAGCATCAAGGTTCTTCCTAGTCGCGTCGACAAAGCAGAGCGCGCGCCGCATATATAGTGTGAGCTCCTTTCGCTCTCTCAGTGCACGAGGACTGATGTTCTCAACGTATGACGCTTTCCTAGTAGAGGGATGAATAATGCAAGGTTCTAAATAATATGCAACATTGCAAAGCTTTTCCAGCATTCGTCGCCCCTGACATCGCCGTTTGTCTGTCCTCCAAGACCACGGGGATTCGAGACCGAGGTGTCTATGTTTTCTACGGCCGTTGCCTGACTGGTGTCTGGAAGCGGCTGTTCAATCTTTTCGACAGTGTCATCAAAGTATCAGTCATCAAATCGTTACTAGACGTCGCTTCTCAGCAGCCTTTGTAGTCGCAGGTAATTCTCCATCTCAGGCCCTGTGTAACTCCCGGGGGATTATACAGCCGCCTTGGAATGCACGTTGGTCATTCAAATCGTCATGATCGACAATGTTCTCCTTGCTGACGGACAACTAAGGCTACCTAAACGGATGAAAGGATGCATGTTGCGTTTCTTTTGTTCTCCATTTCCCCGAATCTGATTTCATTTAGGACCTCCGCGCGGCTTCCCTTCGCCTCTAGATTTGGGACACAGAGACATTGCCGCCAGATCCAGTGTCGCTCTAACCGCACCCTATTCTTGAATCTGCGCAGTCGCAGCCCAAGTCCTCCGAGTCGTGAGATGGACTAACCGTTTTCGAAAGAGATCAATACGGATTGTGAAGGCTGTGCTTGGCGGTATTGTACTGTAATCAGTACAACGATTGTCGCAGCAGTACTCTCCAAGCGCTAGACTCCTGTCCATCTTCATACGTCCGGAATTTCCTCTGTTCGGCATCGCTAAGCTCAGGTCCTGGCCGCCTTTGTCTGTTGGTGTGCTGATATCTCTTATGTGGACCTTCTGCGTCAATTGACCATCGTTTTTGGGAGCGGATGTTGTTCTCCGCTGGCGAACGATCGATCGTTTTCTTCCATCCATTCCACAAACGTGAGTCTTGGCCCCTTAGATCCAACTTTTATGCGCCGTTGATTCATTTCCGAAGGTCATTGTTCTACGTCATGAGGACTATGATGTTCATTCATGCCAAACCGTTGTGGTATATCTTCTATCATCATATCGATGCTGAAGGCTGCTAGCAATAACGCAGACTCCAAGCTCAGGCGCTTAATACCTTACAGATGAGGCGCTATTGGTTGTGTGCTGCCTGCACATTTTCTTTGCATCTGCAGCGAAGAATCCCTCTTGTTTAGATTCGCGGACTGCCGATACCTCACTACGTTAATCTATCCATCTCGGATCACCGGAATGATTCTGAACAAAGGATGCTAGCAGTCATACGCCTTCCGGGCCGCCTCTTGACGTCGAGTCTGTCTTTTGTATGATCAAAAACGTTGGGAGCGGTGATAACCCGGTCATAGTTTTTTTTCACTCACGAGGAGTTTCTCCGTCCGATACTGATTTCATTTCCACACAAAGGCGCTTGTACTTGCATTGTCTTTCTGAAATCGCCGCAACGCTAGCCTCGCCATCGATAACATATGAATGATCCTAATTGATGTATGATTTTGTCATTTATTTCTCACCCAGTTCGGCGACCCCTCAAGCTTTCGAGTCATCCGCGAGCAATATTCATGAGGCCGAACACATGTTTAATGGTTCTGGCCGGGCGTGTCCGCTCGTAGGATAGAGGCAGACCATGAACTTCATACTGTAAGAAATCTCTGCTACTGTCGTGCCCCTTTTTCGACTCATCTTGATGAGGCGGACAGAAGGTGGCAAAACCGTTGAACAGACATTTAATATGTTCTGTCATTCGAATTGCTTGGGGTTTCGAGACAAAGGAAGAGAGGCCATTCAAAAATAGCGCACGGTAACGGTGTGGCGGCGTCCCATGTCCTTCGGTGCCGCACCTTTGGTTTGAAAATCGTAATCAGGTTGTACGTGGTCAGATATGTATGCTGTAAGGGATCTGATTCTTAAGTTATTTTTAGGGGCATATATTTAACGAAGGATGGCGCTCTTCCTTCTGTAAGGGTAAACGTTAAACTGGGCCGCAGTTCGGAAGTTGAAGGAGTACCAGAGTCGTAACGAGGCCCTTGATGGAGCGTACAGTGAAAGACTTTCCAATCAATGGGAGAGAATTACCGTCGCTCAAGCAGGGTTGATTTTATTCTTCAATATCCCCAAGTTCAAGTGCACTCGGGAACCTTGAAGAATACAGTATAGCGCGAGGTGGACAGTTGTTTCTTTGCAGAACGCGGTAAGTGAAGTCCTTTTGAAATACTAAGGTTCTCTGTCTCAAGGTGGACGAAGGAGGAACGACGGCCTACTCGAAAATAACGCGGTGTGGCGACGTCAAAAGAATGCACGATCTTTCGCCATTTTTTGGAGAGAGGCACGGATATGTTCCAATTTAAGTGTGGGTAACGTTTGCTAATAGGTACATCAGAAAACACCTGCGTCTACACGGTAACCGCGTCCTTTTCAAATTACCGCCCAATCCAAAAGCGATCAGGCACTCACACAATCGTACGGATCAATGAACTGGACTCGGAGTAATTGAAGCATAGTGGATTCATGGGATCGAATGAATTTGTTGTCTCAGAGACAGCTGGAATGTGTGTATCCACCCAATGGCGTGGGTGGCGCGAGCTAAACTGAAAGGTATATCCACTTCCACGTTTCTACCTTCAAAGGATAGAGATCGACGTCGGACCACGCGTTCTACGTTTGTATTGCAGATGATTGCCGGATGCGGTATCTGATTAGGGTGCTAGCGCCAAGTATCCATCAGCACATGAGATCAAGGAAGTCTGCTGCGCAGGTGAGAACGAACCTTTGGATCACCGTGGTCTGGTAATGTGGATGATGGAACTACAAGTGGATTTCTCTTAGAGGCCGAAAGGGCATGCAGCGTCGGCCTCATGTCGGTTTACAACACCATTTACACTGCGTTTAAGTGTCTTCTAGGCGTGCTGGTTTCTAGACCAGAACGCTAGTTTGACCGGTTCTCATTTCGGCATTCCGATTCCTATTCCCGCAGCTGAGGTGGCAATGAGAATGCAAGCTCTGTTTTCTTTACTCTGGTGCGCCTTGAGGAGTCGAGTGCGCCCCGAGGTTCGGCCAATCCCGGACGCGTTTCCGTTGCATTCCCGTGGTTGGGGTGTAAGTAGTATTCTTGCCTTCGTTCTATTCATAGTTTGATTGTAACATCTGACCTTCAGTGATTCTATTTCGGCACGAACGCGATGTTTGTAGGTTTCTCACCATTCTAGAGAGCTTTTACGACAGGGTTGTGGATTCAAGGTGGAGATGGGCAGAGGCTGGACGTTCATGGGAACGCTTTTGCCAAGATCATCAATGACTCACTGCGAACAGCGCCTAAGGCCTAAGGATCCACTGGAGCTGGTGCTAGAGCTTCAACGAGGTTTCATTACCTGATGACCAAGTGCGAGGACCGTCCTGCTTAAAGAAAATAATACAATGCTAATATTTTCAGGGATATACTATTCAGCGATGTGCTAACAGCTTGGTAAGGGTTTTCTTTTGACCGGAAACTCGATGGGGCGTCAGTGGCGTGAAAAAAGGGCGGCACAAATTGGCGTTGCGTCATCCGGCGGACGCCGGTGGTCTTCAGCCCCTTGATCTTATATTCTGCCGCAGCGTCTTTGGGCGTCTTGCATGTTCCATCCCCAGCATCCGTCGTGGCTCGTCGACGCCGGCGCTCTGCCAGCTTCACCACCAGTGCAGCGCATCGTAATACTCGGTGACCCCGATGTACGTCTTGTGCATCCCCTTCTCGATAATCCCTTGCTCGCGCGGACAGTTTTGGTCGTGCCATCAAGTAATCCGGCGAAATGGATTCCCGTGGGCGAAAGGTCCTCGTCGGTATCTCTAGTAATCCTACGAACGAACAAGAAGCACAGCAAAGGCGGTGCCCTACACCTTCTCTCCGTACTACAGCGTGCGGCACGCACACCATTACGACTGATGAAGCAGTACAGCCAATATGACTACGAAGGACGAGAGGAGATGTTTGGTTTCGTACCCATGAGTACTATGGCGGAGGATACGAGCGAGGTTGAGAGCGCGGGAGTCCTACCCATACCATCCTTCCACGCTGTCATCAACTTCCTCGACGGCAGACCGGGAAGCGAGCGGGAAGCCTTGAGGACGGGAATCCTGACGACATCATTGGTTGGCGGGTTCTTGTTGACAGGGAATGGAAAGAGGAAGACCCAGCTGACAGCGCCAAGACGAACATCCAGATTGTCGTTCCTATCGCGACGCCCAAGCCCAGCGCCCACGACGACGACTGAGCAAGAGGCAGAACATGGCACTGAAGAGAGATGCGCTCATGTCATACACGTTATTCCACCATCATCGACATCTTCCATCAAAAACTGTCCAAAATCTCGAGCATTTCCTGATCAATCATTGTCGGACTGCGGCGTCGACGTCATCCCTACCTACAGCCGATATCTACTACCAAACCCGCCACGCACTACGACTATATACTCCCTTTCAATCTTTTACTGTCGTCGTACGGGCCTAGTATACTGGACTTTGTCCTAGCCGGGGCTCTCGATGGCGGTGGGTCCAAGGCGTGGATTCGTTCGGTGCACGATGTCCGTGTGACCGGCGGCAGTGTTAAGATGAAGGGCAGTGGGCTCCCAACACCACCAGATAGCGAGGAGGATCTTGATGGTGTGAAAGGCGGATACCAGATGGATGATTCACCGCCTTCGTATGTTGAGGGGGGGAGAGAGAAGACTTTAAGGGCTTTAGAGAAAGGGAAAGAGAGAGAAAGGGTGGGATCAGCATTAGGGAAGAATCCTGTCAGATATTCGCAACCACTGTCGAGGGGCGGTCCCATAAGAGTGTCCAAGTCGGATGGAACCGAACAGAATACTCGCCGTTCGACTTCCCGAGACCGCCGTCGTTCAGAATGTTCGAAGCCGGAACATGGTTATTCTCAGTCACGCTCAAAGTCCGACCATGGGCACCGACCTACACGAGCAACCGTACCCGTCGTCCCTCAGCGCGCTCAAACTGTCTCTTCAAAGCATACGTCCCGATCCACGAAACCTTCACGATCACCGACAAGTACCAATTCTATACCCAAACCCAGCGCACCTTCAATACCTCGTTCTCCTACCGTAGCCAGACCTCACCCAGTCCATCATGCTCATACCCATGCGCGCAGGCCCTCTGATACACATGTATCGCACGTTTTACCCAGTCTACCAACCCCGAGAAGTACCCCGCCAATACCCATAAAGAACACTACTGCTACCTGGGATACCAGGGAAAAGCCGCTCCCTCGGATTTTGAGACGGAAAGAGGGTAAACTCGATGCCAGGCAGAGGTCGAGCTGGTTTCTGAGTTTTTGGGGCAGAGATTGAAGGTTATATGACAGACTTTGATACGCGGATTTATATAATAGTGTAAACATCTTACCGGGAAAGTTATTTTGTGTCGCAAGACGACTTTACGAATAATGCAGCATCTATCCGACAAGCAGGATCATGTCACACGAAAAAAGAGCGTTCCGTCCACCGCGATTTCAAAGCATTGGCTCGGCGCTTACGTTCTGGATGATCTTTGCTCCTCTACCAGCTTGTTCTTGAGGGCCAAGACATCTCTTCTTTAAGAGCAGGCTTCTCGCGCTGTCGCGGGTGCTTAACTTCTATTTTGACCTAGAATTCTAGCCTTGCTTTGACAATAGAGTGGGGACTCCACGCAGGCGGGTGATAAGCATTTCAATCAAGGTATAGGTATTGCAGTGACGTCTATAATAAATACTTTCTATTGTTACATCCTCTTGTATCTATTCATTACCAGTTCAACCAGTTCAAGGTCTATCATTTATAAGGTCATTAGACTTCGCATCAATCACCAGAACGCCTGTTTCAAGATCTTCGTGATGCGAAGCGAACGTCATCTCGGATTGGACTTCAGTCTTCATGGGCATAGTGCCTGGAAGAAAATCTCCTGTACCTCTCTGCCCAAACTGCGTGTCATGAAAAGTCTCGATGGCTACATCAAGTGTCGATCTCAAACCAACAAGGGTTATAATGAGCGTAGGATAGATGGCCTGATAACAGGAGGTGGCATAAGCATCATATAGCTAGTGGCATCTAAACATGGTAATAACTCACCGTTAGCTGGGAGAGCATATATATCACGACATATGCACCCTTGTTGCCACAAAGTGTAACGATGATTGCTATCAACTGTCTTTCGATTAGATAGATCCTCCAAAAGGAGAAAAGAGCGAAAAGAGCGTACCCAGGTGCAGGAGTAAAAGATGCCTGATTCGATCAAAAGCGCAAGAATACCATGCTGCCGACGAAACCGAGCCATAATAGCCTCGCCAGTTATGGCGCGGATTGTTCTATTGTGAGACCTTTGATGAGGACGTCAGTGAGGAATGAATTCCGTAAATTGAGGGGACGACAAACCATGCGCGATAAGCAATAAGGGACGTTGCCCAAATATTCGTCGCCATGGTCGAAAGGATGAAAAAGAGCTCCCAGATATGTAAACTGGGGTTCTCGAAGACGCTGACTGTCTTTGGAGCAGTTGCAAAGGCGAAGGTTACTCCGATACCAGCTCCTATACAGACATAAGCTTGTGTATCACACCGCAGGCGAACTGAATTACTCACCCAGTGTTACTAAAAGGAATACTGCAGACACGAAGAGAATCCACCGTTTACGATTCCACAGGACCCATGCCCTCCAAATCACAACACTGTCTCCGAGAACAAACTGATAAAATATAAGCGTTTGCAAAAGAAAAGCTAGACATCACACACATTCATGTTTTCTAGAGACAGCTCCGTGCAGATCCAAGGAGAGGAATCATTCTCGAACTTGGTTGGATCTTCTATACCATGGTCCCGGAAGATCGCCTGGTAGTTTTGATTGAAGCTAACCGCCAGGTGCGATGTTGCCAAGCTCCACATGATAATGTTCAAGGCTATCATGATATTCACCACCCTTGTCTTCTTCCTTTTGCATCTGCCACAACGAAACAGTGTCCGTTAGTTCAGTGTCACCTTTTTCATGGGCGGAACTCACACTAAGATATAGAGAGAGCTCACAAATAAACATGTATACATTCCTGTGGAATAAAAATTGGTCAGTTGCGAAGGACATAACAGAGATGAGACTGCTATTGACCATAGAGAAGTATCTCAACTTGAAGGGCGATAAAAAACGCTTCAAGAGGAGCGGGAGACATCGACATCTCTAGAAAGCGCCGACAGGAGGTTGAGCCTGACAAAAGAAATATATATGAGTAAGGTGGTTCGGAGAAAGCGCGGAGAGGATGGAACCAGGGTATTAGTGTATCAAGAGGCGCTGATGCTCCTGCCATGACTTAAGCAACCCAAAACTCGACTAAAATTCGAATGAGAACCCAAATTCTTTTATTGGCTGGTCGTTTCCAGATAGAGTGTTTCCGATTAACAAAGATGGCATTCGCCTCTCAGCGCCGATGTTCATTTCCTCAAAAATGGAGGACCAGCATGGTCGAAGTTACCAGCTGAAACATATGAAGTCCAAACACGGACCGTTTTCCTACCGGGGCTGTGATATAAAGATTGGTACGGCAAAGAGACGTCAGCGGTGAGATGATTGTCGATGATGGCTGTGAGTGAAATAGGTAGACGTCCGTCGCCTTTTCGTCCCCCGTGAGCTAGAGCTACAAGACTCAGGTTTTTCGACGCAAACAAAGCTCAGAGAACGATGAGAAGGGTTGGTGCAATGTTTTCATAAAGTACTAGGTTCGAGTCGGTTCCGGAGAGTACGGTGCCAAGACTAGGATTTCAAAGGACAGCGAGGCCATGCATCAGTGCCTTACATGAGGAACTTGTGCTTAGAGTTGAAATAGAGTTTCCAAGGTCAGTATCGGCGTCGGTGAAGGATTTCGGGTATTGCCGAACAATCTTCTCAGCATCTTCCTCTGACATCAACTTTCTTGCACAATCTCTATCGCGGCGTGACAGCCTTTTAAATACAGGAAACTAGTCCCAGGAACTATACATGGAAGAGGCTGTCATGACACTCGTCGAGACGGTACAGGTCTCTCGGAACGACTGAATGGACTGAATGACAGTTTTTACATCTGTTCGTATCCTCATTTTCGCATTTCTAACAGTACAAAGCGCCTCTGGAAAACGACGAGTTGGCACCTAGCTTCGAAGCGCTCGTTCAAAATATGCTTTATGTGTATAGCTGCCCAAATTGAAACATATTCGATGTAACGACTACGACAACAAAGGTCGCAATTTCGCAAATGGCGACAACAAATAGCGCGCATAGACGGACTCGATGCTTACACAACTGCTATCACTCAACAGCGGAATAGAACAGTGGACTATGCATTGCTTTTTCACCTGATTTTAGTATTCGGTTTACTTGGACGACGACCAGCAACAACACAGCCTCATGGGATTGCTGATCTCACTCCTCGCATTTTTTTCCTTGTCTCTTTTATAACCTCACGAAGGGAGTTGAGACCTCACTTATGGTGATGCCAAGCGAAGATTGTAAGCATTCCAAACTCTAAATGGCTATATCAGATAAGTTGCCATCTTTTCATTTCAGCTTGGTGCTTATCCTACTTCCTCTCTCACACGAATTGATCCAAAGACGGAGTTGCTTTCGATGGGTTCTGTTTCCCGTACCGAGACGGAGAAGGTTGATTGAAACCATGGCTTCTAAAACTCCTTGTCTTTTTCTAGATCAAGCCTGGATACCGAGATTGATCAGATGGTCTCTTATGGCTTGTTCTCTCCCAGAGCTTCGGACGCGAATTCTTGATTCGCATGAACTATACTCACATCATCAACGGAACATACTACGGTCTCCGAATTTCTTGATTGATACACGATCGACGTATTCATAATGACTCCCGTAGTTTTGATTCCTTCGCAATGGTCAAAAACGTGAGCCTAGTCGACGACTTCTCGGGGTTTGATACCGCCCAGTGCTTTCCTCACTCTGTCCCCAGTCATGTCATATTTAATCTTGAATATGTGAGCTATGTTTCTACTGCATGTTTAATGTTCTCTGAATGCACTCAGATGCATACTCGCAGCGATCATTCCATTGGCGTCGTCCCTACATATCACACTAGAGAGCGCTCCGGTACAACTCCAAAGTACACCGATAACTTTGTGCAGGGAGGACGGTGACCCTTTTTATTTCCTTCTTGGTGCATTCTCAAGTTGCATGGGAAGATTGGAGATGATGAACAAGACGACTCAGAGCATCATGAACTTTACGACAAACCGGACTGTGTTTATGACCTTCGACCATTCAAGTCTGTCTGGAGACTTTAAGGATTTTGTCCTTTTTGCTTGGCTTCCTGAGGTCAAGTATGTTTATGATATGTCAGACCGATCATTCCCCTTTTTCATGAGAGTTTGCAGGCCCGGTTATCGTTTTGCTGAAAGCGAGCCGTTCGCAGTAAATCCCGTAAAGCTTACATCTACGCCGACAACATCCAAGCCGTCGGTTGCTAGAATTGAATCTGGCACCGCTTCATCAGTATCTGGGTACGTGCTGCAATGATTAGTGCTTTCCTCCCATCAGCCCTGTAACATGTTTTTACAGAAGCATTCCCGCCTCGACCGTAATGTCGAATGTTCCATTTAGCACCACTTCATCAGTATCTGGGTACGTACTGCAGTGATTAATACATTCCTCCCATAAGCCCTGTAACATATTTTTCACAGAAGCATTCCCGCCTCGACGGTAACGTTGAATGTTCCACCTCAACCCGTATCACATACGGGCGTGATTGTGGGCGGAGCTCTAGGCTTGCTCGCACTTGGATGCATGATTTCTGCGTGTATATACATCGTCATTCGGCGACGAAAGAGTACGATGTTGACGGGCGCGTCCTTGCGTCGTCCAGTGCCTTCTACTCTAACTCCTTTCCCACTCAACTCTAGTAGTATGAGGTTCCCTCAGACATACGACCCCGAATCCCCATCGAAAGCCTATCTACAGGGAGAGGATGCGAGGGTGCAGGAGGAAATCATGGCGTTGGAGAAGCGAATCAGGCACATGGAGGATATTTACTGGAATTCGCATCCACCATCATACAGGTCGGCCTGAAATATCTCCTCTTCCAACGCTATATCTTTGGATGTATGATCTCCAAGTGTACTTTACCGATCAGACTCGAGTGGTCATACATAGTCTAGCAACGGAAAATGGCACTTGGCCATGTTTACTACCGTCAGTAATGACGGCGAACATCTCGTACAGCTCCGATCAACATTGTCATTCATCTGGCAGTCAACAACGTGAAGCCCGTTCAAAATTTCCCCATCTATCGACTCCTATGAACTCTCCATTCTTCCAACTGTGAGTTGACTCGATTTTCGGGTTGTCCGCTTGCAGTTCTAAATGTCGCCAGGTGTACCTTACTGGTGCTCATTCCATTAGTGTTGACCCTAGATATCACGCTGGACGGAGCTCCGGTGGCCTTCAAAAGCACGCCAGTAGTCTTGCACAGGATGCAGGACGATCCTCCCGACTTCATTCTTGGTGCATTCTTGATCCACACCGACGAATCGTTGATGGTAGCAACGACGACTCAGGCTGTGAATAATTTCATAGCGGACCTAACCGCCTTTATGACCTTCAATTATACAAGTACATCTGACAAGGACTGTATCCTGATCGCTTGGATTCCGGGGACTGAGTATGTTTCTGATATATTTCACCTTGCACCCTTTTTCATGAACTATCTCAGGCCTCATAACCAATTTACTCAAAGCGAGCCGTTTTCAGTGGGAAGCAAACCCAGAACGGCTACGTCAAGCTTCGAATCAATACCGGCAGAACCAACATTCAAGTCGAATTCTAGTACTACTCCCAATCCTACCACACCCAGTCCTTTTCCGTCAGTGGTAGGGTGTGTGTTGTTTGCCCTATTAATTTACTATCTCATGACGAACAATTGTTAGCTCCGAGTCGATAACATCTAATGTTCCTCCTGAACACGTATCACGCGCGGGCGCGATTGTGGGAGGCGTCCTTGGCTCAGTGCTTGTCCTTGGGTGCATGGTTTCCACGGCTATATATGTCTTTATTCGGAGGCGGAGACCTAGAGGCAGCCACATCATTGCTTCATCCTCAGGGCAACCCAGCGCCAACTCTGACTCCATTTACACTGAGATCTAGTAATGTGGGTTTCCATCAGGGACGCGATACTGTCGAAGCTCAAGAGTCTGTATTGGAAACGTCGGCCCGTTTAGAGGCGGAGAATGCGAGGATGCGAGAGGAGATCGCGGCGTTGCGGTGGGATGATCAGATCAGACGCATGGAGGCTGGATACGAGGCTCTGCCTCCACCATCTTACAGGTCTGCCTCGAGTTACTCTCCTCCTAACGTTTCTACAATCTTTGATACATGATCTCCACGTGGACTTCACCGATCAGATTCTTAGAGTGATTTTGGAGTGATTGTACGCAGTCTAATAACGGACAATGGAACTATGCCACGTTTACTACCGTCGTACCGACGATGAACAGTCCGATCAACTTTGACATCCGTCTGGAAGTCAAAAAGTGAAGCCATTCAAGGTCAACCTAGTTATCGACTCCCATGTCCTTCCCACTCTTCCGGCTGTGAGTTATTTCGATTTTTTGGTTCGTCTGCATGCGGTTCTAAATGTCGCTAGGTGTACCTTTATAGCGCTCATTCCGCTAGTGTTTTCCTTGAATATTACGCTGAATGACGCTCCGGTAGCCTTCCAATACACACCGATATCTTTACGCTGGACGCAGGACGATCCTCTCGACTTCATTCTTGGTGCATTCCTGATCCACTCCGACGAATCGTTGATGGTAGCAACGACGACTCGAGTTGTGGACAATTTCACAGCAGACCTAACCGCCGTTATGACGTTCAATTATACAAGTACATCTGACAAGGATTGTATCCTGATCGCTTGGATTTCTGGGACTGAGTATGTTTCTGATATATTGCGCCTTGCACCCTTTTTCATGAACTATCTCAGGCCTCATAACCAATTTACTCAAAGCGAGCCGTTTTCAGTGGGAAGCAAACCCAGAATGACTACGCCAAGTTCTGAATCAATACCGGTAGTATCAACGCCAACACCATCCAAGTCGACGTATTCTAGTACTACGCTCAGCCCTATCACTCCCAGCCCTATTCCGTCAGTTCTGGGGTGCGTATTGTCTGCTATATTAATTTATTATGATGAATCATTGCCTACAGAACCGCCCAACCGACAAAGAAAGCTATACCTACAGATGTAATCGTAGGCATCGTCATCGGCTCAGTTGCGCTTTTGTCCATGGTCTCCACTACCGTGTTCATCGTACTATGGCGACGGAGGAACCGAAAGTTGAAGAACTCTGCACCATCCCGTGCTTTTTGGAAGCAGTTCGATAGGAAGGGTCCACCGATTTCTCAACCTGTTCGACAGCCTTTGCCTGCATACACGCAGGGTAGGACCTACCAAAGACCAGCTGTTCGCCCACCATCCTTGAAACTGGATGAATACTACCTTCGCGCTGGGAAGATATGATGGGGGAAAGATCGGTGGCTCTATATAATACCCTGGTCCCTGTAAATACCAGTTCACTCAGGAAGTGAAATATTATGTATATGAGTGTTTACTGCACTTAAGTAGTTCTTCTCTCCATTGATGGTAGGTACTACTCTATTCCTATCTCGCCCTTCCTTGAGTATCATCGCCCTCAATTCAGGTCTACTGTTTCAAAACGACTCTGAGTGGAACTCATTAGATGACTGCAGAGAATTTTTGGGCAGACGATCGAAACGAGTAGTCATGATTGTTTTATGCAGCGCTTATGCCTTTTATTGGCCTCCCCCTCCCACGGCTTTCGACCAAGGGAAGATTGGTTCGGGAATACTAATAATGGAAAGGAGGCGGCTTGGCGATCATGGGTGCGACCTTTTTTGGAGTTTCCTTTTCGGGATCAGACACCGTGGTGCAGTGATAGATATTCTGACATCAACTATCACGTTGCTCAGCAGCAGCAGCAGTGCTCAGCCTCCGGCGCTGTCGAGGTTCTATCTGGCCCAACTACAGCGACGCTGTATCCTTCCCAAATACCTTTATAACTGGTTACGGGACGTGATCATTTAACGAAGCTACTGCCGCTCTTCACCAACATGCAGGATCCAGAGAGTCCACCACCAAACGTCCCGTATCAGGCTTACAGGGTACGTTGCTAGATTTTTGATGTTTCAGAGGACTACTCACAGCTATTCAAGTCGAAAAGGCACTCGCGCAATGTCTCGAACTCGCGGCTCACGCCCAATGCTTCACCTCCACCGTCATTATCCAGGCCGACGAGCATCATTGGCCCACCAGCACAGTTGAATTACGATTCGTGGGAGAAGGATTCCGTGGCAACGTTCGCCTTAAAGGCACAGACGCCGTCAACGGAGCCAATTGTTGTGCTGGAACCTACTGCGCCTGAGACGATTAATGGCCTTCCAAGTCCGCCCGACTCTCCGAATACCAGTGAACCTCCGGAGCCGCCAAAAGAAAACGGGGCGGTGCCATTGATGGTCGAGCCGACGACGACGACACACGAACACCATTTAGATCACCATGAGACACCTCCAACGGCCCCTTCATCACCTACCGCATCATCTTCCGGTAGTCCATCGCAAGTCAGCCAGCCTTTGCCGCGCGCTAACAATGTACGCAAAGCTTCCACGTTTCGCTATGTCCCCAGAACATCCCGGACACTCAAGACACCTTCTCTTCTGGGTCCTCAACATTCTCGCACGGGTTCCGCCACCGCCGCCGTACCCAGTAATCTTCGGCACAGTATGCCTCCGACAGATAATGCATATTCTGCAAGCCGGTCCAGTCCTCTCCTCTCCCCAGACTCTTCGAGCCGGATAACACCCTCACCAGCACCCTTACCTCTGCCCAAGGACAACAAGCCAACTTCAGATACCAAATTGACGACTATTACTAACGGCACCATTAATGGAAGCGGAAGCACATTTGTACCATCTCATGCATCACCATCATTATCCCCTTCACCTCAAGCAGTTACGCCACCAACACGAACGATCTCTCTACATCCATCTCCATCCGTTTCACCCGCTCCTAGACCCCCTTCCTCTGGATCAGTTCGTCCTACACCTTCTAGATCATCCACGTCCACACCTCCCCCCGCGACACCCATAATACGATCAGACGCCCCATACCGACCAGGTTTCCAACCGAGAGGTGTTTACCGACCCCGAACAGATGAATTTCTTGCCCTCCGAAAAATCTCACGAGATGGCGTGGAGGAATCAGGCATGCAGAAACGGATGGAACGCACCAAATTGGAAAGAAGGCTCGAGAAGTTGATCGCGCTTCACTTCCCAGTGGGAGGCCGTTCTGTTGCTGGTGATGAGAAACATCTTCGACCGGGAGGGAATCGTCGGGCGTCATCGTTATTTGACCTGGAATTTGGCGATTTGAAACGGATGAGTTTATCAGATGCCACCGGACTGTGGAAGGGTGTATTGTCATCTGGAGGAGGCCAACATGATGTACGAGGTATGAGACCTACTTTCGCAATGGAGATACCACCGATACTGATTGCCATTAGCGGCTGAACAGCGAATAACACCATGGGAAGATGACGCTGCCGTTAGCAAATGCCCTCTATGCCGGTGCAGTAAACAGTTTTCCCCTCTTTATCTTCCCCTCACAAGTATTTAGTGCATCCTTCCATCCCCTCACAAATCGGAAACACCACTGTCGACTCTGTGGTAAGATTATATGTTCTCTGCCTGTGAGGCATCCACAGCGACCTGTCCAGTGTTCAACATTATTCGTTGTTGACCCAAAGTCTCGGAAAATTGAAGAGGTCGGCGAAGGTGTGGACTACGGCGTTAAGAAGAGGCGAGTGGGGAGCATAAGCGGTCCTGGAGGTGCAGGAAAACGGCCAGTCGAAGAACCGGAGGACGACTCGGAGAAATTCTTGAAGGGCGTTAGGATATGCCAGGATTGCCGGCCTATATTGCTGTAAGTGTATCGCAAATTCCTTCGGTGACACAGCTGTACTAAAGGGACCTCTACGAACAGACGACAGCAGTATCAGCAGGAAATGAGTGCCGTTCCAACGTTTGCGAAACTGTACCAAGTCCTTCTAGAACTTGAGAAGGAGCTCGAAGACTGCTTGCCTCAGTTTCAAGAACTCATTGTTAGCCTCAAGTACGTTGCTTCGTGTCTCGGGAGTTTGAGTCTGTTCATGGAATTTTCTTCGTAGTCAAGATGAGCATCCGACGAAGGAGGCCACCGCAGCACGCAAACGTTTACTCGATATCTTTGCGCAGTATGATGCTGTTGCGAAACGAATACGGAAGCTTCCTTGTACCCCGGGAAGCTCTCAAGATCGTGTTCAGATGGCTGTCACAACACGGGCGAACATATTCCTACAGAAGCATATGTTCCCACTTCAAGTAAGCTCGGATATTAGTATTTGTCTGATCTCTGGCTCATGGGTGCTTAAGTCACTACCAAAGGCGAAACCTAAACACAAGAAGTCTGCAAGTACAGTGGAGGAAGCCCCAATCATTGATCCTGATTCGGAGGTTGCCCATGCGCTTCAACCTTTACTGGAGCAAGAAGCTCTCTTAGAGTCATTCGTGGAGGAGGCCAACGCGCATCGGAAGTTTGAGGACGCGAAAGCGCTGAGAATAAGTCTCGGTGAGATTCGCGCGGAGATCGAGCGGATATTAGCGAATGCGGAGAATGGCGCAGTGAAGGGGAAGGGGAAGAAACGCAGCTGACGGGAACCAAAGCCCGAGCCCTGATGGAGATCTCTGGAAGAAATTTATGTCTGCTTTCGAATGCTAAGTTATCAACCAACGGAATTCGTGATCCTCATCAAGAGTCCAAGATTGAAATTTGGTATTGGGGTAAATTACAGTGCATTGGCATTCTATGCATATGGTGGTAAATAATCACCATGTTCCTATTTGACTCGCCACTTTGAAGTCACATCCCGTCTTGGCCTTCACTTCCTCTAAGCGTCACTCCCTTTGCGAGATCGATGAGCTCGAGGCCACCGTTTGCACGGTCAACGTTGAACACAGCCAGCTCTGTAATAATCTGGCTGACGGTCCTGGCTCCGGTCAACGGCAACGAGCACTCTTTGAGAATCTTGGGACGTCCATCTCTAGCGGTGTGTTCCATGGTGACAAGAACCTTGGTCTTGTCGGGGTTAGAGACTAGGTCCATTGCTCCTCCGATACCTTTGACCATCTTTCCGGGGATCATAAAGTTGGCGATATCTCCAGCTTGCGAGACTTCCATGGCCTATATGCGTCATGAATTTCTGGGCTAATAATGGATGAACGAAAGTCATACGTACACCGAGAATGGCAATGTCAATGTGGCCTCCGCGGATCATAGCGAAAGATTCGCTAGAGTCTAAAAGATTGATAAGATGATGATGTGCCATAGCGTGCGTTTGTGAATTCCATACCAAATACTGAAGCTCCTGGAACGAGTGTAACAGTCTCTTTGCCGGCATTAATCAGGTCCCTGTACACATGTGAGGTCAGAAGACACTAGTATTTTCACGCCAGCACTTACGCGTCGAGTTGTTCCTTCGTGGGGTAAGGTCCCATTCCAAGAATGCCGTTCTCACTCTGCAGCCAGACACGGACGCCCTTTTCTAAATATTCCGGGACAAGTGTGGGCATGCCGATACCAAGATTGACGTGGAAGCCATCTTTGATTTCCTTTGCAGCTCTGCTGGCGATGTACCGTCGCTGGGCTTGGGCGGCGGCTTTCTCGGGAGATAGAGTAGATTCATCCACTCCAGATGTAGCGAGGGTGACGATTTCAATCGTCTTGGGCGCCGTTGCCTTCACTATTCTGTCGACATAAACACCGGGAAGATGAATCGCATTTGGGGAGATGGAACCGATGGGGACGATGTTTTCCGCTTCGACAATAGTAAGTTTCGCGTTTTTCGCCATGACCGTGCTGAAGTTCTGAGAAGCATATCTACATACACATCAGACTAGTGTCCCGACAAAAGAGCAGAAGGCTAACCTGAAGACGCAGTTCCCAACCTCGTCAACTTTCCATGCCCTAACGAATGCGACATCGCCTGCAATAGAAGGCTCAAGGATATATCGTCTGCCTCCAATTTCTCGGCTCTCCTTTTTGATACCGGGTATTTCAATGCCTGCCGATATGCCACCGGGTTTGTATCGGACGGCTATAGCACCTTGTTCAACTGCCGTTGACGCGCCTGTGGGAGTAAAGAATGCAGGAATCCCGGCCGCGTGCGCGCGGAGCCTTTCTGCGAGTGTTCCCTGCGGTACGAGTTCGAGTGATATTGAGCCCTTGAGATAAAGGGCCTCGAATTTCTTATTCCTGAGAGAGCCTGAGAACAGAACCTCAAATTAAGCACAGAAATGTACATACCCTCCTGGATATGATGCGACGATCCTTCCCAGTTGCTCCGTGTTGAGAAGTTTCCCTCGTACACTGATGAGCGTTGCGTCTAGCGATGAAGTCCGACGAATCGCATACCTAGGCCAGAATCTCCGAAGCCGGCGTTATTTGAGATACCTGTAAGGTTCGTAACATCCTTTCGCTTCGCCAGGGCACCCAGAAGAGTATCTACAATACCAAATCTTCAATCAGCATTGGCGACAGGGAGTGCGGACGACAAATACCTGGGATGCCAGCAGCACCGAACCCTGTGATCGCGTTTGTCAGATAGGGCTAACCTCAGAGAACGGAAAAACGCACCTCCGCACAACAGAACATCTCCTGACTTTACGTCCTTGACGGCGTCGTCAACTGAATCCCAAACCTTGCCCTTTGGCGTACTACTGGTGGTGGTGCTATATTTCCTGGCCGAGCAAACGAAAGCTACCCGGAATGTGGCCGCAGTGAACCTGGCGGTGGAGTGGGCCTGCACAGCGAGCATGGTAGGGTTCAGGCCACGGCGGAAAGGGAAACAAGGGTACGTTGGACGTGGGGTTTATATGGTCGTCACATGGCGGAACAAGTTTCCTCCTTTCACCCAACGTTTTCGGATCTCCTAATCCTATGACCTTTCGGTAATGTTCGGACCGCATGACCCTTCGCGACGATCGCGTCAACTCTGAAAAGCGAACACTGTCGAAAACAAGTACCCTAAGATGAAGGAAGGATACGAGGAATAGCCCTTCTAACTGGCATTAAACGTCACTGAACCCTTTGCTCATTGCGTCATCTTGAGCCTCGCGATTCCCAAGCGGTGATTCCAATAATATTAGGCTAGTGTGAAAGATTTGAGAACCTGCCTAGTGGAGACTGATAGGACGTTAGATCGAATGTAATTCTGCTGGGAGTAAAATATGAAGCGAGCAATAACAGAAACATTGAAGTGATGGAGTGGAGACAAATTCTGTTCAGAAATCTATTGCTGATAATGGGGTGTCAAAAGTTCAGGAAGGAGCTAAGAAACATCGGTTCCGCAAGTATCCGACGCGAAGGAAAATCGAAGGCTACTACCTGGTATTTGGGCGTGACGCTTTGCATATGACTATCTCGCAAATCCTAGTCCAAGTAGCATCTCCTGCTTCTAGCGGTTAGCCTGCTCTGCACTGCAGGACTTGAATTCGGATCAGGAAAAGTATCCGCAGGTCAAGTTCAACTAGACAAACTTTGCCCAAAAACATGGCATCTGTGGACGGACCACATCTGCTGAACAATCAGACGTAGAACTTGAAAGCAGCGATGTTCGCATGGTGTTTCCAAGTTGAGAGTGTCCGCAAGTCGGCAAAAGATGCAAATTCGAGCCTAACGAAGGGTAATGCAATGAAAAGTCTCCAAGACCGAAACGACGATATGGTAAGTGGATAAAAATCGCAGTCAGTAGAGGCATTGCTTAACTTAGAGGTGAGGTAGGCCATGATGAAAAATGTCTGAGTGACCTAAGGCATATACATAAGACTTTGGCTAACCGGACTAGCGCTGGTATAGTGGTGTTTGCACGGACCCAAAAGGTGTGGTAATAAAGATAATGAACCATCTGGACGAGGCAGGATCAGTAAGTGGCAAGCGATGGATAAGAACTTCTAATTAGACTCTTACGAAACAACATGGTTTAGCCATCGCAACGGTTAAGTGTTATTACTACCGGATGATAAGGATTTAGGTAACTGCCTTACTCAGTGGGGGACAAGGCGTCGTAGAAAGAGGGTTAAAGCTATAGCCGGCCAACCTAGTCGGTCAATGCCATGACCGTCAGCGAAGTGATAGCTTGATAAGTGCTAAAGATTCCACGTCTTGGACCGGTAACCGTAACGCTTGCCAGAAAGAAGAATAGACTCTCAGGGCGGTGATAAAGAGGGGATTTTAGGAGGGAACCCCGATTAAGGAAATGCAATATGAAAAGCGGCCTACCCACAGACTCGGAAAGCAAGAACCAAGTAAAGATTACAGAACATATTAAGCGATTCAACGGTGCGCTGAGGCCGGGGGTGAAAAGGCCTTTAAGTAAGACGGTATTCGAGTCGCATGTCGGAGCATTAGACTCAAGAATTTACAGCTGACGGGTACATTGACGGCTTGTCCACGATATTAACGCTTCCGGAGGCTTTTGTGGGTCAGAGAGAGCACTAAGTATAGCACACGTTGCATTCATCCTCCGGTGGATTTATAGGTGTGGAAGTGGATAAGCCGAGAGTCAATTGATCTTGACGAATTTTCCTGTATAGATTCACGGCCTGCCAGGCCTTAACCAGCTGGAGTTTGAATTTGAGGTCTTGAGGACTGGAAAAGGAGGAAAATCCCCATCCCGGTCCGGGTTCCTTCATCACAATATGAATTCACATGGTGACTATTTTTTTTCAGGCTTGAAGTTCACCCGTTCAGCGCTCCTTCTTGGTTTCACGATCTCGCAGTTGCGCCTGTTAACCGTCGTTTAAAACGTTTGATTGCATAACTTTGGCAAGAGCCCACTTTCTGTTGCGAAGCTTGTCACTCTGACCATTCCAATAGTATTGCTCTCGTATTTGATGGCGATAACCGACTGGACCACTCACGCGTGCAGTTTGTCCGGTGGCCCTTCCTATTGTTTCGATTGATATAGTATTTTTGACCGGTCATATACAACGAAGACCTTGAATGATCATTACCCATACTAGATCTAGACTTCTTTGGTTTTGCTCAGCTCTTGCACTGAGGTCTATGCATAGCTTGGATCAGCAGTCAAACCAGCCCTTGCTGCTCGCACACGTGTTGTTCTATGCTGCGGCATCGTTTCAGTTCTTCAACTTCTTGTGCAGGAGGAATCTTACTGAAACGCCATGGGACCTTGTTTACCGCTTCTGACATATTCGATCACATTTTTTCCCCGGCTGACCGATCGCGTACCACATTGTGAATTTCCTTGAGGCCATTGCAGGCCATGGCTGGGAAACTTCGTACTTTCGCACGTCGGACGCATTGCCTTGATGCACTGGACGGCGTGATAATCGGGCACATATAGATCCACCTTCTGGTCTAGGTACTTACGGGATTCAACGTCATAATGAATCAAAAAATGCTATTGCTGAAACCGCGTATCAGCTTATCTACTACTCCAACCGGAAAATTGAACAGGGAGGGTGTTGGAGGTGCCCGTTGTTTACGACGTGGTGCGCAGTTATTAAAAACGAAAGCCAGCCACCGGCGCCTTCAGTAGCCCGTCGCCCGTTTAAAGACCCACGATGATTTTCACCTGATTATTGACTAAAATGGAAGTCCTATCTATTCTTGTGCATAGAAATTGTGGGAAAATATTTTTAGATCAATCTTTCTGTTGGAGCCTTGCCTGATTAGCAAAGCCGCCAAGGCAGTCAACGACAAGCCATAACCATTGCCCAGTCCCAGGAATACCAAGTCGATATCCTGGCGCTGGTCAAGTCGCTGACGACGCCCACCATTCTCACCGCCGTCGTTGAGCTTGCTGTGCTCCCTGTCGTCTCTTCACCCACGACCCTTTCATCATGAACTGGCTTGCATCCCTCTTTTCGTCGGGCTCTTCCCAAAATTCGCGAAAGGGCCAAGCCATATCGTCGACACACGAAGCATTTTCGATTCCGTCGTCCTCGCCCATCTTTTCTACCCATCCAGACGTCGACACCCCAGACCCTGAGACGGCGACCTCTGCCTCGTACACCTATCCTCCAGCAAGCCCCGGTTCTTACGCATATATCCCGACTTCGTACGTTTTCCTGTTGTGCGTTGCGGTTTCATCAGACTGACATCCCAGAAGAAATGGCTCAAATTCACGTTCTGCATCTCTGTTGCCCTATGCATCATGACCCTCTGCATACACCCTTCTCGCCTTCCTCTGCATATCCTTCTTTAACCTCTACATGGAACCGCCTTCGCGCATGGCTTGCTCGTGAATACCCGGAACTAGGAGATACCCTCAACTATGGCATTCTGCCAGAGGACCTGGCCCAGATTGAGATGCAGTTTGGCTTCGCTTTGCCCTCCGTTGTTCGCGAGTCTTATCTCCTCGTTGACGGCCAGGAGGCAGAGTCAGCCGCTGGATGCTCTGAGGGTCTTTTCTTTGGCCTCAATCTATTACCTCTCGAGGATGTATATGAAGAATGGAGATTTTGGCGCGAGGTTGACGACGATCCTATGACTGGCGCTAACGCCAGGCTGCGTGGCGCCATGCAATCAATCCCGCCTAACTGGATTCGCAAGGAGTACTCTCAACGTGGCTGGATCCCTTTAATTGCGGACAAGGCTGGCAACTATATAGGCGTCGATCTTAATCCAGGCGAAGCTGGTGCTGTTGGACAAGTCATTGTTTTCGGTCGCGATTTTGACACGAAGGTCGTTCTTTTCAATGGTGATGGCATTACCGGATGGGCCAAATGGCTTGCAAGTCTTGTGGATGAATTAGAGAGTGGAGACGGTTTTGAAATTGGTGCATCTAATGACGCTAGTGATGGAAGTGAAGACGATATCGGTTATGAAAGCTATTTCTACGATGGTACCGGTCGGGGCCAAGGCGACGGCGGCGGCGACACATATTCCGGTGGTGGTTTACGTTTAACAGGCGAATATAGAGGCTGGAGCGTGTTAGAAGCGTGGGCAGATAGAAGTGTTCGGCGATGGTTTGACATTGGTGTGATTACAGAGACTATGGACGACCCAGAAAACGGAAAGGTGAGTAAAGCTATCTGTGTGTTAGGTTAACTTCCTTATGTATTCCCACAGGCCCCTGAAAAAATGGACCTCGGTGTATTGGAGATGTCGCACAGCTCAGGAGCTGAGGTGCCCATACCTGTTCTCGGTGATGTGGAAGAATCACGTATCCCACCGATGGCGTCTAGTAGCACCGTCAACACAACAACTGCACGAAAGACTCCTCCGAATCTCCCTACAATAGCTGTTACCAAGCCACCAGTGCCTCTCCCTGTAGAACTACCTACACCTCGGGACATCGTTTCTTTGCCCTCGCCCCCAGATTCGACGCATTCATCTTTTGACGAAGACCTGGAAGCCGGGCGTAATCGAAGTATTCGACAACTATCTCTTGAGCAAGAGGCAAGCCTCGTGTCTTCATCAAGGCGATCTGAGGCGGCCGACGATCTTTCTGATCCAATCGGACCCTACAGTTCTGATAGAGGAGCCAGAAGTTCTCCTTCCCGCCACACCTCCTCAGGAAATCTCAGAGCCGCTATCCTCATCACCACCCGATATCATGATCTCTTGGCAGATTCTGCGCCGGTTTTAACGGCGGAACCCATACAACCCGTAACTCCATCATCACGACCTGAAGCGTCGAACTCAGCATCAGACCTCATCATTGACACGTCTGATGAGCTGAAACCTGAAACTGATAGGTTACAGGCACCCATGAGTGTCGACACTGATGCTGATGCGACTGTCCGACTGGTCGGCGGTGGCGGATCGGGTACGGCGGAGCCTCCACCAGACGCCGAGGAGAATCAACCCACCGTAGAGGCTGTTGAGTCGGATGCCGCTTCAATGATCTCAGAACCTGGCGTTTCCAGCAGTAATGCGGGGGATAAGAAGCACAAGAAAGCGAAGAGTGGTTTAGCTGGCTTGAAAAAACACCTTGGTGGCCTACGGAAAAAGAACTCTGTTAGCAGTGTGAAGGAAATGCAGGATTCGACTTAATAACATGGGAAGGCGCATCGTCGTTCTTTTTGATCTCTTTTCGTGCATTTCCCTGACTCCAGGATACGAACTTTGTCCGACACTTGCATCTTCCCTCATGACTGATCACTGTACTGGCTGGTTAATTGCTCATCTTCACTCCTTGTCATTCATGTATTCTCGCATTTCCTTTCGTTATACCCATAATCACAATAAAAATACTTCAAACGGTAAGATGGACAAATGGACACTCGCAATAACGCTTTCGTTTTTGATCGGACTCTTTTATTTGGATACAATTCACTTACGGTAGATGGCTCTAGATGAAGTCTTCTTGTTAAGATTTGGCCGTCTCGTTGTACGACGCGGACCAGCTCATAATGCGATTGTTCACAAAAGTACATTATTGTTTTATGACTGCCTGTGCGATGGATTGTTATTTGAAAATTGAGAAGATAAAAAAGTAATTGTAACCTAAAATAGGCTAGTACTTGCACGTGACAAAAATGGACGATGCGAAGGCGCGTGTTGGATGGTTCGTTTCCTTCTATGCACTTGCTCGTATCTAATCATTTCTAGGTCACCCCTTTGTCAAGACGATTCGCAGAAATTATGGACAAACTTATGTCTCTGCTTCTACACCCTTTGATCACGCTCAATATCTGGTCTGACGACGATGGCATCGACGTTTTTTACCTTCTTTCACTCTTCTTCGCTTTTGGAATTTGGCTCGTATTCCAACGGTATCAAAGAGCCCACAACAGCGCGGTTCCCTTCAACTTCACTATACCTGATGTGCGTCAACATGTTTTTCTGTATCAGTGGTTATTAAATGGCCGAGATGTTCAGCCTGCCAAAGTTGGATGGACGTCTTTTGTAATTGACGATCCTACGCTCACCTCCCACGAAACCAACGAAGATCTCCTACCTTCTTTCAGCATCCAAGGACGAAAATACATTACTAGCTTCGATCCAGCAACCGGTCTGCACATCCATACATATTTGGCCGATGACAAGGAAGAAATCGTGCGAAAGATCGTGAAAGCAGATGACGCGCAACTGTCATGGCGTGAAACCTCGTTTACCCAACGAAGACGCGTCGTTCGTAGCTTGCTGAAATGGCTAGTGGACAACCAAGATGTCTGCGCGAAAGTTGCTTGCAGAGATACGGGAAAAACGAGTGAGTTGCCCTACATCGAGGATAGACAGACATTGAAATTTTCTCAGTGGTTGATGCTGCTCTTGGCGAAATTTTGACCACTTGCTCTAAGATGGAATGGTTGCTAGCGCACGGTGAAAAGTCTCTACGACCAGAGAGACGACGTCGCAATACGATGTTGGCTTACAAAACGTCTGAGGTACACTATGAGCCTCTTGGTACGGTTGCTGGAATAGTCTCGTGGAACTACCGTGAGTTAAAGTCTATGTTCGACGAAATGTTATTTGTAATGGTCAATCCGTACAGCATTGCATAACGCTTGGTCTCCAATCTTGGCCGCCTTGTTCTCCGGCAATTCTATTGTTCTGAAGTGCTCCGAGAATGTCATATGGTCAACGTCCTGGTACATCTCTATTATTAGGTCTTGCTTGCAAGCATGCGGCCATGACCCGGAAATTGTACAGGTAAATACGCATACTCAGTTACATTAATCAGTTCTGAACAGCCTCTTAGCTTGTTTGTTGCTGGCCAGAAGACGCAGATGCACTGACAACATCGCCGCTGATTAAACACATCACATTCATCGGTTCTGAGGAAGTGGGACGTAAGGTATTGCAGCTACCACTACTTGTTGTCCAGTTTATTTAAGCTAAGCATGCGTATAGGTTGCGGTGGCTGCTACTAAGCATCTCACCCCTGTGACACTGGAACTGGGCGGAAAGGACCCGGCAATAATCATGCCTGGCACTGACCTGAACAAATGGGCCAGTGTCTGGATGCGTGGTGTATAGTAAGTGTACCCTCCATCTCTATTTCCGATATTTACACTTCTATAGCCAAAATGTTGGCCAGAACTGTATTGGCATCGAACGCTTAATTGTTCATCGCTCACAATATGATGAACTGTTCGAACTTTTCTCACAGCGAGTCGCAAAGCTGCGGCTTGGCTCAGTCATGGCACCCAACGATCAAGGCTATCTTTCACCAGTGGATTGTGGTGCCATGATATCCTCTGCTCGATTTGACGCATTAGAGCATCTCATCAGAGAAGCAGAGGAATTTGGAAACGGTGTACATGTTGAAGGTGGTACGCGATATAACCATGTCTACAATGACAAGGGCTCCTATTTCCTGCCTACTGTGATTGGACCGGTATCTTCTGACATGAGGATCGCCCAGAAAGAATGTAAGTTCTCCGACTTATCTCCCTTGCTAAGCTGAGCTTGTTGCAGTGTTTGCGCCCATCGCACTTATTATGCCATACGGTGATGTCGACGAAGCCATCAACATCGCGAATAGTACTCGCTATGGTCTAGGTGCAAGTGTCTTTGGCCCTGACCAAAGGCAATGCCTCAAAGTTGCGAAAGAACTTGACTGTGGAATGGTGTCAATCAATGACTTTGGAGTCTTTTATGTACGTTCGATCCTTTATAATGACCAAACCGCCTAAGTGTCCCTTGCAGATGAAGTTTGTGAACTGTTTTGTAAATATGGCCCATCTAACTTGGTGTATCTCCCTTCTAGTCAGGATCTGCCTTTCGGTGGAACAAAATCTAGTGGTTATGGAAGATTTGGTCAGTATATTATTTCTTTTCTCGTAAAATTCCATTTTCTTACCATTCACATTTCCAAGCCGGCCCTGAAGGTCTTCGTAGCTTAACAAATCCCAAAGCGATCATGGTTGACCGGTGGCCTGTATTCATACAAACTTCCATACCGAAGGTTTTGGACTATCCGATCCGTTCATTGACAACAAGCTGGTTCGTCTTTAACTATATGTATTCTACTCCCATTGCTCTAATTTCATCTGGTAGGGAGTTCACGGCCGGTCTCGTCCGCTTTCTGTATGCAGATGGATGGCGAGCCCGCATTCGCGGCCTGAATACTGTGATCAAGGCATCACGGAAGTGAGTTGATATATACCTTTTTTGAGAATCTAGTGTGGATTGGTCGGATTGGTAGGACGCGGGGTGATTTGTGACAGATGTCACGTACCGTATATAGTAATTTATCACTTGCTCTTAACTTCCACTATCCCTCTCGCTCCTCCCTGCTTCAAAGGCATTCTCGCCACGTAGGCTTCTATTCGGTCTTGAATTCGGATACTTATACGATAAGGCCGAGATACTCGATGTCACTTACGGGTTATCTTTGAGAATGTCACACAAGTCACCAGATGTTTTAGTCGAAGAGCGTGTCGCTCAGCTTGCGTGAGCAATAACGAGTGTTTCTTCCGCACAATCACCTCAAAACAATTTTACAGCGCGATATCGGAAAAGAAGGAATGAGCTTCTGACCGAAATGTATCATTTACTACGACGAAGGGACGACATTGGCAGCGTTTACATGATACAAGAGGGTGGGGACGATTTGCAAGGATTCCTGCAGAAGTATGATATAAGTAAAAAGTAAGTGTCGTACTTCTGTTACCTGTACGCGACTCATCTAGGTCAACATCGCTAGTCCTGACACGGGGAGCATAAATCATCTCGATATTGCTCTCGTCATGCCACCTTCACCGCCAGCCTTTGAGCCTAGCGCACCAGTGGCAGAACTAGTCGATGAAATCCATCAGGGCAGCAGCCCGGAGCCATGGACACTTGAAGATACGTCCATGGAAGGCAACAATGCTGTTCATACGACAACCCAACGTTCGGACGACCTTAGTCCCGCAGAATCTGAGGATGAGCTGAATATGCTTGGTCCTTCTTCAGGGCCTCATAACAATGGTCAGGTCGTGCCACAACCCCTAAGCATTCCCATTGATGTCGCGTCAAGGGAGTGTATAAACGCTTCCAATGTGGACGTTGCGCCAGATGAAAAGGACTTACACGAGGCTGACACGTCGCTTCCCTCTGTCACAGTCGGGTTGGCGATCGGCGAAGACATAGTAATGCAGGGCGTCGAAGAACCCGCCATTATAGAAGTACAAGGACCCCCCGATGTCCTCCAGCATTTCCCTGAACATCATACCACAATTGCGAACCTTAAGAAGGAGGAGGAGGAAGAGGAAGAGGAAGAGCCTATGGTGCAAGATTCTATCGTGACGTCGACAGGTCTGTACACAAAACACTTTTCTTCGATGGTATTAACCTCTCCGTAGCATTTACGCCGGCCGATTCCGTGAACCCGCAACAACATCTTTTTGTTAATCGCCAGGCAACTCTCGAGACTCAACATCACACGACTATGAAGGCTGAGCCCTTGACGCATGCCCAACCTAACCTTGCATCGGGACTTCGTCACATAACCCCTCTACAGCTTCTGCAGACTTCTTTGGCAACGCCTCCCTCCGTGCGCCCTGTATACATCCCCACACCAACCGAGTCCTTTCAAGGACTCCCTCAGTATAATTTCGATGTTGGCTCTCCTACCCAAACCTCGTCGCCAACGCCTGCATCCTCACCTAAACCGCATTTACAATTTGACCCACAGTACACATTGCCGCCAATCAAAACACTGCCACCCGAATTCAATAGGCGGGGCAAGATTTCGAAGCAACTACGCAAGAAAGAGAAAGAACGCGAAAAAGGAGAAATGAAAAAAGACAAGGATGACTACATTTCTATGGGGTTGAACAGATGGGGCTTTACTATCAATGCCAATTCTGTGTGGAAAAAAGTGTCAAAGGCTACGAAATGCCTCACCACGCGCGATTGGAGTGTAAGATATCCTTCAACAATGTTTTGACCTGCAGTTAATCTGTATTCTGTCAGGTCGCCATGGCCGAACTCCGACTTGCTAGAACCATTGATCGAATCGAGGCGCTCAAAGATGCTGGCAAGTGGAGTTTCAGGCAGCCAAAGAAACAGCGGTCTGTTGACACTATTCCGAAGACTCACTGGGATTACCTCATGGATGAAATGGTAAGAGCAGCACCAAGTTTCTTCGTTGTGGTGTCTATGCTTACGTCGCTCCAGAAATGGATGCGAATCGATTTTCGAGAGGAGCGAAGATGGAAATATGCTATTGCATATAACTTGGCGCAGTCTGTTTTGGAATGGCACAAGGCAGGTTCCCAGGAGGAGCGGGTGAAGAGAGGCATTTGCGTGATGTGGCGACGACCACTGGAAGACCAAAGCACCGAGATCGAGCACCCCGACCCTGATCCAGGTCTCATGGATGTCGACAACGGTCCCCACTTGGACGATACAAACCGATCATCGATGCTGATGCTTGACTATGCATCAGATGAAGATGATAACGACGAACAGGATAAGGAAAGCGTCGTTGATACTCTGGAGACCTCGACGTTGATTAAGGACGCTCTTCAAGCCTTCGAAGACAACGTCGAAGAAAATCCTGGGCGAATTGACCTTGAACCAAAGAAGGAGGAGATCGACCTAACGGCGACCCTCGCAAATGGAGAGGATATTGGTGCTGATCGTCAAGTTACCCGAGACAGTGAAGAATCAGTCCAAAAAACTGAAGAGCCAGATGCTTTGACACTCGGCCTAAAAGCGAGTTCCAGTGACCCTCTTTTAGCTTCTTCTAAATCCACTTCACAATCTGTTTCCGGCGAACACGAACCAGCTCTACCCGCCTCGAAGTCTTCTAGGATTAACATGTACGCGCCCATTCGCGAGCGAGTCGCCTATTCAGACGCGGACAAACTCTTTCTCGACTTCGATGATTTCAAAATTTCTGATGGCAGTCCGTCGAGTGAAGAAGTCACAGAGATAATCCTTCCCCCTGCCGATCTATCCGACATATTTCCAGACTTACAAGCTTTGACTCTCATTGACCCCCCTTCTGACAGTTCGACTGCACTACCTCCTACAGAAGGAAAGAAGAAGGACAAGAAAGCCGAAGATATACATAGACGGGTTGATGAATTCAATTACTCGAAAGTTTTCCCGGTTGGGACATTTATGTCAACCAAGCCAACGCTTGTCAGCGCTCTCCAGCCGGCGAAACGCTGGAGAGACGGACAGTGGCTACCGTTCGAGGAGAGCCCGATCGTGGAATCTGATGCTCCATCAAGCAAGGTTTTAGATGAATCAGCTAGTGGTAAGCTCTCTGAGCTGTAGACTCTTACACGCGATCTAACAATTATGCAGAACTATTCGGGCGCGTCAGTGTGAGAAGTCGATCTGACGTAGAGCCAGCTTTGGCTGTTGGCTCTAGGAAACCCGATATTATGTGGTTACCTAAGGAAGACGATCTTCTCAAGAGCCTCGTTGATACCTATGGGTCCATGGACAAGGACAGGAACTGTAATTGGAAACTCATTGCTGAATGCTTCAACGCGTCTCGTATCACCGTACCTTCTGACCGACGAGGACCCAGAGAGTGCTACGCACGGTGGAAGGAAAGATGGGCGTTGTCCGATGTGGGCCATAAAGACCAAGATACCCTGTTAACCAGCCCGGGAATGCCTACCCCTGCGCCAGCTGCGCAGATGACAACCAGAGGAGTCAAACGATTGGCCAGTACTAGCATATCCAGCACGATAGCCCCCAATCTGCCAGGCATGGACGTGGAGCCCAAGAACAAACGTCATAAGACGGTGCAGGATTCGATGCGGAAGTTGATTAAGCGGCGCGCGGAAGTGGCTGCCAAAAACTCTCGTTCGTTTTACAGTCATTTCTCTCCTATTCTTTACTGACGTTCACTTTTAGCTCGGAAGTCCAGTACTGTCCATGAGACACACAGCCAATATGCAAAGATGCCGAAATTGGCTCCTGCCGATCTGGTCAGGATCAAGATGGATAGAGATATGAGAGACGTGAAAGATTACGCTGCTCTGGTGAATGCGAAGGCTCAACAACAGACTCAACAACAACAGCAACAACAGCAACAGCAACAACAACAGCAATCACAACCGCAACAGCAAGCTCAGCAAGCTCAACCAGCTCAGCCAGCTCAACCAGCTCAACCAGCTCAGCCGCCACGCGCATCGCCGGTATGTCAAATTGCTAATCCTCATAGCTTTGCTGATCATTTTGCACTGCCTTGTCAAGGCCAATGGCACACCTACTACAAATGGACAGACTCAGAATGCTAATGTGCAGAGAACGGCCGGACAAGCTTTACCTACTCAAGGGATGGTGTCCACCAGCATACCGATCCGTAATCAGGTCAACATATCTCAGCAGCGAATAGGTACCCCACTGATCTCTGGAAACAATCGACTTTCGCCTCAACAAATCCTTCGAAATCAACAACAGCAGGCTCAACTGGCTCAGCAACAGCAGCAGCAACTGACGCAACAGCCGATCCCCCAGTCACATCAATCACTCACGACCCAGCAGATCCAACACGCTATTGCCGCGTTGCAAGCACAGACGGCGGCGGCTGCAGCAGCAGCAGGTCAGACCACGGCGAGTGTCAATGTCAATGGGACTGGAGCTCATTTGTCACCGCCATTCGGAGCGCGCGACGCAACGTCATCACCTCAGATCAATAACAACGGCCTTGTCAATTCAGTCAGTTCGCCACGACCCCCGTCGACGCAGCCTCCAACGCAGGTACCAGTACCTGTGCAGTCTCAGATTCCCCGTGCGACCAATGTCCAGGGACATTATTACCTACCGAATTATACGCCGGAGCAGCTTCAAAATGCAATCCGCATGCAGGCGATGGTGCGTGATTGAATGCTTCCTTATGATATTTTAGGATTTGATTCTTATCATGGTCTCTGCAGCAACAACAACAGCAAGCACAACAGCAACAGCAACAGCAAAACCAGCAGCAATCTTAGGTTGACTTTGGTGTTGAGGGGTGTATGTTTTGAGAAGCTTTGTAATTATTTGTTTTTTTATGCGACTGGTTTCATTCAATCGTTGAGCACCTTCAGACATTGGCAATGCTCCAGATTCAAGCTCCAAATTCAAGCTTCAAGCTTCAAGCTTTAAATAAAGCAAGAGGCTTACGCTTCATGCCAGACCCCTTTCAGTTTCACTTGAGTCGTTGAAGCCGCCGGATCTAGCCAGAGCCGATGTGGATACTTAGCATGATACTACGTTCAACAAATGACATTGCTCAATATCAGTATATAAATACTACTGCGGAATGATTGAGTATCTGTGATCTTGTATCTTCTTTTCTTTTCAATACTTGTGATGTCCGGTCGCGTCTGTCGCGAATTTCCATTGGCTCGGTAAACATGCGCCGCGTGCGAAAATTGCTATTCGTCCCTACCGGGTTGCTACGTTTACGGCCACAAGAGCTACTTGGGCTCGGAAATACGCCGACGCATACCCTTACCCAAGAAGCGTTTGGCACCCACGGGCGCCTCCTCCTTTTCTGACCCTTTACGGGACAGAAAAGGCAAATGAGCTCGGACCGGAACGTGGCTTGGAGGGGGAAGGCTTCCTGAAACAAATAGACTGTCAAGGCTTAGTCCCCAACATTGCCTTGCAAGAGGCCTGTGCCCTACGGATCCCCTACCCGCCATCATCGTTCTCGCGTTCTCGTCGTCAGTCAAGTTCGTCATACTCGCCAAGTGATATCCATCAGCCGAATAAAGTTCGACTGCCTGAGAGACATGTGCGATCTTTTTTTTAATCTTGAACTATCCCCGTGGCTTCCTGATCACTTCTTCAACAGACGCTCCCAGCATGTCAGGACCTCACAATGAACCAGCCAGCAACGTGGCGTACGACCCTCTACCATTGACAAGCGACGACCAGCACACTGACGCCCTCTACAATGCCGCGTCCCCACTTCCCTCCGCTCCCAGTACCCCCGCAACCGCGAGTCCAGGATCTACCTGCCGACGACTTTGGAATTACCTTCCGGCGCTGCCCAGCCCCGTTTCCTCGGTGCTGCCCTTGTACAACGAAGGAGGACCAGTCATTCGCGACTCGTACCACTCCCAAGGAACATTTCCTTCCACTGGAGGTAGAGACTCCGAATACAGTTCTTCAGTGTATGCCCTGAACGACACTCAGCACCAAAACCAAGGCAGCGGGGGCTTCGAGGCTGGCTACCGCGATGATCCACGCGACACGGAATATTATGGAGGCGAGGGAGAGAGGGGTATCGGCATGGCCCCAGTGAACAGTCGGGGGAGCAGGTATCTCGAAGAGAAACGCGCTGTTTACTGCTGCCCCAAGTCCTAAACGGAAGGTTATCATTGCTGCAGGGGCCGCCGCCGCCGCCCTCCTCATCCTCGCCATCGTCATTCCTGTGTACTTCGCATGTTGTCAAACCCAAGAATACCACGAGTTCCGGCAGCTAATGGCAGCAGCAACGACAATAGCGGTAATAGTGGGAACACTAGTCCGTCAGCCTACCAGCACTGGCAAGCCAACTGTCGCGGCTGTGACAGGCGGTGATGGGTCCAAAATCACGACAGAGGATGGAACGCAGTTCACGTATTCAAATTCGTTCGGTGGATACTGGTACTACGATCCTAACGACCCGTTCAACAACGGAGCACGACCTCAATCGTGGAGCCCTGCACTAAACGAGACGTTCAACTATGGCGTCGATAGAATTAGAGGGTAAATATTTCCCCCACAAATGTTTCATTTGTCAACTAATACATTCGGTGATAACGTAGTGTCAACCTTGGTGGATGGCTTACCATCGAACCTGTAAGTAATTCTTTCCAGTGCATGTGGATGTCTCCTGCTGACTTGCCGTCTTGCCAGTTCATGCGAGTACCTTCTACAAGCCGTCTAAATTCCGACTTCAACTAACGAGAACTATAGTTCCCCTGCTTTATTTGAGCCCTTCGCGGATACTAGCAGCCCGGCCGTCGATGAATACACTCTGCATACCTTACTAGCAGCGGATTCTGGAAATGGGGGCCTTGACCAGATCAAGGAGCATTACCAGACATTTATCGTGCGTCGCTCACCTGAAAACCTTGTTTTCAACACATCTGACAAACCAACAGACAGAACAAGACTTCGCTGAGATTGCCGGCGCGGGCCTAAACTATGTTCGGATACCCTTGCCGTATTGGGCCATTGAAACCCGGGGAGATGAACCCTTCTTGCCTAAAGTTGCTTGGACGTGAGTAAAAAGACACGTTAACTTGTGATTGTGTTAAAAATTTCCTCTCCACAGCTACTTCCTGAAAGCCATCGAATGGTGTCGTAAGTATGGCCTGCGAATCAACCTAGACTTCCATGCCCTACCAGGCAGCCAGAACGGATGGAACCACTCTGGTAAACTTGGAACTATTAACTTCCTAAACGGCCCTATGGGTTACGCAAATGCGCAACGCTCCTTGGACTATATTCGTATCTTCGCGGAATTCATATCACAGCCTCAATACCGGGATGTCGTGACAATGTTCGGGATTGCGAACGAAGTTCAAGGTTCCGTTGTCGGCGAAGACCAGACTAAGGCTTTGTAAGGATCCCTCCTTTTCTTAGTTCTCTATAGCTAACCCCTCGTTTCAGCTATCTTGAAGCTTACGACATTGTTCGCAATGCTGGAGGTGTTGGTGAAGGGAAGGGGCCTTGGGTTAGTTTCCACGACGCTTTCTTCTCTCGCTCGGAGTGGTCTGGTTTCCTACCTGATGCCGACCGGATCACCCTTGATTCTCATCCATACATGTGTTTCAACGATCAGTCGAAACGCGGCAATGAGCACCTACGCCACGACGCCCTGTACCACCTGGGGATCCCTTGTAAATGGAACAATGAGCGACTTTGGTCTTGCCAACGCTGGTGAATTCAGTCTTGCCGTTACTGATTGTGGTGAATACCTCAACGGTGTTAACTTGGGGACTCGATACGAGGGAAATTATACTGGTTACACGACGTCGGTGGGAAGTTGCACGGAGTGGACTGATTGGAAGAGCTGGGACGCTGACATGAAGAGTGCTATGAAGCAATTCTCCCTAGCAAGTATGGACGCACTTCAAGTATGTTTATTTTCTCTTCATTCCTAGGCTTCGATCGCTTAACTCCTATTCCTAGGACTGGTTCTTCTGGACGTGGAAAATAGGTGGGATTCAATTCTGTCGTACCTGACAATCTTCTGATTCCTATTTTCTTTTTCTCACAAGGCAATTCAAGTATTTCAGGCCAAATTGAGTCCCCAGCCTGGTCGTATCAGCTTGGCCTCCAACAAGGCTGGTTGCCAAAGGATCCTCGTGACGCGGTTGGAACATGTGGTAACTCAAGCCCTTGGACAGGTACTCTTAGCGCTGGATCCGGCAGCATCCCAGCGAGTGTCAGCAGCTCCCTATCGTGGCCCCCTGCAACTATTAGCAATGGCGGTGCGCTTACGCTCCTGCCTTCGTATACTCCTACCGGAGTTGTTCCGACGCTCCCTGCTCAGACGGTGACAGCCAGTGCAACTGCTTCTATCGATGCCGGGGACGGATGGAATAACAGCGGTGACAAGGATGGGCTGATGGTGAATATCTCGTCATGCAGCTATTTGGATCCTTGGGTGGGGCCTACAGCGGCACCACCGTCGCCCTTGTGCTCATAAAGCGTTCATTCCCCTTGTCATGTCACACTTCGTCCACCCTCCTTTCCGTTACTCTATTGACTTTGATCGCTGCTATCTTGTTTGATACTTTGTGGAATTTCCCCTCCTTGCCGTCTTACAGACAGTATCGGTTGTAGGCTGCTCTTTCATCATGACTTTTATATTTCAGTACTATCCTTGCAATTGATTGGACTTCCGTTTCGCACCTTTGTCCCATTAGCATAACACTATATAACTTACTAGCGCACAATATATAAAAAACCGGCTTTGTTATTTCGGTGTACAAAAGAGGTGTTTGTAGATTTACTATTTAGTGTTCTCCACTTGTAGTTGCGTACCGATCTTCTAGATCTTCCTGTCCGCCAAAGCCTCCTTCAAAGTCACGATCTTGGGATTTGGTTTGTTCTTGCTGGCTCATCTTTTCCTTGAGGGCTGAGAGTTGTTCCTGCTCCTAATTTCGTCAAACAGGGTGAGTTCTCAGAGTAGTCCGGTTATATTACGCCAAGCGTCGGGTGTGGGTCGTACCTTTTTATGAGCATATTGAGCTTCCTCGGCTTGTTCCTTGGACTTCCAGGTTTTATCCTGTCATGCTCGTTCAAAGTGTTCTCCCGTTATATAGTCAATGAATGAGAATCACCTGGGCGGTAGCTCCAGACGACATATTCTTCAGGTATGGATGTACGAGATGGTGGTGCTAATGCAACAGGTGATCGTGACGTCATCGCACCATTCGACCTCTTACCGTCACCACCACTTCACCATGACCATCACGCCCTCTTGGCAGACTTCCACCGCGAGTCTCTATCTGCTTGCAGGGACATACCCAATGCAGGGATCTAGATACCGCCCTTTGCCCCTGTCATCGACTTCTCTCTCCTCCGCCAGTATGCCTTTCAGGATCGGTGGCTACTATATGTCCTTCCCCACAGTCTACAGAGTGATGGAAGCATTTGAAATACCCAATCCCATGAACTACGACGACACTCTGCTCGAATTTGCCATCACCACTACCACTATGTTTCTGGTTTCATAGGCTTTGGCGCTGCTACAGGCTCACTGTTTCCTGTCGAAATGGTGTCCTTTGCTCCTCGCAGTTGCCAGATGCTTGCGTTGTGTCGTTGTCATAGGTCGGGCATCGCTACAGGCACACTGTTTGTCATTCAAACGATGGGCTTGATCATTTGCGGTTTCCTGATACCTGCGTTTCGTGGTTTTCATAGGCTTGGGCGCTGGTACAGGCACACTTTTTCTAGTCATAAGGTGTGCTTTTTTCCTCACCATTGCCCAACACCTGCGTTGTGTCGCTGTCATAGGCTCGAGCACCGCTACAGGCATGCTACTTGTTATGCAAATGATAGGCTTGGTTGTGTGTGGTTGTTCGACACCTGCGTTCGTTGGTTTCCATAGGCTAAGGCTTGAGCTCTGCTATACAGGCGCACTGTTCGGTGAAATGGTGTGCTTCGTCTGTCATGTTCGCCTGATGCCTGCGCTTCCCGGTTGTTATGTCCGCTGGTGGTCTCCTTTGTGAAGGAGCTCACCAGTTTGGTGGTACTCGGTTGTTACGTCCGCTGGTGGTCTCCTTTGCGAAGGATCTCACCAGTCTGGTGGTACTCAGTGTTTCGTTGACACAGGCACTCTCTTTTTCGAAGGAGCTTGCCTGTTTCGTTGTTCTTGGTTCCCGTTTCATCGCTTTCATGGGCTAAGGCCCGAGCATCGCTGCAGTCTGTGGTTCTTTCTTTCTTGGTGGATGAGTCGTACGCTCCCATTGTGCTTGATCTCTTCTCATTGCTGCTAACCTGTAACTTTCCATACACCCCATGGTCCGTGCACCATGTCTCACTCTCCCGTTACGTATTTCTCATTTGTTCACATGTTCTTTCATCGTCATTACTGACGCACATGCCTCATGAGCCACTTCATAATACTCCTCCTTTTCGACGGCAGTGTACACGTCTGGTTGCTCGATCGCGCACTGTTATCTACGTTCTGTCTCATCCCCATCACTTTTCATTCAATCGTGTACCCTGCGAAGAGTCTCTACTCCGCGAGACGCACTCAACAGTGTGATTACAACGGTATGAGCCTTCGCAGCCACAGCGCATGGTTCGCCATGTCAGGGCTGTGGACCCGGCCGTTCCTTATTGGGACCTGGCGCCGGTAACACCACCACCACCACCACCACTAGCGTACCGCCACCATGTTCCTGGTTTCATAGGCTTTGGTGCTGCTACAGGCTCGCTGTTTCCTGTCGAAATGGTGTGCTTGGCTCCTCGCGGTTCCCAGATGCTTGCATTGTGTCGCTGACATAGGTCAGGCATCGCTACAGGCACACTGTTTGTCTTCCAAACGGTGGGCTTGATCATTTGCGGTTTCCTGATACCTGGTTTTCATAGGCTTGGGCGCTGGTGCAGGCACACTTTTTCTAGTCATAATGGTGTACTTGTTTCTTCACCATTGCCCAACACCTGCATTGTGTCGCTGTCATAGGCCCGAGCACCACTACAGGCACGCTGTTTGTTATGCAAATGGTAGGCTTGGTTGTTCGACACCTGCGTTCGTTGGTTTTCATAGGCTAAGGCTTGAGCTCTGCTGTACAGGCACATCGTTCGGTGAAATGGTCGGTCATGTTCGCCTGATGCCTGCCTCATAATATGTTCATCACTGGTAAAAGGCAAAATCAATATGAGATCCTTCCCAAATGTTATCTTCCCTATCCCCTTCCCTTCCCCGTATCTTGTCACTCCGAGTCTGTGGTATCGTTACGATGCACTCCGTCCGTTTCTTTGTGGTCTGTGTGTATGTCTCATATCTGTCTCGCTTTCTCTTGTGGATATTACACAAAGTCCGTCTTGCTTTTTGTTTTCGCCATGCATTGCCGCCAAATCTGCCAGTGCTTACAACGTTGGTACTAATGGGGCCCGTATCTCTCGAAGTCTCCCGTGATTTTCGGGGCGTTCAAGACATGGATAAGTCAAGAAGTCTTGTTTGAAGGAATTGTCCGTACTTTAGGAATCATTACGCTTCACTCCTGTTCTTTATTGTACCCCATGAAGAGTCTCTACTCCGCGAGACGTATGCAACCGTGCGATCAAAACGGTACGAGCCTTCATGGCCACGACGCATGGCTTGCCATGTCAAGGTCGTGGACCCGGCTGTTCCTGATTGGGACCTTGTACCGGTACCAACACCAACATCATGTCGCAAGTTTTCGTTCGTTCCTATTCCTGCCCACAGAAAAGCGCTCGTGAGCTTACTGACATCTTCTCATACACTCGCCGTGGAGGTCCTCCGATGGGCTGAACGAAGATGTCCTTCCGTTCCCCGCTGTCAGCGTTTGTGCCGTCTTTGTGGTTCAGAGGTTGAGGATGAGGTACATGTTTTGTTGTACTGCGACGGACCCGGCGACTTGCAGAATTTGCGTTCCCATTTCTTTTGTAACATCTTCGCGCTCGCACTTGCCCTGAAATCGGCTTCATTCGGACTGGAAATTCTTCACATTCTTCTTGAAAGTGATGATACTCGAGTCCTAACCTCTCTTGCCAAGTATGTTTTGGACGTGTGTCGAGTTATTAACTGTACACCGCTGTATCATCCATAATTACTTTGCTTCCTGAAATTTCACTCTTTCGCATTCCCTTCCTTTGCCTATCCACTTTAGCACCCTGCGAAGAGTCTCTACTCCGCGAGACACACTCAACAGTGTGATTACAACGGTATGAGCCTTCGCAGCCACAGCACATGGGTTCGCCATGTCAAGGCTGTGGACCCTGGCCGTTCAAGTTATTGGGATCTGGCGCCAGTAACATCACCACCATCACCTGCAGGCCTCTTCAGATAATACAATGCGTTTTTCACAGACTATGGTATCTCATGGTATATCTCATCCTACAGGTGCGATGTCCCTTTCTTTGCAACAGCTTCATCCTTCATCTTCTTGACATAATCCTTCATCATTTGGCTCTCTTTCAACCATTGCCGATAAGTACGAGCGGATGGATGGATAGACATGGTTTGTTCGGTGTTCTACGGAGAAGGTCAAAAGATCGCCATGCAGCTTATACGAGTACCCCTTACTTTAACACCACTTCCCGGCCCGGATCGCAGAACAAACTCCCAAGACAAGTACAACGTCTCTGCAAGCGGATGGTCTCCATAGCGCGTAGCTTCAAATTGCTTTGCATCTAGCTCGAGTCCAAGGTATGCCTTCTCACCCGTCACCTCTGAGAATTGCTGTACAATGTCGCGCATGGAGAGGTACTCAACGCAGATCTTGATCTTTACGCCTGAGCTCAAAACAATTAGCGACGAGATTGGAGGAAGATACGTAGATTACGCACCAATGTACTTCTCTGGTTCCTTAAACGCGGGCACGACCCATCCACCAAAGTCTTCCACGCTCATGGAATAAATCGGTGCCTCGGGAGGAACAGGGACGCTCCATGAGAATCCTTTTTCAGGATCATAGCTGGGAGGGAAGAAGGGCGTGAAGAAATTCTCGTAGTACATGGGAATGTAGACAAAAGTCCAAGGAATGCCGGACTCGATTACGAGGTCCTCGATGCGAGCCTTGGACGTCCAGCTGATAGCCTTGCATTCCCCTTCACGCCCTTCGACGGTGGACCACACAAAATGTTTTACACCGCTAGCTTTCGCAGCCTCGACCATATTCTTGCCGTGGAGTTGTTCTAAATCATATCCATGCTCGTAGAACTGGGTTACAGCAAAGACACCCCATGCTCCGGCAAATGCTCTGACGACCTCGTCTAGGTTCGAAAGGTCAGCCTTGACGACCTCGATACCCTTTGCTGCGAGGTTTTTTGCGGCAGTAGATTCGGGGTTTCGGGTGATGGCTCGGATAGCAAAGGTCCCGGGATCCTTGAGGAGATATTCCACTACTGATCCTCCTTGCCTAAAAGCCGGTCATTAATCTAATGGTAATGTCAATGCACTGTCGAACTCACTGTCCCGTTGCACCAGTTACCGCAATCAGCTTAGACATCATAAGGGAGGTCAGGGAGAAAAATGTGCTCGTCGTCCATGATACGTGAGCGTGATAATGATGATCCGGCCAGGTCTTTCCCGTCTGATGGAATGCAAGCCCAGAGATAATTGCTTAACCGAAAGGAGATCGTTATGGTGATTGTATTCAAATGATGGTGTTCCAGAGGAATCGAGGGGAACCTGAAGCATGTGTTGAGTCGCACGAAAAACCCCCGAAAAGAAATCCTCTGCAATGTAAGAGAAAGAGGATGATTATGCTTGTGTAGTCTGTAAGATAAACATGAGGTGCCTCGTCAAGGCACGTTAAAGTTCAGAAGCCAGGGTAACTATATGAGGAAGACTTGCTGCTAATTATGCGACCCTGAGGATATTACTCAGGTGTCGGAGTAAGTCGTATCCTGTCGTATCGCAAGTCTTCCAGGGGCGAGCACGAATGTGTTCTAGAACTCGTCACACCTCTCAAAACATCTTGCACGTTTGCAAGTCAATAGCCAGAACTGACACAGGCCCACGACGTACTCGAAGCTAAGGCAAGCCGACTTTCTTTCCTGCAATCCACTGAGATATACGGAGGCAAGGGCGAGAAGAACAAGACTGAAGATATATACATAGCCGACAGATAAGCAACATAAGGTTCTAAACCCCACCAGAAAGCCGGGAAGCATCCAACTTGACCTAAAAACGACTCAAATGCTCCCGTATAATGCCCACTGAATACTCTAGCATCACGACGGACAAAGGTAGGGCGGAAATGTAACCCGCCGCTCTCATAACGACCTTGTAGCGAGGAAATGCTGATCGTAAAAACTGATCAGAAGGACACCTTCGGTATTTTCCAAACAGTTGTATGGCCCCAGCTTTATCAGTAGCGATAAAATAGACGGGAACCCCCACCTATGTGATTTCAACAATCATAACGCAACCATAGATTTTTGTAGGCACCCCAGTCCAAGTACGGCAGCTAAATAGAACCAGAAACGAAGCCGCAGATCGTGGAGATATAATATCATGGACGACGAATAGACAAGGACGGCAAGACAAACGAGATAGAAAGTAGAACATTAATGCGGCTTCACTTCCCCATCCGTGGCGATCTGACCTCTCTGAACGCAGAGGGGAGGGCGAGATCTGACGGAGACTGGCGGGTACAAGACTAGCTTCACTGGGCCTTGCAAAATGCAGGCGATCCATCGACGAAGGTAGCCATGTGTCACAGTAATGGGCCGATTCGAATATGTAATTTACCCCAATCATGCACGTGATCTACGCGTCGCGTAGTACGGTAACACAGGCCTAGGCACTACAGTCTCGCATACCGAGCAAGCCGGACGCGAAAAAGCTAACATTAGCCTTAAGTATGCCTACGCTCATCGCGTGAGCTCGCAAGTCTAGATGTGCAAGCTATCAGTGCAGCTGTGCCTCGCTGAGAGCGGCGCTTGTCATTACCCGGTCAACTTTTAGCGCCGTCCAACATGATAAGTATGTTCCGTAGCACGGACCTGCTGTCCCACAGGTAGCCCAAGAGAATATGAAATTTGGGGATATCGACCGCTGCGAAGTCATGGCATCGAGAGGCCGTAGAACGTCGGCGTATATGCGACGATTTGGCCGGGAGATCCAGGAACACTATCTGAGGCTATCGCAGCCTTGCTGGTCCAAGTTCTGAGATACTTCTTGGTGTAATATGAGTACCGATTGATTGATTGCTCCGTTCGACGGTAGTCTCTTTTGCATAGGTCAAGGTGACGGAGGTCCTTAGTCGGTGAAGGAATGGCAATAATTGACGATGGCTGCGGTGCAAGTGACAACTTGATGATATTAATGATGACCTGACGATAGACACAGATCTGAAGACCGTAGAACAAAATACCTAGTACGAAACTGAGAAGCTGGTCAGGACTTGAAATGGTATAACGTATCTGCCCACGGTCCAAGATGCTACGAGGCAAATCAAAGAGATACGGGTAAATCTCAACAGATTCCTCCAGCAACGGGTCATTTGTCGAGAGCGTACACATCGGAGACATCAGGAATCGCAAAACATAATTCCCAGGGCGGTGAGCCGCACAAGCTGAGAGAACCAGAAATGAATCAAAATCGAAGGCAAGGCTGATCCTCAAGTAATTTACGTACTGATCTTCCTCTGAATTTCAGAGCCTCTCTATTTGCCTGTTGTGATAAATAAAGATACGATTGCATGGCAGTCGACTTGCACAGCAGGTTGATTAGGATCGAGGTGGAGCAAACTGCCAACTAGGTCAGATACTGGCAGGTACTGAGAATCTCGTTCCGCCAGAGCCGAACACTAAGCAGTCCACTGGAAGCCATCGCCCGATTATTTAACGAGGGGGTTCGCCGAAGGCTCAGTATAGCCTGCCCTTGTAGTCTGAACTTGAAAATCCTATTGTGGAAAGCTGAACCTCAATCCACTAAAAATAGATAGATACCTTTCCCAGTTCGACCACTGCCTAGCATCTGGCATGAAGAAGCTCCACAGAACCTTCTACTTCATATTTATTACTGTCCACCACAACAAGGGTGTCGACATTAATACACGAGGCTTGAAAGAAGGACATGTCGGCCACCGTGTGAGTTGGACTGCGGATCGCTTCTAGTGAAATTCAGTCGACATGAAGAGTGGTTGCATCCGACAGAGTTGTGCGCAGTAAAAGTCATTGAGAAGTCTCATCTAAACGAGGTCAGATGTCAAGGAAGGTTCTGTAGGCTTTCGGTTGAGACGAGAGAGGATGACATGCTGGTCGCTTCCACACAGAAAGCGCATTCATGAGACCGGCACGGTACCAATTGTTCTCCACGCTTAAAACCAATGTCAAGCGCCATTTGAAGGGTTACCGGAGTATTTGAGATCTGACTGTCGACTTCAGGGTGGCGAGCCGACCCCAAGGTGAATCAGGGATATGTGATGCAACTGATCGTCCTGCTGGAAAGACGTGAGAGAAAACAGAGTCGAGCCAACGTCCGCTGAAGTACTTACTATACTGATCAGATGGAGTTGGATGCTCGGACTCGGTAAACAATGGACTGTTTCCGGGAAACTTGTTTTGCATATGAGTAAGCTGTTGAGGATATCGATACACTCAAAACTGACGCATGACGGACCTCATGGAAGTCATATAAAGGTAGACGCCCGGATCGCTTCTTCGTAGATAGCCCGTCCTCATCCGGCATCCAAAGAATGCCGGCCAAAGCGGTGGGGAATTGTCGCGATTAACCCCACCATTGACTATAAGAATGTCCGAGAAGGATCGGACTTGGAGGAGGGCCCCCGTCGTACTTGAGTTGCAACGAAGTCCAGATAGATATCCATAGATGGACTAACGCACTCCAGAAACATCGACTGAAGGAGCTCCCAAGTTCCGCAAGGTGACGACCATGTGCTCATTCAACCTGTACGTCTTGGATTTAGCTCCTTCTACAGATGAGGTGGCGGTCAGAGAACAAGTCTCATCATTGAATTACGGACCTCTCACGAAGAACCGGAACAAATATGGTTGCCGTAATAACATTCATCTTGCGTCAGGCATATGTTAGAGAAGAGGAGGATTCTAGCGGCGACGTAAGTCTTCATGGCGGAGACAGGCTATAGTAGCGACGCCACTCTCAAGACATACGCCATAAGCCCCCACCTAATGGTCCTAATCATACAATTCGGTATTCCGTCGCTTCTCGACTTGCTTTGAATGAGATCGCAGTTCCGGTCGGCTTTACCCTGGAAAATAACCGAACGATAAGTCCAAAGTTACCTCTAGAATGCACATTTTACCCACCAAATATTTCTTTCGGTGCCGGTTGTGCATCTTATCGGTACATCATACCACCCGACTGCACAGATGGAAATTTCTGTTCGACTTTTTCTGTCAAGGGTCACAGCGACCGGGCCGCTATCCCACGAAAGGGCCGCAATAACCTAAAAACCTGAGCACTTCCTGAACGATATAAATAGGTCAACAATGTGGGGTCCATCAAATGCGAGATCGGGTCAACTTGAAGGGAGCAATGTGAGGACCCCAGCCATCACACACTATCCCCAAAGCTGCAACGAGGATCCCAATATCAGATGGTCCTCAGACACCTTCGGCAAGATTTCGGGGGGTCAGAAGACAACTTTCCCCCGCGAAAACAGGCGAAAATCGATGCGAAGCTTGGGTCATAGGATGCTGGTAAAGACTGTTACTACACGAAAGCGGCGGATGGAGCGGAGCTTCGCGCCATCTCCGAGGTGTAAAGAGAAGGCGGCCGAAGCAGGCAATTCCCTAGTCCAAGGTTCGGTATGTAGGGCCGCATGTTAATGAAAAACGCGTGGACGACGACGACCTATGACGCTGCATTAGCTTGGGTCTTCTCCAAGAATAGCGCGACAATGCCAATGATAGCTCACTCTTGTTCATTAATAGTTCTGCCAAAGATACAGACGCTATTCCGAGCTATTAACTAGCTATGAATGACGAAGCACAAGGAGCAATGTGTAACCTGGAACGCCAGCCGAGTAGTCGCTTCTGAAAGATGACTGAAGGAATTCTAAAGGCCAATTTTGAAAGGATGCATGGGCTAAACATAGTATGTTCTATGAATATATGCAGCGAAGTCAAAATTGACACAACTTGGAAACGATAGAAGTGTCCGGTTGAGGTGTCGTTGCAGCTTACAACCGATGCGGTCGTCGCTAGTCGCAGTAAAAGGCCGCTGTCCACGCTGCGCAGTAACGACAGTGCTAACTATAGAGAAGAAATTAGACTTTAATTGTACTTCACGGCAGAGAAGACGTACTCCAACGTCAGTCCTCTTCGAAGTCACAAAACACGTCCCGCAGCTTTCATGACTTCGAGAATGATAGCTATCCAAGTTTCGTTCGAGCTGATGCGATTTGAGACTCCGATATCTAAAATGATAGTGCCGCACCTGCGGCTTTCCAAATTACGCCTCCAAGTCCATTCCCGCTTCCAATGAACGGTCATGAAACAAGCTTCAAAGATTAGTAAGCTACTGCTTGATACAGTAGTATACGTATCCAACGGAATCTCAATGTCCGGTAGTGTTAGAAACCTTCGAAGTCAGCCTCGTAGTTGTTGAATAATTCTTAAGCGAAAACGAGCATACGTACAGCGAGTTACCCGCCCATCACGTTAAATTCTTCTTCTTGCATCCAAACGGCAACCCGTAAGAAGACACACGAATTGGTTTTCAAGCGCGCACAAGTACGCCAATGTTAAAATACATATACTTACTAACATTCAAAGAACGGGTCTCGGCGCTTGTGGCGGTGGCCTGGAGACGCGAGGGCCGGCTTAAGGGGGGAAACAGGGCGGACGGCGACAGTGTCAATGAGTAATCATCGGAGTTCCTGGTATCAAAAAATGTATGCGATGAGGTATCCATAATTCTTTCGAAGAGCCGAGGCAATCAAAGCAAAGCGTGTCAAGAACGCACTGCTGGTGTAGTAATCGCATCCACTCAGTGCGACTAACGGATGAATCGATGAAGCGGTGGGCGCGGTGATGAAAGTAAGCACTATCTATACATTTTATTACTTACCAGACCACAGGGCATCATAAACGAGAAAAAAAATCAATCAAAAGTTGTTACGAAACGATATGACGCTTACAGGCGGCACCGGTATATCCCGACGACCTAGGGTCTTTCGGGGTCCCATTGCGAAGGCGGGATGATTGATCACTGTGTTCGGTTGATGTAAACCCAAGTAGCGCACGTTCGTATTGCTAATAAGCATATATAAATATATTTCTGTCGTCCCCTAAAATAGCCGCATGGACTGGTGTAGGTGACGAATTTCCTGCCGGGTATCCGAGCCTGGACGAGAGAGTATGTTTCCTAAATAGCGCAAAACCGACGATAAGGAGAATAATGATTGCGAATGAAAATGATACACGTAGACTTGATTTTTCCACGGGAGGTGTGAAAAACTGGACAACTCCGAGGACGGCAGGTTATCGAGCGACCAGGAGAACCGAGCATCCCAAGTTAGCCGGGACGTCTTGTATTATAATCGTTACTGTATTAGCGTGAATTGTTGCCACCACTTACGATACTCATTGATGAATGTTGAAGGAAAGAACCGTTATTCTCGCTGAGCTATTTCGAGAGAGAGATTCATGAATCAATGTCGGGCAAAGCCTATCACATTCATCGCGTCGAGATACCGCAGTATTTCGTACTTGTGTGTGGACATTGTGCTTGCAACTGGCAAGCCTACATCGATTCAGTTTTTAATGTCGAAGAAAAAACGGGTAACGCACTGAACCAACTGGACTTCATTGATCCTTCCAGGGCGTCGAATACAATGAACCATCAAACGGGTGCCTGTCAATGTCATCAAGTCAAGCAGCCCTGATATTCATGTTCATCACACAAAACTGAATCCCAGGAGAGTTATGAAGATGTGTATCGGTTGCACAAGAGCCGGATAGCAGACCACGCACCCGAGGTACTTGTACAGGGCATTGCCTGGGAAGACTAAGCTGAATTGGGAGCGTTACAGTGAACACCCATCTGATGAACGGAACAAGATCAATGCAGGGACAAGAAGATGGATAGTTCATGAAGAGTCAATAAACGCGCAATGATACAAAGCACAGATACCGTTCCAGAGTACGCTGTCACTATGCTACTATAGCCACCGCAGAACAAGAGTCTCGAGAGCTGTGCAGCGTATTGATCAAGAACCCGCTTGAAGCTAGTAGCCATACAAGCTAGCTCAAGCAAAAATCCCTCCGTCACAAGTCTCCAGCCCATTCCGGGCACCCAAACCCGTGATAAGCACAAGCCGGCATCTTGAATACAAGGAGGCGCCCAAGGGACAACACCAAGAACCAAGAGAGAGGTAATTTTGCCGGCAGGGCCAAGACTTTGGAGAGGGATTTTCGCGGGTCAACAGTTCACGTCACGAGCCCGGAGCCGCGAAGAATTCCAAGTATGAGTCATAGAACAACTCTTCGCTTTTCCTTGGCGGACGACATTTGAAGAGCGATGGGTACCGGGGGTCTCTCCAGTTATCGACGACGATTGTTTTAATGACCGGACGCTGTAGATGCGTATATGGCCCGCCATTCACACGCCGTTGGGGTCGTATGACCTTTGTAGGGTGTTCTCCCGCTATGCAATTGATCGAAGAGTCCTGCTAGATCGGAGGACTGTATGAGAGGAGGATCGCTGAACGAAAACGAAGGCAAATGCGTACTCCTCTCTTGCAGTCGCGTGCGGTTCATAGCCCAAGCGCCGAGTCTAGGCAGTAGATGGAGCAGCGGTCATTTGAGCGACTTCTTCTGAGGGGCTCGATGTCACCTTTTGAAGTGCAGCTCCAAGTCCCCAGCACTCTTAATGAGCATGACGTCATTTGCAATCGAGTAGAATGGAATATGACATTGGAAAGCGACCTTTTTTGAAATCCTTGGAGTCCTGATTGTCGTTTGCATATTGATATTGTGAGAGAACTGATGAGTTTCGGGGTACGAGGGAGCGTATACTTAGGTCGGTGGTGTAAATTCAAACTTTAGACCTCGCGATAGCCACGCCGCACGCACAGCGTAGTCTCGATTCTAATGGTACTATTTTCAGAGACGGAAGATTCAAGGAATGAAAAAGCGAGCTTACCAAGGCTTACCACTTAGTCGCGTGCCCCATAACATGCAGTGCTCGAATTAATTTCGCAGAAATACAATTCGCGTGCACAGCCTTCCAGAGAGAAGATAACACCTCTTCCGGCCGTGATTGATTTCATGATTCCTTGGCTTTTGCCTAAGATCCGGGCGGTGGACAAGTGTACCCTGGGGCAATAGTATAGAAATCACGAGGTCGTCACATACTGAATGCTGGACATGAAGAAAGGAGAACCTACAAATTATGTGCGGGTGTTTAAACAACAAAAGGAAGCATCGACTTATCAAGTCTCACAGTGAGGGGATGAAGGGGATCGATGGCGCTGATAGACCAAGAGTACAAAATGGGAAACCGCGCGAGAAAATCGAAGCCGGAGTCGAGGAATGGAAGAGATTCTGGTTATCGATGGCGCTAATCACACAGCTCTGCGAATTCTAGGGTGAGGCATGCTATCCTCGAGGCATTTCTGATGCCAGACTGGCGAAAATCAGGAATTGATCACAAAAGGGTCACAGTTGGAATTCGAATTCGAAAAGAGGTTACGGCCTGTGTTTCTGATAAGCGGGCTCCGCCGATTATTTACGGTGACCATGTAAATTGCAGGGGGTGAGGGGTTACGGGGTATCTGGGAGGTGGTACTCTGCGTGTAGCGGGCGGAACCTGTTGTGTCTGGGACGCACGTCGCAGACACACTCGCCGTCACGGGCCGTGACAATATCAGATTTTTTGGATGACGACAGACAGCGGCATAATGCATAATGCATATGCGCATAAGCAATGAAGATAACACTGCAATTTGAATCGGAGACATCTTCGACGGCCAAGACAACCATGATCGCCGTTGTTACGGGGCAAACTCAGACGAAACAAGGAACCCATGAAAAACCCGAAATATGTTGCAGATAATACAGTACTAGACGATTGCACGATGAGCAGGGAAGGAGATGTGATGGTGTCTGTGTATAACTAAACTACGATACGCTAGAGATGATAACCCAAAAATAATATAATTGCAGTGTAGGTGAAAAAAGAAAAAATGCACTAAGTCTTGTGTCGACTGATCTTCTCGACGCCCGCCCCGAGAACTGTTTTCCGGGCAGCTTCATCAGTCCTCTGACTCCTCTTCGCCCTCACTGTATTCCTCTTCAGCGACTGTCTGAATCGTCGTCTTCCGCGTCGGCGTCCGTGGATTGCTCCTGTCGCATCACATAGGCGGCCGGTACTGTCACGGCGCGTAAGTTATGTTCGCCATTAGGGGGTGATATTGGCGAACATATTGGATGGTTTGACGGCAGTGGTGATGACGGTGACAGCGACATTGGAGGCGGGGGTGGTGATGATGCCGCCCGCTCCTTCTCTTCCTTCTCCTTTGCTTCCCGCTCCTCCTTCTCCTTCGCCTCACGCTCCTCACGCGCCTTCCGTTCCCGTTCCTCCCGACGCTTCTTTAACCACGCATTACTACCGCCATCATCCTCGTCTCCGCCCTCACTCTGCAGCTTGCCCCACATCTTCCCACCCGCCTCCTTCGACGACTTGACGCTCCCCATCCCGCCATACCCCCACTCAACAAACTCTGGCTCAGCATCAGGAGCGTTGGCAAAGAGGTTCCTTTCTCTCTGTGCCTTCTTTTGACCGTAGACCCGCCCATTGAGCATTCGCGTCCCCTTTGCTGGGTTCGGTGTGTGTATAGTCGCTAGGAGGCCATCTGTTTTTCGTGGTGGAGGTGCTCGTCCCTTCCGTTGTTGCTTCGGGATGCATGATTGCGTACTCTGGGATCTCCACAGCCCAGCGTCGGCACTGGTCGTACTCCCTGGGCTTGACCAGCGAGAAAGTGCATGCCCGTTCTCCTTTTCCCCTCCCCGGAACAGACTGAGACTTAACAGTCTTGGCGCGGGGAGGCTCATGGGCGCAGTGAGGCTTTGTGTAGGGGTAAGCGAGTGCATGGAGCTAGAGGCTGAACTCGACTGCGACCCCCCCAGGCATTTCTTCTTTCTTGGAAACGCCCAAAAGGATGCTCGAGGAGAAGACTGGGGTTGGGGGCTAGAAAGGGCTGGGATTGAAGGTGGGGAAATGCTCGTAGAAATGTCGCTCGCTGTGTCGGACGACGATGGGAAGGGCTGTGAGAGCTCTGTCTCAGACTCGTCGTCGTCGTCGGTCTGCTGTCGTGGGTCGGGTAATGGCGCGAAACGTATCTTGGCTGCGGACATTGTAAAGGTAGTATTGGTGGTAGTAGAGGTAGTGGTATCTGGCCTTTCCCCCGATGATGGCCTTTCTCTTGTATAAGTAGGATGACTATAAAGTCTTCTTGGCGTTTATTTATTACGTAGGGGTTTCCGGGGTCTCGATCGCGATCAACCGAGACCGTTTTGGGAAGGCCTTTCTTGATTCCGTGAATCGAGATCTCACATTCGACTCTGCGGCGTTGCTGCGACCAATTGGAAGCACGCAGAGAAGAAGGCTCCTTGCTCCCTTGTCGCCTCTTGTCTCGCCTTTTGTTTTATTTGCCCCTCCCGATAATATGTTATCCTCCAAAGATACTCGGCTTCCCTCTACTACCCTGGGTTCCCCTCCGTCTATTACGTACTCACCATCAACTCCCGCTCCCACTCGTAGTCGTCTCTTATCCTTATCGCAGATGAACGTGCGCCCGCTCACGCATGCACCTTTTTATTTATTCAATTTACTGATAACAGCATCCTGCCACGTCCGTTGTCTGGATCCATCGGCGCCTACATCTCAAATTCTTCCATTGCCAAATACTCTTCTGATTCACGACATGCACTTCTGTACGCTGGTCAAATATTATTGATGTCTGTGGATCCCCTCAATTCGTCGTCTGTTCTCAGGGTCCTTTTTTATCTCTTTGCAGGGGCGAGAAAATTTTCGCCCTTGACAACACACCAGCACCGGTAATACGCTTATCAGATCTCACGACAAGCTTTTAAAGCCATAGCTGATGATGCCCCCTTAACCACCCTTTTCCAACGCAGTCGCGGTGATTCAAACACACATCGGCCAATATGTGTCGAGCTCGCTTGGAGCTGATGTAAAAATTTTCAAAGACTCATTAACGTTTTCAGAAGATAGCAACTTGGTAACCGATGTCCGGTTATCGCTCTTTGGGCTAGACCGTAAGCGCATGTACCGCCATCAATCACCAAGTGCTCAACATTCCGAGGGATAGAACGACTACAGGCTCCTTCGAGATTTCGAATCTTCGAGACAATGTATACCTACTTCGCTTAGTCTTCGGTGACTTGTGTGTCGTGTGATTGCCTGTCCGAGCACGCGGACTGTCGAATTCGACGACCCATGGCCAGATGCCAAAACCGAAACCGTATCGTCGCTAGTAGGGAGGATACCTTGAGCTGCTGTGTTTTCATGTGATCTTCCCTTTCCTCACTTGTCAGTCCCTCAGATCAGTCGTTATTTGGAATACCCGGCTGACTCTGCCGTATGTCTTATTGGTCGCTACCTTAATACTGACTTCCTCCTAAAGACGAAAATGCTGTGGCACGAAGACTTGGCATCGCCGGCCGTTTGCTCGTTCTCAGGCTCTACTCATATGACCATCAGCTGGCTCTACTCGTTTTCTGATGCTCCTCAGCCTACCGCAGTACTTGAGGACTCCCAACTCATCTACCATACACCGATACAACGCACTACTAATAATTCACCGGTGCGCACGGTGCCCTCCCGCCCTATCCGCCATATTTTTAGCCCGTCTCCTGGTCTTGGTATGCTTGGTATCTTGATCATCATTCCTGCGGGCGCCCATACCGCTTCTGCGCCTGCGACTTATTACATGTTCTGCCGGCAGTAGTTCATAACTACTTACTCGAGTTGTCTCGAATCAGGTGTGTCTCAAGTCTGGAGGCGGGTTAGACTAGAGGCGCAGCCGTAAGGCTCCAGAGGGGAGGCTTGCGAAGAATACCAATTCCTTAGTCTCGCCAAGTTCATAGGGTCCGGTCGTGCTTGGGTTTCCATTTCAGACGTGGACGCTTCTGTTATGTCTAAATATTCCTCCTTCAGGATCACCAGGTGGACTGTTGACGAGGTCTTTGGTCACCCAATCCGGAGTTTTCAGCGGGCTCCTTTGTTGTTAGTATCGTTTTGGTTATGTCGACATCGTCTCGTCTTTCACGACCCCGTAACCGTTTCGATATTTTCTGTCGTTGTAGCTGAGCCTACTACAACTATGTCTAGTCTTGTTGTCTTGCTTCTACTATACTCCGGTCGAACTTGCTCTTCGAAATTTTTTTACTCACATGACTATTCCCGGCGCCTTTCTGCTCCGCCTGCACACATTGAACCGCGGACTGCGTACCCTTTCCGTTTCTTACAGTTCTACGAAACATACCACTTTCCCTAAGGTTCAAAAACTTCCCTGGTCCTTTTCGCCAACTATTATCGGCCCTATACACGGTGGGGTACATCCAACCTCTCAAGTTTTCCGCATTCATACCATTCCATGATACACAGGTCTCATGACATGAAATTAATCATCCAGGTCTAGGGTAAGTTTGCGTTGGTGAGGCCAAGACAGCTGACAAAAGCGTTCAATTCCCCAGGTAAGTCCTGTTGTACCTGCTACCACAAATGAGGTTTGTTATCGATTTTTACAGCTTCATTATCGATGAGCCGCGGTCGTCCACATGTCCACCTGCACGTAGGTGCCATTCCTTTAATGTTATTCTCCATAATATTCATATCGGTCCCACAAAACCGTCGTTAATTCATTATAGCCCTGTCGACTTTGCACAACTCGGCTACCCATTACTTCCTCGTGGGCTTCGCGTCAAGCTTATTCAATGAGAAAACACATATGTATGTACGTTCCTTTCTCCCTGCACCCACGACTCACTTGCCCAGCGCTTAGTTTTGTCTTATTCGCACGAAAGTATGTCCTATTCCTATTTCTCATCATTCAGTTCCCAACGCGAGCGTGCGTTTACAGGCCAAGACACTTCTAGTCTATTCGAGGAATATTGCATAACGACGCCTTCACACTGCTGCATTTGGACCCCCAGGACTCCTTCGCGCGGCCCTGCCGCTCCCCCTTGTACGACGAGTCTCACGTCCACACCGGGTTCATTAGTTCTTAAACAGGGGAGGAGGCAAATTTGTATAGTGGTGACTACCGCCCACAGCCCTGTTCAGTTAAGAAACGTCTCCGCGCGTCCCCGGCGGAAGTATATGCGGCTGTTTGATCTTTTATTAACCTTGAGCGGGAGACTTCGAGGCAGATCCTTTCCTGTGTACGTGTCTCTTATCTCTCTACGTTGAAGTTTCAAGCTCTACAAGTTCTCCCGTGACGTCAGATGCTAGCTTTTTGTATGCTCTCAGACGGCATGTGCTCATCATAGTGCTGTCATGACCTGTCGATACCAAATGATCCCAACGACTCGGACAAGATACGTATTCGGTCATTCTCGTATTCCCGCCCTGCTTGGCGTCTTGGCTTGCAGATCGTTTGCGTTTACGGTCCCGGTAGTGCCTGCGCCACATTCGCTTGGTATGCCTTCTCGGACCTTGAGCTTCGTAATTAACAGAAAAAAACCTAACGGCGCGGAGGACCCCGGGATTAGTCTGTTCGGTCCGTCGGGATAAGTCGGTTTGTCAGAGTGCTTACTCCTCTTAGTGCCAGTTTCCGTAAACGATGACGAGGCCTTTGAAATAACGTATCTTCAAGCCCCTCCGATATACTCATCTCTTCCTCGATGCGGCGTGTCTTCTCTTAATTCACGCGTGACGTATGCGTGTCTTGGCGATCTCCTTCGGGGATTCCTAAGGTGGTATCACACTGACCCTGCAAACGAGAACGACTGAACGGTTTGCTAGGTCCGGTGGCGGTGGCGACGCCGTTCTGTATTTGGTGCTAACATCATTTTCTTGCGACTGTGGGAGGAAGGTCTAGACCAATGTTCTTTGAGTTAACGTTCAAACTGCGAACACTTCATGATTCAGAGCCGACTAGACAGTGGGTCTAGGTTTGCAGTGCTCAGGGGATAGTGCGTTTCCCGTCCTGCCCGAAGGTAAGTTGGGTTTTGAGGGATGCCGTGGTTCATGTATAGCAGGACTTGGGCGTCCTGGCGTTTACAGCACGATTCCAGATTCTTGTTTGAGCCCCCCAGGGACTAGAGAGTAAAGGAAGTCCTCGACGCCCTGCCAAGTTCGAATCGCTACCCCACAATGCCTCATCGTTCTACGATCACTGATCAAGAGTAATCAGATTCACATCTTGACGAACAAAAACTTACCGGCAGGAAGCGAAGCCGTGTCTAGTCGCGGTGGCATTTCGAGGTTCTACAGCAGATTTGAAGCATAAGACGTTGGGAGACTCCAATGACTCCCTCCTGCCATGAAGGCGAGCAGAACACCTTTGGAGACGAAAAGAAGCAGATAAGGCCGGTAACTGTAAAATGCCCAGTAGGATGGCGAGTCAGGCAGAGAATAGTAATACTGGCACCGAGCGTCTAGATTATAGCCTGGCTCGCATTATCTTGGTGCCGCTACAGATGGCAAATAGATGGTTTCGGATGGCTGGGCATTGAAACTTCAACATGCAAAGATGAAGACCACAAGCAAGAGTGTGACCGCTTGAATTTCTCGTTTGAAAGACAGTAGCCGGGGTCCAAGTACTTCAGCGGTACTTGTGATCGGAATCATAGAGTATTTAACTTCATCCTTAGGGCAATAGATATAGATGCGGTTCAAGGTTACTGACCGTACCTTTTTGTTTTTCAGGGCAAGAGCACTCCGTAAAATGTCAGAAATGTCAGAAATGTGAGAGATGAGATTAGAGTGTCGGAAATCTTCTCCTGAAAGAACATATTTTTTATTAGGAGAAATTATGCGTGCAGCGCTTTGGTGCAATTTTCCTCGAAATTTGAATATCTCGTCACCGCGAGTAAGCTGAAGAGAAGCAAAAATTGCGCACAAAAATATACTGCCCATGCCGAGATTCGAACTCGAGACCCTTGCATAGGGGTAGATATCCTCATAAGTACAATGCTCTACCACTGAGCTACACGGGCAGCACGGCATGTGCCTTCTGTTTTATAGAGTATCTGCTGTTGCCAATTATCAGATATATCCTACTGAGTTAAGGTAAGGGTCTCTAGTTCGATCCTGAGTGGAGGCAGTCTTTTTAGCTAGAAATCAGCAGAAAAATACCATTTACACGTCCATATTACCTTTTGTTTTGAAACATGAACGTTCCTTATCATATGGATTGGGTTCGTTAGTAATTTTTTCTGTTTCTTACCCTTCTACTAAATCAGGCATGAAGACGACCACGTGAATTCCTATACTGGAACCTCGGCCGAAGTTCGATAACGAAGGTAACCTCGTAGCCTTTATGCTGCTTCTGAAGATACGGTCAACTGTCTGTGATTACAAAGCAGCTCGTAGCGAGCACCGTGGGAGGTCATTTGTGAAGTCATTTAACATTGTTGCCGCGGCTTGCGTAGCACAGAAGGAAGCCCGTTACTTTACAATCGATGAATATATTACCTATCCTTCTCTACGCTCTATTGAGTCAGTCTTATAGTAAATTTGCATGAGGCACGGCTCGTCTTTCAAATTCTAGAGAAATTTCCTATCTATCTTAGTGCGCAAGGTAGCACAGGGTAGATACGAAGGGTGTTCCACAGTCCCTCGTGACTCAAAACGCAAAACCTTACAGATTTCGAATAGACCCAAGTGCTGCCATGTTACTGACGCTCGTGATTTCCCTGTCGATGTAACGCGATGGACTGAGCTTGGTTGCAATTCTGTCTTTGCCTCTTCGTGCGTGCAGTCATCGAGACTTATGCGTGTTCTGCTAAGTATAGTACATCCATTTTTAAAGATGTGGAGCTCGGTGCCAGAACTCTAATAATGGGGTACTTGGATTGGCACATATCCTGGCCCCGAAGACAAAGATCGTCACGGTCATATGTCGATATTGAAATTGCTTATGAGCTCGGGATTATTACACTGATGGCCTTGTGTCTTGTGTGTACGTTACTGAGCATGGCAATAACCTCTCACTGATCAGGCGAGCAATACAATGTTTTGCACACAGATGCCGCCGAAAGGTAACCTCTCGTTGTTTTGAAGAGAGTATTATACCCGGATCCTTCTTATCGTAACACTGCATGGTGTCACATACGCACATTCGTGGACCGTCTGGCGAAGGCTGTGGAGTTTCCCCGCAGAATCCCCGACCTCCAGTCTCGATAACAAGAGTGCTAGGAGTCCCAGACGTCTATTGAGTCACTCGTACGAACGGATATTCAGGTTCGAGGCATAGCTGCAATTGTATCCGGTTGTAGGTGTCCATCAGAGCCAGAATCAAAGCTGCATATGAGTCCAGGCTTCCAACAACTCTTCTCACCGCGAAGTGACGGACCATGCAGATAGCTGAAAGCAACACAGTCTCGGGTAATTAGCCTGTAACTCAAGATTCAAGAATGGATAGTCATCAGAGTGATACATGCGGCCCGGGAGGATCAGATCAGGCCTGTGGTGTATCGGATGGTGGATGCATATAAGGCTGAGAAATCATACGTTGATCGTTAGCAAAGACCGTAAGGCTTTGGATAAGATACACAATAGATAGGGCGGCGCAGATACGACATTGAACCATACGCGATTCTGCTAGCGAAGTTCAACGAAGGCTGTTGCAGAGGAGAGGAGCATCAGGAGACAGCGATTTCGCCCAAGCCGTAATAAGGCTTTAGCGATGCATATGTGAGCGAGATTTAGACTTTGGAAATATCTAGATAGTGAGCATCGTAGAAGCGGCGCGCGCACTGCATGACCTGAGTGCGATCTTCAACTGCTACCGTAGCAATTGTGAGCACGTTGCAATGAGGACCAATGAAGAGGCAAATTTTGGCCGACATAAGGAGTTCCCTACAGCTGTATCTAAGAGAAAAAGATTCTCAATGCGCGTCATTCGGCGGCAGTGATGGTGGTTCGACGCGTTCAATGTGACGCGTCACCTGTCTCCGGTTTGATCGTCTGGTTCACACCCGAAATACCAACACCAACGCTTTGAGGGTGATAGATAGCTGGAATACCAAATCACTTATGGGCTAGTAAGCGACGTCGATGTGTAAAGGATGCAGTGGCGCCGCATGCGATTTAGTCTTTATACCCCCGATATGAATTGTTATTGCGCCACTGCTGCTTGTGACTTCCCGAAGCGGGCGATGATAAGATTTACCATTCATGTTCACAGTAAGTCTTGGCCGTCATCTGGGGGTATACTGAATACCAACGACCATGCTTATAGCATTTTCGGGTAAGCTGGCATTTCAGGTCTAGCGATATGAGGGCGTTCATTGGCGTTCCTGCTAGTCTGTTGCCACTCGCTCGTGGACCCATGCATCCTACTCCATTCATTACTGTTCTAGCACTGATAGTTACGTCATAGGTTAGAGTCCGTGCCAAGCCGTCGGTGGCGTGAAGGACCATCTGGAATTATACTGTACGGACCTGTGCCCATAGACCTCCCCTATCCTTACAGGCGCGGCGATGACGCTATTCCAGACTGATGAGGACGTCTTCAAGATTAGTGCGATGCCAGCTATCCTTTCTGGTATCTTTTAGTGAAAGAAAAAAGCTCGGTCCAAGTGAGCAGATCGAAGGTACAAACCCATTCCTTAACGATTTCACCTGATTGCAACAGTTAAACGCAATTGATCTCATCTAAGACGGATTCCCCGGATAGACTCGTCTTCTTGTTCCACCGGAATAGTACTTAGATATTTGTCAACATCATATCCGCCGTTATCCGTCCAGACAATACAAAATACGAGAACCCTCCTCGGGAATGACAATCATTTTAGGTCAGGTGATTTGGGGATAGACTGCGAAATGCGTCATTCATTTTGCTGACTGGATTAGTGAGGAAGAATATAATTCCGAAAGAGTCAAAGACGCCAGGCGAAGCTCGAACGTCGTTATTGATCTGATCACGTGAATCATATTGTTTATGAGTCATCATTGCCAATTTTGATCGCCACAAAAATGACAGAGCAACACGACCCGACGCGGAATACGGTACGGACAAAGAGAAGGATATAAATCAGCAATCGTGGTAATTCTGGCGTTCCAAACACCCACCTTGACCTTTATTCGCAGGTTATCCCGCGTGAGTTATTTTGTGTCTCGGTCTCCTGCACCTTTATTCACTCGGAGTTGATGTCACGTTAAATAGATCACATCGACTCTCAATTTGCAGAGAACGATCACCACCATGGCACCTCTTCCCATCTACAAGGAACCCACGACGAACAAGTATGATTTCGTCGTCATCGGCGGTGGTAGTGGAGGCAGTGGGACTTCGCGGCGAGCAGCATCGTATGGAAAGAAGGTCGCCGTTGTCGAGATGACACCCCACCTAGGCGGGACCTGTGTCAACGTTGGTGCGCGCATATATCCGGCTGCCTTTCGATTTCTCATGCCTATCTGATTGCAGGATGCGTTCCCAAAAAGATTATGTGGCATGCTTCAGACCTCTTCGAAAAGACCAAGTATTCCCTTCCCGGTTATCATATCACTACCCCCAACGCTCCCAGGTTCAGCTGGGAGACTTTCAAGCCTCAGCGGGACGCATATATCCGCAAGCTCAACGGAATCTATCACTCAAACTTTACCAAAGAGGGCGTTGAGTACCATCTCGGTCGTGCGACATTACTCTCAGACACGGAAGTGCGCGTTGAACCATCTGATGGTAGCAAGCCATACACGCTGAAAACATCGCATATATGCGTTGCGGCCGGTGGCCACCCCATCATTCCCAGCGAGGATACGATCCCCGGCGCTAGTCTGGGTATCACTTCCGACGGATTCTTTGAGTTGGAAAAGCAGCCTAAGCGCGTTTTGGTTGTTGGTGGAGGATACATCGGCGTTGAACTAGCAGGCATGTTGAACGGACTTGGCAGCGACGTGAGGGTCGTCATTAGAGGAGAAAGGATTCTTAGGGGCTTCGAAACGGACGTGGTCAACGTCGTGGAGAAGTGCATGCAGAAGAACGGCATCACCATTACCAAAGGCGCGAAGGTCAAAAAGGTCGAAGGTCAAGCAGGAGAAGGCACAGAGAAGACGGTTTATTTGGACAACGGCGAATCCTTCGTTGTTGAGACCCTCATTTGGGCTATCGGGCGCGCCCCCAACACCTCCGGACTTGGTCTGGAAACAGTTGGCGTTAAACTCGACAACAAGGGCAACATTATCGTCGATGAGTATCAGCAAACAAACGTTCCTAGCGTGTCGTCGATTGGAGACATTCAAGGTAAAGCTCTGCTGACCCCTGTCGCCATCGCTGCTGGGCGCAGACTGTCCAATCGACTCTTCGGTGGAGAAAAGTTCAAAAATGACAAAATTTCATACGAGGACATCCCGACTGTAGTATTCTCTCATCCACCGCTCGGAACCGTAGGCTTAACCGAAGACCGAGCCAGGGAGAAGTATGGAGATCAAGTGAAAATATGTACGTTTGTGCACGTCTTTTTAGTGTTCGTACTGACTGGATGCATCAGATGCTTCCAATTTCCGTGGCCTATACTTCTCTATGCTTGATGAGGAACACAAGGAGCCATCGTTCTACAAGCTTGTTTGTGTCGGTCCAGAAGAACGCGTCGTTGGTGTCCATATCGTCGGCATGGGCAGCGATGAGGTGCTTCAAGGATTCGCCGTTGCGGTTAAGTTGGGAGCAAGAAAGCAGGATCTAGACGATACCATCGCCATCCACCCCACCAGCGCTGAAGGTCAGCATTTCTGTTTTTCTCACCGCGTCATTACAAACTGATCGTAAATGGATAGAATTGGTTACATTGCGCTGAAGTGGCATCAATAAATGCTAAAACAACTGTACATCTTAAACCACTTTGTATCATAATCCGACTTGAGATTTTGTTAAATGGATGGATCGCAAGCCTGAGTATTATCGCTGAGGAGGTTCTCTGGTGTGTGGGTATTGAAAGACCTAATGTAGGTAATACCACTTGACCTTAAAAAGAGTTTTTTTTCCTGATCACGACCCTTTTACTCACCTAAACTCCATCGATATCACTAACCAGCGATGGATGTTCGTAATCCTCCACGCTCTAAGTGTTCTAGGTCAAAATGGACGCAATAGTGCATGTGGACTATATGAAAGAAGCACTGGCCATGTACAATGATTCCTTTCTTTCCGGGCGAAAACAACAGACAGATAAATTTAAAGTGCCTTCTCTCAGGCGTTCGGCACCGGTATTAGTCCGTTGTGGTTCTTGTGCGAGGCGTCAAAGAGACCGGGCCAATGAGCCTCAGAAGTAAGAAAGAAAGATTAAGACTGGACAAAGTTGAAAGTCATCGCGTCGTGAAGGAGCTACGTAGAAGCAGCGACGTCGAGGTTATATATATCATATAGAATTACACAGAAGCATGGTAGACCTGCGACTGGTCCCCTAGCATAAGGAATACTCTTCAAGTCGGTATTCTACGTGATTCATATTCACATACGGCGCTAGCACGGTTGGGCCTAAGCTAAGTCGAAGTATTCTTTGGCTGCACTAACAATAGGTTCGGTGGGTGTGGGAGTATGCTCGGGACATCCCAGTAGCAAGTACCAACCTACTTCCCTCAAATCTTCGCTGATCTCCGAGTTCTTGTATACACTGGGTCTGGAGCTTCAAGTGGACTTTTGCGCCAAGGCGCCATGGTGGTTTCTCTCACACGGCGCTTGTACCGAAACTGAGAGCCAATTATGTTTTGGAGAATGCGTCTGAACAAGGATGTACGACAAGAGCCTCCTAGCTGTCATGCAAAAAATTTGAGACCCAGAATGTTCTGTCATGCCTACATAACATACAGTCAATCCTAAAATGAACATTGTAGGCTACGACCAACCGCGCCGTATGGGCAGAGGCGTCCATTGAATTCTGCCCGAACAAGACGGTAATAGTCTATATGACCGACCTCCAAAGGTTTCCAATTCTAGCAAGCAAGCGAATTCTGCTCTGTGGGCAGAGGGCAACACCCTGCTGCTTTTGAAAAAGAGACAAACGTGAGAAAACCAGAAGCAGTTCTAAAAGATGGAAACGTGATATGAAGCTTGAAGAACAGGGCCTTGGGATTGGAGTGCTAATGGAACTTGTGTGGGTATAATGGAGCGGTAAATTATACATAAAAGGTATCGACAGATATTAGGGTATTATCAGGCTCAATAATACACAGTATACGCGACGGCTAACTCACCATCAGCATAAGTTAGCTGATTAATTATATCTATACAGCGCAACACCGACAGTCCCTCGAGGTTATAACCATGTTTGTCCACCGTGGGCCTCTTACATATTGAGGCCCTTCAGTGTTTGCTACCGCTTCCCACTGTTGGCGTTTGCCAACCGTTTCTTCCGACATGCCTCGCAGAACCTGCCACCCGTAACCTCCTCTTCCGCATGGGGTACAGAAGACGAAGACGCAGACGGAGATGAGGGTGGGGGGACAGTCCAGTCGAAGACGCCGTCATATTCTACGCCTACGCGCTTTGCTAAGCCATGGAATAGTTCCCTTAGTCCCTCGTAATCGGGCAAATCGTCAAAGGATAATGACCGCGCATATCTAAGGTTTATATTAAAAACAGCCGACTGAAGATAAAATGAACGCACCTATAAAGCACATCGAACTCAGGCGGCAGTCCTTGCGTCAACTTCTCCTCGGCTTTGAGCTTGGCGTCGCGGATTAAATTCCACGTTTCAGTGACCGGGTTATATGGAGGATAGTCTGGTGTACCAGGAGGTGGATGAGTTGGTGCACGCATTTTCCGCCAGGGTAGCGTTCCCTTGAGGAAGTAAATTAGCATATATGCCAAGGACTCCAGATCATCCCGTCGCGAAGATTCTATTCAAGCTGTCAGAACCGTTTATTAAAAAGAGGACAATACGTACCAACTCCTAGGTGGGTGTTAATAGCAGCAAACAACGATGTCCCCACACCGTGTACGTCGTCCTGCTTGTACGGAATATGCGCTGCCGTCCGCGGATCGCGAAACTTCTTGGCAAGACCAAAGTCGATAATATTGACTTGGTGAACGGATTTGCCGGTGCCCATGACAAAATTAGCAGGCTTAATGTCGCGATGAAGGAGCGAGTGAGAATGGATATATTGGATTCGAGATATCTTGAAGTGACATTCGCGTCAATTAGCGCCGAAATGAAAGCAAGAGACGCACCAATTGATCCGCCAACAACAATACTGTCTTCAATGAAAAACACCGGTTGCACATGCGGAAGAGATCCTCCAGCGAGGGGCCCAAGAGGTCGATGACCATGACATTGTAATCGCCTTGCTTTCCTGAATACATGATCCACGGAACGCCAGGACCGCCCATTAGGCGCTTATAGATCTGCGACTCCAGCTTTAGTGGAGAAGGACCTTGGTGATGGTGATGCTGTGGAATATCGGGATCAGAGTGGCGACGTCGTCTGCTGCGTCTGGGTTCCGATGGCTCGAGCTTGATGGCGACTGGCTTGCCGGCGACATTATGTGTGCCTAGGAAGACGGTGCCGCAACCGCCATTGGCAATCTCCTGCTCGAGGCGGTACTTGCCACCGAAGGTATACTCCATCGTCGTGAAAGGAGATGATGAGAGACTTTTTTCAAACAAAGGCGTGTTATAAATTCCCACGCTGTCTTTGGCCCTGCTGCTCTGTTTTGGGATGAACACGATGTCGTGACTTTTTTCTTGATCATTCATTCTGGTTACCAACCGAATATCACGGACGCAAACGACTCATTCAGGATAAATATGCATAATTCCTGGCCCTTGACGAGCTCCAGCAACGTCGCATCAGGGGATACTCGATTTGGTGCCCTTTCTGCATCATGGCTCGGATGCAGTTGTTGCTGCGGTGTTGCTCTTTCTCTATGCCTTCGTCTATTCACCGATGAATTATCTTGTTGCTTCTGGCCTTGAAAATCAAGCGACGTTTGCATTCGGCGTCTTCAGTTTTCCAAGGCAAAGCTGAGTCCACATCCTTGGGCTAAAATGCAGGCGCATAAACTTTCACGCGTATGTATTCCAGTCATTTACGGCCTATATAAATTCTTTTGGTCAACTTGACGATTAAGTGCATTCGCGCGTAGCGTGTAGGGGCGACGTCGTTCTGCCTAGGTCGTCTCTCTCGTGATGGTTGCTTGCCCGCTGCTTCTTCTCTCGTTAATGCGACTTGCTCTCCATTCTACTTTTCTCTTTTTCGAAGGCGACATTTTCTGTTTATCAGCTAACCACATGTTTAGTCGCCGAAACTTCGGAGATCCAGGTGCTGCGAACAGTGCGCCCTCCCCCACGCCTTTCCATCTATTCGCCAAGGCAGAGATCCTTTTAACTACTGCCGAATGTTCTCGCCCGTGATGGACGACAGAGTCTGACCTCTGACACCCTTGTCCAGCTTCGAAAGCTCCTGCTATGGGTAAGATAAAAACCAAAGCCCCGGCTAACAAAATATCCGTTGGCTTCGAATGCGGTCGATCCAAAGCGACAGATTTTGTTGCAAGCGAAGTATTTTGCCCCACGATCATTGTCGGTCTCGCTTGAAACGCCACACCGCTGTCTGGGTCAGTGGTTTCTAATAGGGTGACTTTTGGTTTTCGCTTTGGAACACCTTTGACAGCCAGCTTATTGGCGCCACAAAGGGGGTCCAGCTGATGTGATTTTTATCTGTTATCGAAAGTGATATCAGAAGCTAGAAGCTTTCTACGATGTTTGAACGTGATGCCTACATCGTTGGGATCATAACCAGCCATGATGGCCATCAACTACCCTGGGAAAATGTTGCTCATCCTAAATCCGTTCTCATGGACATCATCGCTTCGCCTTTCCACAAGCTCCTCACGTCCAACGATTGTCCGACGGAAGAGGATGTCCAGAATATTACCCAATTCTGCGCCGAACCCGCAGAAAAGATCCGAAACTTGGATGTGGAGATTGCTGATTTGCAGGAAAGGTTCAATTCCCTCATTTCCAATGGCAGATCTCTGCAATCACAGCTGAGAGTTGACGAGCACCTCCCATCATCTTTCATGAATCTTCTTCTACCAAAGGAAGCGCAACAATCCTTACTTGTCCACGTGTCGGAGATGAACGACCATTATGAAGAGGTGTCAAATATCATTGACGTCGAGCTCATCAATTTACAGGAAATGATCCAAACCGTCTCTTCTGAACGCGAAGCGGTGCAGTCCAATTTTTTGGTTGCCGAACACCTCGCCATTCTCTCCCCCATTCGTCGCGTGCCCACAGAGTTACTCCAGGAGATTTTCCTTTATTGCATCGGTGACAAACAATTCCAGGATATTTGGCCAGAGGGTGGGTACGCTTTCGAAGCACCCGTCGTATTTGGGAGGGTATGCAGCCGATGGCGAAGGGTGTCCTTTAGCACCCCCAGTCTATGGTCTTCACTGAAGATCACCATCTCGCGCGTCGCAGGTGCCGTTGATTGGGCGGCTCCTGGGAGTCGAAAGATTCTCAGGGCCTGGTTGAAGCGATCGGGTCGGCTGCCTTTGGATGTATGTCTTTCAGCGAGCCGGACGTGCTCAGCAGAGGAGCTAGAGAGATGTCATTTATTGCCTTGGCCTCCCACATTGCTACCGTTGGAGACGCATCATTTTGACGCTGCCGATGGGCTTCAATGATCATGCAGTTTTCGACAGTCTCTGTTTTCCGATGTTGGAACAGTTTGCCTTACATATTTGCTCCCCCACCATGCATGGTCCTATCGCTGTGAACAACCTCTCTTTCTTGGAAAGGGCTCCTCTACTTCGCGAGTTCAAAATCACGACGTCCACAACAGCGCTCACGGGATTTCCTCGGGCTCCTTGGCATCAGCTCGTCGACATCCATATTGACGTTGGAGAGAAATGGACATTCCTTGGATCCGAACTGTGGAGGGCACTCGCTCAATGCGTCAAGCTAGAGTTGCTGCATTTGAAGACGGCAAATCATCATCGTATACTCACAGGTCCACAACCGACATCTTCCCCTCATCGAGTGACGCTCCCCAGACTCCGCGAATTCCACGTTTCAGGCAGAGAGCCAGCTTTATTTACATGGTTGGCACTATCTCACATATTCGATAATCTTCATCTTCCAAGACTGGAGAAATTGGACATCGGGGGACGTAGTACTGGCCGTCTGTGGGAACGGACCTATTTGCAATCATTTCTTTCGTTGGATAACCTGTTAAACGCATCAGCATGCTCATTGACTACCCTATCACTCGATGAATACATCTCCGTGCCCTCCCTTGTCGTACTTCAATGTCTTTCAAGTGTCCCTACACTCCACAAATTGAGAATACAACAGAGCAGGGATTGTGGCAGGGATTTGATCGTCGATGATGATTTCCTGGAGGCATTAACACCAGGAACATTATGTCCAGAATTACGGGTTCTGATTTTGGTGGACAGTGGCGCATATCAAGAGGACACGCTGGTTGGGCTTTTGCGAACTCGCTGTAATCCACCACCCGGGGTGGCGAGATTGCAGGAAGCTTCCATCTCTTCTCATCGTCCCAAATCCCACGCCGATGAACAGATAAGGAGTCTGGGAAGCCTTTTCACAGTGCATCGAACATAGCCTCAGGAGTTTGGATGGGAGGGAAGCAAGCCCCTTCGGGTGAGGACAAGCGCCTGTTCCAAACTGCCTCCGTTTAAATTATTCGAAGATGCTTTCGTCGTCTATAGCGTCTGTCATAAATTCTCCGAAATGATATCCGATTGGCGTCAAACCGCCGTGTACAAACCGTGCCTCGTATACTCATAAATACTCTTCTCCCATCATGTCGACATGCACCTATCTACAGACAAATTCTCTGGATTACCCCACCAGTACGGGAAGTCCACCGCTTTGTTGCTGGCACCAAAGACTGCAAAACTGAGGATGAACAGGATGACTTGACTTCCCCCGTCCAGGGCTGCAGACGTCAGGTAGTTGTATTTCTTGAACCAGCCGGGTCTGTGCTTCCTTAGCCACCACTGCGAGAAGAAACCAATCACGAAACAAGACCACCACTGGCCGTTGACGGAGTATGGGAGACTAAGAATCAGTGAGCTCCAGAAGGGTCGATCATGAACCTCCACACGTACTATCCTATGTATAAAGTAATGATGGGGACGTTGATGTACTTCATCGTCTTTGCCAATGCGCTTTCTGGTTTCGAGTATCGGTGTATTACCCAGAACGGGATCGGACAAAATAGACCAATAAACCTAAGTCAAGCTTGATGTCAAAAGGAAGAGGGCCAGTGGAACGTAGACATACATGCCAAACGGAATGATCCAATATCCAGATTCCTTTCCGTAGGTGAAGAGCTCTTTACCTAAAGCACCCATTGCCACAGAAGCAGAATTGACCGATTGGATATTCCATCCGCTCCACTACGGCAAACCGCTGTCAAGAAAGAGGAAATAAGCGTCGGTGCAGTACTTACCACACGTGTCCCAGTGGGATCTTTCAACACATCTCTGTTATTCGTTACAATCGTATTCATCACTAAGTAAATGAAGGTTTAGTCAATTCAGTCGGTGGCAAAAAAACGAAGCAATACTCGCTTGTGTAGTTAAATACCGATCCGATGATGGATCCGGCCTGCCAAAGAAAAAAAACGTCAGACATTCACAGACCGGAGCAGGCGAAACGAACCATTTGGGCAGCGAAGGTGATTCTTGGCGGCAGCTTCGTGTACTGTCCCAATTTAAGATCTATCATAAGAATTTAGACTCCTAGGACGCGCAGCAGGGACATGACATAGACAGACCTTGCAACATATATAGTGTCTGCCATGCAGAGCTGTTTCCGAACAAGTTGGCGTACATGACGGTTCTGAGAAGACATATATCAGACCGTCTGGACGCCGAAATAGATTAGACACGCACATCGGCTCGCCAGGATGAATGAAAGCAGCTATAATCTGCACCGCGTACTTCAACGAGATGTTGAATCCAGTAGTAGCCGTGACTGTACAAGCCAGTCAGAAACATAGATCTCCAAGCGGAATACTAGAACTGCTTACTGAATCCCAAGAGGGTTGCCATGAAGAAACTAAAGACTAATTAACCATATACTTTTCAGTAAACAGATCTTTTAAAGCGGAAAGAACGTGATATACCTGTGAAGAAGATGATACTCCAAGCTGGAATCAAGACATATCCTCCAGGACCAGCATATGATGTGCCAATAGCGACCCCGAGGGAAACAACAAACAACGCCGCGTAAACCCATTGCGGGACCTCCTCTGCGTCAACGGTTTAGCATCCCGCTTCGCTACTCTGCTGAACAGCGACTTACTATATTTCTTCATCTCTGCCGAAAGTGTCCTTGTCAGCTTCCATACCTCATAACAGGTAGAACGCCTTACCGTTATAATGCGGGTCATCTATATCTGCATGTCCCCTCTTCAGGAACCTGAGTCCACCGAAGGCGGCCCTCAACTCCCGCCAATGCCAAAGCAACACATAGGTTACCGCACTCCCAAGTGAGAGGTTGTAACACAATTGACTAATAGCGTACGTTGTCGTGTAACGCGGGAGGCCAACTTCCGCAATTGCAGTGGCATTAAGGTGGTAGTTCGAGTCGATAACAGCGGATTGATCATATGTTTCTCCGTCCTTGCCAAAGAGAGAAGTAGACATCCAAAGGATATCACGTCCATTGAAGACGTTCGTGTAATAACTTGCCGTCAGGACGATGTATCCCAGCAGCATGCCGACTGTGAGAAGACAGTGAACGTCAGATCATGTCGACATCAATCATTCGAAGAATAGACGCACTATATGAGTTCACCTCTGGGGCGAGTCAGAATACAAGTTTACGAAAGGAGGCAGTAATACACGTACGTGTCTGGAGAGGCCAAACCAGCGGGTAACCTTGAGTGATCAAAGTCCATGAAAGACCGAAAGAGAAAAAGCCGATGCCCTCGTTACTAGATCCTGCCCCGAAGAGGTTTCGTACAAATTCGTGTCGTCCGTTATCTGCAAGACATATAATCGAGATAGCGGTGAGAAGGGGGAACTTTCATCCGAATGTTAGAATTAGTATAGAAAGGATGCATGTCAAGGACACGAACGGGGTATTGAGGAATCCATTCCCAGAAGAAGATAGCAGCAAACTGAAATGTCAATTAGAGAATATCCTTGCACGCGGCGATAGACAAGTTAACACACAACGATCCAGAAGAACTTTCGCTTCTTCGCATTCAGCGTTCCACTAAAGTGTAAACTTTGTAACAGGTTCACCACCGAGATGTAGGACGGGTAGAATGCGCTGGAAGCAGAATTAACAGTGTGCTACGGATATATATTGAAACTTACTAGGTCGGATAAACGAGGAGTGTCCGCACTAGAAGCGTAAGTAAACACCCAACACTACATACTCGGAAATTCAGCACTCACGAAGTCCGGCAATGCCATAACCTATCATCTGGGTTGAAAAGATTTGGAAGATTGCCACAGCACCGTTCATATGAAGGTCATAAAAGAGATCTTGGATGGATCATCTGTCAGTATGTAGCACTTTTCGAGAATGGTGACGACGGCTGACCCATGGCGGCAATATTCTCCATGGCTAAGGCTATGTTCGACGCCGTAGAAGCCATGATAACGATAGCAGTGTGCTCTCTAAGCGAACGCGTTTAGCAATCAACCATAAGAGATGGATGCTAAAACATACTTGATGTTGAATGGACCAGGATTCAAATACCGCCAATAACCCGTGCTGGGAATCAATCCTGCGAGGCATTGACATAAATAGGGGCCGCGTAAGTGTAACAAGAGCGTAATATCTCACCAGCCATGCCGGTACCCAGAACATAAGCGATGATAAGGCAGAACAGCTGCGACACACTTGCATTCTGAGGTTTGAACGTGTAGATGGTCGCGAGGACCTTGGGAGGAGATAAGTCATGACAGTTCACCGAGAGAATTTTGTATACTTACGGAAGAGAACGCGCTGAGACCAACGCCCAAAAATATGGCCCTGAAGGTAACGATAGGAAGGTCCGGATCGTCTCGAGTGGATATGACCTACAAAATAAGCATTAGAAGTTTGATTTACGCAGCAGTTCAATTACCAACCTGAACAGCGACATCCTCGGCACGCTCGATAACCGCCTCATCCTTCGGCTCTAGTCCCAGATCCGAGTCGTTGCTGGAATCGACAGGTTCAACTTTCTCTGTGAAGTTGGCTTTCTCAGCATCGGCAGACGGTTTCTTGTCGAGCTCAGGTAGAGTGGTCGCCTCGTATACACTTGTCATCACGATAAGAAGACGAGGTGAACAAGGAAGCAGACACCGTGTGTTGCTTAAGTACTAGTGTGTATCACCAGACAGAATTTGACGAACTGGGCTTATCTGAGGTTGCTTAATCGCAGTTCCATGGTATTGTTGATATCAGCTTCGGACGCCTTCGGTCCGCAGTTAGATAGCCCAAGGCTGACTGAATTTTACGTCTTTCGTTTTTAGTAGTACACTTACCAGATGTTCAGGTCAAAGACCAGCAGTAGTACTAGCAGGACGCACAAACGCCAGAAACCAGCAGAAGCAGAAAATCTAGATACAGTCTGACGCAGTCGCAGATAACGACCCTTGGTCGAATTTTGTCGCTTAGTACGGTTGAACGGTTGGCCATGGTAGATCGTGTAGCATATGGTCGGAAGTAAAATCGCCGATCAAGTTTCCAATTCGAATTTCCTCGGTTTCTCACACTCACGGACGCGTCCTCGCTAGCCGTAGTTACGCGTACTACAACGCCGAGCTCTTTGGCCGATCCCAGTAGCTATATACGACATGTATTGTCAAAAAGTTCGACCCTGTGTATCGGTGTAACTTCTGATTACCAGCATAGAGCACCCGTGAATCGGACGAACTCAGCCGTGGCATACTCCGATACTCCTACTTATCTCAATGAAAAGTGCCGGTCAGTGATGGCAACGGCTGTTGATTTGCAAGTCCTTTGTGGATAATAGATAAGTTATGTCATCTCCTTATCTTGCAATGCTAACGCTTGGCATAAGATAAGTCTACGAAACTATATTACCTATCGCCCATCCAAGAGGGCTTGTCTTTAGTAGAACATGTCGAACTCCGTCAAGTTGACCCTCTTTTTGCTATCGTCAGCTGCAGTACTCGCGCACCGGCACCAACACCCTTTCACGAGTCCCCACCAAGTGGACATCAGCACGGAACCATGGACAACTCGTTACGGCGCTCAAGAAGACCTAGGCTACACTGGCCCTCTGAGCTTCTCACACTTTCCCTATACGCGTTGTCTGGAGGACCCTTCTCAGTTATTCGATATCGCGATTATTGGGTTCCCGTTTGATACGACCACCTCGTATCGACCTGGTGCGTGTATCTTTGAGCCTCCGTCAGATATAATCACCAACCGCCTCGCAAGGTGCGCGATTTGGTCCTTTTGCCATTCGCTCGGGATCCAGAAGACAGCATGCTCGCGGGTACACTTTGACGTGGGGGACGAGCCCGCACGATCTCGGTGCGGGGTTGCATGATTGTGGGGATGTAAGTTACACTCTGTTCGCACGACCATCTTCTTTTATAATTTATGTCTCTTTTCGAAGGTTCCCCTCTCGGCTTACGATAACGCAAAAGCCATCGACCAGATGGAAGCCGCGTACACCACCCTCCTCTCGCGACCCGTCTTGGGAGGCACCAACGAGGCATACAAGCCGCAAACCGCCGCTATCTCATTGGACGGAAAGGAACATCCGCGGATCGTTACCCTAGGGGGAGATCACACCATCGTAAGCCTGAGGGATTTCAAAATAACCATTATCTCCACAATCTGACATATTCTGTACTAAAGGTTCTTCCGATCCTGCGATCTCTAAATAAAGTCTACGGCCCGGTATCTGTTAGTTGCTATCGTGACTAGTACGCTCTTCTGGATTGCACTAATTACCCCTACCAGGTAATCCACTTCGATGCGCACCTCGACACATGGCCCCCTGGTGGCACAACGGAGCAGGAACGTATCACCCACGGCACCTTCTTTGCCGTTGCTGCTGAAGAAAACCTGATGACGAACACCAGTATCCATGCAGGCATTCGGTGCAAGATGGGTGTGAGTCTCCTCTAGCTTGAAGACTGGGGCGTCTGTTAAATGTCCGGTGTGTTTCGTAGGGCATTCAAGACGTAGAACATGACGACGCTGTTGGGTTCCAGGTCATCAGCACCGACGATATTGACGACTATGGTATCAATAACATCATCAAGAAAATAAGACAGAGGATCGGGAACAGTCCCGTTTACCTCAGGTGGGATATCTTTCATTTCTTGCTCGTATTTTTGATTCGGCTGACCGTTTTCTTACTATAGTCTTGATATCGACGTCGTTGACCCGGCCCTGGCACCTGCAAGTATGTCACAATTCTCACTATACCACTGATGCGCTTTCTCACCTTTTATACGTATTAGCTGGAACTCCCGAAACAGGTGGTTGGACGACCCGTGAAGTTAAGCGCATCATCCGTGGTCTATCTGGGCTTAATTTCGTGTATGTCCCCTGTCCTGCCTCGCATTCTCTCCATCTGACAGCACGTTTAACAGAGGCGCTGACATCGTCGAGGTTGCTCCCGCTTATGATTCTGGTAGGCGGCCCAAGCTACACCGAACCTGACCCGTTACTGAGATTTATTACAGCTGATGTTACCGGTATCGCAGCAGCCGATATAGTGCATGACTTCCTCACGATGCTTCAGCTGGGAGAGCCGCCTGCGCCTCACAAAGGTCCATTTTCTTTAGAGGATTTGAAGTACCTATGAAAAGACGGAGACGAGGGTTAAATGCGGTTCAGGTAGAATAGATACTCTGAACAGTCTAGCAATGAACTGGCTAGCCAGTCAATCCGCAGGTGCAAAAGGTTGATTGTTAAGTAGAAAATACAGACAGTGCAAGAGGAGCATCGATGTCAGAATATCAACGAAGGTCTTTGAGAGCCTCAAGAAGTAAAGCAACTGTAACTCGGCGATCACAAAGATACTTGCGAAACAGAACGGCAAAACGTCGAGCTACCTTAGATGCGCCAGTCTGTGAGGTCTCGTACTTTCGTTTAGATGGTCTATCCCTGTAACACTGAATACTTATCGGTTGGAAATTCGCGTCGCCGTTATGAACAGTCTGACACCAAATACAGAGATTTGAATGATGGCTTCTAGAGCAACGGCTCCAAATGCCAGCTAACATCAGCTAGTCAACTGGTGAGACGGCATCGGACCAAGCCTGGGCTTTTGATAGAACTTGACAGTCGGCTCCAAAACGGTTTGTTCGGTGACCACTTCTCCCGTTACACCGATGCATATAGTCAACACTACGCAGCAAGATGAACGTCGACGAAGAAGCCGATGAAAGCGGAAGCTCACCAATAACAGCAAGAGGCGAACAACGATTTATAGTAGTGCCTTGGGTTCATGCCAGCCAACGGGCGCCCAAGAAATCGGCCATCAAAGCGTTTATGCCACGCGAGAAAAGCGTTCTGATAGTGTGCCACATATTCTGCATCTGTGGACTTCGATGACAATCAGGTTCATGCTCGGACTTGTTTGGCCTGGATACACACCTTTCAATCCGAATTCCGGGCTACCATGGCATTGAGAGCCGGTGTGGTGACGGCTTCAAAACAAACATAAGAGAGCGAACGGCCAATACTGAACGACGAGATGCACGGTGGTGATGCTGTGAAGAGATGTGGCACTTAAGGTTGCTGACAAGCACGGACATAAGGCCTTGGCGACGACCACATGTGGAGCTGAAAGAACTTGCCTTCTTTTTTTTTTTCGCCAGCAATGGTACGCCATACTCCTTCCTCTTCCCATTCCAACATCCTCGAATTTGCTCCTCCTAGGTCATTGCCGTCAACGTTCGCCGCAGCATGTCCAACCCTCTACCACAAGAAATCGTTGATCAGATAACAGACGAGCTGGAAGAAGATTTTACGACCCTAAAGTCCTGTGCGCTCGTCTCCCGCTCATGGAAAGAATCCAGCCAGCGACACATCTTCTCTGACATCTTCTTCGAGACGCCTCCAGAACCATTGCCATTGGAAATGAGCTCATGTCACACCTTTCATCGCCTTTTGACCACCTCTCCTCACCTCGGACGTCATGTACGGCATCTCGAAATATGCGACGAAGGGCGGACCTCCGACTCGACGCGTAGATGGCTTCTCGCCTCCATCGGAACGCTCATGTCCGTCATTTCCCTGCTGAAATGCCTCAACAGCGTCGATATCTCCTTCAGCGGTCTATGGTGGGAGGACGTTCTTTCACTCAAAAGCGTCCTCGTCGCCGTATTCCAGCTCGAGTCGCTCAGGAGCGTCGCGTTGGAAGACTTTCAGGTTCGGCTGAACGAGTTGTTCAGTCTGCTGGGCCGGTCCCGTTCAATCTGCGATTTATCGATTTCCGCCATTGAGGTCCTGCCGGATTTGTCCCCTCCATCGCCTAGGTTCTCCATGCCGCTCCACGAGCTGTCACTGTCACTCCAGCACATACAGCACGCTCAGGACTTTATGGAATGGCTCATATCCCCCACGTCTGTCGTCGATCTCAGCGTATCCAAAAAACTGAGCCTTTTCGTGGCAAACTCCGACGAAGCGAACGCCGCGCAGGTCCTACTGGAGAGTCCCATACTCCAGAATCCGGACATACTCGAGATCCAAACTCTAAACTGTAGTACGCGTTCCTGGTTTTAACACATGAACAAAATCCTTTTCTAAAATAACTTTCAATAGGCGTTCACATGCACAGACGGGAAGAATGTCTTCCTACTCGCTTCAGCCGGTTCCGACACGTACAACTCAGGCTTGTAGAAGCATTAGCTTGTGAACACTGCGGCAACTCCCTTCTAGATATCGTACTTTGGTGGACGCGATCTTTCGAAGCTATCGAAGACAGTACTATCGAGGAAATATCGCTTACGCTTACAAAGAGGTCCGCCTCGCGCTTTCATCACGTTCCCAATTATATGTGGCATGCCCTGGATGCAGCCTTGTGCAAACCAAAAATGTCCTCCTTGAGAAACGTACATCTGGAAGTGGAAGATCTTGAGATTGACAAAGCCCTGCTTTTGAGGTTGCTACAGGCATTTCCTGTTCTTTATCACCGGGGATTATTGCGAGTCTGAGGTGGGTAATCTCCATACTATCTTCATTCTCAAGTTGACGCGTTCTCATTCAGGCAAACCCGTATACCCGTATTTTCTGAAGTTATTCGTTATGCTTTCCGTCCTTGCTTTTAGTTTCGCACATTTATATATTTATATACCATGCCAACTTGGTCTCTCGTGTTATACACGCTCAAGTAGTTGCAGACATAATCCTACCTAATGACATCAAATTTCCGGTACGGTCCGATATGTATTACACATGGCAAGCAACCCTGAATACTATTTCTCTCATTTTAGTCATGTACTGATGGCAAGTAAGCGGCTTCCTATATCATTGAACTGGCAATACTAAGCATCATCATAGCGCAGCCTAGCGATCAGATGGAACAGAAACCAAGATCCGACGCCACAGAACATTATCTTCCCCAGGAACTCGTTGATATTATTATCAACGAAATCCCAATCGACGATCATCGTGCTCTCTCTTCATGCGCCCTTGTTGCTAGATCATGGGTCTACACGAGCCAACGCCGCCTATATTCACGTATTGACATGTCTTTCCTAGAATCGGAGGAAGAGAAAACCGCAGCAAGCCCGTCCACAGGACAGCGATTTGCTGACCTTCTTACTGCGGCTCCCCATATCGCGTCTTTTGTCGAGAGTCTCTCGATAAAAAACGACGATGAAGAGATCGACCCAGATTTTCCCTGGCTTGTATCCTCCAGAGTGGCATGGGAGACAATCTTCTTTGACCATGGCTTGGAGAACCTCCTGAGCCTATACCTCGAGTTTGGTTTCTACGATTATGGGGATGACACAGTGATATTCAAAGATCTCCTGCGGCGTGCCTTTAATCAGCTTCCCAAACTCCAGGAAGCCACCCTCAACCAAATCTGTATAGATGTATACGGCATATTCTCCCTATTCCAAGGCGCCCAAGCAATTAGGCACATCAGTCTATGTGATGTCGTCCTCTCTGAATCACCCCCACAAGTAGCTGCGAAGATCGTGCTACCCATAGATTGCCTCACGCTCTCTCTCAATGACAGCGATTTTATCAGATTGGAAAAAATGATGGTGGAACTGGTGAGGGACCTAGACGCGCTGGACCTCTCGCATGTGACGACGCTCTGGATCCGCTTCGTTGGGCTTTCAGAGATCCTCGCAGCCAACGGGCTCCTCCATTCCAAAGAGACGATCTTTCCATCTCTAAGAACCCTCAAAATCGAGTTGGATATGGAAGTGCTCCGTACGTTTGCATCGCGAAAGTTCATCACCCGAGATTTGTGTGCTAATCCTGTCTCTCTTTTTGTTTTGGCGGCGCTCAGATATTAGCAACGACATAGTCTTGGATTTGGGACTACCGGGCATACGCCACATTCACCTAATGATATCCCCAGCGCTCACCGAATTCGCCGCCTGGTTTCCTATCTCCACGATAGTCCACTGGTGGAGCCTCATCTTCAGTAGGATGGCCGAGAGTTATATCCAGGAGGTTACACTGACAATACCACCGAAATCCGCAATGGACCTGTATAACAACGATGTGCCTATATCGCTAGATGGCATCCGGGAAAATTGGAATGCGCTAGATAGGGCTTTGACGGGGAAAGAGATGAGGTGTCTGAGAAAGGTTCATCTGAACGTTGGTGGGGGTCTGGAACCGAATAAACCGTTCTTGGGCCCGCTGAGCATCGATGACGCCCTGCCGATGTTGACGAAGGGAAGGCTTCTTGTATATTGATTGGATTTATGGATGCGTGGATGAGGCACCGTCACATCCCGGAGGTTGGTTGCTTGTTCTTCGCGCTCAGAAGTGTGGGAACAATAATACACAAGCTGTCCCCAACTCATAGGATGAACATTGGGACGCAATTTAATGTATCTTTCCCTTAAGGCTTCTGTTCCGTGCATCGTGCTTTCGTGCTTTCACTTACTCCGAGCCCATGTTCGACCATGCGTCTCATTATCAAGACCCTTGGGTATCGGTGTCCATGGTAATTAAGCTGCCGTTAAAGCTTGGAGCAAGAATGAAGCGCTTTCTCTTATCCAATACCCGCATCACGCAATTTAATGACGCTATCTAGGCTTTTGTCAAAAAGCGAGAACGGCTATACCACACTTTATCTGCGACATGCTTTACTATTTTTGAAACGCTCTCGGGAGCAGAAGCGTAAACCTGCTTGCCGATAGACGCGCTGATGGGGGCAACATTGAAATCAAAATTTGAGAACTGGTGCTTGGCGATCGGATTGGACTTGGGTTTGCATCCAAACTGCGGCTTGGGCTCGATGGTTTCGTCAGAGGTTATGGAAGATTTGAGCGACCCGCACAGTGATGTCACTCGGTGTGAGAATCGACGCGCTGTTGATATTCAGAACTTATCATCGGTAGTGGGTCAATTAGTAACTTCAACCTTGCTCTCGGTGATAACTTGTGAGGAGCCTGCCGCACCTCCAAGAGATTACGGAATTTCCGAGGATACTCCATTTACTATCGGTGTCCTGTAAGTAGACCAGCGCGGCATTTGCAGATTTGTGACTTGTTTGATAGTGATCGGGCTGTATTCATGTTCAAAGAACATCGTCTCAGGAACGGGGGATGCTCCCACTCCTAGATCCTAAATTTGAGTCTCGAATGTATTTGCAGATAGTTCCCGTGTCACCCTATAATCGTGATTCCATCTTACACCGAGGATAGGAACCTGGACGCGTTGGTATTTGAGCTCAAACGATACACGCCAACGGATCGGCATAATTTTTTCGAGAAATATTCCGCCATCACCGACGGGAAATAAGCCTTGATAACGGCGGCTATGACGCTTCAGGTCGTTGACCACCGTCACGGAAGAAAAGTTTCGACGGTGATTGAGGGGATCCGCGCGCTTTGCGAAGCTCGATGACGAATGACGACAACGGCGAAAATTGCCCGTGTCAATGACGTTTCCCACACACAATGCTACCAATGATGAATGTTTACAGTCATTAAGCACCACGGGCCGGGCCCAAGATAAGAATAACAGCGGGACATCAATACCGAGAAAGAAAACTTGTACGGCAGCGCACCATATGGAAGGGAAGGGTAAGTACAGGCAAATAGAGTACTGAAAGCAACGATATGCAATATACGACATCTCTAGAATTGCGGTTGTGGAGGCGGCTGGGGTGGCATAGCTCCGGGAGGAAAGGCGAATCCTGGAGGAGGCGGGGGAGGGAAACCTCCATACACCGGCATTCCAGGGGGTGGAATAGGCATTGGCATAGGAGGAGCCATAGGCGGCATGCCCATCGGCGGCATGACTGTCTGCTGTGGTGTAAACCCGGGCGGTGGCGGTGGTTGAGCAAGAACACCAGCAAATTGTCCTTGATACGGTCCCTGGAATCCTGGCATTGGGGGCTGGGCACCAAAAGCCATTGGACCGGGAGGCGGACGCGAGGCAACAGGTAAGGCATTATTCTTGCGAGCCTGGGCTGCCAGTAAACGCTCGGCAGATGTGCCGTGACGCTCCCCTTTGCCGTCCTTTTTGAAAGCGTACTGCACGGTTATCGCCTTGTTCATCAGGAATTGGCCGTTCATTGATTCAACGGCTGCATCGGATGCTTCGAAATCTGTATACGAGACGAATCCGTATCCCTTCGACGTGCCTGTACCTGGATCTCGAGCAATCTATTGGCGGCATGAAGTCAGAATGGGTCAAACATAAGTCTGGTGATAACTACTTACCTTTGCAGTCGTTGCCATCATACCAAAAGCGCTAAAGGTGTCGTACAGCAGCCTTTCAGTCTACATTCTCGTCCAAATTACCAATGAACAAATTGGCTCCAACGTCAAGTTGCTTCTTATCCGAGGACGCCTGGTAGGAAAAAGTAAAGTATTGTTAGCACAATGTCAGGTAGAATGTGAAAGTCAAAAGAAGATGTCTCTTTGAGTTGGCCTCAATAACGATAACTTGCAACCTGCGACGAACCTTGTTAACCCGAATGGGCTTGCCCCATAATTTAATCTGGTTCATAATCTTACAGGCATATTCTGCGTCCTCTTCTGTCAAGAACTCACAAAAGCCGTAGCCTTGATGAGCCATTGATATTCGATCCTTGGGAAGATGTACGTTCACTGTGAAATGGAAACATATGTCAAGATAAGAACCGGTGGAACAGAAGACCCTGACAGCATACCAACGGGACCGGCTTGTAACATAAGTTCCCATACTAGCGCATCTGTACAACGTTCATCGAGATTTCCCTGTAGAGCAATAAGTATTTGTGCTGAAAAATATAATGGTGAGGAATGTTCACCAAATACACGGTTGCTTCCTGATTCCTGTCGTCCTGTGGACGCGACATGGCGGTTTTGGGGAAAGGTTCAAAACGAGAACTCAATGTTGACCTTTGTTTACCATCACCTTCTTTCGGCCCATGGTTCACGTTTCAGGGGTTAAGAGGATCTTTGGAGGATCCACTAAAGTTCTCGGCAATATCAGCCTGCTGTATTCAGTTCTGCTTCATTCCGACGACCTTCGAGCTCACACGTTGTAACCCCTGGAAAATTTCTCATGTCATTGACTCTAATTTTACTCTGGACGACCCCATTCGGAGACCGGTTTTGCATATGTTACCGCAGAAGAACACAGGGACGACGATGCCATTTTAAGCCTCCCCCTTCGAAGACCAAGTGGTCTAGGGTGATATCTAAGCCACTTCATTCTCCGCATCATTCAGATTCTGAGCTCGAACGCGACCATCACCCTGGCTCGAACCATACAGATGATGATACAGATCGTCAGACACCCGAATCAACGAATTCTCCGCCAGGACCGTTATTGATATTACATCAACTGTGATATTGGCCATACTGGTTCTTATCTTTTTGGTACCTCTTCTCGGTGTCGGTCTCCGCGTTCATCTGAATCTTGGCTCCTGACATGCTGAAACCACCTCTACGGCATCTTTTCAATCGTGCCCGTAGTGCGCTCTTCCAAAATGGATATATAATACCCTCTCTCATGGGGTTGTTCCCTCAGCCTTCTGGTCTTTCATCCTACCAGTGCTAGCTCCTGTTGTAACAGCTCTTTCATCTAATAAGTGCTCTATCGACATGTTCTCTGTTCGCGCCTTCCTCCTCGTGATCACCGTCACTCTCTTTGCCATGCTTGTTAGTGGCTGCACCCATCCCAGACGAGACCATCGCGAAGAAGTCCTTGAAGCAGCTTGTCATGAAGCGTGGCGAAGGGCCTACTCCCGTCAGACGGGCCGATGAACACAAGCCTTCTCAGTAAGTCAGATGAGCTCTCTTTGTCAATACAGGGTACTAAGGGTTGCGGACAGCTGGGCTCGTGCGGAGGTCGGCAAGAGGTTGTAGTTCTTATTTCATCTGTCGATGTTCTCATTTGGCTTATGAAGGAGCATCATTACAGAGCTGTGAACGCCTGATCAATAGATCGCCCCCTCCTGTATAATTACCATCCCCATCCCTGTTTTCATGGTGAGTGATATCTATAGTTGGCTATTCATTCGTGTCTTTGAACACCTATTTCTCAGTTAGGAATATGCAAGGACGTCCTAGTGGTGTTGCCAGCATTGTTTTGTTCTCTCCCGTTCATATATGAATGAATTTTGTGTATCTATTGTGTAGCTTTGACAGGTATAGTGTTGTCTTCTCAGAAATTCGTGCCTAGACTGTAGATCCCGCGCGGCCTGACTTAAAAATAAGCTTGACAGAGCGGTACCGGGAACTTTTGCATACCCCGGTCATATCGCATTCAACTACCGCGCTTTGATCATCGCACGCAACCATATCGCAAAATTGCTCCGCATGTCCATTCTATTCGAGTTCCCAATGTAAAAGACGCAATAGATTAATCTCACCCACACACCCATATGTCATGAATTATTGAAACGATGGAATGGAAAGATCACCGAGCGATAAGGAGCGCCTACTATGCTGGGAACGGTAACTTAGTAGTGGACAGGACCATCGGGGCTGATTTATATAATGGATGGAGAGAGCAGATAAGAAAGAGGCGATACGACAGATCAGCACGTCGTCAGGTAGAAATAAATCGTTAAGAAGAGACGTTGAAGATGGATAAGAACGGAAAGAAAAGTCATGAGTGGGTTGGGTATCACACGATGACACATCTATTCTTCCTGTTCTTGACGACGGGAGGCTCAAGTGCAGCGACAATAGCCTGATGAACAAAACGATCAGTAAAAAGATCCGAACCGTGATGCGACGCAGCCGCCCGTACCTCATCGAAAACATTCTTCAGACCCTTTTGTGTTAATGCAGAACACTCGACGTATTTGACTGCACCGAGCTCCCTCGCAAGCCGCTCGCCTTGTTCATTCGTTACCGGTCTTTGTTTTTGTCTCGCCAGCTTCTCGATCACTTGGGAATCATCCCGAAGATCAATTTGCGTGCCTACAATGAGGCATGGAACTCCGGGACAATGATGATGAACCTCTGGGAACCACTTCTCCTTGACGTTCTCGAATGATGCGGGGGATGTGACACTGAAGCAAACCAAGAAAACATCTGTCTGGGGATACGATAGAGGTCGAAGACGGTCATAATCCTCCTGGCCTGTACACGATCGGATTAGGAGAGCTGAGGCTGCTATAGCGATAATGATGGTAGCGCACCGGCAGTATCGAAAAGCCCTAATGTATAGGGGTCCTCTCCAATCATGACTGTCACTGCATAGTTATCAAAGACCTGCGCAGAAAAGAGTCTTGTTGGTGTCGCATGGGGGGATAGATGGCCAACGTACGGTTGGGACATATTCGCTGGGAAATTTGTTTGTCGTGTATGAAATCAACAGACAGGTCTACACAGTAAAATGAGCCAGTCACCAGAACAGAGAATAATCGATAACGACTCACCTTTCCCACAGCACCATCTCCCACTACCACACATTTGATCGTCTGCATGTTACAACGAGAAACTCCTACTCAAATTTATGTTGTTCGGAATTCTGTAATACTCTATGAGCGAGTTGAACGAAGATAAAGTCGAAGATAGCGGGTATCCGGTAAAGGCGTCTGCCTGCATGCACTCTGGCGTGACAACCACACCTCGTGGCGGTGTCATGGGAGACCCAACGAGGCTGAATCCAGGCGCCTCAACACGGAAGCAAGACTCACATCTGCCTTGAACAGATAACGATGAGATATATAGCTTGACACCGCGATAATTGATGTCGCTGAGGTATACGGAACCGATTCTAGAGTCTGGAGAATAGCTGATAGGGACGTCAAAACGGTTGCAGTCCAAGGAAAAGACAGGAAAACAGAATAAAAAGGGAGGATCAACGTACAGAAACAAAGAGGGAAGGGGGAGGACAGGGTGTGTGGGCGTTAAGAGAACTGTCTCGGACGGTCTGAGGTGGAAACGAGCCAGTTGATCGCATGTACAGGAGCGGCTCTATCGCGCGCCACAAACACACACAAACTTAATCTCACGTTTCATTCTACCCACGCTCGAATTTCAAATATTCAACCAATACTATAAGTATTATACATTGCTAGGACAATCAAGCCAAGCCACAGTCCGCTAAAGTACGGCAGCAAGATAACAAGATATATACGATACAAGAATTAATTGACTGTTCAATAAACAAGATATTATGCCGCAGCTTTCGTGCGCTTATCTGTTCCGCTACTTATCAGTATCCACTGCGGATGAAAAAAGAAATATACCGACTAGACTCTGGTTGTGACGGTTGCGGCCACCAATATAAATAACCCTGTTTCGTTCCAGTAAGAATACATCCAGATGCTCCATCGAATCCCTGTTAGAGCGTTAGATTAAACTTGATAGATAGTAGCAAAAAATACTATACCGCCACTGCCTGGATGATATCATCTGCGGGATCAAGATGAGCATCACTAAACAGCAGCAATAGCATAGATATTCACCTTCCTCATGCTCCAGCCCATACACCAGACTTCCTTTTTTCATGTCCCATATCAGAACACATCCTCCAGAACTGCCGTGCAGCACACCCTGACCATTAGCAACCAACACAGCTCCAAAATCACCAGACGGTCGGGTCTCAGTCTCCGTATTACCATAGACAGCCATCACTTGACCTCGTCTATCTTGAATATCCACCAAACGAGCGACTCCTCCCGTTTGAGTGACCAGCGCACAAGTACCACCCACACTGAGGTCTATATCCACGCTAAAGTCGAGGTCGAGTCACAATCCCAACCATGAATGAAGACTCAAAGACGTGCACTTACATCTTATCCTTCATCAACGCATACGCCCGCAAAGTTCCATTGGGCACTTCGCTATGCCACCTGTTCCGATATCTCAGGATACCATCATGCAACTAGCACCACCACTTACAAAACACCGTCTCTTCGTTCCCCCAAGAAGAGCGGACCCATCATGCACGAATTTAATGGCCGTCACGTTTTGCTTAAGAATAGACCGTTGGAACTGCCATGTGCCTGAAAAGATGCACCGTTGATTCACACCCACAAAATGAAAGAGTCGTCCGTACCTTTATTCCATATCCAGATTTTGACTCCGGAGTGCGGTAAGGAGACAGCGACACGGTCTCGTCCATATGCTAGGCACATCGAACCCTCCTCTGAGCCCTTGTCTTTACCAGCATTGACGATCTTTGTCCAATGCCATTGGTTTGATCCCTAGAACCATTTGTCAGTAAGGGAACAACATCTCAACATCATAAAACCTACTGTTCGAATCCACTTGCTGACAACACCGTCTTCTTGAAGTGTGATTATTCCGGAACTACCTTCCATCCAAACAACCGAGACGACTGAAGCTCCATGAGACAACTGCGCGAGTTCAGCTCGCATCTGGGCATTCCATATCCGTGTGGTTCGATTACCTGAACAACGAGTAAAGACGAGCAGTCCAATGACTAAGAGGAGCATGTCTCCTTACATGTCACTGCAGCATACATGCCGTCCGAAGATATCGTTATCGTCTTTACAGCGACGTCGCTTTTGCCCTTGAGCGCCACGGAATGCAAGCATTTAATAGTAGGCCACTTAAACTTTGGACGTGGCTTTTTGGAGCGTTCACAATCGTAGAGATCGGGCGATGGACCTCGTTCACGCTTAACGCCTCGAAAAGACGTGCAGCCTTGGGATTGCACGGGCTTTGGCGGGAGGGGGTGGTGGACGGGCAGTTGAACCGGGATAGGCGTGGCTGAATAGAGGTCATCAACAATTGATACTAATGAAACTTGTATCAACATACTGCGAGAAGGATTTCTTTTCGTGGGCGTAGTAGGTGAAGCATCTATCGTTGCTAGGCATTAGCTGGAAAATATAGTACTTATCGAAATGGTCCAAACCCTCAGCCGCCTTCCTCTTTACTGGTGTGATAGAAGGTGGCTCATCAATCAGACGAGTAGTCTTGGTGGGTATCTCAACGGGCGTGCTCGACTTTCTGGCAGTCCTTTCCACAGAAGGTGATATTCGTGAAAGCAGCTTTTTCCCATCCGCTTTATTCTCAGCAGTTGCTTTCACTACGCACGCGGGCTAGAGTTTTCATACACTTCCCTCTTAGAGATAATGAAAACACGTACACGCTGGGGTTCTCTCTTCTTCCGCTGCTGGTGGGGCTTTGGAGATCGCCAGCCTTTCAGGTTGAGCAGGTGATTGAACACAGATACGTTTCCACTTGCTGCCCATAGAGTGTGCTTGCTGCGCATCCCCATCTTTCATTTGACTGCATGGTGTCGACAGTTCGGGTGGAGGATTTCCTGGCGGTGGCGGTGGCGGTGGAGGCGGAGACGAAGGAGGAGACGGGGAAGCATAACCTTCGATATCCAACAGCCTTGACCCATTACTAGGCGGCAAAGACGATTTCGAAGCACTACCAACGTTAACCGACATAGCTTTAGTCAACGGCCAATCAGATCCCAAAACGACGCGTTTCTTCGTCGGATTAGAAGAAACAGGCGTTTGACGGGGTGTCGGCAGACCGCTACAGGGCCGTATTCCCAATGGGTTGGAAGCGCTTCCAGGCGCTAGGTAGGCTAGGGATTTTGCGTCTGGCGGGGGAGAGCCCGTTGCCGTGGAAGTATTCTCGGATGGGGGATTGGTGGTGCTCAAAGCGAGCATGGACCTTGGTACAGTGGGCGGTTTTCTCCTAGCTGCTCGGGGTTCTGTTGGAATCGGTTTGGATGGTAGGCGAGATTTACACAGTGAGGCGTCGTTCAGCACTTGTGATCCTTTCTCTTTGGTTGCGCCAGCTATCACGCCTGTGGCAGCATCACGCGGAGTCGAGGCTTGGCGTTCAGTGACACCCTCTTGGCTTGTCGATGGCTACAATCCATTGATCAATAAACCAAACAAGATCTTCTAGGAGACTTACCTCTGTAGAAGAGACGTGAACGTTTACTGGGGTTCTCTTCCTTTCACTGCCAATAAAATCGGACACAAACCCCGCCGATACAAAAGGATTTGGAATGACACGCTTCAAAGGTTTTGATTCTTCGACACCAACAGAAGATTTTTGAGGCCTTGAGCCATCTATGGCAACACCAGATGATGTTCGCGGAACTTCGGAGAGATCAACAGAGGCATTATCGGACTTGCCAGATTTTTCGGCGTTGCAGATGGGATCATCCGACAACCGGAAACCCAGGAGTGAGTCGGTCTTGACGAGATCGATAGAGTCAGAGTCCTCCTGCTTGATAGGACTTGGTAACCTCATATACTGTGGCAGCGGTGTCAAAGGACTCGCAGATGATTCGATTGGCGAAATTTGCATATCGACGGCATCAAGACTAGAGGAGATGGAGGTCGGGGTATTGGTAGTGCTGTCTAGAACGGCAATCATTGCAGGTACTCCCGTAGGCGAAAATACCGGTGAATCTGGAGCACTGCTGCATTGAGAATCCAGCTCCATTGGAGATAAAGACCGTTCCTAAGCGCGTCCATCAAAGAACAAAAAGAAACCTCTGGATCCTACACTTACACGAGCATCCTCTGACACTGAATCAGTGTTCAGCGATAACTGGATTTTCTTCTGCACCTCGGTAGCCACATGCGCGTCTAAGGTCTGTGTTTGGCTAGAAACGTGCATAGGTAAGGATGGTAGGGAAGTTTGAACGTAAGCAAATGTTGTAGAACATTGTGCTTGCACAGATGCGCATGAAGTTCTGGGCTGCGATTGAACTGACACCGTGGAAAAGGAAGGCGCAGCCTGCACACCAACAGACACACGTGTGGCGCTACCGGTGTCTATGGGTACGTTGAAGGGCAACAAAAGGAAAAGTTCAAAAGCCAAGCGCACCTGGTGCTGGAGAAGTGTCCTCTAAATTTCTATTCCACGCTCGACGCATTTTCGGAGGCATGGAGACTTGGAGTGGCGGAGCTGATTCCTCTCTTTCTTTTCGCCCATGACATCTAGGACACACACCAGGGTCCTCTTCATGTTCAGACTCAGACTCTTCGGTATCCCCTTCGAGGACCATGGCCTGATCTTTAAAGCGCTCATCTGAAGAGGCAATGGCGAGAAGGATTTCTTTACCGGGCTTCACTTCGATTCGTTTTTGTGCAAACAAACTGAAGTACACCGAGCACCCCAAAGAAGCACCACTATCTGAATCTCGAGATACTTGGACGCGTCGCAGAATAACGTGGGGCTTTTGGGTTGACTTGTGAGGACGGAATCTCAATGTCTGGCTTTTGATACCGAGAATTGAGGTTATGGAGGTTACTAATGAGGAGGATTCGCCATCCATGGAGGATGTATCACCCATGGCAGCCTTGGAAATGGCGCGCCAGAGGGTACGGCTTTGAGGCAATATCAAGGTCGAGAGAAAAGCTGTTCTTCAGCTCATTCAATTGCCAAAGATGGACGCCCAGAATGGGAGTCGTGAGAAAATAGACACGTGAAACGGACATCTTGTTTACCAACTTCCATGACATTCTACTAGGTGCCCTTCATCGCTCGAATCATCACCGTACCAATTGATATTTTACTCTTTGCATCACCAGCCATTGTATTCGTTCCTTTCGGCGCCTTCCGTCACTCATATAAATCCATCATAGGCACCGTCAATCGAGCCTTTTCGTGCGCTCGTCACCAGCCATCGAATCTGTTCCTTATTTAGGTCGTTGGCCCTGACGAATCTTCCAAGGATTCCGGTCCTCTTGCCACACAAAAGCACCGAACAATCTCCCAAGCCCTTGGAATTGAATAAGACACTGACGGTAGAATTGACGATAGCTAGAGGCTCGCTTATGCAAGCTATTCAACGCGGATAGAAAGATGGAAGCATCAGTTTGGGGGTCAGTCATTCTCGATTCCTTTTATCGGAGTCTGAGTTTCATCTGTTCATCTTCGAACTGATGCCCTACGGACAGATGCTGGTAGGCGCTGAACGTTGCATTCAAGGTCTGTCATATAGTCCATCCCGCAACTTGATGACAGTCAATCAAGTATACCACCGAGTTTCAAAGGGACTGGTTTGAGCGACCAAGTTTAAATCGAGTAGCGATCAGGTGCTCTGTTTGATCCTGTGCTTTTATACAGATAGCAGGGTGAATCGACTATCTCCTACTTATATATGAAGACGTTCAAACATGAGGACATGGCGGTATTTACTTCAAAACAACGTACGGCCGTCTGGTGAGCAGGGCTCTTGTGTAATACTGACGATTGCATTTGAATACATACCTGTTTGAGAGCTTTCCCCCATGATCGCACAGGACTCGGATATGCCACGCTTTTTGATGGCCCACTACTTCATTCAACCAGCAAAATTCAAACTCTCGCCGTCTTTCGGCCTGCTTTTCATCTCTTGTGTTTGAAGTTTTTCACGCGAGCTCATAGCTCGGGGAATGCTCTTCATTATTATTACTAAACAAGGGCGGCGAGGAGTCGCGTACGCCTTGATACGAGTCACGACCGCCCACATCTTTGAAGCTCCTTCATTACGCACCTCTCCCCCATGGTCGGGATGGTTCTGCGATGGCCTCTCAGAATTGGATCCGAGTCCGTCATACGAGAAATTCCAGTTGCCGTTTATCGGAAATCTTTCCTCCGAATGAGGTCGGTTTGAAGGTATTAAGAGCTCAGACAAAGATGATGCTTCAGATCGATGCCAAGTTTTCGATGTGTCTTTATGCCGTCTCCTTTGCTCAAACTAGGGAAACGGGGTAGAGCCTAATGGCTTTCACTTTAGGATTTCGGGTGGACCCACCATAAGAAGTTTCTCGTCTGCGCTTGGATGACCGATGGTTGGGGTTGTGTTTAGCCCCGAGGTGCGAGCAGTTAGAAGATGGCTTGCTTGCCAGTTTAGGTAGACGCGACAGGTCAGCTCTTTTTCGTGTCTTCCTGAGTATAGTTGGAGTTAACAACTGGAATTTTAGGGAAGCTTCCCGTAGGTTGCAAGGGCGCACTTCGCAGGAGACGTGGCAATCCATCCTGATGTAAATTTTAGATCGGTAACGGTGAAAATCAAATATTTAGGCCTCATAATTGCGTGTCATCAATTACCAGCAGTGACGATGCATATTTAGACGTGCTCCGGTCCTTCTGCCGAAGATGTGGGAAAGGCTAAGGAAGCTGTTTTCGATGTCTACAGCATCTCTTTCCACAACCACCACCATCTCTTCAGCATACACGAACGGCGATTTGATGGCGAAGATCTTTACCTTGGTCAAGAAGGCGGCGAAAAAACCAATTCCCTTTGTCAAGAAGGGTGTTGAGACTCTGACAATGCCTCTGGAATGTCTAAAGGTACGCGGTCACCAGAGTTTGGCAGGTAACTATTGTTGCTGACGGTCATCTAGACGGCTTCTGGATTAATCCCGGTACCGGCCCTTGGACCAGCGACGGATATTGTCCTTTCTATCTTGAAAAAAGTGGATCAGAGCCAGCAGAATACGGCGACCGCCCGTGAAATCGCAAATCTGTGCTTAAAGGCCCATGTCACTCTATCCGAGCATCTGCAGAGCGTAGAAATCACTCCTACATTATTGGACAGTATTCGGCAATTTGAAGCGTATGTCCTTCTCTACCTTACTTAGTCATTGCTTTTATATGGGTGTGCTGATAGAGATTTACATAACATCGAAAACACTGTCGAAGAGTATGAACAGAAGATGTCGATTGATCAAACGCTCTATTCTAAAATATACAGCGATGAATTGCAACGTGTCGAAAAACAGGTCAACAGTACTCTGTTGCTTTTCCAAGTAAGCAGTACAGCACTCTTCTGACTCAGATGTCCTTCTACTGATTGTTTTAGATCAAGAAGTTACTTTCGCTTGAAGAAACCTGCGCAAAGATGTCCACATCTTTACAGCACATCGTTGAACTGCTGCTTATGAACCACTCTGAAGCTGCTCCGAAGCCTGAAGAACCACTAGTAGATGTAAGTTAACCCTTCCTTACAAAAACTGAAGGAGTGCTCATGAAACCTGTAGATCGTGCGGAGAAGTCATCTCACTCTCTGTGAAGAGATCGCTCATGGTCCAGGGTATAGCATTCAAAGAGCAGAGATGCGTGGAAAGATCGTTACCATCAAAGTGTTCACAGGTTGTAAAGCAAAACCGGTACGAAACCCGTGTTCTCATTCTAGGCTGTTGGTACTAAGCCATTGCTAGACCTGGGAAGCGTCAAATATGTTGGACTTGAAAATTATGTACGTGGCACTGTTAATGTTCTGCGTGTTTTGGTTACATAGCTGCTCTGTAGGCATCCCAACGTAGCTCACCTTATCGGAGCTTCAAGGTCTGATGAGCTGGGGGCGCCGTTCTCGGTGTATGATCTTGGTGATATAATTGCGGCTTGCCTCGTGCTTGGAGTGAACGCCTAATTTACGGAATATACAGATATCAAGCACCGGTTTGAAGATGTCGTCTCGTCATGGTCGGCGTTCGATTTCGATACTCTCAGTTCTTTGTTCGACAAAATGGTGCGTATAGCAAACCCGTGATCAGTTGTTCCACATTCTTACCACTAAATCAACAGGATCACGATGTAATAGTAGGCTACAGCTGTCCGCATCGGTTTTATGTATTCATTTTCAACCAGAGCGCACGGAATCATTTGTGCGAACAAACTTGTTTGTTTGCTCAGTCTGGCGAAGTAGTAAGCACGACAGTATCCTTATTGACTCTCATAACTAAATGCCATGCTACAGGACTGTGATATTCTTTGTGATGCCCGCGGCCGATTCGTCATCTCACTTCGCCCGGAAGTGGCCAGCTCCTCAACTGCCTTGGTCTCCCCTGCGGACTATCCCAAATTTAAGCTTGTGATGAGCGATACCCGCCATAACGACGTCGTTGGTACTCCTGTTTGCTTGGCTCAGGTCCTTAGAGTAAATCGACCGATTTTTGTCTATGCTTGAATTTGTCCACTGACCGACCACTTAGACGATAAGCACGTGGATAAAGACAAAAAATCCATTCTATATTTGTTTCATATGGAAAAGGGATTAAGCCTGCGGGAGCTTGTTTGGAAGACAGCCAGTGGTTATGACACGGACGTGCGTAAAATCCCACAGAAATATGGCCTTCATACCGACTTTCCTTGGAATGCAGTGATTCAGGACTTGTTTTCAGATCGTAAGCGAAAGCCCAGGCTTTTCGTAGTAGACTACTTAGTATATGGCAAACCATGTAAACCTAAAGTGTTATGTGCAGCACTGGGTGAGGTACAAGCGTCGAATATCCACTAGCCTCGATGGGAATTTTGGGTTACGTGTCTGCTGAGCAATTCCGGAGTGATGACAGAAAGACTGTATAACTGCGTATTATTTCAAGTTCATAGCTTCAATCTTCTTCAGCCTCTTCCCCCTACACGCAAACATATTAGCGCCCAAGGTCGCACCCACATGAGGAACTTCGTTCTCTCATACTCGTACATATGACTCCGAGGGGTTGCACGCATATTATAATTTCCATGTTAAAGATATTGTGGAGCAGTTCAGTAACTCAAGTTAAATCGCACAACGCGAAGCTTACAAGCATGTCATACCGCCTCCCCAACATCCTCAGTCATGTACCGGCTCTGCCATATCGGATACTGCATTATCGTCTGCTGTACAATCTCAGCGGCTGGGTCTGGCCGGCGTGCGACGAGAGACACTGTAGGAACATCCGTGGGACCTACAAGTAGTGCTGTGGATGCGCGCTGGTGACAGGAAGGTTTCCGGAATTCGCGAGGGAGCAGGCGGAGTCTGATGTGTTTATGCTCTGAGAGGAGCAGAACGGCCTGGCTGAGACGGGCGCGTTTTAAGATCGAAGAGTTGCGGTCGGACGAGACAACTCAGTAACATCTGGGGAACTTGATTGCTGATCACTATATTTCGGAGGAAGCGCGCTGGCGTATAACTTCTGAGCAAAGCTCAAAGGTTTCTGTGGGGCAGCCAAGAGTGAACCGACATATATACCTCCCATCCATTTCAGACTTGGAGTCCAGGTTGCTGACGAAGACGACATGGAGGATGTACACGGGAGAACTGGATGAAGGGTATTGCTTAAGGCCCATATCGAAGCGTTCGAATGTAGGTGACATGAATCCTTTTCTCGTCAACATTCTTCAGCGAAAATTATCATACAGGTCGAACCAACTCCGAGTCGAATTCAAGCTCCTGCGTTCGTCGAACTCCCTTGCGCACGCTCTTTCCTTCGACCCAACTTCCAGCCTGCTTTGCAACTCGAACCCAGAACTTGTCTCGACTGCTGCGATTGAATGATCGATAAATTGCAGTAACTTCAAATATCTATTGCGTTAGAGTAGTTTCCTGTTTCTTTGTCGGGATCTCCAAGACGATTATATCGCATGCACACTTGAGTACGCAACTTGTACCACATAAGTCAGTCCTGTTAAACATTATATGTCCTGTAATACCTGGTTGGGAATAGTCTCGTAAACCAGACTCAGCGGTCCGTATGAATACATATGTCGTTCAGTGGATGTATAAATCGTCTTTCACGTTCCAGATATACTGCCCTACGGCTTCCAAGGCGACGAAGCTGGACCTCCCACTCCGGCTGTGAGGTAAACTGCGCTCCCATTTTGCGCAATGTAAAAGCAATCTTCGAGGCGCACGCCGATCTTGCCCTCGATATAAACCCCAGGCTCGTCAGAGAAAGTATGGCCTGTCTGTAGGATGACCTCGCTCCCGCCATTCAAGTATGGGTCCTCATGGATCCTCCAGACCGATCCCCATGTCCAAGACGATGCGTGAAATACTCTGCATACCCCGCAAGACCGAGGAAGAGCCTCGGAGCCTCGTCGACGCGCTTGGCGACTACACCTGCATGGGCAGTCCCAAACGCGATATTTTGGGCTGAGTGGACAAAGTTCCATATTTGGAGATGGATATCGGGGATGGTGGAGACGGGAAGAGCAAGTGTGCGTGTGACGTCGCTCCAGTAGCCGTGCAAGGAGGCGGTGCAGTCGAACAAGGCAAAGTCTTCGGGGCGGAGACTGGCGATCTGTGCCGCTTCCGTGGGGGAGAGCAGCGTTTTCTGGGCGGGATGAGATAGGGAAAAAGAGGGTTTAGAGGCACGTACCTCCGAATAAGGTTAGGCATCCGCCGTCTTTTAGTCCGGCGTCGGCGAGGGCGCGTGCGATGAGGATTACGTGCGTCGGACTCGCGCATGCCGATGTGCATTTGTTTGTGTGTTTGTCGGATGGCTAGAAGGGATGGCCTGTGTAGGATCTGTTAGTATCTCCAGAACATGAGACGAAAGCACGCGCACCTCGTTGGCACACTTGAGCAACGCCAGCTCTCCCTCTGATTTGCGTTCTCGTAGCTGTCTGATCTCTGTGGGTGCAGCAGTCACTGTAGCTTTTGGGAACGCCGTTCGCAGGCCATCGACGATAAAATGACGGATACTCCCATCTACAAACACCGTTCCTTCGGATATCAGGCAATTGCGAATACGGAACCTCATCCTCTGCCCATTCCACCCACTTCACATCAGACGGTATATGGAGCAACCTTGCACGCGTGCCTTCAAACTTGGGCGTAAGGACCGTTATCTGGGCAGAGGCATCCACGATAAGCAGCAGAGGTCTCTCGGAGAGATGCCAGTGCGAAGTCGAGACGTTGGCGTAGTACAGAGCGCTTGCACCGGGCTCAGCGATGTATGCAGAGGCATTGAGAGCAGTGAGGGTTTCACCGAGGGTAGACTAGGCGAGTGTGGAATTCGGAAGCAGGGAGTGGGCCAAGGTGTGAGCAGTGAGAAGACGTCTTGCTAACCACTTTGCTATGCAGACGCGATGGGTAAGGGTAAACTATCAAGCACGCTACCACCAACGCAAGGCAGAGAAGGTACCATCCCCTTCGTTTAGCCTGGGGCGGCGGCGACGCTTCCACCTTGCCTTCAGAACCCATGGAATAAGGAAGTCAGGTACCGGCCCGAACAACCGCCACGATATACCGCGAATACCGGACCGAGTTTGTCAACGACTCTTCTCGCTTTATGCCACCACCCCGTCTCCCCCAGAGCAACCGGAAACATTCGCCTCTGCACCCGAAAAACCAGAATGCGCAGTCGAAAAATTATGCATATAGCATCGAGGACAATTATTTTATCGTTATATTTGGCTGTCATTGTTGATTCCAGCCCGTTGCGCGTAGCTCACGACGAGGTGATTCCGTTGAAATGCAAGACAAACATTATCTGATCCTGTTACACACCATGTTGGACGTGGTATTTTCTTCGATGTGTATAAGGACCTGTACCTAAACGGTGGGAGCGAGGCATTCTCTGAGTATAGTCGGAGTTAACAACTAGAATTTTAGGGAAACTTCGCGTAGGTTACAAAAGGGCACTTCGCAGCAATCCATCCAGATGTAAATTTTAGGTCGGTAGCAGAAGCAATATATGATGTTGCCGAGTCTATCAAGCGGGAGGAATCTGACCTTGTCAGTTTTGTCAAAGCCGACTCACTCCTGGATTTCTGGTTGTCGTATCCCATCTGCAATGCTGAAATCTGGCAAGTCTGATAATGCCTCTGTTGATCTCTCTGAAGTTCCGTGAACATCATCTGGTGTTGCTGTAGATGGCTTAGCGTGCTTGAGGCCTCGAAAATCTTCTGTTGGCGTCGAAGAATCAAAACTTTTGAAGCATGTCATTCCGAATCCCTTTGTATCGGCGAGGTTTGCGTCCTATTTCATTGGCAGTGAAAGGAAGAGAACCGCAGTAAGCGTACAGAGGTGAGTCTCCCAAAAGATCTCGTTTTGCGTATTGTTCAATGGATTATAGCCACCGACGAGCTGAGAAGGTGCCACTGAACACCAAGCCTCGACTCCGCATGATGCTTCCACAAGCGTGATAGCTGGTGCAGCCACAGAGAAAATATCACAAGGGCTTAACGACGCTTCGTTGTGTAAATCTCGTGACCTCGCCCTCTCCCATAGCAGAACTGGTATCTTCAAGTCAATTCTCTTTGTGTTTGAGTATAATTGGAATTAACACCTGGAATTGTAGGGAAGCTTCCCCTAGGTCGGAGGGGTGCACTTTATATCAAGTTTAATGCTACCGCAGTGGCAGTGTTTGATTGTATTACATGTCGTAAAGGCAAGGCATGCTGCTTTCGATACACACAGCATTTTATTCCACAACCACCACCATCTCTTCAGCATACACGAACGGCCATTCGATGGCAAAGATCTTTACCTTGGTGAAGAAGGCCGCGAAAAAGCCAATTCCCTTTGTCAAGAAGAAGGGCATTGAGACTATTACAGTGCCTCTGGAATGTCTAAAAGTACGTGATCACCAGATTTCAGCAGGTAACTATTGTCGCTGACGGTCATCTAGGCGGCTGCTGGGTTAATCCCGGTACCGGCCCTTGGACCAGCGACGGATATTGTCCTTTCCATTTTGAAAAAGGTGGATCAGAGCCAGCAGAATACGGGGACCGCGCGTGAAATCGCAAATCTGTGCTTGAAGGCGCATGTCACATTATCTGAGCATCTGCAGGGCGTAGAAATCACGCCTACATTACTGGACAGCATTCGACAATTTGAAGCGTACGTCCTTCTCTACCTTACTTAGTCATTTCTTTTATCTGGGTGTGCTGATAGGGATTTACATGACGTCCAAAATACTGTCGAAGAGTATGAGCAGAAGATGACGATTGATCAAACGCTCTATTCTAAATCATACAGCGATGAATTGCAACGCGTCGAAAAACGGGTTAACAGTACTCTGTCGCTTTTCCAAGTAAGCAGCACAGCACTCTCCTGATTCGGATGTCCTTCTACCAATTGTTTTAGATTAAGAAGTTACTTTCGCTTGAAGAAACCTGCGCAAAGATGTCCACATCTTTACAGCACATCGTTGAACTGCTGCTTATGAACCGCTCCGAGGCTACTCCGAAGCCTGAAGAACCACTGGTAGATGTAAGTTAACCCTTCCTGACAAAAACTGAAGGAGTGCTCATGAAACCTGTAGATCGTGCGGAGAAGTCATATCACTCTCTGCGAAGAGATCATCAATGGTCCAGGGTATAGCCTTCAAAAAGCAGAACTGCGTGGAAAGACTGTTGCCATCAAAGTGTTCACAGGCTGTAAAGCGAAATCGGTACGAAATCCGTGTTCTCATTCTAGGCTGTCGGTGCTAAGCCATTGCTAGACCTGGGAAGCATCAAATATGTTTGACTTAAAAGTTATGTACGTGTCATTAAGATTCTACACGTTTCAGCTACATAGCTGTTCTATAGGCATCCCAACCTACCCCACCTTATCGGAGCTTCAAGTTCTGATGAGCGGGGGGCACTATTCTCGGTATACGATCTCGGTGATATAATTACCTCCTGCTGGAGTGAACGCTCAATTTACAGAATACACAGATATTAAGTTCCGGCTTGTAGATGTCATCCCGTCATGGTCGGCGATCAATTCCGATATTATTCTGTATCCTTTGCTCGACAAAATGGTGAGTATAAACGAGGCCTGTGATCAGCTGTTCCACGTTCTTACGACTGAATCAACAGTTTAAGGATATATACGTAGGCGACAGCTGTCTGTGTCATTTTTATGTACTCATTTTCGACCAGAGCGCACGGAATTATTTGTGGGAACAAACTTGTTTGTTTGCTCAGTCTGACGAATCTGTAGTAAGCATGACAGTATCCTTATTGATACTCATAACTGAATGTCATGATACAGATAGTTAATATTCTTTGTGACGCCCGCGGTCGATTCGTCGTCTTACTCTGCCCAGAAGCGGCCAGCTCCTCAACTGCCTTGGTCTATCCTGCGGACTATACCAAATTTGATTTTGTGATGGGTGACACCCGCCATAACGCTGAGGTTAGTACTCCTGTTTGCTTGGCTTGAACTGCTTGTTGACAGTGCGAATGCAGGCCGTTAGAGTAAACCACACCGCTTTTGTCTATGCTTGAATTTGTCCACTGACCGACCACTTAGACGATAAGCACGTGGATGAAGCCACAAAATACATCAAATTTTTATTTCAGATGGCACTGGGATTGAACCTGCGGGAGCTTGTTTGGCAGACAGCCAGTAGTTATGACACGGACGTACGTAAGATCTCAAAGAAATATGGCATTCATATCGACTTACCTTGGAATGCGGTGATTCAGGACTTGTTTTCAGATCATAAGCCAGAAGCCCGACCCTGGGCTTTTGATAGTAGACTACTTGGTATATGGCAACTTTCAATACTAGACATTCTTGCTGATGACGCACATTTCCTCCCGTCGTACCCTGTGCGGACGGGGCTCCTAAGAACCAGCAAAACCATCAGATATCATCATCATCCGAATAAAATTCATCCTCATCCTCCTCATCCATAGACGCCAAATTCGTAAAATCAGCCTTATACCTCACCAACCCCCCAAAGCCAAAAGCCCCCTCCTGCGAGCGATTCGTCACAAACTCGAGGTTGGCGCCAAACTCTTTGTACTTTTCGGCGAACCACTCGAGGAGCGCTTGGGGTTCTTCGGATTGTTCTATTTCGAGGCCAGTGGATCTGTCGATGAAGTTGGAGCGGTCTTTGTCTTGTTCTTTGTTGTGGTAGACGATGATGTCCTCTGCGAGGGGTGGGGGGCTAGTGGTAGAGAGCAAAGAGGGCAAGTAATAGGTTGCGAACCTCCAGAGGCATTACGAAGGATGTAACGCGTGATATCAAGGTTCCCCCATACGATTAGAGTCTCGACGGCTCCAAGTTCGAGAGCCTTGAGCGTGTCTTCGATACCAAAGCATATCCTGATTAATTTCGTCAAAGTACTTTTAAATCAACCGTTTCTCCTGCACAAACTTGACGTTCGCAAGAGACTTTGCAGCAAGTTTGATAGCCTAAAGAAACATAATCAGACACGATCCCCCACAAACCACCAAACCCACCTGGTTAAACCCACTCTCCCACCATAACTAACATCCACAACTTTAGCCGCCAACCTCAAATCGAACATATCACTCCGACTGGGCTCCGTCTTGAAATCCGCGCTTCCCGCTAACACGAGGCCCGTGACGTTGACCTCATCGTTTGTGATGAAATGCTGCACCGCTAGCACCGCCACCTCGCGCACGTAGTTGCGCCTCTTCTCATCACGAAGACGAGAGAAGCGCAGTGCGGACTGACCTCCTCAATCGTGCTTCTGGTCGACGGTGAATTTATGGATGACCTCGCGCCGAGTGTTCCGAGAGGGCTTCGGTGTGGAACTTGTCGTAGAGGTAGAGGGACCTGGAGGTCGGGTGATTAGGATGCTTTTTTCGTTTTACTGGGGGACGTACGTGTTGACAGGCTTGTGAGGCTCAAAATCGAATGAGACCTTCTTTTCCTTGCCTTCGTCTGTTAGGATCGTGCCGACGAATAGCACAAGGCCATTGGGAGGGACTCGGTGATAGAGCTTCAGTCGCTATTGGGTACTGGTGATGGCTTCCAGGACGGAGAGACGATTGACTCGTGATTTGATGTTCGATGGTGTATCGTATTCCTGCGTTAACATGCCAGACGCTCAGGATATTTGATGCTGCGGGGTGCTTAATACCACACCACGGTTACGCTGAAGAGAGGACGGACCTTTGGGGGAAGGATCAGGCTGGCCATGGGCGTTCCAACTCTGAAGAGTAGTTCAGTATCGTAAGAACAAGCAGAAAGGAAGAACGTACCCTCTAGCAGAATCAAGACTCTTGATCAGTTTCTTGATTTTCCACATCTGAATATTCTGCTCCGCCACATCTTGAGGACATCGTATATGCACTTTGTTCATGTAGAAACGAAAAACGAAAAAAAAAAGAGAAGAAGAAACGGGAAATGAGCAAGGCCAGGTGACCGCGATGATGGTAGGAAAGAGAAGAGGAAAAGGAAGGCTGCTTAAAGTAGACCTTGATCACTCTACTGATTCATCACACGGACTCGGATGGCAAACAAGCGCAAGAATGACTCTCGTGAATCCCGCAAAAGCGTGTCAAATTATCGACTGCTGATGACTATGCCATTGTAGAACTTGAAACGCATCGCAAGAGGAGACGACTCTCGGCACCGAGACCTTTCCCGATAGTCCCAGCGTCTGTCTCTGCTACAGGCCCACGCTCAGCGCACAAAGAGGGCAAGAATCTCATCTGTATAACACGCAAGACGTCGCTGGGAGCGTATATGCGGCGGTGTAAGGACCTCGCTGTGAAAGATGGGTACGTCATCTCTTTCTCCCTCCTTCCTTGCATGCTGACAGCCCGGTAGATACAAAACTCTCCATCTGAGCGCAATGGGCGCAGCGATCCCCCACCTCCTCAAGCTAGCTCTAGCTCTGCCCCCGATTCTACCGTTCGAGGTTCGGGCGGAGTATACGACGGGGACGGTGGAAGTGCGTGACGAGGTAGACGATGGGGAGGAGGATGGAGATATCACGTATGAAACGAGGGGAAAGTCGACGTTGAAGGTGGTGATGACGTTCGATACCAAATCAACAAACACAAAGGATGATACTGTGGTGGTTGCGGAACCGGAACAGGAGGGAGAGGAAGATGTTATGGAGGCTGTATGACGTGCTTATGGTGAGCTTCGTGCTGTTCGCTTTAGTTAGGTCACTGGACGGTTTCATAGTTGTAATTTTGAGTGTAACATCACGTATATTTGCCGCTAAAGCTAGGGCAAGTCAACGTTAATGGTGGTGTGATCACGTTAACCTCGAAAGTAACCCGGCTGCAAAGACACGCGGAGCCGGAAAAAGAGGAGAATAGTACCATCGGAGAGCTCGTATGATTCGTACTGTCCACTTCTGTCAAGTCACTGATGCATATTAATTCCATAGGTGCAAACCCATTTACTAAAGCCAGACTGAACGGAGCCGCAAGTGACAGGGTAACCCACCAATCCTAGGACCTCGGGTATGAACATCTGATAATACACGCGTTTATTCCGGCATGCACTAGCCTTGAAATAAAAAATCACCATTCCTAATGCCTGTCGGAGAGGGAAACGGGAACGTAAAGATGACGCATTCGTATTCTTACACTCAACCACCCCTGCAGATGCGGCTCCCCCGCCGGATGGATGGATCATTTGCGTTAGCGCTTAGCCTGCGAACAAACGGTAAGGGAAAGAACGAACAAATGAACGATCCCGGACCGTCCGGCCCTGGCACTAAACGCAACACTCCTACCAACTCCTAGTGCAAACAATTAAGCAGGTGTGTCTTCTTACGTCGACGAAGTAATCCACGACTCACCTCCAGAAACACAAGAAGTCGAACCCACCGCCACCTTCTCCCAAGGCCCTCTACAACGCATCGTGCTCACATCGGCTCCCCGTACCTTCCCTCACGATATTCGGACCAAGCCTACGGTTACGTTTACCGGAAACATATACGTACCAGACATTCGGAGACATTGATCCCCCCATATTCCCATTTACCCCCCATATTTAATCCTCCGCCCACGATTTTAGTCTCTTAAATTTCTCCGACAGGGCACTTCTTTGTCCTCGTGCGGGCCCTTAGATCTTAAACCCGGTACCGAACAGCGTCAAGTTCACCTCACCTCTAAATTCGCAAGACCCACCCCTGGCGTGTGAGAAGGCGGTTATCGCATTCCCATTATACAAGGCACACCTTCCAAAGGCCAATTTATCCAATCCTTAATTATCCCACCCTGCAGGTCGGGTATACATCGCGTCAAGAACCCCTCGTCTTGGTCCCTGAGGTTTTTCTCATCCGTGTTCCTTATTTATAGGGCGCGTCAAGTGAACGGACGGACAGACAGGCAAGGAGGAGTTATGGGTATTTCAATCACCGACGACTCAAACTCGAAGCAACCTGACATCTCGTACCACCCCGACAAGGCCAAGTATCATGCGCGTACGGCGCGTCGTCTGGCTGAAGATCCCTCTCTTCCGGAGGTTGCCCTCCCTGAGGGTTTCCCTCCTCGCGTGGAAGGACCTATCGTCTGGGAGGGCAAAGACTGGACGAGCGAGGACCAGTGGGTGTACCAGCTTCGTGACGCCGAGCTGGAGGAGATCGACCAGGCGCTCCAGTATTTCAAAGGTCCCCTCCCTCTCCTTTATTTTCGAATTACGTCTAACCGAATTTTTACTAGGCACGGGAAAACCACTAGGCTACATCAGCAAAGAGACGTTCCCCCTTCCTACCCTAAGCCCCACCTTGAAAGACCTTGCTCGCGAGCTCTACTCAGGCCGGGGATTCTTCGTCTTACGAACCATCCCAATCGAGCAGTACGCGAAAACAGAATTGGCGATCGTCTACGCTGGTACGCTCCTCTCATTTCCTAATATGCATCCATCTCGACTCACATTCATCCCCAACAGGTATATCCTCACACGTCGGCTCCGCCCGAGGAAAACAAGACTCCACCGGATCCGTCCTCGCGCACATCAAAGACCTCACCGTCAGCCACGCCCACGAGCAAGGCGGGATCGGGAACTCGGCGTACACGACGGACAAGCAGGTCTTCCACACCGATGTGGGTGACCTCATTGCCTTGCTGGCTATCCAGTCTGCGGCCGAGGGTGGCGTGTCGAGGATCAGCAGCGCAGGGAAGGTGTATAATGATATCGCAGCGACGCGCCCTGATATTATCCGTACGCTCGCGGAGCCCTGGCCTTTGGATAGGTGTGTTTGACGTGTCTCTTATGTCTGGGTTATACGCTCATGTTGATAGCTTTGGTGGATCCCCCGGGTACACGACGCGTCCGCTCCTCTTCTACAACGAGGAAGACAGACATGTCATAATTCAGTATTCTCGACGACATTTCACAGGATACGGGTTGCAGAAACGAAGTCCACATATACCACCCATCTCCGAGGCTCAGGCGGAAGCACTCGATGCGCTGCATTTCGCCGCTGAGAAGCATTCCTTGGGGTTGAATTTCCAGAAGGGCGATATTCAGTATATTAACAGTCTGGGCTTGTTGCATTCTCGGGATGCATTCCGGGATGACGAAGAGCATACGTGAGTGTTGATGTAAATGGTTTCTCCCGTGAGGTTTACTGATGATATTATTATGATGGGTCAGACGACACCTGATCCGGCTGTGGCTTCGCAATGACGAGCTGGCGTGGAAGACGCCAGGGCCTCTGCAGCATATATGGAAGAGATTGTACTCTGTTTCTCCTGATGATCAGAGATTTCCGGTTGAGCCTGAAATCAGGAGGAAGGAGAATGGCGCGACAAAGTGAACGAGCTCTTAAAGTTATTTCTACCTGTAAGGCTTTTGGCCGGTGAATGCGACGTAAATTGTAGCCTGGCAGGCCGTTTGATATATACGTGTACGTTGAAGCAATGAGAAAAAGAGTGTGACTTGAATTATTTAACTGTGAAAAAGAACATATGATCAAGTTCGCAACCAAGCAGTCTTTGCAATCTTCTTAAGCCTTTTCTGCTCCTTGAATCGATCCTAAATGACCATTAGCCCAGCACCTCAGAAATCACAACCAAGCACTCACCAAATCCTTCTTACTCGGTCTCTTCCTCTTCTTCCCTTCCTCCTCTTGCTGCTGCTGCTGTTGATCCCTCTGCGCCTCCCACGCCCCAACATCAAAATAAAACTCACTCATCCGCTTCGCTCTCTCATACTCGGACATATGGCTCGGGTCACGAGCGTCATTGGCTGTGAAGCGGCCAGTGCGGGCGTTGAACTTTGCCGTGGCGGTGTAGGCACCGACACTCCCGCTAGGTCCGGCAGAGAGGGAAGGATCGAGGTAGGCGAGGGAAGGGTCGATGCCTGCTGCTAGAGCAGCATCGTAGGATGAGGAAGATGAGGAAGACGCTGCCGCTTCAGGCTGGGGTTGAGGCTGAGGCATCAAAGGGTTCTCCCATGTTGTCTGGCCCGTGACCGCGTTGTAAAAGTAGTACGTGTTGTGCTGGGGTGAAAAGATAGCTTGCCAGTCGCCGTTGGTAGGCGCCGCCGCCGTCGCCGCTGGGGTCGGTTCTGCTGACTGCTCTTCAGAATTTGTGGGCTCAGGGACTTTTTCGGGGATAGAGGTTGATGTTTCCGGCTGCTCTGGTTCTGGGGGAGGCGGGGTGGGCGAAGCCATGGTGGCAGAAAGCGAGAAGAGTTGTTGACAAATTGAGAGGAAGCTTCGGCCCGGTATTTGCGGCAGATTCCGAGGGGTGCGTTTCTTGCATTCGCCCGTATTCAAGAAAGTACTTGAATCTCCTCACTCAGTCACATTTTGCACTGTGCAGGCGTGAGCACTTGTATATATGGATACAATCCGGTCTTATTCGTTCCGATGATTTCCCCAGCAGCAGAGTAGCTATGGAGACGCTGCTTCTGGGTTCGCGTATCATACTTCGTCAGTGCCTTCGCACCCCGGGCCTCAGTATGCTGTCCTAGTATGTACTGCACCAGGTTATCCACTATCGCGCAGATAGTACCGGTAGAATCAATCATTTTCAAAGGAGCAATACAGATCGAAATTGGTAGCGATTTACCCGTGATTCGTCGGTATTCATCTTCGTTGCAGAAGATGGTCTTCATCGGAGACGACAAACAGCGTATGTTTATAGTCTCTTTCCAAAACTTTCCATCATCTCAGCAGAACTTGAAGTGCTGCCCTATGGTCACAGTGACATCTCAGAGTTGGAAAGTGTCTTTGAAAAGCAGCACCTTTGGCGGAAAATACACTTTCTTGACACCAGTGTGAGTGAAATCCCTTGCTCATGCATGCTACGTGTGCTCATACGGTCACAGATCGCATGCCTATGCCAATCGGGGATTTTATATCCGAACATGTCTACAATAAAAAACACAAGACTATCCGTAACATATCGTCGAAGACCTGTTGCCGTTTTGTCAACATACCGAAAGGACGGGAACATCAAAGCAGGATTGTAAGTATTCCCTCTAGCCATGTATCGTCTCGACTCATTCACGCTTGGGTTCAGGACGAAAAGGAACCCTAGGCAGTGGTCAAGGTTGCGAAGATCTTGCAGGAGCGCAACAAGTCGTTCCGAGTAATAACACCATATGACACGCAAAGATCTACCATCGAAAAATCACTAAAGGAATATCCGGCTGCAGAACTTCCTCCTCTAAGTCACACAGCACACAGGAGGGGCAACTGTATAACACGGCAGATGCTGAGATTGGTACGTACGCGTGTGATCTCTGGATAGTAGACTCCCAGAGTACAAAGCGCTCGATGAGCGCAGCGATCCCTCACTGTCTCCTCCGAGTCAAGTTGGCGCTGGCTCTGCCATTCCAGCCGTTTGAAGTATGGGCGGAGATGATGCGACTGGAACGATACTGGGTGGAGGGTGAAGATATCACGTATGAGACAAGCGACAGATGAATGTGATGAGACTGGATGGCAAAGACAAAGGGTGATGTAGTACTTATGGCCCAGCCGGTACTTGACGAGGATGTTAGGGAGGCAGCATAACTTGCTTCAAGTTGTAAGTTTCGAGCTGTGCGATTTAACTTGAGTTACTGAACTGCTCCATAGATATATCTTTGATATAGGAATTATAATATGCGCGCAACTCGAGCCATATGTACGAGTATGAGAGAACGAATTCCTTCCTGGGCGCTACTTTGGGCGCTAGTGTGCTTGTGTGCACTGGGGGAAGAGGCTGAAGATTGAAGCTGTGAACTTGAAATGATACGCAGTTATACAGTGTTTTTGTCGTCGCTCTGGAATTTCAGCAGACGCGTAATCAAAAATTCCCATCGAGGCTAGCGGATGTTCGGCGCTGTGTCTCAGTACGAAGTGCTGAACATAACACTTGAGGTTTACATGGTACATGCGCGTCATCAGCAAGAATGTCTAGTATTGAAAGTTGCCATATAATTAGTCTACTAGGCTGGGCTTTTGGCTTGCGATCCGAAAAACAAGTCCTGAACAACTGCATTCCACTATAAGCCGGTATGATGCCATATTTCTGTGAGATCTCACGCACGTCCGTGTCATAACCGTTGGCTGTCTGCCAAACAAGCTCCCGCAGGTTTAATCCTATCCCCACATGAAACCAACACAGAACAGAGGTGTTGTCTTCATCCGCCTGCTTATCGTCTAAGTGGTCGGTCAGTGGACAAATTGAAGCATAGACAAACCGATGTGATTTACTCTAAGGACCTGCATTCGCGCTGTCAAGCAGTTCAAGCCAAGCAAACAGGAGTACCAACCTCAGCGTTATGGTGGGTGTCACCCTCCATAAAATAAAGCTCTTCCATATCGTTCGCAGGGGAGTCGGAGCTGGCCGTTTCCGGAGGGAGCGAGATGACGAATCGGCCGCGGGCGTCACAAAGAAAAAGACAGTCCTGTATCATGGCATTTAGTTATGAGCATCAATAAGGATACTGTCGTGCTTACTATGCTTCCGTCAGAAGCAAACAAACACCTTTGTTCCCATAAATGATTCAGGCCACTCTGTTTGAAAATGAGTACATCAAAACGATGCAGACAGCTGTTGCCTACTATTAAATCGCGACTCTGTTAATTCAGTTGTAAGAACGTGGGACGGCTGGTCACACGTCTCACTATACGCACCATTTTGTCTAGCAAAGAATTGAGAATGATATCGGAATCGATCGCCGACCATGACGGGATGACATCTACAAACCGGTGCTTGATATCTGTATATTCTGTAAATTAGGTATTCACTCCAAGCAGGAGGTAATTATATCACCGAGATCATACACCGAGAACAGCGCTCCCCGCTCATTAGAGCTTGAAGCCCCGATAAGGTGAGGCAGGTTGGGATGCCTACAGAACAGCTAGGTAAACAAAACGTGCAGAATCTTGATGCCACGTACATAAATTTCAAGTCCAACATATTTGACGCTTCCCACGTCTAGAAATGACTTAGGATTAACAACCTAGAATGAGAACACGTGTTTCGTACCGATTTCGCTTTACAGCCTGTGAACACTTTGATGGTAACGATCTTTCCATGCATTTCTGCTTTTTGAAGACTACCCTGGACTACGAATGATCTCTTCGCAGAGAGTGAGATCACTTCTCCGCACGATCTACAGGTTTCACGAGCACCCGTTTCGGTTTTTGTCAGGAAGGCTTAACTTACATCTACCAGTGGTTCTTCAGGCTTCGAAGCAGGTTCGGAGCGATTCATGAGCACCACAGTATTATGTTCGATGCGCTGTAGGGATGTGCTCTCTACGGCATTCTGTTCGATGCGCTGCAGGTATGTATAAATCGCTGCAGTATTCTGTTCAATGCTCTGCAAGTATGCATAAATCGCGGCAGTATTCTGTTCGTTGCACTGCATGGATGCGTGAATCTTTGCGCAGGTTTCTTCAAGCGAAAGTAACTTCTTGATCTAAAACAACAGTAAAAGGATCTAAGTCAGAGGAGTGCTGTACTGCTTACTTGGAAAAGCGACAGAGTACTGTTGACCCGTTTTTTGATGCGTTGCAACTCATCGTTGTATGATTTAGAATAGAGCGTTCGTTCAATCGACATCTTCTGTTCATACTCTTCGACAGTGTTTTGGACATTATGTAAATCCTTACCAGCACACCCAGATAAAAGTAATGACTAAGTAAAGTAGAGAAGGACGCACGCTTCAAACTGTCGAATACTGTCCAATAAGGCAGGCGTAATTTCTACGCTCTGCAGATGCTCGGATAGAGTGACATGAGCCTTCAAGCACAGATTTACGATTTCACGGGCGGTCCCCGTATTCTGCTGGCTCTGGTCCACCTTTTTCAGAATGGAAAAGACAATATCCGTCGCTGGTCCAAGGGCCGGTACCGGGATTAACACAGAAGCCGCCTAGATGACCATCAGCAACAACAATTACCTGCTGAAATCTAGTGACCACGTACCTTTAGACATTCCAGAGGCATTGTAAGAGTCTCAACGCCCTTCTTCTTGACAAAGGGAATTGGCTTTTTCGCCGTCTTCTTGACCAAGGTAAAGATCTTCGCCATCGAATCGCCGTTCGTGTATCCTGAGGAGATGGTAATGGTTGTGGAAAGAGATGCTGTAGACATCAAAAACAGCTTGCTTTGCCTTTCCCACATCTTCGGCATCAGGACCGGAACAAGTCTAAATATGCATCGTCACTGCCGGTTATTGATGACACGCAACCATGACGCATAATATTTGATTTTCACTGCTGAAGCGCTGTGTTCGTAGCAAAAAAAGAAGGATTTTAGAGAAGCCTTCTGCTACCGACCTAAAATTTACATCAGGATGGATTGCTGCGCCTCTTGCGAATCCTACATTGACCGAGTGTTGAGTGTGCGAGAGCGAAGAGGACGAACCAACGTCGTTAACCAGATACTAGAACCATATCGGATTTAGTACGGGATGGGTCAAGAGCACAAGAGCACGCACCTCGAAATTGTCGACCAGAATCACGATGGAACAGGCACCGTCCGATGACCGATGATGCCATTATCTAGTAGCGCAACTGCTTTATCGTCGTGAAGCAACACAAGTAGTAGATACTCGAAGCGACCTGCGATGCACACATCGAGCTATTCAATCACGAAGACACCAGAAAAACTCTTCACATTCCTGCTTAGTAAGAGTCCCAATTCCGAACAAAGACTTAAGAGACACACCCTGAAGATACATCAAAACGAAGCGACTTTGATTTCATAGCCTTGGGAAAGAGGACGGTCGTAGTACTTCTCGAGTTATAGATGGAAGAACGATTTTGTATATCGGAAATATACCTCCGGTCAGGGACTACGTGTGAAACTTTGAAACTCGGGAGTCTTGTCAATGTTTCCAGGAAGAGCCTAGCCACGCAAGAAAAGAATTCTAAGCTTTCGAGAACGCCGCCCCACCGCGTCGCAACTTGCCATGTTGCATCGGCAGAAATTGAGCGGGTGTCCATGGCGATGAAATGGGAAATACCGCCCTAATACGAGGTACATTGCGCTATCGTGCTGCGCGATGTAAAAGCACGAGGTGTACACTGCCGAGTTTGCCTCCATTGGAGTCCAAGTGATGGTCGTTTGCGTAGGGAGCGCATTGGAATTAGAGAAAGCAGTATATTCTGTCATACGTCGTAGGAACAGTGGGGGTTCGAGGTCAAAATGCGGTGGTGGTGGTGGCGTCAGAAATGTAAGGTAAGTGGTGGATATGTATGAATTGAACATAGCGTTAAAGCCGTGAAATCGAGCCGTCAATATCTTCGGGTGCGATATACTTCCCTGGCTAGTCTGAGAATGAACGGCCTGTCTGCAGAATGCCTCGCTCAGAGTCCTACCGGTTAGGTACAGATCCTTATGTATGTCGAAGCCAATGCGATGTCTAAGATGGCGTGGAATAGGTTTGGATAACGTTCGCCTTGTACGTCGGCTACGCGTAACGGACTGGAATCAACAATGACAACCAAAGTAACGATAAAATAGCTGTCCTCGATGCTGTACGCGTAGGTTTTCGACTGCGTATTCTGGTTTTTCGGGTGCAGCAGTGGATATTTCTGGTTCTGGGGAGGGAGAGGTGGGCGAAGCCATGGTAGCAGAAAGCGAGAAGAGTTGTTGAAAAATAACACTTGAATGTATCCGCTATATTAAACGCTGTCCTGTCGACGCAATGCTGCGAGAGTGTATGTGTGTCGAGTAATAATGTGAAAGGATGGCGTGCCAGTCGCCGTTGGTGGACGCCGCTAAGGTTGGTTCTGCCCTTCGGGCTTTGAGGTTCCTCTACTTTTTCCTGGAGTAGCAGTGGATGTTTCGGGCCGCTCTGAGTCTGGGGGAGCGGGGTTGGCGAAGCCATGGTATTCAAGGGCAAAAAGAGGAATTGACAAATTGAGAGACGGGTGGCTTCGGGCCGGATTTTGCGGCTATCCTGGCGGCGGTACTTGACTTTGTTTTCCATGGGTTCTGAAAGCAAGGTCGAAGCGTCGTCGCCGCCCCAGGCTAAACGAAAGGGATGGTACCTTCTTTGTCTTGCGTTGGTAGCAGTGTGCTGGATGGCCTACCCTTACCCGCCTCATTCACCTAAAGTGATCGGCAACTCGTCGTCACACTGCTCGCACCTTAGCCCACTCCCTGCTTCCGAATTCCACACTCGCCTGTCTACTCTCGGCGAGACCCTCACTACTCTCAAAGCCTCTGCATATATCACTGAACCTGGTGCAAACGCTCTGTACTACGCCAACATCTCGACCTCGCACTGCCACCTCTCTGAGAGACCTCTGCTGCTTATCGTGGATGCCTCTGCCCGGGTAACGGTCCTGACGCCCAAGTTTGAAGGTACACGTGCAAGGTTGCTCCCTATATTGTCTGATGTGAAGTGGGTGGAATGGGCAGAGGATGAGGTTCCGTATGGACAACTACCTGATATCGAAGGAACGGTATTCGTGGATGGGAATATCCGTCATTTCATCGTCGATGGCCTACGAACGGCGTTCCCAAAGGCTATAATAAGCGCTGCTCCCCCAGAGATCAGGCAGTTGCGAGAACGCAAGTCGAAGAGAGTGCTAGAGTTGCTCAAATGTGCCAACGAGGTGTGCGTGCTTTCATCTCATGTTCTGGAGATTACTAACAGACCTATACAGGCCACCCTTCTAGCCATCCGACAAACACACAAACAAATGCACCTCGGCATGCGAGAGTCCGACGCCCGTAACCTAGTCGTACGCGCCCTCGCCGACGCCGGACTAAAAGACGGCGGATGCCTTACCCCATTCGGAGGTATGCGCCAACCCATTCCTGACCTAATCCTCATCCCGCTTAGAAAACGCCGCCCTCCCTCACGGAAGCGGCACAGACTGCCTTGTTCGACTGCACCGCCTCCTTGCACGGCTACTGGAGCGACGTCACACGTACACTCGCTCTCCTCGCCTTCACCATCCCCAATACTCATATCCAAATATGGAACTTTGTCCACTCGGCTCAGAATATCGCGTTTGGGACTGCCCATGCAGGTGTAGTCGCCAAGTGCGTCGACGAGGCTCCGAGGCTCTTCCTCGGTCTTGCGGGGTATGCAAAGTATTTCACGCATCGTCTTGGGCATGGGATTGGCTTGGAAGTCCATGAGGACCCTTGAATGGCGGGAGCGAGGTCATCCTCCCAACAGGGCATACTTTCTCTGATGAGCCTGGGGTGTATATCGAGGACAAAGTTGGTGTGTGCCTCTTACATTACTCTTACATTGCGCAAAACGGCAGTGCAATGTGCCTCACAGCGGGAGTGGGAGGTCCCGCTTCGTCGCCTTGGAAGCCGTAGGGGCAGGATATCTAGAAGGTGAACGACGATTTATATATTCACTGAACGAGTTATATATAATCATACGGACCGTTGAGTCTGGTTTACGACACTATTCCCAGCCAGGTATCACGGGCCATATAATGCTTAAGAGGTCTGACTTTGCAGTACAACTGTATAGATAGTGTCCTACTCGGGTGAGCATCCTATATCACCCTCTAGGTGGGACGGCTTGCTAGTGCGACCACTACTACTACTTTGCAGCTTGATTTGGCACAAACAAGCTCAACGGAATGTTCGCTAGGCTTGATGTAAGTCGGACAACAATCGAACTACCAAGTCCTAGGGACGCCCCCAAGCTTTAGCACTGAAAATCAAGTATGCTGTTGAGGATGGAGTTTCACAGCCACCAGCCACCATTTTTATTTTACACATTATTTTGACCATTATTTACTTTACCGATCGTTACCGTAAAATTTGGGCTTCGTACCACCACCATCCCGCGTCGTGTACTCTGGAATATACCTGCGTCGAGCCCTACCACCACGTTCCCTTCGACCGCTGCGCCTAAAACCCCAACATATGCATGATAGTTTCGTGTCGTCAATTACCACTAGGGGCTGCATTTGATGATATTTTGATGTGCACCGGTCCTTTTGCTTCCTTCTGCCGAACATGTGGTAAAGGGAAAGCGTGCTGTTTTTGATACGCACAGCATCTTTTTTCACAACTACATCCATCTCTGCAGGATACACTGCGAACGGCGATTCGATGAAAAAGGGTCTTACCTTAGTCAAAAAGAAGGGCGTCGAGACTGCTATAATTCCTCTGCAAGGTCTAAAAGTACGCGATCACTAGAGCTTACTAGGCGACTATTGTTGCTGATAGTATCCTAGGCAGCTGCAGGACTGATCCCAGTACCGGCCCTTGGACCAGCGACGGATATCATCCTCTCCATCTTGGAAATTGCATATCAGAGCCAGCAGAATGCGGAGAACTGCCGTGAAATCGCAGATCGGTGCTTGAGGGTTCATGTGACATTATCTGAGCATCTGCAGAGCATGGAAATCACACCGACTCTATTGAAAAGCATTAGACGATTTGAAGTGTATGTCCTTCTCTACACGACTCAGTCATTGTTTTCATCTGAGTGCTGTTAGGGAGTTGCATAACGTCCAAGAATTCGTCAAACGATACAGACACAAGACGGCGATCCGTCGTTTATTTTATTCGAAATCAGATAATGATGAATTGCAACGCCTTGGAAAACGGGTTGACGAAACTCTTTCGCTTTTCCAAGTACGCCGCACACTCTTTAGATGACCATTTACCAATTGTTTTAGATCGAGAGGTTACTTTCGCTTGAAGAAATCTGCATGAAGATGTATGCATCCATACAGCACGTCAACCAAAATATTTTAAGGAATGGTGCATCCCTACAACGTATCGAGCAGAATACTGTAGTACTTGTGAACCGTTCCGAACCTGCTCTGGGGTCCAAAGGAGCATCGGTAGAAGTAAGTTAAGCCTGACAAAAATTGAAAGGAGTGCTCATGAAACCTGTAGATCGTGCCGAGAAGTCATTTCACTCCCGGCGAGGAGATCATCAATGGTCCAGATTATAGCCTTCAAACCGCAGAGATGCGCAGCGGAAAGATCGTTACCATCAGAGTGTTCACAGGTTGTAAAGCGAAATCAGTACGAAACTTATGTCTTCATTCGAGGGTGTCGGTACTAAACCATTGCCAGACCTGGGAAGCATCAAAGAAGGTCGACTTGAACATTATGTATGTGCATTCCAGATTCTCACGTTTTGGCTGCATAACTGTTTCGTAGGCATCCCAATCTACCTCACCTTATCGGAACTTCAAGTCCTGACCAGCAGGGGGCCCTATTCTCAGTATATGATCTTGGTGATCTAAATACCTCCTGCTCCGAATGAATGCCCAGTTGATGGAGTTTATAGATATTAAGGACAGCGTTGAGGGTGTTATCATGTCATGGATGCACCAGGATATTGACGAAATCATGTATATGTGTGCCCGAATGGTGTGTATAGCAATACCCGTGATCGGATTTTCCACCTTCTTAGACTTACGAATGAACCAACAGGTTCACGGAATTTCTGTAGGTGGCATCTGCTCGAATTGCTTTTCTGCACTTATTTGCGACCAGAGTGCACTGAATAATCTGTCGGAGCAAGCTCGTTTGTTTGATCTGGGTGCGGAAGTAAGCACCACAGTATCCTTATTGATACTCGTAACTGAATGCAATGATATAGAGCTTTGATATTCTTTGGGATGCTCGCGGCCGGGTGGTACTCGCAATCCATCCGGAAGTGGCCACCTCTTCAACAACCACCTTGACTTCTCCCGAGGACCATAACCTAAGCCTTTTACATGCGATGGACGACATCTGTGATAACGTTGGTTCTCCTGTGTGCTTGGCTAGAATTGCTTATTAATAGCGAGAATGTAGATCTTTCGTAAAGTTAATCATATACGTTATGGTAAGTGAGTGTCTATGCTTGGATTTGTCCACTGACCAGCTACTTAGATGATGATCCGTACCGCACAGAGTCCCAGGATAGTCCCAGTATACAGTTAGATGAGGACACATCTTCTCCAGCAACTTCATCTCAATCGTCGAATACGACTGTGATTAAACCTCGGCGGGAGCTGTTTTGGCAGTCAGCATCTCGCTATGACACCAGTGTACATGAGATCTCACAGCAATATGGATCATTCGTATGCCTCAAAACGTTCTGTCCGCCTGTTCGTCGAGTCTATACCTCTCGTCGGCCTACGGAACACCACAAATGCAAAGGATATATGCGAGAAGAGCTAACTCTTACACCTGTCATTCTTGAGAACAAGGTTGTTGTGCACCCGCTGCCGTGTATTAATGAAATCTGTATTATTTGCGGGGAACGCATTGAAGAGCTATCTACGTTCGAGATCCTACGGCGCAATTATCTAGCTATGTTAAACGAACAGCCATCGTCATCTAATTTGACCATCGACTCAATGGCTGTTTCCGATGACGATCGGCTCACTGACTCTTTATCGTCAGGCACATCGCCGCTCTTCGACACACCTTACAGCGACGCCTTGGACTCGTTTGAAGCATCGACGATTTACTACACTGCTCAGACCCACTTCCTTACAACTCCCATTTTCCAGGACAGCTATACCCCATTAATATCGGATGCGGATGAGCAAATGTTCCGCTCGTACGAAGAACTGTTGGCGGTTCCTCCACAGTTCCCGGATTTGGAAAAACTGTGTACCATGTCGCCTACCTCACCGGCTGTCGACTTCATTAATCCCGCTTTGGTATATCCCTCTCTCCTTCCCCCAGTTGAGCAGGCCCTCCCGCCACCGCCATCTTTTACCCCTGCCGCCGCTGCCACTCGGCCGACGAAGCCTCCTCCTCGCAAGTCGTCTGCAACGGGTACTCGTAAAAACATCACCCCGGAGACCATGGTCCCCCTTGACGCTCCTACCGCCATTCCCACCGTCAAATGGGCAGATCTATGGTCAAAAGGAGGCACAGAGGGAAAAACATCTGTTTGCCAACGTTCCTGATACTGAGCCGGAGATTGTTGAGTGGTGGTATGAAGTAATGGGGAACGTCAAGTCGTCGAAGGAGGCGGGTGGGCATGTGGGGCAAGCTGCAGAGTGAGGACGGGGACGAGGAGGATGGCGGCGGGATGGCGTGGGTAAAGAAGCATCGGGAGGAACGAGAGCGGAAAGCGCGAGGAGCGCGAGGCGAAGGAGAAGGAGGCTAGCATATCATAATTTAGTTATACAGACATCATCACATCTCTCCCTGCTCATCGTACATCGTCTAGTACTGTATTATCTGCAACATAGTTTGGGTTTTCGTGGGTTCCTATGTTTCATCTGATTTTGCCCTGTAACAACGGTGATCATCGTTTACATACCGTTTTGGCCATGGGATCAGCCTGGCGGTACATAAGGACCCATATCTGAATGATGGGAGTGAGTTCATCCTCCAGACAGGCCACACTCTCTCTAAACTCTAAACTTTGATACATCTAGGGTGTAACACGATGTTTGGTGAATGCCTGAGCCTGAGATCTGAATACCAGGTAAGTGGAGTCCCCACCACCCTCCCTCACGAGCTTTGGCCACCTTGTCCTGTGTCGAAGCAGCCAATATTGTTTCTTGGGTAAATACCCCTTCCGCGCGGAATTCTCGGCGATCCTCACGAAGAGCACCTCAAGCGTGCTCGAACACGACACCGGTCAATACTTGTGTATTCAACAAGAATCTAGTATAAGTACACAACACGAGCTAGTCATCATCCAACGCTAAACACTGACATGGCAACTGAGTCTTGTGCAAGAAAACTCAACTGAAAACTCACCCGAAATTCTATAAAAGCCGCTGGGCCCTCATCTCTTTTCCCTAGTTTGGGTGAAGGAGACGGCATAAGGAACTGAAGACTCAGCAGGCCCTCATCATCAATCCGTAGCGACGTCTTTGTAGAGCTCTGCAGTGCTCTCAGCGTTCGAGAGATGTGAGCAAACCGATAACTAAAATTGTGATGTCAGAAAACGCATGGAGGTGTGCAGAGTGTTGGACCTGAAGCTGATGGTTTGTGCGCAATCAAAAGTTTCTAGGACGTCTCGGTCGTTCGGGTAGTCCATCTAAGTTTTCTGTCGTCATGCAAGAGAAATCTAGAGGATCAGGCCCACGTACTACTGAATGTTCCTGTAGCTTGGATACGAAGCATTGGCTTCAACCCTACCCGTGACTTGGCCTTCTGTCTTTGGGGATCTTCCCTCAGGGGATTCCAATAAACGTTAGTTTCTCGCATGAGGGATCCAATTCTGAGAGCGCGTCGCGTAGCCATTCTGACTAGTAGAAATGAAAAGATACACAAAGAACGAATGTAGCTTTGAGAATGTTTTTGAGAACCCTGGTTTGATAGTCAGTGATGATATTCACGGAGAGCCTGATCACACGTACCTATTTTCCAGATCAAATGGAAGTTCGAGGTGGGGTTCTGCATCGTATGTAGATATTCCTCACGTTATTGTCGGACCAGACGAGTTTTCGGCGCTGGCGGAGGACATACTTGAGACGTACAGTGGGAGAGAAAGCATAGCATACACGCACAGGAGCAGAGTCAAGGGTACCCAGCACCAGTGTATGACATCCCCGTTCTCTTTTCAGAGCCACCACCAAAGAACTGTTGTATCCTGCCCCGTCCCCCGTCGTTGTCGTTGTTGTCGCCATCATCACCGTCGTCGTTATCGCCGACCTTTTTACACCTTGTATGTCGGCCGCCTCCAGCGGTGTTGTAGTTAGTTCCGCCCGCGGTTCCGAATATGGTCGGACATTCTATAAGGGTGTTCAGAGGCACCTCAAAGGCGTTATTGTCTGTGTCTTCATCGTCTGCGCTATCCTGGGTGCTGCCTGGCGATCGGAATTGCACTCGTATTCATCGAAGACGTTGGAAAAGATATATGCCATTCCTAACTCTTCGTGTTAGCCCTGAAGAGGAGATACTCAGATGCACAAACCTAACAGAGTACGCGCTTCTTCAACCACTGTAATAAAGCCTCTCTTGGTGACGGTAATTGTAGCCCTCTAAAGATGGCTGAGAAAACCCCACATATATCACTCCTGTGGCGCCACTCACGTTGACTAAGTTGACGCCATAAAAGTGCTGCAGAGTACTGTACATCGTGGACGGAAGCCTTCAACACCTGACACTTCGACGGGTAAGGATGGTGGTCACTGTCTAATGGTCGAGACGTACAGGTAGCATAGTTTACGGTATGATATTTGCAGGACGATGTCACAAGAGACGCGTTATTTTGGCGTGTTAAATTTATTAGAGTACTATATATCCGGATAACACCAGGGCCGGCCTTGGCCTAACACCGTCTGCACGGTGACGGTGTTGTAAATGTAGTACGCGTTGTGCTGCGAAAAGATAGCCTGCCAGTCGCCGTTGGTAAGTGCCGCCGCTAGAGTTAGTTCCGCCGACGATTCTTCGGGCTTTGGTGGTTTAGACAGTTTTTCTGGAGTAGACGTGAAGGTCTCGGGTTTGTCTGGGTCTGGGGGAGGCGGGGTTGGCGAAGTCATGGTGGCAGATCAAGAAGAGGAGTTGACAAATTGGGAGGGTTCGACCCAAAGACTGAGCCTCTCGGTTGTTCGGGCCGGTACTTGACTTTCGTTCCAAAGCAAGATCGAAGCGTCCGAGGCTACACGGAAGAGGTGGTACCTTCTCTATCTTGCGTTGGTGGCAGCGTGCTTGATAGCTTATCCTTCCCCATCGCGTCTACCTATAGTGGTCAGCAAAACGCTGTCGCACTGCTCGCACCTCGGTCCACGCCCCGCTTCCGAGTTCCACACCCGCCTGTCTACCCTAGGCGAGACTCTCACTACTCTCAACGCCTCTGCATACATCGCTGAGCCTGGTGCAAGTGCACTCTACTACGCCAATGTCTCGACTTCGCACTGGCACCTCTCCGAGAGACCTCTGCTGCTTATCGTGGATGCTTCTGCGCGGGTGACGGTACTTACGCCCAAGTTCGAAGGCACGCGTGCAAGATTACTCCCTATCCCATCTGATGTGAAGTGGGTGGAATGGGCAGAGGATGAGGTTCCATATGGACAACTATCTGATATCGAAGGGACGGTATTTGTAGATGGGAATATTCGTCATTTCATCGTCGATGGCCTACGAACGGCGTTTCCAAAGGCTATAGTAAGCGTTGCTCCCACAGAGATCAGGCAGCTGCGAGAATACTGCAAGTCGGAGGGAGAGCTGGAGTTGCTCAAGTGTGCCAACGAAGCGTGCATGCTTTTCTCTCATGTATTGGAGATACTAATACACCCAAAGGCCACCCTTCTAGCTATTCGACAAACACACAAACAAATTCACATCAGCATGCGCGAGTCCGACGCCCATAACCTCATCGTACGCGCCCTCGCCAACGCCAGACTATAGAGGGTACGTCCTTCCTTCCTGCTTGCCTGTTCTTACGATACTGAGCTACTCTTCAGAGCAGGGACATCCACAATCAGCCTAATCTTTCCCTCAAAGGTCTGTTCTCTCCTCTGCGCAACCATGGTGCGGGTATTAAGCAACCCCGCAGGATCAAATATCCTGAGCGTCTGCCATGTTAACACAAGAATAGTATGGCATAGCGTCCAACATCAAATCTCGAGTCAATCGCCTCTCCGTCCTCGCAGCCATCAACAGTACCCAACAGCGTCTCAAGCTTTACAACCGAGACCCTCCCAACGGTCTCGTGCTCTTCGTCGGCACGATTCTAACAGGCGAAGGCAAGGAAAAGAACGTCTCGTTCGATTTTGAATATCACAAGCCTGTCAACACGTACCTCCCCCAATAAAATGAAAAAAGCATCCTGATCACTCGACCTCTATCCCAGTCCTTCTATTTCTGCAACAATAAATTCCACACCGAAGCCCTCTTGGAACTTCTCGAGTCCAATTCTCGGGTTGGATTCATCGACATGGATGGAAACGGTACCCTTTTCGAGACGCTCGCTAGAAACACTCGCAAGGTCATCCATAAATTCACCGTCGACCTTCCCAAGAAGCATGGTCGAGGTGGTCAGTCCGCGTTGCGTTTCTCCCGTCTCCATGATGACAAGAGACACAACTACGTGCGCAAGGTAGCGGAACTGGTGGTGCAGCATTTTATCATGAACGATAAAGTCAACGTCACGGGCCTCGTGTTGGCGGGAAGCGCGGATTTCAAGACGGAGCTCAGTCAGAGTGATATGTTCGATTTGAGGTTGGCGGCTAAGATTATTAAAGTTGTGGAGGTTAGTTATGGTGGGGAGAATGGGTTCAATCAGGTGGGATTGACGTGTTGTGGGGGGGATTGTGGTCTCTAATTATGGTTTTTTAGGCCATCGAACTCGCCGCAGAGTCTCTTGTGAACATCAAGTTTGTGCAGGAGAAATGGCTCATTCGAAAATACTTTGACGAAATTAGTCAGGGTATGGTACTGCTTTGGCATCGAAGACAAGCTCAAGGCTCTCGAACTTGGAGCCATCAGGACTGATCGTATCGGAGAACCTCAATATCACGCGTTACATCCTCTGTAATGCCGCTGGAGGTAAGCATCCCCCCCTTTATTTACCCCTCCTTTTCATCCACGAACCACCCCACAGAGGAAATTGGCATCTACCACAACAAAGAACATGACAAAGACCGCGCCAAATTCATTGACAAATCCACCGGTCTCGAAATGGAACAATCCAAAGAACCCCAAGTGCTCCTCGAGTGGTTCGCCAAAAAGTACAAAGAGTTTGATGCGAACCTCGAGTTTGTGACGAATCGCTCGCAGGAGGGGGCCAAGGGCTTTGGGGGGATTGGGAGGTTGTTGAGGTATAAGGTTAATTTTACGAATTTGGCGTCGGTTGATGATGAGTTTTATTCGGATGATGATGATATCCGACGGTTTTGCTGGCTCTTAGGAGCCCCGTCCGCACAGGGTACGATGGGTGGGGCGGGTGGTGGGAGGCTGGTACGACCAAGTTGGGAACGTGAAATCCCATTTTTGTCCTTCAGGGTGAGTACTCTGTGTTCTTGGTGCGATGCAGTGGTTGATGGATGGTTGTAGGGCAATGTTTGAAACACAAGCTGTGTAATTCATGTTGTACTCCGACAGATAAACGTATGATTTTGTATGAATATGATGAGATTGTGCTCTAGTGTAATCTTTGGTTTCGTGGTCCTAGCGTAGGGCATCTTCTGAAATAGAAAAACACTGCTGAATCTGTCTACTAGTATGATCACCGTGGCTTTAGTAGATTCTTAGGGTTACCGTTTCTCCCTAAGGCTCCATGCATTGTACGGGACGTCTCCATATCCTACGTGTTCCCTCGTGAGTTCAACAAAAAAGAGTGGAGCTCAGTGTCCAGTACTGAACATAACACTTGACGTTTACATAGTACATGCGCGTCATCAGGAGGAATGCCTAGTATTAAATGTTGCTATATACTAAGTAGTCTACTACCAAAAGCCCAGGCCTAGGCTTTTGGCTTACGATCCGAAAACAAGTCCTGAATCACTGCATTCCAAGGTAAGTCGGTATGAATGCCATATTTCTGTGAGGTCTTACGTACGTCCGTGTGATAACCGCTGGCTGTCTGCTAAACAAGCTCCCGCAGGTTTAACCCCGGTCGCATATAGAACGGATACAGAACGGATTGCGTGTATTTATACACGTGCTTATCGTCTCAGTGGTCGGTCAGTGAAAAATTCAAGCATAGACAAACTGGTGTGATTTACTCTAAGGACCTGCATTCGCGCTGTCAACAAGCAGTTCAATCCAAACAAACAGGAGTACCAACCTCAGCGTTATGACGGGTGTCGTCCATCACAAACTCAAATTCGGCACAGTCCACAGGAGAGACCAAGGCAGTTAAGGAGCTAGCCGCTCCCGGAGGGAGTGAGACGACGAATCGGCCGCGGGCATCACAAAGAATATCAAAGTACTGTATCATGGCATTTAGTTATGAGCATCAATAAGGATACCGTCGTGCTTACTACAATTCCGTCAGACGGAACAAACAAACAATTTTGGTCCTGCAAATGATCCCATGCACTCTGGTTGAAAATGAGTACATAAAATGATACAGACAGCTGTCACCTACGTCTACATCGTTAACCTGTTGATTCAGTTGTAAGAACGTGGAACAGCTGATCACCGATCTCGCTATACGCACCATTTTGTCGATCAAAGAACTGAGAGTATCGAAATCGATCGTCAACCATGACGGGATGACATCTACAAGCCGGCTCTTGATATCTGTATATTCTATAAATTGGTCATTCACTCCAAGCTCGAGGTAATTATTATATCACCAAGATCATACACCGAGAACAAGGCCCCCCGCTCATCAGAAGTTGAAACTCCGATAAGGTGAGGTAGGTTGGGATGCCTACAGAACAGCTATGTAACCAAAACGCGCAGAATCCTAATGCCACGTACATAACTTTCAAGTCCAACGTATTTGGCACTTCCCAGGTCTGGCAGCAGCTTAGCACCAACAGCTAAGAATGAGGACACAGGTTTCATACCGATTTCGCTTTGCAGCCTGTGAACACTTTGATGGTAACGATCTTTCCATGCATTTCTGCTCTTTGAACGCTAAACCCTGGACAACGAAAGAGCTCTTCACAGAGAGTGAGCTGACTTCTCCGCACGATCTACAGGTTTCATGAGCAGCGCTTTCAGTTTTTGTCAGGAAGGCTTAACTTACATCTACTAGTGGTTCTTCGGGCTTCGGAGCAGGTTCGGAGCGGTTAATAAGCAATAGTTCAATGATGTGCTGTAAAGACGTGGACATCTTTGCGCAGGTTTCTTCAAGCGAAAGTAACTTCTTTATCTAAAACAATGGGTAAAACGACATCCGAGTCAGGAGAGTCCTGTACTCCTTACTTGGAAAAGCGACAGAGTTCTGTTGACCCGTTTTTCGAGGCGTTGCAATTCATCGCTATATGATTTAGAATAGAGCGTTCGTTCAATCGACATCTTCTGTTCGTACTCTTCCACAGTGTTTTCGACGTCATGCAAATCCCTATTGGCACACCCAGATAAAATCAATGACTAAGTAAGGTAGAGAAGGACGTACGCTTCAAATTGTTGAATGCTAGCCAATAATGTAGGCGTGATTTCTACGTTCTGCAGATGCTCAGATAATGTGACATGTGCCTTCAAGCACAGATTTGCAATTTCACGGGCAGTTCCCGTATTCTGCTGGCTCTCATCCACCTTTTTCAAGATCGAAAGGACAATATCCGTTGCTGGTCCAAGGGCCGGTACCGGGATTAAACCAGCAGTCGCCTAGATAACCTCAGTAACAATAGTTACCTGCTGAAATCTAGTGACCACGTACCTTTAGACATTCCAGAGGCACTGTGAGAGTCTCAACGCCCTTCTTCTTGACAAAGGGAATGGGCCTTTTCGCTGCGTTCTTGACCAAGGTAAGGATCCTCGCCATCGACTCGCCGTTCGTGTATCCTGAAGAGATAGTGGTGGTTGTGGAATAAAATGCTGTATGTATCGAAAACAGCATGCCTTGGCTTTACGACATGTAATACAATCAAACACTGCCACGCGGTAACATTAAACTTGATACAAAGTGCACCCCTCCGACCTAGGGAAAGCCTCCTTACAGTGCCAGGTGTGAATTCCAACTGTACTCAAATACAAAAGAGAACTAACTTGAAGATACCAGTTCTGCGATGGGAGAGGCGAGGTCACGAGATTTACACAACGTAGTGTCGTTGAGCCCTTGCGATATTTTCTCTGTGGTTGCACCAGCTACCACGCCTGTTGCAGCATCGTGTAGAGTTGAGGCTTGGCGTTCCGTGGCACCTTGGCTCGTCGACGGCTATAATCCGTTGATCAATACGCAAAACGAGATCTTTTGAGAGACTCACCTCTGTAGAAGAGACGTGAACGTTTATCGGGGTTCTCTTCCTTTCGCTACCAATGAAATAGGACACAAACACCGCCGATACAAGATGATTCGGAGTGACATACTTCAAAGGTGTTGATTCTTCGACACCAACAGAAGATTTTCGAGGCCCTGGGCGCGCTAAACCATCTACGGCAACACCAGATCATGTTCGTGGAACTTGAGAGAGATCAGCAGAGGCGTTATCGGACTTGCCAGATCTCTCGGCACTGCGGATGGGATACGACAACCGGAAATCCAGGAGTTAGTCGGCGTTGAAAAAATCGACAGAGTCAAAGTCCTCCTGCTTGATGGGACTCGACAACATCATATATTTCTTCTGCAACAGACCTAAAATTCACATCCGAATGGGTTGCCACGTCTCCTGCAAAGGGCCCCTTTGCAACCTACGGCAAGTTTCCCTAAATTCCAGTTCAACGTTAACTCCAACTACATATACTCAGGAAGATACGAAAGAGAACTGACTTGAAGATACTAGGTGTGAACGAGTCCTGATTTCTATTCAGCCGTAGGTAAGGTCCTTGCTTATTGTCTATATATTGTTCGTACTGGTTGAAACATTCATGATTCCCTTGTAGGAAGTTAGGCACGTGAAAGCAACTATCTTGAAGAGCAAGCAAGCTATACCGAGCGCATGTAGAACGGGATATATTCATCCTAAGGCTTTCACGGCGATGAAGCGGGAGCAGCGAAGTCATGGTAGCGGAATCGTTGAGAAGGACTAAGTTGCGGCATGTCCCGGCGGGTACTCCTCGGTTGTTCGGGCCGGTACATGGGTTCTGAATCTGAAAGCAAGGTTGAGGCCAAGTTGAGGCATCGCCGCCGCCCCAGGCTAAACGAAGGAGATGGTATCTGCTCTGTCTTGTGTTGGTGGCGGCGTGCTTGATAGCTTATCCTTACCCATCGCGTCTACCTAAACCGACAAGCAAGTCGTCTTCTCACTGCTCGCACCTCGGCCCACCCCTTGCTTCCGAATTCCACACTCGCCTGTCTACTCTCGGCGAGACTCTCACTACTCTCAACGCCTCCATACATCACAGGGCCCCGTGCAAGCGCACTCTACTATGCCAATGTCTCGACCTCACACTAGCACCTCTCTGAGAGACCTCTACTGCTTATCGTGGATGCCTCTGCCCGGGTGACGGTTCTTACGCCCAAGTTCAAAGGCACGCGTGCAAGATTACTCCCTATCCCGTCTGATGTGAAGTGGGTGGAATGGGCAGAGGATGAGATTCCGTATGGACAACTATCTGATATCGAAGGGACGGTATTTGTAGATGGGAATATCCGTCATTTCACCGTCGATGGCCTACGAATAGTGTTCCCAAATGCTACAGTGAGCGCTGCTCCCCCAGAGATCAAGCAGTTGCGAGAACGCAAGTCAGAGGGAGAGCTAGAGTTGCTCAAGTGTGTCAACGAGGTGTGCGTGTTTTGATTACATGTACTAGATATACTAAACACGATCCTTCTAGCCATCCGACAAACACACAAACAAATGCACATCGGCATGCGAGAGTCCGACGCACGTAATCTCATCGCACGCGCCCTCGCCGACGCTGGACTAAAAGACGGTGGATGCCTTACCTTATTCGGAGGAACGCACCCACCCATTCCTGACTTGATCCATCTTACCCCGCCTAGAAAACGCCGCCCTCCCCTACGGAAGCGGCACAGATCGCCGTTTCCACCTCGACGAATTTGCCTTATTCGATTGCACCGCCTCTTTGCACGGCTACTGGAGCGACGTCACACGTACCCTCGCCCTCCCCGCCTCCACCATCCCCGATACCCATATCCAAATATGGAACTTTGCCCACTCTGCTCAACATATTGCCTTTGGGACTGCTCATGCAGGCGTAGTCGCCAAACGTGTCGACGAGGCTTCGAGGCTCTTCCTCGGTCTCGCGGGGTATGCAGAGTATTTTACGCATCGTCTTGGACACGGAATTGGCTTGGAGGTGCATGAGGATCCGTACTTGAATGGTGGAAGCGAGGTCATCCTCCAGACAGGGCATACTTTCTCCGACGAGCCAGGGGTGTATATCGAGGGCAAGATCGGCGTGCGCCTCGAAGATTGCTTTTACATTGCGCAAAATGGGAGTGCAGTGTACCTCACAGCCAGAGTGGGGGGACCTGCTTTGTCGCCTTGGAAGCCGTAGGGTAATATATCTAGCCCCAATCTTCAGCGCTGAATTCTCGACGTCCCTCAAGTCGAGTTCGCACCGAATCCAAGGCTAAACACAACCCCAACCATCGGTAATCCAAGTGCGGACGAAAAATTTATTATAATTAACTCACCTGAAATTCTACAGGGAAAGCCGTCGGGCTCTAGTCCCCTTTCCTTAGTTTGAGCAAAGGAGACGGCTTAGAAGACAATCTAGAGCATCATCTTTGTCTGGGTATACTCAGCTCTAGATACCTTCAACTTACCGACCGGAAAGGGAGGTTTCCGATATGTCAATGGCAACTTGAATGTCTCGCTTTTCACGAGGGGACCCAATTCTGGGAAGCCATCGTGGAACCATCATCCTGGCTAGTGGAAAAAAAAGGGGGGGGGGGCACAATGTTCTTGTTGCTCCAAAGCAGCTGCGGAGACAAAGGATGATGTAGTATTTATGGAGCCGGTACAAGACGAGGATGTTGGGAAGGCGGCATGATTTGCTTGTAAGCTTCGTACTATGCGATTTAACTTGAGTTACTGAACTGCTCCACAGATATATCTTTGACGTGAAAATTGTAATATGCACGCAACCCGAGCCATACGTACGAGTATGAAAGAACGAAGTTCCTCTTGTGGGTGCGATGTTGAGCGCTAATATGTTAGTGTGTAGGGGGAAGGGGCTGAAGAAGATTGAAGCTGTGAACTTGAAATGATACGCAGATATACAGTGTTTTTGTCGTCGCTCTGGAACTGCTCAGCAGACACATAACCCAAAAATGCCCATCGAGACTAGCAGATGCTCGGCGCTGTGCCTCAGTACCCAGTACTGGACATAACACTTAAAGTTTACATGGTACATGCGTGTTATCGGCAAGAATGTCCAGTATTGAAAGTTGTCATGTACTAAGTAGTCTACTACCAAAAGCCCAGGCCGAGGCTCTTTTGGCTTACATCCGAAAACAAGTCCTGAACAACTGTATTCCAAGGTAAGTCGGTATGAATGCCATACAACTGTGAGATCTTATGTACGTCTGTGTCGTAACCACTAGTGGTTTGCCAAACAAGCTCCCGCAGGTTTAGTCCCATTTCCAGCTGAAATAAATATTTGATAGATGTCGTGCCGTGCTCAGCATCTAAGTGGTGGGTCAGTGGACAAATTCAAGCATAGACAAAAACGATGTGATTTACTCTAATGACCTACATTCGCACTGTCAACAAGCAGTTCAAGCTAAGTAAATAGGGGTACCAACCTCAGTGTTATGGCGGGGGTCGCCATTCACAAACACAAATTCCGCAGTAGCGACCAAGGCAGTTGAGGAGCCGGCCGCTTCCGGACAGAGTGAGACGACGAATCGGCCGTGGGCATCACAAAGAATATCAATTATCTGTATCATGGCATTCAGTTATGAGTATCAATAAGAATACTGTCGTGCTGACTACAATTCCGTCAGACGGAACAAACAAACAATTTTGGACCTGCAAATGATCCCATGCACTCTGGTTGAAAATGAGTACATAAAAATGATACAGACAGCTGTCACCTACGTCTACATCATTAACCTGTTGATTCAGTTGTAAGAACGTGGAACAGCTGATCACCGATCTCGCTATACACACCATTTTGTCGATCAAAGAACTGAGAGTATCGAAATCGATCGTCAACCATGACGGGATGACATCTACAAGCCGGCTCTTGATATCTGTATATTCCATAAATTGGGCATTCACTCCAAGCAGGAGGTAATTATATCACCAAGATCATACACCGAGAACAAGGCCCCCCGCTCATCAGAAGTTGAAACTCCGATAAGGTGAGGTAGGTTGGGATGCCTACAGAACAGCTATGTAACCAAAACGTGCAGAATCTTAATGCCACGCACATAACCTTCAAGTCCAACGTATTTGACACTTCCCAGGTCTGGCAGCAGCTTAGCACCAACAGCTAAGAATGAGGACACAGGTTTCTTACCGATTTCGCTTTGCAGCCTGTGAACACTTTGATGGTAACGATCTTTCCATCCATTTCTGCTCTTTGAAGGCTATACCCTGGACGACGAACGATCTCTTCGCAGAGAGTGAGATGACTTCTCCGCACAATCTAAAGGTTTCATGAGCACCCTTTTCAGTTTTTGTCAGGAAGGCTTAACTTACATCTACCAGTGGTTCGGGCTTCGGAGAAAATTCGGAGCGATTCATAAGCACCACAGTATTATGTTCGATGTGCTGTAGGTATGTATAAATCTTTGTGCAGGTTTCTTCAAGCGAAAGTAGCTTTTTGATCTAAAGCAATCGGTAAAAGGACATCCGAATCAGGAGAGTCCTGTACTCCTTACTTGGAAAAGCGACAGAGTACTGTTAACCCGTTTTTCGAGGCGTTGCAATTCATCGCTATATGATTTAGAATAGAAGATCTGATCAATCGACATCTTCTGTTCGTACTCTTCGACAGTGTTTTCGACGTCATGCAAATCCCTATCAGCACACTCAGATAAAAGAAACGACTTAGTAAGGTAGAGAAGGACATACGCTTCAAACTGTCGAATATTGTCCAATAATGCAGGCGTGATTTCTACGCTTTGCAGATGCTCGGATAGAGTGACATGAGCCTTCAAGCACAGATTTGCGATTTCACGGGCGGTCCCCGTATTCTGCTGGTTCTGATCCACTTTTTCAAGATCGAAAGGACAATATCCGTTGCTGGTCCAAGGGCCGGTGCCGAGATTAACCCAGCAGCGGCCTAGATGACCATCAGCAACAACAATTACCTGCTGAATTCTAGCAACCACGTACCTTTAGACATTCCAGAGGCACTGTAAGAGTCTCAACACCCTTCTTCTTGACAAAGGGAATAGGCTTTTTCGCCGCCTTCTTGACTAAGGTAAAGATCTTCGCCATCGAATGGCCGTTTGTGTAACCTGAAGGGACGGTGGTGGTCGTGTAAAGAGATGCTGTGAATAACGAAAACAGCGCGCTTTGCTTTCCCACATGTTCGGCAGATGGACCGGTACATGTCTAAATACCCATCGTCACTGTTAGTGATTGATGAACAACACGTAACTAAGACGCATAACACTTGATTTTCCCTGCTCAAGCACTGTGTTCTTAGCAAAAAAGAAGAATTTTAGAGAAGCCTTCTGCTACCGACCTAAAATTTACATCAGAATAGATTGCCGCATCTCTTGCGAATTCCATATTGACCGAGCGGTGAGTGTGTGAAAGCGAAGAGGACGAACCCAGCGTTGTTAACCAGATACTAGAAACCATATTAGAATTTAGCATGGGATAGGCCAAGAGCACAAGAGGATGCACTTCGTAAGTGTGGACCAGAATCAATATTCAGTAGCGCAACCACTTTGTCGTCGTAAGTACATCGAGGTGTTCAACCACGAAGGCGCCAGAAGGACTCTTCATATTCCTGCTAAGTAATTCCAATTCCAACACAGACTTAAGAGACACACCCTGAAGATACCTTAAACCGAAGCGACTCCGATTTCATAGCTTTAGGGAAGAGGACGGCGCAGTACTTCTCGAGTATTAGATGCGAATGCACGGGATTCGCCCCTCAGACCGTCAGTGGAAACACCCCTACAATCCCAGTTGATCGTTCTATGTACACTCAAGAAAACACGAAAGAGAACTTACCCGAAGATGCTGGTTTAGTCCTGTGGGAGAGAGGGACGTTTTCTGCGTGGGGTGAGTAGGTGCATAGGGCGAGGTAATACTCGTCTTCTTTAACTTCGGCGAGTGTCGGCGCGACTAGTCTGTGTAGTGTGAAGGTATAATATCGGTGCGGTAGAGTGTGCTTGTACCGAGCTCGGCGATTTATGTGGAGACATTGAGGACAGTGAGGGTCTGGACGAGGGTCGAGGGACGGTCTATGCACTTTTCCGTGTGTCTTCAGCCAAAGGAGGAAATGGCTCGAACGCGAGGGGAGGCAGGGACAAATTGAAAGTGAAAGGAGAGCTGAAAACTTGAACTTGGAGTCTACATGAAATCAAGAGCCCAGGTCAGACGTCAAAGCGAAGATATCAGAAATTGTGCTGATAGGTTGAAGAAATGAGTGTGCGAATAAGTGGAAACAAAAAGGTGAAAGTAATCTCAAGCAGAATACGACAACATTCACACGACATTTGGTGAATACTTGAGCCTGAAGCCTAGAAAGGGCTGTGAAGCATCTCCACCGCACGGCGTCCCACCCGACAAGTATAGCGTCGTATTCATAAGAATGTAGTACAAGTATACAACACGAACTAGTCATCGTCCAATGCTAAACACTAACGTGACAATTGAGCTAAGGGCGAGAAAAGCTATCTGCAGACTCACACGAAATTCTATGAAGGCCGCTGGGCCCTCATCCCTTTTCCCTAGTTTGGGTGAAGGAGATGGCATAAGGAACTGAAGACTCAGCAGGCCCTCATCGTCAATACGTAGCGACGTCTTTGTAGAGCTCTGTAGAGCTCTCAGCGTCCGAGAGATGTGAGCGAACCGATAACTAAAATTTTGATGTCAGAAAACGCATGGAGGTGTGCAGAGCGTTGAACCTGAAGCTGATGGTTTGAGCGCAATCAAAAGTCTCTAGGACGTCTCTGTCGTTCGGGTAGTCCATCTAAGTTTTCTGTTGTCATGCAAGAGAAATCTAGAGGATTACGCACACGCACCTCGGTGCTACCGAACGTTCCTGTGGCCTGGATGCGAAGCATTGGCTTCAATCCTACCCGTGACTTGGCCTTCTGTCTTTGGGGATCTTCCCTCGGGGGAGGATTTCCAATAAACGTTAGTTTCTCGCATGAGGGATCCAATTCTGAGAGCGCGTCGCGTAGCCATTCTGACTAGTAGAAATGAAAAGATACACAAAGAACGAAATGGAGGACTGCTCACTTTGAGAATGATTTTGAGAACCCTGGTTTCAAGGTCAGTGATGACGTCCACGGAGTACTTTGTCTCACGTAACGTACATTTTTTCCAGATCAAATGGAAGTTCGAGGTGAGGTTCGGCATCGTATGTAGATATCTCGCACGTCGTTGTCGGACCGGTCGAGTCTTCAGCACTGGCGGGGGACGTACTTGAGACACAGAGGGGAGATAGCATAGCATACACGCACAGAAGCAGAGTCAAGGGGTATCCAGCACCAGCATACGACATTCGCATCCCCGTCCTCTTTTCAGAGCTACCGCCAAAGAATTGTTGTATCCTGCCCCGTCCCCCATCGTCATCGTCGTCGCGCTCATCACCATCGTCGTTGTCGTTAACCTTTTTCCATCTAGTATGTCGGCCGCCTCCGGGGGTGTTGTAGTTGGACCCGCCCGCGGTTCCGAATATGTTTAGACACTCGATAAGGGTGTTCAATGGTACTTCAAAGGCGGCATTGGCACCATCTTCGTCGTCTGCGCTATCCTGGGTATTGCTTGGAGATTCGGAATTATATTCGTATTCGTCAAAGACGTCGGAAAAGATATATGCGGTTCCTAATGCTTCGTGTTAGCCCTGAAGCAAGAGAGGGAGATGCTACAAACCCAACAGAGTCCGTGCTTCTTCTACCACTGCGATAAATCCTCTCTTGGTGACAGTAATCGTAGCCCTCTAAAGCACAAGCTGAGGATACTCCATATGTATCGCTCGTGTGTCGCCGCTCACGTTGACAAAATTGACGCCACGTAAAAGTGCAGCAAAGTACCGAACATCATGGACAGATGCTTTCAACACCTAGCACCTTGATAGGTAAGGATGGTGGTCGCTGTCTGACGGTCAAGACGTACAGGTAGCATAGTTTACGATATGATATGTGCAGTACGACGTCACAAGGAGAGACGCGTTATTTTGGCGTGTTTATTAGAGTAACTATATCTGGCTAACTCCGATTGGTAACCTCGCCGCTTCCACGATGCCGCTATTAGCGCTGGGACAGCTGTTGGAGCATATTTGAGACTGGTACCACCCTATTTCTTGCTTTATATCCCTCCCTCCCTTCTCCCCAACTGGTTCTACGGATTTCATTATGCAGCTCACTGTCTTGAACTTGACCGATGATCCTATGATCTGTTCTTGGGACGACAAGCGCAAGGATTGTGATGAACACCTGGTATTGGCTTCTCGAATCCCACTGGAGGCAAAGGTGCCCAGCCGTTGTAGGAAATTAGCGCTCTTCGGTCAGGCAGCTATGAAGGACACAGAGGGATGGTGCCCAGCTATGATTCGGTTCTCTATGAGAACCGGAGCTACTTGGCAGCGTTTAGAGGTAGAGGACGACCATCCTTGGTCCGTTTATGCAGTCAAGGTGAGTACTCCAGTAATTCTATCAGGGAGGTATACAAGTGACCCCCAAGATGCAAGATCAGCATAAATCATCGCAAACTGATAATCCTACCGAAGAGAAACGTCTCTGCATTCCTCTCGGATATGCCTGACGCGTCTCCACTGTATTCCTTGCTACTACCTGGTAAGTTTTGATAGAATGATACCAGCTGTGATGCCCAATACTAATGATTTTTCAGGCACGCATGATAGGTAGGACTGTCCTTTCCTGAACCTACCATTCTCGACTCATTCCCATCAGCATGGCTTTCTATGGATGGCCTATATCCCAATGCCAATCCCCTTCTACCCCCCTCGCCGTCCAGCTCCAATCCGGTATCAGGGTCCTTGACATCCGCCTCGCCGTCATCAACTCCCGTCTTATAGCCTACCACGACATCTACCCCCAACGAACGCCCTTCGAAGACATCCAACGCACCATCCATAATTTCCTAACCGCCCCAGAAACCTGCCGAGAAACCATCGTCATGTTCATGAAGCAAGAGGACTTTGCCACTACCAAGCCCAGCACGTTCTCGCGGACTGTGCACAAGGAAATGTGGAGTGGTCCTGGAGGGAGAGATATGTGGTTTTTGAAGAACCGGGTGCCGACCCTTGGAGAGGTGAGAGGAAAGGTGGTGCTGATTAGCCGGTTTGGGGGGAATGGAGACGGGTGGGAAGGTGGTCTTGAAGGGTTGGGGATTCATCCTACTAACTGGCCAGATAGCGCCAAGGATGGCTTTACTTGGGAATGTAAGGATACCCACGTCCGTACGCATGATTGGTGAGCAATAGTCGTCATCTCAAGTATGTCTATCTCACTTCGTCTTGAGGTATGCTATACCCTCCTTTTTGTCTATCCCAGAGAAGTTTGCACTATCAACGGAGATTTTGATGTACCCTCCTGCCAATGCCCAGCCTGAGAAGACGTTGTCTATCACTTTCTTTTCTGCTGCGTCATTCCCTCTCGCTACTCCGCCTGCCGTGGCGCAAGGGTTCGGTTGGCCGAGATGGGGACTCGGTGTGGAGGGAGTCAACAGCAGAGTTGGGGCGTGGCTTTTGGATCTGTTGAGCGGTATGGACGTCGTCGAGTCTAAAGATCTATTCGGCTCCGAAGTAAGGCTTCGGGGTTGGGCGTTGATGGATTTTTATTCTGACCCTGAACATGCACTAGCTGACTTGTTGGTAGAATGTAATTACAGAGGACGTTGTGCCGGTGAGGAAGGGTGGTAGATCAATTTTTTGAGACTCATCATATACGTAGATATGCGATCTATTCATCAAGCTAACTTCTTGACTAATATAAAGAAAGCCACCATACTGACGCGGTTTATTGTTGGGCATTCCACTATCCGAACTGATTGAACCACACAAACACTGGTTAAAAATATAAAGAACATTGTTGCAAAGTATAGGACACAATGTCAGCCACACTCAATCGTATAATCCAAGTTGGCACCCTCTGCTTGCAGGATGACTAAATCGGATTCCTCTACGCCATCTCTCTGTAATGACAGTCTCTCGATACCATCACCCATGGATTCCAATGCAATCCCTGTATCAACATCCATTAACTCGGAACAGTTGCATATCCGATCCAGACTCTTGTCCTTGGTGTCATCTCTCAAGATCCCCAAAGCCCTCTCAGCCGCAGCAAATTTTGAGGTGCCGAGACTGCTGGAAACGATCGGGCCAACGATATGCTCGCTATGCAAATGAATCACTACGCCAACGTGCTTCCCCTTGGGTTCGTGTCTACGAAGCAAGCGTCAGAAACGTAACGCGAAAAAAAGAGCAGTGTTTGTCGCACGAGATGACAATCTTGTTTCGACAGCCTGAACGGGCGACCCACTGATACAGCTCAGTAACGGGATCCCGGCGAACAGTCGGAGAAAGGACGACCAGTATATCCTCCATAACATACTCCACTATCGCTGCAGCAAGCTCGTAGTTATATCCCGAATCGATGAGGACAGCACCCATAACACTCTCAAAAATATCGCTGATCACCTTTGGCGGATCATACTTGTATCCCTGCGTAACGATATCCGTACTTGAAAGCGTTTTGAGAATGGGAACGTAATCTTCCATAGCCATGCTTAGCTCCACGTTGTTGATGAGTGCGACTGTATGCAAGTCGAGATGCTTGACGCCTAGAAAGGCCAAAGCAGCTGAACAGACAGCCTTAGTTCGGGGAAGAGCCAGTTGTTCAGAGGTGGCTTCCGGAAACTTTGCGTACAGATAATGCACCACGACGAGATCCAGCAATGCTGTATCAATGACATCAGAATGCGGTAGCAGGTTACAAGAACAAAAATGAAAAATACCGTCCCCTAGGAATTCAAGCCGCTGATAGGAAGTAGTATCAGCGAACGACGCGAACGAAGGGTGAGTAACGGCTTCGACAAGGAGACGGCCATTCCGGAACCTGTACCCTAGTCGTTCCTCCAGCTGAGAGAAGAGGGATGACACGACTCTTTCAGATTTCATGCCATAACGTTCCGGCCAAGGTGTGGGATCTCCCATAGCCAGTCCAAGCGCAAAACCTGCATGCAAAGCCATAGGTATCCCACCCGTAATAAAAGCTGCACCCAACGTAGCCTCCATACAATCCTGAAGACTCCTCCTTGGGTACGTCCGTTGTGCATAGCGCTTCGCATCCTCGGAATCACCATCCTCGTCCAAAACATATCTCCACGTCCTCAAGCTATGAGACTCCCCGGTAACGAAATGATGCAAGCCCGCATCCAAAGCTCTCACCATGAGGAAACGATTGGAGATACTTCCCTGCCTCATGTTATCGAGCTGACCTTCGTGCCGGTAGGGATACTTGTTGAAGAGATGAACAGTGGTGCAGAGTTCTAATACGGCGTCACCTAGGGTTTCCAGGCGCTGGTTGTTGAAGCTGGCTTGGGTGCCCGGTATAGTCAAGGCTTGGACTAGCAGGTCATCCAAGATTGGAGGAAGTCCTAGTTCAAACCTTGCTTGACAGGCACGATATATGTCGGTGATACGACGGCTGAGTTGGGGAAGAACTTGATAAGCCTGGATCATATCGTACGACATATCTAGCCAGCCACAACAACCAAGCGGTAGAAGGCGAACCAGCTGACTTTGAGATCCTTGGGATGCCTTGTCGATTTGCGACTCAAGGGTATACGAACCTATATTCGAACGGGGTAAGATGGTGACTTCGATCATGGGTCCATCAGTGGGAATTTCTGCTGTCCATTTCTTCCTAGTCCAACGGTTGACGAAGAACTCATAGTAGGTTGCGGAAGTAGCTTCAGGCGAGCCAGGAGGAGGAGTTGACATGGGAGTAAGGTCGTGGCGGATACGATGGAGGAGATAAGGCCTCCCGTTCTGATTTCGATTTAAGACCATCACTTTGTTATAGTCCTGCTCACCAATGCTGCTCCAATCAGAAGTCCCTTGAGGGTCAGCAAGAAGACGGTTCATAGCATCAAAATCAGGCAAGTGAGACGAAGTCATTGGAACAAGGAAAAGGCTGAGGGGGAGAATGGTCTCTCTGGCTGTGTTACGATGCCAAATAACCTGCCTCGTATACTGATCCATGGTTACTCGCTCTGACGCGGTCAGGGGCACTCGTTGGGCCTGTCGAATCTCGGCAACCGAAGAATAACTACGAACGGAGGCTTCAGGAAGTTTCGTGCCGGTGATCAACCCAGCAACATGTCGCCCGTCGATAAAGACCGCATGCATCCAGAGATTAGGACCTAATGTCCAAGGATCCCGAACCGGAACATCCAATGTTTCCGGAACGTTGACCTCAGGTATAGCTCTCCCATCCAAATCCTTGTCGTTTTGACGTTTACTAGAGACCGGAAGGAGGTAGTCATCAAAAACGTCTAGAGCGTGTAAATGCTTCACAGCCTGAAAGGCTACTGCGCGTTTCGCCTCCTTCTTCGAGCGCTTCACAGGACCGTGGAAAAGCAGGTTTTCAGAGGGGATCGGAAGGGCTGCAGGGAGACGAAGGGTCGATTGGAAATCTCCGGTATAGACAGGGACATGCTGAGGGGTGTACCTGTCGCAAGGAATGAGGGAGCATAGGTAGTTAAGCAACGATATAGAGTTATCGTAGCTGGCGAAAGCGCCTGTCGACGGAATGTCATACCGCTCGCGAGCCGCTAGGTCGAGGGGATCAAGTATCTCTTCCTCTTCTTCCTCTGTCGCGGCTTTGACTTCGCTTTCCTCCCGCCGGGCCTGGTAGATTGCCTTTAGCTCGGGCTCTGCAGAGCATAGCTGCTGGTACTTGGAGAGGTAGGCTATGTCGTCGTTTTGAACCATGATAACAAAGTTCGAGGCCTTGTTTCGAGCACGCCCACGAGACTGAACATATCCTACCAGATGCTGGACTTTGTCAAAACGGATGACCAGATCACAGGCCTAGATGATGATTCCGTATGAGGGAAGGTAAGCGGTCGGTTAAGGTATGATGGCTCACCGGAAAATCGAGGCCCTCTTCAGCTACAGAAGTGGCGATAACTGTCATAAACCGATTAAACAAGAGCCATGAAACGGAATGCAGTAAACTGACGTAAATTTATTTCCTTGGCTCGGAACGACTTAACGACCTCTCCTTGATTAGCCGTTGTAATGTCCTTGGACACTCCTTCGCTGTTGACACCATGGCCCACTAAATCTGCGCATCGTACGAGACCGTTGAGCTGCGGAATGTTGGGAAGAAGCTTGGCGAGACACATAGCTGTCTGCCGTTGCTCTACGAATACGATGCCCTGGAAAGTGGAGGAATGATGTGCCAGGATTACGTCGACAAGTGTCTTAATCTTCGGTGTGCACCATTCGAGCGGAATGGGTAATGGCGAGCAAGTTGGATTCGACTCGAGGATGAAGAAGGACTGAAAATCGAGGAGGATCTCAGCAATGTGGTATACCTCAGCAGGAAGTTCTTTGGGGGCTGGTGCGGTAACAACTTCAACGGTCTCCCCAGCCGCGGACTCTGAGATGAAACTGCTATTTTGCAGTATTAACGTCCTAATTTGATGCCACATCTCTGCATGAAGATAGAGAGACGCTGAGAAGGGACCTAGATTGTGGAGTGTTACACGGTATCTTCGCTCGATTTCTGCCCAAGGAACCTCAATGTCGGAATATTGCATGATATCGAAAACAGTTAACGAGGCCCATAATGTAGAGATGGGGCAGCTGGGTCTCAAGGGAGGAGGCGGGTATATCTGTATAGTCTGCGGCAAAGGATAAATAAACGTGCGGACGTAATGAATAAATGGAAAATACCTCCGATGGCTTAGGCGAGTTTTCCATAAGCTCGGAAACATGCGTCTGAATGCCGACGATCGTGGCGTCTAGGTTTGCCTCGAGTTCTTCCATGGAACGAATGGCATCTCGTGGGTTCAGAATGGGAGAGGCGGTCATCCCGAATATCTTTGGCCGGTCAGAGGTAGCGACATGTTTGTATTCGCGCATAATGCTGTTGTACGGATGATTCTTCCGTGTATGGTGACATTCATCGAAAACGATCAGAGAGACCTATCCCAAGAGTTAATATCAGACTGCTGCGGTAGGAAATCAATACCTTCGGTATGTTCCACAGCGAATGAGTGATAAGATTGAGGAATATCTGCGCTGGTGACGCATCAGATAAGTACTGCGTGCTGCAAATATAAATGTGGCACGGCTACCTGTCATCACAAAGACGTCATTCTGCAGGAATTTCTTCTGCCATCCAGCCCTGTCGGTCAAATCTATGTCGAGAGCTCCGTGCAGCTTTATGACGCGTAACGACGTGTGTTTGGCGATAAAGTCGCCTTGCTGTTCGACTAGCGCGACCTTCGGAACCAGAAATACGACAGCTTTGCCTTGGGAAGCCTCCTTGGTTGCAATCCATCGAATGAGAAGGATACTAATGAAGGTCTTGCCGCTACCAGTTCCCAATGCTGCGATGATATTGCCTTCCTGGGCTTGGACGAAGACCTCTTCTTGGTACTTGCGGGGAATCAAAGTGTCCCCTTCGATTGCGGACATGGTAGGAAGGCAGGGTCAGGAAACAAGGTGCACCACACGTCTCTACAGCTGACAGCTTGCTGAGGAGAACGAGGGAAGAGAGGGAAGGAAATCCGGATTTGCATATCACATTATCCAAATGGAACAGCATAACCACGTGTACCGCTTCTCTTTCACCATCACCCTCTCCTCTGAGTCATTCTACGGTCGACTGCGCCCCAGTCACAGCCAAGGAATATATAAGCATTACGTTTTCTGACTGTCTGCGTGAAGGACCATAATGTCAATAAATCCCAACGAAGATACAGAATTGTGCGTTTTCCTGACTTATTCCTGTCATCGGTGGCTGAGTACAGTATACAGCAACGATGCTCTTCGGAAGCATGGTATTATCCCCCCACGAGAGCCTACACCTTCATCGCCATCACCTCCACCGTCTCCGACGCTAGAAGAGATGCTGGAGGATTACACACCTTCCGAGCTCAAAGAGCTGAGTGAAGATGCTCCTGACGATGAGACGGAACGCCTGATCGCTGCCCATCGACGACAACGTATAGCCTTGGAAAGAAATGCTGAGAAAAAAGCCCGGTTCGGACGGGTGTATCCCATCGGACGGGACGACTATACTCGAGAAGTGACTGATGCAAGCAAGATCGATGAAGAGGATGATGACGAAGAGAAGGGTACAGGAGTCGTTTGTTTCTTGTATAAAGACGGGTACGTAGGCTTTGCCTGAGACTCCTACCCAATGTCTAACTCGTCGAACCACAAGGATTCCTCGAAGCGAACGTACTTTTGAGCACATCCGCGCATTGGCCACACGCTATCCCCGGACAAAATTTGTATCCATCGTTGGCGATAAATGCATACCGAACCTCCCCGACTCTCGTATACCTATGTTGATCATATACCGGAAAGGAGAGATTCGCAATCAAGTCATCGCTTGGGGCTCGGACCGGGAACGACGGTCTGAAGGTGCGGTTTTTGCGGTCATGAGTCGGCTCATTGATGCTCACCCTTCGCATAGAGCTGGAAGCCATTTTACTAATGACTGGCGCCGTCGACCTCCCCGATGTTCCTCCGACAGAACAACGACGTGGTGACGACGACTCGGACGACGACGATTCGGAAGACCGCCGTGATCCTTCCGCTCGGATGCGTTCTGCTGCCACCTCTACTAACGGAAGAACACAGAAAAATATCAGACGTTCAGGAGATGACGGAGATGATTCCGACTTTGAGTTTGACCTGTAATTCGTATGTATTTGACTTGTATTTCTAGTGAATTAAGCTGCTTTCACACCATTCCGTCTCTGCGTATTCCGGCTTTTGTTCCCTGGCTCGCCTAATGGTCGCGGACACAAGGACGCCGTTCTCTGCGCCGGTTATTCTCGGCTATTGAACGCGCCTGGTCACATGACATTGGTGGCACGACGCGTGACGTCATGTGGTCGCCAGGGGAATATAAATCGAAAATCAATTCATTTCCTTGGTCAACCATTCTTAGACGCACCCCATCATCCTCACCCATTTCTGCACAGCGTAACTCCGCTCTCCACAATAAAGATGGCTGGCTAGTTCATTTTCTGCTCTGATTGATACTTACTTACCTTTTCATATTTAGGAACGAAAAGAGCGTCTGACGACACTACTGGCCCCACAACCCGAGCATCCAAGGCGGCAAAGACTGACAATGGCACACATGCCACAGCAACCAAGGGCGCAAAGAAGGGCGGTAAAAGAGGTGCTAAGGTATACATTTACTCCATTATTCCGGTAAGGGAACCCTCTGAACCCCCCGGTTTTGATTCGAAGGCTTCCTTGCCCGCATCCACATTCAAGAACAAGGCTCTTCCCTTACACATTAATGTAACACACACACCTCCCAGTATTGCTGACGACGAGTCGGCTCCCGCTACCTCAGCTGATCCTGGGTTCTTGGCGACATTGGCACTGTTGCCCACAAGCTTTGCTACTGGCAGCTACGGCTGGAAAGGTACTAAGCGCTTCTCGGTGGAGCTACCCAATCCAGACGGCGGCGATGAAAAAGAAAAAGTTCAAGTCATGTTGACGTGAGTGATTGTCCGGCTCTGCTTGTCTCACTGTAAAATCATGACGCATGTCAGTGTCAACGCGGCTGTCGTTGGAAGCAAGCAAGCGCCGGGAGAAGATGGCGAAGCCAAAGAGGAGCACGCAAAAGAGGATGACGCTAAGGCTGAAGAAGAGCACAAAGAGGAGCACTCTAATGAGGAGGCCCCCAAGGATGATGAGAAGGAGGAAGCCAAGCCTGAGGAAGAGGCTAAGAACGGCACCGCTGAAGCTGAAGCCTAAGAAATTTTGCTATTCGGATTTTTATTGCTCAGATATATGCGAATTTATCAAAGTAACATATGTGCTGGCTATCTAGCGGCCTGCGCAAAAATCCAACCAATTTTTTTCTTACTCTCCAACTTTGAACCGGCACTTCCGAATTTCTGCCGTGTTGTGATGTGCTACACTTTACATGCAGGGTCGACGGTAATGGGAAGAGTCAATAATGAGCACACTTGCTTCAAAGGTTGACCCTACGGGCAACAACTGTGCGGGTCAAGCTCAAATATTTTTATACTGTCGTTGATTTTTTCTCACATAGCATCGTCGCCGGCTTGCCTGGTCAACCAAGGACCCAGACTCAGTGTCAGATATCTCGTCCTCATTCTTATCTGTGCCGCTTCTGCATCGCTATTCAGCCTCAACTTCAGCACCATACACACCACAGACTCAGCACCCGAATGGCAGGACAACATCTGGCCGTACCGCGAACAGGAACCCTGGGATATATCCACCGACTTTCCATATCCACGACTGCTCGAGTACGATGTTGAGGAGGGGACCTGGTTGCGTTTGGATGTGCATCCTACGACGGGGGATATCGTCTTTGACATGCTTGGAGACGTGTACTGTATCCCTGGTGACGAGCAGGATCGTCACAGTGTGGCGAGGGCCCGTCCTGTCCTACTTGGTGTTCCCTACGATTCGGACCCCCATTTTTCTCCAGAGGGCGACAGGATTGTGTTTCGCAGTGATGCAGGGTTAGGAGTAGAGAATATCTGGGTCATGGCCTGGTGTGGGTGCCATGAGATGGACGTCAGGCCGACGGTAGCGTTGCCCCGTATCCTCGACGAGCAATCTAATCGCCTGAAACGTGAGGGCAGGCTTGGAGGTAAGTATTGCTTGCCTCTTTGTTGTCAGGATCATATTGTCTGACCTGTCTTGAATTTCAGCGAGGCGTGTAACGAATGAGACATTTCGCTGGGTTTCCGATGCAAGATTCCATCCTTCGGGCAACAAGATAATCGCATCCAAATGGTATACTTCAAAAATCACTCTGTCTGCGTCGGAAGGGTGGGAGTACGATGTCCCGTCGCTCTCAGACGAACCCCAGAAACCGATCAGGCCGCAGAGTGGCCGTCGTATCCTGGGCAGGACTCTTCCTGCTGGTATGACAGTGGACGACTATGATAATCAACAGATAGGTCCTGAGCAATTCCTTTGGAGGAGCAACGATACTCTCATTTACGCCAAAAACGTCCAAGACTCATATATTATTTCCGTAGGCAAAGGTGATTTTTCTTTAGTCGCTTCACCACCTTGCATCTATTGATAGCATGCCACGTAGACATACATAAGGGCGTTTACTCCATTTTTTCACTCAATGTGACCAGTGGAGAGGAGGAGACCCTTGTTGATGCTTTTCCTGGTGGTGCCAGCCGACCCCAGCTATCTCGGGATGGACGAACCCTCGCATTTGTACGACGAGTAAGAAATCATGAAGTTCTTGTCCTGAAGTATGCGCTCTTTTCGCACCGTTGGTATCATCTGACAATGTCTTTCCAGGGACCTTGACACCGGTACCATTCACCACGTCTTCGACGGCCTAACGTATGATCTAAGCTCAGTTTGGGCACCAATGGGAACATATCCTTCCTTTGCGTTTACTCCTACCGATGACGCTATTATCATCTGGGGAGCAGGTCAAATACATCGTGTTCCTTTGGCTAGCAACCGGTACGGGGAACGGGTCACTGGTGGAACTCCTTATCCTATCCGATTCCGCGCTCATGTCGAGATGCAAATGGCAGAAACTATCAGAGGTGGCGTGGATCTGCTTTCTTTAGAAACTCAGGATAGCATGAGGGTGCATGCTTTCAAGGAGCTCCATATAGACGACTCTGGGGGACGAGCTGTTTTTCAAGCCGCTGGAGTGACCGTTGTCCAGCCTATAGGAAGCAGGGATGTGATCTCAGTACCTGTTCTTCACGGCGACCACCCGTACTACTCGCCCTCTTTCGTTTCTGGTTCTAGCGATCTAATCGCCCACTGCCGTTGGTCAGACACTGGCTTTTCCTCATTCGAAATCGCTGATCTGTCATCGGGAATCGCGTACGAAATCGAAGGATTGCCCCTAGGACGATACCTTGTTCCCGCTATTTCGCCGGGTACGAGCAGACATCGAAAGATTGCATTTGTAAAGACTGCTGGAGATTCGTTGACAGGGTCGATCGTAGCCACTGCGCGCCCGGGGCTTTACTTTGCTGACCTAACGTTACCTCTCAGCGGAGAACATGATAATGTTCTGTTGTATAATCTACAATTCATCCCTTCAAACATTGATTTCAGTGACCGTGTAATCAGTCTGCAGTTCTTTGACCAAGATCAGCTTCTAGTTGAAGAATCCGGACGTGCTTTCACCATTGATGCTTCCAATGCTTACACGCAGCGGGTCCTGGCATCCGGGAAAAAGTCAAATAAAGTTTCGGTTTCAGCGAACAACTTGGTGGCTTTTGTCGAATTCCAGCATGTGTACTTCGCCCGTGGTAGTGATGTCCAGCCTGGTGAACAACTCTGGGCGAAGCCGGGAAACGCTACGCGGGGTTTGGCGAGGCTAAGTCTTCATGGTGGGCACGACATCGCGTGGAGTGGGAATGGGCAGAAATTATTTTGGTTCTCTGGTACTATAAGACAGTGGCCTCTTCCTTGTGTATCTAACCCATATCTATTTCTAGGCCCTACACTTTTTTCGCTGGAAGTCACCCGTCTAAAGCAATGTATTTCCAATATCAAAAGCGACTTGTCGACTTTTGGTATCGGATGCGTGAAGGATCTTGTCGAATCACAAGAAATTTTCGTCGAGCATTCCACGGACATCGCACGTCTGAAGGACGAGGCCAAGGCTTCAGGGTCGTCGGGTGTCGTGGCAGTATACAATGCGACGCTTCTCACGATGGAAACTGGGCTCGTCGAGAACGATCTCATCAGGGAAGGAGTCATGTTGGTAAAGGACGGGATAATCCAAGCTATCGGCCCTATTAGTGATATTCACATTCCCGAAGATGCCGTCAAGTTTAATGTTAATCAGGGTATGTGTGAATTCATCAAATTGTCCCAGATTCTTGAACTCTAAATCTCTTCTATCTAGGATTTGTCATACCTGGTTTTATAGACGTTCATTCCCACTGGGGAGGCTATATCGTCCCTTTCCCTGCCAATTCATGGGAAATGCAAAACTTCCTTGCCTATGGCATAACGACGATGCACAAGTGTGTCTTGAATCTCTCACGGCTTCAAATATCTTCTCATAGGGAAAAACAGCCCCAGCTCGGATACTGTGGCAGCCTTCATAGAGCGCAGTCGATTAGAGAGTGGGCAATTCATCGGGCCTCGGATCTTGACTACGGGGTCTGTTCTTTTTGGTGGGGGATGGGTGGGGTTGCATGAAGAGATTGCGAATCTGGATGAAGCAGTATCTGCGCTGACGAGGATCAAGGCTGAAGCCGGGCCTGTGAGCTTGTCGTATAAGAATTATCAGCTGCCCTCGCGGTACGGTCGTGTCTTTTTTTACTTGATACGATACTCACGAATGGCATAGTGCTTCTCGTCAACGGCTGTTGAAAACGGCTCGTGATATGGGCCTGCTTTGTGTTCCTGAGGGTGGCGGCTATTATGATTGGGATCCTGACGTATATCATAGATGGTCAGAGGCCTTCTTATTTCCTGGCTGGATTTGGCTGACTCGGTTGGTATTCAGGCATGACTACGGTTGAACATGCGTTGCCAGTCTCCGTTTTGTATGATGATGTGCTTACGCTGTGGTCACAAAGCGGTACAGGATCTACGCCTACACATATCGTCAATTATGGAGGTGTTTTTGGAGAGCAGTATGTTTGGGCCACTGAAGACATTCCGAACGACCCAAAGTGAGTCGTTTCTCTTCATAGAGAAGAGTCCATGACCTCCATTTCTTTAGGCTGAGACAGTTCTCGCGGCACGATATTTTGGAAGGATTACATGAATCAACAGCGCGGCCATTAACCTGTGCGTCTTTCTCTCGCGACTAACTTTAGAAACCCTAACCCGTTCCTTCAGCATATGCTCTATTCAACGTTTCAATATCCACGGCTAAAATGGTGAGAACAGGCCTAAGGATGCATATTGGGGCACACGGGGAGAAACCGCTGGGATTCAATTACCATGAGGAAATGGCATTTACGAAGCATGGAGGTCTGACAAATTACGAGGTTCCCCTCTTCATATAATTTCAGTCCCCCCTTGTTTTAATGCGGCTGTCCATAGGTTCTTCAGGCAGCAACTTCATCGGCGGCAATCACATTTGGATTGTTCAGCTCAGTTGGCTCATTGTCTACGGGAAAATTGGCGGACTTTCTTGTATATCCTCCAGACGTGGATTTACTTGACGGGCCTATACAAGGCACGAGAGAACTGATGTACGTTGCTCGGGGAGGCAGGATATGGGAGGCGTATACCATGATAGAACAATGGCCGGTGAAAGGTAGAGTCCAAGCCATGCCTCCGTATAACCCTGATGCAGTGTAAGTTTCTACGACGAACTGATCTATACCATGCAATAATATACACAATGCCATTCGGCGTCTAAATGAGACCGTCAAAGTAAGCCGCGGTTGACTTGGACGACGCGGAAGGTGGCTTCGCTTCCGGCTTGGGGATAGCAGGTGTTGATGGAAGATAGTCCGCAATAACGGAGTCGAAATCCGGGGGTGGTCCTGGGGCGGTAGCCGGCTTGACTGAATTTCGAAGCATTGTTGAAACGATGAGCTGTCGAAGTGCGGCTGCGTCTATGGGCTAGAAGCAAATAAATGGATTGCCTCAAGGGATAAATGGACACTTACTTTTGGCTCGTCCTTCTTAGGAATGGGCGCGGTGGGCTGAGCAGGTGCAGGTTCCTTGTAAGTGCCGAGAGGACCAGAAGCTTTGCCCAAGAATGCAAGAACATCGCCTTTGGTCAACATGCCGCGTACACCAGTACCTTTGATCTGCTCAGCATTGGTTACATTGTTTTCATGCAGTAGGCGGTAGACGGATGGGAATAATGGACGCGAATGGGACGGAGGTGACGACGAGTGCGCTACTGGGGTCGGAGCTGGACGTGGGGTCGAAGGAGCGGTTTCTTGCTTGGGCGGTGAGGCGGTCGGTGGTGCTTCTGCTTCCTTGGGAGCTTCCACATTAGAAATATTATCACCCTCCTCTGCTAGCATGGCTATGACCTTTCCAACTGGTATATTCTTCGTTCCATCTGGTAGCTGATGCAAACTATGAGCGTAGCACAGATATGGACGCCAGCGACGCACCAGAATTTTTGCCATCACCCCATCAGTTACGGCTTCCACGTCAATAGTAGCCTTGTCAGTTTCCTACAGCTTGTCAGTATGTCAGAAACTAAAAAAAAAAAGAAGATGGGATATTACAATTTCAAGGAGAACATCACCGGCAACAAATGCTTCTCCCGGTTGCTTTTTCCAGGAGGCAATTCCGCCTTCGGTCATGGTTGGGGACATTGCAGGCATTTGGAGGGTACTGATTTCATGTCGACTGGGCGTTGAATGAATGACTGGGAAATTTGTCGGTCAGAAGGCGGACAACGAGGATACAGAATCACGCACGTCGTCGAGACTGCTGGGAACAGTGAGCAAGGGTCCTCGACGCAGAGCGAAATTGTCGAACGCCTCTCATGATGATGGCCAGCAGGCAAGAACAAAAATATGGGGATGAGCCTGGACGAGGTTGATCGTGACGCGAAAGTCTGGACCGGGATGGCCGGGATTATGGAAGACGCCGGGAATTGCCGCGATTGCAAATTTCCTCAATTTGATCCTTTTCCGAGTCCTGTCTTGAGCGTACTACGTACGTATTCATCCGCCAATGCTCCAGCAGCCCAGCAGCCATTCATCTAGCGCCTGTCTTTAGCATTGCTTTGGATGCGCGTCACAGAATAGTTCTTCTACCCTATTTCTTGCTCGCAGGATACCTTCTTGGTTGCTTTCTCCCAGATACCCTAAGCCTCTGCAACGGACGGATCGTATTCACCATGTTGGAGTTATTCATTTGGTTTCTTGCCGTGATTCGAAGTCTTGGAAGTCGTTTCTTCCTTCGGTTTGGCTTGTGAGCACCTCACATTTCCGCGGAAGCTTGTGTCGAACATTCTGACCCTATCTACCTAGGCATTGCGCAACCCACCAAATTCGCGTCATCCTCATATCTGGCGTCGTTATCACTTCCCTTCTCTACCCAGCGCTCGATTTGTATACCTCTACAAAGACCCAGTCTATCCTTGAGACACTTACTGCAATGAAGACCGGCTCCGGCTTCAATGCACAACAAGACTTGGTCGATATCTGGTCCGGGCATGAGAGCCTTCGTGTAGGAGGTGACTCAGTGTCCCGTGCTAGGTGCGGTGTCGGCCGAACGCTGAGGGTGGAGCGTATCCTCATTCAGAGCCCCCTCCCCGAAGACGATAGTGCCCTTAATCACCAAATTCTCCTATCCACCCTCAAACTCGAAGATCAACTTAACGAACTCATCGCCAGTCGCAAGATTCCATGCTTAAGGCATTCAGACGGCCGGTGTTTTGTGCTGTCTCCCCTCGCCTTCTGGCATTATGACCAAGACACTCTACTCTCCGACACCAATATTCTGGACACTTTGAATCTTTCAAAGAATGTCACCGTCTCAGGCATTCCTATAACGGCTCACACGGTTCTCGCCGGTCGAGACTCTGAAGAGCGTCATGTCGGCGGAACGAACTTCGATTTCGCGAGATACCTGGCTCTTACCTACTTCTTTCTCGAAGTCCGACTGTGTGGGGAAATCTGATCATATGTCTTGGATACAAACCATAGAAACCGCGAAAGTCGTCAAACACGGTGCTCCATGTACAGACAGAGGAACCGATTTTGTTGGGCCTAGAGGTATGTTGTTACTCCTTTCCGTCAGTCACCTCTCAATGCTTCCGGCAGTACCATTCAACGCCTTCCAAGAATAAGGCTCCACGTCGATCTCGGCTCTTCTCTATCTAACTTACATCAGTTTCGTGATATACGTAGTCTGGTCGATGCGCCAAATGAACACGGTTCATTCTCGGATCGGTGTAATGTTCACAGGTTTGGTGGAAATCACAGTTAGTACAATCACTAGTCTTAGTGTTTGTGCTCTCGTCGGCTTCAAGATTACGATGGTGCCTTGGTAAGTATCTATCTTTCAGGCCAATCAAACCATCCCTGATCACCCACTTGAATACAGGGAGTTATTGGCCATTATGATTCTGTTTGCTGGTGCTGAGAACATGTTCAATTTGGTTCGTCTAAATATCTTTGTGTAGCACTATGTTGACGTGTATCAAGGTGGATGCCGTTGGCAGAACCCATGTTACGTTGCCGGTCAAACAACGGATTGCCGAAGGACTGAGTTTCGCGGGAACTTCTAATATTCTCAAAGTGGTATCTTACAATACCATCCTCGGGGTTATTGCTTTCTTCGCTGGAGGCGCTATTCGCCAGTTCTGCGCATTCGCTATCGTGGTGCTGGTTGCGCATGGCTTCTTGGCCCATACGTTCTTTATTGCGGTACTTTCCATTGACATGCAACGCCTTGAAGTAAGTGATCACCATTCTCATGAAAATTGGTCTCAATGTCCGGCTATATAGCTTGAAGAACTTTTACGACAAGATCCTGGATTGGCACCTGCCGTTCCGCTTACGACTCCTGAGAAAAAGCACGTAAAACCTCGGTCAAAGTGGCAAAAAGTTGTCAATGTCATTCAAAGCCTATTCAGTGGGCGAGCGAAGAAGAACCTAAGCCTCTTCTTGGTATGAATCTGGTTACATTGCGGTTCAGTTCCAGTCTGATAGTGCTTCCAGCTATTGGCAACGACTGCGACGTTATATTACGCAACATTACCATCAGATATTAAAGGAAGCCCTGACACCTCTACTCATCAAGGAGCACATACGCGAGTAGATCGCAATACGCGCGTTTCAGATAACCACGACCCAGTCTGGCATCTTTGGAAAACGTTTAATCCGACGGAATCAGCGCTACACCTTCGAATTGAAAGCCCCACGATCTTAACCTTCCGACCTGATGTCGATAATACCACTACCCTCCCTGACCATCCCAAAACGCATCGGCTCAGGTTCAGAACGCTCAAACTGATACTTTGGCTACTCCAGATCATGGTCTTGCCTATTGGAGCTACAAACCTGGCACTTTACGGTCTGCTGTTGTACCTTCTCAAGGATGCCGAGCTACTTGAAGCTCAAAAGAACCGTGCAAACGTGGAGGAGGAGGAGGCTGTCCCAGACGAGGCCGCTTCTCTTCGAAATCAATTCTCATTCTCCACGCTCCCGCGGACATTCTCCAGCGACGTTGAGCTTATCGCAACTAATAAAGGAGGTCAAGTTGTCGCATCTGTTGGCGTGCAAAATGAGATCGTTGTATGGAATATAAACACCCAAATTCATTTATCAATCGATGCCACTGATGTGCTGCTAAGGTCGGCGAGCACGTCTTCAAGTGCTTCTGCCATTACGTGCGTGGCAGTTGACGAGAGAGGTGAACACTGCGCTATGGGAACCGGCGCAGGGGTCATTGCTGTGTGGGGGATCAAAAGAGGTCGTATACATGCATTTCCCCATCTCACGATGCCCAGTTCGTCCGCGGGGGTCACTGAAATCGAATTCAATAACCCGAGAGGAGGAAGCACTCCTCCTCATTCCCGCCCCACATCACCGGTAGACAAAGCTGCGCCGATCTCTGTGGTCGCGACGTATGAAAATGGTGTCGCGGCCAAATGGGCAGTCGGCGAGCTACCTGACGACGATACAGCTTCGCCCATTCAGTCGAGCGAACACGATCAACTCCCTTCTACTCCGAGTGGCACCTCTGGACGTCCTTTGTGCTGCCTTTTGTTTGGATGATGGGACGCTGGAGATTCAAGAGATTAACGAAACAGACAAGATTTTCATGCCCGACTTCACAGTCCAAGCGGGGAACCCTACTGATATTGTTACGAAAGTTGATGTATGCCGGACCATCATGGGAGACGAAACTCGCACTATCGTTGGGGCAGTGACTGAGGCGGGGGTTGTCTCTCTTTGGGATGGGGTGACTGGTGAAATGATCCGCGTCCTTGACGAAGCAGTATGGCAAAGTGACCCAGCTATGTTTCTCTCTGCTGCCCCGACATGCGTGCCGCCATTGTGGCCATCTGCCCCTTGACAGCATATCTCTCGTCTTCTCTGTCAATTACTTTGTTCACTTCTTCAAGGCCTATCTCAGCGACAACAACGAAACCCGACGATGCTCATGTACACCCACCCGATCTCTTAGAAAGCTCTCTTATGATGGTCTTGGCGGGCGTCGCTCCCGAAGCGGGAGCTTCGCGTCCCTGAATTCGCCTCAAGGTCGACTACTCGAGGCTTTCATCGGCATTTGAAGCCTCGTTCCCTGTATCTGCACATGGTATTCATTCGCGGCGCGCATCGGAGAAGGATTCGACTCGACGTGCTTCGGAGCTCACGTTACCTGTTGAGGAGTGTGAAACGAATCACGCGGTCGGTCCGGCTGAGAGTGTGAGGGGATCGTCGAAGATTTGGCAGAGTCTGCAGGTTGTGAAAGTAGGGGAGACGAGTTGCGAGAGGGGATGTTGGGGTGTATTGGGGTATCGAGTCGTTGGTGTTCGGAGGAGACCACGGAATGTCGGGAAGACGAACAAGGAGGGGGTGCCATCGTCTTCGCATGGATTATCGTTGGCGACGTTGGATCGGTGGGAAGTATGGACGTTCGAACCTTCGAATTTCGAGGTTCAGGCCTCTGCTCTGTCGATGATTGCTGATAGTCAGGACACGTTTTCCTTATCTGCGACGAAGAGCGCATTTCCTCGTTTGCCATTCACACGGGTATCGCCTTTAGTCGCCGCACGGTCGTATAGCCTAGCTGGGTTTGGGAATACTCTAGGCGTATTTAATTTTCTTTCTTCGTAGTCTTCTTTTCCATCTTTTGTATCGTCGTTCAATCGCTGCTGTACATCTATAGAATCATCATTTCGTGGAATTTCAATGCAAGTACGTATATATCATGTCATCTGCGTGTTTGACCGAACTAACGACGTTAAGCAGGAACAAGCACCATTTGCTCGATATTGCCAGTAAGTGAATGAAGTGCGCCTCAGTTACCTTAATGATCGGAAGTCCTGTCAACAAAAAAGTATAATATCGATTCAGAGACCAGTACTTATTAGACCGCCCTTTCTTTTTTCACCTGGTATCAGCCCTAGTAGTGCTTATCTGCTCCACCACGGTATTCTGCTGCACCATGGACCTGTTTCTCGTTCCCGACAACCCTTTACGAACAGTGCTTGTTTCGGCTAATGGTGTGGCACATTACCAAATCACCACAACGAAAGTACACGGACACCGCAAGATATCGCGAATACAGCGGCCTGCCGAGTCAGAGGCGGACAGCGTTGTCGCAGAAATTGAGTGGAGGAACTGGGATAACCCTACCATCGTGCGGAGTAGCAACCTTCGGGGATTGGGAGGTAGTGGCGTTCTGGCGACGGATTTCCTGCATAGACGGGGACCCTTTAGCTCGTAAGTCGTCGTCGCGACCTGGAACCCTGGTGATCCTGATCATTGGTATAGATCTCGATATTTCCTAGGCGATGACCATGCAGAGTACCGATGGAAGACGGTAAAAGGCGTCGGATGCGTTGTGAGTGCTCAGTGATCTCCCTCTATGTGATAGCAATAGTAACACTGAGCCTCCAGCTGACGCGAGTTGGCACTAATGAGGAGGTCGCAAGATATACCTGCATGTCGACCTCCGAAGGCCTGTACGCTGGTGAACGCAAGTCACGGTTGCGAATCCAGCCAGGGTGTACGTTGGATTTCGACTTGTTGGTAATAACCTTTGTTATAATGGAGAAGAAGAGACGAGACCATGCGGGTGACGGCACGGTGCTGGCAGCGCACGACGAGGACCCTCAGGGTGACGGAGGTGGAGATGGGGGAAGTGGGGGGTGTTGAATGTTCCTTTACCTTTTTCTCTCCTTTCCTTGGGTTTAAGTACGGGTGTACGTGTTTACTTATAGCGAGAAATTCGACCGGACAAAAGATTCCCGAGTCGAAGTTCAGTTGGCTGGGCGATATTATCGCCGGAGAACCTTGATATAAGATGGGAACGTTATCCTTATAGAAATCGAAAACCAGAAAGACTACAAGCCTTTAAAAGCTTCAATGTCGTTATTGCGCAGAGACTCTGAGAGACAGCAAAATGAGAAATCACTCGACTGCCGCGCCGTCGGCCCGAACGGCAATTCCCGACCATTTTAGTCACCGACAGTCGTGAAGGATTGGAATTCGAATGATCCACAAGAATCTGATCTATTCAAAGACCATGTCGATCTTGGTACGGGTGCACAACGCTCCATGCAATCTCAATTTTGGGGCTAAGCACTCGCGTGCGGGTTGCTGGGTTCTCAGCCAGCCCCGATCCGTATCGATCTTGTGGATCGAACAACCCCGATGCATCCGGTACTTGCTCCGCACCTTGAAGACAAGCCAAGCTGTACTTCCATCGTTCAATTTTTGACTATCTATGATCTAAGCAGTCTTTTTCTCGTGGCACTGGCCATTCATATCCCCCATTCTCTAATGGTGCAGAACTTGTTCGAAACACATGCATGTTTTACCAGTGACGGAGTCTTCCCGAGAGACACTAGTAACTTTTCTTGCTTCATACTCGGTTATTTTATCCAAGCCTATCCGAGAATGAAGAAACCTGTGTTCCGCTCATTCTTCTAGAAATGAATACTTAACATCAAGTTCTCCTGCTTACTACAGCAAGATGTGCGCCTTTGCTGACCCGGTCACCTAGCCTGACACCTATAAATGTTCTAAAATGATTATTTGATTTAGTTTTCATTGTCCAACAGGAAGATACTCCGGTTAGCCAAGTAATAGAACATTCGTCTGACTGAAAGTCGCTCTTACTAAGGGCATAGTACTTTTCCGGGGTCACATCGTCCCGCTCCACAGTCCCCTTACTCTGTCTGATGTTGCCAACGAGGCGGTTTAGTCGGAGAACTACTCCACTGTTCTGCAGATCTCATGCCATGTACGTATCCGCTACAGTTGAACATTTGTGAATTCCTAACAGTTTTCTATTTGAGTAGAAGTTAAGCAAATAGAGGACGTTCTACTCGGAGTGAAGTCTTTCTCTTGAGCAGGGAGTGCTTATAATAACTTAGGAAATACTTTACGTCTTTATCTTGTCCAGCATGCTTTCCACGTTTCTACACTGCTTTTTGCTGCTTTCTTCGCAGCGAGTATCGATGTTTCTGGCGAGTCTGACCTCTTTCTCCTTCAACGGCAGAAACTTTCGAATGTAGATATCAATACTCCTGCGGGCTACAGACATCACAGACACTTTCTATCTTTCGCGTCGACACCACTAGGCTCTCGTAAACTCAGTGATTCCTGTCGCTACAGAAGATATTAAGTCGTTCTTTAATGGGCGCATTTCATTTAGCAGAGCTCTTTGCATGGAGCTGAGTGTAATAGAAGAAGAAAGATGTGGTAACGGCCAATAGGTGAGCTACCTCCGTGTTCTTTGATTAAAAGTGCACTTCACAGCAACAACATCGCGGCCATGTAACGGTATATCGTTAGTATTTCCATAGGCTTCTAGTCCAAGCTGCAGTTTATTTGACCGTCGGTATGCTACTAAAACATCAGAGCAATACTATGAGTAATTCCACTTTCTGTTCGAATTTTCGTCACGACTACTGGTGTGGAGAAACCCCAGAAAGGAAAAGAAATTGCCGTATTCGGCTTGATTTAATCTCCCGAATGTTCGTTGCCGCAACGCCACAATGATCATCTGTTCTCTTCCGCTCCCCGCACCCGGACCGTTATTGTGTAAATTCCCCAGAAATTCAGCTCGGTCCTCGCACTCCGTTCAAGCGTTGGGCTGAATCAATGGTTCTCTGGAGCCACTAGCCTGCGGAGGCGCACCTTTGTAAGCGGCATGGGGTGATCAGCGATACGTCACAGAACCTAGATCAGGTGCGCGGCTCTGGCTTAGCCTTAAATCCAAGCAGTGTGTGCCCGAGGCGAGCGTGTTTGTTTCGTTCCTTCTCCCACCATGTCCTTTCGAGCGATTCGCTGGCTCGCCTGGGTCCCGCTCGTCGTCGCCCAGGTCAATCAGCAGCCTCCAGTTCATGGCGCTGCCTCGACCACTACATCCAGCTCTGTCGCGACGTCCAGCGCTTCAAGCTCGTGGCTTTCATCGGAGTCTGCGACACCCACATTCTCTACCGCTTCAGCGTTGTCCACTAGTAGCGACAGCTCGCTCGTTTCTGCTTCATATTCTGATGTCACCTCAAGCATTTCTGCTGCATCAACTTCTTCCGCATCAGACGCTTCGATTTTAAGTTCAACAGTCTCATCTGCTTCCGAGTCTACCGTAACGTCACTCTCTTCTTCGTACGTTGCTTCTCCAGCCACAACTACTCGACATATTGTTCCTATCTCGTCCTACACTTTCTCGCCCTTGCCCTCTCCAACTGGTAGAAGCGGGATCCAGACGGACCCACATACTCCTCCGGTCGTGGGCGCTAACTATGTGCCGGACTATTCTTCTGCATGGACAACTGCATATACTAAGGCAAAGAACCTTGTGAGTTACATCTACATGTGATCTGACAACTATTTGTTATGCCGGTCCGTTCCATTGAACTTAACTCCTTATATCGTCAGGTTGCTAGACTGACATTAGAAGAGAAGGTCAATGTAACAACTGGCGTCGGTTGGGCAATTGGTCGATGTGTGGTGCGTTCTAATACCTGCAAATTGCGCCGCCAAGCGTACATTATTCCAACCTTTTCTCCCCAGGGAAATACCCCCGCAATCCCAGCCCATAACTACCCTGGATTGTGTCTTGAAGATTCCCCTCTAGGCGTTCGGTTTGCCGACTACGTGACCTCTTTCCCCACTGGGGTGAATGCTGCCGCGACGTATGTGATTGGAGCTGACACTTTTTATTGAACTCAACGTAATTGCTATAGATGGAACCGGCGTCTCATTCGTCTTCGGGGGCTGTACATGGGTCTTGAACATTACGGGAAGGGTGTTAACGTTGCTTTGGGCCCGATGATGAATATCGGGCGAGTCGCACAAGGCGGTCGCAACTGGGAGGGTTTCGGCGCTGATCCATATCTTTCCGGAGAAGCCGCGTACGAAACCGTTCTCGGGTTGCAGGAGGGTGGCGTTCAAGCGTGTGCCAAGCACTTGATAAACAAGTGAGTTGTTTCTGATCCAGTGGCGCCTCAATATTGATGATTTATGTCATAGTGAGCAGGAACACAAACGGACTCAAGAAAGTTCTGATGTGGACGACAGAACGCAGCACGAAATTTATGCACATCCTTTCATGAGGAGTGTCATGGCTGGTGTTGCCAGTATGATGTGCAGCTACAGTGAGTCTTTAGAATGTATTGGCTACGCAAGACTGTTAGACGTCAATAGACCTGGTCAATGCTACTTATGCATGCGAGAACGACAAGATCATGAACGATATCGTCAAAAAGGAGTATGGTTTCCAAGGATGTATGTGCTCATTCATATTTCCTTCGCTTTGCTGACCTTCGCAGATATTATGTCGGACTGGCAGGCCACAATGTCGACGATATCTGCCATCACGGGCCTGGATGTACGAAATGTTGACTTAAGTGAAGAAGGGACATTGACTTAACATTTCTTAGATGACCATGCCAGGAGACGTGACGTTTGACTCTGGCGATTCCTACTTTGGCGGGAACTTGACAGCTTATGTCCACAATGAAACCATACCTGAAACGCGTGTTGATGACATGGGTAAGATACGCCTGCCTTTAATCCCCGCGGACGTCCAGGGATCTAATCGTGCATATTTAGCGTCTCGTATCCTCGCTGCATGGTATTTCCTACACCAGGACGACCCGACTTTTCCAGATGTCAATTTTGACGCATTCCTCCCAGATAACGAAGCAACTAACGCCCATATCGACGTTCAAGACGATCATTACAAGCTTGTTAGAGATGTTGGTGCAGCTAGCACTGTTCTTTTAAAGAACATTGGTTGCGCCCTACCGTTAAAGAAACCGAGAAGCTTGGTGTTAATTGGCACGGATGCCGGTCCAGGAAGAGTCGGGCCTAATGGATTTGCGGACCATGTGGGGGACAAACACTATATTCATTTGTATGGCGGTATTGATTTTTTTTTCGCAGGGTGGGGATGATGGAACTTTGGCTTCGGGTTGGGGATCAGGGTAAGTATCCACGCGATGATGGTGAAATAATTTCAGCTTATGTTTCTGTCAGAACGGCGAACTTTACTTACCTCATTACTGTAAGATCCCATCTTGGACCGGGCCTATGACTTTTTTGACTCATGTATTTTTGTAGCCTCTCGAAGCGATTCAAGCGAGAGCTCGGAAGGACCGAACCTCTGTTTCATGGGTCTTGGACGATTTTGACCTTCCTCGTGCGGGCAATGATGCTATTCGAAAGTCTGCTGCTCTCGTCTTCATTAATTCTGACTCTGGCGAGGATTACATCACAGTAGATGGGAATGAAGGTGATCGGTATGTAGATCTCGTTAATTCATCTCATGCGATATAACGAATTATTTCAGAAAAAACCTTACGGCGTGGCATGGGGGAGACGATCTAGTCCTGGCAGTGGCTGCCCAGAATAACAACACGATCGTCGTCGTTCATAGTGTCGGTCCTCTGATTGTTGAACCCTGGATTGAACATCCGAACGTTACTGCTGTAGGGGCTCCCTTGAATGTTTGTTCCTTGGCTAAGCAGTTATTAGGTGCTCTGGGCCGGTGCTCCCGGGACTGAATCTGGCAACTCGCTCGTAGATGTATTGTATGGTGACTGGAACCCTTCTGGACGTCTTCCCTATACTATTGCCAAGAGCGCCGACGACTATAACGCTCCACTGATAACTGGTGGAACCGATGAGGATATCCTAGACATTCCGTATACTGAAGGGTCAGCACACATGTTCTTTTACTATTGCTATCTAAAACACCACCACTGTTCAGGTTGCACGTCGATTATCGTCATTTTGATGCTGTACGTTTCCTGCCTTTTCTCCAGCACCACTTTAATCATTTGATTGGCAGTATAACATTGAACCTCGTTTCGAATTTGGCTTCGGACTGAGCTATACCAACTTCACATACACTAATCTTCTAATTTCTAAGATATACGGACAGTTTGCGAACAGTGCAGATGCGATCGCTTGGGAACAAGGAAATGCTACAACCCTAAGTGTAGGGTCTTCCACTGCCGCTTGGTAAGCGCACATTGTTTAGATTATGCCTGATTACTCACACCTACCGCAATTATAGGCTCCATGAACCTGCATACAATGTCACGTTCAGCGTCCAAAACACTGGCTCGGTTTATGGCGGCGACGTACGTCTCTGATTGGTCTCTATTTGCATTCATTGATTCTAAGCGGATTATGAACAGATACCGCAACTGTACTTGCATCACCCACGATCTGCTAGAGAGCCTCCCTCAATCCTGAGAGGATTCACTAATGTTGAAATGCTACCTGGAGAGACTGTCACCGTGTCTCTCGCTCTTTCTCGGTATGACCTGTCCATCTGGGACGTTGAACTGCAGGGTTGGAAAAAGTCGTATGGTACGATTGGAGTGACTGTCGGCCGCAGTTCGAGGGATGGGAAGCTCCATGGAAAAATACCGTAGAGATCGAAGGACGGACTCTACCAATGAATCTCGCAAAACAGACTTTTAGATACCTCATTGTTGACTTTCTTGTTGGACCACAATTGTATATCATATTTCGTAGAGCATTAACATATCTAGTGTTTTGTACTGTGAAGCGAGTGCAAGCCGAGTTGTTGCACTAGCCGACCCAATGGTCAATTCGAGGTCGATAAGAAACGGTGAGATATTGTAATTTGTATTTGACCTCCCTGTGTGTTTTGATTCCGAACCGGCCCGACTCCGGGCGGAATGGCGTCATGAGATAGCTGATATCAGTCTTAGACCAAGGTCTAAGTAACTGGCCCTTTCCTCAGAACGATCACCATGCCTTCTCTCGAACTGAAAACAAACGCTGTTGTAAGAACTTGCGGTCATTCTGATCTTTCCTGATCTCACGATCGTTCATTAGATCCCTGATCCCAAGTCGTTCGCGCTTGAGTTCTCCAAGGTCAAGTCATAGCACTGTTCAGAAATCTTTATTCGCGAAACTGATATATTTTCCGACAGGAATCTGCCCGCATCCTTGGAAAACCCGAGGCGTACATTACTGTCAGTGTTACGCCTGTTCCCATCATGACCTTCGCTGGGACGACTGATCCTGCTTTTGTCCTGCTCGTGGTATGCCTGAACTCTTTCTTGCAACGAGTGAGACTCCAACCTTCGTACAGACCAGTCTCGACAACATCAACCCGGAGAAGAACGAACAGTACAGTAAAGAGCTCGCTGCTTTCTTGAAGAAATCCCTTTCCTTGCCGGACGACAGGGGATACATGCAAGTCTTACGAGTTAATCATCTGATCACTCAAATCTCACGATAAATTTTCTTAGCACGTTCCTGGATCCCGGAAGGGCACACTTGGGGTAAGTCTTTACAAAGCGTCCCCGCAGTTGCCAACTCATCCATCTTCACAGATACAAGAGCACCACCTTTGCGACGATCTTTGGAAAGTAAAGCATCATGAAACAGAAGTTGAAGTCTATGCTGAATCTGTAATTGTACAAATCAAAGTCGTTTGTCAGCAATGCCATCCAGGAAGATCGTTCCTGCATATTTGCCAGGGGTCACGGCTCCAAGCCTGCCTCATCTTGATTACCACACTCACCATACAGATAAAGACGAAAACTCAGGAGATTCATGGTGACAGAACAGAAATTTCGCTTCTTTAGAGCACAGGCAGTACCATACAAAGTTCGACTTTCAGTGCCTATTGTCGCCGAACATGGACGCGAAGGTGGTGCTGTGCAAACTATTAAAGGATGAATGTTGTGTCAGTTCTGAGAATGGCAGCAGACATACCCAAGGTTGGGCCGGCCAGGGTCCAAGAAAGTGCTGTATGATTCCCCGTCAGGGCAGTGGCGAAAAGATAAGCAGACAGCTCACATATATCCTCTGTCATTTTTTATAGCGAGAGCTTTCTCTACGAAAGCGAAGAGCTCCTTGCTGTAAACGATGTTCTTCTCAGGTGAAAGTGTGTCTAGGCACGTCTGAGAATTTAATTATAATCAGGCGTTAACTTTGGCCATGAAATCGGGGTTCCCTTACCACAGACATGCTGAACGTAGGATCAGGAGTTCCAGCGAACAACATAGTGGGAACTAGGGTGACCAGTATGGAGAAGACCGCTTCGGGTTTCTCAAAGATACGAGCAGCTTCCTGGGAAACGATATATATAGGTGTTCTCGGGAGCTGAAAGGAACTGCGCACCTGAGAAAATTGGGATGCGAATGCGTTCACATCAGAAATCTATCAGGCCGAGTGAGTTATAATAGCATGCAGTATATATGTAGTCGCACATACAGGAGCGTTGGTCTTGATTTCAAGTGTAGGCATGATGGGCAGGCTGGGTGAGAAATGTTGCTAAACCTGCTCGCTTTTAAACTGGCGGCGTACTACGGGGCTGGTGGAGGTGGCAGGATTTCATCTGTCATCTCCACGACCCCCACCGCCATCTCCGCCCCCAAGTCTTCTCCCATTCTATGGTTGTTCTCTACTGGGCCAGAAGCATGAAATACAGTCAGAACTCCACAGAGTAAAAATATTTGCTTCGGCAAACTGCGCTTACGGAAATTTCACGCGGTGAATAAATAGATATAGGCCTCTTGGCGCAGGTTCATGCATTAGTAGAATTCTGTCAACATGCGCAGTCAAGAGATGTCGAAAACATTCCAGCAGTTTGAGTGACCCACCTGGCGTCTGTAACCTTCGATGAAAGGCGGCTCATTATCATTAAGTGATGTTGATGTTGATGATTTGTATCAACCGCACGGATATTTTCATCCATCTCCAAGATCGTGAATCAGAAAACCGACTGCGGCGCTCCCGATTTGGTCTATCGCCAGGTAGCTACTTAAGGTTTCTTGCATAGACCACTGTCGGTGATCCTTCACGATTCGGTGCATTGACAAACATGGCAGAACACTGTTTAACACGGAAAGTTACCAAACAAGCTTGCAACTCGTTATGCGGACAACCAAAGAGCCAACTTACAAGTTACGGCACATCATGGACTATAACGAAGGACGGGACTGCGCTGATCGTTGTATCCACTATAACGCAACAAGATTATCTTGGCATTAGTACACGAACAACAAACGAAAGCAAGAGAGGGTACCACAAGGAGCCACGGATTTTTGGCTGGATAACATGGTATGTCAATGTCAGAGCCCCACCGTCTATCCATCGCTCTCAAACGAGAAGTACGACAAAGATGCTTCCACCGATTTGTGAATTTCTGAGTCAGAACAGTTTAACGGTTACTAGATATTACTCTGTCTAAGAGGGTGGGGCACTTGGATTTGAGACGAAAAGGGTGATTCATCGAATGGTGTTCCAAGGCTCAATAGTGGCGTCAAATAAATAGCTTGAGGTGCCAAGGTCGACATCACGAGCTTGGAACATAGCTTGATAAGCTCTAGCGCCGCAATGAAACTGTAAAAGGTGTTATATTGAGACCGTTATAAAAGTCGAGTCGAGCTCACCTAATGTTTGTAGCGCTGCGATCAAAGAAACATCTGCAACGAGCCTTCTTCAAGCAACGTCTCGCAACCTCACGCTCAATCTAGCGCTACTAATCCAAAATGCTTTGATAAGGCTCTTCTGTCATACTTGCCTTCAGCGTATCCGGTGATGCCGCAAATCGAGTAGTGTCCGGTCGTCCCTTATCAGCACAACATTGGCTCAAAAACCCATCTATACTCTTGTTGTCGTTGGAAGGACGGCGAAGACTATGCAAGGTACGACAAAACCTCGAGATCTTTGGCCGCGATCTTCAGCAAAGTTCCACACAGATGTCGAGCTATGCAAACCTCGTCGTCTGATGCATGTCATGGTTCCGCCCATTGACATTTCCTTGTCTGGCCAGAGGCTCTCATCGGCCTCCGTGGGGGACATCGGCTCTTCCTTCATCGTGACTTGCGCACTAGTTGGAGCTATTGAGCGGGTATTGAATGGTAGGTCTTCTCCGTGTCGTCATGGCCAGAGCCGCACAGAACCTCGTGGATTCAAACCGCACCTTCTGCATAGGACCTAGCATGAAATTTATTCCAAAAGTGTTTATTCGGATTCTCGTCCTCGATGTTCCTATCGTGATGGGAAGTACGAGATTCCTCGCTTTGCTCGCCTTATCTGCAGGCCGCTCGATTCTGCCGTAGGTTACGCAGTGCCTTCTACGTCGAGGAAGGGTTTGTTCCTCTCAAGCAATGTAGCCAAATTACCTCTTCGTCCTTCGCGTCTTCCGGTATAAGCGTTCGATTGCTCGATAAGTTATGTAACGTTTTGATAAAGCTTTGCATCATAACGCAGGACTGATTGCAATGATTAGATTCTGCCAATGTATGTCTAAGAAGTGCGAGAGACAGCCATTCCTAGAGATTGCTAATTAATCTCTTAAGTTATACCTTCAGGCTCTATAGATCTTCAGGACCTTACTCATGGTATGAATACTCTTGAGATGCAATTCGTCACAGAAGCCTGATAAGCAAGATCATTTGCGCTGCCAGGCTGCACAGCCAGTTACTTGCGAGGAAATGGCGAATACTGTCCTTATAGCCTGCGCTGCCTATACAGACAAATTATAACAAATTCTAGAGGGTCTCGAAAGACCATGAGACATACCATATCAAAGAGCACGGCATATACTCCGGGGTTCCTGAATAGCGTTTGAAAGCTGGGGGAAAACGATATCAAAAATGTATTGAGTGTGCACACCTTCATCTCACCCATGGAGAAGCCAAATCCGTACTCTGAGGCATGTTTGAGTAGGAATCTTTGCTCCATGGGTATATGGCATCTTGCTTTGTAAATGAAGGAAAAGAACGACGTCACTTGATTTTTCTGTCAAGAGACAATGCACTTGGAAACTGGCTGTTTCCACTGAGCGTGACTACCACCCTTCTGTAGATTTTTCACAATGATGCGTTCGGGAACTGACCATTCCCGGAACGATATTTAGCGCGTCTACCACTCGTTGCATCGTTGCAAACACAACGTAGATCGTTCAGGGCTGGCAGGGACTTGGCGGAAGAGGCTGGAATGAATGTTTCAACTTCCGTAAGCGTAGTATTTGGAACTCCGACATATGCCGCGGCACGTGAAGTGACGTAGCGCGTCGAATTTCCGCTCAAGTGATCGACTTCGTTTACATCGGCCCCTAAAGGGCTTAAGCGCTTATCAATATCCGCAAACTGGTCCGCCCTTGTCTTCCTCATTATCTACATATCCTGAAGGAGCTTGAAACACTCTGCATGGCCTTCCAAGAGGCCGCTGCGATGCAGGACGAGAAACTATACATTCAGTTTCACTATGTGTTGCCATCGCTGTTACTGCTGCCGCATCGGAGTATGGGTAACTCGTAAACTTTTAATTCACGAGACGTTCACCACATGCTGCGCGCTGGACATTTAAACCTTGCCAGTGACAGTGGTGCAATCTTCACCATGTTCGTCGCGTCTTTGTATCATGGATGTCTTCCACGCTGCTCCATCTATTGGCACATGCGCGTTCACATCGTGTACCACGTTCATTCTATCTGTCTTTGTGATAACAAACAAACATTCTGGCTGTTCATGAAAATTTCCTTGTGGCAACAACATGTTCTTTTCCAAACTCGATACTAGCTCACCCAGTTCTACGGTGTTCACCTTGGAGGCGTGTTGTCTGTCAGTGGCGCCTAGCTGAATACACTTGAACTGCGGTCCTTGCCAGCTACTTCCTTGCAATCTAAGTCGCAAGTTCATTGGGTGTCCCCAGCTCTCGCACGCTTTATGATTGAAAGAAATCAAGGGCTTCAACCTCGCGCATACGGTCACGGTTGAAACACCAGTGCACTGGTGCTCTCAAATGGTTTGAGTCTTCAATTCTTAAGGAAAACTCAAGGAAGCCTTCGCTTGTTGTCCGTTGCTGTACGCTGATAGCACACTTAACGTATCTGTGCGATGCCGGATCGTGTAAGAACCGAGTTATTCGGAGTGTCTACTTGGCATTGTGGATGAGTCGACCTCGCCATGATATACCTGAAGCACTTGTGCATCATCAACAGGTAGCACAGTGGGAGCAGCGTTTCACGGGGGGTCTTACACTGTCTTAATGTGCTGTTCCACTGACTCGTACATGCACATTCACAACATCCATTCCATCTGTCTCTGTGATGATACGGAAAGAAATAAACACTCCGGCTCTGACCGTCTGTCCTACCTTTCAGAGTATCCACGAGGTCTCAGCATGGACAACAGGATCAGGCTACTAGGAGTTCCTCTGGTATTTAAGGGCCGTGTCACTGGTGCTCGATTTGTAGCTATTCCTCATGTGTTGGGAAACGTCAGACAAGTTGGCTGGCTGTATTATATCGTCCATCCTTCGCCCCACCGGTGATACTTTGGATAAAAGCAGCTTGAGCGCCTTCATCCCACTCGCTCTGCATGAAGTCGATGGGGCTCTTGGCCTTCTCCAAAAAGGCGTGCGAGATATTGGGCACACCTCCGGAGCCATTCTAGAGTCGTTAGAGTGAGTATCTCTTGCCTGTCTACGATTTGATGGCACTACTTACTCTTTGTTGCGTCTGTAATAGTAAGAAACCACTACACGTGCATGACAAGCCAACTGGGTACGTATTTCTCTCATGTTCGATGTTTTGCTACTGAGACACAAACCGGTACACCAGAGGGAACCTCAAGAAGTCGAAAAAGAAGGCAAAAGATAATTTATGCCTCGTCAGTCCATGATCTCATCTTCCTTGAGGGCTGTTTATATGGACCGCTCCTATTTTCAGTTCTGCAAGGCTAGGCCACGTACTGCAGGTATTCAGTACTGTAACAGGACTTGTGGTAGACAAGCTGAGGCTGTCCGTCAACGCCGAATGAAGGAGCCGAAGCGTCGCAATCACAGAGTAAGTTGTTTTCTTCAGCCAGCTCTGGATCAAGCACGACGATAACGGCATCTATATTCAGGACTAGATCGTTCCGAGTTTTATCAGTACATTCACGCACGAGGATGTAAGGTATCTGAGCTCGTAGGCGTTCTGCTCTTCGCTACTGTATACGTACGAAGATCCAACTCCTGTTCTTTTCCTGTTGGATTCCCTTTTCCTTGCCTATCATATTTCACTAGCTACACTTGTACGCTTCAACTATCCTCACTATCACAAGTTTTCTATATTTATAATTCGATCGCAGTCTAAGTAGCGCCTTCTTGAGATATAATTCGCCATGAAAGCCTGATAAGCTGCATGAACATTCATGTAGAAGACAGCTATTATGCGGTGGAGGGCATATTATTCTGGATTAATCGAGTGCTCTTGGATTTACAGAAGGCCTCAATCTGGCAGAAGAATAGACCAAATTTATCAAACTGTACTAGGGTTTCCAGCCAGCTTGGTCACTACATGGCGCACCGATTCCCGAGATACTTGATGCGGATATCCTTTCTGGGATCCGTTTCACAGCATACACTTTCCTTACAATTAAAGCTCGCGATTTAAGAATGGTAGGCAGGCTGCTACACTTGAGTTTGGAGCGCTTTGGTAGCAAGGTTGTCCAGTGGCTGTGCTCCGCTCAAATTACATTTACACACGATCACGTGACACAGCACCGAATTTGAATTGGTGCCAGCAACTGCGTTTCTTGATCTTTGACTATAACCTTCACCCCTTTGTCTTTCTTTACTCCCTCACCACCATGAATAACTGAAGCTGTTTGATCAAGATACTGGTAGATGTAGCTGAGGCTCCTGAATAAGCCAATCTTATAACGTTCCTTTTTCTCAAAAACATTTCTCCAACGTCTTTGGTGCCCACTTGCATAATCAGACCTCCCACTTCCTTGAACTGTAGGTCTTTCTTGGTATAAAACGTGTCTTTCCTCTGTGCCATTAAGCCTCTGACGGATTCAGATAAGATCTCATGTGAATCCTGAGCCTCATTTGCGTGGGGATAGACGTTGATATTAAGCAACGCCACGCTAGTACGTAGAACGTCTTCTTAGTAAAAGTGACTCCGGAGTCTATTCTACCATGGGATTGCGTGAGCCATTGAACTTCCGTAGCAGTGACAGCCGACCTATCGGGATAGAGATGTTCGTGAGTGTCGCGTCTGCACTCGACACATACGGCTGATACAGAGTTCGTTGCAAACCCTCAAACCTCAAGACCTGACTTGTTCTTGAATATCAAACCTTATCCCATCAAGTGCATCTATGTTTTCTAAGGATATGCCATACCGTTTCTCTCGAGTTCTCAAAATGTCTAGGTGGATTTCACCTGCATAACTCCTATTTAGTTTGCATGCGCATACAACTGTCAGTATAGATATTGCAGTCCAACTCCCTGTAACTTAGACTGATCTCACGCTACCGACATGGAGCATTTGAAGCTCTGAGGTTTGTCTCAATTGATAAAGGATCGCAATTACAACCGTGTTTATCGCATGCAACAAAGCGGGGAAACTAGAGTGCCGCGACTAGGTTCCTGAGGCAACTTAGCAAAGAATGAAGAAGCGTCTTCATATACTATTTTTGTACGCGTCCGATCTCAATTAAATGTTGAATAGTACTGAGTCCTGGGCAGGCCTAAGGACGAGTAGAGTCTAGATGTGGAAGCGTCATTCAGGTATGATCTTCCCTCGTCAGACGAGCAGAGTTGGTGGCGCACTGCCGGCAAGAAATGTAAACAGAAATTCGACGCTCACAAGCGCCGAGCATCAGGCAGATCTTCGTCGCTAGCGGCGTGATAAAAAATGATTCGAGACATGTGGTACGTGTTCACTGATGACGAGACACACGACATTCATACTAACGTCCAAGCTCTTTCTGTTGATAATACGATACATCAGATTCATGGAAGTCGATAAGGATCCGATGCACCGTATGCGAATTTACTGCGAAGTTAACGAGAGAAATAAGCATGGGACCGGATTCCCGGACCGCCACTGGTTCCTTCCCACGCTTACCGGCACCCGACGCTGCGGAGATTCATTTCGATTACCCCAAGCTGCTATTCAAGCCTATATGCTTGCGCATGCTGTGCATTTCGGTGTTCTTCGTACTTTGTGGATCCATGTTGGAGCCCGAGCCTTCTCATGTCAAAATGTCGACAATTGACAATTAAGCAGATTCTTTCCACGGAAATTCACCATCGTCTATCAAATCAATCTGACAAGCGAAAGGCTACCGTGAGTTGCCGGGACTTTTTAGTGCGACATCCTTGTGCACCGAGGACTCGTGACAGACGATTTGCGAGCTTGGCGCGCCGGTTTTTGTAGTTCTGCCCTCCTGAGTGGGAGGTAAGTGACTCCACGGAGCTTTGCCATCACTGCCACCCTTGTCCGAGTTCATTTTGCACAGGAGGATCTCCAGTAGCCATCCGTTCCGCGTACCTTACCATCTCATATGATTTGCGTTAAGATGTGAACCGAGGTTTATTTTTGAAGTTCATGCCTGGACTCGGATGAGGACCGATACAGCTCACAAGGTCGCTGCTCTATCAAACTGTACCATTACCTAGATGGGACTCTATGATGCTGCTGGAGCCAAGCAGATACCGACTCTATTCTATGATTACACCCCAGTAAAGCCGACCCTTGGCGTCTATACGGTCGACCGTCTTACATGCTACTCTAGCGAACCCAGGTATGGCCTATCAGAAAGCACGTTCGGATCCTTGGGTGCTCTCGCTTACCTGTCGCCTCGTCATTATTAGTTGCGTCACGACCGGCACTTCTCTCTCATGCTGCCACATGGGAACTCGGTTGCCTTCACGTGGACTTAAACGAGCGTGGATGACAGTCACACGGTGCTATACCTTTATACCTGATAGTATGCCCATAACGCCCATAACAAGCTGCATCAGGGGTTTCGTTTCGTACTCGAATATTGCGGTGGGGCGCCAGCGAATGCCGAACTATCACGAGCGCCTCATATGATCAAGAAATACCGAGCACTACGCTTTTGACGTCCCAAGGGAGTTCCATTCCACACCTGCCAAATCCTGATGATCTCCCAAATTTTGGAACCTGAAAGCCCCATCGAGCTGTGCCAGCGGATGTCGACACCACGAGGTGGGAGTGCAAACGTCTGAGAAGTGACTCAATGTGGACTTTATTGACTGAGACCGTTCGAGAGGGGCGGACGCGAATGCTTGCGTGTTCAGTCTTCTGGAAATACTAGAGAGTATAAAGTCTGAACTTCATGCAATGCCTTCATCGCCAAACCCCCCAGTCTCTTCACTATGGCGTCCAAGTCTTACAGGCTGTTCTTGATTGTAGCTCTCAGCTACATGATCACATTCGTCTCTGCACTAGGGACAACTTGTTCCACTCCTCTCACCTCCGGCACTGCCTCACCCTCCGACCCCTACTGGCTTCAGAACATCAAGCACCAAGGCACCTCAGCGTTCAATTCCAACCCGAGTTCATACACGGTTTTCCGGAACGTCAAGGACTTTGGCGCAGTTGGAGATGGTGTAAGTCGCGTCTTCCAAAACTTAGCACCCGGCTCATCGCGTCTGACCCCTTCTTAGGTTACCGACGATACCGCTGCCATCAAGTACGCTCCTAAAAATTCCGAACGGTTGACATTGTCTGATTCCCCCCGTGCAGCGCCGCGATTAGCAGCGGTGGTCGATGCGGTGAAGGCACTTGCGCGTCTTCGACGTACGTGCTTCTCTGAAAAAATTATGCGCTAAATATAACTTGATCACAGAGTTACACCGGCCGTCGTGTACTTCCCACAGGGGTACGCATTCACAATTCTTTATTCGATCAATTATTAACTGGCCTTTTAGCACATACCTAGTTTCTAGCCCGATCGTTGCGTACTACTACACAGAGCTTGTCGGAGATGCCAGAAATCCGCCAACCCTCCTTGCGGCACCCTCTTTCGCGGGAATGGCTGTCATTGGTACGTGTCAAAGTTTATTCTTAGCCTTTTGATCGCGTTCTAATTCTATCATCACTGATACAGATGCGGACCCTTACCTTGTTGGAGGTGGTGGTTCTCAATGGTATACGAATCAGAATAACTTGTGAGTGATCCTTTCATGCAATTTCGGTTGTAGTTAAAAAGTCATTCATTTCGTAGCTTCCGAACTGTTAGGAACTTTGTCATAGATGTCTCTCGGTAAGTACTTGACGTCTGCCTTCGTAGAGGGTCCTGTTCTTAGTACGCTTCTAGGATGCCTGCCACTAGCACTGGTACCGGTATCCACTGGCAGGTGGCCCAAGCCACCAGTTTGGCGAATATTCATTTCATCATGTCTCAAGCTTCCAACACAGCCCATCAAGTGAGTAAAATTCTGTCGCATGTGTTCCGAAGTTCATTCTGACCGTACACTATAGGGTATCTGGATGGAGAATGGAAGGTTTGTCTTCGCGTTTACATGAATCCTGTCGAGTTGTAATCATGTCTGTTGCAGTGGAGGATACATGGGAGATCTCGTGTTCACTGGTGGTAAATTCGGTATGTGGGTGGGAAACCAACAGTAAGTGGATCACGCTCCTTGAAATTTCAGAGATAGTTTAGTCCCAATCAGATTCACTGTCCGAAACATCACCGTCAACAACGCTCAAACTGCTGTGTTTGGTCTCTGGAATTGGGGTTGGACTTTCCAGCGTGTTACCATCAACAATTGCCAAGTTGGATTCGACTTGGCTACAGGTGGGTTGACAGAGGACACACAGACAGTCGGCGCCGAGGCCATCATCGATGCCGTCGTTACCAACACTCCCATCTTCGTTCGAACATCGAGCCCTAGCACTTCTCTTGCTGGATCGATCGTCCTCAACAACGTCCAGTTGAACAATGTCCCCACTGCTGTTGGAGTTGTTGGCGGGGAAGTTGTTCTCGCCGGAGGAACGATGAAGATCAACTCTTGGGGACAAGGAAATATCTATTCTGGAACTAATCCAGCAGGACGATTTGTTCGGGACAGCATTGTTGCGGCGGCCAAGCCAGCGTCATTGCTCGACGGAAACGGATTCATTTTCGGAAAGACGCGTCCTCAGTATGCTGATTATGCCACATCCCAATTTGTCAGCGTGAAGGATCATGGCGCGGTTGGTGATGGGAAGACAGATGACACTGCCGCTCTCACCAGCATATTCAACCAGGTGTGTTTCGTCGATGATATCTGGGTCTGTGTTGACATTGGCTTCCTTATAGTACGCTGGATGCAAAATCATCTTCTTCGATGCCGGAACATATATTGTCTCCAGCACGCTCACTATTCCTGCTGGTACACAGATGGTTGGCGAGGCGTGGACCGTAATTGCAGGCAAAGGTTCTGCCTTCCAGGATCAGAATAACCCCCAAGTCGTCGTTCGGGTCGGTGCCGCAGGTTCTCAAGGCACGGTTGAGATCTCGGACATAGTTTTTCACTGTAAGTATCTGGCTATCTCAATGATGTCGGTAACTGATGTCTATTTTTTGTTTAGACAATCGCTCCTGGTACGGGTTTTCCACTTATGGATAATCGCTAGCTTTCACTAAGAGGATCTATATAGCACCTGGTGCCATCGTCGTTGAATGGAATGTCAAAGAAACCTCCCAAGGAAGCACGGGAATGTGGGATTCTCACATCAGGTATGTTCATAATTTAGACGAGTAATATGATACTGAAACATACCATACAGGCTGGGTGGTGGTGAGTATCATATTCGAAATACCGCAATCTAAGCTTACACTATACTAGCTGCTGGAACCGGTCTGGAGGCTTCGACTTGTCCGTCAAGTGGTGCCGGTGGATACAATAACTGCTACGCCGCCTTCCTTGGTCTACACCTGACCTCTGGATCGACAGCGTACCTTGAGGTGAGTTTTCATGGGTATTCACGGGTCTTGGTATGCTCAGTTTCTGTGTTAAGGGCACCTGGGTATGGCTTGCCGATCACGATCTCGACGGAAACGGTATCACACAAATCTCGATTTACTCTGGTCGTGGAATTTTGTCCGAATCAGCAGGACCAGTGTGGATGATTGGAACTGGTAAGACATTTTAGCCTCTTCATATTTTAATTTCCCGCTAACTGTTGATATCTTAGCTTGTACGTATAAGCATCGAAAGACGGCATGCCGTAGACTGAAATTTTTTACTAGCCGAACATCATGTCTTGTACCAGTACAACCTGGTCAACGCACAGAATCACTACATGGGGTTGATTCAGACCGAGACGGTAGGTGATTTATGATACGAAAAGGGCATTAGAATTCACGATTCCGATATATTACCAGCCTTACTTCCAGCCTTCTCCTCAGGCGCCGACACCTTTCAGCGTTAATTCCAACTTCCACGATCCCACCTTTGGAGGCGAAATTACCATGGCCTTGGGATTGAGAGTGGCAACGTCCTCTAACATCATAATATTTGGTGTGTGAATTTCTGTATGTTTCCAAGTCCTGCGCTGAGTATTACCTTTGTAGGTGCTGGAATCTACAGCTTCTTCTCCGTAAGCGTTACCACAATGAATCACCTTGGCACCAGCATTAATAATCTTTCTAGAGCTACTCTCAGACTTGCTTGAACTCAAACAGCTGCCAGATGCACATTGTCGACATTGACTCTACATCTTCAGTAACCATCTACAGCCTTGCTACGGTTGCTAGTATATACCAGCTCAGCGTCAACAACGCGGGTATCATCAGCGAAAATGACAACGTTGATGGATTTGCGTCGCTCACCACCGCTTGGAGTCCCGCATGAAGGAATAGCCCTTGGGTACATAACTATCTATCTAACGCAGGAATCTGGTTACGAATTATGTGTATTTTAATATTTATTTGCTGTCTTTGCTGTACTGTAATTTCATTCGCTTATTATTTTCCTGAAGACTTACGCGTTTACATCGGAAGGCCAAACTCAGCACAAGCGACTTCAGGGGGTCATGATATAACTATAACTTGACTTGACGCGGAATAAGCAAAATTTATCTGGTATGGCTTGTAAGCAATCGTACGCCTTGCATCATTAACATATGATGGTAGGATAAACAATTTTCTTCTCTTAAATAATTTCTCTCAACTTCTTTCGCACAGATGGTTCTTTCTTGAAGTTCTATTTACGATTTCGATGACATCCCCTGATTCTTTTCGAAAATGAGGTGACGGCAAAGGGTTATAGCATGAGGTAATTGATCCTCGCCAAACTGTCTGGACGGGGGTGATTGCGAGCATGCGGTTCGCAACGGTGATTGCCGCTGTGGGGAAAACTGTCGATGCGGCGTGTATATATTTTGCCTTTCCCCCATCACCGCCTTCTACTGTATGGATTCGCTGTCCTTTTTATCCTCTACAGATACCTTGTGTCGACTACCGTCTGTTGCGCAGCATCGACAGACACTATCATTTCTTCGTACAAAGGGAAAGAATCGGGGGCTCGGCAACTGCCGCTACTGGTCAACTATTGTTGATATTCATCCTCTTGAACTTCGAAGGAATTGGGCTCATGACATGACATCAGGTACGGCTCATCAGTGCCTCATCAGAGTTCATCTCTCACCTCTGGAGTTTCTTGCTGTGGTACAAGCACACCCATGGCTTGAAGAGGCTGTCTGAATCTGCGAGTGAAGTAGTATCTCCGCGACGGGCCTCAGTCGACAAGGTTTATGTACGGCGGAGAGCTAGTACCAATAAAGCCCATCAACTAGGAACTTTAACACCGAATGTCACGGTTTGCCGACTCCAACGACGGCAAATGACTTCTTTACATCGTATGGTACCTCACTGTACCTATTTCCACGTACCATTCGAATCCTATTTGAAAAGCCGACCTTCTCGGTTGCTGGACAAGAACAAAACTCCATGCCGTGTGACATCCTCTCGTCGTGTTCTATCATGCTTTTTCTCCCGATACCAAGCTTAATCCTCACTATTTCATTTTCTGTGCTTTTGGCGACGCCTTCAAACTCGGCAGCAATAGCCAATGGGACATCGACTGGAGAACCCTTTTGGCTGGAAGTTATCAAACATCAGGGCTCTTCCCCGTTCAATCCTGATCCAGGATCGTACCAGGTTTTTCGCAATGTCAAGGATTTCGGAGCCGTGGGCGATGGTCAAAACGACGATACCGAAGCTATCAAGTATGCATCAAGTCTTTCATTCAGAATTATTTTTCCCGCTAATCATGGAGACAGTAATGCTATCTCTTTCGGTGGAAGATGCGGAGGGGGAGAATGCATTTCTTCTACCACCACACGTGCCATCGTGTATTTTCCAGCTGGGTGCGTCTCCCCTCATACTATTATGTTCTAGATTCGATGACCGAACGCAATGAAACAGGACATATCTCGTTTCAGAATCGATTATAGCTTACTACGCTACTCAGCTCATTGGTGACCCTAACAATCCGCCAACGTTGCTAGCTTCAGATTCCTTCAATGACCTCGCTGTTATTGGTTAGTTGTTCAACTTGGCGCTCCCCATATCATAATGTCGACTATTTGGTTCAGATGCTGACCCTTACAGCCCTGTGCATTGGTACACGTCTACCAACAATTTGTGTGTATTATTGACCCTCCACACACGGTGCACCACTTACATTTACCATAGCTTCCGTTCTGTGAGAAACTTCGTGATCGATGTCACACGGTAAGTCCAGTCTACTGAATTGGCACTTTCGACGTTAAGTACCTGTCAGTGTGCCTGCAGCAAAATCTCAAGGTACAGGCATCCATTGGCAAGTGGGTCAAGCCACATCGCTTTTCAACATCAAATTTGTGATGTCTTCCGCTCCCGACACGGCTCACCAAGGGTAGGAATCCGTTTACTTTACCGCCTTTGGACTTATCTGATGAGAACTCCCCGAAGAATCTGGATGGAAGATGGAAGGCATGTCTTCTCTTCGCTATAGTGGACAATTGATCTTAGACCTATTAGCGGTGGCATCATATCCGATCTTGAGTTCAATGGAGGTTTGTCTTGGATTTCAAGACTGTGAATTGATCTAAGTTCGCGTACTGTAGGTAAATATGGGATATGGGCAGGCAACCAGCAGTTAGTGGACATTTCTTCTGATACTGTCCACTGAGCTCAGTTTTCTTTTCCAGATTCACCGTTCGCAACGTTGTATTCAATGGGGTTAACACTGCTGTCTTTGCTTCGTGGAACTGGGGTACGCGACTGAGTTTTGAATTTCGTTCCAGTCCATTCTTCTCATCAGCGTTGTAGGGTGGACATTTCAAGGCGTGACCATTAACAATTGCCAGGTCGGGTTTGATCTAACGACTGGTGGCGTGGCTACGGATTCCCAGGTATGGGTCTGACCTTTCTTTGTCGAGGCCCACATTTGACGTTCTGTCAGACTGTGGGTGCTGAAGCGATCATCGATGCGACGGTCACTCAAACGGAAATCTTTGTGTACTCATCCGCTGCAAGTAACGGATCTCTTGATGGATCTCTGGTCTTGAAAAATATTGAGCTAACCAATGTGTCTGTCGCTGTCGGTGCTGGAGACGGGGACGCTGTTCTCCTAGGAAGTCCCCTTGGGATTCAAACGATTAACTCTTGGGTTCAAGGCAACGTCTACACAGGCTCAATTCCAGATGGGAGGTTTATCCAAGGGGATTTCGATGTCCCTGATATGCCCTGCTTCTCTCCTTGGTAGTGACGGAAAAGTACTTGGACGTGTACATCCGCAGTATGAAGATATTCCAGTGAGCGAGTTCGTCAGTGTCAAGGATCTTGGCGCGAAGGGAGATGGAAGGTTCGCATACATGACTACCGCTTGCCAGGTTTTCAAGCCGACTTATGATCTCGGCTCTAGTACGGACTGATACAGCTTGCGATTCAGTCCGTATTAGACGCTGTAAGCAGACTTTCCTCCTTAATGCATCCCGCTTATGTCCCGAGAATCTCAGCAATGCGACAGCAAGGTTATTTTCTTCGATGCCGGCGTGTACATCATTACTACCTACAGTCACTATTCCTGCGGGTTGTCGTATAGTCGGCGAGGCTTGGTCTGAGATTTCAGGCAAAGGTGACTACTTCAGTGACGTCCGAAAATCCGAAGGTGGTGGTACGCGTTGGTGAGTCAGGAATCTCGGGGATCCGTTGAAATCACAGATATTGTGTTCAGGTATCGTATCTCGCGGATTAGAGATATACTACAGCGTCTGACATGAATAACCTAGCACCATCGGTGCCGGTAAGTGATTGTTCAGATCGCAGAGGGACATCAGGCTGAATTGTCTCAGCTTCCTGGCGCTATTATTCTTGAATGGAATGTTCGTGGCGACGACGATAACCTTGCAGGACCGGGAATGTGGGATAGCCATGTAGTGTACGTCATTTATATGTTTTACGGTAAAGCACTGTCTTGATTGACGTCAAAATCTCAAGCCTCGGAGGATGTAGGTTTATTTCACTATATCTGGGCGTAAAATGATAATTCAGTGGTCGTGTTTCAGATGAGGGCTCTGGTATGGATTCGGCACATTGTCCAGTAGGCAGCGAAGATGTTTCATGTGCGCCGGCTTTCTTGGGATTGCATTTGACCTCAGAGGCTACGGCTTATTTGGAGGCAAGGGTTTTTTCCAAATATAATGGTGGCGAGATGCGCTGACTTGGGTAAATTTCAGGGAACATGGGTTTGGCTCGCGGATCACGACCTCGACGGGGACGGCGAGACCCAAACGACACTCTTCTCTGGACGAGGAATCTTATCGGAGTCTCGTGGTCCTGTGTGGATGGTGGGAACAGGTTCGTGCATCCTTCTTTTGCAACATCTGAAAAGCAATGACTTCTTTTCTGCAGCTTGTGCGTAGCGCACAAAATGAACGGCAAATATTGCTCACCTTTTCATAGCCGAACACCACTCTCTTTATCAATACAATCTTGTGAATGCAAGTGATCATTATATGGGTTTAATTCAGACAGAGACCGTGGGTCCTCTTCAACGTATTTTTGCATTCTTACCTTGATATAACTTGCCTAGCCATACTTTCAACCGGTTCCCCCTGCTCCTGGTCCTTTCGGTATTCTTAATGGCTACAACGATCCCGCATTCGATTCCGACATCACCAGCGCTTGGGCTCTACAGGGTCCAGTCATCGCATGACATTTTTATTTTCGGTCAGTCCTTCAAAAATTTCCATTCCATATATACTAACGAAACGTCCTAGGTACCGCACTGTACAGCTTTTTCAACAACTATTCGCAAACCTGCCTCACAACTGTTTCGTGTCAACCCCAGATTGTAGACATTTCATCAGACAGCGAAGTGTACATCTCTTCATTGTCCACTATCGGGGCGACGTATCAACTCAGTGTTGACGAAAGCACCGGTTGTCGATCAAAGTGCAAATGTGAATGGGTTTGCACAAACGGTGACCTACTGGAGCTCGAATTAAATAGTATCAACAAGCTTATACCGTTTTTCCTGACCTGTCGTTGATTTATTCTTTACCTGATAACACAGAACTATACACCGTTTGTGTGCGTGAAAATGAAGGAGAATAGGATGGACTATGAATTATTATTCAATAATTATCGCATGCTTTGAATCTCTTTGAATGACTCTAAAATATAAGAAATACTTATCTGGGATGGCTCCTACGCAGTTTGAGAATGCTTCGAGGTACTTAATGTCGTCTGAGAGCATGATGAGATCTCATTCCAAAGAAATTTCAAGTCTCAGGTGACTAAGCCAAATTGATTCTCGTGCGTACCAAAAAGCCATGTCATACTTTCTCTCCCTCTCAAAGTTTTTTTTATCGTCTTGGTCAGGACGGTCCCTCTGGAGACTTCGGTATATAATTTCCAACTCGATTTTCGATGACGTCAATTGTGTTTGAAATTCGTCCAACTTCGAAGCAACATCATTTATTACACGACACCAGGCACGCCGCCTAACTTCCTCAGGGCTTCCTCAGGCTTCATCTCGGTTCATCGATATCCATCTCTGGTGCAACTCATTCCGTTCCCTAGAGCGTCTGCTGTAGTACAAGCCCACCTATAAATTGAAGAGGCCGTCTGAATCTGCAAGTGAAGTATCTCCGTGATCCTCAGTCAGCGACGGCTTATGTACAGCCCTCAGCGGAGAACTGCTGCCTAGTAAAGAGCCGATTGACTGACTGCAAAGGAAACCTGTTTGGGACACCTTGACACTGAATACAGGTTTACCTGTCAGGGCAAATGTCTCTTTTCCGTCGTATGATTCCGCGGTGTACGTGTTCCCGACGTATTATTCGGATTCTCGCTTCTATTGTAGTATATCGGAAGGCGGATCTAGTGGATCGCTGGATGGGGGCGAAATTCCCCACTAAGAGGCACCTCGTCGTCGTCCTCCACCATGATTTCCTCTGTGATACGAGGCTTGCTCATTTTATGTGCTCTGCTTTCAGTGACGCCCTCAAAGTCTGCGGTAGCCAACGAGGGAGAACCATTTTGGCTTGAAGCTATCAAGCATCAAGGAACTTCTCCGTTCAATAGTGATCCAGGATCGTACCAGGTTTTTCGTAACGTCAAGGATTTTGGAGCGGTCGGCGACGGGAAACACGACGACACAAAAGCTATCAAGTATTAGATCTTTCATTCTGAGCCATATTTCTCTTGCTTACAATGGAAACAGTCGCGCTATCTCTCACGGTAAACGTTGTGGGGGAGGAAAGTGCAAATCTTCCACCACTACACGCGCCATCGTTTACTTTCCGGCGGGGTATGTCTCTCTTCATCTTACACTCTGCTAAATTTATTAATGGGACACTAGGACATATCTCGTTTCAAAGTCAATCATAGCCTACTACGCTACTCAGCTCATTGGTGACCCTAAGAATCCCCCAATATTACTGGCTTCAAATTCTTTCAATGATATCGCTGTTATCGGTGAGTTACTCGACATGCTATCCCTCGTGTAGTGTCGACGATTGTTCGCTTAGATGTCAACCCTTACATTCCTGGGGGTCATGGTGCTCAGTGGTACACGGCCACTAACAATTTGTGAGTATATTGACCTTGCACACATAATGCACGCCAAATACTTATATGTACCGTAGCTTCCGTTCTGTGAGAAACTTCGTGATCGATGTCACACAGTAAGTTCAGTCTGTTATCTTCGCCTCTTCGACGCTCAGCAATTTTCAGGGTACCTGCCACAAAATCTCAAGGTACAGGTATCCACTGGCAAGTGGGACAAGCCACATCACTATTCAACATCAAATTTGTGATGTCTTCCGCTCCCGAATACTGCTCACCAAGGGTAGGATTCCGCTTCCTTTAGCGCCGTTTGACTTATCTGATATAATGTTTCTGCAGAATTTGGATGGAGAATGGAAGGTATGTTTTCTTTTAGTCACGACCGGACGGTTGACTTTACGATTCGTTTTATTAGCGGTGGATTCATGTCAGATCTCGAGTTCAATGGAGGTTTGTCTCAATTTTCAAGGCTCTGTGAATCAATCTAATTCTGCGTCTTGTAGGCAAATTTGGGATGTGGGTAGGCAACCAACAGTTTGTCGAAATTTCTTCCAAGGCTGTCCGCTTCGCTCAGTCTTCTTTCCAAGATTCACCGTTCGGAACGTTGTTTTCAATAGGGTTAACACTGCTGTTTATGCTATCTGGAATTGGGGTACGCGACGTTTTGAGTTTCACTTCAGCTTGTTTTCCTTATCAGCGTTGAAGGTTGGACATTCCAAGGCGTAACTATCAACGACTGTCAAGTCGGGTTTGATCTACTAACTGGTGGCACAACGGCGGAGAGACAAGTAGGCGTCTTAAACTTTACTTTTGGCCGAGGCTTATCGAACATGTCCAACCAGACAGTAGGCGCTGAGGCGATCATCGATGCTACGGTCACAAAAACGGAAATATTCGTACGCTCATCCACTCCTAGTAACGGATCCCTTGCCGGGTCCTTGGTCCTGCAAAATATTCAACTAACTAACGTGTCTGTCGCTGTCGGTACTGGAGACGGGGCCATTGTTTTGCCGGGAACTCGAATTGGGATCAAAACGATCAAGTCTTGGGTTCAAGGCAACGTCTATAATGGTTCAAACCCAGATGGGAGGTTTATCCAAGGACAGATGGACGTCCCTGCTATGCCTGCTTCTCTCCTCGGTGATGACGGAAAAGTCGTTGGACGTGTGCATCCGCAGTATGAAGACTATTCCGGTGAGCGGGTTCGTCAGTGTCAAGGATCACGGCGCGAAGGGAGATGGAAGGTTTGTACACGGTCGCTTTCCATTGCCAATGTCCATTTGTCTTATAGTTTGTATCCTAGGACGGACGATACGCACGCAATTCAATCAGTGTTGAACAAAGTAAGTAGGCTTTCTTCTTCAATGCAGTCCTTGCTTACACTGGACGAATTTCAGCATTGCGATAGCAAGGTTATTTTCTTCGATGCCGGCGTGTATGTCGTCACTTCCACGATCACTATTCCTGCGGGTAGCCGTATAGTCGGCGAGGCTTGGTCTGAGATATCAGGAAAGGGTGAATACTTCAAGGATGTTAATAATCCGAAGGTGGTAGTTCGCGTCGGCGAGCCTGGATCTCGGGGATCCGTTGAAATCACAGATATTGTATTCAGGTATCGTATTCTCTCGGATTAGAGATATACTATGCGTCTGACATGAATAACCTAGCACTATCGGACCGGGTAAGTGACTGCTCAAGATCGCAAGGGGGCCATCAGGCTGATTGTTTTAGCTCCCGGCGCTATTATCCTTGAATGGAATGTTCGTGGCCACGACGATAATCTCGCAGGACCAGGAATGTGGGATAGTCATATCATGTACGTCGTTGATATAGTTTGCATTAAGGACTATCTTGGCTGACGTTCGATACCTTGAAAGCCTTGGAGGAAGTAGGTTTATTTCACTATCTCTCAGCGTGAAATACAGACCTAATTCCTGTTGCAGCCGAGGCGTCCAGTATGGACTCGGCGCACTGTCCACAGGGGAGCGAACCTCTATCGTGTTCCTCGGCTTTCTTGGGATTGCATTTGACGTCGAATGCTACTGCGTTTTTGGAGGTAAGGTCTATCTCAAAGATGGTAGCGGAGGATTCGCTGACTTTGTGATTTCAGGGAACATGGGTCTGGCTCGCGGATCACGACCTTGACAAGGACGGCGAAGCCCAAGTGACTCTCTTCTCTGGTCGAGGAATCTTATCGGAGTCTCGTGGTCCTGTGTGGATGGTGGGAACAGGTTCGTACTACTTCCTTTCCCAGCATTTGAAAACCACTGACTTCTTTTCTGTAGCTTGTGAGTAACACATAAGATGATGGCAAACATTTCTCACCTTTTCGTAGCCGAACATCACTCTCTTTATCAATACAATCTTGTGAATGCAAGTGATCATTATATGGGTTTAATACAGACAGAGACCGTACGTCCTCTTCAGAGATTTTTGCATTCCAATTTTGACGTAACTTATCTGTTTAGCCATACTATCAGCCGGTCCCCCCTGCACCCGGTCCTTTCGGTATCAATGACGGCTACAATGATCCCGTATTCGATCCCAACACGATCAGCGCTTGGGCTCTACGGGTCCAGTCATCGCATAACATTTTTATTTTTGGTCATTCTTTTTTTTTTTCCACTCGAGGCGTACTAACAATACTACCTCCCAGGTGCCGGATTATACAGTTTTTTCAACAACTATTCGCAATCCTGCCTCGCAACTGTTTCATGTCAACCCCAGATCGCAGACATTGCATCAGACAGCGACGTGTACATCTATTCGTTGTCGACTGTCGGGACGACGTATCAAGTTAGTGTGGACGAGAAGCCGGTTGTCCATCACGGTGCCAACGCGAACGGGTTTGCACAGACAGTGGACCTACTGGAGCTCGAAATAAATAGTCTCCACAAATTTTATCCCCTTGTCATCGATTTGTCTTCTAACTGATTGTAGTAACGGAACTAAGTATACAAAATTTGTACCAATAAATCTTGGCCAAAAGCCCCTGTCTTCTCACATGACTTTGACTGGCGACGTCGCGGAAACTCCGAGGAGGAACCGACGCTTCGCTGTCTTTTGGACGACCATGGCATCGCTTCCTTCCTATCTTTTGAATTGCTCACGTATCTTTACACCGCTCTTCTAAGTGCCGGTGGTCACTCGTTCCCTCGTGCATCTCATCTTTTGTTAATCTTATCTTTATTCGCGTGGCCCAGTCACAGCATCAACATCAGATCCTGGAGGCGTGACACCACCTTGCCCTGCCCACACCACCAGGCGAGCATACGACTCCCAGCACCACCAACACGACACAGACCCAATCTCCCTTCCTTCCCAGTACTACCGAATCGAAAACTATGTCTAGACCTCAAGTACGCATCACTGACAAGAAGGCTGATGTCTTCCTCTACAAATCCCGAAGGGCGTCACCTCGTCGAGTCGAAAGAAAATGCAGCTGTTGTAAACACAGAGGAAAGTGTTCTTGCAAATGCTGCTGCAGAAAGCGAAAGAAGCATCATTATGAGAATGACTTGAGTGAGTCCTGCTCGATCTGCTTCCGCGCTAACTGTCTGACCGCATCACAGCGCGCGATTTCTTCCTTATCATTGCTCTGTGCTTCGTCGCCGCCTGCTTCCTCATCTCCTTCATACGGCCGGTTGCTTTGTCTCATCGTTCTAGAACCATATTTCTAAGCCTCATGGGATAACGACACATCGACAATACAAATGAAATAAACATAACGAAAATTATCCCACACCTCCGGTCCAGATCACTCTGCATAGATCCTTACCCCGCCTCCTCCCCATCTTCGCATGACAGCATTGCCGTCCCCAGTGGGTTGCGTGAACGCTACCTGCCCTTTCCTAGGGTCGAGCACGCAGCCCTGTATAGACGTTCTTGCCGCTGCAGAAAGCAGCTTACTTGCGATGCCCTGTCGTCGATGTGCTTTGGAGACAAACAGACGAGGAATGCCGAGTGGCGTAGGGAGGGGTTCGGGATGGCAGAAGATTCCTGTGTCAGTGTCGACCACTACGAGGGATTCGGTGTTTGTAGATGGAGGCGAGTTGGTAGATTCAGCTTCAGCGTCCCCGTTTGGTTCAGCAATAGCCATAGCTGTAGAAATTCTCTCCGCAATGACGCATCCGACAATCTTTTCCCGTGTAGAAGCGATTTCGGATGCTGGCACTAGGAAGAGAAACGCTCTGGATGCCTGCAAGGTTTCACGAGGGAGTGCAGGCGATGATAGCGTTATATTGATGGTATCGAATAGTGTTGATAGCTGTAAGATTTCATGAGAACGCCAAGAGTAAACCGTATGACATCCAGACTCACTTTTGATCCAACTTTTCCTCCTGCGTCTGCCCTGACGCTAATAATTCTGCCTCGTGTACCATCCTTAAGCATGACACCGCTGGCCACCTCAACAATACCAGCTTTTTCATTCTCTCGCCGTTCTTCTCTTCCCCACTCCATGCCTTTCTGTACGCGATTACAATGCGCCCGATGCAATGCCTCGTCGTCTGGTACGCCTTTGGTGTACGACAGCGCGCAGATCGAACACGTCCGTAAGATAGATTGGTCAATGCAAAAGTGAAGTTGAGTTAGACTCTTCTGTCTAGACTTTGAAGGCTCCTTTTTCGCGCGTTTGGCGGGTGGCGGGCTAACGTTCGAGCGTTCTTGAAGTGGTCTCTTTTTGCTTGGGGCCGGTGCTGGAGATGATGACAAGCCAGAGACGGGCGATGAGGGAGGGTGAACGCGGTTACGGCGAGCGCTGTATGTGCGCTTGATATTGGAGAGCATAGTAAATGAAGCAAGTGTGATGGTTAAAGGGAGAAGTGAGGTAAACGAGACGTTCCAATTTGGGTCGCGTCGTGACCCAAACAACGCGACACACACGCGACTATCACATGACCATGAATTCCTATATATATCACATTTAGTTCCCACGTCACCGACGAAGCGTCCGATTCTTGAATTCGTAAATTCTCCTGCGTCAACGGTTAAAAACTTTGATAAATGATACATTGGAGCAAGTTCTATCTGAAATACTGGTTATTATACAGAATTATTTGTGATTTAGATTTTAACCAAGATGGGGCTTTCAATATTCAAATTTAAAACGTCACCCTCCATGAGAAACTCCATCAAGATACGCCATCCAGTCATACAACCTGTAGCAAAAGTCAGAAGCTCAAGTCCATCAAACCCCAAGCGACAAATGGACTCACTCAAACCCGTTCGGAGCATTAGACCACACGGCCATGGCTTCATCGTCAAGCTGCTCCGGATTGAACGTAGCCGACGATGACAGAGGATCCCCAGGGCTATTCGCCGGAAAAGTGAAATCCTGCGGAACACTTGATGGCACATTCATGTTATATGACGTGCCAGCATTATATGCTGAAGCAGACGCAGCCCATTGTTGGGTTGGATCCCGAATCTCGTCGGAGAAGTTTACCAACCCATGGAGGGGCATCTTCCCCAAATCAGCACTATGCATCGGTAAGCCAAATAGATGGTCCTGGGAGGTATAAGGAGTATGAGATGGCCCAGCTACCGGGTTCGATGCTGCGCCGTTGGTATGCGGCTGGCTGGGGGATTGCTGAGGAACGCCCCCCGCACCGAAGTCGACGAAATCGGTACTCTCAGGCGCGAATGGAGACATTTCCTCAGTGGATGAGTTGGTTCGAGACCGACTCGAATCAGTGTCAGAAGCTATGCCTGTTGTATCATGATCGCGGCTTCGTTTTTGGGCTGGTGGAGAATTCTGTTCAGGTAGCGGTAAGTCACTAGCATTGGCCAGCTGATACATGAAATCCCTGAAGAAGAGGTTAGCGGATTGATAGCTTTTATTAGTTTGTTTTTACCATAATCGTCCCGCTAAATGGTAACTGTAGGGTTAGAGTAAGTGGATCGATAGAAACACAGAAATGTATAGGGGATCCGACTTGCGTCGATTCCATATCCTTCATCACTTGCATACACTTGAAGACATCTTGCATTTCTTTCTTGGGGTTGAGAGCAAGACCCGACTTTTTCCCTCCCCAGATGTTCAGTAACAGAACGATCCCAGCAGCAAAAGCGTCGAGCTGAGACAAACTATTAGTTATTATAAGGCCCATTTGAACAGACTTTACACACAATACATGCATGCTGCGCCCAAGATCCACCTCTTCGTCGTTGTACATCTAAGAGGTGACACAATGAACGAGCGGCGTTCGTACATATCGCAAGCGATGGGTATTGCAATGGACTCGAGTTTCGTGGAGATGGTATGAAGGGACGGTGCACAAGGATTTGAAGGTGATAATACGATGTGTACAAGCATACAGATTGATTGAAGAACAGTTCGTCTTCACGATGAGGGTCCCACCGGACTGTGGCAAAGGTTACTTGCTGAGAAACAAAAGTGATATGAAAACGAGTACTTACGATGCTCAGGTACGGAGTCCACCCATTTATTCAATGCAGAATCAAGTTCGGAAACAATATGCTGCTCCCACTCTTTGCCGACGAAACCTAAAAGGACCTTTGATTTGTTCGGGCAATACTGTAGACACCGCTATATCAGACTTTGGAATGAGGACTATAATTAAACACTTACTATAGTGCGCAGACAGAATCCAAGCAACTGGTTCAATCTCAAAGCTGTATTGAAATAAGCTATCTTGGATGGTCTCCCAGGGGGTTGCTTGAATGCTTTCTCGGGATCTGGATTTTCCCAATATTCATCGTCACATTCGATGAGATAGCCGACATCGATGCTATATTCGGGTAGTGAAAGAGACGTTGTGAGTCTGACAAGTAGAATGCTTACTCCTCATCATTTATCCCGCTCGGTCGACCCAATGCACAACTAGCATCTCGATCCATTGCCACTAGACACCAGAACACCTTTTTCAACATCTCGCTCTCCACAGTGGGCGGACCGTTCCGCTTCCTGTGCGCTCCAATATCTTGAGCCAGCCGTAGTCCTATTCCGATTACTGTCCAGCTTGCCTGTGGGAATATAAGTACGGACGAAACAGCCCGATATGAGAAAGGTAACTTCCTGTGGCGAAGACATGCCAAAAATAAATGCTCCGAACAGCTATAAGATCGTTAACCATCGGAAAAGAAAGAAAAAAGACAAGTGCCTGACACAATAAAACTGTAGGTCATGTATCGTTGGCGGTACGAGCAGTGACCGCCTTGTGTTTTGGACTTGATTGAACCATTTCCAACCACTTGATTGCTTGGAATCCTCTCCGTCAAGCAGTACTCGAGGGTCATCAGATTGCCGTGAAGCGTTAGCGCACACCAACAGTACAACTGCGCCAAACATCTCGTCTCTGAGATGGAGTTTATCTTTGACGCATCGTCGAAACGTAGGCCCATGAAGGCATGGGAATATTACGTCGTTCTTCGTTAAAAACATATCAATCAAATCCGCTAGGAGATCATCTGATGGAAACGTGTATGTGCACACATAGGACGGCTCTGTGTTAACCCATTCCCACTGTGTAATCCGTGAATTCCTAAAACACGGCAGTTGTATTGGGCAGACACCTACAGATCGTTTCGTCCTAAACTCCGGGCGCATTGCATCAAAAAGACTGGGCGGAAGCCATGAATCTTCAGTGCTTGCATATCCGTGTTTGACATCCATGACTGTCTGAATAAGTTGAACGCTGCTGGATTTACCAAAGAATCGGTACATCGAGTCATCTCGCACTTCAAGCCGTTGAAAGTCATCCGAGAGCGTTAGATAATCTTCCGGCTCTTCCTGCTTTATACTTGATATATCGCTAATAGGTAAATTTGAAGAGCACCCTGTGGCAGCCAGTTCTTTCAAAGGCATGAGAGGTGACGTTGTGTCGTGTGACGGAGGCACGGAGGTAGAGGGAGGCTCATCGAAACGGGATGAAGCTCGCCGGGAATTTTCTCCTTCTAGAACAAACTAAGATGGCACATTGAATGAGCGACGAGTGGCGAGAAGTATTCTTAAACGTACACTGCTCATTGCATTACTATCCAGTCTTTGGACCCTTTTATCCAAAGGTTCGACATTCCTTGTTTATGTCGCGTTTGACAGGGAGAAGATAGCGAAGTTGGAAAGGACTTACCCCTTCGATACCGTGCGTTTCTATGCGATAGCATTAGGTACTCGTTATACCTCGAATTTAATCAACGCACTTGTGCTGCTTCAAGGTACGTGCATTCTGCATCGTACAATTTACAGTTGGAGCACCGCTCACTTCCATCCATTTTCACACCATCGCCTGATAATTCACATTATAAATCGAGGCATCGAGGCAAGATTATTGGTAGCCATACAGCGTACTAAAAATATGGAGGCCAAAGTCATGGATGTGAATTGAAATGAAGAAGATATAGCGTACTTTTCTTGCGTCGACAAAAATCGCACGCTCTATGCAATCGTCCTCTTCTTGTAGATGTAGTCGTCCTCGTTTCCTGACATGGGGTAAGTGAAGGAAATGCAGAAAGAGCGGTGCTGTGCCGGTGGTCGTCATCGTTTGCCGCAAAAGGCCAATGACGACACGTGCAAGTAAAGGGAATTTCGGGCCGGGTCGGATTCCCCTAAGCAAAAAATAAATATTTTTTCGGTTGATACATAAATAGTCGCTCTTGTAGTCGAGGCTCCCATGTTTTTTCTTTGTGATTCTCAATATTGCAGGGTACTTAAATACTTTGAAAATGCGTATGGGCCCCGGTAAGTCAAACAAAAATCTGAAAATAAGTAAATTCCCAAGTTGGTAAATTTGATAAATATTGACGCCTACCCAATATTATTTCCGACTGCATCGACCAAGAATTGACCGGGCTCCTGCTTCCAGTCACGTCGCAGCGGGTCGTTTCTTCTACTATCCTCTATGCATTGCAGACGACACGCTTGGCCCAGTGTCTGTCGGAAATGCGTTCAGACTCGACAGTCATCGACTGCAGCTAAGCTGAAAGTTCGTTGTGTCCTGTTGACCCCTGCTCGTGCACGTCCTCATTTGTTACACTTAGGACACAAAATGGGATACCGCTTCATCGCCTAGGTCCTCGACGTCGCCTCTGATGAGGAAATGGGCACCCCGCGACCCGTCCAACATCTCATTACCGTCTACTGCGTCAACAAGTCCGCGATCGTCTTCACTGGGAGCTTCGAAATGGACTCGGCCACCTCAGCCGCCACCGACGTCAGGGTATGTTCGTGGTGGTGTGAGGACTCCGGAGAGTGCTGGCAGGACAACTCCGACGCAGACCGTCGATTGGATGAGACGTATCCCTAGCAGGCCGTCGGAAAGTGCCACTGTTCAGCCAACCATTCAGCCAACAATCATCCCGGTACGGACAGACGTGAAGCCCTTGTCGACTATCGGACAGCGTCAACGGGATCTAGGACGCGGAATAGAACGAGGACTCGCCCCTCATCAGCTTCCCAAAAAGCCGGAAGCGGTTCCGGATTCACGAAGGCGAGATTCCCCGCAAAGCAGGCCTCCGGCAGCAGTATCTAAAGCAAAGGTTGAAACCCGGTCTGATGAAGCTGTTCTGGAGGAAGAAGAGGATGCGTCGGAAGTGAGATATGAGCCGGAGGCCGACGAGGGTGCAAGTCTCAGAGATCAGGAACGATGGCGGAGCAAGCATCAACGACATGGAGAGCGGGGATCTATACTGAAAACAATGGGATACGTTCGACCTACTACCATTGAACAGCGCTCCACATCAGAAGTCAAGACTGTAAAAAAGAGACCGCGGAAAGCAATTGTCGAGAAACACGTTTCCCCTGACATTTATATCCCTACTATGATATCCGTAGGTTCATTATCTCAGTTGTTGGACGTTCGCCTAAGTAAGTCGTGTTACCATACCTTGAAGAACAGTCTCATTCATGCACCTTTGCAGCAACTTTACAACGAGCCATGCGAAGAGCAGGGATGGAGGATCAAATGTCTTATGATCATGGTATGCTGCTTCACGACCTCTATCCATTGTTCTAACAAACGAGTGACATAGTTCTCACCGCTGACTATGCTGTCCTACTGACGGAAGAATTCGGACGAAATCCAATCGTCGACGATGAGCTCGCCTTCAATCTCTACCAAGTCCCTCCACATCCCGACCCCAGCTCTCTTCCTATCCGTCCACCAGTCGTCACCATTATGGGTCATGTCGACCATGGAAAGACGACTCTCCTTGATACCTTACGTTCCACGTCTGTCGCAAAAGGTGAGGCGGGTGGTATTACCCAACACATTGGTGCTTTCTCCGTTCCTGTTCCCGGTACAAAAGACACTATTACGTTCCTCGACACGCCTGGGCATGCAGCATTCTCCGCTATGCGTGCCCGTGGTGCTCGCGTGACTGATATTGTGGTCTTAGTCGTGGCAGCCGATGACGGTATAATGCCTCAGACGAAGGAAGTCATCGGCCTAATACAGAAAGAGAAGGGCAATATCCCGGTCGTCGTTGCGATTAATAAGATCGACAAGCCGGGTGCCGATGTCGAAGCTGTTCAAAAGGCATTGTTAGCGGCTGACGTACAGTTGGAAGAATTTGGTGGCGATGTCCCCTCAGTAGAGGTTTCTGGATTGACAGGAAAGGGATTACCTACACTCGTGGAAACATTGTCTGCCATGGCAGAGATGCAAGAACTTCGTGCTGAGCAAGATGGTCCTGTGCATGGATATGTTCTAGAATCACAGGTGCAGAAAGGGCTTGGGTGAGTGCACCGTCTCCCTCAAAAATGATGGGACCCATTCTGAAATGTTTCTCAAGTGCTGTGGCGACAGTTTTGGTGCTTCGGGGGTGCTTGAAGCCAGGCGCTCATATCCTAGCAGGGCTTAGTCAAAGCAAAGTACGAGTTATGTCTGACTCTACAGGAAAGGTTGTTAAAGCCGCCTATCCTGGCATGGCTGTGACCGTGTCTGGCTGGAAAACACTTCCAAACGCGGGAGACGAGGTGCTTCAGGGCTCTGAAAGCGACGTGAAGAAGGCTTTAGCCAACAGGGTTAGGCAGGCGGAGATCGAAGCGTCGTTGAAAGACGTAGAGGCCATTAATAAGGCTAGAAGAGAGGAGCGGGAGCGGCGAGAAGAAGAGGAAGCTGCCGCAGAGGCGGAAGAGGCCGGCACGAGAGCAAAAACCTGTCGAGACTGGACCAAAGGAGCTGAAACTGGTCGTCAAGGCAGATGTCAGTGGTAGTGCGGAGGCAGTAGTTGGCGCCATCCATGGGATTGGGAATGACGTTGCAATAAGCCGTGTCATCTCTTCTTCCGTTGGCGATGTATCAGAGTCGGATATCATGATGGCGAAGGCTGCGGGAGGTATACCATCTCATTTCCAACCTCTTGTTTGTTGTTTGGCTTTTCTGATTCTAGTCCCTGTAGGCACTGTTGTTGCATTCTCTGTCAAAGTGCCCAAGCCTATCGAGGCCATCGCCATTCAAAATCAAGTTCCGATCTGCTCGTCAGGTATTATTTATCGATTGGTAGATGATATCACGGCGCGTGTCGTAGATCTGTTACCCAAGATTTATGAGACCAGGGTTACTGGCGAGGCGACTGTTTTGCAGCTTTTCGACATATCGTTGAAGGGTGGGGTAACGAGGAAGGTCGCTGGATCTCGTGTAATTAGTGGGCTGGTTGAGAAGAATAAAACGGCGAAGGTGGTAAGGAGTGGAAAAGTTATCCACGAAGGTCCGTTCAATATCTTCTGTGATATACGTGCAATTGCTCATGTACTTTTAGGGACCGTGGACACAATGCGGATAATGAAAAAGGAGGTCACGGAAATCCGCAAGGGAACGGAATGTGGACTGGGTCTGGCAGGATACTCAGATCTCTTACCGGGAGACACCGATTACAGACGTACTGAGACCATAGAGAAACCGGGCGTATTATAAATATACTATGGTAGGGACCTTGTGTTATTATTCATGAGCTTAGAAGAATGTTTTATTATAGATCTACATCTATTACGAATACAGCTAACTCATTCCGCCATGAAGGATTCACCCTGCCCTCACTTGATTCGATGCATCCAAAATGATTTCCTTGCCACCGATAGTCCCGGTTCGCCCACCAACCCCGAAAGTAACAGCGTAGTTACCGATTTTCACTAGTTCGCTTTTCTCCAGGACAGGCCAGCTTCGGCCATCCTCCTTCTGAAGGTGGAGTTCAACCTAGGAAAGTGCAAGTCAATCTCGTAAAGGAGGCGTCAAAAAAACCAGGACGGACCTTGGTTCCCATGATTTGGAAGGTAGACATGTCAGCGTTTATCGGACCCACGAGATCGATGGTGCGAGTGAATCTCTTCGTATCTTGGAACAAGATGTCAAGGATCACCTGTGAACGTACGATCAGTCTAGAACGATCCGGATTGTACTACCAGATATACTTTATCACTCTCAAACTTTACGGTAGTCTTGTCTTTATCGGCTTTCTTGGCGTAGATGGACACATGCACCTTGTCGACGGTCTGATAATGCTCTATACGACACTCTGTCAGTGTCTATGTTTGAAGGAGCATGAGGTCTAATATGTTGGTAGACAAAAGGATATAACGCACTGGTCCAGGGGCTACCTTTACGGCAAAAAGGTGGCGGCCAGTTTTGCACCCTTCAATCTTAAGAAACTCGTCAAACTCGAGGACGCGACGTTTGCAGCAGAGATAGCCCTAATTTGGAGAGATGAATCTCAAAGAGGGCTTCGCCAGAATGTAAGTGATATACCTTGCTGCCTTCTCTGAATATCGGCTATGACGCGAACAAGTTAGTAAGACGCGCACATCGCGGATCTAACGGCCAACGAACCGGAGACGGGTGGTATACGCAGACAGTCCCTTCTCCATCACCGAGTCTGTTAAGTTCATCGCTGACGAAAAGTTTACCGCAACCTTTCCTTAAGCACTTCGTTCCCAGTGCGACCGGTACGGAAAGATCGTCCTCTTCTTCGATTGCTGGCGGAGGGGTTTGTGTGGAAACAATAGGCTGAGAAGCAGGTGGTTTCGATTCTGACTGAGACGAGGTATTAGTAGGCACCGTTTCCGAGGTGTACACCTCCTTGCCATCCTCGGAAAATGATACCGCGAGGTTATTTGGATTGGTAGGCGCCTTTGAGGGTTCAACTTTTGGCGCATCATTAGTGTGGCGTTCGGTTTTCATACATCCCTAGTAGATGCTTAAAATTTGCGTACGTTTCAGAAGGTGCATGCATACATACAGCAATCTTCATGAATTCATCAAACTCTAACACAGGCTTGTTGACATCAGAGCAACACGACCACGACTTGAGTCCTTCATGGAACACCTACCTTCCATTAGATTACTGGCTGCATAAAGATGTATTAACTCACTGGGGCACCCGGATGGAATATGCACGCTTCATTGCTATCTTCGGTAAACTCTTTATTGCAACCTTTTCTCGTGCAACGAGGCATTTCGAGGGTAGTAGATCGAGCAAAAGGAGTTGAATTTGCACCCGAAATGTGGACAGGACGTTGTTAGATGGAAAGCGACACGATGAGCGAAGTAAAAGTGGGGGCTGATTCTCGAAAATTCGATGACATAAGCATGCTGACGCCGCACTCGAAAGGATTATTTTTGCATACCAAGTCCGGAAAGTTATAAGTGATTTTGTGTCTACAAATTACCCTGAAGTCTAAACAAAAGAAACACTAGGTGTAAATCTAATAGAGAAGGATCATGAAGCAAGAGTAAAATACGATGTCAGATCGGGAGTCATCTCAGAAAAATGCGGACGCCCCAAAATGCACCATGACCTTCAGGCGGCGCTTCACAACGTGACACTCGATGCAGAAACAACGATCATTTTAGGGCTACCGATTAGGTTCTGTTGGAGATCATGTAAAAAGTTTCGCGGCTCGGTCCCTCCCGCATCTACATCACTGGCAGCTTGCAAAGTGAAGGCAGGACAAGAATAAAAGGGGAGAGAGAAGTCAAGAGCAGTTGCGCCCCCCTGCCACATCTGCCAGGGTTGCTTCGAGTTCGCGCGAGTAGTCAACTGTTCGTTCCACAGCTGCCTAAGATGAAAGGTGTGTCATAAAAGATCCATAACAGCATCAAATGCTGTGTTTGGAGACACATGGAAATGTGAAATAAAGACCGTACATAGAGCGAACCGAGTCCCCAGAGGGAACGGAAGGAATCCGAAATGACACCGAGGGGTAATGCGCCGGTCGATGCGTATAAGGTCCGAAATACAAGCCGCAGGTCCATGGGTGAACTTTCCTAGATGTCCTCGTCGGACATGACGCATGCAGCAGATTTCCCTCTGAGATGAAAGAAGTAGATGCAATGAGTAAAATGGCTTCACGTTCCAAGCAATACATATTTTCAACTCCGCGAATGAGGTTTCAGGTGCTTGCATTCCGAGGGGATGGCGCACATAGGAATGGTTGCGATCAACTTGCAAATGTTCGTGTACATCAATACGATGCATCGCGGATAAACCTGTAGTAAAGGTACCGCGGTCTGGCAACGAGTCATCAAAGCCTCCTCTTCCAACGCTTCCGATAGTCACTAGTCACTCTCAGGCGTTCTCGGAAGACCTGTGAGATCCCGCCCGAACCTGTTTCCGCTGGCGAAATTAAAGATTGATTTCTCATGGTGGCTAATACCCGACTGTCGGCCTGAAAGCCCGGAGAGCTGGCCGCAAAGCTGACTAGTCATAGAGATAATATTAATGTTTCGTAGACACGTTCATAAAAGGTTCGTCGGGGACCGGCCCGTATTGTGAATGGGAAAGTGCCTGACGGCAGCAAATGAATAGACATAGAAGCACGGTTTTCGGACGTCCGATCTCAGACAAGGAGAGAGTGAAAAAGAACAGAAGGTCGTTCAAGCGCTTTCATGTTCATGGATGAACGGCCTTCGTCGACGTTCTTCGACGTCAAGCACAAAGGACCATGAAGAGTTGCGTACATTCAGGCTTCGGATGACGCGGATATCGATCTGCTCAGAGACTCGGAACACCACATGATAGTTGATGTGGACAGTCACATCGACAATCGGGATTCGGCAGGTATTGTGGAGCCAAGCTCTGCCTGTAGTATTAAATACATGCGAGCCTAATATGTTATCAGTACAAGGAAGCCCGGAAATGTGGAGGAAACGATACCATGATTATTTGGGTTTCGAAGAATGACTATGAGCTACTGTAAGCTTCCCAGGCTAAGAACCCCACGCCCCATGGTCCAACACGGCCTAAAGTCCTTAACACGCTACTAAGACAACGCTGGAAAGGACTGAGCGAACGTGAGTGGTCTACCACTTTGTACGGATTGCGGAAGAAATAGATGAGACCCTCTTCGCGAAATTTGTGTAAGAGAACTATGAATGGTGAATGTTTCCCGCGAGCATGGTCAGATGAAATAAGATCCAGTTGCACGGTCCGTCGCGCATTATCCCAAGGTCGACCAACAAACTCATAAGCCAAGCCAGCTATAACCTAGAAATAAGCCATAAGCCTCAACTTGACTCAAAGTAATAGGTAGCTTACCCCTCCCGTAACAAGCGTGACACCATGGACAGTCCGTGGAAGCTGCCTCGCAAGTGTGTCTTTCCGTTTTTCGCTCGGTGACTCTATCGCAAGTCTGGAAGCGATTAGGTTATGTGCGGCTTCTTTTGCTGAAACAGAGATGCGTCGAGTGATTTCGAATATCGAGAAAAATACTGCGAACCCTGCGAAGATGAATCAATGAAACAGACCTCGTCAGAAAGACAACATACCGCACATGTCTTTAGCGCAGCCCCAGCCCCAGCCGTCCCACCCGCGACCCGCCATTTCACCCACTTCTCTCATCCAACTTCTAACTTCACGAATTTCTTCTATGTTCTGTTCTCTTGAAGCTGAGGGAATTGACTGCGTACCCCGGAATACTTCTTTCCACGCATGCGACCACGAATGATAGACGGTTCCGCCTTCTAGTAGGAGCCGAACATTTTCCGCCGGCGCAGCGACTACGGCCTGAGCGCCTCCTGCTATTGCCCCCGACAACGCCGCATTCATAATTGGATGTGGGCCAAGGTACGGTTCGAGGGTCGCAGAAGCGTCCACATAAGTCGTCCAGAGAACGGTACCTAGGACGGCATTTACCATCATAGGCGGAATGAAATGTTTAGGTATCACCAGGAACTACGGTGTTATTAGAGTCAAATTCAATCAACGTCATAAATATTGGTTACTCACTCCTTGGTCCTTGACCAACGTCGACAGAAATCGGTGATTGAGAGACGAGCCATGCTTCTCTGCCAATCCTCTTAAAGTTTGCCATCCGGAGACTGAGAAATGAAATTGCCACGTATTCTTATAGAAGATGGACAGATTTACGCTACCTTTTGAGGGCCGAAATAGTCTTACAGGTCTTGAAAAGTATAGAGCTAGACTCCTCGTAGCAGTACGGGCCAAAGCTGCTTGCAAATTCCCTTGGGGTTCCTCTAGAAGAACGGTTAGATAGGAAGGAAATGAAATCAAGAAATACGCCACGAACTGTTGGAGGCGACGCCTGTTTGCTCCTTGACAGCATCGATCTTGGTCATGAACGGATATCGACCATGCAAGGTCAATCTGATGTCCTTGTAGAGCCTACAGGTCGAATTTTTGCACCTGAAAAAGGGACCCGTAGAGCAGGACAATGGACGATGAGGACGAAGAGAAATGCAACGATTACGGCACAGATCCGGCAAGTCCTGTCTGTGGAAACAAACAAAGAATACCGAATTTGATTTCAATTCCAGCAGCATTGATGTCAACATCTCACGGTACCGTTTTACTCCGCAATCCGAATCTTAGTACCTCGTACTACTTGAAAGATGATCCTGTCATGTAATTTTGGAGAAAAGGACCCTCCCCGAGGCCGATACTTCCTGCCGCGGCTTGCTAGACTGCCTCTCAGTACTCAGCGTCGTAAATTTGAAATCTGTTCAAGATTTCGAAACCAATAGATCTTTCACTCCTTGTGGATAGGCACTCTTCTACTTCACACCTTTGACAAACTGAAGAATTCCGGTTGTTCCCTCAATCGCTTCTTTCCTATCTTCCGATGCCTTGTCTAGAAGTTCCTCCCTGGGTAATCACACTTTGCGCTGGCTGCAGTGGGTCCTACTTTCGTCAAATACCCCAAATCGCCTGATGCTGCCATCGGACATCCCGCCGCATCTCCATGGGGAGGATTCTGTACAGGTCAAATTTCCCAACGACATTTGAACTTGCGGAGAGCTGAGTTTTTTGCTCATTCAGGCGGTCAGGGTCAGTAATCCATAAACCCTGTCTTGCCACCTGTGGTGAACCACATGTCCATTCAATGAAATGACTAGGCTGATTAAGTGCACATCTTTATTCCTGGGACTATACGCGGACAGGTCCGACATAATTGGATTTCTGTCATGAATCTTGGGGTTGATCTTTGACGTCCACGACAGTCACGATCGTGCGACTCATCCAAAATGTTATTATATTTTGACTTCTGTTTCTCGGACAGACTACAAACAACTGTTTATGGCTACTGAACCTCATCTGCGCACGATCTTGCTTGTCTCCGACCACTGATATGACGTATCCCACTTGGTAGTAACCTATCAGTGGTTGGTCCGATATGTAGATATGTGATAGTGCTGAGATTTCCAGATCAGAAATCCGCGCAATTGACATGAAGGGTAACCGTGTATAATAATAATACTTGACGATCTCCAATCTACGTAGTGTAAATCTGATAAGCTTGGATGACAAATGTGTGAATAAACTACTAAGTGCGAGTGGAAAGTACGATGATACAATATATATATGCCTGAGAGGAGAGAGAATCCCTGATAACCCGCAAGAAAAAAACCAATGCCAAAGTCCCAGAGAGATAATGCAGTGCTATGAAAGGTGTAATCATTCTAACGAATCTTTTAGGTGGGACTTTGTGTGACTCCTGCCGCACTAGCTTATGGAATGAGCAAGTCGAACACATCATAAGGTGATGGGACTTACGGCAGGGTGATGGTCCGTCCCCCATCGCTGGCAACAACGACCATAACAGTGCCCTGTACGTTTAAAAGCGTTCATATTGTAAAGTGGAGAGAAGACACAAATGCCACATACATCGGCCGTTCGGGATGTTGATTGGATGACCCCGTGCACGACTTGGCCTCTTGTGTCCCAGAAGAAAACACGAGTACCAACCTGCATCGCTTTGAGTTAGGTAGGGCAGTGTACAGAAGAGCGTAGGACGCACAGGCAGAGAGTTCATAGCCAAAATAGTTGAACTGCTGGGACAATTGTGCGAAATGCCACAGTCTTTTTATCTGAGACCAGCATAATGAATAATACACACAAGGGGGTTAAGTACTCAGCAGCTGCGAATCGAAGTCGAACGCTAGATCGGGGATAGGAATTGGGGGAAGAAGGCCCTCGAAAACTTAACGAATGAAAATGGAATTTCATTTATGAAATATCGAAGTTGGTGTGTGAATCTCTGGAGGTTATCTTCATGCACCGCCGCCATGTCGGTTTATGAGGGGTTTTGTGACGGTGGGTCCAAGTTTATGGTCCACGCAATCGGCCATGCAACAACCGGGTGACTGGCCCAATCAAGATCAAGGTCCCAAGGAGGTACTACGCTGCACAGGATTGGAACGTAATATCGAAAAGTGCAGGGAACGGCACCATTTCATGACTTCATTATGTATGAGGGAGATCAGTGGCCCGAGAGTACTACTACCGGTTTTTCCAGGAAGCTAGAGAGGGTGACAGAGTCGAGAGAAAAGGTACGATGACTCGGCAGGTAGGGACCATTCGAGACGCGAACTCCCAGTCAAAGAATAGCATTCAGATTGACATGATGGACGAAGGGAGCCTCGGATATAAGTTCGAGATTTCCCGGTGGACGAAAATAGGAAGAATTTGTTCTTATTTGCCTGAGAGGCTGCACTGCTCGTAGCTGAGTACCCTCACCTCGTTACAACGATGCCGGCTCCAACTTCAACGTCCAAGGCAGCCACTGCCAGTGACATGTCCGTTATTTTAGTCACAGGATCATACGACCACGAAATTCGTTTCTGGGAAGCTTGGAGTGGAATATGCTCTCGAACCATTGCTCGAACTGGAGAATCCGGTGTGCGTGCGTTTCTTGATACGTGTAATTGCAGTGCTCATACCTTGTCATTAGCAAGTAAATCGCCTCGCGATATCCCCAGAGTTAGCCACCGCTCAGCTCCCTTGTTTACTTCCACTCACTGATTTGTACCCTTCAGTAAACGGCTTCTCGCGGCCGCGATACATAAGAAAGTTAACATTTATGAAATAGCCAACGCGACCAACGAACCTGTAATTATCTCATACATGGTCTACCATGTATTTTTGACTCGTTATAATCAGCTCGTCACTTTTGATGGACACACCAAGAACGTGACGTCTGTTCAATTTCACAGCGAGGGAAAGTGGCTGGTAACAGGAAGCGAAGACGGCACTATCAAAATTTGGGATCTTCGGTACGAGATTGAACCCTTATTCTGCTTACTAGTTTTGATCCACTTCCTCCTAGAAACCCACATTTACATCGAACCTACGATAATACCGCTCCTGGCAAGGCCTTTTCTCTCTTTGGTTCTACCATCTCCCTTATTGATTTTCATTTCGTATTTCCAGTCAATGATGTATGTGTTCATCCGAACCAGGGTGAGTTGATATCGTGCGACCAGGCAGGAAGCATCAAGCAGTGGGATTTGTCCGAGAACATCTGCTCTCATGAACTTGTAGGTCGCTTGCACTGTTCAGCATGTTTGATTCAATCATCTTTTTGTAGACTCCAGCGGGTGATATTCCTATGCGATCGGTAACTCTGGCTTCCGATGGTTCATGTTTAGTTGCCGGAAACAATAAAGTGAGTTTGCATAAATAATAATTCTACAAGCTTTTCAGCCCGTTGTTGCAAGGGTCAATGCTACGTGTGGAAGCTAAACGACGAGGCTTCTGGCCTCCCACGCTTTCAAGCAGTGACAACCTTCCATGCCCACAACAAATATCTTACGCGTTGTCTTCTCAGTCCGGATACGAAGTAAGTATTCTCCCCCTCGTTTTGATGGCCCATTCATAAAATGCCGCCCTAGATGCCTAGCGACCTGTTCCGCGGATACCACTGTCAAGATATGGTCCATCTCTCACAACTTTGAGTTCAGGCAGGAGAAGATCCTCACTGGGCATCAGCGGTGGGTCTGGGACTGTGCTTTCAGCGCGGATTCGGCCTATCTTGTCACAGGTACGTTAAGCCAATCGTATCTTTGTTGTTTGGCCGTGACTTAAATCACTTCCCCTCGGAGCTTCCTCCGACCATTCCGCGAGGCTTTGGGAGATGGCATCTGGAGAGACCGTAAGGCAATACAACGGCCACCATAAGGGTAGGTCGCCAATCAAGAGCGTTTTGGCAGGCAGTTGATGTCTTCTCTGGACTTAGCGGCTGTTTGTTGCGCGCTTCACGATGGCGCCGGCTAAGCTCCTATCACGTGTCCTTGCAGTACTGTCCTACAGTCTGTTCTACTTGGCAGCCTCACTAGAGGCTAGAGACGAGATGAAAGAAGTCTTTCGGCTTGCATCTCTCCAGATTAACTGCAGGCTGCTAGTTATTGGCTCTTGTGGATGCCTCGTGTATGAAATAGCCAGTTCTAGAATGGAATCGGTTTGCAGGTCAGCCTCCGGTTATCTTTGATTCTTGAGGGGCACCATTTCCGATAACGTGCGTCTACCTGATGAGTGTAATTGAAGCTCATCATGAAAGCGTCCGACTGATCATATGCCCCAGTCCGGCGTGTTTATGTCCAGGGAACTGGAGTAACTGACTACGAGTGATCTTCAAATGAGAGCGAAGTGTTTCCGTTTAGGATGACGTGTGAGGGAAACGTAGTCAATACAATATAATGGTATTAAAGCTTCCGTCTCGCGCATGCATGAAAAATTTCAACTTGTTGAGAATGGATGGCTGTTATTGATTTATACCTGAGTCCTACCGAAGTGAAATGACCGGGACGCGGTGCCCGGTTCTCTTGCGCACGGATTTGCGTGCTCACCCCTGAAACCAGACGCTGTCAAGGTAGGTAGGGACATCCTGGGACATCTCAAGGCCACAATCACGCCACCGCCTTCTTGATTATCAGATATAGCTTCAACTCTATCTCGATTTCTACCAGATACGAGTATCTTTGCAATGACATGGAAGGACTTACTGCGGACGCTGAAATGAAGAAAGCGTCATCGATGAAGTCAGCCAGTCTCCCAAGCCAGGGTTCGATTGGAAGACCTGGGGTAGAACATTGATTCAAGCACTGCGTGTGTCGGGTGCTAGGTAGTACACCCCAAACCTTGGACGAGCTTTTAAGAGATATAGCTCAGACTGAGACTACTTTTGCATCCGATATTTTTTCAGATCTTCCCAACGTCATTAGGAGTAACTAGAAAAATCATATGGATCAGGATCTTATTGACTCGCGGGAGAACTTGATCCAAATTTCCTGTCGAATCATTTCTCTTGGCTGTAATTACCCCACGTCCAAAACTCCGAATGAATGTTGGAAACGAGTAAGATTATGCACGTTCTTGGAACTAGCGCTGGGTGAGAATGCCTGATGTTAATAACATACCTAGTAATCACATGAAAATAACATGTATGTAACGTTAAAAACATCGGAGGGTCCCAGCAGTGGTGTGAAATTCTGTGAGAAACTCCGGTGGGATGAGCCTACGGAACGGCCTCTTCCAAGGCTCCAAGCATCATCGGTCACTAAGATGACTACTTCTAGGTGGTGTGCTTGTTGTCGTACACCATGATAGATTTCGATTTACCTTTGATTTACCTTGTATTCATACATATATGGTCATTTCTGACCGCGTAGCGAAATAACAGGAAAATCACACGTTTTTAACATGTTATTTGCGTGTTAAAAACAGAAAAAACTTTCCGTGCTGCGCGCGATGATGTCATGGGAAACTCACAGTTATTACATGTGAGGATGAACCTCACATGGGGGGTGCAACCATTGTCACGTTAAATACTTTGCCGAAAAGCATTCTCACCCAGCGCTACTTGGAACGCAGATGGGTGGTGAGAGTCGAGGATTCGAGGCAATTCCAGCTCTCCGAGATCAACCGATATCTTGATCGCCAATCGTGATCGTCTGGCCCGCTATTTAATTTTCGCTGTACCTGACCCCCTTTGAGCTCATCTTTACCCGTCCAACTGTATAAGCGAGCGCTAGACTCGCGGATTTCTGCGTACGGCTAGCTACACATGATCCAGCCGAGTAAGCTATCTACTAAAAGTAAGCCACATGAACAGATGACCACAAGGTATGAAGGAAACCCGCAAGGACCGTTCTTGGCCGGGGCCTCGAACCAATCAGAATCGCCGGATTGTCGGTACTGCTCGGCCGAGGTTTCTGCGGAGGGGTATGCGTCCGCTCGATCCGTTCTTCCCTTCCTTCCACCAGGACCACTTTGCAAATTCTTTTCAACGGTCCATTCATATTTTTCCTCCTCCTTGACCAGCTACCACCAGTATCCCCTTATTAGTTCTATGGCCAGTGTTGCCGTCGCTACCCCTTCCTTGTCAGATTCTTTCCCTCTAGTATCCGAGTCTGCGTCTGCAGAAAATATTACTGGCTTCTATGCCGTCGAACGTGATCCTAACTCTTGGGCGGGTGCCCTTCCCGCTAACCAGGGTCTGTACTCCAACGAGAACGAAAAAGATTCCTGTGGTGTAGGTTTCCTATGCCATATCAAGGGGCAACCCAGTCACAAGATCGTATCCGATGCTCGACATCTACTTTGTGCAATGACTCACAGAGGTGCCACCGGCGCTGACAGCAGAGATGGAGATGGCGCTGGTGTGATGACTGCCATTCCCCACGAGTTCTTCAAAAGAGAGGCTGAAAGAGACATTGGCTGCGTTCTTCCTGAGTCCGGAGAGTACGCAGTTGGCAACGTTTTCTTCAAGGCCAACGACCCCGTCCTTCTCCAAACTCAGCAGGCGACCTTTGCCAAGATTGCTAATGACCTCGGTTTGCGAGTTTTGGGATGGCGAGAAGTCCCTACTGATGGGACGATCCTTGGCCCGGCAGCGAGTAGCAAAGAGCCGGCTATTGTTCAGCCATTTGTTGTTCTTCGAGCTCATTATGGTGACGGTAGCGTCTGTCAAGGTGGGACTTTCGATGCAAAATACTTTGAGCTTCAGCTCTATGTTCTTCGCAAGCGCGCGACTCATAGCATGTTTGTGATTTCGTTCTTATGTGTTCTCAACCAAGCTTATTGTATCCCGGACTTGTTTTATTATCTAAAGTACGCTCGCAAAAGGTTTCTACGTTTGTTCGCTGTCATCAAAGAACATCGTTTACAAAGGTCAACTTACCCCGCCGCAAGTGTACAACTACTATCACGACCTCAACCACGTCCTATATCGTGCTCACTTTACTCTGGTGCACTCGCGTTTCTCAACGAATACGTTCCCCAGTTGGGACCGGGCACAGCCCATGAGATGGGCGGCGCATAATGGTATGTCACCGAAATGTACGGCTGCAATACGACTTCCTGATCCACATCAAAGGTGAAATCAACACCGTCCGAGGGAATAAGAACTGGATGCGCGCTCGAGAAGGCGTGCTCCACTCCCAGAATTTCGGCGATCAACTTGAGCAGTTGTACCCCATCATAGAGACCGGCGGATCCGACTCTGCTGCTTTTGACAACGTTCTTGAGCTTCTTGTTGTCAATGGCGTCGTCACTCTTCCTGAGGCCATCATGATGTTGATTCCCGAGGCCTGGCAAGGCAACGAGAATATGGAACCCGGGAAGAGAGCATTCTACAACTGGGCGGCATGTCTCCAGGAGCCATGGGATGGTCCTGCGCTGTTCGCGTTCAGTGACGGCCGGTTCTGCGGTGCGAATCTTGATCGAAATGGTCTTCGACCCTGCCGATATGTCGTCACCAGCGATGACATCATGGTTTGTGCGTCCGAAGTTGGTGTCATATCTGTTCCTCCCGAGAAAGTCGTGCAAAAGGGTCGTTTGAAGCCAGGTCGCATGTTGCTCGTTGACACTCAGGAAGGAAGGATTGTTGACGACAAAGAGCTGAAGAGAGCCACTGCTTCCAAACAGAACTTCGCTTCATGGGTTGAAGCGCACATCCTTCACATACCCAACATCATGAAGCGGGCTCGACGTAGTCATGTTGTTCTTGAGCCTGTTCTTGATGATTCGCCTCTCAGCAATGACCCCAAGCTGTTGGCGTTTGGCTTCACTGTCGAGCAGCTCAACCTACTCATGCTTCCTATGCTTTCCGACGGAAAGGAAGCGTTAGGATCAATGGGAAATGACGCTCCTCTAGCTGTGATGGCCACTCAACCTCGCCTGATCTATGACTATTTCCGTCAACTCTTCGCTCAAGTTACGAATCCCCCGATTGATCCCATCCGTGAAAACATTGTCATGTCTCTGGAAGCGTACGTTGGCCCGGAAGGCAACTTGCTAGAGATGAAACCTGAACAATGTCATCGTATTATGTTACCCTCACCTGTCGTCTCCATCGAAGAGATGAACGCTATGAAGAACCTCAAATCTGCCTACAGTACCTGGCCGTCAAGAACTATCGACATCACCTTCCCGAAGGAAGAAGGTCTTCCTGGTTATCAACTTGCTCTAGAGCGTGTCTGCAGTGAAGCCACCGAAGCCATCGACGATGGCGTGAAGGTGGTAATTCTCTCGGATCGAGCGACGAGCTCTGGTCGCGTTCCCCTTTCGGCCCTGATTGCCTGTGGAGGCGTTCATCATCATCTTGTTCTTCAGAAGAAACGTGCGAAGATTGCCTTAATGGTGGAAACTGGTGAGGCTCGTGAAGTTCACCATCTCTGCGTTCTGGTTGGTTATGGTGCCGATGCCGTTTGCCCGTGGTTGGTGATGGAGACTATACACAAAATTGGCCGAGAGAAACTGTATGTATTTCAGTGTGCAAACCGTTTAACTTGCTCATTCCTTTCTTAGTATCAAAGGCGACAAAACAGTTGCTGAACTTATGGACAACTACCGACACTCTGTTGATAACGGTATTCTCAAGGTCATGTCAAAGATGGGTATCTCCACGTTGCAATCCTACAAGGGTGCCCAGATTTTCGAAATCCTTGGCTTACACAGTCAAGTTGTCGAACGATGCTTCATCGGTACGGCGAGCCGAGTTCAAGGCACGACCTTTGATCTTCTCGCGATGGATGCTTTTGAGCTCCATGAGCGTGGTTGGCCAACTCGTGACACTATCATCCCACCCGGCATGCCCGAGTCGGGCGAATATCATTGGCGTGACGGAGGCGAAGCCCATATCAACGACCCCGCGGGCATCGCCAACCTACAGGACGCAGTGAGGGAAAAAAATCAAGGTGCCTACGATGCATACTCCCGGAATGCCGATGAACAAGTTAAACGAGTTCAATTACGTGGACTGCTAGAATTTAGGTACGAGAACGCCACGGCTATTCCTATTGAACAGGTTGAGCCCTGGAATGAAATCGTTCGTCGATTCGTCACCGGTGCAATGTCATATGGGTCTATCTCTATGGAAGCACACTCCACTCTTGCCGTCGCTATGAATCGTCTTGGTGGAAAGTCCAACACTGGTGAAGGAGGTGAAGATGCAGAACGGTCCCTAATTCTCAGCAACGGCGATACTATGCGCTCTGCCATTAAACAGGTTGCGTCTGGAAGGTTCGGCGTTACATCCAACTACCTGGCCGATGCAGACGAGCTCCAAATTAAGATGGCGCAAGGTGCGAAGCCTGGAGAGGGTGGTGAACTACCAGGACACAAAGTTTCGGGATCTATTGCACGCACTCGTCACTCTACCGCCGGTGTTGGACTAATTTCTCCTCCTCCACATCACGACATTTATTCCATCGAGGACTTGAAACAACTCATCTATGATCTCAAGTGTTCGAACCCCCGTGCGCGTGTTTCCGTGAAGCTGGTGTCAGAAGTCGGCGTTGGCATCGTAGCGAGTGGTGTCGCGAAGGCGAAGGCAGACCACATACTTATTTCTGGTCACGACGGTGGCACCGGGGCTTCCCGATGGACGGGGATCAAATACGCAGGCTTACCGTGGGAACTGGGTTTGGCAGAGACACACCAGACCTTGGTGTTGAACGACCTCCGTGGCCGAGTTACTGTCCAAACCGATGGCCAGATCCGCACAGGCCGGGACATTGCTATTGCATGCTTGTTGGGTGCGGAAGAATGGGGTTTCGCTACAACGCCGTTGATTGCGATGGGTTGTATCATGATGCGAAAATGTCACCGTATGTTTATTAATATTATTATTCGCACATTCATGTTTTTATTGACATTTCCGACTAGTGAATACTTGCCCTGTGGGTATTGCCACCCAGGATCCTCAACTCCGTGCCAAATTTGCTGGCCAGCCCGAACAAGTCATCAACTTCTTCTACTATCTTGCCGAAGAATTGCGCGGTTACATGGCTAAGCTGGGTTTCCGTACTATCAACGAGATGGTTGGACGAGCGGATATGCTCAAGGTCAATGAGAAGTTGCGTACACCTAAGACTGCACACCTAGACCTCTCTGCTCTCTTGAAACCGGCTTGGCAGATGCGTCCCGGTGCGGCAACGTATCGCGTCCGCTCGCAGGATCACAAGCTTTATATCCGGCTGGACAACAAGTTTATCGATGAGTCCGAGCCAGCCCTCACCAAAGGTCTCCCCGTCCACATCGATTGCGATGTTACCAATACCGACCGTGCCCTGGGAACTTCACTGTCGTATCGCGTCTCTAAGTCCTACGGTGAAGAAGGCCTTCCGAAGGATACTATCCACATACAAATGTGCGGATCCGCCGGTCAGTCTTGTGGTGCCTTCCTTGCACCAGGTATCACCATCGAGCTCGAAGGTGACGCAAACGACTACGTCGGCAAAGGTCTTTCTGGAGGTCGTTTGATCGTATATCCACCCAAAGGGTCCACATTCAAGGCCGAGGAGAATGTCATCATCGGAAACGTCTGTCTGTATGGCGCTACTTCCGGCGAAGCCTTCATTCGTGGTATTGCTGCTGAGCGTTTCGCGGTCAGGAATTCTGGTGCCAATGCTGTAGTCGAGGGGACTGGTGATCATGGGTGTGAGTATATGACCGGCGGGCGAGTGGTTGTTCTCGGCACAACTGGACGCAACTTTGCAGCCGGAATGAGTGGGGGTATCGCCTATGTCCTCGACACCGCTCACACGTTCGCCTCAAAAGTAAACATGGAGATGGTCGAGCTCGGCAAAGTCACTGATCCCCGTGAAATCGCCGCTCTGCGAAGTCTCATCGAAGATCATCGTCACTATACTGGTTCTGAGGTAGCGGACCGAGTACTGCACGACTTCCACCACCTTCTGCCTCTGTTCGTCCGGGTGATGCCCCTGGATTACAAACGAGTACTGGAAGAGCAAGCTGCACGTCAGAAGGAGGAGAAGATGAGGCAAAGTGTCATCGACCTCGTTCCTTCACGAACGGCCAGCCAAGTCGATTTGGCTTCTGAAGGCCTGGAAGACATCCTGCTGCCCAAGGGCCCACTGTCACAGTCTCTTCCGATGACTCCCAAGTCTCGTCATGAGCCTTCGGTAGTTGACCTAGAGGACTCCATTGTAGATGATTCCTCGACGAAGCTCCGTCTTAATAAGCTGGACAAAACTCGTGGCTTCATGAAGTACAAGCGCTTGGGCGAGGCCTACCGCCCTCCTCGCAAACGTGTCAAGGACTGGAAGGAGATCTCTACTCGTTTGACCGAAAGCGAGCTCAAGTACCAATCCGCTCGTTGTATGGACTGTGGTGTACCCTTCTGCCAGTCTGACACGGGTTGTCCTATCTCGAACATCATTCCCAAATGGAATGATCTTGTCTTCAAAGGCCAGTGGAGGGATGCGCTCAATCGGCTCTTGATGACCAACAATTTCCCTGAGTTTACTGGTCGTGTGTGCCCTGCGCCTTGCGAAGGAGCTTGCGTTCTAGGAATCAACGAGCAGCCTGTCGGCATCAAGAGCATTGAGTGTGCTATTATCGACAAGGTAGTTCGTGTTTTCTGGGAGGCATACTTTCAGCTGATGATTTCTTTGAACTTAGGGCTTCGAAATGGGTTGGATGGCTCCGAACCCCCCTTCCTTCCGAACAGGCAAGAGAGTTGCCATCATAGGATCAGGCCCCGCAGGATTGGCTTGTGCTGATCAGCTCAACAAAGCTGGTCATCTGGTCACTGTTTATGATCGCAATGATCGCTTTGGAGGCTTGCTGATGTACGGTATTCCAAAGTAAGTCACACGACCTTTTCTTGTTGCATCGTTGTCTAAATGTTTTTGCTAGCATGAAACTTGACAAGTCTGTTGTTCAGCGGCGTCTTGATCTCATGGCTGCTGAGGGCATCGTACGTTTTCCGTGACGTTCCTGCATGGTGCGACGATCTTACATATTTATCTAGACCTTTGTCGCCAATGCGAACGTTGGGGTTGACGTGGATGTAAACACGCTTCGGGAGGAGAATGATGCAGTCGTTCTTTGCACCGGCGCCACATGGCCTCGAGACTTGAAGATTCCTAACCGTGAAGTCAATGGTATCCACTTTGCCATGGAGTTCTTGCAGGTATGTTCCGAGTGTGAGAAGAGAGGAGTATGTGTTGACGGTCTGCACAGCTCAACACGAAGTCTCTCCTTGACTCTGAGCTCGAGAATGGTAACTACATCAACGCCAAAGGCAAGGATGTGATCGTGATCGGAGGTGGTGACACTGGAAACGACTGTATCGGAACCTCGATGCGCCACGGCGCGAAGTCTGTCACGAATTTCGAGCTGCTACCTAGGCCACCGGTCTCTCGTGGGAGGGACAACCCCTGGCCGCAATGGCCTCGGTAAGTTCATTGTCCGCTCTTTCTGGCACGTCAAGCTAATGGAGTTTGACTACAGAATCTTCCGCACTGACTACGGTCATACGGAAGTTGCTGCCCACTTTGGAAACGGTATTTCTACCGATCATTTAATATGGATATTTTTGTACTGATCTTGTGAGCAGATCCACGCGAATACTGTATCTCCACCAAGGACTTTGTTATTGATGAAGAGGGTCAGCTCAAAGGTTTGAATACCGGTGTGTTGGAAATTACATTCATCCCAATTGGAATCAGGCTCAAATTACAATGACAGTTCGCGTCGAATGGACCAAAGATAGTGGCGGAAGATGGAAAATGGAGGAAGTTCCTGGATCTGAAAAATTCTTCCCTGCACAACTAGTCTTCCTGGCGCTCGGTTTCCTGGGTCCTCAGGTTGAAGCCATCAAGGCATTGGGGCTCAAACAAGACGCCCGTTCTAACATCCAGACGCCCTTCAAAGTCAGGCACTTTCTTTTTTTCTGTTGACGGTTGCAAGTTAACCCTTCTGCAGAAATATTCAACCAACGTCGAAGGTGTCTTCGCCGCGGGTGACTGCAGACGTGGACAGTCCTTGATTGTTTGGGGTATCAAGTGAGCTATCATAACATTTCGTGTACGTTAATAGTTCTCATGCCAACGCTCTTACCAGCGAGGGTCGTGGCGCTGCTGCCGAAGTCGACGGATATCTCAGTGCAGGGTCTACCCGCCTTCCAAGTGCGGGAGGTATTAAGACACGGGTAAGACATATTGAGACTCTTCTTTTTTCAACCTCAGCGACGCTGACCTGATGATTCTAGTTCTTCACACCGCCTCCAACCAACCTTGGAAAGCATTTTGAGGTTTCTGTCAGTGCCTGATATTCGCATGATGAAATGCCTTAGATCTGAAGGATGCTATATATTTTGGGGTGAACGTGTAAAGATCTGTGATGACTGTATGATTATCTTAGGTACCTTAGTTTTCGGGGCGACATTTATGATAAGCCTCTGGGTTTTCTGCTGAAATTCCATAAAAATCCTGTATTATACAGTGCATCAGTCAATATTGATTAGTTGTCTACAGTAACGCGACCCAAGTTCCGGAAATGCTGCAGTCGGCTGCCTGTCGCACCTCCCGCTTCCGGTCCACGGGTATGCGGACCGCTATTTGGTGGGGACGAACCTGCCAAACTCGGCATATCTCGTCGCCGTCCGTTGGCCTCATTGTACCCTATACCTAAGCCTTGCACAATCCTTGAGGCATCCCTAACGCAGCTTTTACAGCAACCACGACTCTCAGTGCTCTATCTTGAGTCGACTAGGCCGACTCTCAGTTCGTCATCATGGCGGACACGGCCGAAGGTTCGTTCGTTAGCCAAAATATGCTTTGATGACCGGCTCACGCGTTCCCGACGTGAAGAAACAGCACCACTTCTCCAAGATCCTGATGTTGAAGATGGAGAAAGCGCGCAAGTCGTTCAGCATCGCCCCTCTTTCGGCGAACGCATCACTTCTGTAGCACAGGAACCTCTTACGCCTCTCACAAAAGTATTGCTGGTGGTAGTACTTATTCTGCTGCTCCTGAGCTCGGTGGGTGTTGCCATTTGCATTATATTTGATTGCTAATGATGTCGTGGAAAAGATATTCATCGGCCTCTTTGCTGGTGTCCAACACAAACTGAACGCTGGGCAGGGTGGTAATCCTGACGGGGACAAACCAACTGAGACCTATACACTGACGGCCACTACAACTGCCCATGCGACAAAAACGGTTTTGCCCCCTCCGGAACCGACTGTCCAACCCCCAGAAGTGCGTTATATGTGTGTCATTATTTCACGTAAACCCAATTGACTCCTTGCAGCCGTTGTGTCTTACTCCGCAATGTGTCATTCTCTCTGCATCCATCCTGTCATCCTTAGATACATCACAGGACCCTTGCGAGAACTTCTACGAATTCTCCAGTGTGTGACTTCCATCTTGGTGTTGCATTGGTGTTGGCTGATCAGTCCCTCAGGCGGTGGGTGGCTCAAGGAACATCCCTTGCCCGCCGACAAGAGCAGTTTTGGAAACTTCGAGGCTCTAGCAGTACAGAACAAGCAAATCCTTCAAAAGATTCTCGAGGCTCCCCAACCAACGTCTGCGGTACCGACAGCCGATGAACAGCTTTTGACCAAGATTCGAGGAATGTACACCTCGTGTCTCAATGAAACCAAGTTAGACGAAATTGGCACCGAGCCCTTGTATCATCTTGTACAGACTGTACGAAAATTGTTCCGCGGGAACAGCACTGATATCAGTAATGTCACCGAGGAGGAGAGAACGAGTAAGAAAGGACTTACAGCCGCTATCGCATTTTTGCATTCTCGAGGTACGCTTTGAGGTGATATTTAATGGCCGGAAACCTTAATGTCGCGGTTCAGGTATCGAGGCTTTATTCTCTTTCGATGTCGAAGGTGACGTTGGGGTTGATCCAAACTTTATGACATTGTGGTTTAACCAGCCGTCACTCGGTCTTCCCTCTAAGGTGCGTGAATAAAAATGGCAGAATGTAAACGCAGACCTGACAACATATGCCATAGGAGTACTATACTGAGGAGTCCATTAGGGAGGTATATCAGAACGTCATTGAAAGGCTACTCTTGACTCTCATCGAAGAGGAAGAAAGCCTACGCAGCAAATTCAAATCAGATTCTTCTCCCTTAACGCATCAGGCTGAAAGTGTTTGGCCCCCTTGGCCTTGGCCTCCTTGGGGCGAAGACGACGACGACAAGGATGGTGGTAAAGAGCCGCTCAATCAAACCGAAAGGGCACATGAGCTCGCTAAGAAAGTTGTCAAGTTTGAGACAAGGATAGCGAACGCTAGTCTTGACCTGTAGGATTCACATACTGGCTCCGACCTATGGCTAATCTCTACTTTCAGGGATATTCTGCAAGAAGATCCAGTCGCCACTTACAACCCAGTCCCTCTCTCAAACCTGACGGCGACCTTGCCCCAGATTCGGTTTTCAGACTACTTCTCGACGTTCACTCCTCGAAATTTCCCAAACAATGTCATTCTGACGTACCCGCCCTACGCTGAATCACTCTCGGAAATACTTGATGACTCTCCTGCAGACGTTATTGAAACGTACCTCGTCGCACAGACTGCTCTTTCTCTGTCTCCGTATCTCGGGATGGGTACAGAAGCGTGGCAAGCGCAGAGGTCGCTGTTAGAAACATTATCTGGCATAAAGAAAGGCGCCGTGGGGGATCGGGCTGAGTACTGTGTAGGGCAAGTCGAATCTGCCCTTGGGTTTGCTACTGGCAGGTACTTTGTCAATGAAACTTTTGGCGGCGAATCCAAAGAGAAAGGAACCAAGGTTATCACCGGTTGGTGCCCTTCACCGTTTCACTTATTTGCCTAGAATAAACAAGTTTCACAGACATCGTCGAGGCCTTCAAACAATCACTCTCTCACGTCGACTGGATGGACAAGAAATCGGCGAAAGCCGCTTCCAACAAGGCAGATGCCATACACGTCAAAGTTGGGTTCCCAGTATCCCCTGACACCCGTAGTGCCGAGTCCATTGCAAGCTATTACAGACTCGTGGAAATTGACGAGAATAAGTTCTTCCAGAACGTCCTTAGTGCTACGTGGGTTTCCGTTATGTCTAGGCTCGTTATTAATGTGTCTCATCTGCTGCTTCCGTAGCACAAGTGAGAAGGTCAAAGAATGGTTCCAACTGGGCAAAAACCGGGATCCGGAGGCTTGGGAGATGTTCCCTTCTACGGTCAACGCCTACTTCAACCCGCCGGCCAATGAGGTGCGGCTATCTCGTGGCGTTTCCGGGTATTCGCTGACAGCAGACAGATCGTTTTCCCTGCCGGAATCCTCCAACCACCTTTCTTCTCTAAGGATTGGTACATAATATCATTTGTTGCCTGCGCCTTTCGCTAATCTGATACGCACAGGCCCGGCTACCTTGCCTACGGCGCCTTTGGACACGTCGCCGCACATGAGTTGACGGTTCGCGGCTATCAATATTTTAATCATTTAACTCATATCTGATATGAGGACCTAACTAGCACGCCTTTGACTCCGCTGGGAGAATGTACAACCAAGAAGGCAAACTAGAACAGTGGTGGACCAATTCAACGAGCGACGGGTTCCAAGTGAAGCAGGACTGTATTGTGAAGCAGTACTCTGGTAAGACACTTGTACCTGTACGTGATGGTGTGCGAGGTTCTAATGATGACTACTACCAGCGTACACAATTGATGATGGGAAAGGCGGAAAAGTCCATGTCAACGTGAGTACCTCCGTCTGGTCACAGACTTCTGTTGACATTTGAGGATTACAGGGCAATCTGTAAAGCGGTTTAATTTCGTTTCATCTTGACCATGAATGACATCGCTCCAGAACCTCAGGCGAGAATATTGGCGATACCGGACTCATTCAGGCTTATCGGGCATGGAGAGCGCAGTTTGAGACGTCCAGAGCAAAAGGGAACGAGTACCTGCTTCCTGGAGTGGACTTTACAAGGTTAGTTCGTACGTTTCATTTAGATATCATTCATTCATTTTATCCATAGAGAACAATTGTTCTTCATATCGTTTGGCCGGATATGGGCTCGAAGTATGAAACCAGCTGCTGCCGTGAGTTATCTGCCATTGGTTGGGCTCCTTCTCATCACTAATAATAATAGCTCCAACGCATTCGTACCGACCCCCATTCGCCTTCACAATATCGTGTCGATGGAACTGTGTTCAATATCCCGGAGTTCGCGGAGGCGTTCAAATGTTCAAAGACCGCGAAGGTGACATGGTTTACATCTCTTGTGGAATGGATCTACTGATTGACATTCATACAGCTTAACCCTCCACCAGAGAAGCAATGCAGGTTCTGGTAAGTAGATTTTCATAGTACGGATGGCTTCTAGGAATGGTGTGTAGTAATATTATTTTATCTTCTCCAACTGGAGATCTGCGTGGTCGTGAAGTTGAGTAGTAAAGCACTTCGAGAAGACAACTGTCTTCTCTGTCCCCCCTACTGTCGAGTGTCACCGACGCCGACACCCACTCGGCTGGAAAGTATCAATCTCCATTCATCAATGAAACCTTGCGAGTTTTGTGACTCCACCGCAGAGGTACCTCTTCTGGCTTAGGCGAATACGCCTCGACTTTCCTGGCTTCTCCCAGTGATATTGGGGTTTCAGTCGCTGAGTAGCAGCACGCCTTGTTAGGACGTGATTTGAGATCCTTCATTACAAAAATTATCATACGAGAAGACCCTTTCAATATCCCACCTGAGAATGCCTTGCTCTGGTGGTGTCATGATAGCTGTTTTTTCTTTCCCATGATTCCCCAGTTTTGTGCTCATAATCACATTGGTTGTCATCCATTCCTGTCGTCGCCTTTATCCTACTTACTATGTTGGTACTCATCTGGCCCAAGCAACAAAGCTCTATGGACCACGAAATGGTGAGCTTGACAAGGAACGTAGGCCCTCTTGAACCTGAAATAGACGCGTCGTACAAATCGTTCTATTTAGATAAGAAAGCAGGCTTGTACCCGGAGAATGTCAGCTTGGCTGGTGCGTTTTGACGAGAACCTCGTCTAAAACATCTGTTGGGGACCTGCCGCAACTAGTCAAGATACCGGACCACTAGCGCATTACAATGGAATGTACATTGGAGATTCTTGCGGGTGAAGACATTCGGGGTAATTATTACAACGATGAATATCATTATCATGCAGATGGGATCTAACCTGCTGTCATTGTCCTAAGGATATGGGTCCTTGGCGTGGTAGTTGAACATAATACACATATAATGCTTATGACCTCTCGGAATTGCAACAATCATAAGCGCGTAGTTGGTTAAGCCTTCCCCAGATTCAGCGACGTAAGTCTGATGCATTTCTATATTTTCTATGGTATATCTGCACTCAATTGATTAGCCGTTGCAAGTCTGCAAGTGCAATATCTACTAATCTCGGTTCTTCCCAACGTCGAGGCTCGAACCGAAAAACAATGATCACTGAGTTTTGACTTTCACTGCAGAATGGTCAGAAAGGGGACCACAATGCATGCACGAATACGTACGTTGGGGCTGCCACAGATGTCTAAAGTTTTTAACAGTCCGTCCAGCGAACAGGCCAGCCAGTAGGACTGCACATACAGCTCTGGCCGTGTCGTTGTCAACCGGCTCTACGGCTTTCCCGGACACGATACCGCCGTTCAGAAGATCGACGATAAAGGTATGCGCCTCAGCCCAGAAAGGCTGGACATGAGTGAGCAGGGCATAGAGACCCGTTATTGCCGGTGCGCACCACAAGTCTGCGGTAGTCCAGCCATACGGCAGGAGCTCCGGTGGGGTCTGTAACATCAGAGGCGTGGGGTGTATGAAAGAGAAAAGGTTAGTCAAGAAAAATCCGCCGTTTGCTGCAACCTTTGGTGATTATTCGGTTAGTAATATCACCGTGTTAGCCGTGAGTAACTGATACATACGAGGGAAGTGACGAGTAGTGTCCAGGAGGAGTTTGAGATATTGGACGACGCGTTAGCTGTGACGACTGGTGGTATGAGGTCGCAGAGCAGGAAAGCACGCGTGAAACCGTCGACAATGGAGAGAGGTAGTTCCATTTCGAAAGCGGGTGCGGGAACAACGGGGAGCGCATCGACAATAGCTTGGACGAGCGTGTAAAAGAGGGTCGTGGTGCCCGAGACCATAAAGGAACAGGGAACGCCAAGTAATGGTGCTGTAGATTTTCAACGTGAAGATCTTTGACTAGACAGAATAGTAAACACACAAGTCATGACTTCTCCTGGAAGAAAGTAAGTATTCATGACACGACACGGCAAACAGCCAAGTACGGACCTCTGAAAACGACAGTCAACGTTGCCAGAGCGCTCCGAGCGAATGACCTGTCTTCGACTAGAGAGTGCCCTGCTCTCGATACGTGTTCTCTGTGAAGCACTTCCTTCATCTGCCGGAGGATTAAGCAGAGGCGAAATGCTGCCACGACGTCCAGGGTGGTGATGGGTAACCCGAACCAGGTAAAGGGAGCCACAGGCCTCAAAGTATAGTCGAATATAGCGATTATCGGGTTCATTAGAGACATGTAAAGATAAATTCTAAGTCACAGTGCTGAGAGTCGTGGTACACGTGGAGAAGAGGCGGAACCCCGGTCCGATACGTAAACTAGGCTCTTGTCGCGACGTTACATACTCGCAGAATGACGAACGTTTTATCCAAAATACGAATTGATATCGTTTCTCCTCATAGCATCAGCTTCCGGGAAGTTTGCAAAGGTTTGCCACATCGTTATCATCGCGACGATAAGATTGTACAAGAGTCTCCTCTTTCCCGTCATGACTTCCGATTCCTCGTACGGTATGCCCTTCCGTAATCTCAAGTGACTTTCAGCGTTGATTTGTCTTCTCAGAGCTTCTGCAGTGTAGCCGTATACTTGTCGAGGAACTCAGACAGACCGCATGGTTCGAAAGCGACCATTATCGCACCGAAGCCCTCCTTTTGCGTCAGGAGCCTTCCTATCTTGCTTACCGGGTGAACCAAGATGGTCTCTTGCTTCGGCCTGAGGACCAGGAGTTTGAGAACCCGGAGTTTGCAGCTTGTATCACCAAACACTCGCTGCATAGTGTCTTTATGCTTGTTGCAGAATGGAGCGCCATCACGGCTTACTTAGAGGACATCGTACTGATTGACCGGACGACAGTAATGGATGGAACCCTTGAGGAGAGAGGAAAGCTGTTCGGTGGTGTTGCAAAGGTCGTGGACTCTGCCATACAACGTCTGGAGGAGAGCATTGTCTCTGGCATTATAGGAGGATCTAACATTGGGAGGAGAGTTTTTTCACCGAGTTTGCAGGTATATCTTCGTTCTCTCCTTATCATCACTGACTTATGAGTGGTTCCTCCAAATACAGATAGTATCCCTGGAAAGGTGTCTAAGCATACCTGACAATACCCTTGACGAGGCACTCTATCGCTTCGTGCTCAATTATTTCGGAAATACGACCACAGGGACACCTAGTGCGGTCCGTCAACATCTGGTGGACATGTTCGAAAGAGCACCTGAGGAAGAGATGCTCGGACCCTTGGTTGAACTCATTTCGCAGTGGTTAGATTTGCAGGTACCGTGCATCATGATATGTTACTGTTTATTCTTAACAGTCTGCTCCCAGGAGTTTTCTAGACTCCTTGACGCGGCTTCTTCTCTCCACCATCTGACACGAAGCGGGGATGAAACACGTCTAAGCGCATTTTGTTCTGCTGTGTCGTTCTTATACCAGACTCTAGATGAAGCGAGCTTTGAAGAACACCTCCGCAACGGCGTGGAATCTTTGAGGGACGAAGCTATCCTCCAAGAAATCTGGCGCGCCATTGATAAAGCAGTGGGAAGAAATTACAATAACTTCGAAGACATCTTTTTGGTCAGCGTCTCTTCCTGTCCTTTCAGTGCAAAGTTGGTTATTTTCCTTCCGTATGATAAGCCTATAACACCCTGGCGGAGACTGCCAGAGCTCGAACTCGAGGGTCTTTTATGTGGCTCAGTTCGCATCGCCGAATGCCGTAGAAAAAAGCAAAAGAAGAAATCCAAGCGAGTCGCACCTTACCCTGATTCCGATTCTACACTAGAATCAGCGCCCTCCAATCTCAAACTCTCTTTGTTCCTGGTGGACAAAGATGTCAAGGAGACATTTGACCACATCTTCGATTCCGCAAATAAGGGAAAACTCGAAGAGTGTGATTTTCTGACCGTACGTAGCCAAATTGCTCTTATAGATTTTTATTTATCGTGATAGTATGTAGGCCATGGTAGCTATAGGATTTTCGATCAAGCAGGCGCAAGGCTCGCGAATTACATTTATACCACCTACAGGTAGGGAATACGGTTCGCTCGCAAAAATTCCATTTTTCACGTCCTGTGCGCACTCTAACCTGTGGTTTGAAGCAGTGCTTTCGATATCATATGTGTGTCTGCATAGATTCTCCCCTAAACCAAGGACCTAAACACCTAGCAGGATACACAACGGCAATGACGAATATTTCGATCTCGCAAGCGCTTTGCGTACGAAGCTGCGGAGAGCCTACGATTGGGACAAGGATTACTTTGGTCTGAAGTAAAAGATTATCCTTTTATACACTTCCATTCTTTTCCATGAGTCTCAGTTAAGGATCTCACCTCATACAGTTTCCCTCACTCTCAATTATCCTCGTTGCGTTTTCTTCCAACCACTCCATCAGCACCTCTTCACAGCATGGCTGCCTCGCAGACGATAGTCGTCCCGGCCCAGGGACCATTCACTACCCGTTCTAAGCCTCACCCGTAGTTCCTCTATCCGTTACCTGGGAATCCCGACATGGTCATTGTCGACGAGTTTAGTCCTATCACATCCCTAGCTGAACAGCAATCCAAGTTTCGACCCCTCCCCCGAGTGTCATCGCCCCTGTTCGAGGTCAGGGAGGCCGAAAACAAGGGCCTCGGAATGTTTGCCACCAGGGATATAGAAGAGGGCGAGCTTATTATAAGCGAACGGCCTGTCTTCACACATCGTCTTTCATTGGAGAACGTTGTACGGTATTCTGGTGAGGGCAAGTCCTTCGAGATCCAAGCCGTCGAAGGTCTATCTCCCGAGCCTCGTTAGCGCCTATATGGATTGAAGAATTCCCTTCCCGAATCGTACCGGAAGGACGAGCTCGGAGGGATTCTGAGCACCAACTTTTTTTTCTTTCCATCTCGAAAGCGGATACGGTACACACCATCTCCGTCACATCCATGCTAGCTGTTTTCTAACCCTCTCGCGTGCCAACCGCGATTGCTGCCCGAATACCAACTTCTTCTATGTCTCCACCTTCTTCGCGCGATGCGTAAAATCCCGAAAAGCGAAGAAATCACCGTTACCTACGTCCCACTTCATGATCCGAAACAGATACGCCAACAAGCACTCCAAGATGTGTACCACTTCACGTGTACCTGTACGACCTGTATAGCACACCTTCCGAAACCAGTGACAAACGCAGGCGCCAACTTTCGGCGTTGATGGAGAATATCCTGGCTTTCGAGCGGGGTAACTTTAGCCTTCTTGACGCGTTGACCTCAGATGTTATGGACCAAGGGCTGCAGCTTGCGACTGAGGCGGCTGTATTGTATTCACGCAGAAATTCTTATGACAACGGTTATATGCATGTTCGCCAATAACCGTCCACAGTACCTGATTCTCAACACGATGGATCCGGCGCAACATGAGTGGCGTGTGTTGGAGGGCGACAAGTCCCCAATGATGTACGATTTGAGAATGTAGGTTAACTACAATGATTCCAGCTCACTCGATGCTCATTATCCGAATGACCCTGAGTCACATTCTCTAGTACATAGTTTTCGATGGATGTGTGCGTGAGTGGTTTAACGGGTAATCATAGTTTTTTCAAGCTGTCGCTATGGTCTGGATACAATTGCGATCTAAGTCTTTGTCCTCAGCATTTGCATGGTACGATCCACGGTGCTCTCCGACAGATCCACCAATGAGCTTCATTCATTCTGGCGTTGATGGCTTGTGAGATCTCTAAACTATCCAAAAAAAACCTCTCTCCCAACCCAGAGAGCGTTGAGATCTTGCATTGGACACTATATCACTACTAGGTCTTTTGCTCATTTCCTGGTAGTATGTGGAAAGCCATGTAGTAACTGCCGGCAAAAGGCTGACACTGAGGGTAATTCTCCTTTGTACCTTTAACATTACTATCACTGATTTTCGGACCAAGTAATTGTTTTGTAGACTCTGCTGAAGAGAATACTTGTTCCACCGATATGAAGCAAGAGTGACGCCTCGCCATGTGGCGTAAACAAATTTGCCTTCTTACCGCCATCCCGGTATTGACTTTACTGCCCGGGCGCTACTTTACAACCCGCTCTCCTATTACATCTACGCTGCAAGGGCCGTTGACTCACGATTTATGGAAAACAGACTGGGCTAGGCTCGGCGACCTGCGGTTATTGTACTAGTCCATCGGACATTATCCTGCGTTTTGCGGGCCCAACAGATATCTAAGAATCGAGAATCGAGACTACGGTCCTGCGGCTTGTGAATGTCGACTGATGACCTCGAATATATATCAACTGTATACGCCCTTATGGCATATATCCCCACCGTCGCGTAACACACAGCTCTTGGCTCTACGGCTCAAAAACCCAACTTGTTGACTTGTCGTCATTTCATCAAGCACAATTTCGGGTACCTTTTTGCATGGGTCCGCTGTTGGCCTTGTGCCTTTCTTGCTCATCTATTTGACTTGAAAACGTCGGTTTTTGGGCAGTAGGATCGAGACGTTTTTTCTCCGCACAGCCCAAGCAAAGTAGTCGAAACAGGAACAAACGTCAACACTTCTCTCCGTGGCCCCGGGTCACAGCTAACCCTCGGCACCCGCTCCTTGTGTTTTTAACGAGGTTCATGCAACAGCCTTGCTCGGCTCGTCGAGTGTAGCAACGCGAACAAAACAAGGCCTTTCACGTCAGCCTCAAAGTAATGATTCTCCCGTCTATTGTTTGCAGCGGGACTCTTTGTGCTAGAATAGGCTGGTTGTATGTGCGGACTGACAGGCACGACGTGGTCCTGGGCTTCAGAAGCCTACTTACAATAGCCTATTCTTGGTCTTCCAAGCAAGTATCACGGTATCAATCAGTGGAAATCTCCGAACTCGAACAGCGGAGGTTATATAAACGCGTGAGATAGCAACTGCTGTTAGTTTAATAACCCCATCGCGCACAGAACACAGTGTGTACCTTGCTTCTCTCTCTTTCCCGGCGGCTCTAGACTAATGTCAAGCTCAGACCTCCATGGCGCAACCCACGCTGAAGGATTACCTCCACTTTGGCAACAATCAGGCTTTTTCCTGTCATGTCCTTTATCATCACCTGCAATCCTCCCGATCCGTGCTACGCGCTTTGGGAATTCCAAGGGGCGGACATGTACCTCCGCAGTTGTTTGCGCCCGACAGCGTCGTGACACTGCATATCGACGGGCCTGGTAACCTCGAGCGAGACGCGTACTTCCCCCACGTCCTCAATAGACTCAAAGACAATCACCTTCTCATAGCCAAACTCATGATAGGCCACACGAATTGGTACAACTTCCAGCGCTCATCGTCATTGGATCTTTCCGGGTTTCAACACATCAGACATCTGGTTATCCACGGCAGTATTTTCAGTGAAAGCCACTTGTGTTCCCTTCTGAGCTCTTTGCCCAGTCTGCGCACTCTCGAGCTTCATAACAACTTGATGCAAAATCATGGTAATTTTGTTCCCAGCGCTGGTCAAATGATAGCTCCGATTGGGGTCCTTGCCTTGACTCTGGGTAACGAAAGCTGTTGGGCTTTGCTGGATCTTTTCGTGAGCAATCGCTCTCCTTTGCTCCCGGGTGCCTTGAGGCAGCTTGTCCTTCGGCGCCCAAGAGGTGCAGATACCGGAGACGATAGCCTCTCTCAAAAGATGTCGGCACTTTTGGAGCAAGTGAGGTTCCCTTTTGTGCTTGAAGTGGATGATTTCAACATAAGTGAGTCCATTTGCTTTCTCGCCGATTTCCTTTGACCGCATCCCACTTCAGCCGTACCGATGCCGCCCATGGTCCCCTTGGTAAACATCAAAGAAATTGTGATCACCCTCTGTGTGTTAGACAACTACTACGACTTCAACTATCAGACGCTCGTGTGGTGGACGGAGACGCTCAAGAATATCCCGGGACGGACAAAGCTAAGCACGATCACGATCAAAGTGGAGCTTGGCCCACCGACTTCTGCGAATGCACCATATCCTCACGACAGGGCTACATGGGAAGCTTTTGATGAGGCTCTATGCCGCATCGAGATCTCTAGTGGCTTAGAACATTTGCGTTACCGCGTCGTTCCCAGGGCTGGATACGAAGGAAACCCCAATTACGATTGCGAAACCATGACGCGTTGGTTGTGCTTGAGGTGTCTCCCAAGGGCGCGAATTTTGTACACTGCGTCGCAAGACGCTGACTTTCGGGTCCTGGACTGGGCAAATCGGGAGGTCGATGTGAGTGCATTTACGTAAGGATCCATTCCGCAGAGAAAGCGATGTAAACAAGAAAGAAAGAAAAGAAAAATATTTATGCAGAAACGCCCCGAAGTTGAAAGAGACGCCTAACCGCCAAGTCTTGCGGTCACTTAACCCTCAACCCTAATACAACCTCTGCAGCTAGGATGCCAAAGGCAGCAGGGAGCAACTCCATCCAATAACATGCATGTATAGAGGGTATTATACTGAAATACTCAAACCGTTCGAAACTAAAAACTAAAAAAAATCATTAAGGAGTGTAGCCTTAATCAAAGCCGACGTGAACACTAGTTCTATCAAACTCCGGCGACAATTCTAAGAGCGCTTCAGCAAGATTGTTTTCAAAAGGAGAAAAACACTTACTCCTCCGCCTTGTTCAAGGCCTGTACCATACCGATAACCTCCCTCCTCCTGTTAACAACGTATTCACTCTCCTTTAGGAGATCGTCGAGTACTTCAGGCTTGTACAGCTCCTGGAGCAGTTCCTTCTGCAAGTTCTCTTTCGAATGGTTGACTAGCGTCAGGGTAATAGCCTTTGGCACCATGTCTATCATCTCCCGCTTGACAATGTTGAAATAGGAGTTAATCAAAAGTTCTATGCAGAGAGAATTAGCAGCATATCCACAGGGCGAATACACGACACTGACTGATAACCTCTGTCTCCATTGTCTCACGCTCATTTAGGGCCGCCTGAGGCTTGATAACCGCTGGGGGGGCCTCCATAACAGGAGTAGATGTGCCTTTCTTTTTCGTTGAGCCAGTTCGAGCGGCGAAGAAGGAGCCAAAGAAACTGGGTTCTTCCCGTTTGGGGTCCACATCCAAATCGCGGTTGTTGTTGATGACACCGGTAGCAAGTTTGCCAGTCTTTGGATCGGTTTGTTGTGGAGGGGGTTTGTTGGCATTGAGACGGTCATTGACGATTGACATCGCTTTGTGTCCGTTGATGAAGTCGGGATGTGTCGTGTTGACGTAGCAAGCTTGCATACTACAATAACTAGTCAGCGGTGCACTATAGGAGTACAAACTTCCACGTACGCAACGAGGTCAGACACGAGTTTCGAGGTCGGGTTCATTGAAGACTTGAAAAAGTTCACAACCACCGAATTAAAGCGTTCTCGGAGTGCTGGATACCGTCTGAAAACTTGCTGCAGGTTTTTGAGAACAAAATTTTAAATATAATTACGTGGAAACTTACGATTCTACCAAGCAACTGGCCAAGAATACGGATGAGTTCGTCGTACACAAGTGTACAACACTTCAGACTGGGCTCCTCCAACCGTTTGATCTGCTGCTTAACGATAACCTCAAATGCAGCAGTACCCACGAACAACGCCGGCGTTGAACCCTATCAATCATCAGCGGCCTAGCGTACAATGAAGATAAATTATCGCCCACCGAAGAATTGTACAAAATTGTCCGAATGTCTCCATCTTTGACTTGGTCAAAGGGATCGATGCTCTTGATTCCATTGTTGAACAGCTCATGGAATACGAAGCTGATACGAGCACCTCCGGATAGCTCATTCAACGACAAATCATTGCCGCCACCATCAATAACCGTCCGGAACTCCGAGGTAAACTCAGTGATAACGGACAAGACGACATTACCTGAGCTGGCTTCGGCTTCTGTTCCACCAAGTGACTGTAACTCCGCATTATACTTCTGTTGTTGTTGGGCAATCCGGGCTTTGATGTCGGGCAGGGTGGCACGAATGTGGTGCATGAGAATCATGTTAAGCTTTCTGGCCAGGAAAGGGGTACCACAATACTGCGCCTTTCCCTTGTATGAGGGATGTAGCTCGAAGAACTCGCGCTCGGCATCGAGAGCCGATTGAATGGTTTTCGACGCGTCAATGTCTCGCTGGCCTCGGTTCACTACAGGCACGTATCCCAATCGTAATGGAATTATGCGGCCTGCAAGAATGTCCACGACATCGGTACCCTTATCCCTGCGTGTTCTTCGTCAGTGAATGCAGACAAACAGAAAGCAAAGCACGCACATCAAATCAACTTTGGTCAGAACACCAATCGTCCTAGTACCCTCTGGGTCTACCTCCCTCGCCATTTTTAGGCCCTCTGAGTTAGCCAAATCTACGTTGGCGGGAGACACAGCCAAAATGATACAGGCGGGCTTTGAGATGTACTTCATCAACATATCCCTTATCTGCCTCTCGATATCTTTGGGTTGGTCGCCAACTGGGACTTTGGTTATACCGGGCAAGTCGACCAGAGTGAGAGTCAAGACATTAGGAGAGAATATACGGAGGTTGATAGGAAGAGGGGATATGCCTGCATTGCGTCCGGTTTTGGCTTCTGTATCCCGCACAATCTCGTCACGAATCTTGTGAAAGTCAAAGAACTTTTCGCCGGGTAGATGCAGAAATTCGCCCCATTCGTCGGCGTTGACGTGCTTGTCGGTGCCATTGACTTTGGCTACGTGCAATGTGTTAGGAAACGTAGGAAAAGAGAGATGATCTACGCACGAGTTCCATTCGGTTCAGATCCAGCAGCTCTATGAATAAGTTGTAGGACCTGAATGCCGACAGTTAGTTCACGCCCCAGGGATTAATGGCAGTACGCACTAGCGGTCGCCGCGTCACAATACCCGTTCCACGAGGCAGAAAATCTCGGCCAACGATATTCTATGAAAGCGAGAAGAGCAATGAATATGGATGATATGGAACAAGTCTTAATGACGACGCACCTCGAGGACACTACTCTTGCCGCTACTCTGACTTCCGAGTACGCATATCTGAGGAAGGTCTATCTGGGATGCTGACGAGCCGACTGCGCTGAAGACATCCTGCAGCTTGTTGATGATAGAGACAATCTCTAGGCCGAGTCCGGTAGGGCCAGCTGTCGCCATTTTCTATGAAGGTGAAATAAGGGAAGGAGGAGGAAGACACGAGGAGCTGAGGCGCTCGATGCCGAAAGGGGACAAACTAGGACAAACTCAAGAGCTGTACTCGACTCAGCTGCGCTGCGGATACACACCATACTGACAGCAATCTGCTTTCCTGCCAAGGTTCACTGCCCTTTTACTGCTATCTGAGCTCTAGTAAGCACCGTGGTCGGATGTGCAGCTTGCTGAGCCACGTCAAGACTCAAACATTCGGTGACGGAACAGCTAGTGTCGGTCCTCAGGCCTCAGGGAGTGGGCAGATAAACTATCTCGAGTGAGGGGAGCACTGGACAATGTATGTGACCAATCCGTGCCTTCGGTTTTCATTAATAGCTGATCATTCATTCATAGTACAGGCAAAGTGTATCGTACACCATCTTTTTTCAATATACGTTTCAGTCAAGCTATAGCTGCGCCAAAAATGAGAGTTGAGTCAGAACATGACTGTTCGTTAGATGGCTTCATGATTATGACCCTCTTGTTGAGCTCGTTGGCACCGAAGCAGTTGCGCTGATTATCTTTCAATCAGGCAAGGCTATGACTCGACTCCAGCTTCATTCAGAGTTCTTCCCAAAGTTCTGGCTCTTATGCTGTGTCACGTTCTCAACGATGTTATCCGTCTTATCTGTCTATTCAACCAGGATGATGCAAGCCGGTGAGTGTAAGCGCGGAAACCAGCATCCATTTACCAAACTAGAATCCCTGTAGTCGAAGGACCGAAGCTGGAAATGGCACTATACTATAAGGGTGCTCCAGGCCTTGGCATCGTCTTCTTCTCTGCTCTTGGTCTCTTAAGCTGCCCGAAAATGGCGCCAACTAATGCGTCCGTGTACGTGGCAAAATAAATGTATAGAAAGAACTGTTCAAGCTTCCTGATTCTTCCTGGTAGAAGGTGAGTCCTCATGAATCTGATGGTACAGCCTTTGAATGAATAGGAGCTGTGGTGCTGATGATCGTCAAAACAACCGCTCGCTCGCGGCTACAATCCGTATAGTTGGAAGGAAATCTATGGATCTACTCGCCAGTGTACCTGATCATCAACCGCAAAAACCAACAATCAATTCGCTCACTGTGGACCGGGTAGAACAAACGGACGGCGCTACTACACTCACACCGGGGGTGTCTTCTATCGCGTTTGCTGGTAAAACTAATTTTGCCTACATAGAGAAGATAAACAGTCAGCTTCTGTGGATTGCGGTCAGCCCTTCTGGCTAGTCGAGCAAGGCTAACCTTATAACCGACACTTCCAAAACAAACGTGAGAGCCTTCTTTTGCACGATGTTCTCCACTTTGATATCGACAATCTATTTTAGAACTGATACATCCATACGTTTACTGGGACGATGTGGTATCATCCAATACTGCGTACTACAATATGTTCCGCTTCAAGATGCTCGTGGTTCAGCAATCGGAGCGACGGCGATAATGTCCTTTTTTGAATGATCATCACTCGTTTACACTATGTACCATGCTTCTGATCTTGAAGCTCTGGTTAGTATCAGCGTACGTTTATTGTTGGATCCGGCCGTTTGATAGTAAGTTACCTAATTCCTATCCGTAAGTGTGTACGTACCAAAACTTTGAATCATCCTGACAAGCGCCCAAAAATCAGATGATAGTTTTCGCCAACAGAACGCGCAGCATAAGGACGAATCGGGCTCTGCTAGCCTCTTGAGAAACTGGAAATATCTGTATACGTATGTGGAGCTACATGAGGCTATCCCGCCCTCCATGACGTATACGCGGGTGGAATCAATCAATCATCCAAAATTGAGCGCAAGAAGTTTTCAAACTAATTGAAAAACTACGGCTACTATGTACTCTCATCTCAATGGGTCCATGTAGACGTATATGCTCTGTCTTCAAATTTACATAACACTAATTGCACCGATGTGAGAATCGGTTTCCATCACCCATCAATATTGAATACAATGACAACGTGTATTGAAGATAGCATCACTGCGAATGCCCGCCCTCTCACGAACGTCGGCTACTAAGTAAAATGCCAGAATCGATGCTCGGTTCGTACGTCAAGAATGTACAAGAAAATTGTAACAAGCTGCCCTGAAATAGCAATTGATTTGTTGATGTCGCATGGCATCGGCAGTGTCGGAGACCGCAGCAGGTAACGATGGATATCATGAGAAAGATCTGATAAGGAATGGAGCGGCCTTTGCGATACGGAAGATCACCAGGGGCGACCCCAGCCTGGATACAAGGACCCGCATTAACGGACGGGCGCTAGTTGTGCATCTTATGAAGAGAGGACAAGGAATGTGATTGATGAGGACAAAGGAAGGGTATGTGCGCGGCAAGTAGGTCCTTCCGGATCTTCCTTCCATCAGTTTCCATCATGAGTAGCTCTGATGGAGGCAGAATCAGCAACGCAGAGATTAACAGTGGTCCCGGTGAACAGTGGAAAGAGATGTGCTGCCGTCGATGAAACGTTCTTCTCTACTGGGCGGACAAAGGGGTGGCCAATGGAGTCCTTATCGGCCTAGAAATGATTCGGTTGTCAGGGACGAGACATGTTGACGTGGACGATGCGATAAGAGATCGGGCAAGCTGGGAAGAGTGGAAAAGAAGGGCACGAAAGGACGTGCACAATGGCGAGCAAGACTCTTTGGACGATGCGAGAGACAGCGAAGAAGGCGTCGCCGGTCCCGACGACATGACGAAATCAGAAGACAAAAAGGATGAGTCATGATATAAATGCGGACCTTGAATCGGAGTTTCAAAAATGGGTATATATACTGGCGGGCGGACGAAGGACCGTTCCCGTTCCCTCCCCCACATTGATTTTCCCACGCCACTTTTTTTCTGCAAATTTTTGTTCAAGCATGTCCGGATCGTTCGCGTTGCCCACCCGTCAATTGAACCTCTTCGGTTCCCGGACTGCTCAACAACAACAGCAGTTTCAGGCGCAGCAGCTACAGGCGCACCAAGTTCAGCAGCAATCCCAACAGCAGTCGGCTCAGCATGGACTTGCTCTGCCGTCGGGTAACCCCTACCTCCAACAACCTTCGAGACCAGGCCTCGCCCTACCAGGTCCTTCGCCGCTGTCAAACTCTTATCAACCCCCACAGCAGCCTTCATCATCACAGTCATCGTCGCAGACGCCCCCATCAGCGACGAATGCCGTCGCTGGACCTTCCACCCCCGCTGCCACCCCTGCTCCAGCAACGCCCATCCCTCTTACGCTAGAGCAGCAGCACATCACTGCTGTCGAGGGCATTGTACCCACTCTACAAAACATCGTTGCCACGGTCAACCTCGACTGTCGCCTCGACCTCAAAACTATTGCCTTACACGCCAGGAATGCCGAGTACAATCCTAAGGTTGGTCTTGTTCCTTTACACCCCCCTTCTTAGCTTTGCACGCATCGAACTGGTTTCATTTTGTTCGACTAACAGCGTTTTGCGGCCGTCATCATGCGTATACGCGACCCCAAGACGACGGCACTTATCTTCGCGTCGGGCAAGATGGTCGTGACTGGTGCCAAGTCAGAAGACGATTCCCGGCTCGCGTCAAGAAAGTATGCACGTATCGTGCAGAAACTCGGCTTCGATGCCAAGTTTTCTGAATTCAAGATTCAGAACATTGTGGGTAGTTGTGACGTGAAGTTTCCTATTCGTTTGGAGGGCCTCGCATACAGTCACGGGCAGTTCAGTAGTTATGAGCCGGAGGTACGCCCGTTTCTGTCCATGCCATTTCGTGACTGACCCTTCTCGTAGTTGTTCCCTGGTCTCATCTATCGCATGATCAAGCCCAAAGTCGTGCTACTCATTTTCGTCTCGGGCAAAATTGTGTTGACTGGTGCCAAGGTAAATATGTTCTATTTTGTTGCGCCTTTGTGCCTGTTCGATATCGTTCAGTGCGTGCATCAGCCATGGTCGTGACCAAGTGCATGGCCATGCCTTGTTGTGGTATATCTTCAGTGGATAAGTCCGCTGACACTGCTCGTTTGACTATTAGGTCCGAGAAGAGATATACACTGCCTTCAACACCATTTATACAGTGTTGTGCGAATTCCGGAAACCTTAATGTGGTAGTTTCTCCGCATCTTGCGCTGCCATAGTCGACCACTCCACCTCCACGATCGATTTTGAACCCTCATTTCGCTTCTCCGTACGCTCTACCTGCCGCTGTAGATCTCGAGGTGAGAGAGAGGTACCACTTTTCGGCATTCTGCAATTTAAAAGCCTTGTGTGTTGGGGTCGAAGAATGACCCCTGTGGGATTTTCGTTTGTACACGTGTTTGATGGTTTTTTTATTTTCTTTTTCGTTTCTTCTCATGCAATTACCACTATTCCCCACCCATCCATGCAATGACAGACATAACATACACTTACACATACAATACGTATACATAGCAATAGCATCTCTTTCCAGTGGACATTTTGTGTTTTCGTTTAGCGTGAATGCAGAGACTTTTGACCACAATCTCGGACAATATGATATGCCTGACGCTGAAAAGCTCTTGTGCCTACATACCAGGACCGTTCAAACGGAATTGCAATAACAGCGAAATGACAACTTCACAGCAGGATTTTTGGCGTCCGCATGCACGACCAGGGACATCACGGCTCAAAATTCCGAGTGTCACTCTTCGATGTGGCAGCAATGTGACCGTTGGTTCCCGATAATGGGGAAGCACTTGACGAGATAGGATGACTTGGCGCGTCTCTTTGCTGTCCTGGAAGAACGGAAGTCCATTCTTCTCGGTTTACATGAATACATTTCATCGCCACAACACAGAGTTAGGTTATTCGATACCAGAATAACGTCTTATCACGCTGAACCATCCTGCTTCGATTTTTTTCGTTTCTTCTTCTTCGACCCTTCTTGCTCGTCCCGTGGTCGTTTATTGGCCATGAGAGTGGGATCGTTCGCCTGAACCGAGGGTGTCGTTTCGGGTGGTTGGACGAGAGGTTGATAACCTTCTGGAATGACGAGTCTTGGTTCTGATAGCACTGCTCGGTGTGTTTTTCGGGTTTCTGGAGGTTCTTGGTTAGGAGGGGAAGCTGGGGAGAGAGGATGTGGGACGCACGGGCACGCAAGACTAGGGATTTTGGTGTTTTAGTCATACTACTGTGAGCTACGTCTTGCGGTACGTCTAGTAGTGTTATCCTGTCGATGATACGAACAAATCAAAATGCAGCGCCTAGGATGAGAATGATAGACTGCATACAGGTTGCCTATATCCCCTGGCGCTCTCAAATCGGCCCTGGAAACTGCACCGCTACTGACGATGATGTCCTTACCCTTACATACACGCGTCAACTCCCTTGCTGCGCCCCACCAGTTGCGTTTAGCTGATGCTCCGTTCTCTGCTGCATTCGCGTCGACTATAGTAGCGTCGTTTTCACCTCCAAGAGCGCCGACGTAGGTGATCTCAAAGACGGCGCCATTTTTGATGGCTGTTCGGATGAGGGTATGCTTGAGGTGGAAAGGTAGGCGGGGAAGGGTGAGTGGAAGGGAGATGATGTGAGCTGTGAGGGGTGAAGGGAGGCTGTGGGTGAGGCAAGCGAGGGATAAGGTTGCTTGGTTCGTTGGAATGAGGCTGAGGAGGTCGTATGTGTTGAACAGGGTTGTTTGGGCGTTGATCTAGTGCAAGGTGAGTCGGACTGATTCGAGTGGGTAAACAGGCGGTGCTCACTAGGCCAAAGCCTTTCTCGCTATCACTGTCGAGTATTATAGAAAGCCTTTTCAGATATACCATGCCCTTTCTCGGTGTCAGCTGCCCAAGAAGGGGATCCAGTATGTTGACATGCGTCTTGGGGTAAACTTTTTTCGCGACGGTTTGGGTAAAGGCAATGACGTTGTATCCCACTTTCTGCAGCGGTCAGATATGTTGCTTTTTGAGAAAGACGTTCGAGCATACAATGGCAGAGCATATCGATTCTCGATTCAATGGCGGATATTTGGGCGGCTGTATAGCGAACCTCAGTAGAGGCAGCCTGCTTCCCCTTGCCCTTTTTGTTGCCATTTTCTCCGAGAGATATCGGAATATTGAGGTCGTACATGGTGGTGAGAAGCAGAGATGACGAAGGGCCGACGGTGAACGACTGAGGCGAAAGGCAAATGAAATTTCAATATCCTCATCCAAAATAGGGAAGGGCGGACCGACGCATTGACGGCGTCAGTATGAGTGCCATTTATGAGGTCATTACAATTTGGACGTCGACACGACTCTACTACTCTTCCCTTCCTCCCCCATTGCCCTTGCACCCCTCATGATCATTTGCCTTCCCAAACGCTGAAATCGCCCGGACAATGTCGTGATGTCGAGAACGCAGTGTAGCGGCTGATAACACAACATGCGAACCAAAGCCGTCTGTAGAGCAGCTGCGACATAGAAGGCGAATGGTTGACCACGTCCATCCTATATTTTCGACTCATCAGTTGTATGTGGCCGTGACCATTGGTTCTCTAGTTCAAACTCAGGACATCTGAAGCGTCCCAAAATGGAACAAAACCTGTACGACGATAGTATATAAAAGCAAAGTAGCATCAAGCAACGAAGATCGTCTCGTGTGTATCAAGTATTTGTGCATCATCATCAGCGTCTCTAAGACCAAGCATCAGGTCGTCATCCGTTTTCCAATTGGAACCAGTGCTACGAGAAGATGATATCAGATGCTGTGGAGAACAAGTAGGCCTTTGGGAGATAAAACAGTAAATATATGCGGTTGGATCTTACGATAAATCACTGACTATAGACTTCGGAGACAGGAACCAGAACAATATGTATACCGTTCGAAACGTGCTTGAACACAGAAGTTTGTTTACCGTATCCAGGTAGAAGATTACTGCCACTCGAGCTATAGCAGACGTCAGTATGCATTGATTGATGGACGCCGTCGATGAGATCTAACAATCTAACACCGACGGCTTGCTGTTGGACCAGAACCACATATCGACCAAGATGGAACTCGCGTCCTACAGTAAAAGAGGAGATGGGGCGGCCAAGAACCAGTTGACAACACGCAGGCGAAGAAAGATGCAAAGAAAAAACCACATGCAGCGAATTCTGTGGCAGGCGAGGCTGATGTCAATACAGACGAAGACGAAGAACCCTTAGATGTTGAGTGGAGTCGCATGAGCGTACGAGAGCTCTTGAAGGTCAGCACATCATCGAAAGCAGGTACAAAAACTTGACTCACTTCGAACAGAAATGAGTTTCGGTAAAGTTCTCAGTATATGCTGTTCACGCTAGCCAGGAATATCTCGTGGAGTCCGCACCAATACCGACAAGGGGCACAAATATGCTCCACGTTCTTCCATAGCCGACCACGTTTCCGTTCGCCTCATCCCAGCCGCTGGTGCGATTTTCAAATCTCGTCGTCAGAAAGCTTTGGTTGGCGTACGAGGATCGTACGTATTCCACTGGCACACGTTCACATTTCGAAAACAGAAAAGACTGAGCTAGTCGAGTTCCCTGGCGGACGAGATGACAGGAAAAAAAGAATCCAGAAGAACATGACCCATCGAATCTCGATACTGTAACGCGACAGTAAGTATCGTTTCAATATTGGCTGTCGACGAAGCATGAATTTGATTCCGCCACTCCCCCAGGAACTCCACGTGCCAAGGCCAGAGCCAAACAAATTCCTCACCCCGTTTTCTCATCATTCAACCACCCTACCTCTCAGTAACCCAAGGAGCTCGTCGATGGATTAGCGTCAAAGCCGGGAAGGAGGATATCCATGTCGGCGAGCAAACGCACGTCCACCCCGAGCCGTATCCCCCGTAATTCCCTCAATACCCCACGGCCACCGCCGTCGGACTCGCCAGGACATACGTCCACTTTCAAGTCGCTGTCATTTCGGTCATTATTGCCATTTGGACCAAACAAGACGACTACACATGTCAGTCCTGCCGTTACGCCCAAGTCGAGCACGGGATCTAATGGTGCCGGCTGGCATGGAGGATTCGGGATCGGAAAGGGTAACGCTAATGGGGTCAAAGAAAGAGGTCGGGAGAGGAAGATGAGCTTTGGGAGGGTCATGGTCATTGACATTGCCCACGCCAACAAAGAGAAGAAAGAGCCGATTGGTGAATTGAATTCTCTTCCTTCTCAGTCCTTGTACTAACCTGATATTAGCACCCGCTCCAACGTCACCCCTTCCTGATTTGTCGACGATAATAGAGGCAGACACATCTGGCATCAGTATTAGCAAACATCTGCCACCCGCTTCTATCCCAGATACCCCAGATACCCCCCAAGATGAAACCAGCCACCCAGACTTAGAATTTTCTATACCTGACGACGAACTCGACTTGTCCACCTCGCACATAGGTGCGCAGGTACGCGCTGCCATGGCCTTTGGAGGCGGTTGGGGGAAGTCCAAAAAGACTGCCCTGGATGATGTCAAAGGCGAAGACAGCTTTGATCTTGATGAGGAGGTTGCTAAGTTGATAGAGGGGGACGAGAAGCAGGCCCAGGATGAAGAAAGCTTCAACTTGGACAGAGAAGTCGCTAAGCTGCTGAATGCGAAGCGACCTTCAGATTCCATCAATGGCCTGGATACGAGCAAGATGATCGTTGGTCCGTCACCTGATCGTACCGCAGGATCGTTGCTACCACTGGCGAGACGCCCCCAGTCATCATTGCCGCGGCTCAGACCAACGACATCGCCTGTCACAGCGCAGAGCGTTTTCAAGAGGGAAAACAGCAGAGAGATTTCAATGACGAGAGAGAACTCCCCTGCACGAACATCGATATCAGCTACTTCGTCAAGACACACGCTTTCCTTTGAGACGCATGAATTTCCCAATCATTCCTCGCATATCCACCAGTCGATGAAACTCCCTCCTTCACCATTGTCGTCAACTAGCACACCACCCTCTTTAAAGCCCAAGCCGACGCCGCGTCCTCCCAACACACACACTCGTTTAAGGCCGAGCATTGACATCCCTCGGACATCTATTGACACACCATCTGTGAGAACGCGGAAGCGGAGCGTGAGCACCACTGGTACGGAGCCTAGACGAGAAAGGCCGGGGAGTAGTATGTCCTCTTCCCCTGCTCATCCGTGGCTAGGTCCGCGGACAGAGAAAGCCTTCAAAGCTGCTGGGCTACTCGATTACGACAGAGACCCGGGCTTGAAACGGTACGCCTCCTTGAGGGGGGACAGTCGTCCGGGCAGTGGTAGGCGGGGAAGTGAAACGACTACGTACAGTCGTGCGAGCGATACATTGGACAGTCCGTATCATGCACTGGGGCGGGATACCCCTCGGAGCGTGAGTACCGCGCCGACGTCCATAAGTGACGTCGAGTCCGAGAGGATGCGAGAGAGGCACGAGATGGAGACGGGCGCACTACTCAATGCGTTGAGCGACTCGCAACGGATAGTGAAGGTGTTAAGGGAGGAGAACACTGAGCTCAGAGAACGGCTAGCGGACCGAGACGCCGAGCGGGACGAGCTTATTGCCGAACGGCAGGAGCTTGAGGAGCAAGTGAGGGAGCGGTTCGACCTAGCAGAGCGTGTGGGCGAGTTGGAAGAAGAGAATGCCGCTTTACGGAGCTTTGTAGATGGCCTTCGAAGAGAGGTAGCGGCGTGGGAGATGAAGGCGGCGTGCTCCGATATCAACTTCGATGCTGACGGCGATGTCAGTTCGATATCACGAGCGGGGGGCGGTAGGCTCGGTCCGGATGACTCTGTGCGCTTCGATCCGGAAGTCGGTGCGCCCTCAAACCCCGACGTCGGGGAGGACGAGGACCTGACTGCGAGGATCAGAAAGCGAGTCAGCACCGCCTCGAGTCTATTCCCGGTTTTGCCGTCGAACATGTCGATGCTGATGGCCGAAGAGGGAGCAGATGTTGGGTCGTCGCCCTTGCTGAGCCATAATTCTTACCAGCACTCACGGAAAGCATCGCAGGGTGACCAGTCGATGATCACCATGTCCTCAGGTCCTGGGAGTCCGCGCAGTTTGTTCCTAAAGCCGGAGGATGAGGACCATCTGATTGACATGGACAATATCAGTTTTGGGGCAGACGCGGAGGTCTTGCCCCGACGTTAAAATTATCTATCTGTCCATTTTTCGTTCTTCTTTGTAGGATATTTAGATGGGAACATTATTTACCGATACCCTATTTTATTGGCACTTCTTGCATTTGCTTCATCATATATTACTCACTGTATATTAGCATACTAACACCGCTGCACAATAAATGTATTCTTGTAACATAGAACCGATAGTGACGTTTCTTCATTTTTAAAGAGCAGAAAATAATTGTTGATAGGAATGCACCCCTTTGACTCATCGCACTAATAGCGAGAGCTGTATGGAGGGCTATTCACAGACTTACGTTCTCTTTCTGTCGTAAATCATTCTGGAACATCCCTAGCATGTGCACAATGTCCTTGTCGAGGACGCTATTTGAGCTTGTATATATGGATATAAAACATTTTACAAAATTTACACACTCCAGCATTCCATAATACAAGTCCTGTCCGACATTCTTATTTTCTCGGCTATATTCATACATCCCCACCAGGGTTTAGAATCGGTCTACATTGACCCAACTGTCCCGCCTATGCGCTTGCATGATGAGCATCTTTACACAAACAAATCAAGATCCATCGTACTCACTTCCCCACCTTTCCGATAACTAACTTAACGGTCTTCACCTCAAACCGGTGGAAGTCCAGCTTGATCGATCCCCCGCCCCTTGAACCACTCTCCGAAACCGCAACCTCTGTCGCGTCAAGGTCATCCTCCAGCAGATTGGTAAGGAAGGCTTTCTTGACATAGATACCGCTGCCAACACGCAGCGCCGCTCGAGCGTGACCACCAAAGGCCTCGTACAGACGGAGAACCACGGTCGTGACGTCCTTAGTATCATCTTCCCCACGTTTGACGGTCTCAAGGAACACGTTGGGTGCTCCATGGACGGCGAAAGGAGCGCTCGATGCCAGCTCGTTGGCGATGTCGCCGTGGCGGACTAGAAGAAGTATAAGATAGATGAAACGAAAGGTGGTAATAAACGTACGATACAATGGTGAATTGAACAAGTACGCAGCCATAGGTACGTCAGACTCCAAGAAGGATCCGACGTGCGGCATAACGGCCCAGGAGAATTTGTGTTCACCTATCGCCACTAGGCATTAGTATCGATAGAAAAGAAACCGGTGAGCAACGCACCTTGATCCTGTTCTGCGTCTGGAGCCGTAGCACTACGCAAGAGCGAGATACGGAGAATGTTGCCCAAGCAAGAGAAACCATATTTGGATTCAGAAAGAATAGCAACACCATATCCATATTCACTCAAATCGGCGTATTTGTGCCCACAGACTTCAAACTATTGCGAGGTAAGACCGGAAACAAGCATTACTAAGTAGCCATCGACTCACCTTGGCAATGTCCCAGGTCGTATTCTTGTGCGTGGGTCGTTGTACATGGCCGAACTGCATCTCATAGGTGGCAAAGTCGCTGTGAAGGTTGAGGGGCAGTTCGACTATAACTTGTCAGTCGGTGGATCGACGCTTATGAGTATGCACCCACATTTCAAGAACTCGTGCCTTTGATGCCAGTCAACTACTGCATCGAAAACGAACATCGAGCGCGAGTTGAGCTTAGTCGTAGCTGTATGTCCAAGTAAATAAGAGTAATACTGTTCCCGTATCAAGCATTCATACCAGGGACTGCATCAAGCGAGATCTACAACGACCGAATTGAGTGAAAAGCTGGTGAACGGCACATTAAGCATCCTCACCGTCACAGATATTGTGCTCTGACCATACTTGACTTCAGCCCTGACAGACGCACGCAGAGGACCATGGGCGACGACAGACATGTTAGAGAACTCCAGTGGGTGCGGCATCTCCAAGTGATGGATTTCGACATCTGTGCTCAAAATAAATATCAAGAACTTGGTAACACTGGGAGTCTCTCACCCCAAGCGTCCCAGTAATTAGGCCGGTCCTCGAAAATGATCAAACCACCAGTAGCTCCTTCCGTGAGAAGCTCACGACTGCAGCCCAGGGTCAGTGCACAACGTAGCATCCCAAAGAGTGATCGTACCCCTGCTGAACATCGAGAAGACTGGTAATTCTTCCATTAGAGATAGTGAGTTGTACGCTAGCATTGCGCAATACAAAGTGGTCCGATCCGTTTGTATAGACTGTATATCTGGGTAAGATTAGACCGTAGGCTTCGGAAATCCAAACTCACCTGCTACAGGAAGAGGCACCTCGGTCAAGGAAGGGCCACCCAAGTCATTGACGAGTCCAACGCTAGTCGTGGCGGGTCCGCACCCCATCATAACATACCCATCTTTGCCATCCTTGGAGGTCTGAATCAGCTTATTCTTTAGGTCTTTCACGCTTCCCAAAACTGGGACCTTAACGATCTCCCGACGAGGGAAGAAGGTAGTGTTGACTGCAAAGATATTGGCAAGGTTCGCCGTCTTGGAGTTGAATTCCGGAGACGTGACCGATACGGAATTAGGGAAGAGAACCTTGAAAGCATCTTCCAACAAGACCTTTCCACTCTTGAAAACTTGGGCGTAGTATTCTTCCGCTTCGTCATAGGCCATTCCACTGTTACAGGATGTTGGTTTATGATAAAGAAGTGAACTGATGGGACTCACATTGCGGATCCTGGGAGAACTTTTGGAGTTGAGGTGAATTAAACGAGTGCCCTGTAGTATATGGATTTAAAACCTACTGTCGTGGACTGGCAGGCAAAAATCAGGGTCTCATCGAAACGAAAACAGCAAAGGATGAACATACACTGGTTGAGTAAGACCTTCTCCCAATTATCGTTGATCTCCTTTCTAGGGTACTTGTAATCTGACGGCTTGAACAAAGACGCCAGTGTAGCCAATTGCTGAGCACCAAACATGTGAGCTTTTTCCGTCGATAATAAACATCATCACATACCTCGATATCGCGCATGAGGATCTCGGAATGACGATTTCCCTTCTTGATTGACCCTTAATCGACTATTAAACATAAGCCTCGGACGATATTCCAAGGGTCTTACCATGTGAAGTATACGTGCCACGATGGAACTTACATAAAGTCAGAAGCGGCACCACGGAAATAGAGGAACGAGCACTACCTCTAGATACAGCTCTCCGTGCCTTCATAGATATCAGCACGGGACTCCACTCGATTGAAGGAACTGAACTCACCAATTCGGCAACTTTGACCCTTGGCCCGTTGTCGACAAAAGCATGTCAAAGAACTCATCGACGGAGTGGCCCATGTTGACCGATACCAGTTCTCTGTGAGTGTTAGTAACTGCCCGGATGCGACGAAGCTGATTTCAAACATGAGCGACAGCGAAGATTATTATGAAACAGAGATCACACATTTTCCAACATCTTCGGTAAAGGACCTCCTCCTCCGTCCCCGTTACCAAACACGAGTAGAGCAGTAGCCGATGATTCCAAATTCTAGAGAAAGAGTATGTGAGTGGAGTGCTACATGAAACTGTGTCGCCATTAACCTTGTGGTTCTCGATGCCTTTCTTGACATCTCCAACAGTTGCTTGCGCAGTGTATGTTTCAACTGCACAAGATTAGCTTGTACACTCAGTCAATGTCCGTCAACGAACCTGGTGTCATATGGCACAAAACTTGAGTGCCGTCTATTCCCACCCAATTAAACGTACTGTGCGGGAAGTTGTTGCTTTATCGGCCAATCAGAAGGGAAACATGCATTGAAACAACAGAAAAACACACATGTTGTTCCTATCGTGGCCGCGTATCAGTATGTGTAGACTCAGGCTTCGATGTTAACATACCAGCTCAACTTCTGCGTGAAGAAGTACTTCATTCCAGCACCCCTGATAAGTTGGGGAAGAGAGCCGGTAAGCCCAAAGGAATCGGGCAACCAGGCCGTGTCGCAGCGCTTGCCGAATTTCGACTCGAAATAACGCTGGCCGAAAAGGAATTGCCTGATCAAGGCTTCACCAGAAGGCATGTTCGAGTCATTCTCGACCCAGGAGCCACCGACGGGCTGGAACCTGCCATCCAGGACTTTCTCCTTGACCTTCTCGTACAAGGGTGGGTACAACTGTACATGACGTTAGACGAGGTCGGCGTAACAAAGATATGGCACACCTGTTCAAGCCATTTGAATTGCTGCGCTTGCGAACAAGAGAAGCGGTGCTCGGGATAACGTTCCATGAGATCGACCTGAGTTGACCAAGACCGGGCAACTTTTTGTTGAGTAACATGGTAGGGCCAGAGCCTTTTAACAGAATGAGTAAGGGTATGATGAGAAAGGACTCAGACCAACCATGCAGTATCTATGTGACAGCTGGGAGATTGTCAGTATTGGGAACGGGACGGGATTGGTTTATGACATACTGGCCTAAATCAACGTAAAAAAGGTGCACATATATCAAATGGGAGAGGAACTCGTACCAATACCCCAGACTCTTGAATCTTTTTCGCCTTCGTCATAGATGCCAGCACCTTTGGCTTGCCATCCTACACCGAAAACCTCTTCAGCAAGTTTACGAGCTTTCCCGATGGAAGAGACATCTTCTTTATGGAAGACGTTTATAATTTCATTAGCAGCTACCAAGGCTTGGTTTTGTAAACTACAGAAAACTGACTTTAGTATAAACTTGCAGAACGAAGAATGAGAAACCTACGGCGTATTTCCCCAGAGATTGTCGATAATCTCACGCAGTGTTTGGAAGTCCCAAAGGAGATGCCACGCTTCATGGTTGGGAACAACAAGATCCGCCGACGCGAGACCGAAGTACCTGTTCATCTATGGAACGCATTAATGGTTATCTCCGCACTATCAACCAACTCACGTCAGGAGGTTCTATAGTATCGCCATTCCATGGAACGCCAAACATTCCATTGCACGTAGACTCGATGACGATTTCATATTTACCCTTCTTGCGCGCCTCTGGAGGAATGATATGCTCAACTCTACGATCTCCCCCATAGCCTCCGGTAATGCCTACGAACAATGAGAATGCATGCCTTCAGTAACAGAAAGAATCAAACCTTGTAACGGTAACCCGTCCGTTGTGTATACCATAGCCTCACATCCGGGATCAAATTCAACTGTTGGTATACGTTAATCTTGCCCATAATAGCATGGACCTGCAACGTACACTGTACAGTTTCATACTGCTGCCAATATCCTGGAATGGTGAGCGAAACTTTCCACCAGTGGTTGGTCTATTGTAACGTGTCAGCTTGCCTCTCCAAGGCAGCCTGATTCAACTCTCACCCCTAAGAAACAAATAAATAAGACGAAACTCTGATCAGGTAACACGACAAGACTTACATGAAGGCCCAAACGAATCTCCTTTGCGCGCCGGTCTGAAGTCCTGCTTCATGGCTTCTTTGAATGTAGGCTTCGTGAGTCCGGGAGCACTCCACCTATGCGAAAATGAATTAGTGAGATTCTCCTACACGTCGTTGGCGCATACACTTGAAGCTTTACATGCGTATCATTGTCCACTCGATGAGTAAAGAGCACCGACGACAAGTTCATGTCAGAATAATGGCCGCCTTGGAAGGTTCCCAGCCTCGACTGTGTGAGGTTTTTGACCCATTTGGCCCCAGCAGTGTAATTAAGCTGTGGGTATCCCTCAGAGGGTTTCGTTGTGTGATGGCAGCTCATCGTTGTTGGATAGGAACTGCAACAGTGACGTTGCGACCCGCTTTGGGACAGGTAATCGGGCTCCGGGCCGGAGTAACAATACTTTAGGGTATTATAGCAGAATGTCGTCAAAACTGATAGCATGGCGCAGTGGTAGCGCGCGGGGCCCATAACCCCGAGGTCACTTGATCGAAACAAGTTGCTGCTATTGTAAAAGTAAAGAGAAGAAAATTTTGGCCTGGACCATAGGATTGAGAGTCCCCAGTGCCCACAATGTCCACTTTCAAGTCTCTGTGACTAGTCGTAGACTCGTATGTTCGTCAATTATCTTGCTGGGCCTGCCCTGTTCTGCCCAAATTATCGACGGGGTCATTAGCTGGTACTTAGTATACATTATACAGTCACCTGCTGGCCCTGTGACATTTTACCGTCGACAGAACTTTCACGCTCAATAGACGGCTCAGCGCTCAGTATTATAATCAATGGATAGACGTCTTTGACAGTAAGATTTGACGTCGACGTCCTTTACAGTGTGTCGGAACGTGACCGGTCCGACGTCAAAAACAGTGCACATGGATTTCAAATGAGCTTGTGCACCTTGACCTCCATCTTCTACCGGAGATTCATACGTTTCACCATCACATGAGGTCTTCGCTGCTTATTGCACCTGTACTGTCGTCACTGGATCTCTCGAATTCTTGTCCACGCGGACCGGCCTTGGATAATCTTCGCTTATAAGCGAGCTTCTCGCCACCACGCCGCTCAACGAAATGTGGTTCTTCACCTTTACCTCCTTTTTCCTCGCTGTCCATCTAGCTTTGGCCCAGACTGTCTCGACTAACCTCTACTCCTCCTTGATCCCTTCCAAGGTTCTGGCCACCGCCAACAAGCTGAACAATAAATTCCCCCAGTATACCGACTCGACTGCAGGTGTCTGGCAATTATTCAGTGCTGACACGTGGACCTCTGGATTCTTCCCAGCCACACTGTATGCACTGGAGAAACGCAAGTCGCTGTGCGGGGAAACCTCTGCGAATGGTCTAAGTGCGGCAGACTGGGCCGATCTAGGCCGGCAGACGAGTGCTGGGTTAGCAGCCCTGACGACAAGTAACAGTGTCGGACACGACGTGGGGTTCTTGAGTTTCCCGTATGTGGATGAATTGAGCATGTTGGTGATCTATTTTACTCGCTCTGGTTGATCTGAGCGGCTGAGTTTATTTTAGCCACCCAACCAACGCGACTGCGGCTGCAATTGTGAACGGTTTCGCGACATATCTAGCTGGAAGATTTAATCCTACTGTGGGGTGCACGAGGAGTTGGGATTCGTCTAATCCTACGGACTTCGTTGTGCGTACTCTTATGGACTCGGCGCATTGGTGGTCTTATAGTTTGATTGCAGGTGATCATTGACAATATGATGAACCTTAATGTCCTTATGGTCTCTGCGCAACTAACCGGAAACTCCACGTTGAAGAATATTGCTACTTCGCACGCCAATACAACCATGAAAAACCATATACGAGATGATGGCATAGTTTTTCCCTCATTTCATTAAATCACATCTAACTTCGAACAGGCTCAACATGGCACGTAGTACAGTATACCACCACAACGGGTGCCGTTACAGATAAAAGGACGAGCCAAGGATATGCTGACAATAGGTAGGAGTGCTTCTGTTCGCTCTTTCGACTTCGCGTGAGCTTGTTGCAGCACATGGAGCCGAGGGCAAGCTTGGGCGGTATATGGATATGCAAACAGTAGGCACTGGCTCTCTACGAAGCGATTATTTTCCCAATCCAATGGTTTCAGTGTACAATTGGACCGGGGACAACAATTATCTGGTGACAGCCCGGCGTGCAGCTACATATTTCCTCAATACTCTTCCTTCCGATGGAATCGTACCATGGTATTTTTCTCCCTTCGCTACGGTGAAATCTGTTCTTAATGAGTAATATCAGGGATTTCAACGCACCAATGGCGAATCGCCCGGCGGATTCCTCGGCGGCCACAATCGTAGCAACTGGTCTTTTGTTACTCTCCAGGGTTGAAACCGACATTATAAGTAAGGCGAAATGGTCTAATGCTGCTATTAATGTACGTTATTCCGATTTTCGTTGGCCTTTGCACGATTGACGTGGTTAGATTTTGAACACTATCACGGCACTCGCATGGGATCCTTCCTGGGAAAGTCTACTGGCGAACGGGACGGTGAATAAGCCCGCTAACAACTACTTGACTGGTACCGTTTACGGTAAGTTAAGGTTATACCGCTATGCTCTTCTTACGCTGTTCTCAGGGGACTACTATTACATTGTTGCGGGCAATGAACTCATCTCCATGGGCCTTGCAAAATGCCAATGATCGGACACTCAACACAATCTCTCTCTCCTAGTTTAAGTATGTAAAGTAAAGTCACGGACATCTCATACACCTCGACTACCACCGCACGAAAAATACAACTACCACTTAATCAAAACAACGCGCCTTTAATTCCCTCGACCATTCTACGAAGCTCCATCTGTATTATTAATCTAGCCGCCGAGATTGAGACGGAAGATGTCGTTGTATCTGAAGATTTACGTTGAGAAAGGCGGATGTCCTGCGGACGGGGAAGCCACGTACACATAATAAGTACCGGCATCGGGGATCAGCTGGAAGGTCTGAGTGAATGGCAGAGGCTGTTCGCCATCGTCAACCTGAATTGTCATCGATTAACGCCACGACACCGCTATCAACCTGAGAAGTGGACGTACCCGCAAAAGCCCCGTAACGAGTACTATAATACTAGAAACAGCCGGATTGGAGGGCTGAGCATCGCATGTCTCGACCTTATGAGCCACCTTTTCAAAGGGCAAAGACTTGCAGAAGAAAGTTAATGGTGGAAGCTTCCTAGCCGAAGAGAGGTTACTCACGACAAGCTTTTCAACAATATTAGTAACACCCAGAATCTGGTTGTTCTCCCAGGTCAACATAGACTCTGGACGCTACACGATGACTGTGAGATGGAGCAATCGATGGCGCAAGATGTATGAATTTTACACACATAGAGAGAAGCCAATGCGGGGCGGTTGGTGTCAAAGGTGTTATAATAGAAATCTGTGAATTGCTTGGCGACTGTAGCGAGGTCGGCCATGGCTGAACGCGTAAAAGCAAGGAGGTACACAGTCTGGTCTCGAAACGCTGTTGGACGGAAGGAAAGAGAAAAAGTAACACGTGATATGATATCTATGAATTAGATCATCGATTAATTTGTGGATACTGTGCCTATTTGGGCTAACCGAAATAATAAACATGCAGTAATATTACATAATTGGCCCTGGAAGGGGACGCGCGCTTATTTAGATTATGAATTTAATTTTACAAAAGTGGACATAAATACCGTCTAACTCCTTGTTTTACACCTTCTGATTTGAGAAGACTTGCACGGAACTGATTGATGCAAGAATGTCACAGCTTCAGTTCGCGCCGTTCTCCTCAGACTTGCCACAGCGGCCCACGATGCGTCGCAAGTCCTCTGCGCAAAATCTACTCTCGTCATTCAAGAATCCTGGCAATCTGTCCGGTCCTACGGCATTGAACACTGCCGCAGCTTCTTTTGGCTCGACCGTAGCAGCGCCGACACCGACGACAACGACACCCATGGCGAGGGAATGGGATGCCCAGTCACTTCATTCAGAGTCCGTGGGCGTCACGACTGCGCTATACCAGGGAACAACAGTGGAACTGCTCCGGGATCTCGTGCAGAAGAGAATGATAACATTGACTTATGTGCGGAACATGCATGAAGGGTGCGTGTAGCTGGTCCTCTTAGCTGGCCCTCTACTGATTGCCCCAGGAGGAGTCATTGGTTTCACACTATCTATATATCCAAAGCAGACTTGGAACGGGAATTTAATAACGAGGCCATGAAGAAGAGGTGTGTGTAACTGCCCATGGCTTTATTGTCTCTCACTCACTAAATTAGGACACATCGGTTCGCCATCCTGGGAATGTCTCTTTCTAATCTTCTCGATATAAACCAGCCGCAGGACCTTCTCCGAGGGCTCATTAACACTTTAAACGAGTACGACCAGTCAAAGGAAGACAGTGACAAGTCAAAAATACGGCAGCCCAAGCGTCTCTTTCGACGGCAACCGGGGAAACGACAAGGCAACTTTGCCGAATATTCAGGATCTGTTGTAGACGACGCGTCGTATCTAATGACCCCGCATATACCGTATCCTCTGGATTATCACCAAACGCTACTCTCGCTGCTTGACGTGATCTCAGAGGTGTACAACAAGATATCCAAAATTCTCGGCCCTTCACCCCTTTCACACCCTTCGCAGCAAATGATGGGACCCTTAGGCCTCCTTTCACCGCACCCCGGCGTGTCATACCTTTTCGCATCGGATAATTCGAACGCGAACCCATACGGCTCGGCCTCGACTCACAGTCAATCCACCCCGAGCATCAATCAACCACAGCCACAACTTGGAGAGGAACCAAACGGGAGTCTATGGGGGATTGCCACTGGCGGTTTTACCGGAACAATGATGAGCGGTATGGGCAGTCCACCTCCTGGTGGCTGGTCCCCAGCTCTTGGTGATATGATCCTTAAGGTTGACGGAAAGTTCAAGGTGTGTTATATTGTCCCTTTCTTACATCAAACACGTACTAAGCGGTCATCAGAAAATGACGTCAACGTTATTGAAGGAGCTGGATAACCTCGCTAGGAATGGAATCAAGGACGAACTCGCCTCACTGGACCCGCTGCTGAGAAACATCAAGGTACCGGAGGAGCATCGGGGGATTGGGTACGATTTTGAAGGGATGTGACAGGCAGGCACGAGGAAAGTGCCATGACTGCATTGATATGGGGGCTGGATTTTGTTTTGTAAGTGATCCGTTTGTTTCACGGGAATCAGTCTCTCATTAAACGTGCTTCCTCGTACAGTCCAAATGGAAGCTCATCAATGGCCTGTCCGCTTCGCGTGCGATCGCTACGATAGCGTTGATATTGATGAATGCTACGATCGTCAAGACATGGGCACGCCGAGCAGGGAGGGAAGGGCTATACCGAGCTGTGTAGATTCCGCTAATGGTTTGCTTGATATGTATGTATCATACTCTTTAGACTACTAGGGATCAATCATCAGATGTCGGATTCAAATACATGTACAATTCGTTATAGGAGATTAAATGGAGAAGAAGGTTCCTGCAACGCATCTCAATCTCAAACTCGCCTTGCCATCAACTATGCTGGGCTGAATGAAGTGAAACTGAAGGGGTGGGAAGGATGGATGAATATGTTACATTCAACATTTGCATTCGTTAGGCTTGCAAGTGCAACTGGAAAATGCCTTAGCAACTAATATACACCATAGGAAGGCGCCGACATACGTGATGGTACAGTTGCAAGAATCAGAGCCGCACGCAGCATTGACGGGAACGGAAATCATCTGAGAGAAAGAGAGGGTAAGTGAAACAAGACGCAACAACGTAGGAAATGGAGCCAACAGTGTCTATGACGGTTTCGAAGAGGCAGTACGATGATGATGCAGCTCCAGCTCAGACAATGAGCTGGAGCTGGTTAGACTTCCAAGATATGAGCCGCCCTTTATATGTTTTTCAACCCTTTGTTCTCATGACATCCAAGATATTTGTGTGGGTCATGAGCTGATGGTCTTGACATAGAACTATATTGACTGGTCACACCGAGGGACAGCAGGTTGTATTGACATCCAGTAAGATGTTGGCGGAAGGATCTGAGTAACTTATCTTTAGGCGGACCGTGTACTGAATGCTACTAGTGGGTGGAGTAGATATGGGATTGAGTTGTGATACGGCAGTAAAGATAACGTTGACGGTGAACGTGCCCTCATGCCGTGAAACTGCTCCACGGCTTTGGATATATCACTAGTAGAATATCAGAGCCAGCCAAATCGTGTCGACAGAGAGACTGTAGGGAACGTGGAAAGGTGGAAATATGACACCGGTGACTTGGGTTGGTCGACTGCCAGGACAGGTTCACGTTGAATCAAGCCGCGAGGAAAGATCATAGTCCAGAAGGAGACAGAGTTCAGCGTTCTCTTCAATCTGGAATGCGGTACAGTATTATTTATCAGGGTGTTGTTCGATTAGGCAGTAGTTGTGTTTTAGCACCGCAGCAAGTCACACGGATCAAGGTTGAAAGGTTGAGCGGTTGATCAGAGGCATTTCGCAAGGCCCGTGGAGGTTATTGCCGGCAAAGATGTAGTCCCCGAAGATGCATAAGAAACGAATCACGACAATAATACAACCTCGGCGCTTGCCATGAACGATACTAATCGAGCAGTTGCCTTCATGTTTGCTCACTGTCCCGTCCCACGGTGAGAACATAGAGTTTGCCAAGAAGTCTTTCATGTTAGAGCCGCACATTACTCCAAACCGACGGGGAAAATCCATCCGCGTCAAGGATATCGAAGAATGGGGAAACATACGTTGATAGCACCGTAGACCAACATTTGGCACTCCCCACGTAGTCGATTCTGGAGCGTATCAGTAGTAGAATACCGGTCGCAGCGATTGTAACAGCAGAGGGGTCTGTTCGGCAAATTTCCATTGGCGCATTTAAATAACCATACAGGTTCCTCCCGGGCATGAAAGGGGAAGATTGTGAGACTACAGCATCAACAGGAAGAATGCTGAGGAAGCACTCGGTTGTGCGCCGAGAAGTCCTCAGGTAGCGTTCATCTAGGGTTCGTCGGCGAGTTTGTATGGGACGGAGAAAGTAGAATTCGTCTCTTGAAAGAACCGCCGGAGAAACTCTTCGAGAAGCCGAGACCAGATAGAGTACTATGTCGAAGCGTTAAACCCCAAGAAAGAATTTCGGAGTTATCTATGAACGGAGATGATCCAAAACCGCTGGTCCGCCTAATCAATGCGAACAAAGTAGAGTGATCTGTCGACAATAAACCAATAACATATGCATGAATTGCTGGTGGAATTTGGAGATTAGGTTTCAAGAGCTTCGGATTCAGGCGGTCTGAATATTTTCGGTAGGCGGCATGATATTGATAGTTATGTCGGCAAGTCAAATGACGGATTTTGGGATAGTAGACATCATTAGTGGGTTGTGACGTATGCTACATAACCCCAGTTGAGCACTCGCAGCGGGACAAAGGGCGACCCTCTTCAAAAGGATGATGGTGGAAGGAAAGCCATTGAAATCCGGCAGGCACCGTAACTTCATTGATAGACCCGGTTGTCAGCGTATTGTCTGGATTCGAGAAAGGACCCTTTCTTGAACTTTGCGCAGTGTGTCGACAAAGTAAATCTATTGATGATCTAAATAGAATACATTTTCCAGAAAAATAACACTGCAGATATATGTACAACAGTTGCAACGTCGATAGCATACGAAAACGGAAGTCTAGACAGGCAGAAAAGGCGAACGGAGAGGGATGTTATAAGGATTGTTACAGTCGCGGATGAGTGGGGGGTGATCAGTCAGTAAATTGTTAGGTGTGCATGCCGTTAAGTGTGCTCAGCAGAGCATGGAAGGCGGTAGACTACTCCCGCAGAAAAAAGCATGAATAATAATAAGTTAAAAAGAAAAAGGGACAATATCGGCGCCAAACGCAAAGAACAAGGGCCATCATTGAGGTACGAACCAGGCGTCCCAGACATCACCCTTTGGCTTTTGACTTAAACCAGCGAAGCATTGGTTAGGACCTAGGAAATCGGCCCATAGGGCACCGTCACGAAATATGTTCCCCCTTGACTTGGTGCGATTATCAAACTGTTTCGTGGCAATGGCCTGATTCGGTTTGGGCATCGCTGAAAATACATTTGGCGGAACATATGTCTTGAAGGCTCTGGAAAGCTCTTGGAAGACGTCTTGAAGGGTCACACCAGCAGCCATATCGGATCGGCTGTATACAACGACGGGAGGCAAAGCATGACCGACGTTGATCTTGAGATACTTGATGGGTGGTTGCACCGCTAATTCATTGAAGTCACATCTCGGTTGAGAAGCAAATCGTTGGGTAATAACATCGTAAAGTAGATGCCAGGAACCTCGCAATAATACAGGGTGTAAATAACAATGCCCAACCAGAGGCGATGCTATTGCAAATGTTGGACTTGAGCTCCCTGGGCGCCATGAAGTTCAGGGAGTAACACACTAGAGAGACGCTAGCTTACAAGAGTTAACTGTCGCAGCTGTGTTGTCGGAAGATGCAGAGGAGGAATAGATGCTTAGAACGGCTAGTGTTAATAGACATTCATGAGGTCGAAGAAGATTTAGTACGAGGAATCACTCATACGCGACTCAGCGGTAGCGGGACTGGCATGTATTTTCGTAGCAGGTGCATCTACGGTAGCATGAATGAACGAATTGAGTGAGCAAACGGAACATAAAGGTGTACCTGATGTTCTGGGAGTTGCAACATGCCTTGCATTGGAGGATATTTTGAATGATTTCCCGCTAGCCTTTGAGGACGCCTTCGTCAGACTAGAAGTCCCCCATGTTAAAACAGATTCGGGCGTAGCGCTTCTTGAAACGAGCTTTTCCTTCTTGTAGAATGAATCGTGGCGTACAGAATCGGGATACATAGGTGAGGCACAAAGTGTGGACGGGGATGGGTGAATCGAGTCACTGTGCACATTAGTTATACCGGGGGCCTTGTTGAGCCAACAAAATGGTGTACAAAGCTCAGGAAGAATGCTAAAATATTGGGTGAGTCAGTAAAACGTCAGACAATGTGGACGGTACCGCAGAATGACGCATTTCCAACATCCACATGTTCGATAAAACCCTTGATGAGTTAGCGCCCCTTCCGAGGAGCTACCTGATATGGGTGCGGGGATCGGTCCGACGAACCCGAACGTCGGCTAAGACCAAAATTGGGGTGATGGGCGGGCCTTTCCTGCTAGATAGAGGCAAATTCAGGTCCTCAATCTGGACTAGAAGCCAAACATCTAAACACCTGCAAAAGAGATGAACATACGGAACGCGAGACCATTGTGCACACATGTGCTACGCGTTCGCGGAGTCGAATAACTCATCACTCCTGATCACCTAGTATTCCTAGACTTTTACGGACTTGACCAACAGCCTAGAAGTTCGCTGAGAGTAAAAGATTGAAGCGATGATGAAAAGACGGAAAAGTTAAGACTCAACTGCCCGAAATTTTATCAAGCTCATGATTTCCTATCACGTGCAGGCTGGTTTGGATATTATAATTCTGGCATTGAGTTGTGGTGTCGCATCCTGGGACGGCAGTTTAACGTGGACCCCTTAGCAACACTACTCTGAACGTGCTGCCAAAGGCATTGCGTGCACATGCCATGTCCCTTAGGTATCCGAAGACGTACATCAACAAGTGGCTGCATCGAATCTGATCATCAAGCATCTCTGAGAAATTCCATCCTAAAGTGTGAAGGATCCAAGAAATCCACGGTGTGTTTCTCAGATGTACTGATAAGAACAGCCGTGAACACCGACCAGGGTTCTTGACGAGTCCGAGAACACACCGCTCTGCACCGCTGTATGAGACATCGATAAGTTTTGACCCTTCACAGAATGCATTCGCTGACTACGTTGGTAGCGCTCTGCTTGGCATCGTTCTTTCACAAGATTCGACCGAAAAAAGAAGCGACGAATGATAAACATACATTCACAGACGATTCACATCTCCACTGTACGAATCGGACATGCAAAGCATCCTATGATAAACGGACAACAGCCAAATTTCCCATTGATGTACAACACCGTTCAGGATAGGTCAGAGATGATTGAATTGTAAGCCGGTTTTGGCTGATAGTTGGTATCAAATAATAGCGGGGTGGAACTGGCACGCCAGGAGTTCTGAAGCGGCATCAGGCAACAATTGCAGTACAGTTTGAAGGGTTTGACTTACAACATCACTGACTCCCCAACTAGTAATACCAATGCAAGCGGGTTGGGCAAGACAGGCGTTTGTGACGGTAGTATAGTCCGAAGGACTAGCACCTGCAATATCAAGTTCGGTGATAGCCACTTCTGTACCAGCTGAGGCAAGCGCCGCCAGAGCTGCTTGGGCACCTCCCGCACCTCCAGCCTGTCATAACGTGTTAGACATGTCTAGCGAATTATTTTGAACTTACTGAAAGATGCATTTGGGTGCCAATACCGTCAATGAGCTGTCCGTTAGCGTTAACCCGTTTCACCAGAGCGACCAATCCTGAGGTACATAAATACAAGTTAGAATACACCTGAGTTTGACGAACCTTGGACTTTAGCGTTATTCGAATCGAGATTGTAATCGTTGATGTATAATCTGTTCAATTGTTTTGTCAGCGTGTCGAGAAGCCCGGGATGTTGACCGACTTTGCCGTGGGATCGGCAGCTCTCGCAGCCTTAAATGCGATGGTAACGAAGGACTTCATGAAAATATCAGTAAGTTGCTGATGACAATAAGTAATTCGCATACTTCTCCGAGGACGTTGGAGAAGACACTTGAGCGCAGAGTTCCGTCCTCGTTGAAGATCTCACTAAAGAGCTGTTAAGCAGCTAGAATGATGAAGAAGAAGCTGTCGTACTTGCAGACATCCCACTAATATAGAACGTTGGTGAGTGCAACTAAGCCAAGTAACGGAGACCACGCACAGCTGTGTAAAATTCATTAGCCACAGAAGTTGAGCGAACATGAATGGGTACATACCATAAAGTTTGCCCGCGTAACGCCCTGCAACATTAGCGATGTGATTTTGAATAACAGAAGTCTTTAGATCAGAATGAAAACCTGGACAGCTGACTGATCGACATAATAAAACCCACCAGTGTAGGTGCATCCCCAATGGCGGAGACCCATGAAGGAAGCTGGGAATGCCATACTTGGGACGAGTGTCAAAATTATCCGTAAATCGGTAAACTCAGCAAACCTAGGTTATGTCCACGAACGATTTTGTTATTAGCTACAGCCCAATTGACCAGGAAGTCCGCGCCAGAAAAAGTAAAGACTCCTCTGGTGGGCTCGGTTGCGTCCCACTGACGTTCGGTAAGTGTGCGGAACGGAGTCGGTAGTACACCATCTGACCTTCATGGAGTTCTCGGGTGTCACCTTCATCAAGAACGCCGTGAGCTAAGTTGGAAACTGAGAAGCAGTCTTACCTGGCCAAAATCAGCAATCAAAAGCGCTGAGTTCGCTAGTGGGTACACCTGTCAGTGTGCATGTGGTGAATCCTTCGACAGCGACAAACCCGCAATATTGATAGTATTCTGATCGGCACAAGAACCCTATTGCCCCATTGTCAGCTCTGCATATGGCTAGCAGTCAGACACGAACCCAGTAGTGTTTGCCTTTTGCCACAAATTTCGCGTTCAGACCAGTCCCCGAAGGAGCGGGTCCAGAAGTTGAGGTGGTAGGTGCATGCGTTGTTGTGGTAGACGCAGGGATTGTAGTAGTGGGTACATTAGAGGATGGCAGGCATCTAACAGGTGAGCGAGAATCGGTTTTGTGCTCCAGGTTCTTCCATTAGAATATACGTACTGGTAGTAGTAGGCATTGAGAACTGTACAGGTAGTGCCGCTATCACCTAGAAAGGAGTCAGTTAGAATGAAGCGTTGATAAAATACAACGGTTGATATTTACAGACGGTCTGGAAGTCAAAAAGTAATTAGCGAAGAGTAACTCGGAGTAAGGTTATAGCTCACACTGCCGGTGTATCCTATTCCCCCGCCTTAAAGACGCAGAACAATCAGTATGAGGTCGCCGTTAACACGTAGAAGGCGCACATTGGCCCCACACAGGAACAGCGGTGGTTCGTTTCAAGATGCAAGCCAAGGTAATGATAGACAGGAGTCCGAACATAGCAAGAGAATATTGTTCGACTCGACATCAGCGGTCCTGTATATGTTATATACCATTCTCCTTAGTCATTTAGCGGAGAACCGGTGAAGACCAGTTACTATTAGAGTTCTTCATACCGAGGTAGTTCATTGAAACGGAGAAATCATGACAGGACGTGGGCCAACTGAACAATCGTACTGACAATGTGAACTGAGCATTATTCCGACGATAAACCTTGGGAAAAGGGACGCTGATGGATTGACTGCTCATATATGTAGGCACGGGATCGCTGGTAAGGCCTCGGGATCATAAACGGTGCTTTGCTGGCCAGCGCCAAGATCACGCAGGACAAAAACGTGCACGGAACGGGTGAGTCTGCGGCACCTCGGAAAAAAACATGATGCACAAAACCTACGAAGCTATTTTTGTGGGGGCTACACACTTGAAATCCCCGCAAAGTCAACGGAGAACTGCCGTCAGATGAAACTTGGTGACGAGTACTGAAAAGAGCGTCATTCGGGCCGATATTCCGATGATCACATACTGGTGACCATGGAGTCAGGTGACCGTGACCGTTACGCGTCTTCACCACTTTCCGTCGTGTCGACACCAACCCACTTGACGCGAAACTTGGATCAATGAGCTCGAAGAAAGAGACTGTAGAGCAACTTGCTGCTACACTCTCTGACTTTACCGACTTTCCGGATGTCGCTACTGCTCCAGGTCTCAGAACACTTGACAACGCCTTGCGCTGCCCCATCTGCTGCGAACTGTTCTCCGGACCTGTGACTCTTCGCTGTGGGCACTGTTTTTGCTCATTGGTATGCTTAAACATGTAAAATGTGCACCTCACATCGCCTCATTTTGTTTCAAGTGCATCAGAGGTTCCCTGGCGCAGAAGCAAGAGTGCCCGTCTTGCCGTAAAGGGGAGGAGAATGAGGGGCATTTGAGGGTGAATCCGGTTGTTGAGGAAGCTGTGGAAGCGTGGAATAAGGCGCGGTACGCTGTCAATCATATTTTCGTCACTCGACCCTATTAAATCCAACCAGACCTTTCATTCTCCAGTTGCTGCAGCGAGGGCGGCCGTCGGTCAGCAGCAACTCTAGCGAGAGCGGTCCGTCTAAAAAGCGTAAGAGGAGCAGCCCTGACTCGGATATCGAATTCGTTGCAGGGCCCGCTAGTCATAAAATAGGTATTGTATCCGGTGTCGTCTTCTCAGAGCCGCGGGAACTGACGTTCGCAGAGGCATCTCCAGCCGAAACATCTTGTCCGGTGTGCGGGAAAGCGGTGAAATATGAAATTATAAATCAGCATTTGGACAGCGGCTGTAAGACGTTCGAACTCAACAACTCGTCGAAGAAAGCATGGTCAAAAATAATGGCTCCAAGAATCCAACCTGGGAAAAGCAAGCAAAGTCAGGCCAAAGGGAAAGAGAGGTGATCGTTTTAATATATGTCATATCAGCTGCAGGTGAGCTGACCCTTCTCCAGATCATCGAGTATTGAGGACGAAGCTCTTCCAAAAGTCTCTTACGACACCTTAAAAGATAGACAGATCAAAAATCTACTTAACGATCAAGGTCTTTCGACTTCTGGCGATCGAGCACTTTGTATTACTCGACACCAAAAGTACGCATCTTCCTTCTACATGTGTTCCCCGTCTCAGCTGCATTTAGATGGGTGATGCTCTGGAACTCCAACCTCGATAAGGCTCCAAAACATAGGAAGTCGCCGTCGCAATTGAAATCCGACCTTACTCAATTGCTTGAACAACACCAATCGAAATCAAAGCTGGTAGTAGAAGATACTCTTGGCCATCAGGTGAGTTCCCATGTTTGCGCCACATGACATCTATGTCCCAATTTAGTGACTTCCATTCAGAAGAAATACGAGAGCGAATTCAAGCGACTAACAGAGGTGGCTAGACCGAAGAAAACCGCGTCTTCACAGTTCTCTGATTCGCTGGAGGCAACGTACTCACAGCCTAAGTCCACGGATCCAACAAATCCTTCAAGTCCAACGAAGTCACCATCTCAGTCGCCTCTTCACGTTAGTGATGACGACGAGATAGAGGTGCTTTAACGGGACAAAGACAAGTACCTCTCAAATTGTGTCATTGTATCATCCCCGCCATTTGATACCCATTTTGTAGAACGTTTTTTCGTATGTACGGAGGAGATTTATGTTTGTATAGACCATGTTTGCAACTCGCCAAAACACACGTCAAAGCAAATGCTTCGCGGCTTCTTTTGATGTCGTTAGTCTATGAAGATAACGCGGTGGTAACAGACAGGTAATTCTGGCTACTGCGCACGTCGCCACACATTTTCGGGTTCGAAAGCGGAGCTGTTCGTGGGGTTGCGTTTCAGGGAAATGACCATACGGAACTTTTCGGAGATAATCGATAACGGGACGGCAAGTACGGTACGTCCTTGGGGCTGGGCACTCGGGGCATGCCAGCATAGGATGAACAACACGATCCCGCACAGCGAATTCCCCGATCTGATACACTTATCAATATTGCAATAAAGCTCAGACACAATCTGTATCAGCATAATGATGGCGGTGGGAGCCAAAGCGCACGGGATCTACGTGGACAATGCGTGTTGCATGCCGTAGGCTCGGGTGGATTAGAGCAGTGCAAGTAATGAACATCCCTTAATGTGATTCAATTGAGCTAATATTGTTCTTCAGTGAATACAAGAAGCCTCGAGGATGAGATGAGGGAGGCGGGAACAAGCAGCACCAGGGTAAGCAGTGTCTGGGCCATCTGGTTAACAATGTAGCGCATAACATTACCCTCAAAGAAGAAGCCTGCTTGTTCCAGCCGCATTGTAAGCCCATATCCAGGTGAAAGGATCAGGCCGTTTGTGGGGACGCTTTGCGGTGATCAGGCGGTGATGGCAATTCTTCGAAAAACAAGGGCCAGTGGACAATAAGCTGTCGTGCCAAATTAGGCAGGTGTTATATTCATTCTTCGAAGCTCCGTTTGATATAAAGGCTTTGCAGACAATCGTGATGGTATCCTTCCCAGCCGAATTTCGTTGTCGCCTTGCTCTCTCTTTCTTTCTCCCCCTTCTTTACCTTAGTCTAATGTCTGCTAGTGATCGCTCTAGCGTGAGTAGTACCTTCTGTCGCCTCATCTTTCGATCCCAAGCTAACTTGTACTATAGTTCGCGTCTGACAGAGACCAGACCTCTACAACTGGCTCTCACAAGGTTAGATACCATGCCGACGAGGATTGGGATTTCCATCTCGATGTGTCCAGCACATCCCGTCGACCTCTCGCTGGTACTACCTCACTACCGTGCTCGTAACCAGCCACTCGATCATCGGATGAACATGTTCGTTGGCAACGATTCCGGAAATATGAAACTAAAAATTGTGCGTCCCCTTTGTTTTCCCCCCCAGCCTCGCCCATTACTGATCTTCCGCCAATGCAGTGTCGAAACTCGGTGAAATCAAAATTCTACCTCGAGATTCAGTCCACGACTTCGGATATCACAGTGTGGCTACCGTCCGATTTCAAGGGCCGAATACACTCATCGGGGAAAACATCTTTCTCCTCTGGGTTCCTGAACCGGATCATGCAGAGCGTGCGACTAAATGGCGTTGAGCACGATGGATTCGCCGAAGATGAAGTGGTGGTGATGTCTTCGGGGCATGTCACCTTCCGGATGTGGGATGTGCTCACGGGTGCACCGGAGCGTGCTCAGAAGGAGGTGTTGAAGAGGATGTTTGGCCGAACGCAAAAGGCCCGTGAGACGTCGACGATGAACTGGGATTTCCTTCTCGAAGACTGATGAAAAAACCCTGGAAGATGGATTGTTGTTTTATTCGCCATTCCTGCGCCCCTCGATGGGAATCACTATAGACTTATCTTTGTTCGTTCTTTCTTCTATCGGCTCTTTGGGCATTCCTTATTTACAGGGTTCGTCACCCGGTTCAGCCTATCATCGCGGCGCTCGCAGTAATTTCGCATACGCATTGTATCATCTCACTAGCACGTACCTGTACATCACTTGTAGCAATATTAAATCAGAAGATTGACCCGGTTACATACCTGGCCAGTAAATGAGCTATTGTATTACATTCGTCCAAGCCTTGTTCCTAAAGCTACAAAATTTATCCGACAACTTTCCCTTGGATACGTTGTACAATATCGGGCCAAGTTTGAGGCTAAACAGATGCCGATTGACCTTCGAGGCACGTATCAATCGTCTTGACGAGCGCAGGATTTTCCAGTGCAGCTGCGACCCTTTCCTTGTCGTTGAGCTGCTTATTCACTGCCAAGCATCGACTTCAACAAAGATGGCTAGATACCATAATTCAGGAAGAGCACTTACCCGCTTCCTCGCTCTGATGAGATCCGGGTTTGACGATGATATCCACCTTGAATCGATGCGGTAGACTTCGGAGAAGCCGAACACGAATTGAAAGACCTGATGAAAGAGATTAGTACTTATTGACGTACGGCAGCGCCGTAAGCAAAAACGAGGGGATACCTATTATTGTCGACATACCACAGTGAGGTACTGTGGGAGTGAATTCGACTACGATGTGGTTCCTTGAGACCGAAATTTGCGGTGCCGAAACAACCTTCAGTTCTTCAAGTGTATTGGGGTACTCAGGGTCGTGTATCCATCGCACGAGGTCTGTGCTTTACTATCAGAAAAAAACATAGGATACGAATCGAAGCGGTGCTTGCCATATATTTCATCCTGATCGATGGGTTCGACGACATCATCAGCGTCGTTAGGTGCCTCGTCCTCATGATCCAGCCAGAGAGAAGTTAACTGTCGTCTGTCTGCGCTTTTTGCCGGTTTGAAGATGACTGGGTTCGGATTGAAGACTTCTTGGACCATGGTAAGCAATCGTGAAGGTGAAAGGAAAGGATGAGTAAGATGGGTTTCGTCATTGGCATCGAAGTGACAGTATTCTGTCACGAGACGTCACGGACGCGACCTCGCCAGCAATACGAAGCTTAATTTCTGCATCCACCTCCTTTGCCACCAGACCTGTTCTAGTCGTAAACTGTTTTTCCGGAATGCCTCCAAAGGTACGGATCATGCAGTGATATCGTTCTGGCCTCGCCTTGACGTACGCCCATCCAGCGAAAACAGGTTGACGAGACGCCAGCCGAGGGCAGTTCGACGCGAGCCACTCGGAGTTCTACACGCGCCTCGACTGCAAAAAAGGGAGGGGAGACGTCAAACTCGACATCGCAGAAATCCACGAAAAAGGCAGCTGCAAAGACCACGAAGAAGGCCACTACTCCGTACGTCGTAATTTTTCCTTGCTCCAGCCTGTTGGACTAGATTGCCACTTATAATTTTGATACAGGAAAAACGCCGCTGATGAAGACCAAGTACGTGTCCTGTACCCTTTCTGTCAGTTGGCCGTGTCTGACGGTTATGCTAGCCCCCCGCGAAGAAGGCAAGAACCAGCAACCCTAGGGCTACGAAGCGAGGGAAGAAGTCAAATGCAACGTACGGCAATTTGTATAGGCAACTTCGCGGGAGCTCATCTTGTTTTTTTCTGTTTGTTTCTCGCTTTCCACGCTATCGCCTCGCGTTGTCCTACTCGCCCCTCTCCCTTTCGCATGCCACTATATCCACTTTGGCCTTTCCCGAAAAAGCGCCTCGGATGATGTAATGACACGTGCTTTTGTCCCTTCCACGTGGCTGATGTCGTTCTATTTTAGGAGCCTCTCGTGCTGTGAGTTCTTACTGTCACAGTCTTTTCCTTTCACATCTGCTCTATCCTGTCTTGGTGTCGTGGTGGCGGTCGGCGTGGATGCACATCTATGCGCTTTCTATCCCTTCTTCCTTGCTGCTCTTCTAACGACATCCACACCATACATAGCGACGACCCAGCCGGTCCCAGTAAGCCGGTAGCCAAGGTCGGGTTTAGTGTGCTGTTGACATTCTACCCTACTCACCGCTCCCCGCATAGGCCGCCGAGGAAGCCAAGAAGCTGGCAGCTGAACCTTACGCCCCCGCGCGCTCCGTCGCGCTGTTCGAGACATATGCAGACCCAGATACACCCGATGTCATAGGCCCTGAAGGGCTCGAGAAGTTGTGTTTGGATGCAAACATCCCAATGGAGGGTGCATTGCCTCTGCTCTTTTCTTGGCAACTGGGGGCTCAAGAGATGGGGAAATTTACGAAAGACGAGTGGGTCAAGTGGACTTCAGCACGCAAGTACGTTCACTCGTTCCTGTGTCCCTGAGACACCGCCCCTTATACCAGTTCGCAGAATATCCACACTTTCTCAGATATACCAGGCATTGTCAGACCTCGATGATCTTTTGATTGATGGGAAACCCCCCTTGAAGCGTCCCTCAAATTCCAAGAAACATGATGAACCATACGATCGGACCGCCTACTGGACCTACGCTGATGATACAAAAGACGCGTTTCGCAAACTTTACATGTTCTGTTTTACGCTGGTAAAACCTCCGTGAGTCGTTCCGCTTCCGTTCCTTGTTATAGGCGCTTATAGAGCGCGTTCCGTTCACAGGCAATCCCGAAACATTGACATGGAGGTTAGACTGTCTGACACTTTTCCTATATTGGCATGCTGTCTCGATACCTATCACTAACCTTAATTCATCAGACCGCCACTGCCTTTTGGACTGTGTTATTGGCGCCGAAGTCGCCTCTCATGAAAGATGTCCTAGAATTCGTCGGCGTATGTCATTAGGTCCTTCCGACAAACAATTTTTCCGTTGACATTGATATTCGTATCAGGGAAAGGGAGAGTCTTACAAGGCCGCAAATAAGGATTTATGGACCATGGTCAGACTTGGTAATTTTTTCTCTAACAGAACGTCGGGTCTCATTGCAACACAGATGCTTGAATTTTGCGAGACGATGTCACCCAATCTCGACGGATATGAGGCGGATGGGGTATATCTATTTTCCCTCCGTGATGCCCGTCTTTACTCACTGCTTTGGCAGGCATGGCCGACTCTTTTGGATGACTTTGTTGCGTCGAAAAAGGGCGGAAATGATAAGAAAGTAGATGCCGTTGCCTGAATATCTGTCGCACTTATGGACTTTGCTTTGCAACTTACAATGTTATCTAGTCGTTTACATGGTCGTATGTATTTTAGACAAAGTTCATTTTTCCCTGTTTTTGCGCGGCTCGTGACGTGACATGAGTGACCGGGACATCCCGAAGCAAATAGGTGCAAATAATATTTAGCGTGAAAAAAATTTCTCCTTCGTTCTTTCATCTTCTTTCATTCCTTCCTCTTGTCCCCCATTTCTTTTTTTCAATGGTAAGTGTCACTTTCATTCTTACTCTGCGTTGTCCGCGTTATCTATGTGATGACTTTATTCTCTTCCCCGTCCTACACGACCATGCCGAGGAATAGAGCTTTTCTGTTCGCAACAGAAACGCGCCCTACGGGGTGCACAGTGTACTTGCCAGTGCCATTTCGTCTGATTCTCCTCTATACCATCTCTAATCCACTATACCTCTTACTGACTACCTCCCCCCTCTCCTTTCTCTAGGTGAGCATCCCTTCCTCGGACCCCACCCACCGGATGAAAATTTCCGTTACATTCGCAGTTTCCACTCTAGTACCCTCTTTATGGAGTACTCCCCCAATGCGGAACGTTTATATTCCCCCTCCATACCAACCTGAACCCATTAGGTTGTGTCGAGCGTGGGCCGCCTCCCTTTTGGGGGAGGTGCGCTGGGCGGGAAGCGGGGGTCGGCACGATGCGGGATGATAATGTCCTTCCTTTGGATGTCTGATCCTTTCCTCTTTTTTGATTGTTCATTATGAGGACCTGTTGCTGATTTGCTTCTCAGTTCTAGGTCCCAACGAACAGTGTCCACTAGATTGTAGTTGATCGTGGTGTACCCTGGTGCTTTTAGTGTATTGTTGTATATTATGTCCTGGTATAAAATGTGTCTCAATGTATATGTGTTAACCAAATAATTTGTTTCGTGTCGCACAATCTGGAACTGCAACCGCCTTCTGTGTTGAGCGGTACATACCACGAGTAAAATTAATCCGTCGTATCATAATGGTGTACCGTTTACCACTTTCTGACGGGGTCAATCTTTGAAATAAGTTCTCTCTGTTTAGGTCTGGACCCGCTCACTTCGGAAGCGTCTGTCGGGCTTCTTCTCGAGGGTATCATATGGCGGCGACCGTGTCGAACGCACATCCCGACATTCGGGACCGTGGCTTCGTCCTGGACCACTTTCAAATCGTCACGGAAAAATACGTCTTGTCATTGCCGCTTCTCAGAAGTGACATGGTGGTAGATTTTCCAGGTTGCTCTACACTGCCATCCAAGGCATGATACACACAAGACGAATCCTGTTGTTCGGCATGTTGTCGGAAATTTTGGTCTAGGGGCTTCGTCCTACTTTGTTAGATTATTGATTACAAGACTAGATAGATATCGCGCTTGTACAAGATACAATCATAGATACTCTCTATGCCCTCCAGCTGCGAGAACCGCTCACGTACTATTCCAGGAAGCGCAGTGGTAGATGGAAAGTCTAAAATCCGCTCAAGACATGCTTCCCTTTTACTTGGTCGCCTTCTTCGACGGCCCATCCGGGTACAGCTAGACGGACGGGTATTGTGAGAACGTGAAAAACCCCGGGGAGGACGCTGATTATTCATTCACCTTTCCAGGATTCAGAAGATTTTGAGGATCAACAGCCTTCTTGATCGTCTTCATTAATTCCACTGTACCCTCGCCTAGCTCGTCAATGAGGTATTCCTTTTTACCCACTCCGACTCCGTGCTCTCCGGTACCTGCAACCTCAGAATCAATAGACGATCAACTCTCAGCACAGAAAGACCACCCACATGTTCCATCCAGAGCAATAGCTCTATGCACAATACGGTGAACAGCATCGCTTACTTTTCCCAGCTCATCGTCATTCTTGAATAGCAGCAGCGCATGGAAGTTCCCATCACCAACATGACCCACGATAGTGCTCAATATACCAGCCTCCGCGAGGTCTTTCTTCGATTCTGCCACCAGTTGAGGAAGGCGCGAGACAGGAACGCTGGAATGAAGGTTACAACATATTCTCCGACGTAGCTGGATACTCGCACCAAACGTCCGTAGTCCAACATTTTGCACCGGTACCTGCGTAAGCTATCGACGATGTCAAAGCGTGTTTCCTGTTCCTCCACAAATCGTCAGGCTTCTTGGTCAGTCTTTGCGAAAACAAATTGGGTGCTGGAGTGCTTTTTGGTGATCGCCTGGGCTTCCTTGGCTGCCAACTTGATGGACTCGGGTGATCCTTGTATCTTGAAAAATAGGGTGTCGCTAACTGGGTACGTGTGTTCGATGACTCCACTCGTGTTTATAGCCTCCATCACTATAATAACGTTAGTAGCGCCTCTGGATGCCAAATATTTCACCTACTGTTGTTATCCAGAAGTTCGACGCATTCTGTTCATGGTGATGAATTAATTACACGAGCCACAGAACATGGGACTTACGGAAGTTGGCGCCATAAGGTGAATTAAGTATTTCCTGCACGGCATCCACAGCTTTGTCTATTGAAGGGAACTGCGCCATGGCCACTTTGGTTGGGAGTCGTGGAGCCAGTCGAAGTGTGGCTTCCGTGACTATACCCAGTGTGCCCTCAGCACCGATGAACAACTTCGTGGTATCAAATCCAGCGGCGGACTTGCGCGACCGTCGTCTCGTCTTGATTACTTCGCCATTGGGAAGAACAACCGTCAAGTTCAAAAACCACTCAGCCTTTGCCGTGCCGTACCTAACCGCATTGGCTGAAGAGTGTCTGGTTAATGCGTGATTGTGTTTTCCGATTAGCATGACGTACTTCCACTGCAGCCAGTTCCAACCATACCACCAATTGTCGCGCCTGGTCCTGGATCAAGCTGTGAAAAGCATTAGCTGACCACAAAGCAGGATGTATGAATGACTAACAGGGAAGAAAAGTGGGATCCCTTCTTCTTTGAGAGTTCGGTTGATATCTTCCCATCTGGCGCCCGCTTGGCAAACAAGATCGGAGTCCGCCTCTAAAAACGATGTCAGTATATACCGAGGATGTTTTGAGAGTGTGCTGTTTGCGGCCACCGTCTACAGTCGCAGCTATGCATTTGACGGTTCATGAGCAACGACTTAATTCCTCGCACGCCACAGAAACCTGCCCGTATACACAAACAGACAACCGCGGTATTATATGCCGAGGAAGCATATAATATCCACCATGTAGATGCTGACGGTAAAATCTCCAAAGTCGCAAGATAGCTCACCATCGATCTGGATAATTTTATCCATCCCAGACACATCAACGCAAATACTCCCAGTAGGCACCTATCGACATTATTTAGCACACGAATGCAAATTTAGTAATGTGAGACGCACCCCAGAGAAATGTCCTTCAAGACTCGTAGCACCAGACGAAACGACAATAGGGACCCGGTATTCTCTCGCGATGTTGACAATTTTCATCACATCCTCCGTGCTGTTAGGCCGAACCTATGCTCCTTCATTGAATGACTGGCAGCGTATCAAGGGAGAAACACGCACCACAACTGAGTGCGGGGACGCAGGGTGGTACGAGTTGTCCGATGAGCCATAAGACTTGAGGACCTCCGGGTCGGTAGACACAGTGTCATCTCCAGGTAACGCAAGCTTGAGCTTCTCGATAGCGATTCTTATTTCATGCTCAGAACCGTATTGTTGTTCGACATTGGACTACGCTGCATGTTAAACAATCTTCCCTGTACACAGAAACCGCGACATACGAAGAGTATCGTGTCCACATACTGCGTCGCGAGGAGCAGTCCGATAGCATACGTGATTCCCTGCAGAAAACTTCGTGCTTTCCAAGAATATGCGAAATGGGGTGACCAAGGCGAGTATCGGGAAAACGTGCTGGGCTCTGTGGTGACCAGCTTGGGAATCGGCCTCTTTGCAGCATAGAGGCGACGCTGGATGGCTGGGAAGCGCCATGGCTGTCTCCCCAATCCCAGACGGAACATGGTGGTTGTGAGATAAGGGCCGCCGGAAGCCTCAGCTGACACAACCTCCACCATAAAGCTCCATAAAGTTATTCCGGGGCTATGGCACTGATCGCATGTTGCGTGCCATTCGTGCTTTCTCTGAAATATTGGCGCAATAAAACCGCTGTCGGTGTGTTGAATATCGTCGAACACGGTCCGCGGTCGGTTGAGCGGAATTTCGCGCTTCAAGAACGACTGTACGCGAGAACGATGCTACCAGGGCTGAGATCTAGACTCCGAAAGCTAGCCGATGTATGTGCTACGTTTTGTATAAAAAAAAAAACACACAATGAAAAGGCGCATATACCCAAGTCTTTATTCATCCATTGCGTTCCAACACTATGGATGCAGAAAAGTCGTTTCATTATAATACTAAAAAGCATGGAACTATAATCTAATCTATGGGCTTGAATGCTTGCATATTCTCCATCATCTCCCTCACTTCCGTCTCAGCAAACACCGCAGCTTCCCTCGCAACCGCAAGTTTCTTTCTCCAGCTCATCCGCCGTCATCGCTCTAACAACACCATTCTCCTCAACCAAGCCCATATTGTCAAACCTGCGCAAGGTATTTCCAACTCGAGGCATGAACCCGTGTCTGTCCCAACCACTGTCGTTGAAAGCAAGGACCGCACGAACAGCAGCGGTATTGATATCTCGATGAAGTTCTTCGAGCTTGGAAAGTTGTACCTCCATCCAACGTGCACGTCGTTCGAGGGCAAGGGTCAGCGCAGCAACCTCGTCGTCTTTTCCTTGGCTCTCTTCGCCTCCTTCATCAAGAAAGTCGTCTCCCTTCAACATATCCCTCAACACGCCATCAAAGGAGGAACTATCGTCCCAGGTCGTGCGAGGTAACAGCCGCAGAAGATCGGAGATGGTCTGTGTGAGTGTCTCCAACAGTTGCTGGAAGGAAGAGACAGCGTTATCAATGGATCCTGAAGGCACACTGTTGGCGAACGTGCCACCACCAACCGACAGAGCAGACAGGGCATGCACAAGTGGTCCGTATTCGAGCGGCATCTTCGCAGCAGGGTTGATCTTATGAAGATTGAAGAAGGGATGATTTGGAAGATCCATGGCCGGGTTCATCATGTGGATATCCTGCAGCAAATCTTCCACTGGCGTGGGTCCTTTACGATCCACGGATTGAGAACGAGAGTTGGTGGAGCTCGAGGTCGCAGTGTTTCCTTTGCTCGATGGAAGAAGCGGTACGTCAGAGGCAGTAAATATGGTCGAGGTTTCCTCAGTAACCTGATCCTCTTCTTTTACAGGAGCCTTAGCGGGTTTCGCGATGGGCTTGTTCTTCTTTGGCTTCTTCGAGAGGAGAGGAACCTGGACTGTTTCGGTGGGAGTCGCAGCAGATGCTTGACGAGCGACAGATTTCTCCAATGCCGTGATTTTAGCGCGTTCGCTCGCTAATTTAGCTTCCCTGATGGCGTTACGCAGCTCCCTGTCCTTCTCTGCCTGGGCCGCCCTCTCTTTCTCCAGCTGTGCCAACTTTTCCTCCCTCTCTGCCTTCGCAAGACGCTCCTTCTCTCTCGTTGCCTTTGCTTCCTCTTTTTTGATTTTTTCCTTCTCCAAACGCTCCTTTTCTTGCTGTGCCTTTACTGCCGCAGCCTTCTCCTTCTCGGCAGCTTTTTCCTGCGCAATACGCGCCTTCTCTGCCGCCTTAGCTGCCGCCTTCTCTTGTGCAATCTTCTGCCTCTCGGCTGCCCTTTCAGCAGCAGCAGCCCGTTTAGCAGCTTTGCGTTCCGCCTTCTCTTGGGCTTCAAGATCTTCAGGAGAGACTTCGTCTGTTGTCGGGGCAGTGGGGGCAGTGTCTGTACTCGGAGCTGCAGATGAAAGCGCCGGGAAGTCTGAGGTTGACAAAATCGGAGGTTGTACGGCTGTGTCTATGGATACTGTAGATTGGAACAGCAAGAAATAAAGTAACACAGATTAGCGTCAAAGAAGACGATAATACTAGAGCTCGAGGAGAGGGGGGAGGGTATCAAGCGTATAGTGATGATTTTTAGCGTGATCATAATATTTTTCTTGGCCGCAAAGTCGATGTAGTCCAAACGTAGCGAGATGGAAGAGGTGATAGGACGGTTCATCAAGGCCGATGGTAGATTTTCCGCACTGAGAAAGCACGGGAACTCGGTACGCTGTCCTCCCTCTCCTCAGAGGAACATGGAAGAAACTCACCATTCATGGCTCCATTGGTCTCCATCCCTAATGCACCTGGAAAGTTCGCGTTGGCTTGAGGGTACGCGAGTCCAGGTGGTGATGCATAGTGTAAATGGCTTTGATCCATGGGCTGATACCCCACGTCTTGACCCGACGCGAATCGAGCAGACATAATGGCTGGGTCAGTGAAGGGTTGATGGCCAGTTGCGCCCGGTTGTTCTGGATAACAAGGGAAAAACGAAAAGAAGGGTAAAATGCGAATGGATATAGGATAGCATAGGATACATTCATGCAAGAAGGGGAAAAAAAAGCAAAAAAAGTCCCGTCAACACTCCCATCGGATCATTCATACAAAGAGAAGCGTCCTACCAGCAGAGCCGCTACGCACGGCCGAACCATTGACTGCCCGATCCCGGCTTGATTGGATGAAATCTCTGAGATCTGCTTCACTGATACCGGCATTTATACCGGCGTTGAACAAAGGAAAACGACCTTGCGCCTGTGAATACGGTTGGGCTTGAGCATGCTGCAGCATGGGGGAAGCCATCGCGGAAGGTGGCTGTTGGTAAACATAATCTTGACGTGAATGCAGCGACCACTGTGAGATGGCAGGAGAATGAGGTTGTTGGTCGACGGAGTTGTATATCGAGTGCGTTTCGCTTATGCTGTTACTGACACTGAGAGGAGAAGGAACGTGAAGAGGCGAGGATGCCGCTGTTGACCCTCGTCTGCCCCGAGCAAATCCGAAGCGCGAAACTTTCCTGGTTTCATCATCAAAGGAAGATTTAGTTGGAGAATGCACTTGAGATGAATCCTCGTTTTGCTCTGCAAAAGGGTTGAAAGATCCAACATAATTCGACCCTCCAGTAGACTGCCGCTCGATTGATGGCGAAGACCGAACAGACATGGGGTCGTATATCGACCGACTAGGATTATGGGGATATGGCAAACCCGGCGGCGCCATAAAAGCACCACTGGGAGCACCGGGTCGTAGAGCTGGAAAGGCGTCGACATAGGTGCCAACAAAAGGTGTTTGTGCCTCTGCCTCAAAGTCAGGTAGCTGCACCTCGTTTGCATCGTCGCCCGCAAGCTTGGGATCTAGGTTGAAACTGAACCCGCCAAAGCCGCCATCTCCACCAGACAGATTCTGCAACGTACGATCAAAGTCGGGGAAAGGACTTAGCGCTGAGACAGATGGCGGAGGAGCTTCGCGTCGGGCCTTGACATCATCAAGTAATGCTCGTGCTGCATTTGACATCTGATATGAAGTCTGCATGGCGAGAAGTGGCGTTTGTGGAGACGCTGTCTCTGTGCGGGGTGGGCGCGCTGGAGAAGGAAGACCTGGCGGCGCTGACAGACCCGGGGGAACTGCGGGGAGACCTGGTGGAACAGAAGGCGGTAGCGACTCGGATGATTTAGCAGGAGAGAGAGAACCTGGCTCCGACTCGGCATTGCCAGATGGAGTAGGAGACGGCGGCTGGGTAGGCGTTGAAGGCTTCTTCTGCAGAGACTTCGCCTCACCAGGAGTTAAGGGACGTTGTGGAAGTGAGGCAGGCGTGGAAGGACGAGACGATAGCTGCGACGTGGACTTTGCAGACCTTCTATCCTGTTGTACACGGGCATTCGATGGCCGAGACTCAGTTGCAACAGGACGAGTTTGTCTGCTACCACCCCGCCGACTCTGACGCGAGACCGGGATAGTCGAAGGCGAAGAAATGCTGGAGGAAACAGTCGTCGACGCGACAGGTGCCGTTGTTTTGTGTCCCCAAGCTGCGGCACGCGGTAGCCCTAGAAGAAACATTCATAAGTAGAAAGTTCAAAGAGGTCTTAATGCGTACCTTCAGCTTCTTCCCCTTTCTTTCCCATAACCGTTCTTGTTCGGCTTTCTGTTGCTTTGATCGTATGTTTACTGGAATGGAGTGAGTCCAGGAACACAAGAGGGAATGAAGAAGACAAACAGAGTCGTCAAGTCCTCCTTCGTAAAGCAGTCCTTTTCATCTCCCCATTCATGCAAATTCATGCAACTGTGATCGCTACATGTAGCACCCCGCAAGAAGGCCATGCAGTATTTCGTAGTTCCGTAGCTGGCTCTCATCACTTCACGGCCGCCGCCAGGAGATGGTGTTCCAGTCGACAGCGGCGATGGCGCGTGCAGCATCTTCCCGTCTGTGATATGTGATGTACAGCCCAACAACGGGCGCACCGCCTCCCGATGGTGTCCTCTTGACCAAAACGATCTTCGTGATTTTCCCATACTGGCCAAAATATTCGTTTGAACGTAGCGTTGGAATAAGCTGCGCAAAGAAAATGAGAACCGTGGCGTGAGTGAAGGGAAGGACAGTACCTCTTCCTTGGCGAATCGAGGTCCTATTCCGACTACGTACACGACATTGCGTTGAACGACACGCACATTGGCCAGATGGCGTCTACCCAAAGCGTCGAGCTCCTTGCGCTCTCGTTCGCGTTGCTTCTTCTGCTGGGTCAGACGCTTGTGGCTAATAAATCAGGTTATAATGAGCGCGCCAAAAAAAGAAACGCCTGATAACTGCACGCACTCTTGAGGCGAAATGGGCTTGAACTCTACGCCCTCATCTGTGTACACTCTTCGGCAAGCTGGACAACGCTTGTTGAGGTTCTCTTTGATGTGGTGCCAGCAGAAGCGACAGATCTGTTTTGAAGAGTCAGTAAAAAGGTACAGAGGAGCTGTATGCGATATACTACCTGGTAGCCGCAGACGCAAGGCTTGAAATTGAGATCCGAGATATCCATTTCTTCCAAGCAAAGCGGACACTCTGCATCTTCCTGTAGATTCGAAGTAGACAATGAACAATGGGGAGAGTGTAAGTCAAAAATGCTTAAAGACTGACTGCTTCTTCATCGTTCCAGTACGCGTCCTGGACTCCGGCCAGTACGTGGGACTTGGATTGCGAGATAGAAAAACCCTGGTGAACGACAGGCGCTGGTAGAGCATGGTGAGAATGGACTCTTGTAGCGGACATGGTGTACGAAGCAATAAGGGAAGAGACGTTGGAAGGAAACGCTCGAGGGTGTGGTAAAAGACGAAGCGGTGAAGCTGGAAACGCGATGTGCACAGCGACAATGAGGCCTTGTATTATCTAAGCAATTTTGTTTGTTTGGTTGCCATTTGTCCTCGCTTGCCGACACGATGCCGTGCATTCCTTGATTCTGGATCACGCCCGACTCGACTTTGCAAGTGGGCCAGATTGTTAGTCTTTACATACTCTGCTCAGTGCTCAGTGCTAGCGACAGCCGCTCGTGTAGACTAATTACCAGTCGCTTTTTCACCTGGCTCCAATAGTCTTTTCATATCTGCTGTTCTGTTGCTGTTGTCCGACTTCCGTACATTACATCAAGTTCCTAGCCACTGATTTAGCACACTCGGCTGGATCGACACATGCAGTACCCAGCCGGCCTCGACCTCCCGGGTCAGCTGCTCATTCCCGAATCGTCCTCGTGCACGTTCGGGCTCACCTCGCATACTTCCTCTAAGATCCTACCGACATCAAGTTCTGGCCGCCATCCTAATCATGTTCTATACGTACTCTGAACTTCTAAACCTCTGTCGAGCGATTACGATTGCCAGCGTTATCAGGAGTAAGTGGCCAAGGCATCCTTCCTTGGATATCTGCAACGGAACAAACGCCACTTTAGCTATGGATCTCGCCTTTTCCTTAATGCTGTATGAATGTGAATGATCCCAGATGGGTGCGTTCATCGTATGAGTAATTGAATTATACTGAGAACCTAAAATGGACGCCTCAGCACGCGAGCAAGGGTGCGGGTGGGATGATACTTACATGTAATATCATTGATCGTTTAAAATATCCCACCTAATCTCAGCACCATCTCCGTACCTGCTCAGAAGCCACTCATTGGCCTTACGAAAATGACCATTCCCAATAAATCCTCGATGCGCCGATAGCGGTGAAGGGTGCGCAGATCTAGAATAGTTCAGACTTGCGGACTCCAAAATACACTCGAGAGTATTACCTCAAAACGAAGTGCTTTGTCTGAGAAAAAATAGGTCAGTGCCGAGAAAATACGGATTGAAAAAAGCACGAACTTCATCAATACCTATCTTGTCGCATGTCTTTTGGGCAGGAAGCCCCCAGGCCATGAAAACGACGCCATTTCCATCGGCCCTCGAAGTGACGGCTCTGATGACCTGAGCAGTAAAGGTCTCCCAGCCCTTACCGGCATGAGAATACGCTTTATGGGCACGGACTGTGAGGGAAGTGTTAAGCCAGAGTACCCCCGAGCGAGCTATTGGACTAAGATCTCTAATGGTTCAGAATCAGCATAAAGAATAGATAACGGGGAAACTTGTCAAATGAGTACCCAGTCTGAGGTATAACAAAAGAAGGTATATCGTCTGATATCTGTTTATATATATTCCGTAGCGAGCCAGGAATCTTTGTTGGCGGCAAAACCGAAAACGATAATCCTGATGAAGACGTTCACAGAACCATTCGGTGACAGATATAGTAAAATACAAACCATGAGCTTGTCCGACATTGTGATACGGATCCTGAAGACTATTGTCAACAACGGATGAAGTACCAAGGACAGTATTTCTTACCTGACCGAGGATAACCACCTTCACAGCGTCAAGAGGTGTAAGCCGCGACCAAGAATATACGTCCGCCACTATTGACATATGAGTCTGGAAAGCCGTAAAGGAACGAGACCCCTACTCGGTGGGTAAACGGTGTACGATTTGTGCTCCTGAAGCAAAAACTGTTTCAACTGCATATAAAGTAAGCACATACACAACAAAAGACACCGAATAATCAGTACTCCCCTTCAAAAAATAATCCTTGTTAAATTCAGGTTGCAATGCGTCGTACCACGATTTGTGCATGGTATTTAGCTCGAGAGTAGACAGGACAAGTCCAACAGTGGGAGGTGGCAACACCGACAAATCGTCCTTTGTGGCACGGTCGACATGGGGGGTGTTATGAACCATTGATGTCCTGGTAACACTTGGAAGAAATAAAAAGCATCAGAATTGGTTCAGGCCAGTAACGCAGACTCTGGCTGCCGGTACCAGCGTAATCATTGAAGCAAAATGACTTACTGAGTAACGGTTGATCTAACAAGTCTCCCAGCGCGTGATATCGTAGTCATAGCGTGAACCGATTCCTCGTCGTCCTTAGTAGTTTTATGCGTATGCTTGGGCTGTCCAAGGTCGTCGAATGAACGAAGACGCGTTGTGTGGCTATGTTGACATCCGAATTGGTGATACGGTCCGGAGTCGCCACTTCACCAACTTCAGTACGTACTACGAACGTAAAAATTACTTCTAAGTACTAGAAGCGAACCACAGATATTTATACCAGAAAAAGTAGCAAGCAATTCACCGGTTCGTCTCCACGCACCCAAAGAACCGTAACCTTCCTGCCACTACTACTCAATGCCATAGAAATGATTCCATTCTGCTCAGCAATGATACAAATAATAAATACATGAGGCTACAGCAACAGAGATTGCAAACAAAGCATGTACATGATAACAGAACAAATGCAGGATAAAAAACGAGTCCATCGCTTACACGTACGTTCGCACAAACACTCCCCACTCTTCTATAACTTTCTTCACAATGCCATCCCACTCTCTCCCCGTGTAGGGACCCGACGTAATACGCTGAAACTCGAAGATCTCTTTATGAATGGTCCCACCTAGATAGACTTTCATGAAACGAGCTTCATGCGTGATGGTATGAACCAAACTTACAATCCTTACACGGCTGGCCCTGCCCACCATTACCATTACCCACCCTTCCACCTCGACCATTTCTCCTCTTCGGAGAGGAAACAGAAGGCGATTCGGTGGGGAATACTCCCGGTACTAGCTCGTGGACCCGCCTTAGATTGGGCCGGACCCTTCCCTTTCCCTTTCGAAAACGGCTTCCAGCCCGGCTGGAGGTAGGCCGCATTCACTGCTAGGTCCGCCAATTCCAGGTGTATCAACCGTTCTAAACCAGTCGTCAGACCATAGACGAGTCCATGCCAACGAACTCACCCAGCCGGTGACACCACACATCCTCGTTCCCGCCCTCCGGCAAAATTACGCGTCCTTTCATCAGCGAAGTCTCATCTCCGCCATCCCCGACAGAGCCAGGATAGAAACCTCTGAGAACCTGCTCCTTCGAACCACACTGCTTGCCCCACTCATTCAATCTTTTCACGACATTGACCGCACGTCCCGACTTTGAGCTGAATAGTCTTGCTATCATCGGGGTTCCGAATCTCGAAGGTATAGATGTACCCCTCAACATCGGACTGAGAACGCGCTTTTTCCATCTCTACGCGTAGAGCCACTTGCGTATCTGGAGCAAGATACGAAGGGATATAATCTGGGGTAAGACAACGAATGCAGACACGCGTAACAAGACCGGCAAATACGTACCTGCAAAATCCACCCACTCTGACCCTTCAGCGCCTTTCCGTCGAGCGTAAAATCCACTAGGATCAAGAAGCTCTTTCGTATGCTGGAAACAGAACCGTTCCACTCCAGGAAGCGCCGCTCCGCCATTCTTCACTTGTCGCGTGCATCGCCTTCCCGCCTTTGTGACACCCGAACATTGGGTATCTGGAGGCGCGTTTGGATCGGGAGGCGTTGACGACGCGCGTGGTCGCCCCGTTTTTGACCCTGCAGCTGACGCTGAGGTTCGCGCTGAGGGCGAGGGCGAACCGGGGGTCGATGAAGGCACAGCATACTGTCGCCGGGGAATTTCTGGAGCTGAATGGGCCCTCGGAGGATCCTCTGGTAGATTCAAGGCATGCCGCATGGTAAGAGACACCGCCGGCTGGGGCATCTGCATTGCTGGAGGCCGCGGTAGCGGTTTGAACCCGCCAATGAATGAGTGCGTCGTTGCATGGCTGGGCCGTGCAGGCGACAGCCGAGGTTCGTGAGTGGTGAGGTTGTTGAAAGCCTCGACTGGTGGCTCGTTGTCGACAGGCTTTGGTGAGCTGGGTCGCCTCTCCTCGAGGTCAAAAAGCTTTGCAATGAAGGCCTTGGTCTTGCCCATCGTGGTGGACGGATGGAGAGCGGTACCGTGCCCTTTGTCACAGGCCAGCCTTCGCATCAATATCGGAGAATCGGCCCGGAGCGCGGCGGTGCTCACTTTCTTGAGTACCGCCCATAACGACCTCGACGTCTCTAACATCACGAAAAAAAGACGGGTGTGAGAAAAGCGAGTAAAATAATAGACAATCTTCTGTTATATATTAACAAGGAGGGAAACAGATAGGCATCGAGGCCTTCCAGTGGCGCGGTGAGTGCTTTGACATCTTGTCTTGAGCTTCAAGCAATGTCAAAAATAAGAAAATTGGTTCTGGCAAGGACTTTATCGTCTTCAATATAACTGAAAATATTCAAAACTGTGCGAAGCGACAAAAAATAACCTATTTCCTTTTCTTCACGGCTTTTCTCTCCATCTCGAATCTCGAGCGCTTCCTTTTCTTCATCGGCGCATCGTCCTCTATCGGCAGAGACTCCCTCCTAGCATCCCTGCTTCTCTCAAGGACTGATCCACGTTTACTTCGCTGCCTGAGCTCATCGTAGCCGTCACCTCCACGTCCATTCCCACGGTCAACATCGCGCAGAACATCGGCAAATTCATCGTCAAACCCTCTCCCTCCACGGCGGACGCGACCCTTGCCCTCTTCACCGACGCCGCTAAGGCCACCACCCATAGCAAGAGCTTCTTCGTCCCGTCTCCGTCTCCGCGCCTCCTTCTTGCTGAGCATGACTCGTCCGAACTGTTCTTCTTCAAATTCGGTCAGGCGCTTGAGGTACCGCGCACGGGACGACTGGTTATTGAGGGACGGCGTCGAGCCCAATCCAGATGTGGATTCGGTATAAGGAAGCGTGGGATCAGCATCCCGCAGAGCGCTAAGCGTCGTAGGTATCGGTGCCCTCTTCTTATTTTTGTCTTTCGAAGTAGGGATGTAAGGTGTGGGAGCCAACCGCGGAGGACGATAGATCCCGTCGCTCGAAGCAGTTGGCCCATCATTCCCTTCTTCTTCACCCTCTGACACGTCGTCATCGTTGTCGTCAATGAGGATTCCCGGGGTTAGGTCGGAACGCCAGCGGATCTGCGATAGCAACTTTAGGGGCAGCAAATGACACAAAGTTCAGCGCTTACCATTGGTTGCATCCACAGCAGTATCGTCTTTGGCAAGACGAACCAGCTTGTCAGTTTGGTACCGCATTCTGCCTCTCTAAAACTTTAATTTTCTCGAGCATAATTCTGCCTTCTATCAAGGAGTCCACAAGGTCCCCAGGTCCGTCTCCACGGGTATCACGATCCGGGTCACTGAATGGCTGTTGCGGAGGAGATCTAGGTTGCGAGACTGTGTGAAAGGGACTCTACGGCATGACAGCAATAGTAGAGACTGCATATAACTGAGCAGGACATGATTCTTCAGTGATAGAAGGGATATTCCATCAGACGTGTCATTCGGTCTGGGAACAACTGTTACATTCAGTCTTGGAAGTGCGTAGAGGCGACACGACGTACTTGGATGCGAGATCTTGAATGACTTCTCGGACAGATGAAATGCTCGTAGCCATTTCATCGTGTAATGTGCTTACTTGCACCGCCGGATCCGCCATCCTGTTGAAAAATTGTGAGCGTCACGCAGAAAAAGAGCCAGACAATGATGAAAAAGTCAGTTAACGGGTTTCTAAGCCGCCGCTCGTAAGCGTAGTGCATTACAACAAGGTAAATTCAGAGCCCAGTGCGTTTCATCCTATAGAAAAAAACAGAAAAGGACTTACCCACTGGTGGTTAGATTCCAAGTTGAAAATTTTCAACTTATTTGTGCACAAGGATCCAACCAAACTACGGCGGATAATTTCCTTTTTGGCACATCTTCGCATGCTTGTGTTTTCACACACCCCTTCGAGTAAGCACACTCGTGTATGCCCGCCTTTTATACAATGCTGGCCCCTTTTGCTCTGCAAACTTGGCCCGTGATCATCGCATGTTTCGGTTCGACTGAATGTCAACCCGTGTCCCAATGACGTTACTTTGGAGTATTGCATTCCCATGGACCGTTCCCACTGCTCTGCCTCTCTGTCCATGACGATGCAATCCGGTCATGAATTACTTCAATTCCCTTCAGAAGATAAATCAGAAATTGTTGGGTGTCTTCCCTCCCCACTTGACCTGAATCCTTTTATCGACGTTGTTTCTACTGAAGCAGTAAGTTTGGTTTCATTCGCCACCAGGACGACTTGATAGCTTTCTCTCTGTCTAGTCTTGCGATCCGTCCGATAAGATGACCATCAGAGTACCCAGCCACCTGGTTCGGGGACCTGCGCCGGCGAGCGCACAAGAAACCACCGATGAGCCTTTAACGCCGCCGGTATATACACCCTTTTTAAGGTCTCAACGGGTACTAATCTTCAAAAGTCTTCAGACGAAGGTCCCAACGAGAGCAAGGAAAGATTCGTGGATGTTTCCACAACTTTCTTTCCCGGAATGACAAGCCATCCTACGGATATCATCCTTATCTCGTCTGATAACGTTCAATTCCACGTTCATCTCAACGTGCTTTACGACGCATCAAGTAATGGTTTTGCATCCTTGCTCGCCACTCGGAGCACCGCCACCCAGCCAGATCCTGGAATTCCCATCTTAAATATTCCAGAGCAATCAGACATTCTGAACGTCGTGCTCCTGACGATTTATGGTAAACCTATCGCCGATTACCGCCCAGCTTTCAATGTCCTGGTCGCAGCAGTAGACGAGCTCGAAAAGTACGGAATCCAACCTAACCGCTACGTAAAGCCTACCCAACCACTATTTGAACTCATTCGTTTTCATATGCCTCTTCATCCCCTCGACGTCTACGTACTTGCCGCCCATTATAATCTTTTCGAACTGGCTGAAGCGGCTTCCTTCGCACCTTCTCTCCGCCAAGCTTGATACAATCACAGAGGAACAGGCCATGCGCATGGGAGCTGTTTACCTCAAGCGCCTCTATGATCTTCATAGTAGGCGAATAGATGCTCTCAAAAATATATTGATCCGGCCTCCGAAACCTCATCTCTCGATCCCTACCTGCAGTGTCTCAGACCAGACTGGAATTTCCAGGGCATGGGCCCTGTCTGCCGCCTACCTCATCTGGGACGCCCGACCCGGTAAGTATATCCTGCAAGACTGTTGAAGATACTCAAGGATATGGGATCTCCAATTTTTCAAAGACATGTCCGTTAGATACATCGAGTCCACTATGGGCGCGTTGAAGCAGCACGTGTCCTGTGAAGATTGTAAAGAGAGCATCGATGCCCAAGTCAAGCAGTGCGTCGTGGACTGGTCCTCCATGAAGGTTAGTCCGTTATTCATCTCCCGGAACGCTTACTAAGTAGTCTATCTGACAAAAGTGGTCGATCTGAGGGAGGAGGGTATGGTTCATGATTTCTCGTTGCTCCTTCAGTGTCATCATTTGTACAATGCTACCGCTCTCACTACGCTTATCTAATTTTCGGAATCATAGTTTACTTGTATCGTACAAAGCAATGGATTGTGACTTACTGTACGCGCTGACACTGAGGCCGGAGTGCGCTGAAGAAGTGCTTGAGAATCGATGGAACGCAAAGACTGCAAACGCATGACATAGGTGAATCCCATCGAGAGGGTATTATCCGCATATCCCCACTCGTCTCAAAACGGGCGCCAATCGATCCTAAACAGGATAAAAAGAACGTGGAAATCTCTCTGCACACAGATGCCCAATTCCACCAATCTGCACTACAACTGATCTTCGCGAATGAAATGTTGCGACGCGATTTGGAGATCGCACAGTCCGATTCTTCAACGGGAAGCTATCACGTTACAGCATTTGTTTTTCTTGGATCGGAGATGGTAGTTCATGAGAAGATCGGCCGGATTTTCCCATCTGAGGCTCCAGGGGACGTACACGTTATGGCTGACTCTACCGAGGGAGATCGACAAGGCAAGTTAATCTGTCGGACTGATGCTTTCCGTACAAGCATCGCATAACTTAATCTGGAAGCAGGGTCACCACGCATATTAGGGCAGAATTAACTCGGAATCCAGGCACTAATTAGTACTTCCGTTCGCGACGCTCTCCCAGACAGCTAGCCCGCTGTTGTCCTGATTCCGTAATAAACGAATTCTTCACAAATAACACGAATAGCGCTCATCCAAGGAACCCTTCCATCCAACTAATAGTTGTACCTCAGGACGCAAATCAGGCATCGAAAGTGACAAAGAGCCGCTTACCGCACATCCAACAATCTAACAAATGGAAAGGATCGCTTGACTTTCGAGTCAGTACGAGAACTTGCGGATAGCATGTGTACCACCCACTATTTTTTCTTTATCTGAACCAGCCGGGCATAGTTGGTGTTGAGATAAGCGGTAATTCTCCAGCCGCTCACCCGGATATAGCAGGGAACCCTCGCAAACAGGCGAGGGTTGTCTTCATTCGACTACCTATTTATCTACTCGCCGTGTACACTAATAGAAGCAACAGGATGTAATAAACGAGTTCTTGCCTGACTAACCCTGACAACCGATGATCCCGACGTCAACTGCGCTGTGATGCACGACACTTGAAACTCCAACAGTTGGATCCCCAAAAGGCTTCTATGATCGTGTTGATACGAGTAAATACTACCTGAAGAGATAGAGCGCGTACCTTCGTGGTTGGGCTCATATACGTCACACTCATTCTATAGTGACACTCATGAGGAATGGAGAGGTGACAGCGTAGTCGATATCACTCACGAGGTATACACCGGATTCTGGCGAAAAATCTCTCAACGATTGAGTGATGGTGCTCACGGATTCGTATTGACTTCGCATATCTTGAGCCGTAGAGTTCCAGCTAAATGTCCTAGACAACGACATCTTTTTGCATAGGTTAATAACGTAAAATAGCATGGAAACATTACGGACATGCCACAGCGCATTTCGCCACGCTGGAGTAACACTGGTGGATCCTTCGGTATAATTGTACAAGAATTGAGATCCGACCACTCGGATATAAGGGTTAATCGAGAACTGCTGTACCATCCTAGTTAGAATGTCGAGTAACTCAGCCTTGCCACTGTCAGTGGTAAACTTTTCGGCAGGTATCAAGCGACTTCCAAGAGTAGTCTCTACACCGACGCCCTGGAAAGAGTGTCAGTGGGCGTACGCTATAAACATGGAGAATCATCAACTCGCAGCTTCAGCGGATAAAACATATTTTGTGAAGAACGTCATCCAAGAAGGAAGCTCTTCTACTACAGCTGTTCCGTTTTGCGCAAGAGCATAATCGACGATGGGCTGAACAGATACCTGCGCCTCCTCCAGAGTTAGTAGAGGATTGACATTGATTATGCCGTTAGACTATGGAAATACTGTAAACAAATTCCAAGGACGTGCAGTAGAACAACTGCAAACGTACCCTCATATGGCCACCCCACCCTTCAGTTCCCCATCTGTATGTATGGTCCACGAGGAGTTTCAGAAAGGGCACACCATTCTCAGCTGTTTGCGGAAATGATATGGCAGCGCTAGCCTTTCGTTATTAGAATCCACGGCATCCGACGCAGACCGCTTACACTATGAGACTCATTCTGTGGCTGTACGAGCATGGTAGACTCTAGAACGACGCCAAAAGTCGATCCACCCCCACCTCGAAGCGCCCAGAAGAGATCAGGGTGTTGGAATTCATTCGCAACTCGAAACTTTCCATCAGGCGTAACAATCTTGAATTGAAGCTTATCCATACATGAGTGGCGGCGTAAAATAACCGGAGGTTGGGAATGAATAACGAACCACACGGTCTACGCCAAAGCCGTAAACAGGCGTAAGGACACTATGGCCGCCGCCCTGAATGGCGTAAATCAGTGTATAAGTTATCTGATCAAGTCTCGAGTTACTTGCCATAACCCATCCGCCGCTGGGTGTTACCGTTTGATGGTAGGCACCGATGATGGTGACGTTATTTGCGTCAGCAAACTCATAAACATCCTGAAATGGTACACCGGCCTATACAGAGAATTGAATAAACGTTGTATGCTGTTCGATTCTAGGTGAGCATACCCCCATGGTTATAGCCCGATAACTCTTGTTTCCTCCTTCCGGGACGAAATCTGCCGAATATTTCAACTAAGACAAAAGGACAATGAGCTCGGCCGAATTGTGACTTGGACGAGTTGAACCAACATACACTGTCGAGATTTCGGGTCTCGGAAAAGGAACACTCGTCGGTCAGCGGGCCTTCGAACACATGATCAAAAAATATGACAAACCCATAACTGAAAGTGAGCCTGCGTAGGCTCGACCTGCCCTTGTAATCATGACCAGATGCTTTAATAGACAAGGGTATGCCCGTGGCTTTGGAAAATTCAAGGGCTTTTCGAACATCTTCAGCACTTTGTACATCAATCTGTTGGAGGCAGTGAGTGTGTCTCTTAGAAATCAAAAGGGAAACACTACATAATGTGCAGGCACGCTTCCTTGAAGACAGTCACTCCCTTCGAAGGCAGCCGGGTTGCTGGTATTGGAAGGATCGAGTAGGCATCTCTCGGAGGTTCGTTGACAGGTCTCCCATTGCGGCTGGTCGTGTTAGTCGGTGCTGTAAGCACGGCACCATTGATCAAGCTGATCGCACTCACCATCATATACGCGCTGAAATGTGAGGATCGGACGGTCGCATTGGCATAATCAGCCTGAACTTCAGCGCATTCGATCTCGCTGGGTGTGTCTGGTACCCCATTTACAGTCGAGAAGCACGAAGCTGCAAAAGGGAGAGTCGTATGAAGTCGTCCGTCGAGTGAATCAGCCAAATTTTTCCAATCATTAGCAGTTGGTGTAGCAAAGACGGGCCAGTAAAAAACAGAAAAGACAAAAAGACGCCTCGAGAACATCGGAGAATCAAGCTAGGTTAGCGAAGTTCAGCCTCGCATGACTATGTCCCGTGCTTTTCTCTGTAGGGGTGCTGAATATTGTGGGAACACATAAAGGAAGACGAACAGATGAAGATGAGTCGTAATACTAGTAAACATCCACTTCAAGGTGCCGACTGCTTCTTACGGCAACTGTAACGGTTTTTGGCAACGAAGATCACCGGCATCCTTGAAAGGCATCTAGCTGTTGGCAACTTCTCACCTAAAGTCGACATCATCTCTTAGAGTATTAGATCGGATTACACACCGCTCAACGACATGCACATCGTATCCGACGACAAATGACAAGTATGAAGGTCGACGCACGAGCGCGACGAGAGTAAAAGTATTGACTCGGATTCCTTCTAGAGCACATAGACCTATAAAGTAACGAAGACACTCACAGACCGTTCCAAATCATTCCACCTTGAGCTACGTAGCTAAGCTTCCTCGACTCGTTCATAGGGCCATTCAAGATGTCCACCTCAGTGAGGTAGACAACAAAATCAGCCAGCTTCCCAGCACGTAGGGATCCGACGGAAGAAGACACCCAATGTCTGCGCAGCATTCGATGTCGCCGCCTTATACACCTGGGAGAAAGTATAAAGCGATTTCTGAGTACTACTAAGGGCTCGGCACATACCTCCTAATTGCTTAGCCCGCCTTGTTGTATAAAGAACATGTCGGCATAGTAATTTAAATCCAACGGAGGCTCTCCATGAGCACCGATACGCGTCTCCAGTCCCATACGAACCATCTTGGCAAACGATGCCGAGGTATTGAACAGAGCATATGCTAAACATTATGAGAGTGTTAATAACGGATGAAACTAAGAGTGTGAACCAGACCAACATGACCACGGCCTCGATGTGGACTCCGTCAGACCTTCCAAAATATCGTGCCGTACGAACTTTCTTAATCTGCCAGGGGATTCGGGGATTAGGGTCTGTTACCACAGCGGCTTGACGCTTACTTAGGATCATTTGGGACGTCTTCTGTAGCCCAGACAAATTGTTCACCTAAGTGCTCCTCCATAATTAACGAGATGCGTGAGAGAGGCACCAGTACCATTGTTGGCGTACAGCATCAAAACATCATCATACAATGTAGGGACTGGGATAGGATGCTCGACCGTTGTCATCCTGCATGAAACCCGTCAGCCAAGATGTCAAAAGGACAAGTCCATCATCCCACTATCCAAAATATAAGTCAAATCCCAATCATAATTCATACCACTCCGGGACACATAACATGCTCAGATTGCGAGCAGCAAGTAGAAGCCGCTGCCGAGATGCACTTGAAAAATATAAACGTTAACTAGCCGAGGAGGCAGAAAAATTTATTGAAAAAGCTCACCGGAAAGGCTGATTATAATTCTTATACGATGTACTGATCGGTCCACCTTCAGCCTTGATCCTGATAAGAGTAGAGTATGCTTCATCCATATCCGCGGTGGTACCCAGGATCCCCCGCGCCATATATGACATCGCCAATTTGGAATATCCGGGACCAACAAATGGCCTCGTTCAACTCTGCTTCATTCAATGAATCCATCCACAGTGGAAGCGCTAGGGCTATTACAAGGAATGAATAGAAAATCATGAACATGAGGAAATGAGCATAATACCTACTTGTGCAATGTCGTAACACCAAACGCTAAGTAAGTTCCATCTCCCAGGACTTTGCAGGCATGGGATTCTCAAATCCATCCCAATGAGCATGTAATCGAAAAATCCTGGCACAATAGTTGCTGTGTGAGTATCTCTTTAGTAAAGTAAGCTAATAAAAGGGTACGAATTACCGACCTCCGTGCATATCGATAACAGTAGCCTCCTGTCGGTATAACAACAGTGCTCAATGCCGCAGCAGTAGTGATGACACCTCCCCGAATGACCAACAATGCCTCACGAACCAAGTCCTTCTCAAACTCCCCCGTTTCCATCGTCAGCAGGGTAGCGTTATAAAGAACAAGGAGATCAGATTCCGGATGCGAAGCGGTACTAGCGACATCCTTCTTCAACCATGAGATATCAGTCGAGTGCTCAACAACGATTTCTTGGTACTCCAAGAGATTTTTGACGCAGTCAATGCCGAAAGTAAGATGATCCTTCCGGATTGTCGAGGTGCACCTGCTCAGTTTAGACACCTCCAGGAAGTGTAAATACGGACCTAGACCAACCAACGGCTTAGAGATGACAAACAAAGGGAAAGCGGAAGAAACTTGTGCACACCCAAAAACCAAAAGATCTTTTTCCCATCTTCACTCCACGTAACATCGTGGCCTCCATCCAGACTCAATCGTACCAACCCATCAGTCGCATTCCCAGGTTTGACCATGCTTCCTCCCCTTTCAGACTTTTCCCGGGCGCAAGATAAACATGGAAAAAGTCGACAAACGCGACCTTGTCCGCTTTAATATTGAACCTGTTGCCGCTTAACTTCTTCAGCAGAGAAATAGCCCCAGAAGGCGACGTCAAGGAAAACAGCCATTTCCTTTGATATCTTTCCCGTAGCCAGAGTATAATTGGGCGGTTTTCCGTCTGCATCTGGGATCCCGGATAGATCAATCACAAAAGATCGATCGGACCGTTGTACTAGAAGCTCAGAATTTGATTCCAAGAAACGCATATTGATGCGCTGGTAGTTCGCAGTCTCTATGCCTACGAGGTATCATCGATTTTCCTCGTCTCTGCTAGTCGCTTTTCGATATGAGCAGCAAAACGGACAGGGTAGGGTGTTCCAGAAGAGACCTATTCACCATAAGAGTTCGTTTCCAAAGGGACAGACTAGATATTACCCGCGGCCCAGATCATGCTCCAACTGATTCTTTGCTAGTACGTCACACAACAGGCCGCCTAGATCACTTTCTGGGATGGTATCTTGGTCGAAGGCTGGAGGGTACACCAGAACAAGTGCAGCAGGTCCGGTTGACAAGATTTTTAAACTTGGTGCGATAAAGATAGTCAAGAGATAACTTGTCAAAAGCCAAGATTCAGCGTTCGATGAGGATTTTATATATAATGCGAGCCACTACTTGAGTTGGAGTAGCCATATCTGTATCGTATAAAATCTTGGAAAGTCAGCTGATATTGGACCGTTCTTACTGAGAAGTTCGAGTGTCATGAGAACGACCAGTGGATTCTCCGGGCCGCTCGATACTGGAGGATAAGTATTTCACCCAGGCCTTAACAATCGAAGCCTTGTACCATGTCGACCCCAAAGCGTATCTGTCAACTTGTCAAAGTAAGTCCTACTCATCCTTTTCATGGTCCCGCATGCTTATCAAAATGGCGATTCAGTTGAAGCCATCTTCCGAGGCAGAATACAGAGAATGTCACGCCGCCGTGTGGCCTGGCGTCCTTGCGGCGCTTGAACGTGCCCATATCGTCGATTACTCCATACATTATTATGCGCCACTTCATCTGCTCATTGCTAATATGAAGTACACTGGTATTGATTACAAGGCCGACATGAAGAAAGTTGCTGAGGATCCTGAGACGCAGAGGTGGCGGGCGATGACGGATGGAATGCAAGAGAGTCTAGTCGAAGGCGCTATTGGTAGTGGGAAAGATATACCGTGGTGGGCTGTGCGTACGTTTTTGCTACTCTTCCATCCTACTAAATGGATCGGAGCAGGATGTCGAAGAGGACTTTAGGTTCGAAGGAAAGCCTTGAATAGAACAACTGAAAAGAAACGGTATCATACATCTGCCAGAGAGTTACCATAACTCACCGGCACCATTGGAATTATAGATATTCAATCCACTCACAGTAGCCTGGAGGTGAGTAAGCGGATGAAAAAACGGGAAATGCCGATTGAGTTTGGACCGTGACGTGACGTTCCAAACCGGGCCGGGGTAGCCAGGGACTTCATTTTATGCCAATCCCTTTTCGACCCGCCTACGAACTTGACCGGTAATTAACCAGTAACCAATCGAGACTCAAGAGATGATGACTGCCGACCGAATTCTCAGTGAGATGTACAAACTATCCCGACCGCTTTTGCTAAGGTGAAGCTTCGGTAAGACACTGCTGAACAGAGGCGGCCGCTCTTCTCTTTGCATTATTCGTAGAATTGCTCTTACATCTTTTCTATAGTTTCGAAAACTTACTGGGGACGTATAGTACCTTTCTGGACAGATGTATATGCGCCACTCGGCTAAATCCTGAAGCAGAAAGGGACCGCTTGTAGACTCCTCAATTCATACCCATCACCATCACATGACCTCGCTACTGCTACTTGTACCTCTCTGAGTCTCTCTTCCCTATTCACGCGGAGTTGCGGACCGGCTTTCGATCATCTTCGTAGTGCGAGACGATCGATCCAGCCTTCCCAACCGTACCACTCAACAAAATGTGGTTCTTCATCCTTACCTCCGCTTTCCTCGTCGCTCATCTCGCCTTGGCTCAGACTGTTGCAACGGAACTCTACTCCTCATTGATCCCTTCCAAGGTTCTAGCCACAGCCAACAAGCTGAACAATAAATTTCCTCAGTATACCGACTCGACTGCAGGTGCTTGGAAATTGTTCACTGCCAACAAGTGGACCTCTGGCTTTTTCCCAGCCTCGCTGTATGCGTTGGAGAAACGCAAGATGATGTGCGGGGCGTCCTCTGCAAATGGTCTAAATGCGGTGGACTGGGCGGATCTGGGGCGGAAAACGAGTGCTGGGTTGGCCGCCTTGACGATGAACAACAGTGTTGGACACGACGTGGGGTTTTTGAGTTTCCCGTATGTGGATGAACTGAGCATGTTAGTGATATCTCTCTCTCCGGTCGAGCTGAATAGCTGGATTTGCTTAGCCATCCAACCAACGCAACTACGGCTAAGATTGTGAACGGTTTTGCGAAATATCTAGCCGGGCGATTCAATCCTACTGTGGGGTGCACGAGAAGTTGGGGTTCGCCTAACGCTACAGATTTCACAGTACGTACTCTGATGAACTTGGTGCATTGGTGACGCGATAAATCCCTTACAGGTGATCATTGATAATATGATGAACCTCAATGTCCTCATGGTCTCTGCGCAATTAACTGGAAACTTGACGTTGAGGAATATCGCTATCTCACACGCCAACACGACCATGAAGAACCATATACGAGATGATGGCATAGTCATTCCCTAAATTCGTCAAATCATATCTGACCTCGTAACGTAGGTTCAACATGGCACGTAGTACAGTATACAACCACAACGGGTGCCGTTAGAGATAAAAGGACTAGCCAAGGATACTCTGATAGTAGGTAAGAGGGTTGATCTTGCTCTTTTGACTTCGCGTCAGCTTGCTACAGTACATGGAGCCGAGGACAGGCTTGGGCGGTGTATGGGTTCGCAAACAGTAGGTGACAGCTCTCTACTAAGAGGTGATTTGTCTAATCCAATAGCTTCAGTGTACAATTGGACTGGGAACAACAATTATCTGAAGACAGCCCGACATGCAGCTACATATTTTCTGAACACTCTTCCTCCTGATGGAATCGTACCATGGTATCTTTCCTTCTTCGCGGCGCTGAAAGTCAGTCCTTGAGGAATGGTTGCAGGGACTTCAATGCACCAGTGGCGAATCGCCCAGCGGATTCCTCTGCAGCCACAATCGTAGCAACAGGACTTCTGTTGCTCTCCAAGGTTGAAACCGATACCGCAAGTAAGAAGAAATGGTCCACTGCTGCTATCAATGTATGTTATTTCAGTTCTTCACTGTCGTTCGCATGATTGACTTGGTCTCGGTACGTAGATTTTGAACAACATCACATCGCTCGCATGGGATCCCTCCTGGGAAAGTTTACTGGCGAACGGGACTGTGAATAAGCCCGGGAACAACTACTTGACAGGTACCGTTTACGGTGGGTGGGATTACACCTCCACGCTTTATTTCTGACGTCAATCTATTATCCCAGGCGACTACTACTACATCGTTGCGGGCAATGAACTCATTTCTATGGGTCTTGCAAAGTGTCCGTGATCAAATATCCAATGCGATCTCTCGAGCTCTTACTACTAGTTTGAGTATCAACATTCCTTGTACACCACAACTACCACTGCATGAGAAATATAACAACTACTTGATCACAACAGCACGCCTTTAATCTCCCTTGACCGCTCTAGCCGCCAATGATGAGACGGGAAGGGTCGTGCCTCACTGGCAGCCTGTGGATTTACGTTGAAAAAGGTAAATGACCTTCGGATGCGCACGCGAAATAAGTACCGAGATAAGCGTCAGTTGTGAGCCGCTTAGCGTCTTCATACAAGTGCCATAAGTCCTTCATTCGAATTTCTTCCTGTGAGATTTGCTGCGCTGAATGCTGCGGCAGGCACCGCCCTCAGTTTTTTCACGTGTTTTGCGATCGCGGTGGTTGCGCTTGGCGTTCTGCTTAGAGACCACGACGATGGAATCTTCTTGGTGTTCCTTGTTCCCTCCTCTCATCGATGACCTCCCCTCCTGAAGCTTTTCTTCTCCTAACGCTGCCCAATGTGACATTGAAGACAGGATCTAATGTTCACACCGGTACACTTGGCCTGGAATGCGTCCCTGTTAGCGGGTCTGACCACGATGTTTTCTTGGTTTTGAGGTTGAATGACCTTGAGATACCTATAGACCATTCGCGAAGCATAGTTTTGGACACTTCTATTCCGGATACACGAACGTATACTTTTCACCCAACCGAATCGGATCCTACGACTCTTGTGCTCACTGCACGAACAAGCTGGTACCCCAGCTATATGGAAGATCTGGATACGTTCGAAGCAGTTCTATCCCAATACGCCGAATTCTCTCACCCTTCGAACGTTACCACCATTCCGGCATACGTCTCCCAAATTGATGAGCACGCGTCCAATGAGCTAGCAGATTACCGCGGACATCTCGTTCTAGTCAACGAAGACAGCGGAGAAGTGGTGGGAGAGTTCGATAAGAAGATATCCGTCCAGGAGGATCCTACGATAAGTGAACGCGGTCACGAGAAAGATCCAGTCGTCATCGAAATCCCTGAAGGGCAAACCGTCGATGATGAGCATCCTCTTCAGTTCTTCGCGCGAGCGATACCACCAGATCAGCAGGACTGGATAACGAAATCCGCTGTCATCGTAAGGTATGGAATGTTCGGTATAGTTTCGCCCGGTATTCACTGACACCGCATGAGCTAGTCATGCCATCACCCACACGACCAGCTTATTCTTAACTGTCGTTAACTCGGCGTCAAGTTATTACATCAACCACTCGGCACCTTCACCGCACCATCCTGCTAATGCTACGCCAGGGGAACCGCCGAAACCCCCACCACGAGCTTTGGTCTTCTTGACATCAGACAAGACGAAGAAAGGGCTTGCTACGGCCCATGCGTACACCGGTCAGGCGGTCAAAGTCAGTTCAAAAACATTGTCTATCATTGAAGGTATGGTCAAGAAGACGATGGGGAGCGAGAAGAAAGGGAAAGGCAGAGCAAGTCATCCGTCTACCCCCGGAAGCGGGAGCCTGTCTCCCAGCATGGGGTACGGCTCGCGCTCGTCTTCGCCTAGTACATCATCATCGTCCCCGCCGCCACCGCCTTATTACGCCTCAAATTCCGGGCACCTTTTACCTGACGGAAAGCCGCCGTTGCCTCCTAGACGATCTCCAAGTCCTTCGACGTCGCGTTCGTCGTCGCCACAGCCTCCGGCACCACCGCTACCTCCACGGAATCTTGGGAGGACAAGACGAATATTGTTGTCTGCCGATCTCATCTTGTCGACGTTGGAGAACTCTACCAAGCGTATATTAGACGTGGGGACTGAGAGGCTCGGTGCGGTGGTCGGACATAAGTGAGTATATCAGTCGTTCCGCTGCTTCTTAAACGCCGCACTGATGCACTCTATCTAAAGATATGGAGAGGACGCGGGGCAGAGTTCTCAGCTGATGGCAGGAACGGCGAAGAACTGCGCGCTCGTATATATAGATATGAGAGGTATGGGCCGCAAGGCCATACTGAAGACCGCTGGGAAGGAGTTCGTCAAGGGCCGAGTAAGAAGCAGCAGGAAGGAGTAATACTTGACGATTTGGGATGTTTGTATTGAACTTTTCTTGTATTGCGTGGATACTTTTAAAGTTGCCTCGGGTCAGCGTGTATTTTTAATACTAGACGGGACCTGAGAAGTACATGAAGATGCCAGTACGTTTGATGAGTGGAGCGAGCGTGTGTACATACTTCGAGTCAAAGTAGCACAGATTAAAGTATCAGCTGGGTCCAGATTAATTGTAGTTGTTATGTTGTACAAGTGTTGGTATTCGTTAGTGTACATAGCAGCAGCAGCACAAGAGGTCTCGGGAGAATATATCAGAGAAGAAGGGGGTATTAGTATCACAGAATTCCGTCAAAATAGTTAGACGTTTCACGGTCCGAGGCTTTAGTGGCTAGTACAAATACGGAGAGTTAGTACGAGTCGAAGCACGGACGGATGTTAATACTCACGAGACACCTTCCCTATGCTAGAAACGATCTTACTACGGAGAGCAGCTCCTTCCACCTGAGACGCGGAAGATGCTGATGCGGGAATGGGAGTTGGTGCGGAACGACCGCTCTGGAATCCAGAACCGGTTGACATACCACGCGCAGTGGCACTGTGGTAATGGTGGGTGTCCACAGACGAACGATGAATCGCTGAATTCATCAAAGGAGAAGATGATCGTTCGAGGTGAGGTGTTGGCGCAGATGAGCGGCGAGGAGCAGGTGAGTAAATGTGAGGTGCAGATGCTCTGGGGAAAGCACTAGGGGAAACGAAGGTTGCTGGCGGAGGAGGCGGCGCTTGACCTTGAGCTCGGAGCTGGGCAAGATCCTCGACATTTTTCGCCACTGTGGCGATTACTTGCTGGTATGCGCAACGTGTTCCGGCCGGTATCTGAAGGATAACACGCTAAGCGTATTGATTTTTCTTGGCGAGACCGAAGCGACTTACGAGTATCTTTCCTATGATACCGGGGCTCTCGGCGACGACGTCGACCACGGCAACATCGGATTCCTGAAGAAAGAGCAAATGAGTGTCAATGAGGTTACCGAGGCAGTGGGGGGATAGTCCTCACAATCTGGAGAAGGGAGTCACCAGCAACAAATGATTCCCCCTCCTTCTTCATCCACCGAGTAATCGTTGCCTCATTGCACAGTGGTGACATTGCTGGCATCATGATTGCTGGACGAGTTCGAGACTCATGAAAAGCTTGACCAACCGTTAGCGCAGTATACACTGAAATACTGTAATTAGCTTACCACGTATTCCAAGCTTGTAAACGTTCTTGTTAACACTTTGGCGACGAGCAACTGTCGAGGTGAGTTTAAGCATGATGGTAGAAAGCAAGAGTCCTAGATCGTGTTGGCCCGCAACAGCGAAATAGAAATAGAAAGACAAATGTCTTCTTGATAGATGTAACTCGGCCCAATCCGCGGTCACGAGGACCAACGGCGCTCCTCCACCGCCACGTTGTCTTGACCGGCGTCCCATATGCTGCACGATGACACCCAGTCGTTACGGGAACGTCACCCTCGCAATCGGTTCCACAATGTCGATCCCACCAAGAAAGGTAGAAACACTGAATTAAGCATCACCATGAGGTTTCTTCTCATGAGTCTGGGACCCAACTAGAGCCAATATTCGCGATTCCAGACGGCAAGGGCCGGGGGGTACGTTCACCTGTCAACGGTTACAGGCTCCTATCTGGGACCTAGGCTTAGCCAGGCTTTGAAGTGGTTTGAGCCAAGTTGTGCCGACGGAAGGTAATATCCGCTTTGTTTGGCTTCAGATTTCCGGCCCGACGTTGCCAAAGACCGTCGCAACGTGATTATCGCCGGTCGACAGCGCGTTCCCATAGCCGGCGATGTTTACCCTCGACAAGCATGACGGAATCGCATTGAAATCGGAAGAACGCCTCGCCTGCAGGTCACTACGCGACATCGCGTACTCGTAATGCTCTCCGCTGGATCCTTCTGCTGGTAGCGGCTACTCTCTTGTCGCGTCTGGCCCCACGGTTTACTTACAAGGCGGCCCAAACTTCATTCGCCGACCCAGCAGCCGAATGGAAGGACAACATATGGCCTATCCGACCGCAGACGCCTTGGGATATCTCCACTGACTTTCCGTCTCCCCGTCTGCTCGAGTATGACGTCGAAGAAGGGACATGGCTGAGATTGGATGTTCATCCCAAGACCGGCGACATTGTATTTGATATGATCGGCGACCTGTACTGCATATCTTCGGAAGACGCGTACGACCAGTCTGGGAGCACTGCTACCGCTCGACCTATTCTTCGTGGTGTACCCTACGACTCTGACCCTCACTTTTCACCTGAAGGTGATAGAATAGTCTTCAGAAGTGATGCCGAATTGGGGGTAGAAAATATTTGGATAATGGAGTGGAGGGGGTGCGAGAAAATGGACATAGTTCCCGCGGTAGTGGAAGAAAGTTCCCTGCTTTCCCGGGCAATCGAATCTCAGCATGAAGATGACGCACTTCTCGCTCGGGGCATCAAGGAGACGCCTGAGAGGCGTAAGCATCGTCTGGTAAGAGAAGGTCGACTTGGAGGTCTGTATATTATATACAGTCTCCCCGACAATTTCAACTGAGTTCTACTTCTAGCCTACCGGGTCACGAACGAGACGTATCGATGGGTTAGCGATGCAAGATTCCATCCATCTGGCAAGAAAGTCATTGCAACTAAATGGTACACATCGAGACGTTCTTTGGGCGCCGGGGAAGGCTGGGAATACAGCATACCTGCGCCTGGCGATGATATACAGTCTGGAAGTGGGGTTCGTCTTGTCGGAAGGACTCTGCCTGCTGGATTTGAAGACTACGGAGAACAGCAGATTGGACCAGAGCAGCTCATCTGGCACGGAGAGGATAGAGTCATCTTCTCTAAAAACGTTCGGGATCCCACGAGCTTTACATATTCCAAAGGTACGAGCTTTGCTTGTAGGTATCAATGTTAGGACTGATTCACTGTCTCAGACGTGCATAACGGCATTTATGCAATATTCGAGCGAAATTTGACTTCAACGCGTACAGTAACCTTGGTAGATGCATCTCCAGGCGGGGCAAGTCGACCCGAACTTTCTCGCGACGGACGGACCCTGGTGTTCGTACGACGCATGGGGGATCACCAAATGCTAGTGCTCAAGTATGTCCAGCCACACCCCGTTTTATCCTTGATCCTCACAGATTTCCAAGGGATCTGGAAACCGGTACCATTCACTATGCATGGGATGGACTCAGCTACGATCTCAGTGGTATCTCAGCACCCATGGGAACCTATCCATCCTTTGCGTTTACACCATCAGATTCTGCTATCATCATCTGGGCTGCGGGTAAAATCTGGTCTGTCCCTTTGGCAACGAACTCGTACGGTGAAAGGATCTCTTCTGGAACACCCTACCCTATCCGGTTTACTGCTCATATCGAAAAACGACTGGCAGAAACGAGGAAAATTGAGGATATTGACCTCGTAAGCATAGAAACTGCGGACTACCAGAGGATTAGGGCTTTCAAGGTCCTCCGTGCGGACTTTGCTGGTAACAAAGTGGTGTTCCAGGCGGCGGGTGTTACGTATGTGCAGGTCGTAGGTGAGAAAGACGTTATGAAGGTTCCCGTACTTCACGACGATGGAGTGACGCCTTACTATTCTCCGTCGATCGTGCGGGACAAGACCCGAACTATCATCCTACATGCACGTTGGGATGATACCAATTTTACCTCATTTGAGCTAGCGAACTTGGAGGACGGCTGGGTAGTCGAGATTGAAGGGCTACCTCGGGGCCGATACCTGAGCCCTGTTATTTGCCAGGTGGATCGTAGTCACCGGGTCATCGCGTTTGTGAAAATCGCAGGCGACTATCTCACTGGGGACGTCGTCGCCTCTGCAGCTCCTGGGCTATACGTCGCGGACCTCGAGGGTGCTCCTTCACAGGGAGGAATGAACATAGTCAATTTGCGGTTGGTTCCCTCCGAAATTGACGTAGACGATCGCATCAATATGCGTTTCTTGGAATCTAATTCTGAACTTCTAGTACAACAGTCCGATCGGTCTTTTGTGATTGATCTATCCGGGACCCCAGACGCGGACGGAAAACCTCCCCATTATACTCTGGCTACGGGAAAGATGTCAAAGGAGATGGCTGTTTCCTTGACGTCGCCTTCTGGGCAGCTTCAGAGATCTTTGCTGAAGAAGTTAAGCGGCGACGGGTTCAATATTAAAGCGGACAACGTCGCGTTTGTTGACTTTTTCCATGTTTATGTTGCACCCGGGAAAAGTCTGAAAGAAGGAGAGGAAGCATGGTCAAAACCTGGGAATGCGACTGATGGGTTGGTACGACTGAGTCTGGATGGAGGCCACGATGTTACGTGGAGTGAAGATGGGAAAAAGATCTTCTGGTTTTTGGGTATGTACAAGTTTATTCCGCTGTCTCTTCGTTCGTCATCTCTAATCCGGATTGTCCTAGGTCCGTATCTGCACTCCTTGGAGGTGTCTAAACTGAGCAAGTGCACCTCGACAATCCGAAAGGACCATCTCACTTTCGGCATTGACTGCGTCAAAAATCTCTTGGAGTACCAAGAAATCGTCGTTGAGCATTCGACTGATATCTCACGTTTGAAGAAGGAGGCTGCTAGGACCGCTTCATATCCAGATTCTGATCTCCTTGTTCTTTATAATGCTACCCTGCTGACGATGGAAACGGGGGAGTTGGAGAAAGACTTGGTTCGTGAGGCATTGTTGGTCATTCGGGGAGGTGTCATCACTACTGCTGCGGCATTGAACACTGTTGTTATACCGACAGAGGCTACTGTTATCGATATGCACGGAGGTTAGTTATTCGTACCCTTTGTTTAGCTGCTTTACTTGAAGAGGTACCTCACAGCAACTATCGTGCCAGGATTTTTCGATTTACATGCTCATTGGGATGGATTCGAGAATGCCATGCCTGCCAAGTCTTGGGAGATGGAGACTTTCTTAGCAGTTTGGTGTTACGACATTGCACAAGTATGTATTATGATCATTTTCTCATGTTCATGAGTTATACTCATTGGTTGTACTCCCAGCCCTAGCGCTTCCAATGTGGATGGATTCATCGAACGAAGCAGAGTTGAGCGAGGCCATTTTGTTGGTCCTCGGATATTCCAAGTTGGCGATGTCATATATGGTGCAGGCGATCCTGGGTACCACCAGGATATCGCGGATATGGACGAGGCGCACTCTGCTCTTATTAGGATCAAGGCTGAAGGCGGACCGATTAGTACGTCGTATAAGAATTATAATCAGCCCTCTCGGTAAGCTTTTTCAGTAACTTTTGCCTTCTCGGCTAGCTGATGTTTATGTTTTCTGAAGCGCATCTCGGCAGCGGCTTCTACTAGTTGCCTCGAAATCTGAGCATGTTATGTGTCCCGGAGGGTGGTATGAACTTATGATTGGGATCTGACTTATATTTTGGATGGTAAGATTGTCACAAACACATTCTTTCGAGATCTTGGCTGACGGAATTTATGCAGGTATGACAACGATCGAGCATTCTATCCCGGTTACCTACATTGTATGATGATGTTTTGATGCTGTACGCCAAAAGTGGTACTGGTGCCTCTCCCACGCATCTCGTTAATTATGGAGGTGCATTTGGTGAACAGTTTGTATGGGCTACAGAAGACGTCCCAAATGATCCGAAGTAAGCGTCCGAGCCGCTATAGTGACAGACCCTAATCCCTCGAATCCCCCGGCAGATTAAGAAAGTTCGTACGGCACGATATTTTGGAAGGTCTGACGGAGTCCACATCGAGACCGCTGTCAGTGTTGGTCTGATTCACACTCTTAGTTTCATCCGTTATTAACGCTCTCATAATGTTTAGCATATGCTCTGTTCAATACCTCGGCATCAGGTTGCCAAGATGGTTCGTATGGGACTGAAGACGCATATCGGCGCTCATGGAGAGCCTCCAGTTGGGTTTGAATTACCACGCCGAGATGTTTTTTACTCAACAAGGCGGGCTAAGCAACTTACGAGGTATGTGCCGAGCCCTTACTCGTATCTGAGAACTCGCTTTATACTTTCTCCCAGGTGTATAAGGCGGCGACATCGAATGCTGCGCAGACATTGGGTGTATTTTCTTCCGTCGGATCCCTAAGTCCTGGGAAGCTGGCTGATTTTGTTGTCTACCCGGCTGGGGTGGACATCTTGAATGGCCTGATGAGCGAGTCGAGGAAGCTTAGCTACGTAGCCCGTGGTGGGAGGATTTGGAACGCATCTACGATGGAACAAGTCTGGCCCTTGGTCCAGGAAAGACAGCGAATGCCTCCATTCAATCCTGTACAATAGGTCAATCATAACGCCGTGATTAATGAAGGCGACCACGACTTGGTTTGCCGTTATGCTACACTATCTAGGCTATGTATGGCTAGCCTAGTCTAGCACGACCTGCAACAATCTTTCTGTGTACGTTTGCTTTCATTTATTCAATCTCTTACCGCATGGTAAGATCCGTAGGACCGTAATGGCCGTAAAGTGCAGTGTCAATGAACCATCATACCATTTGTTGGGTCTAGGAAATAGCTTGCAGCGAATATACACAGGTGACAAAGTCCAGTAGATGAGAAAATTCCCCGAAGAACGGGAAGAAGCGCGCAATTCAGATCAAAACATTATTAAACGCGCGACGCGACGCGGTTGTGGCACGTGTCACGTGTTATCGTTGACAGGTCTTGCAATCATCGTGACTGGACTACCTGGAGTTACTCTTCGTCATACTCCGGTCCTAACCAGAAACCATCGCGGGCTGTTCCCTGACGTCTCTGGACAGCACAGAAATCGTTACTTAGGTCGTCGCCCAAGGTATTTTTCGCGCTTCAGTGCCACTTAAGATGACTAATGTGCGAAACCTGCTTCTCAGAGTCAGAATGTTTGCCTCTCCAGTTTCAAGTCCGGTATTGCATACGCCATCGCACAGACCAATAAAATCATCCCCATTGGCCAGCCAGTCGACGTCGCCATTGAGCCCAACGTTTTCTTCGCCTTTATCCGCCGCCCAAGCTCGACGAAAATTACAATACAAGACCTATGACTCCTAGTTCTGGGACCCCGCCTTCCTCCCAAAGGACTCTCTCGACGCACCGTCAGCCTTTCGGTGCCTCTTTTCGGAAATGCGATCAAGCACACCCGAACAGTCGCAGAAGGAATTTCTGAGACAACGCTTCCAAACGCGTTGTTTTCAGCGTGCGGCCAAGGCGAGGGAAAGCGCTGTGAAGAGGAAGAGACATGTCGGCAGTGATGACGTGTTTGACGATGTTATGGACGACGACAAGGAAGAGACGGAAGATGAGGTTTTGAAAGACGAGGTGCGTTGCAGGCTGTATCTGAATGACACGAACAACGCTCATGGTTTCAGTAGTTCTTCAAACGTATTGTAGACCATGCCAAGCGTCGGACGCAGCATGCTTACAAACTTTCGTATGCCGATGAAGTTGGCTCATCCCTGGATCCGGACATGGAGGATTTGGGTAGCTTGGGAAGCTGAATTACATGGTACAGTGACCTTCTGGCACAAGAAGTAGGAATGATCTGAACTTTTCCGCAGATTCGGAGTCGCGGGAGGGGCTCACACCAGAGGAGCGCGAAATTGCAGAACTACAGGCTTACGCGGACGAATGCGAGCTGCAGGCTGCTTTGGCAGATTTTGAAGACATACCCGAGGAATTTTGGAACGACTCAGACCTCGAGGAAGCCGAGGTTGAGGCGATGGACGTTTCTTGAACTTTTTGGTGCCAGGATCTTCATGTTGGGAAGTTGTATCCTTATATTCATATGTAAAATATCCTATCTTCATGTCTTTCTTTGCACCATCTTACAATCCTCGAACGATAGAGTTGACCGACAGCTAGATGCCTGTCAAGGACGCTGTTGATCTTGGTTGCCGAAAACTGTTACACAGATGCCGTCAGAAGCCGGAAACTTGAAGTGGATGCTTATTACGATCCACCTTCATCTATCCCTTTCTTCCTATGTGTTCCCACAATATTCAGGGACTACGGAGAAAAGCACGAGACCTGGTCATGCGAGGCTGAAATTCGCTAACCTAGCTTGTCATTCCCCAATGTTCTCGGGGCGCCTTTTTGTCTTTTCTGTTCTCTGCTGGCCCGTCTTTGCTGTACCAACTGCTAATGATTGGCAAAACTTGGCCGATTCACTCAACGGACGACTTCATACTGCTCTCCCTTTTGCATCATCGTGCTTCTCGACTGTAAATGGAATATCAAGCACACCCAACGAGACAGAATGCGCCCAAGTTCAAGCTGATTATACAAATGCGACAGTCCGATCTTCGCATTTCAGCGCGTATACGATGGTGAGTGGAATCAGCTTGATCAATTGCACGCGCTTTCAGCACCAACTAAATGACCAGCCGCAATGGGAGACCTGTCAACGGACCTCCAAGAGATGCCTACTAGACCCTTCCAATACCAGCAACCCGGCTGCCTTCGAAGGGAGTGACTGTCTTCAAGGAAGCGTGTCCTACACATTATGTGTGTCATTTCATTTCATTTCCAGGAGTCCCATCCATTGCGTCCGATAGATTGATGTACAAAGCGCTGAAGATGTCCAAAAAGCGTACGAATTTTCCAAAGCCACGGGCATTCCCTTGTCTATTAAAGCGTCTGGTCATGATTACAAGGGCAGGTCAAGCCTACGCGGCTCACTTTCGTTATGGGTTTGTCATATTTTTTGATCATGTGTTCGGAAGGGCCGCTGACCGACGTGTTCCTTTCCTAGACCCGAAATATCGGCGGTGTAAGTGTCCAAGTCACATCCCGGTCGAACTCAATGACCCTTTGTTTTAGTTGAAATATTCGGCAGATTTTGTCCCGGAAGGGGGGGACAAGAGTTATAGGGCAATAACCATGGGGGTATGCTCCATCTAGACTCGAAGAATATACAACGTTCATTTAATTCTTTACATAGGCTGGCGTAACATTTCAGGATGTTTATGAGTTTGCTGACGCAAATAACGTCACCATCATCGGCGCCTACCATCAAACAGGTTACACCCAGCGGCGGATGGGTTATGGCGAGTAGCTCGAGACTTGATCAGATAACTTATACACTGATTTACGCCTATTCAGGGCGGCGGCCATAGTGTCCTTACGCCTGTTTACGGCCTTGGCGTGGACCGTGTGGTGCGTTATTCATTACTAAGCCCCGTTTCTTTTGGGTCGCGACTTATGTATAGACAAGCTTCAATTCAAGATTGTTACGCCTGATGGAGAGCTCCGAGTTGCGAATGAATTCCAACACCCTGATCTCTTCTGGGCGCTTCGAGGTGGGGGTGGATCGACTTTTGGCGTCGTTCTCGAGTCTTCCATGCTCGTGGAACCACGAATGAGTCTTGTAGTGTGAGCGTTTCGCGCTGAATTGTGTTTTGGTGTCGATCTTCATCATGGAAGACTAGCGCTGCCATATCCTTTCCGCAAACAGCTGAGAATGGCGTATCTTTTCTGAAACTCCTCGTGGACCATACATACAGATGGGGAACTGAAGGGTGGGGTGGCCATATGAGGGTATGTTTGAAGTTGCTTTACCGCGCGTCTTTGAGATATGTTCATGGTATTTCCATAGTCTAACGGCATAATCAATGTCAATCCTCTGCTAACTCTAGAGGAGGCACAGGTATCTGTCCAACCCATCGTCGATTATGCTCTTGCACAAAACGGAACTGCTGTGGTAGAAGAGCTTCCTTCTTGGATGGCATTCTTCACAAAATATGTTTTATCCGCTGAAGCTGCGAGTTGATGACTCTCCATGTTTATGGCGTACGCCCACTGACACCTTTCCAGGGCGTCGGCGTAGAGACCACTCTTGGAAGTCGCTTGATACCGACTGACAAGTTTACCACTGACAGCGGCAAGGCTAGGTTACTTGATATTCTAACTAGGATGGTACAGCAGTTCTCAATTAACCCTTATATCGTGTTCGGAACGCCATTCTTGTACAATCATACTGAAGGATCCACTAGTGTTACTCCAGCATGGCGAAATGCGCTGTGGCATGTCCGTAATGTTTCCATACTGTTTCATGTCATTAACCCATGCGAACAGATGTCGTCCTCCAGGACATTTAGCTGGAATTCTACCGCTATAGATATGTGGACTCAATATGAATTCGTGAGCACGATCACCCAATCATTGAGGGAATTTTCTCTAGATTCTGGTGTATATCTCGTGAGCGACATTTCCTGTGTAGTTTCTCCCTTTCTCATACAGGGTAATTATAGAATGAGTGTGATGTATATGAGCCCAACCACGAAGGTACATGCCCTATCTCTTCAGGTAGTATTTACCCGTATCAACACAGTCGCAGAGGCCTTTTGGGGAGCCAACTATGCCCGGCTCGTTCCAATAAAGAAGCAATAGTAGGTGGTATACGTGCTGTTTCCGAGTTCTTGCATTGACTCAAAAGTCAAGCGATCCTTTCCATTTGTTAGATTGTTGGATGTGTGGCAAGTCGCTCTTCATCTTCGATACTTGGTTTGCGTTCTGAGGTACGAACTACTAGTTGGATGGAAGGGTTCCTTGGATGAGCGCTATTCGTGCTATTTGTGACGAGTTCGTTGCTTCGGCAAATTTTGAAAACATACTCGAGCAATTTCGAAACGACCCAGACCTCGATGAAACTGAGGTTGATGTGATGGATGTTTCTTGATTATTTTCGGTGCCAGGATCCTCGTGTTGAGAAGTTTCGAGTCCTGTATAAGATTACTCGGTTATAATGCTGTCCTAGTCAACTCGTAAGAAAAGAAGGGTTCGTATACATCTCTAGTAAATTTTGAAACTATAGAAAAGGTGTAAGAGCAATTCTACGAATAATGAAAGAGAAGAGCCACCGTTCTATCTGAAATTTCAACTCATAAAATATTTGCTGAAAGTGACATTGAAATAAATAAAAGCAAGCTACTTAGGCGGGCTTAAAGGTCGATGAAGCATCATCCCAGGTTCCTGGTACCTCACTAAGTCTCTCGATCGTGGATGGTCCCGGGATTCTCTTGCGCCTCTTCTCCGTACGTCCCGGGGCCTTCTCTTGTTCCTTTTTACGCTTGAGGTTGCGCTCAACCACCTCTTGATGACGTACATGAAACCACAGATCCTTGGCCCGAAGACAGAGACGTTCAGAATCAGCAGGGAGGTTAAAGTACTCTGGGTCGAGGACGATGTCATCATTGCTTGATGTATGGTCCTCATCAATCTAGAAGGGTGAACTAAGCCTTGATCTAACATAGAGTGGAAGAAATTGCTCACAATGCCGTGGTCAACTAGGATACCGTCTGAGAAATATCGTCCACCCGAGTCATTGGTCTGCCGGAACATTCTGTACTTCGTTTTCCGCTCAAAGTGCTCCCCATCAGTTGGAATCCACTTTCCCATCCCTGGTTCATGGGGGACTTTTGCATAGGGTTGGAAAGAGTTCAGGTTGCCATGTTTGTCACCAATTGTCCCGTCTTGTGTAAAGGCCACAATGTTGTAAGTAATTTTTGATATATCCTCGCCTCGCTTGGAAATCTTTAGAGCGAGAGCTCCCCGAATATCACCCTTATGATTACAGCCAAGGAGAACCTTCAACACATCCCGCAGACTCTTCCAGCCCAAATCGGAATATGCAATTTCCATGAGAAATAGTGGCCAAAGGTCCTCTGTAGGGTCCTGGGCATAGATGCCAATGTCCAGGATTTTGAAGCCCTTTTCTACTATGGGATACGATATATTGGAGTTAATATAGAGCTGTCGCCCAAGGCCCCTACTAGCCATGAAGGCATTGAATAGGACCTTCTTGAGGAACTCGTGCGTTGCGCTCTCCAACCTGACAAAGATCTCGTTGTCAATTAATTCAACCCTAGTGAAAATATGTCAGAACAGGTGATGAAACCATGGATATATTACTCACTTTCCCGGAAAGTGTTCTGAAACGGCGTCGATGTGATCGTAGACCCATGATTTGCAATCAGGGTCGAGCTTCAAGCTCATCTGCCCGCTGGGATGCAGGCCCCGTTCGACGTCCTCAAGGAACGTTTTGAGGACCTGAGGAGCCTCCAGGTCGAACCATTCAGGTTCAGGTGTGGTGGGACTGCGAGCGACAGTTGGGGGTTCTCTCCGCACTGGCTGCATTTGCAAGATCCTGCACGGGGTTGGCGGGGGCTTGTTCTCCTCCACTTCGTTCTGTAGTTGGTGTATTCTCTTCTTGTTTGACAGCGCTTGGGTTCGACGAGCCTGAGTCTTGTAGGTCCGACACGTTGGAACAATGTAGACAAAGCTAAGTATTCGGGGAAGGTGTTGCGAGAGGGAAGGATAGGACGGGAAGAAGGAGTGAGAGTATCCGTCGAGACAGAAAGGGTCGCCGAGGAAGAGAAGTCTGATTTAGGTACGTACGACGCGTTCAAAATTCCCACGGCTTGCTTCCCTTTTCCCAATGACCGTGTAGCTTAACCCAAATGTTGGGCATAGCCAGGCCATCGAACAGGACTCGGATAAAAGAGATGAAGAAATGAAGGATGTCGGAGTACAGGCGTGATAGACCGATGTCCTGCTTGCTTTTGTGAGTCCTTATTGCCTCCCTCTTCACCGACTTGATTATGCATATATTCTCGCTGATGAGCACTACAGGAACTTCCAGCCTACGCACAGCCACATCCACACACCTTGTGTCGTCAAAGCATTCCGGCCTTGCTCGCCATCCGTGCAGACTGTCGCCTCGCCGCCCTTCGCCTCGCCTGCCTCAGTTCTAGGCTACGGTAGTCACGATCTTAGTTGCCCGTCATCAACACGACAAATGACCGTTCGATGAGAGATGCCGTGTTCTAGTCGGCAGGTTGAAAACTGGTCACGAAGGTGGATGGCGGAGGGAGGGAGGGGAGGGAGGGGGTGTTCTCATACTAGCACGGAGGGTGGCTCGGAGGGACGGGAGGGGTGTACAGGCAGTGGAGAGACGGTCTGAGTGATCTAATATTGGGTGTTGAAGAAGGCCGGCATGTCTTCGTCAATGCAGAGCACACGATGCCCTTCCAAATACCCCGGTCCTACCCTCACTCTGATGCTCTCTTTGACTCTCCCCTTCTCCTTCCATCGCCTCCACCTCTCATATATTGACGCCTATCCTGTCCCCGTTGAACGCGCCCAAAGTAACTCTCAATATGGCGATGTACGGTTGGAGATGTAACACGGTTTGGCGAGCGCTGAGGTTTCTGCAAGTACATGGTGGAAGTGGGCACATTACAGTTCGCGTCTGTGTGCAATCCCCGAACATATTATGATGAGACGCTGGTCAAGACAACGTGGCGGTGGAGGAGCGCCGTTGGTCCTAATGACCGCGGATAGGGCCCAGTTACATGTATAGAAGACACTTCTCTTTCTATTTCTATTTCGCTGTTGCAGGCCAAAACGATCTAGCACTCTTGCTTTCCACCATCATGCTCAAACTCACATCGGCAGTCGCTCGTCGTCAGAGTGTTCGCAAGAAGGTTTACAAGCTTGAAATACGTGGTAAACTAATTACACTATTTCGGCGTATGCTTCGCTAACGGTAGGTGAAGCTTTCTATGGGTCTCGAACTTGTCCAGCAATCCATTATGCAACGAGGCAACCATTACTCAGCGGATGAAAAAGGAGGGGAAATCATTTGTTGCTGGTGACTCCCTTCTCCAGATTGTGAGGACTATCCCCCTTCCCTCTTCAGTAGTCTCATCGACAAACGCCTGCTCTTTCTCCAGGAATCCGATGCAGCCGTTGCCGACGAGTCCCGGTATCATAGGAAGGATACTCCCAAGTCGCTTCGGTCTCACCAAGAAGTCAATACGCTTAGCGTGTTATCCTTCAGATACCGGCCGGAACACGCTATGCATACCAAAAAGTAATCGCCACAGTAGCGAAAAACGTCGAAGATCTTGCCCGACTCCGGGCTCAAGGTCGACCGCTGCCTACTCCTCCATCAGTAATTTTCGTCTCCCCTAGTGCTTTCTCCAGAACGACTGCACCTCGCCGACACCCCATCTCGAACGATCATCTTCTCCTTTGATGAATTCAACGATTCATCGCTCATCTGTGGACATCCACCATTACCACAGTGCCACTGTGCGTGGTATGTCAACCGGTTCTGGATTCCAGAGCGGTCGTTCCGCACCAGCACCCATTCCCGCATCAGCGTCTTCCTCATCTTAGGTGGAAGGAGCTGCTCTCCGTCGTAAGATCGTTTCTAGCATAGGGAAGGTGTCTCGTGAGTATTAACATCCGTTCGTGCTTCGACTCGTACTAACTCTCCGTATTTCTACTATCCACCAAAGCCTCGGACCGTGAAACGTCTAACCTTTTTGACGGAATTCTATGATACTAAGACCCTCCTTCTCTGGTGCCAGACTGTCCTTCCAGAATTTGGCATAGGGGCGCATCTACATCAGGCTGGACACGTTAACTTCCTATACACCGTCAGTAATTTTTGAAGGTCTTTGTATATCTGCTACTGCACTCGAGTGAATCGGCTGGATTGAATTCGAACAGCGAGGTTCTGGTATATGTATGGTATCGTTTCTTTCTAGCTGCTCTGTTTACTAAGGCTGTCCCTCGAACCTGAAAACCTCTTCGACATCCTGTATTTGACCCGTTAGTATAGGAATGTCCGTAGCAAAAATATACGCAGCCCACCACGGTATATCCCTCCCGCTACCGGTAGCGCCTTCAATCAGACTCTCCTGCATTCCATCTGTCATCGCCCACCACCTCTGCGTCTCGGGATCTTCGGCAACTTTCTTCATGTCGACCTCATAATCAGTACCAGTGTACTTCATGTAGGCAATGAGCAGACGAAGTGGTGCATAATAATGGATGGAGTAGTCGACAATACGGGCATGTTCAAGCGCCGCAAGTACGCCAGGCCACACAGCGGAAGATGGCTTCAACTGAATCGCCATTTCAATAAGCATGCGGGACGATGAAAAACATGAACAAGACGTACTTTGACAACTTGACAGATGTGTTTTGGGGTCGACATGATACAAGGCAGCGGTTCTTAAAGTCTGGGTAAAGTACTTGTCTTTCTGTATCGGACGGCCCAGAGAATCCCACTGGTCGTCCTCACGACACTTGAACTTCTCAGTAAGAACAGTCTAACATCAGCTGACTTTCCAAGATTTTATACGATACAGATATGACTCCTGCAACTCACTTACTACTTCACATTATATACTAAATCCTCATCGAACACTGAATCTTGGCTCACGACAAGTTATCTCTTGACTATCTTTATCGCACCAAGTTCATAATTCTTGTCAGCTAGACCTGCAACACTTGTTCCGGTGTACCCTCCGGCGTTTGACCACGACACCGTCTCAAAAAGCGATCTAGGCGGCCTGTTGTGTGCTGTACTGGCAAAGAGTCAGAGGGAGCCTAGACGAACTGTCAGTGAAAGGCGGCGAGGAAGGGACCGGCGACTTACCGTGGTATGTACTCCGCTGTTGAAAAAGTCATCAAGAACACGTATTGCATATCTGATGTTTTCTTTTTCTTTTTCAACTTCATCGGTCTGCAGTGGGCGATACTCATCATGGCCTGTCCATGTGAGCTGTTTGCTGAAAAACTCCCCACCATCACTTTCTACCAGATCACGAAGTTTCCTGCGACACTCATCCCAGGCAGCGTCTCGTGGACGCAGCTCCACCAGTGCCATGATGTCCTTGTAAATGGCAGTCTGGTTATCCTCGATGCCACGTGTGGCCAAGATAGAGCATGCAGTAGAAAGATTGTGTGGGTTATGGAGGTAGTCCATGTGCAGTTGAAGTGTTGCTGCATCCAGAGCCCCATCCGATCCATGCTGCGTGGTGGAGATTCCTGCAACGTACTTTCTAACCATCACAACCGAAGCCTCATGAAATGTGTGGTTTCCAAGAAACTCCAGACATTGCTTTTCAAGGAACACAGTAAAAGCTACCGGAAGGCGCTTTGCGAGAAGATCGGACAACACCCTGCATCCATGGTCAGACTGGTAGGAGGAAGATGATGTATGGTCCCAACGTATTGTCATATAATCAACCTATTGACTGGAGACCGCGTAAAGAACAAGCAGGAAGGGATAGTCGTCGATCAAATATGAATAGGTGGGGATAGCTTCATCGCATAACTCTTCCCATGATGATGCAATATGGCTTGCATCTCGAGGGAAAAGAATATCGTCAAACACCGTGATGACGGCAGTAGCTTCCTGGGATGAGAGCGTCTGGCCACGGATCCACCTAACTGCAGCGTTTAAGGACTGACGAATGGTGGTATGAAACACATCAGACTCGGGAAGAGAAAGTCTATGAAGCAAGAATTTGATGGCCGCCGCCAATACCCTCAAAGATTGGGGCAACAATGGGTCGTTCAAAGATGGATCTTTGACGAACTTGGAAAGCATGCGGAGAACGTTGTCGTAGATTTGGTCACGAAAATAGGGTAGCGCATCCTTGAATTCAAGAACCAATGGAGAGTTAAAGTCCTGCATTAGGCCCTTCTGTGATATGTCAAAGGAGCATAAGATGGCAGAGCAGAGATGAAGGGGAAGCATATTGGTGGGATCATCAGTATCAGGATCCAGGGTACGAAACAAATACCATCCAGCATACTGCACAAGGTGAAGCCAATAATGCGGCGGCAGCTTTAAAGTACCAGTGCGGGAAATGATAGTGTCCCTGAGAAATGGGCCCGGCAAGACACATACACTGTTTCTATAGACATTGTAATCATTGTATAGGAGCGCGATGGTGAGCTCAAATGAATCAACGTCAAGGCTAACATCGGGAAATTTCCAGCCAACTCTGTCAACATAGAAACGAAGCAGACGTTCGAGTTTGAGTTCCATGCCTGGCACTGGTTCACAACTATTGTTGTCTTTCGTCTGCAGGCAGTGTTTAAGCAAAGAGTGCCGCAAAGTATCCATCGCTGTCATATTTCTCTGAAGCGCAAGAAACCTTTCTTCTGATGGCATCGGCAGTCCCCCGATAGACTGTATTACTATATTTTGGACAGTGGGATTGGAAGAGACTGAGAAGAGCCAGTCCAGTGCTTCAGCCGCCAAGTTTGTTGACGTCTGTTGCACGAACTCGGACTCTATCATCGTCAGGGACTGTGGATTTCTTGCTTGTATATGGGGAAGATAGCGAAACATGCGGCTAGAATTTCCTCGGAGTTTATCCGAATAAAGTATCCAATGTTTAGTGGGATCTTTATTATCCCACGTCACTTGCGGAACGATACGCCAAAAAGAGACATAGACAAGGTTGCAAAGAGGTGTACGATAAGGGCATTGAGGGAATAGAATGGGAAGAATGGTCGCCACCCCATACGCAGCGTACACAAGGGTGGACCCTGCACAAATGATCCACGACAGAACAGCCCGGAGCGGATGGAGGAAAATCACCAAACCGCTGAGAAATATGGCGAGAGCGAGATGCATAAGGACAGGGAGTAGTCCTATGATGACCTGGACATGCCACTTTTGAAACCCGGCATACCGGAACTGACGAGTAAAACTGCGGTCGCGTGCTGTTCCCGAAGGGAGGGCAACATAATGGTGCAGCCACTGTTTCACGAGAACCGCAACGAGTGCAGTCGTCAGGCTTACGAACAGGCTCATGAACCAGAGCCCATTCACCCAGACGTCCGTGGTAGCGGGAACAAAAGCAATGGTGGGATTGAGGGAAGAAGGAGCGATGGTGTCGACCGGGGAACCGTTGGCAATAGCACGTTGAACAAGGACCGATTCGTAGAGTAGAGACGCCGACATGGCGGCATAGTCTGGCTGCAAGTTTTGGTATGTCTGGGCTATAAATGTCGTGACAACCGCAGAGAAAAGACCCGCCTTCGACATGGCTCAGCAAAGAAGTAAAGCAAGGAACGACAGGACTCACAAATACGAGCAATACGTCGACATTATCTCGTGATTCTTCGACCATGTTGCTATCGTGAATCCTACTTTCGTCTTCGTATGTTCTCCAAACCCTCGCGTTTGGTGCTGCTTCTTCGTAGGCAGCATCTTCGGGGTATTTCTCTTCATAGTTGTACGGATCGTTTCCTACAGCACTTCATAAGATACGAAGCAGAAAAAGAAGAATTTTCCACACCTTTCCTAGCTGAGGGATTTGATCTCTTTATTCCGAAAACCTTCTTCGTGCTGGCTGCACTGGCAGGATTCTGCACGGCCGTAGCGGGGTCTTCATCCTGCTCCTGTTCTCCTCCACCCTCCTCGATCCTTATCTTCTGGCCATCTTCAGTCCGGTCAAGCCTCTGCCCCCCACTCCGTTCTGCAGCTGGTGTGTTCTCTTCCCGTTCGACAGCGTTTGCATTTGAGTCATCGGCTTGTAGGTTCGTCATGTTGGAACAATACAAACCAAGCTGTTCACGGCCCCTAAGTGATAGTGATTGAGATCAAATTCTCACATGTCCAAGGTTTTTGCAGCGTCTAACTTGGTAGAGCAGGCCTCTAAATTTTAGCTTCACTGAATATGCCTTGACGACAAAGCAGCGATGGAACAGAACTTTGGAATAACATTTTCTGGCAATGTTCAAGTAGTCAAGTACAGCGCTGGCATTGAGACGATCCAAAAAGGCAGCCATCAAACACCACTCAACAGCGTGCGTCCTTCACTCGATTGTCCTTCATCCTAATTCTTGTTCTTACTCTCATCATCGTCCTACAGCATGGCCGAAGGCAGCAACTACGACTATCTCTTCAAAGTCACTCTCTTCGTCGCCCAGTGGTCGAATTGATATTCATTTTTCTATTGTTTCAGGTTGTCCCTTATTGATGACTCTGGCGTCGGGAAATCGTGGGATTCCTCTTGCCTCCATTTATTTTTGCTTTAACCATATGGTACAGAAACTGTACGCTACGGCGAGATTTATCAAGGCGGTTTCCTTTGAGCTAACTATCGTGCCATTTACCCAGTGCTTTCGCGCCCTGTTATCGTTAAGCATGTAACCTACGTCAACGTCACAAGATGGCTGAAGGAACTGCGGGATCTTGCCGATGTTCAAACATTATCATGCTGGTGGGAAGCGAGAGCGACTTGAAGCACTTGATGGCAGATGTATCCAGCGCTGAACGTTAACGCTCAGCCGTGCTGGTGGACTCGTTGGTCTGTAAGCCTTCCTTCAAGTCAGTCCCTGGACAGTGATGACTCCGCCTCTCGCCTTCTCTCTCACTGTTGGTCACTCCACACCCGCGCAAGGCACCCTTGGAAGTCTGGAAGGCACGACTGGCCTGTATAGGAAGCCTTAATCTCAGCAAACTAAGGACGATGAGTAAAGTCTCCATTTCGGAGACAGGCTGGTCGATCAGGATGGACTTTTGGTCAGGCGACGGAGGGTGTTGTGAGAGGGAAGGAGAGGGCGGGAAGGAGGACTGAGAGTATCCGTCGAGGCGGAAGGGGCCGCCGAGGAAGAAAAGTGTGATTCAGGTACATACGACGCGTTCAAAGGTTCCACGGCTCGCATCCCTTTTCTCAACGACCGACCGTGTAGCCCGAACGTCAAACACAAATGTAGGGCACAGCCAGGCCATCGAACAGGACTCGGATATGAGAGACGAAGAAATGAAGGATGTCGGAGTACGGGCGTGGCGAGGATAAACAGACTGTAGAGGTAGAGGACGTGCTGAAGCCTGACAGGGACTCAAAGAAAGGTCGATCCGTATAATTCTGTCGTGGGTACATGTCGCGACCATGACTGAAGGAAGTGTACCAATTTTCTGCTCAGTTTGTGAGTCCTTATTCCCTCTTCATCAACTTGATTGCGTACCATAATGAAGTTTGGTTTTTGCCAGAGTCTGGGTCATGATGGCAAGGCTACTCAGATGGTCGACCTCGCCTTGAACACGCCATCTCCAACGATTCCTCACCAGCACCAGTCACCACTACAGCTGCTACCAACCTGCTGCCTCCCCTTCAGAGTGAACGAAGCACACCCATCACATGTCTTTCTTCACCCTGCGTCTCGCCTTCACTCTCAGTCACTCCACACTCCCGGCTTCTCTTGAGATACGCGGACAACTCTCTCGTCGCCGTCTTTCTCTCACAAGCTCGAAGTCGATCTTTGGCATAGCGCTTCCAAGGTTCACGCTCACGCTCTCAATATGCTTGCGTAATTGTACACGCTGTTTATCATACCTGCGGCCTCGGTTTGGCGCCGTCGATATGCTTTGCTGGCATCCAACACCAACGAGAACGAGATATATGAGGGAGTTGTCCATGGATAGCGGTGAATAATGGGAGCTGGCCGCAACCATCGATGTCTATCCCGACCTCGTCGAACGCGCCCAAAGTAACGCTCTCAATATTCATCCCGATCTCATTACTGTCACAGCGACTTACATCTTACAGACAAGATTACCACTATCTCAAACATTATGCTCATGTCTATGGGTGAGCCTAATACCCTCCGATGTCGAGTTCGGTATCTTACTTGATCAGGCTCCTTGCCACAAAATTAATGACCTTCTCCGCGATAGAGTCGACAACACAGACAATCCTCAACGTTTTGTACAAGATCGGAATTGTCGAGGTATCATTGGAAGGAGCATGAAAGTCTATCGGCCAGCAGATCCCCGTCATCTCTACAAATCTATCTCATTGTAGTCAGTTGTATTGTGCAGATCTTGTAATCCGTATACCGGTATTCCATGTATCTTAGGACTTTGGTTTTAAAGTAATTGGGGGCCGTAATTAGAACATGTGCCCCCGTCGGAAGACAGTATTCACCAACAAAACCATCGCATTCGTTTTCATTGAATGTCAAACTTTTGCCGAAGTATTGCAGTACAAGTTCAATATCCTTATCAACTAAACCTGCTGCTCTTGTTCCAGCTTGCCCTCCAGCTTTCGACCAAGGCACCTTCCCAAAAAGTGACTATATTATGTCCTCCACGGTCGAACATGTATTGCATATCTGATGTTATCTTTTTTGACTTGAATCTTGTCGATCTGTAATGGGTACTGGGCGAAACAATATTTAAACACATTTGGTGATGCAAGCGATGACATTTGACTATGGTGGTAATGTGTACAGGTGTGCATATGCCAACGAGATGAAAATGATCATGATGTCTAGCAGCCATCCTCTCTGCCCATCAATATGTCTAGTTTTCTTCGGAGACTCGGCGAACTCGCGGAAATATTTAGCACTCTCTTCACCTACCACCGCTTCATCCCAGATCTCTACGGCAGAGATTTCCAGATTACTGGCATCTGGTGGTGGCGGTTTCCGATACAAAAAATCTGCTGGTATCGTAACCCTAGTCTTGTGGTCGTCTTCACTTATCTAATGGTGTGCAATGTGAGTTCTACTTGAAATGGTATAGGATAAAAGGTCATACATTCTAGCTGGTGATGACCTTACACTCGTATAAAGTGCGTGAATTCCTTCGAACCGGGCCCACCATACGGAAGACATCAAAGCAGACACCCGAATTGAGGACAGGGATCCATTTGTCATTCTCTTTCCCATAGGTTATTCCCGGCAAGAATTCCTTCGAGGCGCCGGCTGCCACCGTTTTCTCTTCCGTAAACTGGAGGAAAGGACTTGCACATGATCAAGGCGTCCCTCATCATGATCGTGCACCTTGGATCCAATGGCGAATATTACTAGGCCTCCCATGCCGAGTACCAGGCGAGCTGAATCACTCCGGACTTTCCACTCTCGGTATGTCCCACTCCGATGACACCAACTGGCCACCGAAAGTCTGCCTCCATGTCCTTCCCGTTCTCTGAGCCTCTATCGACTAAACCAATGTCAATTTATTTCCTGTGCTTCTCGGCGAGAGGAAGGTCAATGTTGCACACTATCTCCAAGGACGAAGGGTTCGCGGGGTTCCGCCTCAATGTGTTTGTCAGGACTGTAAAGATGCATCCATGCACATATGTGCGAATGGTGATCATGGCTCTGTGTCTTCGAGTTCCAAATTGACACAAATGCCATGAACTCATGGTCAGTACTTCCCTTCAATTGAATTAATCAAAATTGCTCACCGTCCGCGAACAACTTCGTTGACAGTGTCTTGATTATCTTCAAGACACTGGTATGCATCTTCATCCAAACTTATTGAAAGGATGGAGCCTGGCTCTGCGTCCTCGGCCTGCTTGAACCACTTTCTCAAAATCTTCGGAGCATCGTCGAAGGGCGAGGCAGGAGTACCGTGTTCACTACTTGGAGCATTCGGTGCTGTTTCTTCGTAGGTGACATCCTCAGGGTATTCCTCTTCATAGTTGTACGGATCGTTTCCTACAGCACTACATAAAATACGAAGCAGAAAAAGAAGAAAATTTCACGCCTTTCCTAGCCGTAAGATTCGATTTCATTGTCCCAAAAATCTTCTCCGCACTGGCTGCATTCGCAAGATCCTGCACGGGGTTGGCGGGGGCTTGTTCTCCTCGTGCTCGCCACTTCGCTCTGTAGTTGGTGTATTCTCTTCTTGTTTGACGGCGCTTGGGTTCGACGAGCCTGAGCCTTGTAGGTTCGACACGTTGGAACGATGTAGACAAAGCTAAGTATTCGGGGGAGGTGTTGCGAGAGGGAAGGATAGGACGGGGAGGAGGAGTGAGAGTATCCATCGAGACAGAAAGGGCCGCCGAGGAAGAGAAGTGTGATTTAGGTACGTACGACGCGTTCAAAATTCCCACGGCTCGCTTCCCTTTTCCCAACGACCGTGTAGCTCGAACGTCTAACCCAAATGTTGGGCACAGCCAGGCCACCGAACAGGACTCGGATAAAAGAGATGAAGAAATGAAGGATATCGGAGTACAGGCGTGATAGACCGATGTCCTGCTTGCTTTTGTGAGTCCTTATTCCCTCCCTCTTCACCAACTTGATTTCTTACCATGATGAAGGCCGGGTTTCGCCCCGTTTTATCCAAGGACGTGCAAGCAGATATTTCTTGCTTCACTCTGCGTCTCGCCTTTGCTCTCAGTCACTCTCCACGCCCGCGTCCCATCAATCCGGTCCATCCCGTACCCTCGACGTCAACGTGAACGACCCTTCCTTCGCCACCTTCCCTCTCGCAAGGGGAGCTAGCGTACCGCCGTATGCCTACCTCCCATCTGCGACCATCTCGACCCTCGACATCTCATCTGCCCCCTCCTAATACTATGCTCAAGATCCACGTCTGATGGGATGCCTGTCAATGATGAGGCCCAGTCAAAAGTCTATAGACGTGGGTGGACAGCCATTGATATCCAATGATTTACCCATGGACGTCAACAGACGTCCAAAAATGGGCCTTTTCGTAGCCTTTGCATTGATGTGTATTGTTGTTCATGGACCCGTACTGATGCTCATCTGTGTACCTCTCCAGACATCCACATACGTATATATACATTTCATGCACTACGATACATGTGATACATCATGCATACAACACTTCCTGCCCGACCACCTGTCCCCACATTGCCGCTGCAGTGTTCCATCCACCACTCGTGTGCGTGATTCGTCGACGCTCAACGGAACATAGATCGAAGGCCTCGAACTGAGGAGTCGTTCTGATAATGAAGATAGTCAATATGAGAAAAAGAGACTGAACAGAGGCATACCATGCTTAGAATGCGAGTAGGAAAGGGTTTCTGCAGCTCGTGATGAGCGCAACTGTGTGCGTCCTCAAAAATGAAAGAAAGAGATCAGTATCATGATATGGGACACTGAAGCGGCCGATATCGTACCTGGAGCATTGAAGCTAAGGCAGGGAGCCGCCGGGCGCAAGGAGCGGGTACCAAAGTCGTGTTTGAGTCGTGTAGCGACGGCGACAAGTCCAAGGGAGGGACATTTGGAATGGAACACGTCTGTACTGCAAAAAATGCGAAAATGTGGCAGCTTATACATGAATTGAACGACAGCGACTCACCTAGGACGCACCAGCAGTGTTTCGTGTGCTACTTGCTTCATATCCCTCCATATATGCGCCCAAGCTGAGAAAGTGGCGACCTAAACTACAATTCAGTACGTAGATAATCGTTCTAGGATGGATGGTAAGATGGACAATACCGACAGAAACAGAATGGGCATTGGGCGACATACCATTCGGTCCATTCCCAGTGATGAAGGCAGCGCGCTTTTGCTGGCCTATGATAGCAGAAACCGCACATATGCTCAAGTACCGCTTGACATGGAAGGTGAAACGAGGGCACAGAGACAGTAAGAGGCAATACGACGCCTACAGCGGCAGCGGCAGTGATGGTAAGAGGGAAGATAGGAGGCGTGGGAATTCTGACTCGACTTGGGAAGCTTCGCTCCCGGCTACCAACAGCAACACCATGCAGACTGCTGTGACATAGCTGTAGTGAACTTGCATAACCAAATATCCAGGAACATCGCAAACAGACCAGAGTTACGATTACTGCGAGTTGGTTCACGTATGTACGCTTCTTTCTCGTTCTATTTATGGTACATTGTCGATGAACATCGACGGACATATATAGGTAGATAAAAAGTCGACACACGTCTCTACCCATCGCCTGACGTCTCCAGACTTTTGACTGGGGATGAGGCCTGAGGGTGTGGTAAATACGAGAACATCGAGCGAAGAGGGTGACTCAGCGAGTCACAGTCAGCCTATGATTCCTTCCCGTCTCCCTTAGGACCATACCCACCAATCCATACGATATACCTCGATGACACTCAGCCGTCCATACACGTATACCTTCATTTGAACACGTAGAAGGATGTTTCTAGTTCTTCTCTGTGAGCACTTTTTGATGGTTCACTCGGTTATGGCTCACAATGTTTTCATGGTGTAGAACGAGGACTCTCGGCCCTAGCCGTCCTGCAAATCCGCCATTCAATATTCAGTGAAAAACCTGACGACGATCTAACTCCATGGACGACATCCTCCGATTCGGACGAAGACGAGGCTATCAATCGCCTTCTACGAGGTCCTCATGCATATATTCTCGCTGATGAGCTGGGATAACGCTACAGAACTTCCAGCCTACACCCTACGCACAGCCACATCCACACACCTGCCACCAACACCTTGCGTCGTCAAAGCATTCCGGCCATGCTCGCCATCCGTGCAGACTGTCGCCTCGCCGCCCTTCGCCTCGCCTGCCTCGGTTCCAGGCTGCGGTAGTCACGATCCTTGTTGCCCGTCGTCAATACAACATACGGTCGTTCGATGAAAGATGTCGTGTTCTAGTCGGCAGGTCGAAAAGTGGTCACGAAGGTCAACGGCGGAGTGGGGGGAGGGTGAGGGGGGGTGTTCTCATACTAGCACGGAGGGTGGCTCGGAGAGACGGGAGGGGTGTGCAGGCAATGGAGAGACGGTCTGAGTGATCTAATATTGGGTGGAGAAGGCCGCGGAGTCGGAGACGCAGTCGTAACGGAAATCGAGTTCAGGAAGTCCTCGAAGCCGCCGAATCACGATTTTCTCCTCCTCCATGTTAAGGACCGCTCTATCCTTGTCAGGCGTGTCGTCATCAGACTCTAAACCAAGAGAAGGTACCCTCCCTGTCCCCAGATTCCACCAAGCTCGATTATCCTCCCCAAGCCTCCCTCAGTGCGGCGCACGATTTCTTTACGATAACCTCCGACGTCAACGCCAGGCACTCCGATCGCATACCGTCTACTTTGACGTTTGATGACGATTCTACTTTCACAGCCGAAGAGGCTGTAATGATCTGTAAGATTGCTGGTGACCTTGCCCAAAAGTCTAGCTCTATCAGTCACCAGTATACCCGGACGATCGATAATATCATCCAACAGATGCAGAAGGGGCGTTTCGCGAAGAAACCGGCTGAGGATGACAGAGCAACGGAGCCTCGATGCCCTCTTGATGCCTCTCAATGATTGACCGAAATCTATCGTGAGCAAGCCTAAATGGGTGGCGGATATCGAGAAGAGGAGACGGGCACGTTTTCCATTCGTTGCTCGGATAATTTCATGACTTATTGTGGCATCGTAGGAGATGAACGAGGAGGAGAGAAGATGGAAAGAGAATGAACAAGAGCTAACGCTGCATCCGAGAGTAGAGATATAGCCACTAGACAACCTGTCGAGACTTCTCGCCAGAATGCTTCCAGGGTTCACACGCATGCTCTCAAATACTTGTGCATGTGACTGTAGATGCGATTTATAGGACTAGCGGTCTCGGTTGAGCGCCGTCGACATGCTCTTTCCCCTCCTACCCCCAAAATTCACACTGTCGAGATTTCAAAATCAGTAGTGCACACTCCGATGGGATGGGTCAGGTCTCTTCCTCCCACACCAACACCTTGGTCCACTCCTCGTCTCGACGCTCTCACACGTGACGCAGATGACTCCCCTTCTCCTTCCATCGTCTCCGCCTCTTTCTGATATCAACGTCTATCCCGGCCTCGTTGAATGTGCCCAAAGTAATGCTCTCAGTATGGCGATGAGCCATGGTGGACGTCGTCGTCGAGAGTTCCGGTATCAACGTCTATCCCGGCCTCGTTGAATGTGCCCAAAGTAATGCTCTCAGTATGGCGATGAGCCATGGTGGACGTCGTCGTCGAGAGTTCCGGTATCATAGGAAACTTGAAGATACTTGTAAATCGCTTCAGTCTTGCCAAGAAATCAGTATGTCAACCGGTTCTGGATTCCAGAGCGGTTGCTCCACACCAACTCCCATTTCCGCTTCAGCACCCTCCTCGTCTCAGGTGGAAGGAACTGTCCTACGATGTAAGATCATTTCTAGTATAGGGAAGGTGTCTTGTGAGTATTAACATCCTTCCGTACCTAGATTCATACTAACTCTCCATATTTCTACTAGCCACTAAAGCCTCGGACCGTGAAAAGTCCAACTTTTTTGACGGAACTCTATGATTCTTAGACCCTCCTTCTCTGGCGCCCGACTGTCTTTGCAGAATTTTGGCATAGCGGCACATTTACATCAGGCTGGACGTGTTCCTATACACCATCAGTAATTTTTGAAGCTCTTTTAAGTAGTGTGTACCTTTGAAGGTGTAAGAGCGATGTTACATATAATGGAAAGAGAAGGGCAGCCAGCAAAACCGACATCGTTGACAGTCATCGGTCGTAGAGTCTGGTTACCGGTTACCAGTTGAACTTTTGGTACGTAGTATGGACTCGAAAGGATACCGGTCGAAAAGGGATCATGAAACGCAACCATGCTTGCAGATTGAGCCGACATTTCCTATGTATATCTGCTACTGCACTCGAGTGGTTCGGCTGGATTGGAATTCGAACGGCGAATTTCTGACAGATGTATACCGTTTCTTTCCAGTAGCTCTATTTAAGACTTGCCTTCGAACCTAAAAACCTCTTCAACATCTTGTATTTGACCCGTTAGTATAGGAGCGTCCCAGCAAGAATGTACGCACAGCCCACCACGGTATATCCTTCAACCAGACTCTCCTGCATTCCATCCGTCATCGCCCGCCACCTCTGAGTCTCAGGATCCTCGGCGACTTTCTTCATGTCGACCTCGTAATCAGTACCAGTGTACTTCATGTTGGCAATGAGGAGGTGAAGCGAGGCATGATAATGTATGGAGTAATCAACGATATGGGCGTGTTTAAGCACCGCAAGTACGCTAGGCCACACGGCTCTCTATATTCTGCCTCGGAAGATGGTTTTAACTAAACAGCCGTTCCAACAAGCATGTGGGACCATGAAAAGTCTCAACAAGACTTACCTTGACAAATTGACAGATACGTTTTGGGGTCGACATGGTACGAGGCAGCGATTCCCAAGGCTTGGGCAAGATACTTATCCTTCAGTATCGAGCGGCCTGGATAATCCACTGGTCATCCTCATGACATTTTTTCTCAGTACGAACGATTTAATATCAGCTGACTCGAACTTTCCATGATTTTGTACGATATAGCTACCATAACTTATGCATTACTTCACATCGAACTCATCATCAAATGTCAATCTGCGCTCAAAACAGATTATCTCTTGACTATCTTTATCGGACCAAGTTCGAAATTCTTATCAGCTAGACCTGCTGCACTTGTTCCGGTGTACTCTCCGGCGTTCGACCACGACACCATCCCAAAAAGCGATCTAGGCGGCCTGTTGTGTGCCGTACTGGCAAAGAATGAGATGCAGCCTGGACGAACTGTCAGTGAAAGGCGGCGAGGAAGGGACCGGCGGCTTACCGTGGTATGTGCTCTACTATCGAAAAAGCCATCAAGAATATGCATCGCATATCTGATGTTTTCTTTTTCGACATCGATTTCATCAGTCCGCAGTGACCGCAGGATACCACCTAGCCATACGCGCTGTTCACTGAAAAAGTCCGCCCCATCGTTTTGTACCAGATCATGAAGTTTCCTGCGACACTCATCCCAGGCAGCGTCTTGTGGACGCAACTGCACCAGCGCCGTGATGTCCCTGTGAATGACAGTCCGGTCTATATTCTCGATGCCATGTGTGGCCAAGATAGAGCATGCAGTAAATATATTGTGTGAGTCATGAAGGTAGTCGATGTGCAGCTGAAGTGTTGCTAACAGTGCATCCGTAGCCCCATCCAATCCGTGCTTCATGTCCAAAATTCCCGCGATGTACTCTCTAACCATCGCAACTGAAGCTTCATGAAACGTGTTGTTTCCAAGAAACTCCAGACATCGTTTTTCAAGGAATGCAGTAAAAGCTCCTGGAATGCACTTGGTGAGGAGATCGGTCAATACCCAACATGCCGTGTCAGATTGGTAGGAGTAACTTAGCGTGTGGTCCCAATTTGTTGTCATAAAATCAAACATTGACCGGAGACCATGCAAAGAAGGTGAGAGGACGGTCAAGTATGGATAGATACGGATAGTATTTTGGCACAAGCTTTGCCACGATGTCACAATATAGCTTGCATCCCTAGGAACAAGGATATCGCTAAGCACCGTCATGATAGCAGTAGATTCCTGGGATGAGAACGTTTGGCCAGGGATAGACCCAACTGCAGTGGTCAACAACTGACAAATGGTGGTATGAGACATATCAGACTGGGGAAGAGAAAGTCTATGAAGTAAGAATTCGATAGCCATCGCAAATACTCTCACTGATTGAGACAACGATGGCTCGCCCAACGATGGATCTTTGACGAACTTGGAAAACATAAGGAGAATATCATCGTAGAATTTGTCGACAAAATACGGTAACGCATCCTTGAAACGAAGAACCAGTGGCGAATTAAAGTCTTGTATTATGCCCTTCCGTGATGCATCAAATGAGCATAAGATGGCGGAGGAGAGATGAAGGGGAAACATATTGGCGGGATCATCAGTATCAGGATCCACTGGGGGACGAAAGACACTTGGCCCAATACGCTTCACAAGGTGAAACCAACAACGTGGCGGCAGCTTCAAAGTATGGGCAGGGGATATAACGTTGATGAGAAATGTGCCCGGCGAGACATATACACCGTTTCTATCGACACTGTAATCATTGTATAGAAGCGCAGTGGTGAGCTCAAATGAATCAATGTCAAGGGCGACAGCGGGGAAAGTCCAGCCGAAACTGCGAGGATCAAAACGAAGCAGACGTTCGATTTTGAGTTCCATGCCTGGCACTGGTTCACAATTATTGGTATCCTTCGTCTGCAGGCTGTGTTTAAGCAAAGAGTGCTGCACAGCTTGCAAGGTATTCATTGCTCTACTATCTCCCTGAAGCGATCGAAACTTTTCTTCTGATGACATTGGCAGTCCTCCAATAGACTGTATTACTATACTCTGGACAGTGGGATTGGAAGAGACCGAGAAGAGCCAATTCAATGCTTCAGCCGCCAAGTTTATTGACATCTGTTGCACGGACTGGGACTCTATCATCGTCAGCGACTGTATATTTCTTGCTTGTACACGGGGAAGATAGCGGAACATGTGGCTTGACCGTCCTTGCCGGTCTTTGGTATCCTGTTCGTCGCTCCATGTTATTTGTGGGACGATACGACAAAAAGAGGCATAGACAAGATCACAGAGAGGTGTACGGTAGGGGCATTGTGGGAAAAGAATGGGAAGAATAGTCGCCACCATATATGCAATGTAGACAAGGCCAGTGCCGGCACAAATGATCCATGACAGAGCTTCCCAGAGTGGACGGAGGAAGACTACCAAGCCACTGAGAAAAATGGCGAGAGCAAGGTGCATAAGAACAGGGAGGAGTCCTATGATGACCTGGACATGCCACTTTTGAAAGCCGGCATATCGGAATTGGCGAGTAAAACTTCGGTCGCGCGGTGTTCCTGAAGGGAGAGCAACGTAATGGTGCAGCCACTGTTTCACGAGTACGGCGACGAGTGCAGTCGTTAGGCTTAGGAACAAGCTCGTGAACCAGAGCCCGTTCACCCAAATGTCCGTGGTAGCCGGAACAAAAGTGATGCTGGGATTGAGGGGAGATGGGGAGATGGCGTCAACCGTGGAACCGTTGGCAATAGCACGTTGAACGAGGACCGATTCATAAAGTAGAGAAGCCGACACGGCGGCATAGTCTGGCTGCAAGTTTTGGTATGTCTGGGCTATAAATGTCGTGACAACCGCAGAGAAAAGACCCGCCTTCGACATGGCTCAGGTAACGAAGTAAAGCAAGGAACGACAGGACTCACAAATACGAGCAATACATCAACATTATCTCGAGATTCTTCGACCATGTTGGCGTCATGACTCCTACTTTCGTCTTCATACGTTCTCCAAACCCTCGCATTAGGTGTTGCCTCTTCATAGCGCGGATCCTCGGGGTATTTCTCTTCATAGTTGTACGGATCGTTTCCTAAGTAGGACTTCATGAGATACGAAGCAGAAAAAGAAGAATTTTCCACACCTTTCTTAGCCGTAGGATTCGATCTTTTTATTCCGAAAACCTTCTTTGTGCTGGCTGCATTGGCAGGATTCTGCACGGCCATAGCGGGATCTCCATCCTGCTCCTGTTCACCTCCACCATCCTCAGTCTGGTCAAGCCTGTGCTCCCCACTCCGTTCTGCAGCTGACGTGTTCTCTTCCCGTTTGACAGCTTTTGGGTTCGATGAGCCACGGCTTTGTAAGTTCGACATGTTGGAACAATGCAAACATTATTGAAATAAAGCTGTTCATGGTGGCTAAGTGGGATCAAATTGTCACATGTTTATGGTTATTACGGCGTCGAACAGCGTCGAACTTGGTAGAGCAGGCCTCTGAATTTTAGCTTTCACCGAATATGCCTTGACGACGAGGCAGCAATGGAACGAACTTTGGAATAATATTTTCCAGCAGTGTTGTAGTCAAGGACAGCGTCGGAGGCGATCCAAAAAGGCATTCAATCTCCGCCATCAAACACCACTCAACAGCGTCCCTCACTCAATTGTCCTTCATCCTAACTCTTGTCCTTACTCTCATCATCGTACTGCAGCATGGCTGAAGGCAGCAACTACGACTATCTCTTCAAGGTCGCACTCCTCGTCGTTCAGTGTTCGAGTTGATGTTCATTTTTTTGAATTGTTTCAGGTTGTCCTTATTGGTGACTCTGGCGTCGGGAAATCGTGGGTTTCCTCTTGTCGCCGTTTCATTTTGATTTAACCATATGGTACAGAAACTGTATGCTATGGCGAGATTTATCAAGGCGGTTTCCTTTGAACTCACAATCGTACCATTCACCCAGTGCTTTCGCGGTTCACACGTAACGAATTTAACTTGGAGTCAAAGTCAACAATTGGCGTCGAGTTTGCAACACGTTCAATAAATGTCGATGGGAAGACCGTTAAGGCTCAGATTTGGGATACAGGTATGTATTATTCTTCTGTTTGTCGAGCGTTTTATACCCAGCGCCTGTGCCCCCCTTTCACACCTCCCGAAAACTCGGGCCATCTTCGTTCTTTACCACGCCAGTCCTTCTTTTCTGCTGGAACCGTTTTCTGATTCACGTTTGCTAGCCGGGCAAGAGCGTTACCGAGCAATCACATCTGCGTCAGCATTCCATCAAACGTCTCATTTAGACGCAGACTCACTGACGTATCATTGTTTATCATCTGCAGCTACTATCGGGGAGCTGTCGGTGCCCTGTTAGTCTACGACATTGCTAAGCATGCAACCTATGTCAACGTCACAAGATGGCTGAAGGAACTGCGGGACCATGCCGATTCAAACATCGTTATCATGCTGGTGGGAAACAAGAGCGACTTGAAGCACTTAAGGGCAGTGCCGACGGATGAGGCCAAGGCGTTCTCAGGTGCGCCGGTTTTCATTTTACGTTTGCGGCCAAGTGCTGACCCAAAGTGTCAGTGGAGAACGGACTGTCATTCATAGAAACATCAGCGCTGGATGCTTCGAATGTCGAATCAGCTTTCCAAACTATCTTGACTGGTGCGCACTTTTGTCCTTGTGTTCGTTTTGTGTGTTCTGACGGTAGAGTAGACATCTACCGTATCGTGTCAAGCAAAACCCTCGAGGCCTCTTCCACCCCAGCTGATCAGCCTACGGCGGGCATTAGGGTCGATCCAAGTCTTCCTTCAGATTCCACTGCTGGATCCAGCAAGTGTTGTTAGCCGATTTATATCCATTGTCCAGGGGTTTGAACAGGGCGGACGCTTTGATAGAGCTATACCACTAGCGAGAGGTGGTCCTCTTGTGTGCCTTCCCTTTCCTTCAGTGTCAATATTATAGTTTCATCTCTTTGTCTATTCATCTTTCGGATTTTTTCTATTGTCGCGCAAGGGATCTCTCCATTCGAAACACGCCACGACTGTTCTGAAACGAGGGCGCTCCTTCGTCTCCGACGATGCCGAGAGGAAAAACCTCGAAATTCTTTGCCGAAGAAGCGATGAATAACAGGTATATAAATTGCGAAAACTCGAGCTAGTACAATAACGGTAGCTACTACAAACGTCAGACGCAGACTGGAATGAGAACGTAAAGTGATGTGGTGACAACGAGGGGATGTCGTGGAGAGGAAAGGGACCGACAGGTTCGTTGCACCCCTGATCATTCAATTCATCAAAGAAGATGGGCACTGTAGAAAATATAAAAATCTTCAGCGAGGAAGGGGAAGGAGTAAAAGGAACGTCGAGAAGCTAGTCGCGCCGGCGCCGTGCTCGTCATAGCATAATTCTCGTTTGTATTGTCATCATTCAAGCTTCAAGCCTGAATGAACTTGAAGCAGGCCATCCTTCGCAAAGTGTCCGGAACGGAGACATACTGTGGTAGGCGAGTTCCAGTTCCCGTGATAAGACAAAATAGCCTTAGGTAGTATCCTGTCGTTCTTATCGCTGATTTCGTCGAAAATCCACATCGAGGCCCGTGACAAGAGACAACATATGCTCAGTACCATCGAAAGACGCCAAACTGAGTGCAAATACATTCAAGTACAGAACAGTGCGCAATTTAAACATCATCTACAGAGAGCGACATACCACCGTCGGTCTGAAGGGAATCCAGATACCGTCGTACTACAAGACCTGGGGGTAGCTCCCCCTGCTGCGCACGTATACACTCCCTAGCTTCGGAAGTAGCCTTATCGATTTCCTCATCCAGGACTGCGGCGCGAATCATTTCTGACGCGGTGTAGTATGGGACCTTGTGTGATGGGCCACTCCAAATCATCGCTGTTTCCCTTCCACAATCGTTCTCCATCCGTTCGTCACTCGCGTCAAACTCCTCAGACTCGGGTTCAGAACCGAGATCTCCATCTCGTCCATACTTACATTGTTGTCAGTGCCACTGATGCCGCCGCCGCCGCCGCCACCACCACCACCATGATCATCCCCACCAGCCTGCTGTTGACGTTCAGATGATGACGGTTGACTCCCTTGCCCCTCGCTGCGACGGCGTTTGCGTGAGCCCTCATCGCCCCCCCCCCAATCCACTAGGGCCTGCTGCAGCATGACCATGTTTACCGGAGCTGTCGGCTTTAGCTCTCCAAGCAAGTTTCTCGAGATCGCGTGGTACATTGCTCTCAAACTGCCAGACCTTCGCAAGATCAGAGGACTGAGTGATGCTATTAGCGATCCAGAGGTAAGCTTTAAGCAATTGCGCTGGTTCCATGATATCCAAGGTTCCAACATTCCAATATTGCACTATTCCATGATCATCCTGCAGCCCCCTTTGAGTAGGTCACTTTGAATAGAGAGACTGTGGAGGCTGACCAGAGTACCGAGATAAAAAGTCAGGTTATAAGCAAGGTGGGGGTGGATTGTATAACAGCCCGTGATTCCGAGAAGGTGTTTCTGCTTGAAACCGAGCAATCTGCGGTGTCGTAGAATCGCAGCAAAGTCCATCAGAAGTTGGAAGAAAGCAACACGCTCAGTGTTCCTCTTGTACTCGACCGCCAACATGCACAAGGAGAGGCAAAAAATATGCGCAGTATGCTCGCCAGAGCTAGTAACCTCCATCGGGATTCGATGCTCCATTGCGAACTGGTTGATAGCTCTCTCGGTGGATTTGGGCAGTCGGTAGGAGGCCATCCCATCGCATATCATATTATGAGAGGTAACACATTGCGTCCCAGAAAGATACGTTTTGCTCATCGATGTCGATACTTCATTGTCGTATCTACAAAGGAGGTAACGACGTATCACTTTATTTTTATGATTTAACGCACCTGATTGCCTTTGAGTTCTGTTTTTTTGCCACCACCCTCATAACCTGCGTCAATAGGACGTCTACCGGGCATCGGGATGTGGCCTCACTAGGAGGGGGATCCTGATTACTGATAATGAAGTCAAGATTATTCTGCAGTGTCGCAAGTTCTCTCCATGTGTATCTGAGATCATAGTCATCAGTATCCGAGGTGAATTGTCCATCGAACGACGTCAAAAGGTCTTCAGCGAACTTCTTCGTCTTGGGATCTTCTCCGTTGTCATTTTTGACTGATGTGAGATGAGTCTAGGAGTGAAAGCATACTTGTATGCCAGAAAAGTGTACACAGATCAAAAAACGGACCTGTAGAGCTTTTGGGAGACAAAAACGCATAAGATTTTTTTCTTCTTCCTCAATCACAGAAGGTTTATTGTCTGGGCTTCTGATGTCCACCAAGGCAGCGGTAGCCCATTGCGCAAATGCCCCTTCGCTTGCTGCTAGTGCCGACGGCGTGTGAGATGACGGCATAGATGCTCCTGTATGCCGACCGTCGTCAGAGAAAGAACCCTTTAAGAGCGATAATGCATACCCTACACAATCACTCCAAAAATAAGGAAATTTCCGAGACACCATGTGTCAAATAGTGGGACTAAGCCGTACGTGTGCTTCAACATTGCAACGGACAATGCAACTACCCCGCCGGGCCCTGCAGGCAGCAGCAGGTATGTCTGCGTATTTCGTCCCTCACACATATCCACTGAGCACTGGCACTGAGTAGGAAACGACGACCTTAAGAGTACAAAGCCTAAGCGGAAAATTGTGGACGAAGAAAGAGGTGAGGCGAAGAAAGTTCGTGCTTAAATATAATGAGTTCAGGTAACTAGCAGTTCGATTCTCTGAAAGGCATGTATGTATGATTATGGCGGTGTATGATTATTTTCAAAGTGTGCCTCTGCATAAATTGGATTCTGCAAATTTGGGATGGGGAATCGGGATGAACACTGCCTAAGCAAGGTATGATTGCGGATGAACCCAGATTTGTCTGTTACCTTGCTTGCAAGGTCTCTGCTGTGCATAACGATGTGATGACTAAGAGGTGGCAATCATGTGATGCTAATATTTCCTTCTTCCTTCTGAGCGGCCACGCTATGTCTTTCCACGACGGGAAAGACATCGCACAGGAACTCGACATGGAACAAATCAATCAGATATTCGAACGTCACAATATAAGGCAGAGGCACTTTCTCTCAGCTTTCCCTCAACTGCAACTTGACATCACCCACAGTTTGCAATCAATCTCGTCATAGCGACCCAGCGGCCATACCTGTACTACTACATATCTAAATGCTATCCGGACCTCCAGGACACTGTACGGAACGAGATTCAAGAAAGCACCCGACGACCTTTTGAAAACGAGATCACACTGTTGTACAATCAACCAAGAACAAGAGAAAGGCAGGACAAGGCAGGGGGGTTTGAGAAAGGCGAGATTAAGAAGTCCCGCACTTAGGTACTCAAGCTCAAGGCTTAATGTACCTTAATAATGGAAGGCTTGGATCGGGATTATACATTTCAAAGAAACACTGAAAAATGGGAATACTTAGACGACAACCACAAAAGCAAGGTATTGGTGTTGTCAACCGACGACCGCTAGTTATAAAGTACTGAATGAGTAGATATTTACACGCACGTGGTTGAGTAAACATTACTTACCCTGAACGCGTGAACACTGAAGGAGTGAAATGACGATCCCGCAACTTTTGGCGCGGTGATGCGCGAAGTTCCGGTCCAAAAGATGGGGAGTAAACTGGAGTAAAGGAGAAAACGAACGGTGATGTGGCTGTCAATAATAATAAAAAGTGGCTGCGATTGGCCGACTACGTTACATAAGCAACTCAGCTCCACAGATGGAGCTTGTACTAGCGGGGTCGACCAATTCACACTGTTTCACTGTTTCGTATGCTGGAGTAAACTCATTGGCTCAGATGGTGAGAACTCTGGAATTAGCAGGGAACCCTCGCAAATGCCCAAGGGGCTCAATTGTCTACTTATATACTCTTGTAAGCTAATGATAGGGGAAATGGGATCATAGGGAATGATACTTAGGCTAGAATTAAGTGGAAGTGGTAGTAGAAAGCAAAGAAGGCCTTGAGCGGTATTTGTCACGGGTTTGATCAGTTTGAACTGGGGCTGCAAAATTAGAACCCTCACTTAACCCCACTGGCTTAGGTTCACCGTACAAATTTTGCAGTGAGTTTAATGCCGATTAAACATGGGTCCAGATGCCCTGGTTTAATAAAAGTTCAATAGGGACCTAGGGCTTCCGCTCTGTGTGCTATAAAGTATATCAACAACGCCTGGTAGCAACGGCGCAGAAAACATTGGCTGTTTCCCTAAAAATTCCTTTTTAGGTCACTTGCCAGTGCGACTACTACTACCACCACTACTACTTCATCTTTGGACTCCTTTCAAGGACATTTTGCGAGGCCAGGGTACGCAACTGACCACTTAATCCTGCTTAGATGCACCTCGGAACATACCACTCAGCGGTTTCAACTTCCAACAGATCCTCTCAAGACCTATGCCTACTCCGATGAGCACTGCGACGTCTACAACCAGCACACTAAGCACACCAGCCATGAACCGGGGTGCAAATACCTTCCATACCATGAGATGTCGCCTCAACACCGCCGCGCTCACAGCAGTACCCAGCAGCAAAGCCGCATAATACATCATCATCCCAAGCGCAACCATGATGCCCTCCCCTCTAACTTTGACATCAATTCTCGGCTGCTCATCGCCCGCCGAAATGAACAAAGGAGGACGGTTCCACAGTGCCAACAGTGGCGCAGCAATCCCCGCGAGGAACACAGGTCCAAAAGAGTTCAGCACCACTGTTATCGGTGCGAATGGGTAAGTCACGCTTGGGGTTAACAGGAAGGCGGATTTCCACTGGATGGAAGATATTGTGGACTGGTGGCCTGTTGCGAAGAATGTGTGAAGCCCAAGCAGTGCGATTGGTATGATGTCGGTGAATCGAATCATGGGCGATTGGTCTTTAGTAGGTTGCAAAATTATTGACGGATTCGAGGAAGCGAAGGCTTCTTCGTAGTACCTGGCGTCACGAGCACTGTCGACGACTTCCAGGAACGCCATAAGAGCTACGGCACCCAGCCCAAGGACGACTTGGCTCGTCAGCTGGGAAGATGTATACACCAAAACGAAGAAAATACTCCAGAAGAGGAGGTATGGCGCGCCGAAAGCGTTGGCGAACCCGATGACTTCCGCCTTGCGCAGTTTTTGATCTGGTTCTTCCTTGATAGAGACGTCTATGCAGAGGGTGAAGAACCACCAAAGTACGCCACCGACAAGGAGTACGAGGGCGAAAGAACAACGGGCGAGATATGTTCTGCTTATACGCAGCGTGGTGGTCCACGCGTCACCCAAATGTCCAGCGGAATCGAGCCATTCGAGGATCCAGTATCCGGTGCCTGCGAGCAGTGCCGGGATGAGGATGGTAGGAATGAAAAACTGGGCTAGTCCCACGTCTGAACGGGAGACATGCAGGAAACGTCGGAGGATATATGGGATGCCAAATGCAACTGGGATAGCGAGAGCTAAGATTGGCATTGGAGGGGTAGGGAGAGTGGAAGAGGAGTAGAACGTGACATGGCAATAGGGTTGCTGCTCTTCTCTGCAAATCGTACTTATCGCCATGAGTCTGACGCATATCGCGTACAAGAATGAAAACCCGAGGATGCGATACCGAAGGCGGGATGTGGCTGCTGTTATCCCAGTGAATACGAATGGGACAATTGACGTTAGAGAGAGGTAGAGGATAACGCGGTCTTCCCAGAACGTAAAAGAGTTGGAGAAGAATGCGATGGTGTGAAGAACAAGAGGGATCGGTATTGATTTCAGGGTCAAATTTTTTGGAGGAGAAGAAATGATAATTAATATGCTAGATAGCAGAGGTGCTGCGAATAGGATACAGTCAAGGGAGTCAATACCTTGAAGGTATTTCCCGAGGCCGAGATGTAAGACGAAGCCAAGGACAGCCCCTCCCGCCATCCCTCGAAGGCTTTTTGACACCCGCAGAGCTATCCACCGGTCCCATTCATATTTGGCTTCTCCAAGTCCGGAGTACACTGCCCAACTGGCAATGAAGCCCACTCCGAGCACTGCAAGGCCAAAAGCCATTCGTAAAGGATTGAATTGAGCCCACAGCGCCCGACACGTAGACAGAGCTACACGATTATAGTTGGCCAGTGTGATCAGTTGGGAATCCCCGCTAAGCTCTGGATTTTTTGTAGCATGCCGTGCATACTCCAATTGATCCCAATAGTCATCCAGTTCCCCGCCAGATGAGCTGGAGCGGTAGGCATCTAGATACCGATAGATCTGGGCAGTGTTAAGCTGTAGCGCCTGGGAGAGCTCCGTGCCTTTGCTGCTCCTCCAAAAGAGCTCGGGAATAACAGAGCCGAGGTTGTTGAAGGGAATCGGGAGGCCGAGAAGGAGAGACAGAGTGGGAAGAAAGTCGATCTGTTGCACAGAACGATGGGGAATGGAAGCTTCAGGAAATGTGGTGTACTGTAAGAGGCCGGAGGGAAGGGAGGACAGCTGCCGGGACAGTTGGGGGCCTTTGCTGTATATCCACAGTGCCGATGAGGTTTCTAGAGATCCGTCACCGCCATGATCCCCAGACCTATCCATGCCGTGATCTCCCAGCACGACGAGGAGCGTGTCATCATCTAGAAGATCGACGACGCGCTTCAACACGTCATTCATCTGCTCAAGCTTTGCTTTCATGCCTGGGTGATCAGGGCCGACTCTGTGACCGACGTGGTCGACGCCTAGGAAATGGCCAATGAGGAAATCGAAGGGTTTGCTTTGGTCCTCTAATAGAGGGAACAGATGGGTGATGACACCCTCATCGACGGTGTGAAGGTCTTCGACGTTGAACGAATCATACGGAAAAGACATGTTAGGACGGAACGAGTCTGGAAACACGGACATCCACGTGTCGTCACCCATGAAAGCGGCCTTGGTCGAACCTCAGCTGATAAAGTGCAGGAAAAGGGAACCAAAGGACACACCGATTTTCCTGCACGCTGTAGCTGATTCATAATGGAGTCCTCAGCGATTGAAGACGCGCCAAAGTTGTTTCCAAGATCGACGAAAGTGGGAAGGGAGCCGGTGGTGAGGCCCTTGATTCGCTGAAGGGTGGTCGTAGGTGGATCAGAGTATGCATTGAAGAGAAAAGAATGAGCTGGATGTGACGCCGTGAGCTGCTGGGGGAGAGTCAAGACATTATGGTGGAACGGCGACACGGGAATTGGAGGATTGGGCGAAACAAAGTCGAAACGAAGGGCGTCAATGATGAGGACTATTGCCCGTGTATGCGTCGGCGCCAGCGTGCATTCTGTCGTGTATGTCGTTGTTTCCGTCAATGCTAACCTTGTTAATAAGAATCCGCTAGTAAATAGATATATCCCGGCCAGATGAACGAAGACGACCCATAGCAGAATGGCCAGCGAATTGGGAATCATGGATAGTAACGGTCCTGCCTGCTGCGATGAGACCAGGTCAACGCCAGTGTCAAACACACACAAATTTCTCGGTCGTGAATATTTTACGAACTTCTTTCCTTTCCTTCTGGTTGCTTATCCTTCGAGCTTCAGAGCTTCAGACTTTGCGAGGCAGTAATAGCAAATAGAGGAACATTTTTTCCTAAGCAATGTTTTTTGTCTTTTTGGCTCAGTATTAAATCATCAATCTGCATTATGCATTATTGCCATGGTCTGGAATACTACATCATCCCCTTCCCATAAAATATTAAATGGGAAAAACAGCCAAGAACGATGCGATGTGATGCGATGACGAAGGACGGGGCAAGGAAGTGGGACTGCGTAAAGAGTCACGACACCGGCTTGGCCTAAGAATAACAAATTGCCTTGGCATTGCACTGCTCGCAGCAAGTCTGCCTTGTTGCTTCTTATCCTCTTACCATCGTCAACAATGCCCGCCTTCGACGGCTCTAACGACTTTCATGCCCTGCTCGCTCGAGATGCGTCGCGACTTGTCCCTAACGATACCCAGCGAACGACATTGATTGTCGCCGCGTGTTATATCATCGTTATTGCTCTGCTATGGTGCGTCGAGGCTCATCGACATTCGCATCTGCGCTGATTTTCTCTGTACAGGCATATACCTTTTCTCTCTTGGATAAGTGAGTGGTCCCCGATCGTCAATCCTTCAATCTTCATACTCAATATCCAAACTCAGTTTATCCATTCAAGTACGCCTCTCCTCACCCAGTGCCATTGAATACATACTTACTTACCCGCTATAAAAACAGGTTACTGACTGTCGGATTCCACGAGGTGCATCATTTCCCATACTCATCAATCTCTCCAACTCAATTTTGAACTCTAGATGAGCCATGCTTTCATGGGAGTTTTGACTTGTGCCCATATTCACTCTATTGAGCTAGACCGTATGATATCTTTCCCTTCCTCTTATGTCCTCTCTAACGCCAGCACCCCGTTCATAGCGGACGAGGGTGGAGCCACCAGTATGTCAGGCGGTATCCAGTGGCTCACTTTACCCGCTGGGTACCTTGGATCATCCTTCATTGGCGCTTGCCTCATTGCTTGCGGATTCAATACGAATGCCAGCAAAGTGGCATCACTGGTTCTCGCTGTCTTCTTCCTTTTCACCCTTTGGTGGGCCCGCAGGAATTGGCTGTACGTTGACTTCTCGCTTACGTATCGCCTCTTCTGATTGATCCCCCTCCACTCAGAACATGGGCACTCATTATTGGAATGTCGGGCGTCATCGTGCTCTTCTGGTTCGTTGCCGACAGCGTGGCATTGAGATACTTTGTGCGTCCGGATGATAGTAATGTCCGATTCTGCGCACCAAAATAAATATGATCTAGGTGCTCTTCATCGGAGTAATGTCCTGCATGTATGTTCTTTGGGATGTCATCGGTGAGTTCTAGGGCAATTCTTTTGGAACCATGTGCGCTAATGTATGTGGACGGGTAGATGATACCATTGCAAGAAAAGTAAACACCTCGGATGCATCGGCCTTTGCCAGAGTCTGTGGATGCTTCCCATCACAAGGTGCGTTTTTTTCCTTCACCGCTGGGGAGCGCTCCTGGGTCCTACGCTTGACGGGAAGCTCGGTGGACCTGAAAGGCCGCTTTAAGGTAGTCTTTTCAGGACCACTAGCCATTTCCATCAGGTGAAGAGAGTTAATCTGACATTGACAATGTCATGACTTATCGATGTCTTTTTGTTTTCATAAATGGAAACGAGGCTGGAGATTAACTTAAAAACTTTCTCCGCTCATTTGGAATCTGAGAAAGAGATCTGTTTCCCAGTACTCTCTCCTGCTCAGCCGGAGTAGGACCATAAGTCAACGCGTTCAGATATCCCACCGACCCCAGCGGTGATTCTATTATTCCCCCGATTCGGATCTAACATCCCTCCCTACAGTATGGGGCGTCATATGGCTTTTGGTGGCTATCGCGTTTTTTGCTGCTGGAATCCTAGTAGGACTCGCAGCTTTTAAGGTATGGAGTTATGGCGACTCCACTGATGTCATCTCACATTCGTTCTCGCACAGGAAACTGCTGCAGAACAAGCAGAAGACTCGGGTCATTTCCTGCCTGTTCCAGGCGCTGATGGCGCGCTCTCAATATCTCCCAATATTCTCATGATAACCCTCAGCGCCGTTGGATTGATACTCTTATGATCTTCGTCCCCATCACCCCTGCTTGTACACTTATATTTACTCCTTCTACTACAGCAGTTATGTAGCATAGATGATTCATGAATACTAAATATTATCGTTCCGCCGCTCCGGGACCAAAACGACCCTTTTCTCGGAACGTCATGATGATCGCGTTCATTCAGATATTAAAAACAGGAACTAGCTCTGTTAGGAAGCGGTATGGTCACCTAGCAATTCAGCCTCCGCTTGGGTCGAAACATCAATTCACGAGGCCCTCGATCCGTGTATATATAAGGATGAGAACAGTCATTCTTGACGTCCCACCAAAATGAAGTCTCGCATCGTACCTGTCATGCAAAATGCCATGATATCCACCGTCAACAGCGGCGATTTTGCCCCCTCGTTACCAGAGCTAGGACAGGCGCTGGAGAGGGTGAAAAGAGACAAAGAGAATAAGCAGGATGTGGTAGCGAGGCGAGGCGAGGAAGTCTTTCGGTCGACTGTTGAACGTATGTTTTTCTTTGGGGGTATGAGCGAGGTGCTGGGATGGTCCCAGTCACAGATTGATGTGAGTTGCTCATGTTCCGTGTTGCTCTGGCCGAGTCTGTAACAGATGTTACCCTTCCTAGGATATGCTGGCTGCGCTGACGAGTTCGGCGGTCCTCAGGGTCGCCTTACCAAAGGCCTTTGCACTAAACGGGGTGGACCGTATAGTAAAAGGCATCAACGCTGACGTGGAAGTGGTGTTCAAAATGCTGGTCACAGTGATGAATTATTCAGATTGCAATCGGGTGGTGGCTGCTATATTTACTCCCTTGTTCCTTGTTGGCGTCTCTGCGTATCAAAAACAGGTTCGGTGAGTCTCTTCATGTCGCTTCCTATATTCGCGTCGCATTCATCGTTCTACCAGGTCCAGCGGGATCTATTAGCTATTTGTTACATTATGCTATCAGCTTGAGAATTATAAAACACGGCATCTTACACTGGACAGCAACCGAATCTCCAATAGCCCTTTATGAAATGCGGTTCCGGGTGTTTTGACAATGTATACTTTTCATAAGAGGCAGTGATCATGGATGCGTATCAGCATTTACCAATGCCGTTAGTTGTTCGGATGCGAATGGGATAAGAGGTCCTATCGCTGCAGAGCTCGAGAATCTTGGTCCTGGAAAATGGCGCAGAGGTACTGCAAGAAGACTTCTTTGCACTGTAGCCGTCCAAGCTGCGGATAGCCTTTCATACGTCGGATGAAGGGGGCCAGAAGGAGACAGGGAGCTTGTAGAGAGGGGTCATGAGCAGCTCAGCTGATGATCTTTATGAGATTCTCGAATAGATGCACGGCGCGAGGTGATGGTGGAATCGTCGCCACTGAGGTAAAAAGCATTGAAATGTCCATCAGGATGTTACCGCAGACGATGGCCAAGACCTGAGGACCAGCCTTCCAATTGCACGATATCGATACCGTAGCCGGCCCCTTCTCGGTTCGAGTAGCCTGTAAACGTAAAGCTGAACCTGTATTCTGGCTGTCATTGACAGCTACGAGCGAAGGCGAGAAATTTGGATGTACCTGCATCCGTTTTACTAGGATATTCAGCGTCGAAAATGCATTGTTGGAGGTTACCATTGAGCGTTGTCATCAGCGTCGATGTCAAGAGCAATCATCAGCGTCGATGTCAAGAGCAACGTGGTATTTGGCAAGGTTGTTGCCCCCACCTTACTCCGACTTCCATGCCCAGCCCATCTAGTTCTGAGGCTTCCTTCATTCTTGTGGGCGGCGAAGCTAGTGCTCATAAGAAATCCTCGTCTGGTTCGTCGTCGTCATCGAGTGAAAAGGATACCCAGGTTCGTGATTTAGATTTGCCATTATTTTGTGCAATTGCTTACTACCCCGTCTTCAGCCAACGGAACATCCTTCATGCTTGCCCTTCATACAAACCAGGTTCTTCTCCGTCGTACGCTCACGACTGGTCGCGTAGAGCTACGGGAGGAAATCTGCATATACATGGTCGTCACTTTGTAGACAAGTACGGTCGGGTCTGTGGGCTTAGGGGAGTCAATCTCTCGGGATCCTCGAAATCGTGTGTTACAAGCTCTGTTTCTATCTGTTCGTACCTGACAGCTACGAAGACCAGCTAATCATGACGACGATGTATTCCCCGCGGAGCATGAGACCGTGACATTTGTTGGTCGGCCGTTCCCTTTGGAGGAAGCTCACGAGCATTTGTCTCGTCTACGACGATGGGGATTTACCTTCAGTATGATTGGCCGACTTGTGCTTGATTCAGGTGTCTAACTGTACCCTCTAGTTCGTTTCCTTGTTATGTGGGAGGCTGTAGAGCATGCAGGACTGTGCGTGTACTTGCTACCATCTTCTATCAAGCGCTCATATTTTTTCGTTGGTAGCGGGATATACGACACGGAATATCTAGACTATATTCGCAACCTTCTTTCCATGCTACCTCAGTACGGCATGATCGCCTTCGTCGCTCTACATCAAGACGTGTGGTCGCGTTATTCAGGAGGATCAGGCGCGCCAGCGTGGACATTAGAAGCTGTAGGGTTCGACTTGCATAAACTAGAGGAGACTGGCTCAGCCTGGTTGAAAGGCGTCAAGGGAGGAGGCCATGTCGAAGAGGAGCAAGGCCTTTGGTCGTGTGGGTATACCAAGCTTGCTGCGGCGACCATGGCGTAAGACATTTCACTCATCGATTGTTTCATATCGTTTACATGTTGCATAGTACGTGCTTCTGGGCAGGGGATGCCTTCGCGCCGAAGCTGAAGCTGAAGAATCGGCATGGAGACGATGTGTCTGTTCAAGAATTTTTACAAGGCGCCTTTTTGGATATGTTTGACAATATCGTTCGCGCCGTTGGGGATCTAGAGGCCGTTATTGGATTTGAGGTACGCATTATCTGATTGATGCCGTGTCTTTATTCACGACATACGCAGATGATGAACGAACCGCATAGAGGTTACGTTGAATTGCAGTCTTTACATGTTTTCGATTATAACACCGACCTTCATCTTGCACATATGCGTATGTACACACATTGGGCATTTTCGTTGAAACAAACTAACGATTATCTAGCTACCGCTTTCGAATCATTCCAGCTTGGATCCGGACATCCAACTGAAGTTGCTGTGTATACCCGTTCCTTTCCAATGCCCACTCGAAAAACATCCAGTGCTATATTGAATACAGAGGGTGAGAAAGTGTGGCGCCCTGACGGTCCTTCGCAAGGCCAGTGCATATGGGAGATGCATGGCGTCTGGGGATGGGACGTCAACAAGAAAGAAGGCGTCATTCTTCGGGAGAATTATTTCGTCAAGCATCCTATGACGGGGCAGAAGGTAGGGCTTATTATATAAAGCTCTTTGCTGATATTGTACTCACGGGTGCGCCAAGATCGATTGGTACGACGACTTCTTCTATCCGTTTATTCGTAAGTGGGAACAAAGGGTACGAGGGATAGTTTCTCCCGGAGAAAGTACTCTTCATTGAAGGTCATTCCGAACGAGGTTTGTCTGTTTCTTGCCTTAGTGTGTGAATCCTTTTTCTGATGTCAATAGTTTTGTCCCGAGTCTTTCACCCCCTGAAAAGCAATTGTCGAACATGGTTTATGCGCCGCACTGGTAGGGTTTTATGATTCTCTGTGAATCTGCATTTGCTTGACTCTTGCCATGCAGGTATGACTTGAATGCCCTGTTCTCAAAAGCTTTTGGGGACTTCACCGTTAATGTCCAAGGATTGTCTCGAGTGCGTCAGTTTGTGGCACTCCTTCAACGCAGTCCTTTAACTTGAACAGGGAATGTTTCCGCTTAAAGCCTTTTATTGGGGCCATGCGGGTGCTAGAGATAACTATTCGTTACAAATCAAGAACTATTGTCGAACACGGATACAAGTCATTAGGAGAGAGAACCAATCATCATCGGTGAATGCGGTATCCCCATGGATCTGAAGTAAGTTCAATCAATTGATCTGGGCTCTCGTTAACCGCTTAACAGTAAAAAAGAAGGCCTTCACTTCTGACAATTGGCTATGGCAAACCAGGATTATGGATGCCATGATTACAGGGCTGGAACGGTCATTGGTTGGCTATACGTACGCATATATCTAGTCGATGTCCTATGAGCTGTTCTGACCTCATCTTAGCCTCTGGTGCTACAACCCTTCCCATGATGACGAGACAGGAGACAATTGGAATGGAGAGAGCTTCTCGTGGTTCAGTCGGAAACGGGCCCTGCCTCCGTTCTTGCTGTACTATGAGCAGACCTGCTGTATCGCTTGATCAAGGTGGCCGGATACTTCCAGCAGTCGTGCGACCGTATCCTGCTAAGACTGCTGGGATACCCCTTCGCTTCGAGTACGAGATGAACACTGGTTCTTTCACGTTCGAGTGGGCGAACGCAGATTCAGTCGGCGCCACTCACCAAGAAAGAGGAAACTGGACAAGCAAACCCTAGCGTTGCCTCACCGCCAATCTCTGGGCATCCCATTGCCAGCGCCTGGGAAACTGAGATCTTCATACCCTCCATGATTACTGATGGGAGAAAAGTCGTTGTCGACGGGTTGGAGCCCGGAGATTCGTATGTTCACGACGAGCAGCGGCAGACGCTGTTCATCGTTACGGAGAATCGCACTGCAGGAAAGAGGCACAAGGGTGGAGGTGTACGTTGAATCCGTCCGTTGAAGGAGAGCTTTGAGGATTAACGATTTATGGAGCGATTTCAGTGTGTTGATTTTGTCGTTTTCTATGGTTTTCTTTTCTATTTTTTGGTATTGGATACTTAAGCTGTCTGCTTAGATATTGCTTTGATTGCTATTTGTATACCTTTTTACGACTTTGAACACGGATAGTTTCGCTAGGTGTTTACGCACGGATGTTTCGGCCCGACCACGATTAGGTTGACGTCATACGTCGTCCTGGCTCTCTCTTTTTGCCTTCATCCATTCAGTCTTCGGTCGTTGCTCACCTACAGCGCACCTCTACATCCTCAAGAGATACTCATTTAACCAATTCATCCAATGGTCCAAACAGATCCCGGGGCTGGGTTACCTTCAAATGCACTTGCACTATGGGACCAGCTGCAGGTAAGTACTCAAATGAACTGTCTCACGCGTATTGGTTCATAATTGACGTGTTTCTTTATAATTTAGCAAGAGTTAGCCTCTGAGGTGGCTCGTGAAAAGAAAAAAACCGCGAATCTAGCTTCAAAAATCGAAAATGTCGAAGAAGAGCGCGCAGAATTGGCGGAGACTGTCCGGAAACAGAAACTCGAATCGGACCATAAGGACCAGATGGTGACGCGCTTGGAAAAGGAGAGAGATAAGATATCTCTCCAACTATCCATACGGAACAACTCCTTCGTAGCAAACCAGGTACGTACTTTTGGAAGACTGGCCCGCCGTCCAAGTACTAAGCGCCGGCCGTATAGGCCAAGATCCTACGGGAACAGGTCAATTTGTTAGCAAACGACGCCCATGCTCGTCCGAATATCGAAGATTACAGAACTATATCCACCGTACATTGTCTCCGACACGCAACCTCACCTCTGCACATTCAAATTCAGCAACCCTGTTCATGTAACAGAACTTCTCCAAATTGTGAGTCTTGCGTCGTTGGATCCTGGGAAGCTCAATTTCTGATATATACTCGGTAGAAGACTACATTGACACGCTCGTGAGCACATTCGTGGTTTGTAACCGAGAAATCTGCCGACGCTAGATTTCATAGACTCTTCTTCTACGCCAGTCCGCCAAGAGCTCTTCCGATATACTTGTCGGGTATGGGCCACAGTGGGTACTGGTTTGACCCGCCCGACGTTCCCAAGTCGGAGTTCGATCTCTTCGTCGAGACTAGCATAGATGAGGAAAGCCTTCATGGCGCATATACCTCTTCGTGATGACAATCTGATGGTTCAGTTCCAAACAGTGGAAATATTATGGTCGGTTTACGACAAAGAATCTCGATCCTTGGCGCATACATGGAGGTGGCAGAGTGGCTTTCTATCGATGAAATCGTAGTTATTCTTATTCCTTGTTCAAAATGTTGTTGCTAATTATGCATATAGACTCGTCGGACATACGTGACCGAAGCGTCCAGCCGAGGTCCTACCAGCGGACAGGTGCCTACACCAGAACAGATCAACACTCTCATGCACCAGCTGGACTCTGGAGAGAAGATCGTTCCATGCTATCTTCTCCGATGGGTCGGATATAGCACTGACTTGTGCAAGGCGCTTACGGACGTCACAAATACTCTCATGCCTCGACACGAATCAAGGAACTCTTCCAAACGATCTGAATCAGGTACAAAGGAATGTTCAACAAACGGGCAATCAAATTCGTAAAAAGCCTGCGCTTGACTGCCAGCAGTGGTCCGCCATCTGACAGCAAAGAAAATACTAAATTATTACTGGTAGGCGGGTATCGTGAATTTATTGGCCCATACTTACGTTTCCTTCATAGTAGTGTATTATTACAACTGTTCTTGCCATGTACAACCCTCGGAACATTAAATATGATGCTGAAAGCGTGTATCATCATCCCTTTCGAGACATCGTTCACATGTATTATCATTCAGATATCCAAGTTTCATGACTGTGGCATGTGCTTATTGATATATCCGCCGTCTAGACAATTCATTCCGAGTCTGTATTTATCGACCGTGTCAAGTAAACCTACAGCTAAGGTACGGTGGTGCCCTACAGCCTAGATTGCTCGATGGTGAGTCGTTGTGTAAATCCATAGGTAAACGTCGACTATAGCAACGGGTATAGGTGGTTTGGTTTGGTATTTTTGGCCATGAATAGGACTGACATGTTCTTTGATCGTCAACGTATCCTTTCTGCTCGTATCAGAGTTATGACTCAACCAAACAATGGGACGCATATATTTGAGCATTTGAAGGCCCATGTGGCTTCAGCTTCGCATCCTGAGCTTGTGGAGAGGAATGAAATGACTTGAGAACGAGCCAACGAGAAAGTCTATGAGGTCAAGAATAGTCGGAAGTAAAGGTTAGAAATGTTAGAAACACAACTGGCCTACTGGCTAACATACTTGCGTCATGCTGTTGAATTTGATACCCTTGCGGAAGAGCAAGTAATGTGAAAAGACGAAGCTGAACATCGCAGAGTTTCAGGGATGTTCGAATCTGAGCTGATAACTAGGATAATAACGAATGAACTCGACCCTCCGCATGTCCCTTTATTGGCCGGGACTTTTAACATTTGTTAATTCCAACGCAGAGGTGTAATACAAGTAGCAAGACAATTAATACAACACAGTTATCCACTTCGTTACTAGATTTGATAGATATAATGGTAAGCGGCGCCATCAAGCAAATATTGGCATGGTCTGACCCTAAAAGAACATATATACTCATACATCGATCCCTTAAATTACGAACGATAGAGAGACGCTGAACCCATATAAGGAGACTGGCCCCCAACCAGCGGCGAAGCCATACTCCTGCCCATCCCCATCCGCGGAGTAGCCGTCGCAGAATTCGCCAAGGTGTTCATATACGTTGTCGGATCAGGCGGACTCGCCCCTGGAGACATAGCAGCTCCACCAACAAGGCTGACCGGCGGAAGCACAAAGCTCTGTACAGGTGTACTGCCAGCGCTCCGGCGGCTTCTATGCGATCGGCTTCCAGACCTCGAGGAGGTCGTTGAAGAAGAGGAGGATGAAGAAGAGGAAGATGCCCTACTACTCCCTTTACCGCTCGATGCGGGAAGAGGGTAGTTGACGGCGGGATTTGAGGGTGTCCGACCTGGAGGAAGGGGGTATGTGAACCCAGGAGGGGTAGACGCAATTTCATATGCAGCACGAGGGGTTCGAGGCGCGCCAAATCCTGAAGCTTGCTGAGGGTCTGGATCCGCCGACGTCGTAGCAGCCGGAAGTGCTGAAGTTGAGCCACCCCACGGGGAACCTGAGAAAAGTTAGTGATTGTTGGCATCCAAACAGTCCACGAATACTAACCAGCTGCACTAGGAGGTTTTCCCCAATCATTCATTCCCCAACCAGCGGAGGGTACCATCTTGGGAGTCTCGGGAGAATCGTCGGGTCCGCTGACGACGACGCTAGGATAGGACATGAAACCGGGGGGATTCGAATGGCTGGTACCAGGTCCATTATCCATTGGTATGGTAGGTACCACAGGACGATGTTCAGGGGGTTCCGGTGGTAATATGGTGGGCGTATGGTTTGGACTCAAGAGCTCCATATTCCCCCGGTCATTGGGATGGTCCGAAGCAGATTGAGGGCGAGACTGTGTTGCATGTTAGGGTTACACACGAGCGAGAAAAAGATAGGCACGTACTGGAGGTTCGACTTCAATATCTATACTATGTGTACTGCGACTGGACGTTCTACGTAACTGGCCATCATTGGGCGAGAGCGTCTCACGGCTAGATGATGCAGAAAGCTGTTGAGGGGTTTGAAGCATGGTCGGCTGGTGGAGGGACCGATTTGACTGTGCGTGGGATAGAGGTATGTGAGGAGATTCCTGCTGGAACATGCGCGTCAATATCACAGAAGAAAAAGAAATTGAATGTATTCACCTGAACCGTACTTGTGCTTCTTCGCCATTCCTCTACAGCATGACCCGGTGTAGAATCAAGAATATTTTCTGGCACAGTAGGCGTCATGGATCCTGACCGAACACTATTTCCCTCGGGAATGGCATGCAACTGGTTGACCGGTTCGCGGTCTGGTCTTGGGAATGAAGACAAGTTGTCCATGGAGATGCCTGTCATTGTGGAAGTGGTGTCAGGCGTCGAGACACGACGTTCAGCGTCGGAAGGGGCTGTGGACGGGAAGGCACCTCTGAGGACATCAGGCGGAATATTCATGGAAGGAACCACAATGGGCTGCACGACGATGGGAGGCGCTTGAGGTATTGACTGGGCCACTGGAGCGGGAGGAGGGGCGGAGACTGGAGGAGGAGGGGCAGACTGCGAGACCACCGGTGGTTCCGGCATTCTCATATACTGCAATGGTCTTGGCTCGGGAATCTTATACTCTGGTATCTTCACTTCTGGTAGCGGAGGCATCCGAGGTTGGAGCAAATGCATTGGCATAGGTGCGCGCCCACTACGCATGGAATCCGTATCCGAAGTCGAATTACGTTGTGGTTCCGTCATACGCTGGGAATTGCGCGTCGGTGGACGCGGCTGCTCTGGGGCAGCAGGGAAGGGTTGATCATCAGAAGTCGGCAGGTAGGCTCCTTGCAAGAGGCTGAATATCCGGAATTTGGCTGGGGATGACCGGGGCAGGTTGTTGGTCTATTGATCGAGAACTGCTAGCAATTGGGGGTGGAGGCTGCTGTACAGGAGTCATGGAAACATTTGGTTGTTCCTCTGTCTGATGATGACTACTCGCTACGGAAGGGGGTTGATAGTCATGGTTGGAACTAGGGGCGGGATGTTGCTCTGGTTCCATAGAACGTGAGATTACAGGGGATTCTTCTTCGGGAACATCGGGCACTGGAGATAAGTTCTGAGATAATGGTGGGCGGAAAGGTCCAACAGATTGTTCAGAGCTGGGAGCTCTTGGCGGTGGTTGGCTTTGAGGGATGGAACGCGACGTATGGTGATGATGCGATTCAGAGCCTGAGCGACTATGCTGATGATCGCGAGGTTCTCGATGCTTGTGGTGTCCCCGAGATCTGTCGCGATCCTGATGACGCATGTCTCTTACAACTTCAGTATGCGCTGAAGAAGTTTGAGACCCTTCTTCATCATCAAGTTCTTCGATAAAGGCAGAAACGGGTTCTGCAGTTGGTGGAACGAGTCTTTGAGCGAGCCTCGCCCCTTCCTCCATCGCCCGAGTCTCGCGGTGATACATGTCGTATCCTTGTTGGAAGCCCTCCTGTCTGCCTCTTTCCAACGCTTCCTGCCTCAAAGCTTCCAACTTGAGGCGCCTTGTCGCCCTCTTAAGCTTCGAAGCGGCTGTTTCGGCATCTATTCTCTGCTTCTCAACCGCTGTCAGAAGTTCTTGAGCCCGCGTTATCTCGTCCTCGGCCGTCTGAAGCTGAAGCTTGTAGACTCCAAGCTGAGCCTGAGCAGCCAAAGCTTGTTGACGCGCCTCCATGATCTTCTCCGTATTCCGCGTGTTCTCCAGTACTTGCTTTGCGAGAATTTCCCGATGAGACTCTTCGGCCTCGGTGCGCCGTTTCGTTGAAGAGTAGAGTTCCTCTGCCATTTGCCGGAGCAGATTGCGCATCTCCTTTTCCTGGAACTCCTTGTCTATAAGAAGGTCCATAACATCTCTGGGCGATGCAGTAGATAGGACGCGCGACCTTTCTGCTTTATACTTCTGCCTCGATTCCCTCTTGCCATCTGAGCGCGTCCTCTCCGGTCGTTCTTTCGGTGGGAGTGATGGGGGTGTCGAGACCTCTGGGGTGGGAAAGACGATGGCCTGGGGTTCAGGAGTTTGGTAAGAATAATTCTGTTGGTACGGAGAGTATAGGCTTGCATTCGAGTGAATAAAATCAGATTCGCATCCTCGTATAACATGATAAAGCAATGTCGTACCCATCGTCTTGTCGTTGACGCGCCATTTTGTGGCGTTTTCGCAGACAAGTTTGGACCCAAGAAAAAAAAACAGAAAGGGAAAGTGGAATAAATAAAGTTAAGAATAAGCTTATTGGATCAGTGGTGGAATGACGAAGATGAGCTTGTAACTGGGAATCTGTACTCGTTGGCAGGAACCAAAGTTGGGTTGCCTTGGTCCCCAAACATTGTGGCTGTGTAATCTCGGCCCGGACTCGATCCGCTCTCACAAATGAGGTAGATTCTCGATGAGCTTTCGAAGGTAGATTTGGTCAACGAATTAGCAAGTCAGCATCGTATGTACACCTGAAACTGCCGCTGCTACATATGCCGAAAATTTATAAATTTGTAGAACAAATTGAACAAAGTACTAAGACAATATCGAAACTTGACACTACACAAACATTATCCGAGTCGAAGATAATCCATGACAATTCGAAAGGAACCTTGGGGCAAGAAAAGCAATACATCACTGCCTTCTGCCGGAATTACTCGAGGATCGCTCAAGCATTGTAAGCACGGCCAAACTTGGCGGAGGTGATGCTGCGTTTGGCAGGGATGCTGCTAGGGCAAACGCTCGAGCCCGACGAGAAGCCTCCATTCTGCATTGACGACTCGTCAATTTCTCAATTCAGCTGTACTAGAAAGTAAGAGCCGTACCTCAAAGTAAGTGCAAAGCCCAGCATCCGCATAGTCGCACGAAACGAAGTTCCCATCGTTGGAGGTGCTGAGGAGCCTGCCTCCGTCATTGTCCCTCGGGGGGCAAGTAGCTGCGGCTACGGCAGCAGAAATGCTATCCGGGCAAACGCTCGACCCAGAGGAGAAACTTCCGTTCTAAATGAAGGAGGTCAGAACAATTCATGTTGAGTAGGGGATGAAGCCCACCTCGAAGTAAGTGCAGGTTCCAGCGTCGCGGTAGACACAAGTGACAAAGTTGCCATCGTTAGACGAGCTGAGAAGGGGAGAGCCGTCGTCGTCGGTGGCCGAGCAAGTGGCGTCTGGCGCCCTCTCCGCCAAAGCACGGCGCGCAGGGATACTGCTGGGGCAGACACTCGACCCGGAGGAGAAGCCTCCATTCTATATATAGTCAGTGAAGAGCTCTGTAACTCGCGAGACTGCCTTACCTCGAAGTAAGTGCAGGTTCTCGCTGCCTGGTAGACGCAAGTGACAAAATTGCCGTCGTTTGAGGAGCGGAGGAGCGGGGAGCCATCGTTGTCTCTAGCAGGGCAAGTAGCTGCTGCAGAGAGACCGACGGCGACCGCAAGGATGATGAAGAGAGAGCTGAAGCGAGACATGTTTAAAATGTTGTCGAAGAGTGAAGAGCGAAGAACGAGGATAGAAGAAAAGCTCAAAGGAAGCTTAGTGAGGATCCATAGCAGACTTGGAACGTCTTTTATACCCCAAGCTCAGGCTCCATGTCCTAACAAGGATCTGCAGAAATGCAAATCGTCGGCCGTGCTAACACGACTCGGAGTAACTGACGAAAAAATCCTAGCGCAAGAGCGCAGTTTCATCCGACATTCTGGTAGAGGATGAATTACGATGTGTAATTCGCGTACTACAAATCTCCTATGCCCGCTAGGGAGAGCTCAAAGACATGGACATCTCGGTCGTAAGCCGTTTCAAGCCTCCTTGAGGACATGCATCGCCTGCAAAGTGTCGGTATCGTCGGCACCGCCTCGATGCCCCCACATCGACTTGCGCGACGCTCCCGAGGTCATTGATCGCAGTGCTGACAGCATTGAATGCAAAATGCAAAAGAACAGCGTAGCTTTCGGAGATATCGACTGGGCATTATCGGTATTTCGAAATTCCCAGCGTTCATTCTAATGAGCCTGCCTCAGAGTGGAGTTGACCTTGAGGCGACGCCATGCAACCCGACGCAGGACTGGACGCCTCTAGGCACAATAAATAAATTATGAAAATTGCGAATATATCTGATCATGCTCACATTTCTTGGCATTCTTCACGTTCTACGCTGAATCGTCAATACCGATGCCGAAGATTTTCAGGGTTAGAGTCATAAGACGGCGTGTTTCGAATCCCAGTAGGCTTAGCCCGGATACAGTGAGGTCCCCACAGCACTGGAAATAGTTATTGCAAACACTGTCGGTCAAGGTCGGCGTCGTCCTGGAACGCGTTTGAGCGCCAGTGGACAGAGTTGAAGCGGCGATCCCAAGAAAATCTAACGGCAGCTTCTGTCACTGTCGTGGATTGAGTAGACGAGTTGAGCGCTGCTTACACTAGGTGCACATTACGGCAGTGAACACACCTGCCTGGTACTCACATAATCAACATTTAGATTGTGCTCCATTTGAGTTCTTTAGCAGATGCATTTTCCTCTCTAGCGCTGGATGGCATTCAATAATCAGCGAGATTTTTATTGTATAAGGAAAGCGATTGGTCTTGGTGCATACCTTCCAAGTCGGTCACGATGGTGATGAACACAAACAAACCTGTGTTCAATCGGGGGGAGGTGATTTCCCTTTTCGGCTTTCCATGCGGCCACACTGGCGTCGAGTCGCCAATCACAGGAGAATCCAGTATGGCGCTTATTCCAACGTTCAACATGCTCCTGGGAACCGCCTATCGTGCTTCTATCTCTTCAAGATCGTCCCTTCGACAGATATCCATCACCAATATGTCCGTTAACCAAATCGATGATCCATCGAGCTCGGATCCAGGGTACAGCCAAGCCATTGGGCTGCGACGAGAACGCAGAGACCGAAAGAAGGAGGAAGCGAAGGTGCCGATGAACAGGTGCATGATCCAGATACAGAAGGCAGAAGAAGAAGAACCATGACTGTCCCTACCTCAGCCCTGCCGAACTCCAGCGCAAAGAAAGTTTTTGGACGTTGAAGAGACAGAATCTTACAGTTAATAAAGGTGACAAACACGCGTCGTTTGTGCTTCACTGTATCTCATGAGTTGCTGGATAGGAAATATCGCGTACAACTATGAAGAAAAGTACCCCGAGGATCCTCCCTACCAAGAGACGGCCCTGAATGCGAGAGTTTGGAGAACATACGAAGATGAAAGCAAGATACACGATGCCAACATGATCGAAGAATCTCGCGATAATGTCGATGTATTGTTCGTTTTTGTAAGCCCTTTGTTTTCAGTGTTCCCTCGCTTCAGCTGAGAACTGTCGAAGGCGAGCCTTTTCTCGGAAGTCGCGACGCCCTTTGTTGCGCAGATATACCAGAACTTTCAGGCAGATTACACTGCCATATCAGCGTCTCTGCTTTTCGAATTGGTCCTCATTCAGCGTCCTATCGCCAACGGTTCCTCGGTCAATGTCATCTCTTCTTCCCCACTGAACCTCAACACGATCTTTGTTCCCGCTATCACGGACGTTTGGGTGAACGGGCTCTGGCTTGGCAGCCTGTTCCTCAGCCTCACGACAGTACTCGTCGCCTTACTTGTTCAGCGGTGGCTTGAGCACTAGCTGCACTACGTCGTCCTGCCGTCCGGGACGCCGCGCGACCGTAGTTTTACTCGCCGACTCCAGGATGCCGACTTTCAAAGTGGCGTGTCCTAATGCCCCAAAACTGAGTGCTACGCTCAGCAGGCCGGTGCCCAACCTATCGTCCGAGATCAACAAAAGAATGCGATATATTCTGAAAGACTAACTCGAGCTCCTGTATCGGCCATCTCTCAACGCAGTCCTGTCAAACAGGGAAGCCGTCAGTGCAGCGAAGTGAAGCTACTCACGGTCAAGACACGGAAGATCAACGCTACACGGAGGATGGGGCAGTAAATACCAGGCGTTCCATACCATGCTTCTCTGTACCCATCTCGACTTCTCGAGGTGGTAAAGTCCTGGGCGAAGTTGATTCCGATTGTTTCCCAACAAGCTTCGATACCTTGGTTACGCGTTTCGAAGAATATTGCGAAGATTTTGCTCAAGTTGACACGCTATAGATGATGGGATCAAGCTCTTGATGGCATTATTTGCACGTCTCCTGGGATATGGGGAAGTTGGGCTGTGGATCACGAAGCAACAAAGCCAAGTTCCCTAAGGAAGCTCGAGGAGAATCCATATTATGGGCCTGAATATCAGGAAGTGGTTAGACTGATGGGTGGGTTCGCGGTAGTGTAACTATTTTGTCGCATACTGATATTTCTACAGAAAATATTAAGGCGTGGGCGCTAGGTATAAAGATTGGTGTGAAGTGTGGCAGAAATGTACGAGACTGGAAAGAGGCTTTTGGGATATGGATGTTATAACAATGATCACGAATTCGATGAACATTGAACGCCGTATGTAGAGTACATACAGCAGACACCAATTCTCTTCACAAATATTAGTAACAGGACGCGATTTTTGTTTCGCCACGTGTCTCAGACAGCCGCCAATCACCCTCTTCTGATTTCTTCGCTTGAATACTCATGTCTGGCTTAAAAAGAACTCTACGTCAATCAGCAAGGCTCGTCGAACACGCAAGCCTTTACAATACGTCGGTAACCCTTGTAAAGCTAGAGGAAGAGTCGAACCTGCAGTCGAGCAGTGACCAAGAATCTCCCCGACGGCCGAAACGCGTCAAACTCGAAGACTCCGTGCAGGACATCGAGGAGTCCGCGAATGTATCCACACCCAAGCGCTCAAAGGCAAAAATGTCACCGTCGTTGTCGCCGAAAAAGCCCAAGGCAATACCGCAGTCGTTGGCGACGCCCCATCCAGCGCCAGAAAGATGGAGGGATGCTTACGATGCGATAAAGGACATGCGGTCCAATATCGTGGCCCCAGTGGATAGCATGGGATGCGATAGTGCACAGTTGAAGGAAACGGAACCACAGGTGAGACGCCTCCCGATTGCAATTCTGCAGTACGCATACTGAGTAATGGCTAGAATCAACGGTTTGCTACTCTTGTGTCGCTCATGCTTTCATCACAAACGAAGGATGAAGTTACCGATGCTGCAGTCAAACAGCTGCGTGCTGTACTAGGTGGAAGTATATCCGTGCAAGGTATCATCGACGCGGAAGATAGCTGTATTTCAGAAGCAATTGCCAAGGTCGGATTTTGGAGACGGAAAACACAGTACGTCTTGTCCTTGACCTCACACATTGATAGTCATTCATTCCGCTCAGATACCTCAAACAGACAGCAATAAGGCTCCGAGATGAGTTTGATTCAGACGTCCCGAAAACCGTTGATGAACTATGTTCTCTACCGGGAGTTGGTCCCAAGATGGCCTTTCTAGCGCTTCAAATAGCGTGGAATCTGTATTTGTTTTTATTCCGTTCACAAGAGGCTGAAACTAGAATGTCTGCCTAGTAACCATGGTATCGGTGTTGACGTACATGTCCATCGAATAACGAACCGTCTAGGGTGGCATAAGCCTCCGACGAAAAACCCAGAGGAGACACGGTTCATTTTGTCCTCTGCAGCTCATTTGCATAGTCATTAACAGCTCGTTTGTAGGCTAAATCTTCAATCGTGGCTTCCGACGGAGCTCCACCCCGAGATCAACCATCTACTTGTTGGCTTTGGGCAGGTAAGTACCCGATCTGTTCCCGGATAAATGCTGAAACCTCTATGTACAAGATGGTTTGTTTACCCGTCCGCCCAAAATGTGGAGAATGCACGCTTAGTTTGGCGGGTACATGTCCAAGTGCGCAAAAACCCAAGGCTGAAAAGTCGAAAAAGGCGGCCAGACCCGTCGTCGAGGTGTCATTAGAAGGAGCATGAAAGTCTATCGTCCGGCAGACCCCTGGCATCATCTCTACGGGTCTATCTCATCGTAGTCAATCGTATGCAAATCTCGTAATCTACACATCGTACTTATCGTTGACACACGGAGTGATTTGGTTCTAATGTAATTGGATCATTGTGGAACGTGCTCCCGTTGAAAGACAGTATTCACCAACAAGCCTTCGCACCAAGCTTGTCATCATTGAATGTCAAATTTTCGCTAAAGTATCGCACTACAAGTTTAATATTCTTATCAACTAAACCTGCTGCTCTTGTTCCGGCTTGCCATCCCGCTTTCGACCAAGACACTTTCCCAAAAAGTGACCTATGCACCGTGCTGGCGACAACTCAGGCAGCCCCTGGATTGACTGTCAGTATTTGACCAAGGAAGAGATACCAGCTTACCATGATACGTGCTCTGCGGTCAAAAAAGTCATCAAGAACATGTATCGCATATCTGATATTTTCTTTTTCGACTTGAATTTCATCGGTCCACAGTGGGCCAAAGTCTGAAAGCATTGGTCGCCACACACGCTGACTGCTGAAAAAGTCTCCCTCATCGCTTTGTACTAGATCACGAAGTTTCCTGCGACACTCGTCCCAGGCAGCATCTTGTGAACGGAGCTGCACTAGTGTCGTGATGTCCCTGTAAACGGAAGCCCGGTCTATATCCTCGAAACCATGTGTAGCCAAGATAGAGCACGCAGTGAAAAGATTGCGTGGGTTATGGAGATGGTTCATGTGCAGCTGAAATGTTGCTTCTTTCACAGCTCCAACCGATCCATGTTTCATGGCGGATATTCCTGCAACGTACTCCCTAACCATTGGGACTGATGCTTCATGAAATATATGGTTTCCAAGAAATGGTAGACATTGACTTTCAAGGAACACAGTAAAAGCAACCGGAATGCGCCCTGCGAGGAGACTGGTCAACACCCTGCATCCGCAGTCAGACTGGCGGCCGACAGATGTTATACAGTCCCATTGTATTGTCATGAAATCAACTATTGATCGAAGACCGCGCAAAGAACAAGCAGAGGGAGAGATGTTAGCTGGAGAATGATAGGCGCGGATGATATCTTTGCACAACGTGTCGTACCATAATATGTTGTCATCTGAGAGTTGTCTCCAAATAACACAAACAAGGATATCCTCAAGCACGGTTATGACAGCAGTAGCTTCCTGGGATGAGAACGTTTGGCCAGAGATCCACCGAACAGCGTCGCTTAACGAGTCATAAATATGAGACGTATCAGACTCGGGGAGGGACAGTCTATGGAGTAAGAATTTGATGGCTGCCACAAACACTCTCAGAGATTGGGGACAACGATGACTCGCTCGAAGGTGGATCCTTGACAAATGCAGAAAATATGCGGAGAACATCATCATAGATTTTGTCAAGAAAATAGGGAAACGCGTCCTTGAATTCAACAGCCAATGGAGAATTAAAGTCCTGTGTTAGGGCTTTCTTTGATGCATTGTACGAGTCAAAGATGACAGAGCAGAGGTAGAGTGGAAACATATCGGTGTAATTATCATGAACAAGAGACAGGGGTTCAAAGACATCGGCTGATTTCATAAGGTTCAACCAACAACGTGGCGGCAGCTTCAAAGCATGGGCAATAGTTTCCTTGAGAAATGCCTGACGGTCGACTTTATCTCCGTTTCCCTTGGATAGGTCATGGCCATGGGATAGGATCGCGGCAGTGAGCTCATATGAAGTATTGGGGACAACAATGTGACTCCGATGTATGCGGTAGAAGTGAGAATGAAAACGAAGGAGGCGTTCAAATTTGAGTTCCATGCCCGGCACTGGTTCGTAAATATCGTCACCAATTGCCTGTAGGCATTGTCTAAGCAAAGACCACTCCAAGGCATACACCACTCCATTATCTCCCTGACATACTTGAAACTTTTCTGCTGACGCCATCGGCAGCCCCCCAATAGACTGTACAACTATGCTTTGGACGGTGCGATTGGAGGAGACGGCGAAGAGCCAATCCAATGCTTCAGCCGCCAAGTTTGTTGACATCTGTTCCACAGACTCGGACTCTATCATCGTTAGCGACAGTAGATTTCTTGCTTGTACATGGGGAAGATAGTCAAGCATGTCGCTAAAACTCCCTGCTCTACATGCAGAAAAGAATCGTGCTTTGTCATCCCATGTCACTTGTGGGACGATACGGCAAAAAGTGACATAGACAAGATCGCAGAGAGGTGTACGATAAGGGCATTGAGGGAATAGAATGGGAAGAATGGTTGCCACCGCATATGCAGCGTACACAAGGGTGGTCCCTGCACAAATGATCCATGACAGAGCTGCCCGGAGTGGATGGAGGAAAATCACCAAACCGCTGAGAAAAATGGCGAGAGCGAGGTGCATCAGGACAGGGAGAAGTCCTACGATAACCTGTACATGCCACTTTTGAAAGCCGGCATATCGGAACTGGCGAGTAAAACTGCGATCGCGCGGTGTGCCAGAAGGGAGGGCAACATAGTGGTGCAGCCACTGCTTAACAAGTACGGCGACGAGTGCAGTCGTCAGGCTTAGGAACAGGCTTGTGAACCAGAGCCCATTCACCCAGACGTCCGTGGTAGCGGGAACAAAAGCAATGGTGGGGTTGAGGGAAGAAGGGACGATGGCATCGACCGGGGAACCGTTGGCAATAGCGCGTTGGACAAGGACCGATTCATAGAGTAGAGACGCCGACATGGCGGCGTAGTCTGGCTGCAAACTCTGCGATGTCTGGGCCACAAATGTCGTCACAACCGCTGAGAAGAGACCCGCCTTGGACATGGCTCAGCAAGGAAGTAAAGAAGGCACGACAGGACTCACGAAGACGAGCAATACATCGACATTATCTCGAGATTCTTCGACCATGTTGGCATCGTGATTCCTGCTTTCATCTTCGTACGTTCTCCAAACCCTCGCATTCGGTGCTGTTTCTTCATAGATGGGATCCTCGGGGTATTTCTCTTCATAGTTGTATGGATCGTTTCCTACAGCACTTCATGAGATAAGAAACAGAAAAAGAAGAAATCTCCACACCTTTCCTAACCGTAGGATTCGATCTCTTCATTGTCCCAAAAACCTTCTTCGCGCTGGCTGCATTTGGAGGATCCTGCACGGGGGGGGTGGGGTCTTCATCCTGCACCAGTTCTCCTCCACCCTCCTCGATCTCTATCTCCTGGCCATTCTCAGTCGTATCAAGTCTGCGCTCCCCACCTTGTTCTGCAGCCTGGTGTGTTCTCTTCCCGTTTGACAGCGCTTGGTTTCGATGAGCCATCGCCTTGTAAGTTCGACATGTTGGAACGATGCAAGCAAAGGTGCCTCATGGCAGCCGACAGGTAATGCTTGGGATCAGATTGTCACACGGCACATCCGTCGGAGGTTGTCGTCGTGATGTATCATCTGGGCCTCTCCAGTGTTGCCATTGCTGGACCTTCCCAGGTTGTAGACACATTCGTCGGATTGCTCTGGATGGAGGTACGAAGGGAACGGTCAGTACCGGTGTTCGCTTTTCAGCACCACCTGACAGCCGCTTCACTGTATAGAGTATGCCGTCACAGTAGGGATTGCTGCATGCTGGAGATAAAAGTTTCGGCAGTTCTGAAGGGTAATGGACGTCCCAACACGACCTGCAACAGAATAAATAGGTGATAAACCCTCCTGTCGATACTCCAAGTCGTTTCTCGACAGTAGCAAGTGTCTGTGCAAATCTGTCAAGCCCGGCGAATGATTCTTCAGGGTGGGAAGCCTGCAATTGACGCTGTGCAGACTCAAGAAGTGGATATGATAACCTTGTAGCATTGAAGCGGCGGTCTTGTGAGTAATGTTGTCGAAAGCAGCGGCCGAAAATACACGTATGTATGCATGTCGTATGGAGGGATGGTCATCGAATGCCCATGGCAGTTCACAAAAGTCGAAATCGTCTTCACTGACAAAGGCATTACCGGGTTGTGAAGAATCGAATAGCGTCGTGCTTGATTTGAAATGTGGATCGTCAGCAATGTTTTCTCCTTCATCACTACCAGAGTCGCCATCTTCATCAGAACTAGAGGTAGCGCCCTCTTTGTCGTCTCCAAAACTGTCCTCATAAGCCTCAGACTCCGAACTATCGAATTCACCGAACTGGTGAGGGTCATAGTCGCCAAATGAATCCAGCATGTCGGCTTCAGTGACCCACGCATTGACCTGTGCTTCTAGGTGACTGGTAGGACTTGCTTGAAGCTGCGATGCTTGTCCTTTGCTCAGTGACGATGTCAGACGTGTACTGATTATCGATAGAGTTAGAAACGGGTCCTGCAGACGAGAGATACTCTGATACTCACCTCCAGAATGACTTCTTCAACACCTTCCCTCGTCTTCTCTGGTGAAAGCCTTCTTGTCTTGCTTTCTCAAGCTCAGCTTTCCTATGATTGTCGGCAGTTTGGGAATCTTGTTTCAAGTTACGGCGCTTGCAATTTGCGCATGGGCACCAGACAAGAGCAGTTGAAGGACCAGTCGGCATGGTCTCTGATATCGCAAGCTGCGCGAGGTAGTGGTTGGGGTTCAAGTCGGAGGTGCACTTGACTGTTGGGCCCAGAGAGCTCGAAGTCGATGCCATGACGTGGCAAGCAGCAGCCAAAGGCCCATCGCGGCAGAAATATTGACTAATTCCGAGGAGACGCACGCAGAATACAAGCAAAATATAAGATATATTGTTGAGATAGTGGTGGAGCGAGAAGAGGATCGAAATAGATCAACTATCTTGTAATTATAACAGGTATCAACAAGATAGCCGCGGCGACTTTTCTTAGCTCAAAGTCCGGTGCGAAGAGTTGCGAGATAATGTTGATGTATTGCTTGGATAGCGTCGATCTATTACTCGTTTTTGTAAGCCCTTTACTTTCGATGTGTCTCTTCTCTCCATCTGAAAATGTCGAAGACGGGCCTTTTCTCGGCAGTTGTGACGACCTTTGTTGCGCAGACATACCAGAACCTACAGGCTAACTACACTGCCATGTCAGCATCTCTCCTTTTCGAACTGGTCGTTGTTCAGCATGCTATCACCAATGGTTCCTCGGTCGAAGCCATTTCTTCTTCCCCACTGAACCCAACACTGTCTTCGCTCCCGTTGCCACGGATGTTTGGGTGAACGGGCTCTGATTTGTCAGTCTGTTCCTCAGTCTCACGACAGCACTCGTCGCTGTACTCGTTAAGCACCAGCTGCACTTCGTCGTCCTGCCATCCGGGGCACCGCGCGACCATAGTTTTACTCGCCAATTCTGGTATGCCGGCTTTCAAAAGTGGCATGTCCAATGTCCTGAAAACTGAGTGCTACGCTCAGCAGGCCAATGCCCACCCTATCATCTGAGATCAACAAAAGGATGCGACATACTCTGAAAAGAGTTCCCATAACGCCATCTCTCAACGTAGTCCTGTCAAGCAGGGAAGCCGTCGGTGCAGCGAAGTGAAGCTACTCACGGTCAGGATACTAAAAATCAACACTATACAGAGGATGGGGCAGTAAATATATCGGGCATTCCATACCATGCTTCCCACATACCCATCTCGAATTCGCAAGGTGGTAAAGTCCAGGGCAAAGCTGATCCCGATTGTTTCCCAACAAGCTTCCATACCTTGGTTACGCGTTTTGAAGAATACCGCGAAGATTTGCTGAAGATGACACGCTATAGATGATAAGGTAAAGCTCTCGATGGCCTTATTTGCACGTCTTCTGGGATACGGGGAAGTTGGGCTCTGTGTCAAGAGTGAGATCTTGAGGCAACAAAGTCAGGTTCCTTAGGAAAGCTCGAGGAGAATCCATACTGTGAGCCTGAATATCAGGAAGTAAATAGACTGGAAATGGGTGAGTTCATGGTAGTGCAACTATTTTGTCGCATGCTGACATATCTACAGAAAATATTGAGGCGTGCGCGATGGCTGACCCGCCTTCGCTTGCAGTGCTAGGCATAAAGATTGGTGTGAAGTGTGGCAGAAATGTACAAGACTGGAAAGAGGCTTTGGGGATATGAATGTTATAACAATAATCACTTTAATGAACGCCGTATATAGAGTACATACAGCAGACATCACTTTTCTTTACAAATGTTAGCAGAGGACGCGACTTTTGTTTCGCGCATGACTTTCACGTGTCTCAGACAGCCGCCAATCGCGCTCTTCCAGTTTCTTCACTTGAATACTCATGTCTGGCTTAAAAAGAACTCTACGACACTCAGCAAGGCTTGTCGAACACGTTAGGCCCTTACAACACGTCGGTAACACTTGTAAAGCTAGAGGAAGAGTCGAACCTGCAGTCAAGCAGTGACCAGGAATCTCCTCGACGGCCAAAACGCGTCAAACTAGAAGACACCGTACAGGACATCGAGGAATACGCAAATGTATGCACACCCAAGCGCTCAAAAGTGAAAAGGTCGTCGCCGAAGAAGCTCAAACCAATACCGCAGTCATTAGCGACGCCCCATCCAGCCCCAGAAAAATGGAGGGATGCTTACGATGCGATAAAGGACATGCGGTCCAATATTGTGGCCCCAGTGGATAGCATGGGAAGTGATAGCGCACAATTGGGGGAAAAGGAGCCTCAGGTAAGACTGCCTCCCAATCCTACCAGTACGTGTGCTGAGTAATGGCTAGAATCAACGGTTTGCTACTCTTGTGTCGCTCATGCTTTCATCACAAACGAAGGATGAAGTTCACCGATGCTGCAGTCAAACAGCTGCGTGCTGCACTAGGCGGAAGTATATCCGTGCAAGGTATCATCGACGCGGAAGATAGCTGTATTTCAGAAGCAATTGCCAAGGTCGGATTTTGGAGACGGAAAACACAGTACGTCTTGTCCTTGATCCCTCGCACTGATATCTGCTTATCGCTGCTCAGATATGTGAAACAGACAGCAATAAAGCTCCGAGACGAGTTTGATTCAGACGTCCCGAAAACGGTTGATGAACTATGCTCTCTACCGGGAGTTGGTCCCAAGATGGCCTTTCTAGCGCTTCAAATAGCGTGGAATCTGTATTTATCTATTTTTCTTCCGTTCCCAAGAGGCTGAAACTAGAATGTCTGCCTAGTAACCATGGTATCGGTGTTGACGTACATGTCCATCGAATAACGAACCGTCTAGGGTGGCATAAGCCTCCGACGAAAAACCCAGAAGAGACACGGTTCATTTTGTCCTCGCAGCTCATTTGCATAGTCATTAACAGCTCGTTTGTAGGCTAAATCTTCAATCGTGGCTTCCGACAGAGCTCCACCCCGAGATCAACCATCTACTTGTTGGCTTTGGGCAGGTAAGTTTCCGTTCCTTTTCCAGATAAATGCTGAAACACCCATATACAAGATGGTTTGTTTACCCGTCCGCCCAAAATGTGGAGAATGCACGCTTAGTTTGGCGGGTACATGTCCGAGTGCGCAACTTGAAAAACCCAAGGCTGAAAAGTCGAAAAAGGCAGCCAAGCCCGTCATCGAGGTGTCATTAGAAGGAGCATGAAAGTCTATCGTCCGGCAGACCCCTGGCATCGTCTCTACGAATCTATCTCATTGTAGCCAGTCGTATCATGCAAATTTCGTAATCTACCGACTATCGTCGACTCACGGAGTGATTTAGTGGTTCTAATGTAATTGAATCATTATGGAACATGTGCCCCCGTCGGAAGACAGTATTCACCAACAAGCCTTCACACCAAGCTCGTCATCATTAAACGTCAAATTTTCGCTAAAAGTATCGCACAACAAGTTCAATATTCTTATCAACTAAACATGCTGCTCTTGTTCCGGCTTGCCCTCCCGCTTTCGACCAATGCACCTTCCCAAAAAGTGACCTATGCACCCTGTCGGCGACAACTCAGAGAGCTCCTGGATCGACTGTCAATATATGAGTAAGGAAGAGATACCAGCTTACCATGGTATGTGCTCCACAATCAAAAAAGTCGTCAAGAACATGTATCGCGTATCTGATGTTTTCTTTTTCAATTTGAATTTCGTCAGTCTGCAGAGGGCGAAATTTATAATCATCATCATCCCGTATGCGCTGTGTACTGAAAAACTCCCCCTTATCACTTTGTACCAGAGTACGAAGTTTCCTGCGACACTCGTCCCAGGCAGCGTCCTGTTGACGTAGCTGCACTAGTGTCGTGATGTCCCTGTAAATGGAAGCCCGGCGGTCTATATCCTCGAAGCCATGTGTAGCCAAGATAGAGCACGCGGTGAAAAGATTGTGTGGGTTATGAATATAGTCCATGTGCAGCTGAAATGTTGCTTCGTCCACAGCTCCAACCGATCCATGTTTCATGGCGGAAATTCCTGCAATATACTCCCTAACCATTGGGACTGACGCTTGATGAAATATATGGTTTCCAAGAAATGGTAGACATTGACTTTCAAGGAACATAGTGAGAGCTACCGGAATGCGCCTTGCAAGGAGATCGGTCAAGATCTGACATACAGTGTCAGACCACCGGTAGGAGTCAAAGAAAAGCGATATATGGTTCCAATGTATTGTCAAAGAATCAACCATTGATCGAAGACCTGCGCAAAGAACAAGCAAAGGGAGAGATTTCAGCTAGAGACTGATAGGCGTAGATGGTACCTGTGCACAACTGGTCCCAACATGATATGTTGTCATCTGAGTCTTGTCTCAAAATGACACAAAAAAGGATATCCTCAAGCACTGTTATGACAGCAGTAGCTTCCTGGGATGAGAACGTTTGGCGATAGATCCACCAAACAGCTTTGTTTAACGACCGATAAATGGTGGTGCGAGACGTATCAGACTCCGGGAGGGAAAGTCTATGGAGTAAGAATTTGATGGCTGCCACAAACGCTTGCAGAGATCGGGGCAACGATGGCTCGCTCAAAGATGGATCCTTGACAAATCCAGAAAATATGTCGAGAACATCGTCATAGATTTTGTGAAGAAAATAGGGAAACGCGGCCTTGAATTCAACAACCAATGGAGAATTAAAGTCCTGCGTTCGGACCTCATTTGATGCGTCATACGAATATAAGATGATGGCAGAGCAGAGATGGAGCTGGAAACATATCGGCGTGATCATCATTATCAGGATCCAGGGGACGAAAGACATTGGCTGATTTCATAAGGTTCAACCAACAACGTGGCGGCAGCTTCAAAGCATGGGCAATAGTTTCCTTGAGAAATGCCTGACAGTCGACTATATCTCCGTTTCCCTTGGACAGGTGATGGCCATTGGATAGGATCGCGGCAGTGAGCTCGAATGAAACATTGTGGAAAACAATGTGATAGCGGTAGAAAGCGGAAGGATAAGAACGAAGCAGACGTTCGAGTTTGAGTTCCATACCTGGCACTAGTTCGTAAACATCGTCATCAAATGCCTGCAGGCAATGTTTAAGCAAAGAGTAGTGCGAGGTTTCCATCGCTATTAAATATCCTTCACGTGCCTGAAACTTTTCTTCTGATGCTATCGGCAGCCCCCCAATGGACTGTATCACTATACTTTCGACGGTGGGATTAGAGGAGGCTGACAAGAGCCAGTCCAGTGCTTCAGCCGCCAAGTCTGTTGACATCTGTTTCACAGATCTGGACTCCATCACCGCCAGCGACAGTAGATTCCTTGCTTGTACATAGGGAAGATAGTCAAGCATGTCGCTAAAACTCCCTGGTCTACACACAGAAAGGAATCGATCTTTGTTGTGCCATGTCACTCGTGGGACGATACGACAAAAAGAGACATAGACAAGATCGCAGAGAGGTGTACGATAAGGACATTGAGAGAATAGAATGGGAAGAATAGTCACCACTGCATACGCAATGGAGACAAGGCCAGTCCCTGCACAAATAATCCATGACAGAGCTGCCCGGAGTGGATGGAGGAAAACTACCAAGCCGCTGAGAAAAATAGCGAGGGCGAGGTGCATAAGAACAGGGAGGAGTCCTATGACGACCTGCACATGCCACTTTTGAAACCCGACATATCGGAACTGGCGAGTAAAACTGCGATCGCGCGGCGTTCCCGAAGGGAGGGCAACATAGTGATGCAGCCACTGCTTAACAAGTACGGCGACGAGCGCAGTCGTCAGGCTTAGGAACAGGCTTGTGAACCAGAGCCCGTTCACCCAAACGTCCGTGGTAGCGGGAACAAAAGCAATGGTGGGATTGAGGGAAGAAGGAGTGATGGTGTCGACCGGGGAACCGTTGGCAATAGCGCGTTGAACGAGGACCGATTCGTAGAGCAGAGAAGCCGACATTGCGGCATAGTCCGGCTGCAAACTCTGCGATGTCTGGGCTACAAATGTCGTCACGACCGCCGAGAAAAGACCCGCCTTGGACATGGTTCAGCAATGAAGTAAAGCAAGGGAACTACAAGACTCACGAAGACGAGCAAGACGTCGACATTATCTCGAGATTCTTCGACCATGTTGGCGTCGTGAGTCCTACTTTCATCTTCGTACGTTCTCCAAATCCTCGCATTCGGTGCTGTTTCTTCGTAGATGGGATCCTCTGGGTATTTCTCTTCATAGTTGTACTGATCGTTTCCTACAGCACTTCATGAGATACGAAACAGAAAAAGAAGAAATTTCCACACCTTTCCTAGCCGTGGTATTCGATCTCTTCATTCCGAAAACCTTCTTCGCGCTGGCTGCATTCGGAGGATCCTGAACGGGGACGGTGGGATCTTCATCCTGCTCCTGTTCTCCTCCACCCTCCTCGATCTGTATCCCCTGGCCATTCTCAGTCTGGTCAAGTCTGTGCTCCCCACTTTGTTCTGCAACCGGTGCATTCTCCTTCTGTTCGACGGCGCTTGTGTCTGTGTCACCGGCTTGTAAGTTCGACATGTTGGAACGATGCACAAAGCTGTTCACAGCGCCTAACCGATACTGGTTGGGATCAAATTGTCACATGTTCAGGGCGTCGAGAGAGTCGGTCATTGAATTCTAGCTATCAGCGAGTAGGCGTTGATGACGAGGCAGAAAGGGAACAGGACTTTGGAGGCGTCTTGCCACCATTGAGGTCACCCATCCACGAAGACTGTATCCCAGCGGAAAGCCCGAGTATATGTGTGTCCGCAACGAGATCACGGCACTGGAGAGCAAAGTTCAAACGCCGTAAGTACACCAGTGATAGCACCGATCCCTTTGAAATTAATCCTAGATTCCTACGTAGGTGTGCTGCTGCATTTCTGCCCAGGACTTACCAGTTTAGGATTTGGTGGTTCTGTACACAGCTTTTTATTCACATTTTTCATTCCGAGGAAACTCGATATTCCCCCTCTTGTCGGTGGTCACAAGCATAAACAGTCTCTCCAAAATACACAGTAAACATATTGCAATGACGAGATTACATTACAATCAGAAGGCATCTTTGGCAACGACATTCTTGTTGAACAAAGTGGAAGAAAAGTCCAACCTATTCAAGAGGGGACCTACGTTTGTCTTCATCGACCGCCGGCGGCTGGTGAATCATCTACTCACGTCCTCTTCGTCGCACTCGCCTCATCATCCAGACGGCAGCGCTTTTTCTGGGAAAGACGCCCTGTGGGACGGCTTCGTCCAGCGTTATCTGGATTGACACCCCACCTTGACGTGAACGGGCCGACGGTCCCAGATGGTACAGGAGCGTGCAGGCTGCAATGCTTTGGTATCACGGTACTTCTCGCGGACAGCCCAATGTTCTTCGAAGAAAGATTCGAAACCGTTGAGGGAGAATCGTGCTCTATAGGCGATGATTGGTTACGAAGCGGAGACGACGCTTTGATGAAAGCGTCTTGCAACGCCAAGTCGTATCCAACACATTGCAAGCTATAATAAGGAGCAGGGTACCCCCCCCCCCGAATCCAACTGTCGGTGTATATCGGCACACGAGACTTGTTGATCGTTTTGTTCCTTCAGAATCTGACTGATGGTGACGCAGTAGGCTTTTTTAGTCTACGTTTCGTCTATCAGTATGCAAACCAGCGTTTGCGATCCCAGCAAAGCGTACCCGAGCATCTAATTCGATCCATTGAGATAGCTTCATTTCCTCACCGTTGAAGGGTGCACTGAGCTATCGACCCAGATATAGCCACTAGAAAGAGATCAATAGACGTTAGGCATCAGACTCAGTTGAGCTCTACATACCTCATGAGATTCTGCCTCCACGACCAATTCTACGGGTGTTCCTTTGGGTAACATAACGAGAGGGTGAAACCGATACCCTGCCTGAGCTACCTTGGGGATGTGCAGAGGCATAGATCGAGGGGGCATGGGAGAAAGAATATACTGCAAAAACACGGAGGGGTCTAGCTGCTAGGTAAGTTCAAGAAGGTTCTTACAGACTCTGCGAATTCCTAAATGATATGAAGTCAGTATACGAATACACGACGCGACTAAACGCGTACAGAAGGGAGGGTAGGAATTATTTCTGCAAGTTCGTTGAACACGACACGAGGCGGCACGAAGGATTCTTCAACGAAAGATGCTTCTCCGAAGGCCACAGACACGATTTCGAGTCGGCGCTGATGAGCTTGCGCCACAAGGACCTTCGCTTGGACTCGGAAAGTGTCGATCTTGGAATTGCGTTAAATGTGTACCGTCTGATGTAGAGAAGCGAGACATACTTGTTTTGATAGGCCCGCCGTTTTCTTCTCCATTGCAGCCAATCGCTTCATGAGATCTTGTTTATCTTTTTTCAACGCTAGAACCTCGTATCTTGTCTGCTGTTCGGTCCATTTTGCCTGGTTAATAATCTCTTGCAAAAAGTTCATTTTGTTTCTTCAACAGTTTAGCTTCCGCCTGCAAAGTGGTGATCACTGAGTTAAGACGCACGTTATTTGCTCGGCAAGACCTCAGGCCGTTCGTCTGGAAACCGTAGGCGACCTGTAGAGAACTGTGAGAGTCCATTCATTGAGAAGAAATACGCGTCGCACTTTGAGTCGCTCAAAATTATTGATAGATACGTTGTGCCTGTCTTTGTATTTCGATGCCCACCAGACCTCGAGGCATTTGAACACCTCTGGTGTCATGCCCGGACCATGGATAAATGGAGGCACAGCAGCCATTGCAAGGGGGAGCTGAGTGGAATAAACGAACGCGACGGTGAAAGGTGGCGATAGTTCGAAATAAACAAACAACTTCCGGCCTCAAATAAATAAGTCTTGGAGACAGACACAAGGTGACTGGTCGCAACCGAGAGACACGTCGACGCGCCGGTCATTGGCACGTCAGGGCTCGATATCGGCAATCAGCAGCCCCACGGACTGGTTAGGTATGACGACATACGAGCCCAACTCTGGCCGAAAAACCTTCTTCGCGCTGGCTGCATTGGTAGGATCTTGCAAGGGGCTAGCGGGGTCTTCATCCTGCTCCTGTTCTCCGCTCTCCTCTATCTCTATCTCCTGGCTATCCTCAGTCTGGTCAAGTCCGTGCTCCACACTTTGTTCTGCAGCTGGTGTGTTCTCTTCCCGTTCGACATTGGAAAGGTCTGGCTACCGTTGAGCTCAACCCACGAAGACTGCATCCCAGCGGAAAGCCCATAGAGAGAAACCAGATCACGGCAATTGTTACGGAGAGGAAAATGATCCTACCTTCCAAGTCGGTCACGATGGTGTTGGTGGTACCGGCACAAGGTCCCAATAAAGAACGATGGCATTCAACCGGTGGGAGGTAATTTCCCTTTTTGGCTTTCCATCACAGCGGCGTCCGAGTCCATTCAATCGCCAATCAATCACAGAAGAATCTAGTATGGCGCTCCTGGGAATCGCCTGTCTTTCTATCTCTTTTTCAACATCGTCCCCTCGACAGGACACCACTATGTCCATTAACCAAATCGACGATCCCTCGAGCTTGAGCCAAACCACTGACGGCGGTGAGGACAATGCAGAGACCAAAGAAGGAGGAAACGAAGGAGGCGAGGAGCAAGTGCATGACCCAGAGGCAGAAGAAGATAAAAGTGAACAAAAGCGCCATGACGTCCTCACCACGGCCCTGCCGAACGCCAGCGCAAAGAAAGTTTTTGGCACGATGAGAAGACAGAATCTTACCGTTAATAAAGGTGCCAAATACGCGTCTTTTTTGACTCACCGTATCTCATGAGATGCTGGTTAGGGGACGACGCGTACAACTATGAAGAAAAGTACCCAGAGGATCCTCCCTACGAAGAAACAGCACCGAATGCGAGAGTTTGGAGAACGTACGAAGATGAAAGAAAGATACACGATGCCAGCATGGTCGAAGAGTCGCGAGACAATGTCGACGTATTGCTCGTTTTTGTAAGCCCTTTATTTTCCGTGTTCCTTCTCTTCAGCTGAGAATGTCAAAGGCAGGCCTTTTCTCGGCAGTCGTGACGACTTTTGTTTCGCAGACATACCAGAATTTGCAGGCGGACTACACTGCCATGTCAGCGTCTCTACTTTTCGAATTGGTCCTCGTTCAGCGTGCTATCGCCAACGGTTCCTCGGTCGATGCTATTTCTTCTTCCCCACTAAACCCAAACACGGCCTTTGTTCCTGCTACTACGGACGTTTGGGTGAACGGGCTCTGGTTTGTCAGTTTGTTCCTCAGCCTCACAACAGCACTCGTCGCTGTACTTGTTAAACAGTGGCTTCACCACTACGTCATCCTGCCGTCCGGGACCCCGCGCGACCGTAGTTTTACTCGCCAATTCCGATATGCCGGCTTTCAGAAGTGGCATGTCCAAATCATCATAGGATTACTCCCAGTCCTTATGCATCTCGCTCTCGCTATATTTCTCATCGGCTTGGTCATTTTCCTTCGTCCACTCCGGGAAGCTCTATCGTGGATCATTGGTACAGCAACAGCCGTTGTCTATGCGGCATATGTAGCAGCGACCATCCTTCCTATTCTCTTTCCTCAATGCCCCTACCGCACACCTCTCTGTGATCTTGTCTACGTTTCTTTTCGCCGTATCGTCCCGCAAGTGACATGGGATAACAAAAAGGCATTCCTTTTTGCGTGTAGACAAGGAATGTTAGCATGTTCCGTCATCTTCCACACGCACAAGCAAGAAACCCACAGTCGCTGACGATGATAGAGTCCAAGTCTGTGCAACAGATGTCAACAAACTTGGCGGCTGAAGCACGGGACTGGCTCTTCTCAGCCTCTTCCAATCCCGCTGTCCAAAGTATAGTAATACAGTCTAATGGGGGCCTGCCGATGTCATCAGAAGAAAGATTTCATGCACTTCAGGGAGGAAGTAGAGCAATGAATACCTTGCAGGTGTCCTTGCTTGAAAACTGCCTGCAGATGAAAGATGCCAATATTTGCGAACCAGTGTCAGGCATGGAACTTAAACTCGAACGCCTGCTTCGTTTTCATCCTCGCGGTATCGGCTGCAATTCCCCAGATGTTACCCTTGACATTGATTCATTTGAGCTCACTGCCGCGCTTCTATACAATGAATACAATGTCTATAGACACAGGTATACGTGTCTTACCGAGCGCATTTCTCGAGGACATTATGTCCCCCGCTCGTCCTTCAAAGCTGCCGCCACGTTGTTGGCTTCACCTTCTGAATCGTGCTGGACAGGATTTGTTTCATCCCCTGGATCCTGATACTGATGATCCCGCCAATATGTTTCCCCTTCAATCTTTGCGCGGCCTTCTTATACTCGTTTGACGCATCACAGAAGGGCATGACGCAGGACTTTAATTCCCCAATGGTTCTTAATTTCAACGACGCGCTACCCTATTTCCTTGACGAAATCTACGACGATGTTTTCCGTATGCTTTCCGTGTTCATCAAAGATTCATCTTTGGATGACACATCGTTGCCCCAATCTTTGAGAGGTACTGGCGGCGGTCATCAAATTCTTACTTCATAGACTTTCTCTTCCCGAGTCTGATCTGTCTCATACCATCATTCGTCCGTCGTTATTCACTGTAGTTGGGTCGATCCGTGACCAAGCATTCTCATCCCAGGAAGCTACTGCCGTCATCACGGTGCTTGACGATATCCTTTTCCCTCGGGATCCAAGCCATATTGCATCATCGTGGAAAGAGCTATGCGACAGAACTATCTCCGTTTATTCACATTTGACTAACGACTTCTTCTACTTGTTCTATGCGTGGTCTCCAGTTAATGGTTGATTTTATAACAATAAATTGGGACCATACGCCGCATTCCTCCTACCGATTTAACACTGCATGTTGGGTGTTGACCAATCTCCTTGCGAAGCGCAGTCCGCTAGCTTTTACTGTGTTCCTTGAAAAGCAATGTCTGCAGTTTCTTGGAAACCATACATTTCGTGAAGCTTCGGTTGCGATGGTTAGCGAGTATGTTGCAGGAATTTTCGCCATGCAACACGGATCGGATGGAGCTGTGGATGCAGCAATGCTTCAGCTGCACATGGACTACCTCCATAACCCACACAATCTTTTCACTGCGTGTTCTATCTTGGCCACACATGGCATGAACAATAACCGGAGTGTCATTCACAGGAACATCATGGCACTGGTGCAGCTGCATCCACGAGACGCTACCTGGGACGAGTGTCGCAGGAAACTTCGTGATCTGGTAGAAAGTGATGGCAGGGACTTTTTCAGTAAACAGCTCACATGGACAGGCTATGATGAAATTCGCCCACTGCACACCGACGAAATCCAACTCGAAAAGGAAAACATCAGATATGCGATACATGTTCTTGATGACTTTTTTGACCACGAAGGTCATACCGTGGTGAGCTGACATCCCTTCCTCAGTCAAATATTGATAGTCAATCCAGGTACCCTCGGAGTTGTCACCAGCAGCGACCACCGATAGGGCACATAGGTCACTTTTTGGGATGGTGCCTTGGTAGAAAGCCGGAGGGTAAGCCGGAACAAGAGCGGCAGGTTTAGTCGATAAGAGTATCAAACTTGCGGTGCGATAACGACACAGAAGGGATAATTGTCTTCAGCAAAATTTTGACGTTCAATGACAATGAGCTTGATGCGGCTTGTTGGTAGTATACGGTGGCTATATCTGCATCGTACAAAATACTTCGTAAGAATGGAAAGTCAGCTGATATTGGACCGTTCTTACTGAGAAGAACGGTTCAACTTGAAGTGTCATGAGGACGAACAGTGGATTCTCCGGGCCGTCCGATACAGAAGGATACCAAGTATCTCACTCAGACTTTAAGAATCGCCTCGTATCATGTCGACCCCAAAACGCATCTGTCAAATTATCAAAGTAAGTCTTGTTCATGCTTTTCATCGTCCCACATGCTTATCAAAATGGCGATTCAGTTGAAGCCATCTTCCGAAGCGGAATATAGAGAATGCCATGCCGCCGTGTGGCCTGGCGTACTTGCGGCGCTTGAACGCGCTCATATCGTCGACTATTCCATCCATTATTATGCACCGCTTCATCTCCTCATTGCCAACATGAAGTACACTGGGACTGATTATGAGGCCGACATGAAGAAAGTTGCCGAGGATCCTGAGACGCAGAGGTGGTGGGCAATGACGGATGGAATGCAGGAGAGTCTGGTTGAAGGTGCTACTGGTAGTGGAAAGGATATACCGTGGTGGGCTGTGCGTGCATTTTTGCTACTGACATTCCTATACTAACCATAATAACGGGTCAAATACAGGACATCGAAGAGGTTTTTAGGTTCGAGGGAAAGCCTTAGTAAACAGGGCAGCTGGAAAGAAACTATACCATACATGCCAGAAACTCGCCGTTCGAATTCAATCCAGCCGATTCACCCGAGCGCAGTAGCGTATATACATGGGAAATGCCGACTCAGTTTAGACTCGTTCCAAATTCTGGCCACGACCCGCAAGCATGGGTTGCGTTCCATGATTCCTTTTTGACCGATATCGCTTCGAGTCGATACTACGTACTCAACCGGTAACCGGTAACGAGTCGAGACTCTAGGACCGACGAGCGTCAACGAAGTCCTCAGCTTCGTAGGCTGCTCTTTTCTTTGCATTGCTCTTACACCTTGGTCGAAAGTCCAAAGGCAAGCCGGAACAAGGACAGCAGGTTTAGCTTACAAGTATGTTAGACTCGAGGGTCGCAACGTCGTGTAGATGCATCTTTTTGTCGCTCTGGTCCTCAGTGTTGTGTAGTATACGCAGGCCTAGCAGGAGATTTGTTGATGCATTGAACGAACCACTTGTGCCAAGGACTGGTATCGATAGATTTTGTCTGGTCTCGTCAGGGCGCTCCCTCTGGAAAGCGAAGGATCCTCTAGAAATCACTATGGACACTATCAGTCAGGCGATACTGTATCGTAACAGCAGACTGCATTCTCTCTAGCTCTTTGAAGAGTTCGGTTTGGACGGCATAAACCTACCACTTACACACAATGCATAAACACTCTTATTCTATTTCCAATCCCTCCAAAATTCGTAACATCGTAACCATAGATTGCATATAGGTGAACAGTATTATACCAGAAGTACACATAATAAAACAGACAACATGGACAGGTAAGCGCATAGATAATCGTAAGCCAAGGAGTAGAAATGAACGAGGAAACAACGACGGTCACAACATTTACAGCTCGTCGTCGGTGACATCCTCACCCCTCTTTTTGCGAGCCATACGCTCCTTCTTAAGCTACAACATAGGTTAGACTGAGTTCATTCCGAAGTCGTTCATGACAACATACCTTCCGTGCTTCTGACGAAGTGATCTTCTTGGTTTTCTTTGACTCAATCTTGTTACCCATAGCATCATACTGATCGTCATCTTCACCATCCTTCTTGTCAATACGGGGTCCAGAACCTTGACCTTCAACCCAGTTGTGGCCGGAAGCCTCAAGACGACCATCGCGCATCGCCCATACTCTATTAAAACACATACGCATCAGCTCTGAACATCAAAACAGAAATAATGAACGTACTCCTTGCACAGGGACTCTGAGAAGTCACGGTTGTGGGTAATGACGAGCACACCACCCTCGAACACCTTGAGCGCCTCAATCAGAGCAGCGAGCGATTCACGATCGAGGTAGTCTGCAACCAAATTCAACAAACGAATGAAAACGCTGAAGAAACCAACGTACTAGTAGGCTCATCCAAGCACATGACGTGGGGACGACGCCATGTGGCGGCACCGAGGACAATCTTGACCTTCTGTCCACCGGAAAGACCTCTCATGGTGTTATGCGAAACGAACTCGGGCTCCAGACCAAAGTCAGCAAAGTGCTTCTCGATCTCCCGACGAACGAGAGGTCGGAGAAGACCGAGGCGCTGAGCCTCACGGGTGTCGACTTCGATGACTTTCTGTAAATCGCAATATTGATTAGCATCAAGAGTCGATTGTGTCAATCAAAGAACTGACCTTCTCGAAACCACGCTTGACGAGGTCGTCTCGTGGCAACCAGATGTTCTCAGAGGAACTGAGACCCTTGAAGGAAACCTCATACTCATACGACTGCTTCAGCTTCTTCCTTCCAACAATCTCATCAATCAGCCTCTTCTGGCCTTCAACAACGATAGCAGCTCCATCCTTCATCTTCTGAGCCTCCTCCTCCGAAATCTGGCGGTTAGCCTTGGTCATCTCCTCCAAATCTTCACCAGTCTGGTAACGCCACAGCATGTACTCGAGAGGCGTCTTGTCCAGGTGGTTATCGATGTGGTGGAAGGCGTGTTGGGCGACGTAGCCAATGACCAAGTTGGGGTGTTTCCAGATCTCACCACCCTTGTTGGGCTCCATGTCACCAATGAGGAGCTTGACGAGGGTAGATTTGCCGGATCCGTTGGGACCGAGGACAGCGACACGGGAGGAAAGAGAGACTTGAAGGGTGATGTCGTACAGCTGCTGGGTTACTTGCGAGGGGTACTGGAAGCCAACCTTGCGCCTATATTTCTAGTAAGTACCAAAGATCTAGCGCTAGATAAATAGCTTACATCTTCAACAAACTCTTCTCCTTAGTCTTGACACCCTCAAGGAGAGGTGGGTCGGGGAGCTTGAACTTGTAGTCCTCGGCCGCCTCAAGAGTGTAGTAAGACTTGGCCTCAGGAACCTGGGCCACGAACTTCTCAAGGTTTCCACGGTATCTGCGGAGTTTGAAGCGGTTCAAGTGGAGAACGTCCGTGATCGTGTTGTTGAGGAAACCAGAGTCGTGCGAAACAATGACTGCAAAATATGTGAGTGAAAATAACACTACCAAAGGATAGGCAACATACTGGAAGTGCAAGTCTTCAGGTTCGTGAGGTAGTTCTCCAACCAAGCAACGTTAACGACATCAAGATGGTTAGTGGGCTCATCGAGCAGGAGGATGTCAGCCCTGAAAAGCATAGCCCGAGCGAGGGCGAGCTTCATCTTCCAACCACCAGACAAAGAACCGATTGCCTGGGCTTGACGTTCGTCGCTGAAACCGACAGAGGCGAGGGTTTCAATGACTTCAGCTTCGTTGGCAAGGATACGCTTGTCGCTCAAGATGAACTGGAGAACCGAAGTGTCTTCCTCGGAACCATCAATGTCGTGCTCGACGTAGAAAGTGCGAACCTCGTCGGGCGATGGGAAACCTTCGACTTGACTACACGCGAAGAGTGAGTATAGGTTATCGGATAGTATAGAAATCAGCTTACCCATTGGTGATAGCACGCATGAGAGTGGACTTTCCGGTACCGTTCTTACCACAAAGACCATAGCGGTGACCACGCTTAAGACGAAGAGTAGCCGTGTTAAGCAGGATCTTGGCACCATAAGCCAAAGAGAACTGGCAGTTGCAAAGGTCTTCGCCTTCCTCCTCATCCTCGGGAACCTCACCATCATCGATATCAGCGGTGGCGGACTTGACGACCCATTCACGGGTAACAAGGACGGGGTCGGGAGTCGCAGAGACGAAGGCAAGGTAAGGTGCCAAAGTCTCCCACTGGGGAACTTCGAAGTTCTTGGCGATGACGAGGTCGGTAGCGAGGCTGGAAGCGTAGATGGTAGCGATGTGAGCAACGTGGATCTCAGTGCCCATCTTCTTGTAGATGGCGCCGAGGGAGTGGCCGAGGGCACCGGCGTCGGTGTGCTTGATGGGAGGAAGGTCAGAACCGTCACCCTCAGGAACCTGTCCGACTTGACGAAGGGTGGCGATCGCCTTGCCGACAACACCGCGGGCTTCAGGGTCACCGATAGTAGTCTCAACCTTGATCAGACCTGGGAGGAGCTTAGGAATGAAGGGTCGGACGGTGACGTGCGAGTCCACGAGCTTGGCCATGTTGTCGACGATACTGAAAGAATGGCTTAATCAACAATGATCAAAGAAAAAGAGAAACGATGAAACTTACACTGCGACCTTTCGCTTGGTAGCAGTCAACTTCTCGTTAAGACCACGAGAGAGAAGGGGGACCATTAGTGAAAGTGTAGGTGAGTCTACTTCTGAAACGAATGTGGTGGCCGAGAGGAGAGCAATGGTATTAGGCACCTCCTCGACGGGATTAATAAGAGCCTTGATAAGAGCCGGAATAAATCGTTCAATATCCTTGTTAGAAACCAGAGCGGTGGCCTTTGTAAGCGAATCGCGGGCAGCCTTCTTCACGTCGGCCTTGGTATCCCAAATAATCTCGGAAAGGACGGGAATGATGTCAGGCATAAGCTTGGCCATCTGGGTGGGAGCGCTCTTGACGAGCTGGTTGAGAATGACGAGGGATCCGGTCTTGATCTGCCATTTACCGGCAGTTTTGAGTTCGTGAAGAAGGGCGGGAAGGATGAGGGCGGTAGCCCAGGGGTTCATTGCGACAACGTATTCTCGCACCGCCTCTACGGCAGCGGTCCGAACAGCAGGCATCTTGTCGGCAAAAGTCTCAAGGAGGGCAGCGTAGATTCCGGACTCGATAAAAACGGGTTCGAGAGCCTTCACTGCGGCAGATTTGGAGAGGGCGGCGATGAGCTGGGCAGCGCCCTCCCGTGCTGCGGGAGATTTTTTATCGGCAAGAGCCTTGACCACATCGGGTGCGACGGCCTGGAGGGAATGAGGACCGTCTTTTTGTGCAACAGCGATGAGCTGGGTGGCGGCTGATTCGCGTGTTGACTTGTCAGCGACAAAAAGAGCCGCAGCATCGACCTGGGTGACGGATGGGTGCATCGCAGCCTTGAGGTCGGCAGGAGAGGGAACAGAAGGAGCAGATGAAGCTGTAACAGCGGGCATATCTATAATCTGTACACGTTTTCCTGCATTTTAGCTGGGCCCATTGAATGAAAAAACGACAACGCACCTTTGATTGGGGAATGGTGGAAAAAAATGAGATGGCGATGGCACACAAAGGCTGACAAGAAACAAAGGATGCTCTATATCTAAGGGTGGCAAATACTGCCTGGAAAAAATGAATACGTTGTCGCTGGAACGATAATGAAACGAAGTAGCGTACCTCTATGGGGGGGATACGAGAGGGAAGAGAGAAGGTAAGGTTTGTCCACCTGATTTGCACACTTTTGTAACACCGAGTCGGACTTTGAAAATTCGCCACATTGCCCAGATGACCGGACCTTACGCATTCAGTACTCCTCCGTGATTCATACCGCGTGACATCGCTTCCGGTGCAGTTGTGGGGTAACAAGGGCCCTTATAACGTTCCCCGGACTGATGAGCCTTACCGTTGATACGTGCATCATTTATACCCGCAATAATATACCCTTGATATCCCAAAAATTTCCCCCGAGTCTTTGAAAGTTTATTGCAAAAAATGGTCTAGATGTATTCTACTTTCCTGACGACATCAGTCACCTGGTAGCGCCTAGACAGGAGGAGCTCCGAGAGGACTGGAACAGGCCGTACGAGCAGTTCGGCTGAAAAGCCAGTATACCTTGTCAAAGAGGACTTCCTTTCGCTTAATACACACAGCAAAGTGCTGTAGAACATCTGAATCATTACGTTCATTCCTCGCAAGTCGCAGAAAAAGATCTGCACGTTGTGATGGAGGGGATTTGACCGCTTGTAGTCACATCAGTAACAAGGAGATCCGGCAAGCATCGGAAAATTGAACACCCATTCTTCATCTGCATAGAACAGCCTGTTCCAGCACCGGAATGCGAACCATCAGTCGCATCCGAATATTGTTCGACCCATGATCCCTTGTTCATTTACTATGACGACACCCGGCCTTCCGAGCTGGTGAAGGACTGCCTTGGGACGAGAATAGCTTAGAAGATCACTAGTGCTCTTAACATAATCTCCCCAGAGTGAAGAGGACTGGAATTCAATGGACAGCCCTGAACAACAGAGTATTCAGCGCAGAAGGCATGTTACAACTATACACAGCTTAGCGCCGTGCTGTGTCTGCATCTTCGCGGCATCAAGATCTTCAATTGAACTCAACGTCGAAGAAGCTTGGAAGTTCACCTGGGAAACTGATATGTAAACGCCGGGAAACACGATGATGAATCTTCAAGAAGAAACTAATTCAACACCCGAACAGCGCACGAGACCAGTCCCATCGCTCATCGAAAAAGCCCGATGAACCCTGGCAATACGCCGCAAAGTGAAATCGGTTCCGCAAACAAGCCTTAGATAACTTGTCGCAAGAGTGAAAGGAAGGGTGTAGCGCTATATCTTCGGGGAAATGGAAAATGAACGTGTCTTCGCGACTCATTGTCGTGTCTACACGTTGCCGTCGCGTCCCTGATCGAGAAATAGGACAACTTGAACAGCACACATGAGCCAAAAGGAAAATCTTAGATGTTGTAACGCCAAAACAGGACATACATTCGTTCTATTACTGGGTCATAGCGGTAGCCTAGCTGTTCATATTGATAGAACGTTAAGCTAAGGCTCATAGCCCCATCGCCTCTACTTACCGTACTTGAGGCCTTGTCCGACTAATGTTTGAATGGGGAATGCTGAGTAGATGGTGTCCGGGATTCGATGACGCAACAAATAAACGATAGGCAAACGAAGGAAGGGCGTCGAAAGCTCCAAACGATTTTTTGGTTGGTACCTGGAAATACCAATCATACTCTTTATTAGTACTCAGACAAAAGGGGAAGAGAGATCGACACGTACATAAATCCCACTTGCTGTTTGCCCCATTGACTACAGCCCGAGGTTCTCCCCTAGGAAGACTCTAAAATCTCTTAACGGGTACCGGTGAGGGCTTAGGCAGTCGAGGTATGGAGAAACTCGACCAACCCTTCCGGCAATAATACCACGCAAGCACACAGCATCACTGTAACTTCCATACAATGCGACCAACCTCCATGGTACTCCAAAATATGGTCAAGGGAGAAACACATATCAACCCTTCTATCGCCACTTCCCAGGACAGGACTCAGAGCATTTCGGACGTGGCACGGCACAAGAAGGCCCACAGACAGCAGTACGCGAGATACAGCCCAGAGAGGACTCAATAGTATGAAACACAGCGAATGACAACTTGACCAATGTCATGCCGCCCCTGCATGGAGAGACGTCGCAAATGTCAGCTCTTCAAAGTTCATTGAACAAGCTCTGAAACGTAGTACGTGCATATCTTCACTTGCCGAACATGAGGGTTGGTAGCAACCAGAACGAAGCTAATATCGCTTGCCAGGGGATAACATTTGCTGGTCGAAGACCTGAAAGGCACGAAAAAGACGAAGAGAAGGCAACAAGGGGAAGCAAGAGGAGAGTTGCACTGCCACAGCCGCCGGCAAGATTTTCTCTTTCCCCAGTGCTCCACCATGACGCGCCTACCTGCCTCATTCACCAGCCTGTATCGACTTTTCTTGCGCACCACCTCGGCCTCAGTTCTTCACCATACATTGGCCACTAAAAACCTACGCCATTTGTGGCGGTCCACCTTTCACGACGCAGCGAAAGTAATACAGCACCTTCAACGTGAACCGCCTCCTCCGCCTGTGGTTAAGGAAGAGCTGGAATCTTGGTTATCTATCTGGAATGACAGAGGTGTGCTGATTGACCAGATCTTATCTGTCATTCACTGATCTACAGCGGGCAGTCGACAATACCCTCGCTCTACTACACAACTCCTCCCACACGCGCGGCCTATCTCACCAACTAACCCGTAACCTAGCCTTACTCGTACACCACGAATATCAACGAGTATCCGAAGTCAAATACCCCGTCTGGAACCCCCAACTCCCCGCAGACTCGAAAGAATACCAGATTCGAGCACCCGCGGCGAAATCTCGCACGGAGACAAAACGTGACGCGCTGAAAGCCATCAGCGATCGCGCCCTGTCTGCAGTTTCCAAAGCTGTTCGTATGGCTGAAGGAAGGGACGGTATCATTTTGGGAAGCATGGCGGTCAAGGGAAAACTGAAGCGAAACCTGTGATACGTGAGTGCCTTTCAACTACTTCGCAATGCAGCTAATTTGTGTTCCGTATAGTGATCGCTATGCATGCACTAATATACACAAAATACATCGAGAACTTGGCCAGCGCAACCAAGTATTCCGAGGTCTACCTAAACCGCTGCAACTGCAACGTCTCGCGCGCAGCGTCCTCAGGCTTTTTGATTGGAAGGACGTCTTCACGACCGTGTCGCAGTGTAATAGAGGGACATCGAAACCTGCTTCCATACGTTCTAAAAACGCCTATCAAAGACGACTCCTCTTTTCCTGCACAAGACGCGCCCCAGACTATTCTTCGCGAGGTGTACATTTTACACTGCACCTGTCAAGTACTCAATGTACTCAGGTATTACATATTCTATTCATACCTTAAGTCCCAGGATCATCACTACAATTTATCTCAACGTCCTGCACTGCGATCAACAACTAACGTATATAATAGAGATGATGGATACAGATTTCGAGGTACAAGCTCAACAAATTACCCTAACAAAAGGTATACCATACAATACTAATCTACATAATCATATCAAGCCCAGAAGAAGAAACCCCTACCGTCGGCCCGGGAACAGAACCCTCAGCAACCACAATACCGCACTCCTGCATCAAAGACAGCCACCCAGGATCCATATTCGACTCTGTCATCAACCCCAGCTCCGCCATCGCAGCAGCATTGATAGCCGGGTAGGCTGCTGGCTGCTGGATGTTGAACCAGTTCAAGTCATCGGGCTGCGGGTAAGGAGCTGGAGGAGTATACATCGTTTGTGGAGGGTAGCCCGTGGACGTGGGTGCGCTCGGATACGCAGGAGAGGTATCCATCCAATTCGTACTTTGAAGATCGAACAGAGCGTTCCAGGAAAACCCGTGGTCTTCCTCCGTGCCAGTCGGTGGGGCGTTCACGAAAGGAGAAGGAGATCCTAATGATGGTGAGGTAAATGGCTGTGCGGTCTGATGGGTCCACTGTCTATGAATTTGTTGACTAGGCGTCGACATCATCCCCCCACCGTCTTTGATGTAGTCCATCAATGAAGGATGAACATTAACTTTAGGTGGCACCGCTTCAGCTACTGGACCCCCAGGAGAAGGCGTGGATTCAGTAGTAGATGCAGGGGAACCAGCGATCTGCAAAGAGTTCTTTGATCGATGCCGCTTCGTCAATACTTTAGTCTGTCCGCCGAATATAGCCAGTTCATCCTCAGATTCGGAATGCGGCGGCTGCGTGGATGACGTGTCAGGTTGATCAATGGAACCATCGCTCTCGGGTGATAGTGATTTTGACCGGGACTGAGTGTAGGATACTACAGCTTTGTCTTTCAACTTGCGCAAGATGCCCTTGTCCAACGGCTTTAATATGCAGACAAAGGCGTCAAGTTATAAACTCACCAAGGCGACCCGTGCTCTCTGAGATTTAGCGGCGCTTGTTTCAAACAACCTGATGGCCAACTCTAAGTCCTCCAAAGCACTTCGCGCGATCGTGGTTTTGGGTGAACGAGTAACTACACTGCCAACGACCACCTATAGGGATGGTAAACATGGGAAGGGCAAACCCATTCGATAAAATTGTCTTACTGCTGAAGAAAAAATGTGATAGAGGAGGAACCACACCCTCGTGGCCGTATCAGCTGAACGATCAAATTGATGCGCAGCAGCCTTTATCATAACAGACGCACTCCGATACGCTGTCAGGAAAGAGGGAGCAAAGGGACTGAGAAGAGGGTTAGAAGGGAAGTCGAGGATAGATTGGGCAAAGTAACTTCGATGCAGATAGAGCATCGCTAAACACAAAACATAAGAAAAGGCAACACGAAAAGGTATGCATAGGTCACTCACTGACGGTCCTATGCTGGCTTGCATAGAAGTCTCTTAAACTTTTCGCACTAGAATAGAATTCCTCCTTCCCATCTTCGAGTGTAACGTACGGCTTGAATGACGCGGGGAAGGTCATCTGACGGACCTTCTTGTCGAGGTCCAGTATAGTGGCATAGCTAGGTGCTTGGGCAGTTAAGGTTGCGTCAACGACGGCACTAAAAATGTCTCGGGCAAACATGTGCTTCATGCGCCAAACTGTAGACGTGACACGTGAGTTCCAGCAATAAAGTAAGAGTTTACATCTAACTCACAGCCGAATTCAATGTCTCCGGACGGGCTCAGTGTCGCCTCTTCGTCGGTTGGGAACTCACAGTCGACAAACGATAGGTGAACCGATGGAGGTCGACCAAGAGCAAGACTCTGCTCTAGTCCGTTAGCTCAGGCCCGCCAAGCACAAACATTAAAGTGACTTGCATTAGATACGTCGCACGAGACGATTTCCCACCATAGATTTCTGCGCATCTGGACGGTGCTAGGGTCCATGTGCCATCTTGCACTATCTCGATCTATAGGCGGCTTGTGTGAGTGGAGGAACGCTTTAGTGGTGACAACAGACTAACGAAGGCCAATCTAGAATTATGGTCAACAGTGAGAGAATGAAAGATTCCAAAGAAGCTCACGCTTAGTGCTAACTTGGCAGCAAGACCCATACTGCACCACTGAAATATATGAGTTTGAAGGCATAAGAATACAAACGCGGACATACTGCGCTATCCCGGGAATATTTTTTGCTAGCCATACTGTGATACGTCGCCATAAGTCCGACCGCGCGAATGGTGTTTATTTGAGGTGTCTCCAGTAGAATGTGTTTCAGTGATAGCGCCGCAAGGCCCAGGTGATAATACAATTCTGCCTCCTTGTTGTAAGGCCCAAGACGGAGATCAAAGAGCGCCCCTAGTGCAAACACAAGGAACAGGGCTGCGAGTGTATGGGGGAGTGCCGAATGAGGATCATTATATACGTCAGGGAGGAATAAGTCAAATAATTCAGCGCTTTTGATAGGCCGGAAGAAGAGGGACGCGTGATCAATGTACAATTGACAGAGGACGTGGGCGCGGTCTTTCGTGGGCAACCTGGAGATGATATTGGCATTCGGTGTATGCGTTTGTGAAAATGGAAATCCTGTGGTGGCCTTCTCTAACTGCGGACTTGTTGAAAGTTCGGTATTGTCGTCGGATGAATCTTCGGAAATATCATCCCACTCCTCGCCGGCCTGTACAGTAAGTTAGTGTCAGCGATGACACATGAGATAGAGAGAAGACGTAACGATTAATGTCTGGAAAGCATGGTGTCAGTGAATGTGCTGCGCGAAGAGAACCAACGTACTTCTGAACCGGCTGACCTTCCGAAATACCGCATGTCGCCCTCGTCTGTCAGCGTCAACGTTCCAAGAGCATCAATGGCTTGTGTCTCAGCAGGACGTCGTTCTGCTTTTGAAGCCTCTGCTCCAAATTTTATTTTGAGAAGTTCATCTTCAAGAAGAGGGTGTCGCTTTTCAGAGACAGTAGCCTGTAGAATTGCTAAAGCGTCCTCGAGCGACCGTATACGTTGACTCATTTCAGTAATTTTGCGATGAAGATGGTCCGTATCAGCGAGAATGAATCTGGAGAAGCTTTAAAACTTTGAGCAAAGAATGACTGTACGAGAAACGAACCTAGTGCCTTGACCCGCAGACAAGATACCTGTTGAGCGTTATTGTAGCTCTGGGTGTTGCACTCAATGGAAGAGATCTAACCACAGGGGCATATACTCTCGCATCCTCGCCTACAACACGAGCTACAGGGAACTTTCTTGTCGCAACGAAGTTCTGTTCAAGACGGATGAATGGTGTTTCGCGACTGGTGTATAAGACGCAAGCCTACTGAGTCGGCGACATTCCGCACAAGAAAGCTCTCCTGAACAGCGAACGATTAAGATAAAAGCGCCAAATAGTGCAAGTGAGAATAGCAATGGAGGACGGCGGCCGCAAATGCAATGTGTCGTGTATCCAGTCAATTGGAAGCCAAGTACATGAAGCAATAACGACGCACCCCGAATACGTTTTTGCTCGATGTCCTTGAGCTCTTCCTCACTGAAGACCTTTTGTCGTCGCTTGGTTGTCTCTGGTGGCATTCCAGTTGCACATGGAGAGATGAGCGGCCCCTTTCGGTCTGATCATGACGAAATATTGTCACGGGGGTCGGGGTCCGGGAATGTTCTGCCGTAGTAGTTAGTCACTCGAAGGCGCAATCCCGAAAATTTTCATCGTTCGGAATACTCGCCTATTCGTCGAGTAGAACACAGCCATGAAAGTGAAGGCAGAACTTGGGAGGGCTTCTCGTCACGTTCCGTGAAGGCTGGATCATTACATCTACAGTGATCATCAACTTTAGAGTCCAGACTAGATTTTTTCATCTACGTAGCTATTGTCTACAAATTACTGTCATGGACACGTAACCATAAGGAAAAGAACAACTTGAACATCTATACCCACAACACACTCGACCTCTCCCCTGGAGGATACCTTGGGCAAAATCATGCCAAAAAAGCACCACACACATGATACAACCCAAACGAGAATCACCGCTCCTTGTGGGTATAGTGACTTTTAAGGTACCTGAAATGACCACTCATTTATCTAAACGCGCGATTGATTTGATATTTCTTGAACCTTTGATCAACTTCCAAGAGATAACAATCAATCATGTGCTTAGACCAATGAATGGTCAAGCTGCGATTCCTAAAAAGTAGCTATTCCCTTTCACGAAGGAGACTGGGGAACCAAGGGTTATGTCGGGGATCCCAATGTAAAGTCTTCAGGTTGAAAGACGGGACGTCTCGCATAGAACCGGGCAGTCCAGCAAGGTTGTCGCAAGTGGTCGCCAAGACTCGAAGAAACTGTCGAGAGCTTTTCAACAAATTGACAAAAAGGCGGCGAGGATCAGCGAACCTTTCGCCGCTCGTCTCTCCACTGGCCCGCCCAATCGTTACACAGAGTTGACTCGATCAATTGACTGATGATCCCGCGCGCAAAACCAAAGGACTCCGATGGGGAGTAAAAATTGTCCTGGAGAGGGAATGAATGTGAAGTTTGTTTCAACAGAGCCCATCTCGTACCTCGGAAATTTCTTGCGCTGAGGGGAGAAATTTATACAGCTCAGGGTGTCCCACCGGCGGAACACAGACATCTTCGTATTGAGGGAGCCAAGCCCACTTGTAGCGGCGGAGAAAATTTGGTTTCATGCGTTTCCAATCAAACGGTAGCAGTGGTCCCATGACCTGGAGGTACATTAAGTCTATCACGGTGAAGTGCAGTGACTGAAGGTGCTTACAGAAAACATAGCTATACTCATGATCTGTATTGCTGTTAGGAACTGTTTCTGGAATTGAAGCTCCCCGTAGGTGTTAGAACCTGTCGACGTTCATCAGGCCAAATTTTGTTCATAAATAACTCAACTCACCTAGCGGTACAACAGGCAGCACCGCATCGATGCAACAGAGTTGTTGTTCGATAACCTGAGACGTATACCAATACGCAAACGGCTTCTCTTCCTCAGCGTAGAGCTCCAACTGAAAACCTGACAATATCATCTCTCTGATTGACGAAAGCCTCCAGATAAGAGCTGCATTAGGTAGCTGCTTCACAACATCGTAAACAGGAGAAGGCTAATTGAAGCGGTGAGTAAGAGAATCTGGGAGAGACATGAGGTCTTACGTCACTGGCGAAATGAGAGGCCAGGTTGGCGAGCTGATCGTAGAAGACATGCCAATCGAAAGCCAAGTTCATTAGCTGACGTCTCCGCCGTGGCCCGTTCAACCAATTTCCGGTAATATGTATGTTGAGGAGCTACGCCTTTCATCGAACTCGTGACGTAATAAATGACAGAGGGACTGACCTTAGCTAAAGAACGTTCCATTTGAGCCAGAGGCGGAGGTAGAGCACCCCTCCAGCCATCCTGGATAACTTGAACCATCCGTTCGTAATGTGTTCCCAAGGTCTCAGCCATAAAAGACTGAATAAGCCAGGATAAGGTGAATCTGTTGAGCACCAGCAGACCATCGTAAAAACAATTCTACAGATGAGATATGAGTGGCGCTGCGACTCGTATGCTAGATGGTGGCCTACCTGGGTGCGAGAGCGTATATAGGCAGGGGTCTGAGCTGATTGCCATCGTCGTAAATTCCCTACAATCTCAAACAAAACACCATTTAGCGTCAAGGGAGTTACAAAAGAGTTTGTAATACCTCCCAGGTCGTGATGTGTTTCGTTAGAGAAAGTGATAACATTTCACGCCAGCCATGGAAAAGTCTCTCTAGTGTGTCCCAGGTTTGTGTTGTGGAGATAACATCAATTTCACGAACTGGTATGAAGGTTGTGAGACGACGGGCTATGAAGGGGTCGAAAGCAAAGTGTGCAGGAGAATCGGCTTGTGGTACGGGTGCAGGATGGGCCCGTACAATGTCCAAGAGCTCATGCGCTCGGTGTAACAGGTCCTTGAATGGCCCAGGATCATCATATATGTTGCAATCCATGAGTTGAAGAATAATCTAGGCGAAATGAGAATGCGAAAGAAGTAAACGAAAGGGATCACCTACTTTTCGTAGGTCAAGGCGGACTCGTAACCCGTCTCTCCATTGCGGCGGTACTAAGACAGTGTTAACAAGGGTACCACCGTAAGAGACGAAACACACTCTTCATTGTATGCAGTAGCCAGTTTGATGCCTCATCAAGTCTGGCTAGCGCGGACTTGACGGGGTAACCTTCTAATAATGAGACATCGCATTTATCCCCTTGCCAGTCCTCGGTCTAGAAGCAGACTTCAATAACTTGTCATTTAGATATCATGAATGAGAAGTCTCACGTCCTGAAGAATCCCTCTATTAAGACAATCCCATGCAAGACCACAACACTTCAAATAACCAAAGACAAAGGTCCTGAGAACGACTGAGAGTAACTCGACTGGTCGATCGGGGTCTCCAGTGAGAGGTTGGTAGGGCACCACATCCGGATCTATAGCACCTAGCTCGTGGACATATATGAGGGTGAAGACTGTATTTGCAAGAAGATTTCCCGCGTGCCATTCCATCTGTAAAACATCTATCAGTTGTTACCCTCACGGACCTCACTGAAACTAACCTCATAAGAAAACGACCTGTCGATTATCCAACAAACTTCTTCCGGTAACAAGGGAGTTAATGGATCAAACTGCGGTCTTCTGTTCTTCTCTATAATCATCCCGCTATCCAGACGAGGTTCACCTATCTAGGAAGAGAGATGAAGATCAAGGTACCACGAAGAGCCAGAAAGAGCTCACCTCCAACGCACTCATGGCATCCAGAAGCGAGAAACCTTCCATCATGACCAATCCACCAGGTTCCATCTCTTCAACGACGAAATCGTCACTTTACTTGTGGAAATCTGCCGTAGTGCTACTTACCGGCTGCAGCATTAAGAAAGACATCCGTCACGTCCTGAAAAGCGTCGCCGCCAGGCATATCGGTGCCTTTAGGTCCCGAATCCATGTTTGTCGTTCAGATACACGTCTAAATTGCAGATAGGAAGCCTCAGATAATCGATACCATGGCACTGGAAAAAATCATAAATGGGCGATGGTGAAAGTCAGGGACATCGTCAGTGGCTGTGTCTCTTGTCTCAGAAAATGCAGTCATCTCTCCTCAAACGGACGGTCCGTTCTTTCTTCTTGCCTTGTCGCTGTAGGAACTTTGCTACTTCTTCTGTTGCACACAACGATGTGAAGAGTAAAAATCGTGTTGTCCTTTCCGGAATTCAGCCGACTGGCGTGCCACATGTATGTGCTTCACGGCCGGCTTAGAAGGATAGGCGGCTGATGGCACATGCAGCTAGGCAATTATTTTGGAGCTCTTGCGAATTGGGTGAAGCTTCAACGTGAGGCGGAATCGGACGATGTCTTACTGTATATGGTCGCTAGTTGGCATGCTTTGACTCTGCCCCAGGACCCGGTACAGCTCGCCAACGCGAGAAATGATACGCTCGCTGTTCTATTAGCCATCGGATTAGACCCTAAACGTTCGATAATATTCCATCAGGACACGGTACGCGACTATGGTTTTCCCTAGCTATTCCTACTGATTCCTCCGAAACATAGAACAGGGATCATGCTGAGCTAGCCTGGATATTCAATTGCATAGCATCCACGGGAATGTTACGCCGTATGACAACTTGGAAGGTATTTGTGCTACAATATTGGTTTTCAATAGAGCCTGACCGCCGTGCAGTCACGACTAGCTACTTCACGTAACATGTCCGACGACACTGACGTTGACGAGGGCTCGCTCAACGCCGGTTTATTCACTTACCCTGTCCTTCAAGCCGCCGATATCTTGGTGTACAAGTGAATGCACTTCCTACCATTTCTCTCTCGCACTCCTAATTTTTATCATTCCAGCGCTACCCACGTACCAGTTGGCGATGACCAGACTCAACATGTAGAACTATGTCGAGATATCGCCGAACGATTCAATCATACCTTTTCGCCCGAGTCCCCGTTATTCACTCTTCCCGCACTTCTTAAAAGTAAGTTTCCTTCCTCCATTGCTGCCTCCCATATCAACATTTCTTTAGCATCCTCCAAACGAATACTATCCCTTCGTGATCCTTCGTCCAAGATGTCAAAATCGGCTCCCGACGTGTCATCCCGCATCCTTCTCACCGACGATGCTTCCCAAATTGCGTCCAAGATTAGAGTTGCAGTGACAGACTCTATACCAGGAATCACCTATGACCCTGTCAACCGACCGGGCACGTCCAACCTCTTGACTATCCTTGCAGCATGCACGAACGAGGACGTCGCCGATGTCGCCTTGCGGTATCAAGACAAGAATCACGGACATGTAAAACGCGACCTTACAGAAGTAATCGAGGAAACACTGAAAGGGCCGAGGGCAGAGTTCGAGAGATTGCGGAAGGATGCAGCATATCTTCGTGAAGTTGCTCTCGATGGCGCGGCAAGATCTGCTGAGAGGTCAGAGGTTGTGATGAGGGAAGTCAGAGAAGCTATTGGATTGCCGTCATTTATATAATCTATATATCACTGGTTAAAATCCGTGAATACCTTATTGACGTCTTCATTAATATACTTGGTGCCAACTTATTACTATTTCGTCCTCATAAAATGGACATTTTGTTTCCTAAAGGTTACACATTTCAATGCCAGATATAACTTATCCACGTGATGGCAGTAAGTATACCATTGAATACTTGATAGTTGCACAGTAAAAGAGCTAAAAGAATCGTCTAGTTCTGCTAATAAACAAATAAGTAAGCCACTCACTGTACCGAAATCATCAAAATCATCATCCTTTGCCTCATCAAACTCCATCGAAAGTACTGAAAGGAATTGTTTTGCCGGCGGCTGTGGCAGTGCAAGATATTGCTGGCACATCTGGGAGACAACACGAGCAAACAAATTCCTCCTCTAGACTCAGTGCAGTCGAAATACTCCTGCACAACCTTTTCCTGCGCGTTATCTCTTTATTTTTCCTTTCCTCGTACTTCATCAATGTCAGATGAGTACCCGAGCTTGTTCCGTAAGTTGCCGAATGTGGCTCGCACTACACTTTTTACTCACGACGGTATTGCGTACTTATAGGCTCGGAACAAATGAGCCTGGTGCAGCTCTTTGTACCCACTGAAGTAGCCCATGATACCGTCGCCGAGCTAGGAGAACTGGGAAATGTCCAATTCAAAGACGTATGTGTCCCACCGTGAATTGTACCTCATGGAATTCACCCCCTACAGTTGAACCCCAGCGTCAATCCTTTCCAACGTTCGTTTGTCGGGGAAATTCGCCGCATAGATGAAATGGCACGTCGAGTACGATTTTTCTCTTCCCAGCTCGCAGCCGAGAAGGATGTCGTTCCTATTCGTCCCCTATACGACTCTGCGCCGTTGATTACCGTTGGTCCCCGTGCTGCTCAGACTCTGGACGACCTGGATGTAACCCTCACCGAACACGAGTCAAGGCTCATCAAGATGAATGACAGCTACCGAACGCTGAGCACACGGACGAAGGAGCTCATTGAGGCTCGTCATGTATTGCGGGAGACGGCGGTGTTCTTTGAAAAGGTCAGACTCCCATGTCAGTTTCGTGGAACAGTGATTAAACAGTGCGAATAGGCTCAAGTCCAGCAAAGTGACATCCGCACCTCCTTCGACGAAAGTTCGGCTCCTTTGCTTCAGCACGACGATCGAGAAAATCAGTTCTCGACCAGTTCCAACATCCCGTTCGACTTGGAGTAGGTTTTAATTGGTTTTAGCACTGATGTTTTGCTCATGGGAGACGTCAGGTTTGTCACTGGCACACTTGATCGTGCACGGATTCCCACATTCGAACGAGTTCTATGGCGAGTACTTCGTGGAAACCTGTACATGAACCACACCGATATCGTTGAACCGTTTGTGGACCCTGCAACTGGCGTTGAAACTCGCAAGAACGTATTCATTATTTTTGCTCATGGAGATGCCTTGTTAGCCAAAATACGCAAGGTCGCCGAGTCTATGGGTGCCACGCTGTACCCCATTGATGCCAACGCTGACAAGCGCGCTGAGGCTCTCCGGGAGGTCACCGTGCGTCTGGAGGACCTTCAGACAGTTCTGTACAATACCGGCTCGAATCGCCGAAGTGAACTCGTCAGGATTGGCGAAAGTCTGCGGAGCTGGCAGGACGTAGTCAAAAAGGAGAAGCTCATCTATGAAACATTGAATTTGTTCAACTACGACGTCAGGAGGAAAACGCTCATTGCGGAAGGATGGGTGCCTACGAGGGATATCACCACAATCCAGCTGGCGTTAAGGCATGCAACTGTAAGTTTTTAGACCATGCCGACGTGATCTAAAGCTAAATGTACATGCAAAGGAGGAGTCTGGCACCAGCGTCCCGCCTATCCTTCATGAGCTTCGTACTAGCAAGACGCCACCAACTTTCAACCGCACTAACAAGTTTACGGAAGGCTTCCAAACCATTATGGACAGTTATGGAATTGCTGCCTATCAAGAAGTTAACCCAGGCTTGTTCGCCGTTGTTACTTTCCCCTTCTTGTTCGCGGTCATGTTTGGTGATATCGGTCACGGCTTCATTATCTTCTTTGCTGCGCTGTACATGATTTTGGCGGAGCGGAAGCTTAGCAAAGCGGACCTCGGAGAGGTATGCGCTATTGATTTCACTGTTCTTCCCTAACTGAAATATAACGATAATAGATTTTCGGACAATTCTTCTTGTAGGTGAACCTCAAATTGAGGAAGTTCCTATATTAACCTTGTTTTCAGCGGGCGATACATCATCCTTCTGATGGGAATGTTCTCAATTTATACTGGGTTTATGTACAACGACATCTTCTCCAAGTCCCTCCATATCTGGCGCTCGGGTTGGGACTTCCCAGATGACGGAGAAGGTAAAATCACCGGCGTGTCTAACGGACATATGTATCCTTTCGGTCTCGATCCTGGCTGGCACGGTGCAGACAACAACCTCGTGTTCGTCAATTCCTACAAGATGAAGATGTCTGTTGTTCTCGGTGTCATTCACGTTGGTATTTCCCTTGTTCATCACAGCCCGTTCTGAAGGAATTTTCATAGATGACGTTCGCACTGTGCTTGCAGCTGCCAAATCATTTCAAGTTTAAACGACTGGTCGACATCTATGCGAACTTTGTACCTCAAATTATCTTCCTACTCTCCATCTTTGGTTACCTTGTCATTTGTATCCTGTACAAGTGGTCCGTTGATTGGAGCAAGTCATCATTGCCGCCGCCCTCGCTCCTGAACATGCTCATTAACATGTTTTTGTCACCGGGTAACATCAAGCCAGGTACTCAGTTGTATCACGGCCAGTCTGTTGTACAGGTCATCCTATTGCTCATGGCATTGGTGTGCGTTCCTTGGTTGCTCATCACCAAGCCGTATCTGGCCTGGAAGGAAATGAAACAGATCCAAGGTCAAGGTTATGTTGGGTTGAACCACGATGCGCCAAGAGATAGCTCCGATGATATTTTGGAAGGGGAGGAAGAAGGTAACGGACGGGCCATCGCCGAAGATGCTGAGGAAGAACACGTACGTTTCATAGCTTGTCCAGCGAAGAGCTGATACTGATAGCGTCTTTCTATGCAGGAGCAACATGACTTTGGTGAAGTTGTCATTCACCAAGTGATCCACACCATTGAGTTCTGTCTCGGCTGCATCTCGCATACTGCTTCGTACTTGCGTTTGTGGGCATTATCGCTTGCGCATGCGCAGTTATCTGAGGTGCTCTGGGAGATGACGATCGAAGGCTTCTTGAACCCGAGCGGCATCTTTGGTTGGATTGGTCTCATCATCATTGCGGCTATGTGGTTCTCCTTGACCATCTTCATTCTGTGTATCATGGAGGTTGGTTGTGTTCCATGGGAAGTGTCGATGATGTGTGCTAATGCGATACTATTTTCAGGGTTTGTCGGCGTTCCTTCATGCCCTTCGGTTGCATTGGGTAGAGGCGAACAGTAAGCACTTTGAAGGTGGAGGTTATGTACGTGTCAATTTTTCGCGCTTTTGGTCTTGTGTGCTGATGATTCGGTTCAGGCATTTACTCCTCTCAGCTTTGCGAGTGTCGAATTCAAGGAGTGATCGTAGCTAACCCATACCCTTTAATACCTTACTGTCAATCGAGTATAGTTGTTCGTTCATCCTTTTCATACCGTTTGTGCTTTGCGAATCATCATAGAGAAAGTAAGTTAGAAAGAGAGAGCCGAAAACACGGGTCCAGGGGATCCCAGAGGGCAGTAAGATTTAAGGGCCAAAGGCTTCAATGCGATACCTACCACGGAATTCCATAGTCGTGGCAATGTTTGGCCTACATGACGTCATCAAACAACGCCCAATCAGGTCGACGTGGAAGCTCGGTGCAACTATACAAACTTGAATTTTGGCTCTATAGGCCATTTGCTTGGCCTTCATTTCTTTAGTCCCGGGCAATATGCTCTCACTATGCACCCTTATGTCTCTTCTCTTCTATCTCTTCAGCCTTCTGGACGCTAAGTCAAGCACTGGCAATTCAGTACTCGTCGTTCTTGATCCTGCTGCGCAAAGCCAGTTCTCGATATTCTTCGACGGCCTGAAAGGTGCGTACTCTTGAGGTGGAAATATTCTTGTTACCTGAGCTTCAGCCAGATTCTGGATATGAACTTACCTTCCGTGGCCCAAAGGAGGAGGGACCGCTTCTAATTGAGGACGGCATTGCATCGTTCGCCCATGTTATCGTCTTTGCCTCCGACACCAAAAGTACGTGTCAATATCAGTAAAACTCGACGAAGACTTACCCGTTCTAGACTTTGCAAAAGACATCACACCTCAAAACCTCGTCCAGTTACTCTCACTGAACACCAACCTTTTGATCGCGCTTTCTCCAAAACAAACCATGCTTTCCTCGCTTGCGGCCGAGTTTTCTCTCATCCTTCCACCTCCTGGTACTCCCCTCATCTCCCACTTCCCCGAGAGGGATGAACCCGCCAATGTCATTCCCATCTCAGTGCCTGCAGATTCACCTCTGCTGACTCCCAATACACCACCAGTATGGTTCTCTGGCATTCCATTCGCGCGTGGAAACAACCCGCTCATCGTTCCCATCTTGAACGCCCCGGAAGAAAGCTTTGCTGCAGACTCTGACAGTTCCAGCGATACACTAGCCGACGCCGCAGAGAAGGGTGGTGAAGGACTCTGGGCAGGTAGCCAGCTTGGTGTCGTATCTGGTTTCCAGGCGCTGAGCGGCGCGCGTGTGACCTGGGTTGGTGGTGTGGATTTGTTCCGTGACAAGTTCGCAAACAAAGAAATATCCAAGTACGTGTATACGTTCTCACTTTCCACTGCATGATTCTCATTTTGACGAAGGGGCGTGAAATCTGGCAACATGCAGTTCGCGCGTGATGTCGCTGCTTGGACTTTCCAAGAATCTTTGGTGCTGCGCATCGAGGATGCTGACCATTATATCGCGAATACTACGATTTCCAAAGAACAATATACCATCAACGACCCTATTGTCTACTATGCGGCCATTTCTCGATACAATCCGAAGGAGGATGCATGGGAGCCGTATTCCGACATCAAGGATATGCAACTCGAATTCACTATGCTGGACCCGCATATCCGCACTACTCTACCACCCGTAGCAGGAAAACCAGGCATTTACTCCACACAATTCCGCGCGCCTGACCGACACGGTGTGTTTAAGTTTGTAATTGACTACAAGCGCAAAGGGTATGTGTTTCATTTTGACTGGAATTATGGCAGCGTCTAATGTCTGTTGCTGAATAGATGGACGCACCTTCATCATTCAATCACTGTAGCTGTCGTGCCGCCACGGCATGACGGATACCCGCGATTCCTCGGTGCAGCTTGGCCATACTACGCTGGTGCTATAAGCACGAGCGTCGGGTTCTTCTTGTTCTCTGCGATGTGGCTCGCTGGTGATGTACGCCAGTCGAAGACAAGTAAATCCCAAAAGACAGAATAGATGGTACGGTCAATGTATTTAAATTGCGTGCGAATTGAGCTGCTTTTTTTTCTGGGTAAAGTGTGCGCGACTTTCGCGAAACAAAGGTGGGCGCCACATGTCGTACTGTGAAACTCAGGCGTAAACTTAAATCGACATCGGATATCGTTCCGACATTTCATCCAACCAGATTTCTCTGGGAGCAAGTCAAGTCGTAGTCGTGGGTAAAAGAATAAAGGTTTAGACTTGCAGCACAAACTATACGCCTAGGACTCTCAGTATTCGGCCGGCCAGGCTCGTATGTCGCCAGTCGTTGGAGGCTGTTGATTGCCGAATCGAGCCCTGACATGCCAACGACCTAGCGCGTCGACGCGTCTCTCGGTTCCGACCAGTCACCTTGTGTCAGTCTCCAAGTCTTAATTGAGGCCGAAAGTTGTTTGTTTATTCGAACCATCACCACCTTTCACCGTCGCGTTTACTTCTTTCACACAGTTCTCCCTTGCAATGGCTGCTGTGCCTCCATTTCTTCACGGTCCGGGCATGACTCCAGAGGTATTCAAATGCCTCGAGGTCTGGTGGGCATCGAAATACAAAGACGGGCACGATGCGTCTATCAAAGACTTTGAGCAACTCAAGGTGCGACGCGTATTTCTTCTCAAAGACTAGATTCTCAGTTCTCTATAGGTCGCCTACGGTTTCCAGGCGAACAGCCTGAAGTCTTGCCAAGCAAATAACGCACGCCTCAACTCAGCGATCGCTACTTTGCAGGCGGAAGCTAAACTGTTGAAGAAACAAAATGAACTTCTGCAAGGGAGCATTCACCAGGCTAAATGGCACGAACAGCAGGCAAGAGGCGAGGTTCTAGCGTTGAAAAAAGATAAGCAAGATCTCGTGGAACGCTTGGCTGCAATAGAGAAGAAAACGACCGGCCTATCAAAACAAGTATGTCCCCCGTCCCCGTATCATACAGGTGCACGTTTAACGCTATTCCAAGATCGACACCTTCCGAGTCCAGGCGAAGGCCCTTGCGGCGCAAGCTCACCAACGCCGACTCGAAATTGTGTCTCTGGCGTTCGGAACAACATGTTTCGTCGAAGATTCCTTCGTGCCCACTCGTGTGGTATTCAAAGAACCTGCAGAAATAATGTCTACCCTACCTTCTGTACGCATTTAGTCACGTCGTGTATTCGTATACTGACTTTACACCATCTAGGAACCCGCAGAGTCTCTGCAGTAAGGAACTTCTTGAATTCGCCTAGCAGCTAGACCCTCAGTGTTTCTCACAGTATATTATTCCTTCCTGGCCTTCCTCAATCTATGCCTCTGCACATCCCCAGGGTAGCTCAGGCAGGATACTGGTTTCACCCCCCCGTTACGTTGCCCAAAGGAACACCCGTAGAACTGGTCGTGGAGGCAGAATCTCATGAGGTGCGTAGAGCTCAACTGACTCCGATGCCTAACGTCTGTTGATCTCTCTTTAGTGGCTATATCTGGGTCGCTACCTCAGTGCACCCTTTGATGGCGAGGAAATGAAGCTATCCGAATGGATCGAATTAGATGCTCAGGCACGCTTCCTTGGGATCACAAACGCTGGTTCGCATACTGACAGATGAAATGTAGACTAAAAAGACCTATTGCGTCACCATCAGTCAGACTCTGAAGGAACAAAACGATCAACAAGTCTCGTGTGTCGACATACACCGACAGCTAGATTCGGGGGAGTACGCTGCTCCTTGTTATAGCTTACAATGTGTTGGATACGACTTGGCGTTGCAAGACGCTTTCATTAAAGCGTCAACTTCGCTTCGTAACCAATCATTGGCTATAGAGCACGATTCTTCTCCAACCAGTTCAAATCCTCCTCCTCCTCAGATTCCGCTGTCCACGAGAAGCACAGTGATACCAGAGCATTGCAGCCTGCATGCTCCTGTACCATCTATGACCATGGGCCCATTCATGTCAAGATTCATGTCAAGGTGGCGCGTCAATCTGGATAATGCGGGACGAAGCCGTCCCACAGGGCCTCTTTCTCAGAAAAAGCGCTGCCATTTGGATGATGAGGCAAGTGCGACGAAGAAGGCGCGAGTAGATGATCCACTAGCCGCCGACGGTCGAGGAAAAGAAACGTAGGTCTCTTCAATGGGTAGGACTTTTCTCTTCCACTTTGGTCGGCAACGATGTCGTTGCTAAAGATGCCTTCTGATTGTAATGTAATATTTCACTGTTCTGCCCTGAGCCCTCATGCGGATTGAGGCGATGACCTCTGCACTGCCATATCCCAAAAGCTTCTAGCCTCACACTTCCGCCATACTATGTAAAGGCAGTTGTATAACCGCAGGCAGCTATTAATGAAATCTCTTTGTGAATCATATGTCGCTTATAATAATCCTCACAAAACCAGCAAGGTGCCTGTCCTTGGACTGCCTCCCAGCACATGCCGTAGACGAAGATGGGAAATGGTCAAAAATGATCTCGGAATGGCACTGTACTAGCGTTACGGATACGATCGCGACAATACAGGCCATAGACCATATGAAAACTCTTGCCCGCGTACGATACAGCTGAGTCTTGACGAAAGCCCCATACCGTGTCTGTACCATGGTCTGTATACAGACAGTTTGGCGACAATAATGAATATCTGGAGTCAAAATGTGATTGGATCTCCATCAACATTATATATACTGGATGCCATTGTCCCCAACGTCCTCCACGACCATACTTCAACCAAACGAATACGGCAGTATTTATAGGTATTTATGTCGTCGAAGGTTGTATGGACCGGCCCGGGTATCCGTATCCACCATCCGTATTCAATGTCGTGTGGATAGTGATACGTGTACATGCCCACAAAAATCAACCGCAGTTATCCTGCGGACCTGTCGTAAGTCATAGGCCTTACAAAATGAAGTGGAGTGGTACTGCGGAGAACGGACAACGATAAAATATCAACCGCAGCTAGTATCCCGCTAACCCAACAGACAGTGACAGAGGCTGCCGCTGGTTTTTCTGGATACTCAAACATGTTCCAATTTTGCACTGAATAATTAAGTACTACTTTCAGTGTGTCGGGGCGAAGCCTACTGAGACTTGAAACACACCATTTATATGATTCTAACTCTGGAAATATGTGACATAGGTGTTGAGGTGATGGCTTACAATCCGAAGACTGCACAGAGATGCGAGCGTGATCGGATATATATAAGTGCCCGCAACCCCATCTTGCATCGGGTTGTATGGCGTCGCTCCAAGACCAACACGACTCTAGGGAAGTTCATTAGAATGAACGTTAAGTGTTTCGAGATACCAGTAATAACCCAATTCGATACCTTCGAAACCACACCGTCTTTTTATAACCAGTATTGTCCATACTGACCTACGACATCAAACACTTGCGGGCGATGCATGTCCTCAAGAAGACTTGAAACTGTTTACGGTCGATATGTGTATTTCTCTGAGCATCAAACGTAGGAGATTCGTGAACTACACGTCGTAATTCATGTTCTACCAGAATGCCGTATGAAACTGCGCTCTGGCACTAGGACTTTTTGGTCAGCTTCTCGTGTCAGTAGAGCCAATGATTATTTTTCTGCAGACCCTTTTTAGGACCTGCAGCCTTGGCTTGGGTATAAAAGACGTTCCAAGTCTGCTATGGATCCTCACCAAGCTTTCCTTTGAGCTTTTCTTCTATCCTCGTTCTTCGCTCTTCGACAACCTTTCAAATATGACTCGTTTCGGCTCTCTTTTCGTCATCCTTGCGGTCGCCGTCGGTCTTTCTGCAGCAGCTACCTTGCTCTGCTAGAGACAACGATGGCTCCCCACTCCCCAGCTCGTCGGAGGACGGCAATTCGGTAAGACCATCCATCTTGTAGGGTTACAGAGCATTTCGCTGACTGTAACACAGGGAGGTAGATTCATCTCCGGTCGAGCGTCTGCTCCAAAAGCATCTCAGCGGAGAGGGGCACCTGAGACTGTTTCTGCCCCCAAGGTATGGCACTTTCCTTCTAATGCAACTGCAGTGAGAGATTGACGTGTCGTCAATGTAGAGTAGCATCACCCCCGCTGTCGATCTCGATCATTGGTCGCGGCGGCTACAACAAGTGATTATGAAGTAATTGCGAGCAGAATGCAGCCTGAGTAATGCAATGCTTTTATCAGCCCGGGGTTCCTTTCAAAGTGTGATAGATTATTTTCGAGTCGGAGAAAGTTCATAGTTTTTAGGTATCTGCTTAGTGCTTTATTCAAACTTCTCGACAAATTTATAATTTTTCGACATACTCTGCATCTCCTCTGGGTTTTCATCGGAAGCTTATGCCACCCTAGACGGTTCGTTATCCAAATAGGCATGTACGTCAACACCGATACCATGGTTACTGGGCAGACATTTCGGTTTCAGTCTCTTGGGAACAGGATAAAATAAATACAGATTCCAGCTATTTGAAGCGCCAGAAAGGCCATCTTGGGACGACTCCCGGTAGAGAGCACTGCTCATCAACAGTTTTCGGGACGTCTGAATCAAACTCGTCTCGGAGCTTTATTGCTGTCAATGAATGGGATCAAGACAAAACCCACTGTTTTCTGCCTCCAAAATCCGACCTTGGAGATAGCTTCTGAAACACTGCTGTCTTCCGTGTCAATCATACATTGCACGGATATACTTCCGCCTAGTGCAGCACGCAGTTGCTTTACTGCAGCATCGGTGACTTCATCCTTTGTTTGTGATGAAAGCATAAGCGACACAAGCGTAGCAAACGGTTGATTCTAGCCATTACTTAGCACGAGTACCGGCAGGATTGAATCGGTCTCACCTGCAGCTCCAATTCCCTCAACTGTTCGCTATCACATTGTGACCGTCCCTCCATCTTTGTGAGGTTGGATGGGGTTGCCAACGACTACTGTATCGGTGTGGGCTTCTTCGGCGACAAGGAGGTCAACCTTTTCACCTTTTCGCGTTTGGGTGTGGATACATTTATGTATTCCTTGATGACCTGTACAGTATCTTCCAGTTCGACGTGTTACGACCGTCTAGGAGATTTCTGGTCGCAGATTCGACTCTTCCTCCAGCTTCAGAAGGGTTACTGAGGCATTGTAAGTGCCAGCATGTTTAACAAGCTTGGCTGATTGACGTAAAGTGCTTTTCAAGCCAGACATGAGTATCGTGAGTATTCAAGCGAAGAAACCAAGAAGAAACTTGAAAGTTGAAGAGCGTGATTGGTGGCCGTCTGAGACACGTGAAAGTCATGTGCAAAGCAAAAATCGCCAATGCCGAGTCCCGAGTCGAGTCTACATTTGTACTTTCTGCTGCTGTATTTACTCTATAACTATATTCTCGTTCATCGAAGTGATCACAGTCATGACATCTGCATCGCCATATCCCAAAATCCCTTTTCCAGCTTCGTACACTTTCGCCACACTTCACACCAATCTTTATACCTAGCAGGCGAAGGCGGGTCAGCCATGGCGCACGCCTCGATAGTTTCTGTGTACATAAATGTCAGTATACGGCGAAATTGTTGCACTGTCGTGAACCCACCCATTCCCAGTTTAACCGCTTTCTGATAGTCAGGCCCCGAATAGTCCTCTATCCAATGAAGGTATGGATTTCCTTCGAGCTTTGCTGGAGAACCTGGCTTGGCTGCCTCCTTCTTGATCCAGAGTCCGACTTCTCCGTACCCCAGGAGACATGCGAGCAAAGCCATCAGGAGCTTTACCCTATCACCTATAACGTGCCATCAGATTGAACGGGGCTGCAAGACTGTGTTGCACCATACCCTGTAACCCGATATCCAATAAATAACCTCCATAGGCCATTGTCGCCGCCGACTCTTCCGTCGATTCCAACTCATCCGCGGTGATACCAAAACGAGCGCAGAACGCAGTGTGATTTCCGATCTCGTGCAAAACGTTGAGTATCGTCTGTGTTGCTGACTCTATCGCGGAGAAAGTCGTTGATTTTGCGGCGAGGAGACTAAGCAAGTAAGATACCAAAATCGACATCAGAGGGTATTAGGCTCACCCATAGGCACGAGCATAGTATTTGAGATAGTGATAATCTTGTCTGTAAGAGGAAAGTCGTTAATAAGCAGTGAGATCAGGATGAACGTACTTGACGAAATGCACAAAATGTTCTCGCCCCAAGATACCTTGAGCAAGCTGTTTGACGAAATCGTGTTCCACGTAGTCCTTCCATATACCAATATTCTCTTGAATGAGAAATTTGGTGAACGGATACGGATTACTAGGAGTAGACCTAAAAGTACATATCCTCAGCAGGAAGAAAACTTGCGGGTCAAAATAAAGTACCTAGGTATTGATATCTTAGTGATGGAATGAAGGTGATTCAGTGGGCCATGACCCTTCCCAAAGGGGACAGCGTTCTCAATACCCATATGGGTATACGAAGCGCCCACTTTCGTGGCTTCAAGAACTATAAGGGTATGTGAATATAGAAGGAGGATGCCGCCATGCACAAATTCACTCACGAGACAATCCCTGCGCCAAACCACAAGCGATAGCTGCACTTAACGTACATCCTGTCCCATGTGTACTGGTAGACTCGATTCTCGGCCTCGACAGAATAGTGACAGAACCGTTATTCTCATAAAGCATGTCAACGACAAGTTCCGTTCCCGAAAGGTCCCTCCCGACCTGCAGGATCTCCATGTTTTCGCCGAAAAGGCCGTCCCGGACAACACTAATTTCAGGATATGCAGAGGATACTCGCTCTACATCTGTGACAGTTGCCGTTACGTGTCCTCCCTTCAGCAAAATCGCTTTGGGACCCGGACTGAACTGGGTGAAAAAATCCTTGCAAGCCTGATACATATCCTCTAGAGTACTGATACCGGGGTAGGCTCCAGGTCTTCCGTGAGCCAACAACAACTCGGCCTCAGATTTGTTTGGTGTAATCAGTGTCGCGAGAGGAAAAAGCTCGTTGATCATAACGTCTATCGCATCCGGATTCAAAAGGGAGTGTCCCGAAGTCGAGACGCAAACCGGGTCACACACAAGGGGAGGAACATTCCCTCCGTAGTGCGTCTTCAACGCATGAACAACAGCTTTGGTTATCTCTGCATCGAAGAGCATCCCAGTCTTTAGCGCGTCCATGTTGATATCCTGGAGTACAGATAAAATCTTTTATGACTCGGTAATTTCAACGCGTTTCCATGATTCAGCACACTCACCTGTCGGACAACAAACAGCGGGGGCGAAGGAAAGACATCCTGAACGCCTACGGTATTCTCTGCAACCAAGGCCGTAATAGCACTGGCTCCGTAGCATCCGTTGGCAGTGAACGTCTTGAGATCCGCCTTGAGCAGTAAATATAATGTCAGTTGCAATCAGCGCTTCACCGGCGCAGCCATACTTGAATACCAGCTCCACCGCTGCAGTCTGAGCCTGCAATGGTCAGCACCGCTCGCTGCTGCATCATGATTCGAAATCAAGTTCAGCGACCTTTATCTTTTTCCCGCCCAGCAGGCCGGACCGGACCGCCGCCTTTACGCCATAATTTTTCAACAGCACACAGTCATGTCCTCGCCAGCGTCCTCTCCCTCTTCCTCGCCTACACCTGAGCCAGTACCCAAGCAAACGACCAAAAAATCCAAAGACAAGGGGAAGACCAAGGCCCAAGTCGACGACCACGGGAAGAATGAGGGCACCGACCCGAATTGGGCATACCAACCGCCAGAGGGAGTTGTCCTACAGGAGAATGCAGACAGCGGGGAATTTGATTGGGACTCATTGAACGATGACGAGGAGCTGGAATTGTGGCTTATACGCGTCCCAGAGAATGTACGCTAATTCTGTACTTCTTCGCGCCTTTCCCAAATCTCACCTTTTCTCGGTCTAGATGAAGATCAAATATCTAGAAAACGTTACCATTGAAATGCCGCAAGGCTCTTCGAGCGCGAATATAGGGAAAATCTCCCGGAAATCGCATTCTTACGACGTTTGGAACGTTGGCAACGATGGCGGACCATTTGGCGGGGATGAAGTTGGTGACCTGGAATGTCTTCTTCCTCGGAAAAGCAAAAAGGATGATATGTATCTCGGTACGACATTTTCGCTAGTGATGATACATAACAACTTAAAAGTCGGTACCCAGCTCCCCGGTCCATAGCGCGACGTTTGGTGATCTCAGAAACAGCTGTAGTCCCTACGACAGCAGAAAACCAGGCGGACGAACCATACATAAACCCTCCTCGCCCATCGTACCCGAAGGAACTACTAAAACACTCCTTCAAACCATATGGTTCTAACATGAAACAGCCTACAGCTGATGATGTGATGGTGATAGATGAACAGGTAGCGGAGGAACCAGTGCAGGAAACAGCAAAGCAGGCAAAGGGTAAAAAACGGAAAGACGATGGCACAGGAGAGACGAAAAAAGCGAAAAAGTCAAAGAAATAATCGTCACCTTGTTAATTGTACATGCGTACAGCAGTCGTCATACTAAGAAAAGCCGGTGATCATGGATGCAAAAAGTTACAGCGCACATGCAGTGAAATAATAAGATATAATGAGTAACGGAAAGAAACCTCGCACCGCGAAAGAAAGAAACCAGCATCATCCGACATCCATAACATCTCTAGCCTTCCCTTTACCTTTAACGTTACTAGTCCGTGTTGTTTGCGTGGGCATATTCGCCAACGCAGCTTGAACCTCCTCCTCCACACCCTCATAAATACTCATCTTTGGCACCCCCCAAATCCTCCCAGGACTCTCCTCCTGCTTCTTCTCAAACACCTTCCCCACGGTATCCACCCACTGTCTCCGCGTATCCACCAACTGCTTCAGCTGCTTGGCCACCACTAAATGGTTCTTCTCATCCGGACCCAATCCCAAGGCTGCCGGACAAGGAGGTAGCGCCATCGGATTCGTCTCATCAATCGACTTCTTCTTCTTCTTCCCCAGCTTAGGCATATCCTTACCCTGCAGCTTGCTATACGTATTACTGATGTTCTTGTCTATCGACTCGCGCAGCTCAACGTATTCTTGGTACCCCAAACGATCGCGCGCGATGTCTACCAGACGGGCCTTGCGAGCCTTGTTCGTAGCTACCACTCTGCGAAGCTCACGCTGAGCGTGTCGTAGGGCAGTAGCTATAGGATCATCCACTTTCTCAGTGTAGTCTGGCTGATATAGATGTTAGTAGATCACAAGAGCACAGTGGCCATACTCACAATCTCGTTGAGCAGACCATGATATCGCATCGTATCACGTATTCGCGTCTCCAGGTCAGACACACTCAATTTCTCCTTTCGTGCAGCAGCAGCTCCACTCCCTCCAGGCCTCCCTTCCATCGCATCTTCGGCGGCCTTCACCCCCTTCCACTCATTGTTCTCCATCGGTAGCAACGCACTAATCACCCGCTCAGTCAACAAGCCATGCCCTTTCTCCTCCACAAGACACTCTGTCTCCATCAATGTCGACGGATCCCACTTTGGCACAGGTGGCTGGAAGACCTCCGGTGGTGCATCCTGATCGTTAGGAGGGAAAAGTCCCGTGTCCTGGTCCTCCCAAACGGCGGTGTAATGTCGCCCTAACTTGGGCATAACGTACGGCTCAACCTCGTCTCCAGTATGCTCCAGAAATCCAATGTCCTCTTCTCGTATGTTCCGTATCCATGGTTCGATGTAGGTGTAGAAGGTCGTGGTCAAGGTTTGAGGTGGTTGCTTGAGTTTACTGAAATCATCCGTTACATCGGTAGGTTTACTAGGTCCTGGTATCGGAGGCGGTGGTATCGGTGGTCGTTGAGGTAATAAAGAGTTAGATTGAGGTACGGTAAAATCGGGGCCCGTTTGGGGCTAAAAAATATCAACGAGAAGTCAACCATGAACACTCTGAACTACCTTGCTGGGGACAAGAGGAACAGATTTCTGAGCTTTCGGTGGAGGAGGAGGAGGAGGATGGTTGATTACGGGTGGCGTACCCTTCCGGGGTCGCTGAGAAGCTGATAACGGGAAGTCAGTTGTATGAGGATATGGAGAAGACTGTGGCATACCTGATTCAAGGTCGCTTTCATCGTATTCCCGTTTCCTTTTCTTCTTCTTCTTGCTCTCGTCAAAGGCACTAAGTATCAATCATAAGATAATCCAGACAACGAAGACCAACGAAAGAGCCACCTTCGAGGGTCCAACGAAGATCGTGAGGAAGACGGACCGGCTTGCAATGGATGAGAGGATAGTCTAGGTTTCCCAGAAAGCGATGCCGACAGCCTAGGTTCGTCTGCGTCGGGAAGGGGAGTGACTACAGATGCACCATCCCAAGGAAAATTTCGCAAGTGTGGCGTATAGCAGGACCGGTGAATTTCGCAAGAGAACACCCATAAGATATTCAAGACGAAAGGCGTAGGGTAGCAGTTGTTGTAACAGCAAAGGTACACATTCAAGTCAGATATAAATAGAATAGAGCAACAAGTGAGAATACAGGGACGCGTAGGGATGAAAAACACGTACAGTCGCGTTCTCGCTTGACTTTCTCGATGGATTTGGCCTTTCCTTTCTCAATCTCCTTCATACGACGCATGGATTCCTCGATAGTCCGCATGTCGTCGCTCGCCTTTTTGCTTCGCTCGATGAGCTTTTGACGCAAAATTTTGAGCTCAGACTCAAGGCCCTTGAGATCGTCGGTCGGTGGTACCGCATCTGAGGGACTCTTGAGCAAGGAAGAGCGTAACGGAGGCGGCGAAGCATAAGGAGTAAGCTTGGAGTACATCTCGGCGTCACGGCGCCCCCCGCGAGGTCGGTAATGCCACCAAGGCAGAAAACAGCCCTGAATCCAAATAAATGGTTCCCAGATGTCGCTGAGCGAACCAAAAGGTCGCTACGGAGAACGCGAGGAGTGGTGATTCAAGTACAAGTTCAAGGTGGGAACAGGTTTTCGGATCACGCGTCTGATTACTTCAGAGTTCCCACGGCTCCCTTGCCTCTTGCCTCTAAAATTAAAGTATGGCTCCGACCAACGACGACGACGATATCGAGCTCGCCAACCTCCCGACGAACGAGAGCAAGGAGGAATACGACCACGATGAGGACGATGAGAACGAATCCGATAATGAATACGATGACGAGGGCAATAGAGCACTGTTGGGCGGCCATTCGCCGCGAACTGGGCCGATGAGTGGGCCTAGAGTTCAACTGTGGCAGCAAATAAAAAACATCGTCATCGAGGTTCGTCGCGCTTGTGCTTTACATAAACTCTATCTCAGTAATTGCAGGGCGCCCCAACATTACTTTTCACTACAATAGGCTTGCTTTTTACAGGAGAATTGCTGGACCAAGTCTCTGTTCGTCACATTTATCCTTTGATCATTCACGCGATTCAATATTGGCCTTGACAGAGGTGGAGAGCCATGGTGGAGGTCGACCAACTCATAATGATTATCCCTGTCGTGCTTAACCTCAAAGGGAACCTCGAAATGAATCTATCAGCACGGTTGGGCACCGCTGCAAACATGGGCGAACTTGATGACAGCTCTGTGCGACGGAAAATGATTATTGGGAACCTTTCTCTACTGCAAGTCCAGGCCACAGTGGTTTCCTTTGTGGCCGCTTGTGTGTCTCTAGTGCTGGGTCTGATAATCCCCCGGACGACCGAGGAAGCCCCAGCCTCATCAGGGGCAGTGAGCGCCTTGTTCCTACACGCCAGACGTCCACGGCCAACATTACCTCCAGTGACCGACCGAAAATCCGGACTACCGGTGTTGGTAACGTGTCGTCACCAGTGTTTGACCCCTCTGATGGCCTATGTTTAGATTTATCATGGTTGCTTCTACAGCCATGTCTGCCGCTTGCCTATCCAGTATCATCCTGGGCTCATTCATGTGCGGACTCATCGTGTTATGCAGGTATTATGGGCGTGATCCTGGTGAGTACTTTCTTCACTCATATGGATGCGAGGAGTAAGCCATCGCGTCTTCATGGGGCTGCACTCCTGGCTCGTCGCTTTTTTGAAACGAGATCCATCCCATCTGATTCACAGCGCTAATGAATTCGCAGACAACATCGCTCCCCCAGTGGCGTCCTGTCTTGGAGACCTAGTCACCTTGGTCCTCATCGGAGCAGTGTCCACGATTCTCATTCGCTTCCTTCACACGCCCGTGCCTTTAATAATATGCGCCATAGTCGTACTCTCCGCGATCTCATGCGGCGTGTCGACGCGTCGAAACTCCCACGTCCGAGACCTTATAGGACAAGGCTGGTCACCTCTCTTTGGGGCCATGATCATCAGCAGCGCAACAGGTATTGTACTTGACCTCTTCGTGAGTAGGTACGAAGGCTTTGCTCTCCTCGCCGTCGTTATCAGCGGTCAGTTTGCACTCTCTTTCGCTTTAGCCGAGGCTCTCATAGGTTTCTCAGGTTTACCGGGAAGCGTGGGTTCAATCTTTGCATCCAGACTATCAACAGCTCTGCATGCAGCCGCGCTGTCAGTGACTCCCAGCACATTTGCCAACCGGCCATCGGAGCCTAGTGCCCGAATGGTTATGATCACACTCATCCTTGTTACAATCCCTGTGGAAATCATATTTCTGTCCATCCTCAGATTATTGGGTTGGCTAACCCTCCCATTCGTCTTTGTTGCGTTCTCGGTGGTATTCTTCTGCTGCGCTGTACGTTTTCATGTTCAATACGCGCTATGTCCCCATCTCATCCCCTCCGATATAGGTTACAGCTTCTCTCTTCATTGCTGGAGCTTTGACCAACTTTCTGTGGTCGAAAAACCTCGATCCGGATATGTATGCGCTGCCTATACATTCCGCTCTGATGGATTTGATAGGCCAGCTGCTTCTGGTCTTCTGTTTCGAGATTGTATCGCTGTTAGGCGTGCACGTTCGTTCTAAGATGCCCTCGACAGGTTAAATTTTTATCGGATACTATTAAGATACTCTTCGGGTTTGTATCATAGGATACTCTAGACAAAAGTACTCGTAGATTTAATCATTTATCAGTAGCGGGGATCCGTGATATATTTCAAAAGGCCCCAATGATGGGAATGAGTCTTTGAGTTGAGTAATGTATTGGTATTATGGACCAGACAGACGTACGACGATTTTTGGGAAGGGCTAGATATGACGCGGTGGTGTCACTGTCGGAAGAGGGATAAAGAGAAGAATATCCATTTTTTGCTATATTACATTCACTGCTCATACGGTGTTCTTTTCTGTTTTGTAAGATTAGGTCTAGTGCCATAATCAGATTCGTCCTTGCACGTTAGCGTGGAAGTGTCGACCACGGAAGACAGACAAGCCATGGCACCGGAACTTCATGTCTTGAACGCTAAGTGCACATCAACCAGCTAATAGGATGCTAGCTACTTGTTCATGCTCACCTAGTCTCGTGTATCTTCATATCGAACTTCCGAAACAAGTTTGCGAAAACCAAATACAATTCGCACCAGGCAAGGCTGCACGACAACTGATAAGCAGCTAAACAAGGCTTATGATCACTCACTTGACACCTATGCATGAGCGAGGCCCTCTCGAAAACGGGACCAAATATTTCTCCAGGCTCTGAGAATCTTGCTGAAGCCACCTCTCTGGCTGAAACGCGTGCGGTTGGGGGAAGATCTCCTCGTTCATGAGGACGAACGTGCATCCCACCCCAACTGCGGTCTTTATTGGAAAAAAAATTGATGGCAGTTGAAGTAATCAATAAGCTTGACGCACCCCAGCAGGCACCTCCACGCCGTCAATATATGTCGGTGTATCAACAATTCGAGGCATGGAGATCGGCACGCCAGCGCTCATCCTCAGCGCCTCTTTCAGGACAGCTGTCTATGAAAGATGCAAGCGTCAATCTCAAATGAGCACATAGAAGAGTGACTCACCAAGTACGAAAGTTTTTCTAGAACCTCATAAGAAATGGATGATTCTCTGATAGGCCATGCAGCAAATATTTCGGAAGTTAACTTCGCGTGTATAGCTGGATCATTGAGGACATAGAAGAATCCGACAGTCATGGCATTGGTTGTCGTATCGGTTCCTGCGAAGAGGAGATTTTGTGCCTAGTAAACGATTCAGCAGCCATCGCACCAAAACGTCGGATCTTACCTCATCTAACAACGACTTCTTCGACGGGACTTGCTGCGACTTGAGCTTCTCAGGTGATAGGAAATAGTTATAGATGGTATCATGCATAGCGTCCAGCGAACTGGGGTCTGCTAGGATACCTTCTATCTGCGCCAATAGCGCCTTGCGCAACTCAACGAATCCGACGGTCTCGGGGCTCAGCAGCTTCGTGAGCGATTCGGGTAAGTGGTGTAGGATCTGCAAGACAGGGAAACGGCGGATCGATGTTATCATGGGCATTGCCCGCTCAGAACTCAAAAGAACAGGATGAGTGAAGTCGGGACACAAGAGGGCGTCGAAAGAATGAGCATAGCAATATGCAGTGATTACATCCATCGTTGTGGATTTAAATGCAAAGTGAAGGTTAGCTGGTTTATCGGTGTAGTCTTCTAACAGACGAGCTACGAGAAGATCGACCTTTCGAGTGAATTAAGCATTGCAGGAAGCTGGTGGAAGTCTGGATAGCTCACCTTCGATTGGATAATATGCTCAAGCCTAAGAATCGAACGACGGGAAAAGAGGGGGTTGAGAACCTCCCTTCGTTTCTTCGCCAAGACTCGATCTGTGTACCCAAAAGATGATTCGTCTTCATTGAAAGCAAAATAAAACTTTGGATCCTTTGCAAACTTCACTTGGGAAGAATAAATGGTGAAGTAAGCCTGAGGTGTACTGAAATGGAGCTGGACTGATATTAAACATCGGAAACGTCGAAGTAGAATATTCGCTAACCTCCCTTGGATTTATACGAATGATAGGACCTGCAGAGGTGGTCCTATGAGTTGGGATGATAAACACGGAAAGGCCGCTTACCATATATCTTATGCAAGTTCTCCAGATGATCCACGAATGCACCATCGCAAAAGCTCTCGAAATACGTCTGATACCAGCTCGTCAACGCTGCCAATCTCGGCCCAGGAAAGGTCCTGAGGGGATGAAACAACAATCTTGAAGTAACAAGGTAGAGTACATAACCCAGGAGGGCCAGAGCGATAATCTGCAGTGATCCAAGATGAAACACCATGTTGGATGGTAAAGTAGCACACGCCGCTTTGGGCCACTGCTCCCTTTAAAGAAGAGCCGCTTATCCGCTGTGACGTTTCAATTTTATTCGGATGAGGAGTCGCGCACGTTTGGAGACGTACATCACGGAATACGCTCACTTTCATACCAAAGGAATTCGCGGTATCGCTGATGATACACCATCAGACACTCATCTTTGTAGGTCTAGATCATCATGATAGCGATAGGTCCTTTTGAGAGGCAAGCAAGGTGCTGAAAGGCCCATAAAATCCGCTGGATGTTTTCCAGACAGGAACCCATTCCCGGCGATTCTTTCTCCGGCGTTCACCTGACTCATGAGAAGCGAGGGAGCATGGAGTAACTTACGAGGAGGGGGACTAGCCCCCAAAGTGACTATCCAAAGGGGCGGAGCTTGAAATGCATACAAGCAAGAGTCATAGTATGCTCTACTGCTGGATGGCATTTCCTCCATTAGCTGCGGGAATATGCTTGTCTGGCGACGTTCATAACGTCCAGCATGTGGACATCCACTATAATTATAGCTAGAGGCATCGTGTTCAGTGAGACTTCGGAATATGTGGCGGGCGCAAACGGCAGATAGAATAGCTCAAAATCTAAATGCGAATGGTTAGTCACTGAAAGAGCTTGAACTGGCCAGCCGAAAAAGTTCACCAAGATTTCATTTGTAAGACCCTTCCGTTCTTGTGTAATTGATTGTACATCCGAATGACTACGATTTACGAGCGTGCCATCATACCTCACCTGCTGGGTATAGACTCTCAAGTACTCCGATCACTTTGCCATACACAGGGTCTTCTTTGCTGCCGAGCGCCAGTTCTGCTATCTTCCCCGCATCCTCCCTGGGAACTTTGTATGTTGCCAAGTCGGATGCGAGCCCTAGTGAAGCCACCAAGCTACAGAGGCTTAAGCACGGAAAGGGTTGAGCAGAAAAAGAAAAACAACGTACTCCTTAATCGATTTGGATACCAGCAGAACGTCCTTATCCACAGAACCCGTTGACTCGAGATGAAGGTGGGGCAGCACTTTGGTGAGCGTTTCCTTGTTTTCTTGGGATTCCGTTTGTGCTTTCATTGCCACCACGGGTGCCAAGGTGAGACACTGCCCTCGCCAATATTAGTCAATATGACAGTCATTAAAGTGCTTTGTAACTCACGGAGGTGATGCCGTGCGGTATGCCATACGCTGCTCCCAACTTATGCCCCAAGGCATGCGACAAACCCAATGGTCTGGTGCCCATCATTTAGTGTTCCATTCTTCAGTAAATTCAACTTTACTAACCCATATCTTTCCAAATTCATGGGCCAAATACTCATCCAAGACGCAAGTTGAAGCCTCTGTCGCACTTCCACGTCTTGAGGATTGGCTTTTGAGGCAGGAAGATATTTGAAAAGGTCGGCAATAGCTGAATAACATAACACTTTCACAGGAAATGCGACTCCGCGTCTGTACAAGTTTTCTGGAGGGGCATCAGCATAACTGGCTGGGCGGGACTCGCCAGAGTACACTTGCCTACGGCATGATCGAGGGCGCGAATTCCCGTTGAGAGCCTAAACATATCGAAATGAGTTGTCGAGGAAACACGAAAACAATGGAATCGCGCACCAAAGTCGTTCTGGCGTCGGTAAGGTAAACTCTGCATCCAGTATGATACCGGCGGGAACAAGACGTCTTGAGGATACCACTGCCTTTTGACCCTGGTCATTTGTATATCCGGCGCCGATCTACGTTTTTTGAATTGAAGGCGAAGAACCAACTAATTGATACGAACCGTGTATTCCGCCGCACTGAGTGTGGTAGGAATTGCTATTTGAGGAAGAATAGGGCCTCCGGTCTCTTCCTGCGAAAAGTACAGGACGGCCTTTGATGCATCAATGGGCGAGCCACCTCCGATGGAGACAATGATGTTACAGTCATTTTCACGAAAGACTTTGACAGCACGACGGATCCCTGCGATGGGTGAATGTTCTCCGATTTCATGAAAAGTGGCGCCAAATGCATCGTGATCTTTCAGAATGGATTCGACTTGTTTTACAAGCTCCGTCTACAATGATTTACTCAGGTTTTTGCGAGCTTCGAAAAGAACAGCATAAGAATTACCTTGCCCACAAGACTCCTTGTGGTTACAATCAGTGCTTTCCGAGCACCTAGAGTGGAAAGCAACTTGGGCAATGCAGTAGATACGGATCCTGGACCGTAATACACGCCAGTGAGGCCCTCGGGCCAGCCATAGAAGCCTTGTAGAGAAGAGCTGGTAGTCATGAGTGGGAAGAGACATAGGAACATGAGCAGCACAGTTACATATATAAGCCGGACGTGAGACAAAGCTTACAATTACAACAACTTTAGTAATTCAGCCGGCAATCGGGACCTATAAGAACATTCTCATTCGCTGCGGTAGATACCATGACCATACTGTGCGAGCGAGTGCGTGGATTGCAAAAGCAGCTCGAGAAGAGTAGAGACGACACACAGACTGGAAATCCGGGCCACGCTACGACATAGTACAGGAAACGCAGACTTGATATTTGTATTTTCGGCGGGATAAATGAGCATAGATCAAGGCACAATCTAAATCCGGTATGTTAGTTGCCGTAAAACCCCATGCGGCTCAACATCGCGCAGGCCTTGCCAGGGGGAATGGGAAAACAAGAAGAAAAAGACAAGAAAAAGAAGAGACACTCCGTCGTTCGGACTCCGACGGTGATTTCCAAATGTGGTGGCATCACGTGAGTGTCCAAACGCTGAAGTACGCGCTCCCGGGCCGGAGTCGCGTTGAACCACCAACTTTAGGTCGCCCTTCACTTTCAAAGTCTTTCCTTTCGTATTTTGAAGAAAACCGTTCCAGCGTCGCCCAGCTCTGCACTACTTCTGTAATTCGTCGCGTAATCTTGTCACAATGGTCAACGCTCAATGTCCGATTTGCACTGATTCCTATCCTTTGGAATCCTTTCTCTTCCTCGCGTGTGGTACGCCAATTACTGCTTATAATGTGTTAAATACTGAATCATCTAAATATCTCTAGGACATGGATGCTGTGATAGTTGCACGAATAACTACAAGGGCAAAGTCTGCTCCATATGCAGAAAGGCTAAGGGTTCTGTTGAGCCTCATCAAATATATTTCACAGTCGTGGACGATAGCCTCGAAGGAAAAGTGTTATACAATGCTGGAAAGCTTGAGAGTTTGGACTCCCTTTCGGAGCCGAGACATATTGCTGCCACTGCAGACAGTTTAAGGCAGATAGTAAAAGATACTCCTCTGGACGACAGTTTGATAGTGCGTGCTGACTATTTTCTCTCTCTTTTTCGAAAACACTGACTCTCTCACAAGTCTCGCCTGATCCAAGCTGCGGATAACCTCGAAGAACGGTTACCAATATACGATCAACTTGAGGCTGAACGACGTAATAGCGCCACTTTGAAGGCCCGTATCAACGAATTGGACCAGAACCTTCTCGTCGTACAAGAATGCTGCTCGGACATCGAGAGGCAGCGCGAAGACGCACTACACAAGTGCGAAGTCTTGTTTCAAGACTCGAAGAGACGCATCTCTCGCGAGCAGACCCAAAAGGAGTTCCTTGACCAAAGGGCCAAGCAGCAAAAGAAGGAGATGGAAAGGGAAATTGCGAGGCTGACTTCATTGTGTCTCGAGAAAGAGAAGCAGGTATGCGTTATGATACCTCACACTGTGCATTTGACGACTATGGTATAGATAAAACTGGAGAAGAAGAAATCAAGAGCATTGGCCCGGCAGTATACCCGCCAAAGTGTAGAAGACAACGATGACTCTTTAATCGTGACTATGGTAAGCACATCTTCATATATCATTTCAGTCGCTTTCTCACGTATATTCAGGATTAGCTTCTTGAATCTTCAGTGCGATCAATATGAACTCGTTTATATTCCCTCTGTTCCTTGGATACCAACTTTGTAATAATTTCAGTCACAATGGAATGCAAAAGTATGTACATGTACAACAGTCAAGACGAGTAACTATTACATACTGTAATGTATTAAACCAAGACAACCAATGAGAAGCCACCAGACAACAATCAGTGTCAATCAATATCCTTTTCAGCTACGCATCCAGAAGACCCAGCATAGCGAGAACGACGTCAGTCGATTCCTTTTCGGCATTGACGTCTCCCAGGTAGCCCAAATACCCCGTTCCGAACTTCATCCGCACGACAGGAGCTTGTAACTCTCCATGCTGATCCCGGTTCTTGTACACTGCAGCTGCAGAATTGATCCCTTTGAGGTGCACGGCCTTCATGCTGTAGGATGCGGGCAAGCCCTTTGAAGACTTGACTGTATCATTCTCTTCTTGGCGGTAAAACATCTCTCTCTGATAATTGCCCACCTTCCAAGAAACACCCCACGCTGTCGACCAGAATTTATCCATTTCAGGAGGACGTATGAATGAACTGAAAAGTCCGCCGAATGCGACCAAACCGCCATCCCTGGTGTAACTGACAAGTTTGGTGAGGACGCGATTATGCTTCTTCCGAACAATACCCGGGTCCGTCACGAAGACACCTGCGAGGTTGGAGGACGCGAGAGACTGCATGGCTTCGTCGGCTGACAATGCTTGTACGACACGTCGCTTGGATCGCAAAGCCTTGAGAAGATTCTTGTGGATATCTTCAAAGAACGGCTCATTTTCAAGTGAGATAAGAAGAATGAAACTATCGGCCGACTGGTGTGGGCGGGCGACGGATCGGTTATTGCTGCGCGAACCGGATCCAGTTGAAGACGACGACGACGCTGAGGTCGAAGGCTGGGAAGCAGAGGCAGCGTCGTATCGGAAATCCAACAAGCCCAACATCGAGAGCAGAACATTCGTTGAGCTCTCTTCTGCGTTTACATCACCCAGGTAGCCGAGGTAGCCTGAGCCCAATTTAGTGTGAATAGCAGGTGCCTTCAATTTCCCCGCTACGGCTCTGCTCCGAGTCCTTGTACATCGCCGCAGACGGACTAACATTCTTGAGGTAAACAGCTTTCATGCTGTAGTGATTCGCCAAGGATGGGTTGACCTGAACAGTGGCGTTGTTCGCATTGCGGAAGAATGTTTCACGATGATACGAGCCCATTTTCCAAGACTGCCCCCATTTCGACCAAAACCTGTCCATTTCTACAAAGCTGACGAATGTGCTGAATAATCCACCAATGGCAACCAACCCGCCAGCCTTTGTGTATTCGATCAATTTGGTGAGGACGGAATTATGTTTCTTGTGAGTAACTCCAGGGTCGGTGACGAAGACTCCTCCGAGATCCGGAGAAGCGAGGAACGTCAAGGCTTCGCTCTGTGTCAGAGCCCTCTTGACACAGGTCTTGGATCGCAAGGTGGAAAGGAAGTGGGCGTGAATCTCGTCGAAGAACTCTTCGTTCTCCAAAGACAGGAGGAGAATGAACTTCTTCGATTGTGACTGAAGATTGGCCGCAGATTCCCTGGTAACACCCAGGGTAGAAGCACTTGGGTCAGGGCGCTTTTGATCGAGAAGGCCCAGCATCGCGAGGACTACAGGCGTGGATAGATCCTCCCCATTGACGTCGCCCAGGTATCCAAAGTAGCCATTGCCTACACGCGTCTGAGCAACAGGAGATTCTGCAAGATTTTGTACTGGAGTAGCAGCGAAGACCAGTGATTCAATACGGGAGTTTGTCGTCGCCTTATATACTGCCGTAGACAAATCCACTCCACTGAGATGGACAGCTTTCATGCTATAAGAAGATGGTAGAGAAGGGTTCTGCTTGACAGCGTTATGTTCTTCATTGCGAGCAAATGTGGTTCGATGATATGATCCCATCCTCCACGGGAGGCCCCAACTAGAACCAAAAAAGCGGCCCATATCCGTTCTACTGATATTGCCGCTGAACATTCCCCCGACCACAACACATCCACCGGCCTTCGTCCATTCCACGAGCTTCGCAAGCACTTTCGCGTGTTTCCGCGACGCGATACCGGCGTCCGTTACGAGTACACCGACAAGATGAGACGAGGAGAGTAGCTGCAATGCGCTGCTCTCCGTAACTGCCTGCTTGGTGGAAATTCTTGCTTTCATTGCAGATAGAAGGTGGGATAAGATGTCGGAATAGTAATCTTGGTGTTCAAGCGAAAGGACGAGGATGAATTGGTCTTTAATGTCCGAGGGTGCTTTGGAGGATGATGGGGTAGGTGCCGAGGATGACATTGATGGAGCGTGAGCTGCTTTCTTCTTTCCTTTGGCTTTGCCCTTGGGCTCAGAGGAGGAGCGCGAGCTAGACGGCTGGGCGCTTGTTTGGAAATCTCGTGAACGAAGCTTATCGGCAACGCTGCGGGACGAGACTCGACCCCCGGGAAGTGAGCTATAGGAAACATCATGAGGAACTGTTCGAAAAAGGTTGCTCATCAACCTGCGCTCCATTTCTTCCGCCGTTTTCATCTCGTAAATATAACTCAGTATTGAAATAGCTTCCTCGTCGTTCCAGAAGCCGTTTTCAGGGAGGTAAAGTTTTGTATGGGAATATATGCACTTGGCATCACCAAACTTGCAAATTCCGAGAAGGAAGAATAGACAAACGTTCTTTCCACTGTCGAGAAAGATTAGGTTGTGGACACAAATGAAAGAAACACCATTCACAGGTCATCCCGTACACTCTTGTCATCCGGAGTATGGGAAAATTTGCAGTTGTGACCGCGATTGCAGCCGCCATGGTTATAAAAGCGACAAGCAATTCCATTCCCAAAATGATGACAATCGCTGGAATCCGAATCTGTTGAAGAGTCATCCTTGGCGCGATCCTCAGATGGGTCCCCGTATTCCGAAGAAGCACAACTATCGTCGGACGTTGAGCAAAGTCCTTCTAAACAGGCCTCACGAGCAGCTTGTGCTTCCGACAAAATATGTGAAGAATCGGGTTCAGACTTCAGAATCGTTTCAAAATCTGAAAAGAGATTGATTGGATACATTTCTTAACTTAACGAATCTTTATGAAACTCACCGATTAGAGCTCCACGGTACCTATGCAGACCTTTTCGTGCCATCCCACGCCTGTAGCGAGCCTTGTGCATTCCAGGATCGCGTATTAATGCTTGATTAGCCACTTCTTCAGCTAGGTCAAAGCTTAAGGCCACTCAATGTTAAATTTATACTGATTGTATTTTAAATGAAAACGTACAATTCGAGTTTGAGGAACGCCGCGGCGAGATTACATATGATAACGGCTTTGGCGCCACCGACGTCCAGAGCCTGGCAGTACTTTTGCGCTGCTTCTGCATATTTCTGTTCTTTGAAAAATTCGTTTCCCTTTGACAATTAAGCAAGTCGTGAAAGAACGACGGTAGGTAGAGGGCTCACCTGGTTTTTAATTTTTTCGGCTTCTTCTCGTCTCTGTGCTGAATGTTGCGCGCGTTTCTTAGCTCTCGCATCCAATGCCTGGATATTAGGGTCGTTCGCTGGCAAAACACGCCTGCGATGGAACGCGTCATTCGCCGTCGACATGGTGGTTGCAAGCGAGATCGAGTCTCAAATTGTTGAGCCTAAAAAGGCAGTCACTTGATATTTCCGATCGTCAAAAGTACGGCAAATTCCGGCCGCATTCTGACATTTGACTCGACGGACTCAAAAAATCGCATATCCAACTTCATGCACGTTGTAGTTGGTATCATGGCTCGTCCCCGTCATGCTCCCCAATGTACTATCGTGATAAAGCTAGGTCCGTAAAATGCCAGTCATTCGGTGCAGTTGCCAAACGTACCTGTACCGCGTTGTTCTTAGGTACTTCGTCTATCGTCCACGAAAAGACGCATCAGCCCTTGCTTTCGACCCTTTCCTCTGTTGTAGAAACTGTTGTGCATCTGCGCAGCCAAGGACATAGAGTGGTGCTCGTCAGCTCTGGTGCTATCGGTGTTGGGTTGCAGCGAATGAACATGCCAAGTCGTCCGAAGAGTCTATCAGGAAAACAAGTAAATGCTATCTACATTGAATGATATGATCTCCCGCTTATAATCTATGCAGGCACTGGCAGCTATTGGACAGGGTAGACTGATTGCTTTATGGGACGATCTCTTTGGTCACTTAGAACAACCTATCGCTCAGGTTCTTCTTACTCGAGGTGATATCGCGGATGTAAGTTTCTTTTCTTTTCGGACATCATTGTTTGTTATTAAGGATCCTTATCCTGCAGCGAACTAGATATTTAAATGCTGTAAACACTTTCAATGAACTTTTGTCTATGGGTGTTGTACCTATCGTGAACGAGAACGATACCGTTTCAGTCAGCGTAAGTACGAGCTACCAGTGTTCTCCTTGAGTGTGCCCTCACACTTCTTCTCTAGGAAATAAAATTTGGCGACAATGACACATTGTCTGCCATCACGTCGTCCATGATCCACGCTGATTATCTCTTCCTACTGACGGACGTGGATGGGCTGTATACCTCAAATCCAAGGAAAGACCCAAACGCAAAGCAAATAGAAGTCGTGACGTCGATATCTGCCATCAGATCACAAGGTTCTTTCTCTCCCTCGTATAAGCAGCTAGTCTTCTTATAACATCAGTTAGCACAACGACCCTCGGATCAAGCCTTGGTACGGGAGGCATGGAAACAAAAATCATTGCTGCGGAAATCGCCACTGGCTGCAGGTGTTACTACCATCATCACATCTAGCAAGCACCCAGAAAATATTTTTGGCATCATTGAGTATCACAGCTCGCTAAAAGCCTCGTCGACGCCAGGAACACCTCTTGAACCTCTATCGAGGACGGGGAGTCCTGTTCACAGCCCACCCACTCCCGATTCACATAGGTCTGGCAGCCCACATGTTTGTCCTTTGCCTCGGCCGCCCCATACGGTGTTCAAACCCTCCTCGATTCCTATGCGGGACCTGAAATCATGGACGAGTCATACACTCTACCCCTCCGGAAGCGTCATCATTGATGCCGGAGCTCATAATGTCTTGTCTCGCAGAGAATCCGGTGGTCGACTGCTAGCAGCTGGCGTCTTGGGTGTCATCGGGGCGTTTGCCTCTGGCCAGGCTGTACGAATCGTTATTTTGAAATCTCCAAGTCCTGCTACTGTTCAAGATGGTTCTGAACCATCTTCCTCGGCGAGCCCTTTTGCCTCTACTCAGCCAAGTACGCCAACGATTCTCGCGGCATCCTCCATGACATCTTCAATCGCATCTCTGGAACCTTTGTCACGATCTTCTTCATCTACAGCACTTGCAATAAAGCTGGGAGATGAAGTACCTCGAAACATAAAGCCTCAACCTCTATATGATGATGATGCAGACGTTATTGAGGTGGGACGGGGATTAGCCAACTACAACTCTGCGCAGATCTCAAAAATCAAGGGTTTAAATAGGTCTGTGGCGGGCCTTGGTTTTATTCTGCGTGCTCACCTCTCTTTCTAGCTCATACATATCGCAACTGTTAGGCTATGCTGATTCAGAGTATGTAGTAGAAAATATCACCATCCGCGTACCGCCATAATTTTGCGGGGCGCTTTACGGCCGAAACTTGGAATAACGGCATCAACGTTCGTCGACCAGCCAATTGGAGCGCCACCGTTTCGGACCCTTTGATGTGCCTACTGACGACATTGTGGCTGTGATCATTGTTTGGCTCTGTCAGATAATTTTCTCTCCATCCTACGACCATCCCGTTTTCTATTCCTTCTCTCATCTACATGCGATAGCCTACGCCTTTTTCTACTTCTACATACCCCTCATTATGTATCACAACAATTCTATCAGGATCCTCACTGGTTCGTACCCCTCTTCAGCATCTCTGTTGGCCGCGCTTAAACTGTTCTACAGGGAATAGCCACCCAGAGCTCGCCCATGCTGTCGCTGAGCGGTGAGCAGCCGCAGCAATGCCTTGTGTCTGAAAGGTGGTCGACGAGCACGCCATTTATTCGCATGATTTAGGCTTAACGTTCCTCTCGTTCCCTGTACCGTCAAGAAATTCTCCAACGGTGAAATCAATCTCAAAATATCAGAGTCCGTCCGGGATGAAGATGTCTTCATCATCCAATCTGGCTCCAGCGATGTCAACGATAATCTCATGGAACTCCTCATTCTTATTTCGGCGTGCAAGACTGCATCGGCGAGACGGATCACCGCCGTAATACCTTGCTTCCCATATGCTCGCATGGACAGGAAAGACAGGTCGCGTGCCCCCATCACTGCCAAGCTGGTGGCAAACATGCTTACTGTGGCCGGATGCGATCATGTCATTACTATGGACCTTCACGCCAGCCAGATCCAGGGATTCTTTGATATACCGGTCGACAACTTATGGTCGGAGCCGCTAATGCTGGCATACATCAAGCGTCAAATCGAAGGATACAAGGACGGAATTATCGTTAGTCCGGATGCCGGTGGGGCTAAGCGGTGAGTTTCATTGATATAATTCCAATTCCTTTCTTGACGACGAGTGCCTGCTCAGAACTACGGCCATAGCAGACAAGCTAGGGGTTGAGTTTGCCCTTATCCACAGGAAACGAGGAGGGAAAGGAGCGGATGCACCGGAACAGATGGAGATTCTAGTTGGAGACGTCAAAGACAAGGTTCGTGTCATCCTGAGACTGAACATTGGATGTATACATTTCTAAATTTAATACAGGTCGCCATTCTTGTCGATGACATGATTGACACCGGAAAGACACTCACTCTAGCGGCCAAAACACTACAGGAGAAGGGGGCAAGATCCGTGCATGCGCTTGTTTCACACGGTTCGCTTATATCCGCAGAGCTTTGGCGCTAACCTCATTGTTTTACCGTTCAGGCCTCTTCTCAGAAACGAACATGAGTCTTATAGACCAATTACCCATAGAACAGCTTGTGGTAAGTCGCCCTCAAACGATCAATCGTTCCCATGCGAATTTATTTCCAGGTCACGAATACTATCCCTCAAAAACAGCATCAAAGTCAATGCTCCAAAACTAGTCACCGTTGATATCAGTCCAATGTTAGCCGAAAGCATTCGCCGGACCCACAATGGCGAGAGTATCAGTTTGCTATTTGGAGAGTGGTCGGAAACGGGTGCGGCTTCCGTGGTATGAAAAGTCCGGCGGGATCAAATAGAAAGGTACATGGATCGATATGTAAGATAGCAAGCTCCAGCCGAATGGAACGTGTGGAACAGATTGCGTCGGTGCACCTTGAGTGTTTTGCCTGGCAAAGCAGATGTACCGGGCCGAGTGCAGACCGTACGAGGCCGCGGGTGTCAAGCGGGTTCCTATCCGTGGTAGTATCCGAGTCCTTCGCGGCTCACTCTGTAAGTCCGGGTTTGTTCATTGTTTCGTACAATATTCTTGCTTAGCTCAAAATTAGGGTTGAGACTACATGTTGTATACAACGAAAAACTTGGTAGGTAAGATTCATTCCAGTCCGTTGCAACATGCACCCTAGCCACTTACTAAACATTCCAGCGGTTGCAGTATCGTGAAAATACTTAGCAACTGCGCCTAGTGATAGGATACGCAACTTCAACAAGTCCCGAAGATACGACTTAATTGACCTACGGACGTTTTTTGGGAACCTATCAGCGACGTTTCAGGTGTCTCCATCGTCTTTCGTCTCAGCATTGACGTCGTGTCCAAAATCTCTTTCACCCCGAGACCTCGGATTCTTGTACTCTCATGCATGGCCCTGCATGTATCAGCTTGCTTGCGCTTATGACTGCACTCCAAATTTCCGGTGTTTCCTTTTCCTTCAAAGTGCGAAATGCAATTAATGATGGTATCCCATCGGCTTCGCAGGTATATAATTTAACCAGTGTCAAGTTGTAATCATCTGAGAATAAAATGGATCGCTCGACTTCTATGTCTCCGTCGACGTCGGGATAGGCAAGGCGGTGCTGGCAAATTCCCAAGTTTACACAAGGCATACTAAAAATTTGGTAACAAGGAATATCACTTCTTCCCATCCTTAGCTGCGCTAACAACTGCCAGCTCAGAGTCATCACCATCGTTCAGGGCCTTATTCGAAGTGACTACTATGCCGACATGATCTTCCGCAGCAAAACCAAGTACTCTTCAAATCTTCGCCCGAAGCTTCTCATACCCGACTTTCGCATCGGTCCTTGACAAGAAGTGGAAGTATGCCATTCCCAATATATCATGCTTGTTGCGTTTGTTCACTCGTGTAATGCAAGGCTTCGACAACTGAATATGTCGATTTGCGCAATGTTTGCACAGCCCAGAAATGCTCTGCAACCAAATGCCCAATACGGTAATGCTTTGATCGCTCACCGACCTTTTTGGGCAGTGCATCACGCCAATCTCGGACTCAGACTCGGACTCGGGATTCAAACTCAGCCTCAAGAACAGTTCTTTAACTATTAATGAGAAAGCTACTGTAAGGATCGATCATAGGTCTCCTCACCCTCACCATCATGGCGAACAAAGCTCACCCGTATCATATGGAGGAAATGGACGACGACGTTCCCCCTCCTAAGTACACGGCATCAGCTCAGTCCAGTGAAAACGGATTTGTCGATATGAACGACGTTCAGGCCCCTAATATATGTATGTCGCTTTCGTGTTTAACCTCACTTACAGATCTCACATTATACTAGCGTACGGCGGGTACATTGCTGCAGGCAAAGGGCTCAGATCATCCGCATTTATTACTCCAGATGGTCGAATTTCAGTTTCCCTCAATCTGAAGCATAAACTGCCCGAGCTCCCAGAGGATCATGCTCCGGATGTCAAGGAGTTTGCTGTTGACCGAGAGTGGACAAAGTTTCCCAAGATGAACATTGTAATCATGATTGTCGGAAGCCGCGGTTAGTCCAGGTCTATCGACCCGGGCTCGAATAAATAGCTGATTAGTCAATTTACAGGTGATGTTCAGCCCTACGTTGCTCTAGGCAAAAGATTAAGAAGTGACGGGCACCGGGTACGAATAGCGTCACACGAAACGTTCAGAACGTTTGTTACAGAGAATGGTTTAGAATTCTTCGATATTGGAGGAAATCCGCAAGATCTGATGAGCTATATGGTGAAGAGTACGTCATGCCGTAGTGGTGTATAATCAGTGGAACTTAACTTTCGTGTCCTATCATAGACCCCGGGCTAGTACCTGGCGTGGACTCTCTGACTAATGGCGATATACCGAAGAAGCGGAAGATGTTGGCTGAGATGATGAACGGATGCTGGCTTTCATGTTACTCGCCTTGCCCTCGCACAGGGAGGACGTTTGCTGCTGATGCTATCATAGCGAATCCTCCATCTTTTGCTCACATTCATTGCGCCCAAGCATTGGGCATCCCTCTTCAATTGACGTTTAGTAAGTGGATTCCTCCGGTCTGGTTACTACTTCTTATTAACGCAGATTCCTCCAGCCATGCCTTGGTGAGACTCGTGCGAATTAAATATCTGGCAAACTGATCGTGCTCTGTTGCAGGACCGCGACGTCCGCTTTCCATCATCCTCTCGTAAATGTTAAAGACTCGAATGCAGGAAAGGGTCTAACAAATTATCTGACATACCCCCTCGCCGACATCCTTACCTGGCAAGGGTTGAGTTATTTTATGAATTCCGCCGATTAGTACTGATTTTACTCTCAAGAATGGGCGATATCATCAATAAATTGCGTACACGGACGCTCGGCTTGACACCTCTTTCTTTGAGATCAGGCTCGGGTGCCCTCGATACTTGCAAAGTTCCGTGGACGTATTGTATGAGCCCAGCTCTCGTACCGAAACCTAGTGACTGGAAGAACCACGTCGGTGAGCATGAACCACAACCATCGCCCATATCTAAGCTCACCGGCAACAGATGTTGTAGGGTTTTACTTTTTAGACTTGGCTACGAATTATACACCGCCAGCCGACTTGGCCGCATTCTTGGCTGCCGGCGATGCGCCAATATACATAGGGTATGTATGCAGTTTATACCTTCGCTTTGGATCTCATTTACTGTCAGATTCGGCTCAGTCGTGGTGGATGATCCCGCTACGATGACACGTGTGTTGTTATAGCATTAGCATTTGTGCGCGCAATGCTGACATGGCCTTGAAGGTACCATATTTGAAGCCACAAAACAAGCTGGTGTTCGAGCCCTTGTATCTGCTGGATGGGTACACGCAATTCCTCTTTTAACTCGTTACATCCACTTACGATCCATGATTTTCAGGGAGGTCTCGGAGGCGTCGCCATTCCGTCGCATATTTTCATTCTCGGGAATATACCGCATGACTGGCTTTTCGCTAAAGGGCGGGTTGCAGCAGTTGTTCATCATGGCGGTGCTGGAACCACTGCAGCTGGTCTATCTAAGGGCCTTCCGACTGTCGTTGTTCCATTCTTTGGCGATCAAGGATTCTGGGGGAATATGATTCATAGAGCTGGGGCTGGACCTGCACCGATTCCTCCAAAGAGTCTCACGGTAGACAGCCTAAAAGATGCAATCGTCTTTGCTATCAGCCCTGCTGCAAAGAGTGCTGCCCTAAAGATGGCAGAACAGATCCAGCATGACGTTAGTCGAATATTTGCAAAATGCGATTGGAAACTAACCTTTGTCTTTATTTAGGACGGCGTCAAACGTGGTGCAGAGAGCTTCTATCGCTATCTTCCTTTGAAGAACATGAGATGTGACCTGGATCCTTCACGGATAGCGGTCTGGTGGTCTCCGAAACACGTAGGTTTTGGGTCTGTTTGCTTCTTTTGTTTCCTGAATCGGGTTTCTTTCTTCCAGCGTCTGAAGCTTAGCGCCTTTGCCGCACAGGTCTTAGCAGATGCACGAGAGCTTAATATGGGAAGCTTGGACGCACATCGTATGTGAATCAACATAAATTTGTTGATCGTTCACACACATGTTTCTGGCAGGGTCCAAGGAATACACCTTGGATAAGAGTGTGTCCGATCCCTTGACCGGAAGCTCAACTGCGGTCTTTTGGACCGTCACTCATTTTTCTGCTGGACTTGCAAAGATATTTTAGTTCGTTTTAGCATGCATTCCATTTAGTATTACACTGACTTGGACCGCTAGTTCCCCCGTCTCTGGCATCGTGCAGACGACAACGGCCATTCCGCAAGGTCCGTGCTCTTTCAGACGCTTTGTAGCTATACTCAAGATTTTCTTCAGGAATGATGAAGATTTTGACGAACGTACACGATGGTCTCCACAACATGCCAAAGTTATATGGTTCCAAAGTTAGAAAACCCGGGAAGGTGACAAATTTCAAGAGCGGTCTTAAGGAAGCCGGAAAGGTTAGCCTAACGAAGATTTATGTGTCGATGGTCACTGACTTGTGCAGGAATTTGCATACGGCTGCTACGACGGAATTACTAGACTTGTGACTGAGCCCATCAAGGGTGCCCTGGAAGATGGCGTCATTGGCGCAATGAAAGGATCTGCTCGGAGCTGTAAGCCTTCGCTTTGCTGGGTCCTTCTCTGGATCATCCTAAATGACTTTCTAGTCGCGAACATAGTCACAAAGACTGGGGCAGGAGGTTTAGGCCTCGTGACCCATCCTATAAATGGAGCTTTGAAAGGTATTCGATCTGATTTTAGTAAAGAACCTGAGGAGCGTCAAAGGACTACACGCATGGAAGACGGGGTTAAGGAAGTGAGACAAAGCACGTCAGTGGAGCGGAATCTGATATTAAGGAGGTTCCGCGAGGCCAAAGCGACCGCATCGGAACGAAAAAATACCATACTGAAGGCGGTCCGCAACATGTTACACGGAGATTTCGAGGAGGATATGGTTGTCGAGGCTGGCCCGAGCGTGCAGAGAACGGGCCGACACGACTCAGACTGGCACAAAGCTGCTGTTCGTGGAGGTGCTCGGGATGAAAAATGGTTACCATCTGAGCAGCCGAGCCATACTGGATCGGGTTGGTCGCGGGCAGAGGAGGACGATGCAGATTTTCTTAGAGACATGGAAATAGCCAAGCAGCTTTCTCTGGAGCAGCAGAGAGACTACGAGCGCAAGTATGGAGATCATATATAAACATAGAATGACCTAGCCAGGTATATATTGCTCATGTATTTCTCTTACTGGTATTATCTTTGGGTTCCACAACATTTCTGAGGCTCGGCAAAAGCCGAAGTTGGTGTCTTTCACTCAATGATGAATCTTTGTGCCTAATGTTCCGAACCCTACTAGCTAGCTAGAATACATACTCAGTAGGAAAGGAAAGTGTTTTGTCTTTGTCGTTACTTATTTAAGCATTGAGAGTGGGACAGACTTCAAGGGAAATCGCCACCAGGCTACGCCGGTCCAATTACGTCGATCTCATAATATTGCTAGCTTTGATCCTCCCTCTCACTTGCCTCCAATTCAAATCCTTGACCTTCCATCCGAGCCGCGAGGACGTGACGCGAATGCTTACAGGACGTTGAGACAAACCTAAACTTGCACGAAACACCAATTAGGGCGACCAGAGCCGAGACTCGAGACCTGAAAAATTGGACATGCCAGCGACATTATTCAGCGCCGTCCTACTTTTCAGTGTCATAGTAGCTTGACACGATATCTACGGCCCATCGAACTCGAATCCGGAGATTGTAGAGGCTAAAAAACCAGGAATTGACTCGGAAGGAGATGGGGGGCATGGGAATGTCCTAGATGCAGAGGTTGAGGTTGCAGAGGTAGAAGAAGATCAAAAGTTCCCTGTCGCTACCATGCCGATTCGCTTATGCGGCGGACGAGACGAAGGTTGTTAGGATGATAACGAGACCGAATCCTGCCAAGTGAGGTGCGGAAATTTTCTTTGCGAACCGTCTCATTGACATGTTTCATAGAAAACGATCTGTTCATAAAGAGACGACATCAAATGTCAGAGTACGAAGACGAAAGTAGGATTCACGACCAATATGGTCGATGAATCTCGAGATAACACCAACGTGTTGCTCGTCTTTGTGAGCCTTTGCATTCTTTGTTTTTTTTCCACATCTGAATATATCGATTCGCGTCAAGACACGGTGGCTTACAAGGTGGGACGCGCTATCAAATCCTCAATATTCGACTGTCCTCTTTCGGACCCGTGGACGTGCAAAGCTGTGTTCGAATTAATAAGCGAGTCCGAGGATAACTCGCAAGCGACTGTGGGGCCCATCGATCATAGGTCCACTCGCTGCCATCATCATGGCGAACGAAGCTCACCCGTTTCACATGAAGGAAGTGGACGACGACGCTTCAATACTTCCCAAGTACGCGGCATCATCTCAGTCTAGCGAAAACACATCTGTCGGTGTTGATGACGTCCACGCTGATACTGATATATGTAAGTTACTCTCGCGTTTGACGTTGCTTACCTAGCTCATACTATACTAGCATACGGCAGATATACTGCTGCAGGCAAAGGACTGAGATCATCCGCATTTATTACTCCAGATGGTCGAATTTCAGTTTCCCTCGACCTGAAGCATAAACTGCCCGAGCTCCCAGAGGATCATGCTTCAGGTGTCAAGGAATTCGCTGTTGACCGGGAGTGGACAAAGTTCCCTAAGATGAACATTGTGATTATGATTGTCGGAAGCCGCGGTTAGTCCAGCAATGTCAACTATATAGCTGATTATGCAATTTACAGTTTACAGGTGACGTTCAGCCCTACGTTGCTCTAGGCAAGAGATTAAGAAGTGACAGACATCGGGTACGAATAGCGTCACACGAAACTTTCAGAACGTTTGTCACAGAAAATGGGTTAGAATTCTTCGATATTGGAGGAAATCCACAAGATCTGATGAGCTATATGGTGAAGAGTACGTCATGCCGTAGTGGTGTATAATCAGTGGAGCTAAACTTCCGTGTCCTATCATAGACCCCGGGCTAATACCTGGCATGGACTCTCTGACTAATGGCGATATACCGAAGAAGCGGAAGATGTTGGCTGAGATGATGAACGGATGCTGGCTTTCATGCCACTCCCCTTGTCCTCGCACAGGGAGGACGTTTGCTGCTGATGCTATCATAGCGAATCCTCCATCTTTTGCTCACATTCATTGTGCCGAAGCCTTGGGTATTCCTCTTCTATTATCATTTAGCAGGTGCATTTCTCCGATAAGAATACCTTGATACTAATAACAATACTTTTAGCTATGCCCTGGTGACGCTTGTATGCTTCTTATGTCTCCCAAAAGCTGATGATCGCCGGTCGTAGGAGTGCAACATCCGCATTCCCTCATCCTCTCGTCAATGTCAATAATTCGAATGCAGGAAAGGGCCTGACCAATTATCTGACATACCCCCTAGCCGACATCCTCACTTGGCAAGGGTTAGTTTATTTTCCGATTCTTGTCGGTTGGTGCTAACTTTACTCTCAAGAATGGGCGACATCATCAATAAATTGCGTACACGAACGCTTGGCTTGACACCTCTTTCTTTGAGATCAGGCTCGGGTGCCCTCGATACTTGTAAGGTTCCATGGACGTACTGTATGAGCCCAGCTCTCGTACCGAAACCCAAGGACTGGAAGAACCATATCGGTCCGTGTGAAGCGCGGCCGCTTTGTCTATCTAACTTCACTCGCCAATAGATGTTGCGGGCTTTTACTTTTTGGACTTGGCCACGAACTATACACCGCCAGATGACCTAGCCGCATTCCTGGCTGCCGGAGATGCGCCAATATACATAGGGTATGTCTTCAGTCCATCGTTTACCCTTGGTCTTATTTATTGCCAGATTCGGTTCAGTCGTGATAGACGATCCAGCTACGATGACGAGTGCGTCATTCTTATTATTTGCGCGGGAAAATCTGAAATGGGTTCGAAGGTACCATATTTGAAGCTACGAAGCAAGCTGGTGTCCGAGCTCTTGTGTCTGCTGGATGGGTATATGAACTTTCTTTTCTCACCTATGACGCACGTTTACGCGTAATGATTTCAGGGAGGTCTCGGAGGTGTCGCCCTCCCACCACACATTTTCATTCTTGGGAATATACCACATGACTGGCTTTTCGCTAACGGACGGGTTGCAGCAGTTGTTCATCACGGCGGTGCTGGAACAACTGCAGCTGGTCTATCTAAGGGACTTCCAACTGTCGCTGTCCCTTTCTTCGGTGATCAAGGATTCTGGGGCAATATGATTCATAGAGCTGGGGCTGGACCTGCTCCGGTTCCTCCGAAGAGCCTCACCGTGAATAGCCTAAAGGACGCCATCGTCTTTGCTATCAGCCCCCCAGCGAAGAGTGCCGCTCGAAGGATGGCAGAACAAATCCTGCACGAGGTTCGCTGAACGCTTACCACACACCATCTACAACTAAGCTCACCTTCGTTTAGGACGGCGTCAAATGTGGTGCGGAGAGCTTCTACCGCCATCTTCCGTTAAAGAATATGAGATGTGACCTGGATCCTTCACGGTTAGCGGTCTGGTGGTCCACGAAATATGTAGGCTTTGAATTTATTTCCCGTTCTGTTGCCTGACTCAGATTTCTTTCTGGTAGTGCCTAAAGCTTAGCGCCTTTGCCGCGCAAGTCTTGGTAGAAACACGGGAGCTCGACATGGGAAGCCTGGACGCACATCGTATGTGAACCAGTATACTCTTGTTGTGCATGCATACACATGCTTCTTGTAGGGTCCAAGGAGTACAACATACGCAAAGGCGTTTCAGATCCCGTAACTGGCGGCTCAAGTGCGATTTTTTGGACAGTTACTCATTATTATGATGGAATTGCAAAAATCTTTTAGTTCGTTTCTAGCGTGTATTCCATTCACTATTACGTGCTGACACGGATACTCAGTTCCCCCGTTTCTGGCATCGTACAGACGACAACAGCCATTCCGCAAGGTCCGTGCTAGTTCGACTCTTTGTAACTATATTCACGTTCTTCCTCAGGAGTAATGAAGATTGTGACGAATATACACGATGGTTTCCATAATATGCCAAAGCTATATGGTTCTGAGGTTAGAGAACCCGGAAAGGTAAGCGATTTCCAGAGTGGGCTGAAGGAAGCTGGAAAGGTTAGCTTCATGAAGACTCGTCTGTCGACGGTTTCTGACTTGTGCAGGGGTTTGTATACGGTTATTACGACGGAATTACGGGACTTGTGCGTGAACCCATCAAGGGTGCCCAGAAAGATGGTTTTGTTGGCGCAATAAAAGGGTCTGCTCGGAGCTGTAAGTGTTCGCTCGATCTTTCTATGCATCATGATTTAAACAACTTTCTAGTCGTTAACGTAACCATGAAGCCCGCTGCAGGAATTGTTGGCCTCTTCGCCCACCCGATGAATGGTGCTTGGGAAAGCATTCGTTCCGATTTTAGGGCAAAGCAGGAGGAACATCAGAGAAGTACACGTATGTCAGACGGAGCCGAGGAAGTGAAACGAAGCACCCCGGAAGAGCGGAACGTGATATTAAGGCGGTTCCACGAAGCCAAAGCAACCGTATTGGAACGACAAAAGGCAATGTCCGAGGCAGCTCGCAGCATGCTATACGAAGATGTCGAGGAAGATGCGACTGTTGAGGCTGACCCAAGCGTGGAGACAACGAGCCGAGGCGACTCGGACCGGTGCGAAGCTGACGCTCAGGATGCAAGGCGGTTATCGCCTGAGCAGTCAACTGGACTCGGTTTGTCACAGTCAGACCAGGACGATACGGACTTTCTTCGAGATATGGAGATAGCCAAACAGCTTTCTTTGGCGGAGCAGAGAGGCTACGAGCGAGGGATTTCTGATAGCATGGAATCTACCTATGCATGATGCTAGTACGAAGTTCCTAGCAGTGTATATATTGTGGGTGCACAATTTTCTTTCAATTCTGTTAGAAATCATAACTTGCGTTGCTGGTCAGCTCGCATGAACACGTATTGGCGGTATTGTGCGCTGTGAAGATCTTCGATGTTAATAACGTCCCCCAGGGAAATGAAGACGGACAGAAGGAGACCGACTTTGGCGCGCTCGACGCTAGAGTCGTACCTTCTAGCTGAGGTTCGACCAGTACCGAGCGACGGAAGTGAGATAGGAGCAAACATAGATAATTCCGACTACTCTCTGTGCTCATTAAAGAGAGCATGCAGACCAGGCTCCCAATTTGGCCTCAAAATCGTTCAACCGTGGATTCTTCGGTCAATGCCGCCGACAAAGACCAGAAAACTCCCGCTTTGAACAGAGATTTGGCGGTCAATAATGACATGAGCGCTTATTCCAGAACTGGAACATACGTAAGGTGACCATTAGGGCGAGATTCAGCATTTATCTTGCACAGGACCATTGATGTGTGGGAATGACGATGCATGTGATTGCCAGTGTCACGGTATACGGTGTAATACAGACGCGTCGCTGCCTAATACAGCACTTGTTGTGTTTCTAATCTCTATCTCTCACGTCCTCGTTTTCACAGCTACGCCAACACTGTACATATCACTATCAACTCTCTAGGACGTCGATCCTAACGAGACCGATGAACCAAACCGAGGGACTTTCGAGCTCAGACCCAAAGCAGAGTCGGGCTGTCGGGAACAACACACGTGCTGAAGAACAAGGAACTGAGGGAGGTGGGGAGCGCAGTCATCACCACAATAACCCACAGATGGGGGCAAGAGATAGCGGAGGTCAGGAGGAACATGATGTCCCTACCACTGATCTGCCGAATCCTGTCAATGCCAACTCGAAGAAGATTTTTGGAACGATAAGGAAACCGAATTCTACAGCTAAAAGTACGCAAAAAACTTCATTATTAGCGATATATCTCATGAACTCTTACAGGAAATGATCTGTATAACTACGAGGAAAAATATCCCGAAGATGCCACTTATGAAGAGACAACACCAAATGCGAGGGTCTGGAAAACGTACGAAGATGAAAGTAGGATCCACGACGCCAACATGGTAGAAGAATCCCGGGATAACGTCGACGTAATGCTTGTTTTTGTAAGTCCTTACTCCCGTTTCTTTGACATCGTTGCTGAATATGTAGTAGGCGGGTCTTTTCTCGGCGGTCGTGACGACTCTCGTCGTTCAAACGTCGCAGAGTTTGCAGCCGAATTATGCTGCCATGTCGGCATCTCTGCTCTATGAATCAGTCCTTGTTCAACGTGCCATTGCCAACGGTTCCTCGGTCGACATCATTGCTCCATCCCCTCTTAGCCCTAACATTGCCTTCGTGCCTGCAACCACAGACGTCTGGGTGAACGGGCTGTGGTTCACGAGTCTGTTCCTCAGCCTTTCGACAGCACTCTTCGCCGTTCTCATCAAGCAATGGCTCCGCCACTATGTCATTCTCCCATCCGGAACCCCGCGCGACCGTGCTTTTACTCGTCAGTTCCGATATGATGGGTTGAAAAAGTGGCGTATTCAGGCACTCATAGGGTTCCTCCCTCTTCTTATGCACCTCGCGCTCGCTATCTTCTTTGCGGGATTGGTGATTTTCCTACGTTCACTACAAGCAACTCTGTCGTGGTTCATATGTGCGGCGACTATCATGGTATATGGAGCATATGTAGTCGCAACCATTCTTCCCATTTTCTTCCCTCGATGTCCTTACCGTACGCCTCTCTACAATCTTGTTCAGTTTTCCTTTTCTTGGCTCATCCCGCGAGTATCATGGGGGGAACTGAGGCGGCCACGACGGTTTGGGAACATGGTTGTTCGACGTCTTCCCCAGCTTAAACCAAGGAAAACAAGGACTGAGTCAGAGTCCGTTCAACAGATGTCAGACAACTTGGCGGCTGAAGCACTGGGCTGGCTTTTCTCCACCTCTTCAAATCCCAGTGTCCAAAGCGTAGTCATACAGTCTGCTGCGGGGCTGCCAGTGGTCTCGGATGACGTGCTCAGACTCCTGCCATACTATCCAAACATGGTTAGAATGCGTGAATTTTTGCTTGAAGGCTGTCTGCAGGCGGACGAGGAATATTCTGATTTTGCGAAACCCGTGCCAGGCATGGAGCACAAAATCGAGCGCCTGATTCGCTTTTCACGCTATCCTCCTCAGCACTGCATCATTGCCAGTGATGCTGATTCATTTGAGCTTGCCGCTGCAATCCATTCCATCCCTCTTCCCCCTTGGATTAAAAGGCCTGCTGTTTTCACCAGTCCCGCTACATTTTTTACGGAAATTGTATGCTCCCGCGATTCTTTAAAGCTGACTCCGCTTTGTTGGTCTCGCGTCATGATGACTGCAGAGGAGGATGGTGCCTTTATGCCCCTGGATCCTAACCATGATCATCATGCCAATACATTCCCCCTTCATCTCTGTTCTGCTGTGCTGCACTCATATCACATGTCACAGTGGACCGCAAAGCATGGTTTTATGTCTCCGTTGACTTTTACATTCTCAGACGCGTGGCTCTATTTTCCAGACAAAATCTACAGCTCCATTCTCACCATGCTTTCCCAGTTTGTTGGGAATCTACCATCAGATGACTCATTGTTGAGAAAACCCTGCAGGGTGTTGGTGGTAGCAATCAAATTCCTACTTCACAGACTTTCTCTTCCTGAATCTGATATGTCCCATATGACCATCCTTGCCTCGTTAAATGATGCAGTCGAGGGGGTCTGTCTGCAACAGTTCTTGTCCCAGGAAGCTGCCATTGTCATCACCATGCTTGAGAGTATCCTTTTCACTTGTGTCGCACTAGAACAGGATCAATGCAATGTAGGCTCACCGTGGAATAAGTTGTTCTACAGTACTATCCAAGCTTATCGGCATTCACTCCTCATCTCTTCTTCCGCTTGCTCTTTGCGTGGTCTTCAGCTGATGGTTGACTTTATGAACATCAGATGGGAACACACTCGGGTCTACCTCTACTATTCTGATATAGCATGCTCGGCGCTGGCCGACCTTCTCGCAAACCGCGTTCCTGCGGCTTATGCTGTATTCCATGAAAGCCGATGTCTGGAATTTTTCGGGAGCCATGCATTTCACGAAGAATCAGTTCGAGTCATCAGCGAATACATTGCTGGAATTTCTGCCATGCTACATGGATTAGTTGGAATCATGGACACGGACATCCTTCAGCGGCATGTTGATCGACTCCATGAACCACGCCACCTTTTCACTGCGTGCTTGATCTTGGCTACGTATAGCCACAGTGCTAAAGACAACCGCCGGACTGTCATTCATAACGACATTACTTCGCTCGTGCAGCTTCGTCCGCATGACATTGCCTGGGATGAGTGTCGGAAGAAACTTCATGATTTAATAGGTAATGACAGTGCGGACTTCTTCACCCAGCAGCGTCTTCCGTTTTTTCCATCCGAGTCTGGTACTCGCCAGTTGGAAGCGTCGGAAATTATGATTGAAAGGGATAATATCCGATACGCAATCCAAGTTCTCGATGCCTTTTTTGAGGGTGTACATGGTCAAGTGAGCGGAGATACTTTTCTAGTCTTATGCATTTTCTGACCGTTGGTTCAGAGATCCTCTGACTCACTGCCAGTATTGATAAGACAACGCGCGATACGCCGCGCTTTGGGATGGTGCATTGGTCGGAGACGGGAAAATAATGCGGGGAAAGCGCAGCAGGTTTAGCTGAATTTAGAGACAACCTCTCTGGTAGTAGCTGGTAGTATACCCAGCGTATTAATACATTTGTCATCCTGCAGTTCTACACCTGCAAAGACATGAATTATTTTATTCTAGCTTAAATAAGCTCGACTATGGAACTAATAGTAACTCCATTATTCTAGGGTCTCCTCCTCCGCTCGATTGGACTAACGGGACAACCTAACGATGTTCGACCATCTTGTCAGAAACGATAACGCCATCTGCTGTCGCAAAAGCAAAATCCCACGGTCCACCCTGCTTCAGGATCGAAAGATATCGACCCGGGAGGCATTCCGATAAGGTCAACGAGAGGGGACTTCAAATGTCGAACGGCGGGATATCATATGCAAGAGGATCCGCATTTCTTCGATCTCCCATCCACAATCAACAATTTCGACGATGCTCAGGCTCGGAAATGCTTTCTCCCCATCAATGTGAGGTCGTGAGATGGGGAACCGACTCGAGCGTCATCGAGCCGCCCTACATCCGGTAGTATGAATGTCGCGGGACACTTCAAAATCTGGTCGTCACCCTCCTCTAGATCCTGTGCGTTGTGAATCAAAACGATGTGCATCGAAGCCCCATTCTCCATTTTTCGTGACGCCCAAGAAGTGGGTTTTTGAATAGAGAATCGTAGTTTGAGATCAGTACAGTCTCTGAAGATAAGAAGATAAGCATAACGCGGTCGACGTCGAAAGGAAGTCAGTGTACATTATATGGAGGCGGTGGTCATTATCGCATGTGAAAGGGAGGTGGGGTGTATTCTCCTTGACGCGCATTTACCTAGCGTACTCGCCAACCACCGCTTGGGTCCGTGATCCATGTGCATGTATGTCCGCATACCCCTCAACCGTACCCACTTGCTCTTCGACCGTCGTACCACCAAAGCGGGCGCAGAGCACTGAAGCTGAAGCATCGGTGTTGTGCCAGAGTTGGCGTCACCTCTGGAGTAGAAGGATGAATGTATGACATCTGTTACCAATTTCAGGCTCTGGAATTGTAGAATGTCAAGGTGATGGCCAGACAAGTCGGTCGTTGTGTTCTCCAACAGCTTCACTCACGCGTCCCAAGGACACACATGAAAATGTGGCTCTTCTGACGCCATTATTCCGCGCTGTCCAACTTTCCCAACGATATCGAACTCGATCAGGCCTGTCTCACAGGACGAGATTGTAGGGGCTAAAGAATCAGGGATGGGGGGAATGAGCATAACAAGAGGTAGAAGGGGAGCATTGAAAGACGAACGAGTTCCCTGCCACTTGGAGAAGATTCTTGGGATGCCAAGAGAGGTGCGGAAACCGTTACGCGTTCCCGAAGACGCGCCCTACGAAGAGATGCGAGGGTTTGGAGGTCATAGGATGATGAAGGCAGGGCTCGCGGTACCGACACGGTGGGATTACGTTGACGTATTGTGAGCCCTTTGAATTCCTGGTTCTTTTGATGCATCTTCGGTCAATGTTATCACCTCTTCCCGACATCCTGCAACCACGGACGTTTGAGTGAGCGAGCTTTGATTCACCAGGCACTCGTCACTATTCCCGTGAAGCTGTACTATGGCATCCTGCAAGAAGCTCCACGATTTGATAGACAATCATGGTGGCAGAATTGACGACATGGTTGAAACAGACGATATGATCAAAGAGCTCGATGCATTTTTGATTAGTCTGATTTATCTGTACTGGTACTTGTAGGCGAATATTCAGATACTTCTGCAGTTACGGAAGGAAGAAGGGAGGGATTGTTGTCAACTTGAAGTAAGACGAGAAGGTCGAGGCGAGGGATAGAACTAATCCCGTCAGAGCGTACACTACGGATCCCGAGGGTGCGAATTTTGAGACTAGGAGGGGGCGGCTGAGACTTCGAGGGTATCTCTTCTTCGTCGTTGGTGGTCACATCCCAATAAAGCATGCCTATGGCGCTCAACTAAGGCCACTGATCCTAATACTATAAAACGCGTCAATATCGATAGTCATATAGATAAGCATTCATGCGCACGACTTTATTGAGAGTAGGCGCGTTCTGGCGAGATCAACGTCGAGCTCGTGAGATGGGAGGAGACGAAGGGAATGTCGTTTGTGCCAAAATCGAGGGTAGGGATGGGGGGACCTATAGACGTGGAACATGGAAGTGACTCGAGGAGAGACTAATCCATCAGCGCGGCGGCACGATGAAGGAACACCTGCTTGGATTGATGATAGTTGCTTCCGTACGTCCTTGGGTGAAACAACATGAGCTTCGTTGAATAACGTTGGAGAAGGCGTGTTCAACAAGGACTGACTTGTCTAGCAGACGTTGAAAATGCGAGGTCGTCCACCTGCAAATTTGGGTGGCCTGCCATCGCGATCGCGGAGAATTCGAAAAGAGTCGCGTCAAGTTGACAATCGAGAGAAAGGAAAGCGAGTCGTGGGAACTCTGAATGTGCCCGAATCACACTTCTCTTCCTCGACGACCCTTCCTGAGGATCTCCCTTCGGTCTATTCCCTCATCTCGATGACTACTCTCTCCCCTCCCTTGCACAGCAACCTCCATCGCTTGGCCAGAAATCCACCTTCTCAGACCAGCGAGTTTCCGAAATGGAGGATTGACTCGTCTTCGTTTGCTGATATTAAGAGACCCGCCTTATACAGGCCGGTGCCGTGGTGCCATTTCCATCGAAAACGAAGACCGTATAGCATGGCGCGCAGGCTCAGCAACAGCGAGGGTGAAGGTTCTCCGAAGGCGTTGCGCGGGTATGGGGTGAGATGCGGAGTGGTCACTTGAAGGAAGACCAGAATCTACCAGCGGCTGAATCCCTCGGACTTCTTCTCCTGGTCGTGGCAAAAGGGGAGGCAGTGGTGGATAGGCAACGACCAGGATGAAAAGACGCGGCGGCGCGGGACGTACCTCAACTTCTGCCACCATCGCGTTTCTCGTTTCTCTGTAAACGTTCCTCCGGATCCAAGAACTTACACTCCCAATGCAAGCTGAATCTTCCATGTACCTCATGCTCAGTCAATGATGCGCTGATATTCATTCTACACGTACCAAGAACCAATTCATTTGTCGTTGCTCAAGCGCTCAAATGGTGTGTTCACCGCGTTAAACAAAGATCGCCCGTTCCATCCAAGGACGTTTTAGTTGGGACAAGATAGACCAGCCCATCATCGTACGCCCACTACTTGACTACCAAGTTTCTTGGTCCCGCGCAAGAGAGGAGGGGTTCTCAGTACTCAGCCGTGTTGGCGAATTGGTCTCCCCTCACTCCTTTGATGAGGACCTCCTTCCCATTACTCTGGTCCATACCCTGTCTTGCGAACGAACGAATGACCCTCCCTTCTCTCCTTACCCACTCACAAACTCGACGTCAATATGATATGCCCAGATTTCACGCGATGCATGTTGAGGGTGTGTGTGGGTCTGACGCGCAGTCTGTACTATTCCAATTACTTTAGCTTCGACACTCTCTCGCTTGACGCGGACAACTATTCCGTTCTCCCCCAACCTTGGTTTATCAGCAACATATGCATCGCCCAGAAGTCTTGCAGAGACGTGAATTGTTTTATTCTAGTTCAAGCTCGACTGTGGAACTGACACCAGTATTTTAGGGTCTCTGCAGCTCTGGCAATTCGAGCGGAAAGTGCGATGGGGGCTGATTCATCTGTTCGCTTTACTCTCTTTCTCCGGTTTTACTGCATGCTCGATAGTGGACTGCAATGCTTAATTTTTGCATTAAAATACAAGTCCTAATCCCCGGAACTTGAAAGCAACCATGTTGCTATACCTAAGCGTTCTCCGCTAAAGGGATAACTCGATGATCTATCGTCCTGTCAGAAATGGTGATGCCCTCTGCTGCTCCCAAAACCAAAATCAACCTCTCCACCCCATATCTCTTTATAGCCCATCAAATTAGGGAAAAGACGATACAGCCAATCGCGTTTTTCCTTGGGCACAAGCCATGGTTCTGTCACAGTCAAACGGTCGATATGATGGGCATTGACTCGGAGTCGGGAAGCGTGGTTTCGATGAGGCCAACAAAAGGGGACTGCAAATGTCGAATGCTTGGTATGCGGGATATCATACGCAAGAGCGTCCGCATCTCTTCGGTCTGTCCTCCCTTTCCCGTCCACAATCTATTTTTGTCGATGATTTCGACATTTTCCAGGCTCGGAAATGCCTTCTCCGATCGTGAGAGCACAGCTACAAGTAACGATATGGGACCCGCGATGGAGGTCAGATGGGGGACAGACTTGAGCCTCACCGTCTGCCCTTGTATGAAAAACGAGGGACAGTCCAAACTCTGGAGAGTGGCGGCATGTCGTGATATGAAGCGAGAGAAAACTGATGCTTCCACTGAGTAGTCGCAGAGTTTCATGTGCCGGAGGTTTCTGACCTTGAGCTCGGAAAGGTATCTGACCATTTGGTGTGATAGACACAGCATGTCGATAGGAGATGCGTTGATACATTGGACGAACCACTTGGCAAGACAATGTGAATATGGCCAATCGAAAGCTGCGCTCTGAAGCGTGGTGAGCACTGGCACATCAAAGGACATGGTATTTTTCCAGTCCAACTGGTATGCTTGAAAGCTGGGAAAGGCGAGGGAGAGACACTTCCACCGGACAAGACCCTTGCAGAAGCTAGAAAAGCGCTGTATGGATTCCCAGTATTCCCAGGGTCTGTCACACAGATTTCTGGCCAGGAACTGAATGTGAAAAGCAGGAGGATCATATCGGATAGTGTCCAGATAACGCTGAACGTGTTCCATTTCTTCGTCGAACTTGGATGTGAAGGCGAGCTCTATGACCTGGAAGGGAGGCTCCGAGTCTGATGTGAGATATAATCCAAGATGGCGGAGGTCGGAGAATGGACGGGCATTGGTGCCGAATGAGCTGTATGATGGAATGTGTTTCTCGTAGAGTTGATAGGACAAGGCGACGTGGTTGAGTCTCCGGGAGAGATGGGCGAGAGATAACCTGTCTTCGGTGGAGATTTGGCAGACAATAAGAGCGAGGAGCTCGTTAGGAAGATCTGTTAATGATGTGCATGCCATGTCTGAAAGGAAAGTAAATTAGTCTTGGATGTAGTATACGTAAAAGTGAGACAAAGCCGGAAATCACCGCCAGCTCGCGGATGCGTGACGTCTTGTCTTCTCACTAGATAGGACCGTAAATCCATCTCATAATGTCGGCTCTCCTTTCCGCTTGCCTCAAATACAAATCCTCCGAATGGCGACGAGGCAACACAAGTCATGTATTCTCACAGGACGTCTCATTCAGCACTGTCCAGCTTTGTCAAACCATCAAACTCGGGTCCCGGCTATCTCAGGAGGAACTGAAGAACCAGGATTTGAAGGAGATGGAGGGGGGGAGTGAGGTTCCAGATGAACAAGAGAGTCGAGACAGATTCAAGGTAGAAGGGGAGCAAAAGGCGGGTGTGTTCCCCGCCGCTGCCTGGCGCGGAGAAGATTTTTGGGATACCGAGAGAGGTGCGGAACTTGCTTACTTCTTTGTTATGTATTTCGCTGAAGTGCTTCATAGCGAACGGCTCGTTCACAGAGAAGAATGCTCCGAAGACGTGCCCTACCATGTTCGAAGAGACGGCACCAGATGCAAGGCCCGGGGTTTGGAGAACATAGAAAGACGGGATTCGCGATACCAACATGTGGAAGAATCCTAGGATAACGTTGACATTTTGCTCCCAGAATTCACAAACAGGCTATAGCTACGATTCCATTTCAGCGTCTCTGCTACATTTATTAGTCCTTGTTCAGCGCGCCATGGCCAATACACCGTTCTTCGGTCAACATCATCACCTCTTCCCTACTGTACTGAACGTTGAACCTCGACATCACCTTTGTTCCTGGACCGCAGCCTCCAACCACGGACGTCTGAGTGAACGGACAGCGGTTCACGCCTGTTCCTCAGTGATGGAACTCGTCGCCGTTCTCGTGAAGTTGTGGCTCTACCACTATGTCATCCTGCAAGAGGCTCCCCAATTCGATAGACTAATCATTCCGCCCTACCGGCACAACGCCTTCAGAGAACCTTCACCCTCGTTGCTGCTGAGTCTGCGCGCCATACTGCCAACGGCGAATCCTGTCCTAGAAGGTGCTGTGCGACGGAAGGAGGGGAGGAAGAGTAGTCATCGAGAATCCTCAGGAAAGGTTGTCGAGGAAGAGATGTGTGATTCAGGGGTGCATACGACGCGTTCAGGGTTCCCACGACTCGCTTTCCTTCTTCGACTGTCAACTTGATGCGACTCTCTTCTCCGCGGCTGTGATGTACCCAACTTTGCAGGTGGACGACCTCACCTTCAGACAAGTCGGTCCTTGTTGAAACTTTGATCACTCCGACGGCACCTACCATCCAATCTAAGCAGGCGTTCCTTCCTAGTTGTTCCGCTGCGCTGGTGAATTGATCGAGATCTCTCAAGTCCCTTTCGTGCTCCGCGTCTAGGACCCTCCTTCCCGTCACCGTGTTCCGCGTCATCGCCCTGGTCCATACCCTATCTTCGACATTGGCGCCAACGACATTCCCTTGAATCCCTTCGTCTCCTTCCACCTCACAGGCGCGATATCGATCCTCAATGAAGCCGTGAACGCTTGTCTATATGACTATAGACGCGGTTTATCGGACCAGCGGCCTCAGTTGAGCGACCACCGACGAAGAAGAGATGCTCTACGCTCAAAATTTACACGGTCGAGATTTCAGAACCAGTAGTGCACGCTCCGATGGAATGGGTCAGTCCTCGTCCTTCCGCACAACACGCAAGCCCACCCCTCTCCTTGACGCTCTCACACTTGACGCCGTCGACTCTCCCCTTCTCCTTCCATCGCCTCCACTTCTCCCTCGATGTCTATCCTTGCCAAAACGCGCCCAAAGTTATGCCCTCGATATTGTCATTTGAGGCGATTCCCGAGCATGTTATCCATGGGAGTGGATCGATGGCGTTCGGTGGTGCGTGGATACTACACTCCTTCGTCTTGCTTTCTACAGGCATCCGTATGCAAACGTAACTCGAAAATCAATGTTTCTTTCGTTTCTAAATTCATGAACTGTCATTCCGCAGCCACATCTTCATACACCCTTGACTTTCGCCCTCACTAGCACTGTTGCTGAGTTCGCTGCCATTGAAGAAGTCGGTCTTCAATTTCGATGGAAGGGGCACCATTGGCTTCTGTAGGGACACCAAAAGTGCCGGACCTGTGGTCAAGCGACAGAGGCTACTGTGAGAGGGAAGGGGAGAGCACTCGCCCGCGTCAGGGGTAGGAGATAGATTGAAGAAGACGAGAAGTGTAATTCATGTACTTACAACGCGTTCGGAATCCCACGGATCGCTTCCCTCTCCTCGACGACAGTGAGGCCATCGAACAAAACTTGGGTAGAAGAGATGAACAAGGAAAGATGTCGGAGTACAGGCCAGAAGAGGAGGAAGCGACTAGGATTCACCAGATAATCCTGACCCGGATACCAGACCAAAGAAAGGTGCGAAAACCGTTTCAATTTGATTCACTGCCGTGTATCTCATGCAGTGCTGGATGTAGAAAGAATGATTTTGACCGAAAAGAACCCCAAAAGAGCGCGTGGGTACATGGCACGGCCATGATTGAAGAGATGCTTGCTTTCGTGAGTCTTGCTCCCTCATAAACAGCTTGATTGATGATTAATCTGATTGCTTAGTATGAGAAGGACGACTACGGTTGTGGTGGCATGCTACCCCAGTTTTCAGATGGACACCTCGCCTTCTCCAGGTCATCAGTCGCTCCCTCTCCAACGGTCCTTAACTTCATCGGTCACTGCTGCCTATTCCTAGCTTCCACATTCATCGCTGCCCGGTTCGTATCACCCGTTTCTTCCGAGGACGTACAGGCATACATGGCTCAATCATACGCCCCTCCCTCCGCGTCGCGTCTTGCCTTCTCTCTCAGTTAATGTTCACATCCGTGCTCTCAATATAGTCGTCAATGTGACTGTAGATGTGGTTTAGTGGTCCCCGTTTAGCGTCGTTAATGATCTCTCCTCGACGTCTCATCAACAGGCCTAAGCTTCAGATCAAGGTTGGTCTATAATACACTTCAATCTTCTGTCCCTAATTCGTTTGCTTTCGATGATATCAGGCTACGGTGACGATTTACAATCGAGTGAGAGCGAGACTGAGAGGCTGAGATTCGAGAGGCCCAGAGACATGGAATAGCGCTAGGATGCTGTCACCAGATACACGAAACCATTTTGCTATCCAGTAAACGCAGTCTAAAGATATTACCCATAGCACTCGACTATGTCTCTTTTCCCCCCGATGAACGCGATGAAATACGCATGAGCGAGACTAGCCTTGCATAACTCTCTCTTCAAGTTGTGCGGTTCGAATCCTCGTTTTCTCTTGCCTCCGGTTCTGGCACGACCTATTATTCTACGTGCTCTCCACACGGTCATGATTTTCAAACATCCAACTACGCATGTCATCTAGCACACAATGGTCAAGGGATTGAAGACGAAAACGAGTCCGTATCGTTGTGGTAGGAGCGGTAAGTGCTCTCTCTGCCAATGGACTTGTCCCTGAGATCTGATGTTCTGTAGCCTCTAGCGCGCACGGATATCAATGCCAAGAAGAACATCGATAATAGAGCCCCAAGTCCTCAACATCGTTCGACCCCTGGATTCTCCGGTCAATGCCGCCGACAAAGACCAGAAAACTCCCGCTTCGGAAAGAGATATGGTGGTCAATAATGACATCGGCGCTTATTCTAGAGCTGGAACATACGTAGGGAGATCATTAGGGCAAGATTCAGCGTTTATTTTGCACAGGATGTGTGGGAATAATGATGCGGCATGTGACTGCCAGCGTATACAACGCTAGTTGTGCTTCTAACCTCTCCTTCTTCCACCATCCTCATCTTCACAGCTACCTCAACACTGCACACAATCACTATTAACTCTGTAGACATCAATCCGGACCACACCGATGAACCAAACCGAGGGACCTTCGAGCTCAGACCCAGAGCAGAGTCGGGCTGTCGGGAACAACACACGTGCCGAAGAACAAGGAACTGAAGGAGGCGGGGAGCGCAGGCATCAACATAATAACCTACCGATGGAGGCAGGAGACAGCGCAGGTCGGGAGCAGCATGACGTCCCTACCACTGATCTGCCGAATCCTGCCAATGCCAACTCGAAGAAGATTTTTGGAACGATAAGGAAATCGAATACTACAGCTAAAAGTAAGAAAATAGCTTCATTATCAGTTATATATCTCATGAAGTCTTACAGGAAATGATCCATATGACTATGAAGAGAAATATCCTGAAGATGCCACCTATGAAGAGACGGCACCAAATGCGAGGGTTTGGAGGACGTACGAAGATGAAAGTAGGATCCACGATGCCAATATGGTGGAAGAATCCCGGGATAATGTTGACGTACTGCTTGTCTTTGCAAGTCCTTACTCTGGTTTGTTTGATGTTATTGCTGAATATGTCATAGGCGGGTCTTTTCTCGGCGGTCGTGACGACTTTCGTCATTCAAACGTCCCAGAATTTGCAGCCGGACTATGCTGCCATGTCGGCATCTCTGCTCTATGAATCAGTCCTCGTTCAACATGCCATCGCCAACGGTTCCTCGGTCGACACCATCACACCATCCCCTCTTAGTCCCAGCATTGCTTTTGTGCCTGCAACCACAGATGTCTGGGTGAATGGGCTGTGGTTCACGAGTCTGTTCCTCAGCCTTGCGACAGCACTCTTTGCTGTTCTCGTCAAGCAATGGCTACACCACTATGTCGTTCTGCCATCCGGAACTCCGCGTGACCGTGCTTTTACTCGTCAGTTTCGATATGGTGGCTTTCAAAAGTGGCATGTTCAGGCAATCATAGGGTTCCTTCCTTTTCTTATGCACCTTGCTCTTGCTATCTTTTTTGCGGGATTGGTGATTTTCCTACATCCGCTACAGGCAATTCTGTCGTGGTTCATATGTGTGGCGACTATCATGGTATATGGTGCATATATGGTCGCAACTGTTCTTCCCATTTTCTTCCCTCGATGTCCTTACCATACGCCTCTCTACAATCTTGTTCAATTTTCCTTTTGTTGGCTCATCCCGCGAATATCATGGAGGAGACTGTGGAGGCCTCGATGGTTTGGGAACATGGTTGTTCGACATCTTCCGACCCAGCTTAAATCAAGGAAAACAAGGTCAGAGTCAGAGTCAGTGAAGCAGATGTCAGACAGCTTGGCAGCTGAAGCACTGGACTGGCTTTTCTCCACCTCTTCAAATCCCAGTGTCCAAAGCATAGTCATACAGTCTATTGGGGGGTTGCCAATGGCCTCGGATGCGGTGTTCAAACTCCGGCCATGCTATTCAGACATGGAATACATGCATATATCTTTGCTTGAATGCTGCCTGCAAGCAGACAAGGAAGATCCTCATCATGTTGTGAAACCTGTGCGAGGTATGGAGCGCAAAGTTGAGCGCCTGCTTCGCTTTCTACGCCTGCCCATTCACCGCCTTATCATTACTGATGATGTTGATTCATCTGAGCTTACTGCTGCAATCCATTCCGCTCCTATTTCCTTGCAGATGGAAAGGCCTCCCATTTTAACCAGTCGAGCTGCATTTTTTAAAGACATTGTATGCTCCTGCCATTCTTTAGAGCTGCCCCCGCTTTGTTGGTCACGCCTCATGACAACCGCAGAGAAGGATGGTGCCTTTACTCCTCTGGATCCTAACCATGATCATCATGCCAATACATTTCCCCTTCATCTCTGTTCTGCCATCTTGTATTCATTTCACAAGTCACTGAAGCAACCAAAGCATGGTTTTATATCTCCGTTGACTCTTACATTCTCAAAAGCATTGCCCTATTTTCCAGATAAAATCTATAATCATATTCTCACCATACTTTCCCAGTTTGTTGGGGATCTACCATTGGATGACTCATTGTTGAGAAAACACTGGAGGGTGTTTGCAGTAGCCATCAAATTCCTACTTCACAGGCTTTCTCTTCCTGAATCTGATATGTCATATACAACCATCCTTGCCTCATTAACTGTTGCAGTTGAGGGGATCTGGCAGGAAAAGTTCTTGTCCCAGGAAGCTAACACCATCACAACAGTGCTTGAAGGCATTCTTGTTACTTGTGCCACAATAGAATGTGATCCATGCAATGTAGAGTCACTGGATAAGCTACATCACACTACTATTAGAGCTTATTGGCATTTACTTCGCATCTCTCCTTCTGCTTGCTCTGAGCCTGGTCTTCAGGTGATGGTTGATTTTATGACTGTCAACTGGGAACAGCACCTTCAGTTTGACTGCTATGAATCTGATGAAGTATGCTGGGCTCTGGCCAGGCTTCTTGCAAACCATGTTCCTGCAGCTTATGCTGTATTCCATGAAAGGCAATGTCTGGACTTTTTTGGGAGTCATACATTTCATGAGGCATCTATTCCAGTCATTAGTGAATACATTGCTGGAATTTCTGCCATGCAGCATGGATTAGTTGGAATCATAGACAAGAGCATTCTTCAGAAGTATGTTAATCAACTCTATGAATCATGCCATCTTTTTACTGCATGCTTGATCTTGGCTACGTATAGTGCTAAAGACAGTCATCAGACTGTCATTCATAACAACATCACTTCACTGGTGCAGCTTTGTCCACATGACACTGTCTGGAATGAGTGTCAGAAGAAACTTTCTAAGTTGATAGTTTATGATGGTGCAGACTTCTTCACTCAACAGCGTATTCCTGTTTCTCCATCTGGTAGTCGCCAGTTGGAAGCATCAGAAATTATGATTGAAAAGGACAATATCAGATATGCAATTGAAGTCCTTAAAGCCTTTTCTGAGGATGTACACAGTGGTCAAGTGAGTGGAAATACTTTTCTAGTCTTATATAGTTTTCTCTGACTGTCAATTTAGAGATTCACACTGCCAATATTGGGATGGTGTATTGGTCACAGATGGAAAAATAATACAGAGAGTGTGTAGCAGGTTTAGTTGAACTTAGAGACAACATCTCTGGCCTAGTGTATTAGTATATTTGTTGTCCAGCAGTTCTACACAGTAGGTGTATAATATTTACTCCCAGACATTTTATTCAGTTCAATCCAAGTCCAATCAGACAAGAAATGCTTGATAGACAAATAAAGTACAACAATGAGTTTATTGTTCTCAATGACATGCTACCTCCAAAAAAAAAACAATGACCATCTGCATCAAGAAAACCATGGCTGCTGAAGGGCCACCTTTGTTGGATAACATGTGCACCATGTGATCAGGCATATTGTAATGCACATGCTGATGGAACTCCAATTTCAATCCTAACCCCAACAAACTGCATCTTGAAACCCAATGGATTTCGATTTCCAGTTTCTATTTTATATTCTATTCTACATTTCATCTCTCCATTTTCATTTATCAATTCTAGAGTCTGTAATGTGCATGCTGACAGAACCCCAATCTCAAGCTCAACTCCAACAAACCACATTCTAGAATCCTATGGATTCTGATTCCCAGTTTCTATTTCATATTCCATTTGATATTCATCTCTCCATTTTAATTTATCAAGAGCCTGACATCGGTAGTGCAGTATGTCATTGGACTCCATTGGCTACCAATTGGTAGGGCACAACTTCCAACCACCCTAAAATGTAGACTATCCTGAGTAGGAACTAGATCAGGCTTCTAACTAATATATAAACCATAGAACTACACTGTACATACTCAGTTCGAATATCAACTTGGTTCAGCCCAATATTCTCTCTGATTCTCAGTCTAAACTCTCACTCTTCAAGTCTGCAGAGCTCCAATCTGTTGGACTTAACTCTCACTTCATCTCTATCTCTCTGTGGACTTCTGTCCATATTCATCTTAGGGCTTCAGCTCAGGGGTGATATTGTTAATAGCTTCGCCAACACCCACACACTCTGCTGCATGCAATTCTTTCCCATCTCTATTGGCATATTCCTAACAGTATATTCAAACTCAAACCCTTGAGTTAAAATTTTGCTTCTTAACCATGTCTTCTACTTTCATTGTTCCTCCAGAAACCAGCTGCAACTCCATGGCCAATAACCAAACCTACACCATGGATGATATTCTCATCTCTGCCTTGAAAGAGGATCCCCTGTCTTTTGGATTGGATTCTGCTCTCAACATTCCCACAGGGAAACCTACCTTCACAGTGGCTTCACTACCCACTAATCCGACATCAACGATGAATCTCCTAACTCTTTTGGGTGTCAGGAATCCACCTCCAATGGCTGGGGCCAATACCAAAACAATCCTCTGCTGAATCTGCCCTCTTCCACTTCCTTGTTCCAGGAGAACCAAGATTGTGACAATGACAATGACTGAGGATCTGATGACAACAAAGTTTCCTACACTCCAACCAACAGCTGTAGATGCCCTTCAGGCAATTCTGGTGGTGGCTCACCTAACTCTGGTGGCCTCAGAGGTCCCAGTGGATCTGGTGGATCTGGAGGAGGTCCTAACAACAATCCTGGTAACAACCCTAACCCTCCTGATAATGATGCCTAGATTCTCATCCAACTCATGAATGTTCTTCATGGCATCTCTGATGCCATCAATAGCAACTGTCAGCATACCATATGCATTAAGGTCAAAGAACCTGATACCTTCGATAGTTTAGACCCCTGAGAACTCAAAGCTTTCATTGTCTCTCTCCAGTTAAACTTCAATGACTGACCTGATGCTTTCATGTCAGAGGCTGCCAAAGTCAACTACACCATTTCCTTCCTTTCCAGTGTCACCCTCGATTGGTTTGAGCTGGATATTCTCTATCTCAACTGCTACAACCCTCCTGCTTGGGCATATTCCTATGCTGCCTTTCTTTTGAAACTCCAAACCAACTTTGGCCTCTTCAATGCCATCAGTGATGCTGAAGATGAACTTGAAAACCTTCAGATGTGTGACAGAGACCGAATCATGAAGTATATTGTTCAGTTCAATCAGTATGCTGCCATTATCAGCTACAGTGACAATGCCCTTCATCACACTTTCTACCATGGGCTTTGCTCCCACCTCAAGGATGATATGGCTCACTACAGAAAGCCTAACAACCTCCATGATATGTGAAACCTTACCCAGGAGCTTAATGCTTGCTAATGGACTCAGAGGGCTGCAATCACCTGTGAAAACTGTGACAAGCCCTCTAGCAGCAACAGCAACAGCAACAAGTCAAAGAGTTCTAACTCTTTATCTTCCAACTCCAACACTGCAGGCTAGAAATCCTCAAACTTGGGCTCCACAGGATCCTCTTTCTCTTCCTTCAACAATTCTTCATCCTCTTCCACTCCGAAGCCTTATGCTGACAAGCTAGGCAAAGATGGCCATCTCATTCAGAAAGAAAAAGACCACCATTGGAAGAATAACCTCTGCATATTCTGTGGAGGTAAGCATAAGATTGAAGACTGCAACAAGCACAAAGCTGCGGCCTCCACTCATGGTCGTGCTACTGCTGTTTCCCCTACCCCTGAGTCTACTGCCTCTATTGAGCCAGTTCCTATGGAATTGGAAAACTAGAGAGCAACTCTGTATCCTCTGCACAAGGTCAGGGTTGCATTGACAGTCATTGTGCATTGGAAATCATGACCCTCAATGCTGCTGCTCTTTCCAATCATTCTCTAACTGTATCACTCTCTTCTGAAGTTGGCTCCGGTGTTGTGACTGCAGGCTACTTACACATGGAATTTTGCAATCTAGTGTGTTTTACATGTATACTGAGATATAGTGAGCGAGCAGACTAAAATGACACATTGACACTAATGCTACACAGTGCAATGATGTGGAATATAACTTATGGCATAAGAAGCAACAGGATTCTAAACAGGACTTAGTCACAGCACTGTACCTGATAGGCATGTGTGATGAGAAGGCTGAACCCTATACTCAGTGTACTATGCTCTAACTTACAAGCATGCTCATGAGAGTTAAATGACACTTCAAAGGTTGCATTAACATTGAGAATATTTAGTGCACTCACTAACTATGATGTGCTGTACCTGAAAATCCAGGGAAATCCTTACATGAGATGACAGATATCACTGGCACAAACTTGGACAGTGAGTTTCGGCTGAAGTCCACAAGCCCACATTCCATTGTCCTGAGTCCTATTATTTGAAGACTCACTTGTTGTCATATCTATGAGAAGCCTCTGTGAATCCAAGAAAGAAGTCCTGAAGGACATATGCCAGAACTGATAGTTCTGTATGCCTAGACCTGTCGGTCATCAGAGAACAAGCCTGCGGGTGTTAGGAGAGCACCTCTTGGCATGCATTTAGTGAGCTCACTATAGAAATGAGACTAAAACTGGGAAGTCTGACTCAGATGCTCAGTAAGGTGGTGGTGGCAATGTGCTATGCATGTAGGAGTCTGGATACTGCATGATGTTTGTAATTCTAAATTCCCTGTAGTATAAGTAGGATGGTTCCAGTAGGTAGAAGCCAAGTTTCAAGCCCTCAAGTTCCAGTGCACATGTTGAAGGCAGTATTGTGACAAAGGATCAGTTTGTAACTTTGAGCTTTGCAGAGGATTAGTGAGCTCACTCAGAGAAATATGAGATACCCTTTTGATAAGACTTTTGAGAACTTAGTCAGAGTGAATACAAATCAGTGACACTGTTTCTGTTCTGTTAAGTGCGATAAGTCTGTTTAGAGAATGTGTTGAAGTGGAAATCTGAGTTCTGTTCTGTTCTGTTTCAGTCTGTTCCATGTCAGTTCTGTTCAAAGTTCTGTTTCTGAATCTGTTTCCAAGCACTTCTGAAATGTTCTTGAGTCAAGATAACCTGCTGGAGTTAGTTGGAAAACCCCTACATACAGTTGTGTAGTGAGCAGGCTAAGTCAGAGCTTGCCTGTGGTGTTCTTTTAGTGAGCTCACTATTGTTTTGACATGTATCATCTCTGTTTCTGTCAGGATCAGTGTCCCTTGTGTATTTTAACTTGAATCTGCCTTGAAGGTTGCATCATGCCAGTGAACAACCTTCCTGTAAAAGTTCCTAGACTTAGGAATTCATTAGAGAAAGCTTAGCTTCATGAGAAGCACCAAGAACCAGAGAAACTCTTCAAGATATTGAAGTATAGTCAGATCACATTAGAAATATGTTAGCCACTAACTCTTATCGACTTAGATCAACTAAGGATCGCCACTCGCACTTCGGTGGACGATACACTCAGAGGTCAAAGATGACGAAGGGGAGTCAGAGACGAACTTAGATAGTTCACGAAGTCGTGAGCTTTGAGTCAGGTAGATTAAACCTTAGCCGAAGCTGGGGTTTAGGCCAGCTGAGGCTTCTACTTAAATACACATTTCGTAAGCTAAAAATAGTACTGTGGGAACGTCCGATGGCAATCGCATCATAGGGTAAGCGTGAACACGTAAGAAAAGAAAAAGAAAAGAATAAACCGTAACATTACCCCCTCGCTAAGACTTGTTCGTCCCGAATGAGTCATCCGACTCTGCCGCTCCTTCCTGAATTGATTCGTATGACCAGATATCTGAGGCCCATTCGTCATCATCCCAATTTTCAGTGACCTTCTGGAGGTGGTTTACGTCGGATTCGTCGTCCACGGGAGGATCAAATAGAATCGGAGGGTTTTTATATGGTCTCCCTTCCCGACGCGATGCTTCGATTTCCTCCTTTCGCCTCTTAAGGTATGAGTCTCGCACCCGTGGATCGTCAAGTCTAGGATCCATCTGGTGACGGATTTGGGGTCTGCTAGGATCATGCCCCTCACTAGGATGTTCCTCGTCATATTTGATGTTTTCCTTTTGGAGGGCCTCATCCATGGACTGGGCGATTTCGACTACTAGACGTTGAAACGAGGATGTAACGGATATCGGCTCGCGTTTCCGTCCCGCGTCCGAGGCGTCAGCTCCTCCTACTGCATTGATTTCTTCGGAGTGCGCCGGGTTCGAACATTGTGAGGAGTAGGTGGTTTCGACCTCCGTGAGACAGGGCGTGGTTGGGTCATGGTACTGGACGGGAAGGTTGCGTGGTATCTTATCATCTATCCCAACCGTCTTTCCTCTGTCGTTGACCTCCCAATGTATTTTTTGAATTCGGGCTTCGTAGTCGTTGACCAGCTCCTCTGCGTTGGCCATATTCGATCGTTTGACCCACAAATTCTCCTCCATGGGATAACCTTTCCACTTTACGAGGTATTCCATTATGGTGCAGCAG